ACTTAAAAAGAAATACAAACTCCCTGATAGCTCTGTTGACAAGTCAAATGTAAAATACTCTTTGTATCAGTCAATGAAAATGTCACTGAAGTTGAATTAGGAGTATAAGATCTCACTTAAAAGCTCGGCATGAAGGTGCAGCTAATCAGACTGACTTCAGAGGGCAACAGCATCACCAGTCCTTGGTCCTAACTCTAACTTTGGTCCTGAAAGAGCAGAGACGCATTCATTTGTCAGCATAAACACTAGATCCTACTCATTGCCGCTTTGCTCTTTTACCTAGCAAAGTCCTTGTTGTAGAGTATATACCATCTAAAAGCCATACTTCCACATAAATGGTACACTTTTTTGTTAACCGTCCTTCGATTTCAGTCATAAGGACAAAACTTCTTATAAAAAAAAAAATATATGGAAAGTTTTCCTCCTGCCTGTTTCTCACTACCAAACTTCACCAGCAGTGTCCTGAACAGCATCATTTCTGGGGAATTGTTGGATATTGTTGGAAATGTGCAAAAATCCTACCTGAATACAGGCAGTAAAATTCAGTTCAGTAAAGAAATAACCAATCTTGTTGCTGCTTATCTTGTTTTATATGTAGGTCATGAGGAGGCTTCGGTATAAGAGCAACACCATTTTAGAAGCAGTCAAAAACTCCTCACGGGTCATTTAAGTTAAAACAAAACCACAGTGGAAGGTGTTGCAGAAAAAAGTGTCCTGCTTTGAATAGATTCCAGGTGTTTTATTTAGGAGAGTGCACTGATATTCACCCCCACACATGTTAAACCCACACAGTATGAGCTGAATTTTGAGTTTGTCATTGGATTGCAAGAGAAAGACATAAAAGGAGACAGAGAGTGAGACACAGATAAGGGGCCACTTGGCTCTTTTAAGTCACAAGATGCAGGAGAAGATGGCAGCAGAAGCAGGTAATAAGACGACAGATGCCCAGAGACACAAATCTACCACTGGAATGTTTTTTTCAATTTAAAATCAAAACTGCGTTACCTTACGGGCAACCTCAATGGGCAAAGAGATACCTGAGGCCACCTGGATCCCACTCCAAAGAGTTAGCCAAGACAATTTCCCTCAAATCACCTGCTATCTTAATCTGACAGCCAGACTCGATTACATGCCGTAAAAATTGCTTTTCTTGCCACCAGCAGTCGTTGTAAAATTATCTTAATTGTGTCATGATTATGCCTCAAAGCTCTGGTGAGAGCTTTACATTGCTCCTTTCAAACAGGAGAGCCACATGAGTGGTAGGAGTGCATGTATATCAGCATTCAAGTGGCGAGAGGATGAGAGGGAAATGAATTCATCTCTAATCGTTTCTGTCTGTTCATGTATTTCATAAACAGGCAATGATGTAAGCCATGTAAGAGGATATCTAGAATTCCTCCAATTGAAAGAGTAGACATGGAAAAAAAATAACACTTTTCAAGTACAGCTGCTAAGGTAGAAACTAAGTTTAGTTGAAAGGACATTTGCCCTTCATTCCAGCTTTTTGCCAACTGAAGGTTGAAACGCACACTTAAAATTCTGGTGTACAGGAGCCATTGGTGGTTAAATTTCACCACAAGGTTCAAACTGAGACCAGTTGTTTTGTCAAGGGACCAGATAAAATGATACACCTATGTTTGTTTTGTACTTTTGAAACTCTTGGGATCCAAGTTACAGCTTCTGCATAGTGCAATAATAATAGAACTGTGTAATATTTTATACTTCTGGACCTGAAAGTATTCTTTTTTTATTACATTATCCTCATTCAACCAGTAAGACTCAGTGGTACTGAAAAACTGCTTTTTAAGAGAGTCCTGGCCAGGATTGTAGCCAAAGACATTTACAAAAGCACCAAAGCAAAAAACAACAGAAACACAGAAAATCAGAACATTTTAGGGATGCAAGATATTATCCATGTAAAATCCATACTAGCAGGTAATAGCATTAAGGGTTAAATAATCATATGGATCATTTATATGGCCAGTAGGATGACAAATTAATCATGTCACATAATGAGAGCCTATGCACAACAACAATGTGCCTCTACATTTCAGCTGCACAGTACAAAGTACTTAACACTTTGTATGAGTACATACTCTAGTACTACCACTAGAGTGTAGTAAACAGAGGGGTCAGGCAGCACACCTCATGGGAGCAGTAAAACCTCACTCCTCTCTTACTACAAACCTAACTGTGCATCTCAAGATCCCTCTTTTTGGACATGAAATCAAACATCAAATAAAGTAATGAAATATGGTAGCTCCTTAAAAAGAAGCCCTGTTTTGTCATAGGGGTTATTAAAGGACTAAATAAGAAAAATATTTAACTCATTGCTCTTGACAACCAACCCCAATGTGGTGGCAAACATTGACTACCATAGGCTAATGTGGTACCAACATTAGTGCCAGTATTGGCATCAGTATGGAACGATATTTAAAAATATCCACAAAAAATCTAACAGTTTACATCCTTACAATATTTTAAAGGGTATTCAAATACACAGTGGCCTTTCAAGAAAACAAACACATGCTTCTGTCACTTGAGTCTTTATGAGGGTTTATTTTAAGCACTAGATATACTGTACACAAAAACATTTTTTCCAGATTCATCAAAAATCAGGGTTATTGATTTCAAGGCTGATTCAAAATTGATGTTGAAAAGAATCACACATTCAGCAAGCAGGCTATGTTTGCTTCCCAGGCTATGTCTGGTTCTCATCTAACATAGGCCTACTCAAACAAGGTGGAACCTTAGCATCGGAAATAATCTGAGTAAGGTTGCATCTTACTCAAATTATTGACCATTGAGGGGCAGTCTTCACTCTGTCAGAAAAAAAAACATGAAAAAAAAAATAATAATAATAATAACAATAATAATAGTGTCATCAAAAAGTTGCAGGAGTTGCTTGTTCCAATTTATATATATATATATATATATTCCCTGCAGTGGCATCCCTGTTGCTAACATTAGCTAAGTAGCTAGCTCCAGCATATCTGGAGAGGTCAGTTAAAGTTCCAATCTGGGTAAAAAAAAAGGCTGCAATGTTATTTCAAGTTTCAACAGAAACAAATAAGCCATATTAAAATGAACAGGTACAGTTTTTTGCCACAGTAACAACATTAAAAAGTCACTTACTAAATCTCACGCAAGTGTGTCAACCTGACCACACTACTCTTTGGTGATGGTGCTCTGCCTTGTTTGGTTACTCAGACTGAATGACTCTCATCAGCTCTTGCAACACTACCTCAATTAATTTTTAACTTTTTTAAAAGTGAAATTTAACTTTTGCAAGAACAGGACAAGACCAGAAGATACAGATGTGCTCATTTGCCCACAAAAAATGCCCAAATTGACACACACTTTTTTACAGAGGCTTACATTTGGGTGATAGATTACATACCTCGGTGGAGACATTTGTGAATGCGGGGTTATGCAACCTCTAAGCGAAAGACTTCATTAAACCACACTTCGCTCTGACGTTCTTGGCTTGATTTTGATAGCTCCCTTACTTCATCTGTAGCTATAGTCTGTTCTAGTGTCTCTCACTTTTCTCTTGATGAAACTCCACAGGGTATCTATGGGGTTCAGGTCAGACCACTTGACTGGCCAACCATAGTAACACCAGGGTCACTAAACCAGTTTGTGGTTGTTTTGGCACTGTGGGCAGGTGCCAGGTCCTGCTGGAAAAGGAAATCCGTATCTCCACAAACCCTCTCAGCAGATGGAAACATGAGGGTCTCCAGAATCTTGTGGTAGACTTAAGGCTGCTATAAATCTGGACTTCGTAAAACACAGTAGACCAACAGCAGCAGATGACATGACACCCCAAATCATCTCAGACTGTTAAAACTTCATGCTGTTCCTCAGCCACCTTGGATTCTGTGCCTCTCAGATCTTCCTCCATAGGACCTTGATTTCAAATTCAGATGCTACATTGACTTTCATCTGAAATCACATCTTTGCACCAGTGAGAAATGGTCTGGTTCTTTTTCTTCTTTGTCCAGGTGAGACCTTTGAGACAATGAGGGAACACGACACGTGTGTGTAGCGGTTCCTAATGCTCTGACTCCAGCTTCAGTTGACACCTTGTGATGCTCCCCTTGGTTCTTGGATCTGCTTTCTTTTTCAGTCCTCACAGAGCTGCACTCATCCCTGTTGTTGGGTCACCTTTTCCTCCCTCATTTTTCCCTTCCAGTCAATTTTCCATGAATCTGCCTCCAAAAACAGGACCCTGAACAGCCAGCCTGTTCAGAAATGACCTTCTTTGGCTTACCCTCATTGTAGAGGGTGTCAACAACGGTCTTCTGGACCACTGTAGGGTCAGCAGTCTTCTCCATAATTGTGGTTGTGTGGACTGAACTAAAGTGAGAGAATAAAGGCTCAGTAAAACTTTGCAGGTGTTCAGAGTTAATGAGCTGATATAAAGCTCTTTTCAGGACACAAATGACTGACAAGAGGCGGGCCAGCAGTATCCTAATGTTTTGAGATTGACAATTTTTGATATGTAAACTGCAAGTCATTATCAAGATTCAAACAAAACAAAAAAATACTGAATATTTCAGTCTGAGTGTGATGAAGCTATAATATATAGAAGTTTCACTTTTTTAATTTTACTTTTACATTTTTCGATTAAATACAAGTGTGTGTGTGTGTAACAGACTGAATTGCAATCAATACTTTCGAGTGTTGTGTTTTCCCTTTAGCCAAGTTACTATAGTTATGTTTTTAACTTAAAGTGGGAGTAGACTAAAGAAGACAATTACATCAAAAGGTCCATTTGTATTCAAATGGTTATACTGTTTGATCTCTGTCAGACTTGGTACAACCACTTATCATTTAAACCTATCCTCTTGCACCACCTTCTGGCCAACAAGTAGAAGACTTTTGTGTTAACAATCTTGTAAAGACACACATTCACCAGATTTGATTTTTTCAGATTCAATAAACCTGTATGACAACCAGGTAACTTTGCTCTTGACAAAATACTCGGATACACAGAAATCAGATTTTCAATTTTTATTGACTTTTTGGACAATTTCTTTTCCAGTGTCATCCATAACCGTTCACTTCAACAATGGTATTTGCATATTCTTTCATTCAATACTAGGAGGATATAAACCAAGGTAGGCTGATGCTAGATGTTGAATTAGCAGCTATTGAGCCAAATCTGCACTCCTCTTGCAAATGAAATGAATAACTGGGGGGCAGTCATGTTCCCAGAGATTTTAAGTACATTTCACATACCTTCCAGCTGTCCATAAAAATGCACCTAGACATCATCTCTACCTGGTTTGTATCTTTCTAGCTGTAAGGCTGATAAAAAGGGCCATTGCTATTCAACAGAACAATCTGCATAGCAACTGGAAGACAAAAGGACTGGACACTGACCCAATACAAAGGATGAGAGACACAGGACATCACTAGACAGATAGTTGGCACGAGATGGTCTGCTGTTTTGCTCACAAACACAGTCATTTTTCATAGTGATTTTACTTTTGAATGTCAAAAGAGTTCGTTCGACAGTTAGTGTGAGGTTGGATGCATTGGAGCTCTAGGCCTAGTGTTGTAAGACGTTTAGTTTCAAAATGATCTCCAAGCATCTGGCAGTTTGAATAGGTTGCCATTCTGCAGTGGCTGAAACTGCTACCCACCCCCCACCCCACCCCACCTTCCCACCCCACCTTCCCACCCCACCCCTTAGTTAAGTATACCAATTCATAAGGCTACAAGGTACGTGCCACTACTTGACCATATCCACAAAAGCAGAGCTAAGCGAATGGAAAGATGCGACAGAGGACAACCACTACAGAGTGCCTGAGGGCTAGAGACTGACAATTTTCACCCAGCTACATGAGTAAAAGCAGGAGGGGGTGGGTTACTGAAACAGCTGGCCTCTGGATGGTCAGGCTTCATGTTTGGACATGTCACCAGCAGTGATTTGACCCCGTTCCCCCACCCTGCAAAGGCAACTAAGATAAGGGCAGCTCAAAAAAAAACAGATGTCTGGCCACCTTTGAATTTGGTATAACAGTTCGAACCACGATGAAATGTCAGGTCTAATCAACACGTAAATGTCAGTCTTTTACAGACTGAAGACTTAACCGCAACATCTGTCACATTGTCTTTTTTTCTTTTTTTAAGTGTAGGACAGTTTCATTTGATGCAGATACAAAGCTCACAAGTCGATTACAGTATCTGAAAGCACTTTTAGACTGATGAATCTGCAAGGACAGACCGGGTTTAGTACACAGAGAAGGATGACAATCTCAGAACTGAAGACTTTTGGGGTCAGCGGTCAGTCCAGGTCAGGAGCAGGGACAATGAGAGGGAAGATTGTGTCTGATTCAGTTCAAGCCCGTCGGTAGCAGCACGGCTTAGAAGCGCTTGGGTCCCCAGGGGGAGGACTTGGTTGCCACTGGGGCTCCAAAGCTTGGGAAATCTTCAGAGCTGCTCATATCAGGGGCCTTGAGTAGAGAAAAAAAAGGATTAAGAAAGGAAGGTGTGACCAATTCTCATTTCAAACAGTGTCAGGCTCATGGGAAATATTGCACCTTCTCATTGCCAGTGGCCCAGGGAGCTTCCCTGACAACAAAGCCTTTGGATGGTCCACGTTGTTCATCCATGGAAGCAGCGCTGCCCCCAGAAGGCCTCATGTAGGCCATCTTTGCCTCGTTCTCCACAACATCTGCCATCTGGTGAGTTCAGGAAGTTCAGGTTAACATCACAGGCATCTAAACACTTAAATTCTAATAAAAACCACATGTCATGTCATGAAGTCTTACAAATTCCTCCTCCAGGTTAAGCAGGTGGTCGATGGCTTCATCCACAAGCTCAGGGCGACCTGTGACTGTCACAAGGTTTGGGTCTGCAGCTCCGCTCTGGGGAAACCTGAGATCAACCTTTAACAAAAAAAAGGATACCACAGTGATAAGAGAGAGAGCATGATCCTGAAAATTAACTCCAAGTGGTGTCAGAATAGACATTTGTTTTCCTAACAATGCATCTATTTTGTCCTCTCACGTATCCCCATTAAGGACACAATCTGAGGTTCGGAAACAAACACTAGGTCTGACTGTATTTCCTTCAAACATCTAAAAAAGTCTGCTGCAAAGCCTTTTCATGTTTGGCTGTTGCAACTACCGATCGGATGGGATTACAATCAATGTCCCCAAGACCAGCCCCAGCAGGGAACCATCTAAAGCCCAGACACACCAAGGAGACATCAAAGAGCCAGTGATGATGAAGGATGACAGTTGTGTCTGCTCACTGCTCCAGAGTCTGGGCCAAGAAGATGGACTTAAACACATCACAACCTATCGTTGAAATCAACTACAACATATGTCCTACAACAGCATTAGAAACAAAAACTGGACACTGGACACATGGACAACAGCGGGGATCTGTAGAAGTCACTTCACAATAAGGGACTGAAAGAACTGCAACTGCTATATTAGTGTTAGCCTAACAATTTGACACCGTTCATACTCTAATGATCCAGTAACTCAAGGATCAACTTGAATGAAGGCTTGAAGGCTAAAATTTCATCGACAAATGTGTCAAGCAGGCAGTCTAATGATGGATGATCGAAACGATATCAAGCTCAGTTTGAACTGGGTAGAAATATAGGTTACAACAAAATGGTTGATAACTATGATAATCAGCTGTTATGACATTTCAGTTTTTATGAAATATTTGCTGAAGACATTCAGGCCAAGTTTTATGTTCAAGTTTGTGATATTGCAAAATCGGATCTAGATATTAATTATTCTGTTCTATTAACTAGCTATATAAACTTATTTATTTTTGGTTAAAGCCTTGCCTATATTATCAAAAATATTTTTTATTTTGCAATGTGGAGGAGTGATTCAAAGAGGCTGTAAGTCTGGGTTTTTATCAGATATGAAAATGCATGTTCAATACATGCTCCCTCTGGTGTGCCCTTATGTTATTTCACATCCCGTCCTCTCGGTAGCCTCACCTTAAACTCATCCATGATCTTGCGAATGCCCTTGCCTCGGGCTCCGATGATGCGAGCATGGACCCTGCTGTCCAGGGTGATGTCCTCAGAGATCATCTCTTCCAGCTCATCCACGATAGCCTGGATGGCGTCTCGTGCTGCTATGGCTTTGTGCTCATACCCTGTAATAGTAATCTGATCCTGTGGACACAGAACAAAGGAAAACAAATTACTTTGGGAAAAAAAAAACTCTGCATGCTGACAAAATCTCTATGAAAGTAAATACTTCATGTAATGAAAGCCATTACTTCCTGTTAGATTTCACATGCAGTATCATAAGAGGTGCTAATTTAGCACCAACTGTTGTGCTATGGAGGAAATCATTTTTTTACGATGGATTTTCATTTTGTTAAAAAAATCTCCATACCTGGTTTTCATCGTTCTTCTCCGGGAATTGGATGTTCACATCATGCTCAGTACGGATGTTTGTAATAATGGCACCCTTGCGGCCGATGATTTTGGGATGATACTTGGGGTCCACAGTGATGGTCAGCTTAAAGCTCCTTAGTTGCTGTAGTGGGGAAGATGTGAACAATACTCATATTTCAGGGTTTACAGAATTATATACCTGTTTCTTTTCTAATTTATCTAAAACTGGCGGTCACCTTCAATAAACTAATTCAAGGTTGTCATAAAGGTTGCAGTCAGTAAAAGGATCTCGAAGATGAGAGCTTCAAAGCTCACATTTTGAATATGTTTATGTCATCATGATACTAACCCGATCCTCCTGCTCAGCCTGCAGCTCCTTGACGCGATCCAAGAGGCCCTCTTTGGCGCGGTCAAGGTGGTTAGCCAAGCCGGTGATGGCAATTTTATCGGACTGCTGGTCAGGAGCAGGCACTTGAATATTGACCTGGAGGAGAAACCATCATATCACATGTAGTCTCCAGCAGAATAAAAAATGCTGTGTATCCCTTTATCTGTATGACACACACCTCAAATTCATCCATCATCTTGCGAATTCCACTTCCTTTCTGGCCAATGATGTAGCGATGAAGCTCAAAAGGCACTTCCACCTCAATAGTTACAGGGACCAAGGCCTGAAAGGAACCAGACAAGTTCAGGGGAATTCTCTCCTGCATAGCCAGACTGTTTTGTGTGACTTCAGTTGACACCTCCATTTAAAAAGGGACTTCAAATAAAAACAGTCATGTGGACACATCCGTTGAGTAAAAAGAATGATGGAAGTACAAAATGTTAATAATTCAAGATAGAAAAAGCTTAATTTAAAAGTTCCCTCTCTGAACATGTGTGAAACACACCAACCTTCAATGCCTCCACAGCAGCGTCACAGCGCTCTTTACGTCCAGAAATCACGATTACGTCACACTTTTTAGGTGCATTTGGATCTACAGGTTCCTTTGCTTCTCCATTGGCCTCTCCATTCTCCTGAATGGGAGCCTCTGCTGGAGGGGCGGCTAAAAGAGACAACCAAAAAAAAAAACATGATTAACTTAATGATGCAGGGACTATTCATGTGCGGCTCATTCTTCTAGAGCCACAACTTCAGATCGGATACATGCTTGTTCTAGTCAATGCTGTTTTTCCCCACTCTGATGAGTCTAAGTCTCTTTAACTGGCCCACACCTAAAGTGCATCAAGCTGCACAACAAAAAATTCCCTAGACAGGACATCAAGCACAGGAGTGGTGCATACTGTCCAATTAAGTACAAAAAAAAAAAAAATTCAACATGCCAAATTTTGACTGCGTATCAAATCTTGTAGATAAAAAATGCTCTTTGATGATCGAGTCATTATAGACACAAAATAACCTCCTGGCATATTCATAATCCATGTCAACCACAAAGGGACTTTTAGCTGCTTACTTTGTCTGCAGGTAACAGCACAACAAAGTGGAACATAATCTTACTTAATGAGTGAAAGTGCAAAAATCCAACCGTTATAATCGTGTTACTTGCTCACCAGGGGTAAAAGTACAAGTCACACAAGAAAACCCAAGCGAGCCAGAAACAACCACATCAATACACAGTAACCTGTTGTTTGCAGTCCAGCTGTTCCAGGCTGTGCTACTCTTCAAAACTGATCCCAGTGGGCCCTCAGGCAGAGCAAAACCACCTAAGGCCCTGCAGGGGGGTTTGAAGAATAAAGAGTGAGTTTACCTTGTGTGTCCTCTCGCTCTGGGAACTTAATCTGCACATTGTGATCTCTGGTGATCTGCTGGATCCTTGAGCCCTTTGGACCCATAATAGAACGGTGGAACTTCTGAGGGATCACACACTCAATGGTCACTTGAGCATCCTGGAAAAAAATAAAACATAATTGGAAGAGGGAAAAAAAGACAGAGGGAACACTGGTTAGATTTCAAACAGATGTGGGAAGAGCATTTTAAAAAATTAAAAAAAAAAAAAAAGGTGCAAAAGGAAAATGACATATCTACTGACCAGATCATCAATAATCTCCAGCATGCGCTTTTTGGCTGCCTCCACACACTCTTTGGCTCCTTTCAGGGTGACCTTTTCACTCTGAGTACCTGTGCGAGGGAAGCTCACCATCACACCACCATACTCATCAGCAAGGTCCCGGAGGACTTGACCCCGGCGAGCCACAAAGTAGCGATGGTGCTTTGGATCAACACTCATAGTGTCCTCAACCACATTGTCCTGCAACCAAAAACAGTCAATAGTCTAAAAGATAGCAGGAAAAAAAGGGGTCATGATTGTGGTCTGGAGTATTCAAACTGATTTACAGCCTTACCAAGCTCTTGATGAGTTCCTCCAGCTCCTTCTGGGCCTCACGCACTGCCTCCTCAGTGCCGATCACAGTGATGAGTTCCTGGTCTTTGTCCTCTGCAGTGGGGAAGATGATCCTGGCCCCTGTGCTGTCACGGACCTTACGGATATTTCCACCACCCTTCCCAATCAGGAACTTGTGGTACTCTGGCTTAGCACGCAGCTCGGCAGTGTGACTCTTGGTTTGCTGAAGAAAACGTTAACAAATTAATTTCCAGACAACTACAGTTTCACCAACTAGCTGCCAGTTCAATGTTTAGCACAGAAGATGCTCTTTAAAGCTTCAAAGACATGAAATATCCCTCCATGCTCTACTAAATTTAAAAAGAAGTTCATTTTGAGTTTTAACTGGCTTAACATGACTTAATCTTCTGGGAGGCCAAAACAAATTTCAACCCCAATTTCACCAGCCACGCACAAGACACCAGCTTGTAGTTTCACTCTGACAGCTGAAAGAAGCTCTCAGCAGGAGGTAATGTACCACCACTGCGCCGCAGAAGCAGCTCTTTTTTTTTTTTTGGCCCTCCCTCTATGTCCCTGTCAAAACAGCTGCCAGTTTAGCGAGGTCAGCACAAGTTCAGTTTTATTATCATTAATGACATTTAGACAAACCTTCTCCTCTGCCAAGGCAAGCAGCTGCTGCTTGGCTTTCTCCACCTCCTCTATGGGACCTCGGATAGTGACCTTATCAATCCCTGAGCCCTCAGTGGGGAAGTGGATGTGCACGCCACCGCACTCCTCCATGATAGAGCGCACAAAACGGCCCTTTGACCCAATCAGGGAGTTGTGCAGCTTGGAGGGGATGGAGACCTCCAACTCGGCGATGTTTGCCTATGTACAAAGAGATAATAACTCAGCAACATTGAAATCCATCTGCCACAGCTTGGACAGACTAATACACTTGCATGCATGTGCGTACCAGCTCCTTTTGAATGGCCAAGATGCGATTTCTTGCAGCCTCGCAGTTTGCCTTCTTCCCGGTGATGACAATCATCTCAGAGTTGCTGTTCTCGGCAGGCAGGTCAATTTTTGTGTTTGTTTCCTCCCGAATCTGAGCACGGATCAATCAAAAAAAGAAAAAAGTTATTCAAACAATTTAAGACAGCCTGAAGACTTCTTTAGACCACATGAATACACTTTGAAATATACAGTACCTTCTTTATATTTGCGCCTCCTTTTCCAATTATATTCCTGTGGAATTGCTTGAAGATGGGGACTGAGACAGAGAAGCTGTTCTCCACCTGACACAACATAAGCACAGAAAATTAACACTCAAAAACACTGAAGAAGGTAAAAAAAAAGCAGAATTTATATTCATTAGTCAGACAGGCTTGTCAAGAGGTCTTTGTGGACAGTTTTTTTTTTTCCATTATTCTAATGCTCAAGAACAGAGAAGACAAGAAAAACAACCTTTTCAAAAATTTAAGACTTTGGATTGACAGGAAAAGTGTGGATGGAAAGCAGTCGAGAAACTGCAGCGCACATGATTTACCATTTCAGCCACAATCTTCTGCATAAACTTTGCACATTTTTCCACTTCAGTTCTTGGACCCCGAAGTTGGACAATGTCACTTTTCTGTGCTGGGTCAGGGAAGTTGATAATGACCTGAAAAAAATAAAATAAGGGCTGTTAGATTGCACCAAGGCTCGGCACAAACAAACAAACAAACAAACAAACAATCGAACACCATCATATTCAAGCAAAGAGCGACGATTTCCGACTGACCTCTGGGAATTTGTCACGCACTTCTTTTATCTTCTCCCCTTTTTGGCCAATGATGGCTCTGTGAAAACGCTGTTCAATGATCAAGTCCTTTGTACGCTCATTCTCCTGCAAGATAGAGAGTAATGAATAACCGCACGCCGAGTTCCACTCTGCAGCATCCAGCCTGGGAACTCCACGTCAAACTCACCATGCGTGACGCAAGCTCAAGCAGCTCCTTTTTGGCTTCCTGCACACCCTGGGGATCCCCCTCGATACGGATCAGGTTGCTCTTCTCATTGTCAGGAGGGATGCGGACAGTCACCTTGTGCAGCTCTTTAATGCGGTTGACTAAAAAGTAAATAAAAATATGATCAGAGAGAGCAAACGTTTCCCCTTGTGTTGCACTTTAATTCTTTAAATGAACTAGCATTTGAACTTTGACCCTATACTTACTGTTTCCACCTCCTTTTCCAATCAGGTGTCTGTGGAATTTGGGATCAACGCTGATCTCTGCATAGTCCATGCGGCTTACCTTTGAAAGAGAAGACACAACATGAATATCAGAAGAATAAAGTTCATTACACTTTTACTGTGTTAGTTATTGTATTGAGTTGTAGTGTGCTCTCAAGTGTGTTTACTTCTTCTTATGCTGAGCCTAATTCATTACTGTTAACTTCACTTGGCAGTTAATCTACCAAACACACAAGTAGTGGACTGTTAGGGTCTTTTCAAGCTTTTTCACCAGCTTAAAAAACATTTAAAAAAGAGACTGAACATATTTTAGAAGTCAGAGAAATGTTGCTCAACAGTGAGACTCGTACGGAGAGTGGAGGTAAACATTAAGACATCAGGGATAGTAGGGCTGTGCAATATGGCCTCAAACCAATATCACGATACATTGAGCAGTTCACCTCAATAACGATAAACGGACGATAAGTACTCCACAAGCTGCCCACCCCCTCCCACATTAACTTCATCCACTTCAGCTGCCACAACAACTTTTGAACCGTCCTCCATCTCCTCACCTGTCTTTGCCTCTTTGTTACGGACTGGATGGGGTAGAGTCATGTCTCTGACTAAGGACAGCATCTTGAAAAGGGACATGAGACCATAGCCTACCTACACACATCCAAAACTAACTTATTTTTATTTAATTGTTTTGACACCAAATATATTGACATGGGCAAAATGACGTTGGTTACTGCTGTAAAGTTCGGTATAGATAAATTTTCGGTTTATTGCCCAGCCTTAAGGTCTAGCCATCGTTAATTAAAAAAAAAAAAAAAAAAAAGAGCTTCTGATCAAGGCCAATTGAACTAATCTCATTTCATCATCAATGATTCATATTTCCCAGGGAGGACATCATCTGGTCCCAACCAGGTTATGGGTTTGGAGTGAGTAACCAAGAGGATTTGGACAGGCTAAGAGAGCCAGCTTCATGACACAGAAAACTTCAGGTTTAAGCTCAGCAGACACAGTTCACCCTCTAATCTTGCTCATGGTACACCTCTCTGCCCACAGCAGCTAAATAGGAGCTGGTGTAAATCAGTATCCTGAGCAGTTCGGTTGCAAATCTACACAAAAGACCACATCAACTTCGGTTCATCTGCTTGTGTCTTTGCAACGAAACTGCTCAGGACTCTGTGCCTTACGCTCATCTGTTTCAAGCTCTTATGATTTGTTGGCCTCCGTGTGTAGCTAATAGATAGAAATTGTGGAGTCACCAAGTCATCTCCATGCCATGTATTTGTTCTGCTTCCGATGCGCAGCCAGGAAGGTGAGCCCAGTAGTGAAGGCACCTGGTTCAGTAACTGAGCAGAACAAATACATGGCATGGAGATGACTTGGTGACTCTCATCTCTGGTTGCTAAATCTCTACTGGTCACTATGTGTCACCCTGATCTGAAGTTCTATTTCTTCAGACACATGTCAAGCACAGGTGTAGGGAGGGGCGTAGAGTCAGAGCTAAACCCTTTTAAAATGGGTATAAATAAGATAGAACACCTTTAAGGACTTTATTGGCCTTATTGTCATATCAGTGTAACACTAAAAGGTGCGATTATAAAAGGCGTTGGGTCTACTGAAAACACATAATTGTTATTCACCACTCACCAAATCTGTAACAATTGCTTCAATCTGGCTCTGCACCATCTGCACATCTTTGGTGGGACCCTCCAGGGTGATTTTATCTTCTCCCTCTGTGAACTCAATGTGCACCTGTGTGTGAACAAAACAAGAAAAGGATTTACAAAGTGTGATCTCCAAATGAGTGTTTTAAGTGCTACGGATGAGACAGTCATGGTCTAACTCACCTTGGGCATTTGTTGAGTTATCTTGGCCAAGTTCTGCCCCTTCTTGCCAATAATGAAACGATGAAGCCAAGAAGGAGCTGAGACCGAGGAAACAGTGTAGCTGTTTGCCTGCCAGAGAAAAAAGGGCTCTTTGAGTCAAAGCATACTGCTCTTTTATTTAAAAAGGTTAACATCATCAACCATCAGTGATTTTGAAGAACTCCTTACCTTGGCATAAACTTCAGTGAGAGCCTGACCCAGACGGTCGGGCTCTCCACGAAGGATGACAGTTTCTGAGCTGCTGTCAGATGGTGGGATTTCAACGGACACACCAGTCTTATCCAGGATCTCCTGCAGGGTGTTTCCCTTGGGGCCAATCACATACTTGTGTTGAGACTTCTTCACCTCCACTGCAATAGTGGTGGCATTTTTTTTCTGCAATATAAAAAAAGAGTATAAGGGATGACAATTCTTGAAACATTGGCTTGAAGTGATGAAGCTACGAACAGTTGTGATTTTTCATACCTTGTCTTCAAAAACCTTCTTGATCATAGCCACAGCAAGGGCCACCTGCTCCTTCTCCCCGGTGATCACAATCTCTGTCTTGTTAACACTCGGAGGGGGGACATTAATGCGGGCACCGGTCTCCTGCATCATCTCTCCTACCAGTTTGTTGTAGGCACCGGTGATGAAGGGGTGATATACCTTGTCTATGTTCACCCTCTCAACAGCACGTTTGTCCTTCAAGAAAAGAAGAGGCAGAGAAAAACACTTGGGATATAGTTCTGTGATATTAGGAGACTATCTTTATGAAGCGGCTGGTTTCCTGAGGTTACCTGCTCAGCAGAGATTAGCAGAATCTCATGCTTGGCTTTCTCCAGGCCCTCCTTAGTACCAGAGATCTTGATCTGGTTGCTGGGGTCATCAGGTCGTGGGATCTGGATTTTTGTGGCGGTCTTAAGCTCCAGCTCCTGAAGCTTCTCCCCATTCTTTCCTATGACAAAACGATGGTGCTCCTTGGGGATTGCAACAGTAGCGGAGGCCTGTTCGAGTCAAAATGTACGATTAGCACCATGATCGACAGCCTAGATTTCCTTTTAAATCTAGCATCATCAGAGCCTCTGACCTGAGTCTGCAGTCGGGACACAATCTCCTTGCGGGCCTTCATCACAGCATCCAGCTTTCCAGACACCATGATGGAGAGACCCTGATCTTTAGCCAAGGAGAGCTCCAGGTGGGCTCCGGTCTTGTGCATGATGTCCACACAGACCTTTGCTTGATCTCCTTCCCCAAACTGGTTGATGTCCTTGTACTTGCGCTCCTCTAACGGCACATGGAAAACCTAGTCCATGAAAACAAATTAAGTTGTTAAATAAGTGTGATGAACACTTGCTGCCTCAGTATGTCTTCAACAGAGCAAAGTTGTTTGATAAATCTGTGTCAGTCATTAGAAGACTAAACCAGGCTCAAAAGCATAGAGGGTTAAATCTAAGGGTGACGCTCTCCAACAAAATACAGACAGTGGTGCAGTGAAAATTACAAGACTGAACCAGAAGGTGGGCAAATTCAAAAGTCAGAAAAGTAATTGAGCATGGTTAAACCACTGAGCTGACAGCACCTCAGTCATTTAATTTGAATCCTGCATTACCTTTAAGTTTAAACTGGAGACAATAAAAGTGAACAAGAACAACAACGCTTCACAATGGTCATAAAGAGAAAAAGGGTTTTCTTGTAAAGAAAAAATCACCACCCACTTCAAACTGACTATTACTCTATCCTGGTGTCTGTTAAAAGTGAAAGCTTTCTCTCAGTGAGTTTGGCCATAGAGAAACTGAATAAAAGGGCTGTTTCTTCAGCAAGTTTTCCATTATCTGGTCACCGTCAGGCACTATCCATCTGACAGCAGTATGAGGCATCAAAAATGACAACCAGGACATATTCAGCCTTGTTGGTAATGATCCCATTGGCTTTTAAAGGTCATAAAGAGGCATCACTATCGATTCCAGCCTGTTACGCAACCAGTTAAAAACTCCACTCAGCAACTCTAATCAATGTAAAATGTCTTTGTCATTGTCTTTCAACTGAAGGAGTTTGGAGTATTGAAGAGTTCAAATCTTAGCAGGATTTCTGTTCTGTTGTTAATTCAGTTGAGAAAAAGTTATCCAATGATTTCTACAGAGAACTTAATAAAAACCTGCAAAACATTACAGCATTTCAGAAGTAAAATCTCATTATTTACTAAAAATGGCTCGTTCATTTTGTTTTCAAAAATAAGCTCCTCTTTTAGAAAACCAGTTTAGCTGGTTTTAGTTATTTTTGTCAGATTAGCCCGTTTTTTAAACTTGTGTTGGCAGGTCGACTTGTACTTGTAGATTTTATCTTTGCATGGTAACTACACATAATTCATTAATAATTACACATAATCAGCCAGATCCATTAAAAACACCTGTGAGGCCCTAATCACCAGCAATCGTGTTTAACAGACACAGTGGGCTCTGGTAAACTACAGTGGGACACATGAAACACACTGGATTTCTTCACCTCTAAATATGGGTTGAATCATCTGAACTTGGGGACAAAGCCCCCCAGCCCACACACACACACTTTGTAATGATAAAGTACATTTATATACCTCTACAGCCTTACTCCCAAACCTGTCCTTTTGCATTGCGTTGTGGTAATATAGATTGTATGGCCCTTAAGATTTCAGCAGTATTTCAACTAAGTAAGTATCTGTTTATTCATTCATCTACTTTTTTTAGCAGGGGATTTAGAAAAATTGCAATATCATATTTCTCTCTCTAATGCAGTTCAGTCCAAGTTAAATCTGCACCCAGAGCACACTCTCTGGAAGTCTGCATTGAGTCTGCTTCTTCAGGCCCCATGTGGACTGGGTAAACAGCAGATTTGGACAGTCCTCAGCACTCAGAGAACAAGTCTGCAAAGTCAGCAAGTCTGTAAGACCAGTGAAGTCCAGATATCTGGACTAAGCCTTTATTAAGAAAGGCTAAGAGGCATTATTTGGGCGACGGTGAAAGAAATCCTGTGGGATGTAAGAAGAAAGTGTGTATTGAATAGCCATTAAATTATAGGTGTGGTAGCCAGGGCACATAAATTCAACCTAGTTTGATTGAGATTATGATTTTAAGCCTACCACTATCAAAGACACATAACTGACAACGATTACTGACTTTCAAAACATGCGTTCCACCCACAGAAAGTTGATGTAGTCTTTGATTCAAAACAGGATTTAAAGGAACACATTACCCTATTGAATTTACATTAGATCAAATGTTGTTTTCTTGATATATTTTCCAGCTGATAAATATTAATTCTTCCAACTTGTTTCTTTTTGGTTTTCCTCTCCACACACAGCCTGCACCTCTCACACAGCAGCTTCTTCCATCCTGCCTCTCCTTTTCTCTAAACCTGTATGACTCTACACTGTTGACAACATTCATTAGTGACACATTTTATAAAGTCGAGGCAGTGACACAACTTGCATTTTACCAAGTTTAACTTGTTAACAAGTTTAACTAGCGATTCCAGTATGACAACAGGTGATTTACATGTTGACGAGGCTTGTTGTTGACAAAGTGTGTCGCAATGATCTTGTGACGGCCCCTGTGTGGATGTCTTAACTGGAGATGTGACATATCTATCTGTTCTCTTTTGAGGTGGCTGATTGAAATCTGCTCTGATGTGGAGCACCTGGGCCTGCTGCTCCACCACCTACATATTAGCTTCCTGTGGCCTGTCCTTTCGCTTGCTCTCCCTGCCTGGCTGTCTGCCCTGCCGCTCACCGTTCTGCTCTGCTCTGCTCGGCTGCCTGCAGATCACCATGCACATTTTCTTTAGTTAGTTTTGTTAGTGCACTTCTCAACACCTCGTACCACATCATTCTCACACAGCCACATACACGCTACTGATATTACAGACTAACACCCCTCATATCTGTCGTTTTTGTTCCCTTCCTTTATTTTGAATTGTAAATAAATTAATTTACTTTTGTTAATTTGCACTCCTCCCGTCCTTTTGTCATGGCCACAGAGCCAGGTTATGACAGAGTGCAAAAAAAAAGAAAAAAAAACTAACATCTGCAGGCGGAGGGCTGGTGGGTCAGGTGTGTGTTAGTAAAGCAGAGGGACAGAGTGAGCACGAAGAGTAAAACTGTAGCATTAAATAATTATCGACTTGTAGATCTGCATCATTATCAAATGTTAATGTACATGAACCTAAGATTCCCTGTAATATAGACAAAAGCAAAAGCGTTCCAAATACATGGGTTTTATATGCTAATCCAATGGGATAAAATGTGTGCAAATTCAAATAATTAACCTTTAAAAGTCTGCCACACTCTGAAAGTATGACAAATACGAGCAGATTCAACTGCATTACCATCAAAACTAAGTCAGAGTTCTGACAGAAGTAAATCTCTGATACGAGTCAGTACTGTATTTACATAAATCTTCGGGGCCAGAGTGGGTCAAAAATGCTGGTTATTTTGTCCCAAGGAAGCCTTGGGGCACTGAGACCTTTTACTTTTTGTTAGAATAAACAATTAATCCATCATGTTAATTGATAATTGTGATTAATAATCCTGAATTTCATGTTGAATAAAATAATTGTGGTCATCATTTTAAAGTGCACACACAAAGAGAGAACCTAAGCAATGCTCCACCTGGGTAATAACAGATGACTTGAGTGGACGGATCTTGGTCCAGGCGTTAGCAGTTTCCTGGGTTCCCTCAGGTGAGGCCGCCTTTTCGGGCAGAGGTGGGAAGGCATCCTTGTAGGTAGGAAGGGCATCCTCCTCCTCTCCAGCAGTGGTTACTGCATCACCAGCAGCTAAAACATGAAAACATTTGAGTCTCTCAGATAATTGATCAGAACAATATTCAAAGTCCATTTTGAAAAAGTCAAATACTCACCACCACTCTGCTCTGGCATGAGCCCATTGCGGTGCTCATTGAAGCTTTCCTGCGTAAGTACAGCGACTGAGCTCATGGTTAAAATCCCACGTTAACACAGAGTCCGAGTGTGCCACTGAAAGAAAAGTTCATATTTATTAAGCACAGTTAGCACAGTGAATTAAAGGTTCCTTTTCCTTAATTAGTGAAGAAATCCTACACCCATATTATCCTCTGACAGTGGAGCAGTTTCAGGCGTACAGGAAGGAGGGTTCTATATTTGTGCATTTGTCTTTGTCATTCTCGTTTGCCTGGAGTTGAAAGGGCTGTGTCAGGAAATTACACCAAATTTGATTTATGATCCAAGGCAGCTGTGAGGTTGTTTGTTCACATCATGAACATGTCAAATGTGACGAACCAAACCCACACACACCCGTTTAAACAGATGAGGAGAGTTTTCACAAGTGTCGACCCAAACCACAGCTCTCATCATTGGTGGCTTAATCCTCTTGTCACAAATGTGTCATGTTTTGGGTAACTTTCAATTGGCATTACAATGAGACAAGTTTCTTTTGTGTTCCTCATTATTTCCAGAGTCCTGTGGGTAATCTGTTTCTTTTCATTTCTTATTAAATGCAAAATATTGGGGTTATGAAAGTCTATTGATACTCAAGTCATAAGGCAGTTTTCAAATGTAGTAGTCAGTAAGAAATCAAATATGAGCTTTAACAGAAACAAATGTGTTATTAACACGTTTAAGCTGTAGTACTGCATCTGTGCATTATTATGCATTAGAAAAATAAAGACATCTAGATACACTCACTTGTTATGATAGTTAAAACACAGATAAAAGGTGCCTCTTGTTTGAAAAGTAGAGTCACATGCTTGGGTATAAAAGATTATCAAAGGTGGACTTTGGGATTTTGACCATTATCTAATCTACCTTTATCAAAAGAAGCCATGTGTCTCCAAGATAATCACACTGTGTTAATGTGTGCTGTGACTTTGAGTGGTGAGTACAGAGATAATTCTTGAAACCACTGAGAAAACACTGGTGTGGGCAGGGCTGCAGTTACAGTACATTTTGTCTCTGTAGAGGAAACCAGTTTGACTTCTGTTTGACTCTCTTTGGCCAGTGCTCTGCCATGGAGCGTTTCTAAGTGAGTGTGCTCTAAGGTTAAGAGGATTTTTCTCCACTGACCCCTCTGTATGTCCATGTTGGAGAGGATTAAAGCAAAAATCCACCAACATAAAACTCAGATGGCCTGTATCGGACCTTTAACAGGGATAAGACTCTCTAAGGAAGAAACCAGAGCCAATACTCTCACCTGTGGCATTTCTAAAAGGAGACACAACAGACATTATAATTTGTGTTACATAAATGTGAAAGTGCTGCATAAATCAGTGAAACTCGATATATCAGCAGCCACTGCTCTGCTTTTCAGGCTGGCAGATAAACCTCAATTCTGGCCAACGAGAGCAGAGGAATGTGAAGAGTTTTCGGGTGGATTTTGCCCCCAAGCATGCCTGAAATTCATCTGAAAACCTGAAAAGAAAGCCCCAGATCTCACACAGAGCTGCTTGATGCTCGGAATTTCTTTATACAGCAGACAACAGCAGGGCTTTCACATAAGTTTGAAGGTGGTGGTTGTCAGTAGTTGGCTGTTTCTCCTCTGTACATTGTAAAGCACCCCTTCAGTGGCCTCTTCCTTGTCAGGCTTCAGAAACTTAAGGCTGCTCTGCACTGGTTACTGTTTGCAGATTCTATTGCCAGTGTACATATAACATTCGTTTAAACATTTGTATACACAAGCATCATTGAGCTTTGTTTTTTGTGTCACAGGGATACATTTTGATTAAGAATTGCACTTTTTTGTCAGACTTCATCATTTGGCTGTGGGTAAATTTGGAGCTAAAAAAAAGCAACTTTGGAGGAAGGCAGTTTCTAATTTGCACATATTTTTGAATGATCACATGTCAGGCCAGATCTGGGAAAACAGAGCCACACACCAAGGCCAAACACACTAGACTACATGTTCCCATTATAAAACTTACTTAACAGGTCACAGTGCACGTTTCAAAAGCCAGTTTCACCTCTAAATAAATAGAAATGAACTGTCGTTTCACAGTGTATAACTAAGGGGGGTTTTTGTTGTTGTTTTTCCAAGCTTTAAATTTCAAAGCAGGTTAGAAAATGTCAATTAATTCCTTTATTGCGTTGCCTTAAATAAAAACATAGTCAAAGTAGGAGGACAGTGAACTACCTTGGAAAAAGTAATAAAGGATCAACAAGTCTTAGTGAAAACATTTTACTTGAACTATATAAAGTGAAAGAGTAACCATACAGAAATCCCACGTTTTATTTTTTATTTTTTTAAATCATAATACCTATTCTTCTAAGCATGCATCAGAAATCTGATGCCCTCCCTTTGGCCAGAATCTAGAAGAAAAGGAGACCAACTTGGGCTGAAGGTTAAAAACATCTTCACAGACTTGCTAAAATAAAGCAAAAGTGCAGCAGATTCTTACTCCCAAGTCCTAATCACACTTCAACTATACAAAGCCAATTTCCAAGCTGTAGTGTGTGTGTGGATAAAACAGTATGCCGCTAATTACTTAAGATGGTATTAGTGTCACCACTCACAATGCTAATAGTTGTCAGAACTTACCAGCTAAATGGTCAGTTACCAGATAATCCGTCCTGTAAAGATGCAAGTTCCCGTCAGCCTGCCAGCTTTTGCCTAGAGACCACAGACAAGACAGACCAGCTGGATCAGAAATAAAGCATGGTTTACATTTCAGAGAATGGTTTTTATCATTTAATATTTCAGGGGAATAACTTTGAAAAATTCTGCTGAGTAAGACGACAGTACCAGGGTCATTGAAAAACTGTATGTGTAATGGTTTTAAGATACCATTTCATAATAAACCCAGACATTCATTTCAAATATACATTAGGTTTGGCAACATTTGATTCTTGATAGTTATGGTTTGAGGGACGCCATTTGCGACAGCTCTACTGTCGTGGTCGAAAACTGAAACCGTCCAGAAACCGAGAAGTATTCAGATAAAGTTTATGCAAAGAAGCCCACTTCTGGACAAGTCAAGTATAAGTACCACTGGAGCGCAGCCTCCCTTGACAAACATCTGGTTTCTGTAATTGCACCATGCCTGGTTGTCGGTCACAAGGACAGAGCTGGCAATTGATGAAGCTGCTGCGGGGGGACCAGGTGCACAGTTTGTTGCACATTCACGCAAGAGCTGGCAGAACTACACAGTGAATGTTTTGTATTTAAAAAGGGTCTGATTATTAAAGCATGTATGATATGACATGGTGTGTCATTCCAGACATTCACACTACTTTGGTTTGCATTCCTTGTAGCCTTCTTCCACTATGATATTAACAGGCTATTGAGATGAATGAAGAGAATATGATCAGATTGGTCCATTTGTTATATATACACACACAATATTAATATTTCAGGTAGTGACTCAAAAGCTCCTATTTAACGGTAGTGTTGTAGCATACAACAAATCTGGTCACCTCTTCTTTTTGAACAACCAATCACCAGGGGCGTGCCTAGACTTTTTTAAAGAGGGCCCCAATAGGAGCACTTTTATATTAATAATATGAATATATTTAGTGTTTCAGTCTTTGCATTCATAAATAGATTCCCTGCTAAAATTAAACAATTGTACAGACATTACCTTCTATGTGCAATCTTTTTAACTTTAAAAAGTAAGAACCCAAGATGTTTGTCCATACTGTCAACTGCTTTGAAATAGGCATTAAAATACTGCTTGTTGAACCAATAATTCATTTACAGGCAACATTTTAGTACAGTCACTCTGCTCCTAAAAACCTGTATGATGAAACAGACGTGAAATACTTTTCTACAATATGATGAACAAAAGAGAATAGGCCCCATCCACACAAACGTAGATACTTTGTGAGGACAGATTATTATTATTATTATTATTTTTTTTTTTGTAGCATTTTGGCCTCACATCCCCAGCCTTCTTCCCTGCCTCTCTTTAGATCACTGAAAACAGAGGTTTTGTAAATTGCTTTCCATGGTGAAGAGTTTTCAAACTCTGATTTTATTTGTGAGGATCATCATACAAGGTGTGAAGTCACTGTGTTTATTACATACTTTATTACCCCAAGTTGTTAATATGTACTGACAGGCCACCAGTTTGTTTATATCTGTACCATATTGTCAGGGAAGCCTGACACAGAACAGTAACTCTCCATTGTCATTTGTCCAAATAAATGAATCCCGATTCTTTTTCTGATTTACCCATTTGACTGTTAACAACTACCATTCACTCAAGAGGACACTTAAGTATGCGCACAAGGTTCTTCTGTTGCATCTGACTTGAGGAGAGATTATTGCAGCATTCTGATCTTGTATGTTTATGTGGGCAATTAAACCATTTCTGTACTGTTGAAGCAGGGAAATATTCAAATGAAGCTCTGGCACAGGATTTTTTTTGACAGAGAGACAAAATTCAATTAAATTGAAAAATATCTGTGAGGATGTATCCTTACAAAACAAATTAAATTCGTTTCAGCACAATCTAAAATCTAATTAAAACATACAGGTCAGGGTTTCTCTAGTGGCACACAGGGTGGCCAATCTTCTGTCAAGGAGGCCAATACCACCCCTGTGGACGTATTCCTGCTAAGGACAGTCACTTATGTCTGCAGAAATAGCAGGAGGCTGTTTGTAGGAAGAATTTCCATTGCATATTATAAAAGGTGGGACTTATGCTGTGTTAGAGCTACCTCAGAAGTCAGGTGTCGGAGGTGAAAATGACATCATACCCAAGTTACCAGTGTTTCAGTTACCAAGTCGGTAAAAAGCAAAATCAGAGGCCTGAAACAAGATGGCTACATTTACAAAACAACAAATAACTACAAACTACAACTACAAATACCTTTCATAGATGTAGCCATCTTGTTTCCGCCAACAATTTTGCTTTTTTCCGACTTGGTAACTGAGGCTGTGTTCTAGTCACCTCAGAAGTCAGATGTTGGAGCTGAAAATGACGTAAAACCCAAGTTATCGGCGTTTCAGTTGCAAAATCGGTAAAAAAGCAAAATCGGAGGCCTGAAACAAGACGGCTACATCTACGAAAAGTTATTTTAGTGTTTGCTTTATATTCGGACAAGGCAAGCACTAATATAACTTTTGTAGATGTAGCCCTCCTGTTTCCGCCTCCGATTTTGCTTTTTTGTTAACTGAAACGCTGGTAACTCGGGTGTGACGTCACAGGAACGCAGCATTACAAAACAGTGATGCTACAGTTGTTTTGCTCAAACTACCACGTCATTGATTCAGCTGTGCGTTCACCTGGTGACCGATACCTGCATTCCTGTGACGAGCTCTAACCACAGATTACTCTAACGAATGTGACAAAATCAGTATCATATCAACATGATACGGAATTAAACTCGCAACTGTACGCTCAACCCTATCTGCCAAACAAACCTCGCGCAATGTTGACGTCTATTGTAAAACGGTCATCGGTTGTTTCTATGGCAACAACGAGGGGCTGTGGCTACCGTTAGCCTACATTACACGATATGATATATCAATCAGTATCATTAAAATCATATCATCTAATCTACGTGGTCATTCCTATGAAACAGACATCATGCTATCAAGTTTTATGTGACAGGCTCATCTAGCTAGTTAAACTCCCTTAATGCTAGCAGCCACATGAGCTAGCGTTACAACTAAATCCCGGATTAAGGATTTAAAACGCTGGGAAGCGTGAGTGCTAGCTAAAACGATATCAAGTTAACTAGCTGACAGTTGCCAGCGACACATTACAGTCAGGTCTAGCTGCCCGTCATGTTGGCTAACGCTATTCAACCACTTAAATTCACTGAATTCGAGACAAACTATCGTTTTGAAGAGGGCAGGAACATGAGGAAATTGTGTTTTCCCTCTTTATGGGTTCCCTAAGTATAGATGCAAAGTCACTGGTGCTGGATTCAAACCCGCAGCTTGTTAGCAAAGTCGCTAAAAACTTTGACGACTGTGACACGTAGCTCCTCAGCTAACATGTAGCTCTGCTCACACAGAGTCAAGAACTTCAGCCAGCACCTTAGCCAGCTAGTTACTCTAAGCTAACAGAGGATTGAACAGTAAAGCCATGGAGTATCTTTCCTACTCTCAATAACTGCGGTCACGTCTGTTTTATTGAAATTAGCCAACGGTGACAGAGTCATAAAAAGTACAACTGTAGCCCCAGCTAGCGAGCTCATGTTAGCATACAGTTTGTTCTACTGGCTCGCTAAGTCCACGTAGGCATACAGCTGAGCAGGGGAGAAATGACACGGAGGCCAGAACGTACTGTAACTTAACATTTAAGCTTTACCAGCGATCTGCCGCAACAACAAGTATCACTCTGTCACATATGCGAAAGGTAATGGTAAGACGAAAAGGTAGTGAAGTCAAATTCAAGAGAAAACTGTGAGGTACTTACTTATTTTATGTACTCGTCTGCCCTGAAGGTGCAGAAGCTGAGATGAAATTCCACTGGCGAGAAGGTGGGATTGAAGCCTGACGGATATATACCAGAGCCGCCCACCAATCATATCCTCCAACGTCACGTCAGAGAGTCCGGTTACAAATAACTTCTCTTCGTTTTCAGCAGTCACACTCTCCTGTATAACTTCTTTTTTAACTTAAGAAGAAAAGAAAATTGTCCATGTAGCCTCCATCAAAGTCGTCTATTTTTTTAAGTAATGTGAATAGATTTAGATTTTCTTGTATAACTTCTGAACTCGTAGAACTGCATATGCAAAGCAGGTAAGATACAGTTTGATCCACTTTGCATTCACTCAACACATGGACTACTGTTTTCAAATGATCCACAACAAAAAGCAAACATGCACATTATTGGTTTTATATGGAAGCCCCAAACAGAAATGCATTGTTAAACTTAATTTGTTCAGTTTCTTCTGTGATTGGAAGTCATTTCTAGTTGTTGTTTTTTTTCAAGATGTCAACAGATATCTCAGTTTTTGAGGATAACAAAGCTGGAGCTCTTATTATAACTGAAAGCTTTACCTTTCTTGAGACTGTTGGGTGCAACAGGCTGGTGTATGTGGGCGAGTAGAAATAATTATTTTAAATATAAATATTCATTATACCATTTGAAACATTGTTTTAATTTTTTGAGCAACCTAGAGGAGCAATCAAACCCAAGAGTGACTATAAAACATTTTTATGATGCAAATCAGTGACAAGGATCATGACACAGCACCTTGATTTATGATCATTTGGACTAAATTCATGCAGCCCCACAATCAGGCCACAGATTTTTGATCAATACCATTGCTGTGACTTTAAAGATTTGTACCAGACTGAGCAACAAAGTGTGCAGTTTTAGAAATTGCAGGTGATAGCATGAATGAGTAGGATTATTTACTTGTTCATCTCTTTTAGTCTTTGTCTTTGGAGTAAATATGTTATATTTGAATGTTATTTATTGAATTTTAACACAGCCTATTTCACACACACACAAAGTATGAACACTCTCAGGGTCACCAATGCTTTGCACGCAGAGATGAATAAAATTTAGAAAACTGATTAAAATAAAATGATAAATAAAATACATTAAAAAAGAAAAACTGGGTCATTGTTCTTGTTTACTCAACAGGGAAATGGCTGCCAAAGCATTCTAAACTTTCCTTCTGAAGCCCAGGGTTATAGCTTAGCTGTTCCATCCTGAGATGAGCCACTATGTTCATCACTCATCGCTTATGGGAAGAGGTTATTGTCTTTTTCAATTTAAGCTGAAGTGTAGCGAAGGCCACTGCTGAGAGGACATATTTTAACAACAAGTTTTGGGGTTCTTCGGCATCAGGCATTGCTCTGTAGCGTTGTGATTTCTTTCTGTAACTTGGCATCTTACTTATGCTTCTTTGCAATCAAACAAGTTTATCCCTCCCCTAATTCTCTGTGTCACTGCAGAGAGATTAAAGCGTCATCCCATAGAATCCATTCAAGATAAGGTCCATGCACAGGAGTGACGTGGCCTGACTGTGCAATAATCACATGCCAAACAATCCTGCTATTTTCTTTAAGGACCTCAGAGGCATGTGCAGAAATGCCGCCACCCAAACAAGTTCAGCAGGGCTGCATTCTGAAGTTGTCGTCATTCCTGAACTCAAGATGAACACACATCCAAGAGGTTCATACCTCACTGCTATTAAAAAACAATGAATAAAAGTAAATAATGAGTACAGTTTTTAATTGACTGATCTGGATGTAAGGGTGGGGGTTACAGGAACCTCATCCTGATCAGACAATTTCATGAAGGTAAATCTGTAACATCTCATGTAGCTTGGAAAAACAAAGTGAAGTATTGTATGACAGAAATGTGTAAATATAAAATGGAAAGGGTACTTCGCACATCTATTATTCAGGATAGGTGCGTTGGAAAGTAAGGTATCCAGCAAATAATTCGAAGGGAAACACCTGCACACTGTCCAACTTGCAAAGAAAGATTTATTGGCAACGTTTCAGTACTAGACCTTCATCAGGCAAACGTCAGGTACCTTTCTTTGCAAGGTAGACAGTGTGCAGGTGTTTCGCATAGAAATGTGTAAATATAAAAGCAATTTTGCAAAGTTTGATTGAGTTTATTTTTAATTTTTTTTTTCCTCTTGGAGAGCAGAAAGAGATCCTGTAATCACTGGCTAAACTGTGGCTGTAAAAAGCAGGGACACACATGAGGTCCATAAACACATCAACAATTTTTTTTCAGGGTGACCAAATTCTGAATCCCCAAATAGCGGACACAACTACGCAGAGCGGAGTTGCCATCAAAATTTTGAGGGTTTTTCGGGTCGGGTTGAGTTTTTTGTACGAGCTTTTAACTCAGTTAGTCCGCACTACACAAACTCAAAACTTCCATACAAATCCCAGGACATCTGAAGGATTTCATAAACTCCCCCAGACAGGCCAGACAGCCCCCCAAAAAGAGGATATGTCCAGGTAAAAGAGGATATATGGTCACCCTATTTTTTTTAACTGACATATTCATACACAACCATAATATATAACTGTAAATATTTGAATTAATCCTCCAAGACCCTTTTGTGCTTTTTATCACCTTTGAAAGGAGTTTACTTGGTGTGGCTGCAAATAAAGACTATTAGAAGAGGTTGAACTATAAGTCTACCAAAAACCTACTTAAAGCTCTTAAAGTGAGGAGTTTTTATCCGTTTGTGAGACAGTCTGAAATTAATACTGATGCCTCTTTATCGCCTTAAAAAGAAAACCAACCCATCAAAAAGCCTAGGGTTGCTCTCACTGTCTGAAACCACTAGCAGAGGTAGGTGTCACAACCAAGTGATAAACTGTAGATGGCTGACAGCCTTGTCTAGCAAGCTTATTACACATGTAAAGCTCTATCCACAGGGGGGGCGAAAAGCACCATAAAGCCAAAGTTCCTTACAGGAGCTTTAAGACACACTCAAGTTGAGAATTAACATGAGCACTTTCATTGAATTTTGTTTCAAGGATTTATGATAGTCTGTTTACAAATGTGTCATGTCAGTGACTGACGTACAGGGATATGTTTGGCTGGCAAGTTAAGTGCAACTGTGTTGGTACTGACACTCTGAAAGGGTTTGTTACACTCTAAGCTAACAAATATCACGGAGTGATATCTAGTCAAATATCACTCTGTTAAATGTGAAAGTTTATCAGTCAAATTATTACTTTTTGAAAAAATTACAGAACACCACGAGTTCATTCTAAAAATATATGAGTGCAAATTCTGATACTCTGTTTATTTTAAAAACATTAGTCACATTTTAATTCTCACCTGCTACAGTTTTCCACAATAATAGAAACAACCAACTACAAAATTAAAATGGCAACTAAAAATGGTCACTATAAACACAGACATCTTGGTTGAAAATGTTAATCTGGAATAGAGGAAAGGTTTAGCCACATATCTCGACATACTTTCTTAGGTTAGTCTGTGAATTTTTGTAGACTGTTATGAAGTGTGTAGTAATTTGAATGAACCATTTAAAAACCATATGTATCCTTCCTAATTTCAAACATGGGCTTCAAACATGGCCGTGGGATATCAGGATGAGAATCGCCATCCCATCCCTCTCTCCTGTAGTCATCTTTATGACCACCGCATGAACTGCCTGATCTGAGTTGTGTTTGTTCTGTTTTTAACTGTAAAGGTACTCGATGATCAGCTACGGCAATACGACTCAGACAAACCACACTCAGAACTACATGAACACAGTTTTTTTTTTTTAATCACATTTTTGAAAAGAAAGGAAAATTTATCAGGTGACTTCAGAGAAAAAGTAGAAGTAGAAAAAGTATTCACAAAGTACAGTGAGTGGATAGTATAAATTTGTCTTACAAATGTAGTGAAGAAAAAGTATAAGTTTTCCACAAAATAATACTCAAATAAATTCCATGCAGATTCACAGAAAATGCGTAAATGTACAGTACTTAAGTGAATTTACTTCATTGCTGCACTGTCACTGATGTCAGAGAAAGAGGTAAATAAAACATATCTGAAAACACATCTTATACCTCTTTCTGTGAATTATACTATGCCTTCAGTTATTATTGTATTCATCTTGTATAGAGTACTTTAACTCATACATATCATCTACTTGTGCTACTGTTTATCCTAGACAAAAAAACTCTACTCTGCAAGTAACTGCCTTTGGCCCTTGATGAACTTGGTAGTCTCTCTAGAATAACTAATACAACTCAATCTGTTCTGCATCATATCCTGCTCGCCAAATGAATTAATTACAATCTTGTGAAGAGGGAGAAATGAACACAAGCTTGCAGTGATATCCAAATGATTACAATCAGCAAAAAGCTGAGTTTAACAATCTTAATCACCACCTTGACTTTCTTTCTCTCCCCATTTTCTAAAATCTTCAAATACTGAAGTGCACCTCAGCATTTCATCTGCTTCCTCGTTTTCCTGACTACAGAGACAGCAGGCGCTCAGTATCTGACTCATGGAGGACAGCAGGGGATCTCCAAGAAAAGGTATGATTTCGAAATACATATTTTTCTGTAACAGCCAAAGGTTAAATGAGGTGACAGTACAGTGAAATCAGAGAGGAGAGACACAGAGGGGCAACAAAACCCAGCAACAGACTCATCAAATCTCTACCTCTTCAAGCTTGTGATTAGTCTTTAGCAAAACTGTCACAGAGAGGTCAACAACCTAACTATTCACAGAACTTAGTGAATTTTACAGATACACGTTATTTTAATATCACGTTTGAAAAGTCCAAGAAAAAAAACATGAATATTTTATTAATTAAACCCTCGAGTGTTGGTGTGTTTGTTGTTGCTGCTGTTTTTTTCTCCAAAACTAGGGATTAGCTCATAACGTGTCCTTGTATCTGAGTTCACTGATGACATTAGAACTGAAAACAAACCCTGAACCAGATTAACCTCATTGCATGGCCTCTTGAAGACATCCAGACCTCTTTGAAGACAGTTTTTGCAGATCCAAAAACAGGAAATAGAGAAGTCTATCTGTCCAGAGTCCTGGCACCTCTACATTTATACCTGTAGAGAATTAAAGTATTAAAATGATCAGGTAAAAAAAATGCTTTCATGTGCCGCTTTAAATTAGATATGAGCTACATATTATTTTGGCATTTTGGCCAACAATACCACATCACACAGTTCAGTCTAACACAGCTGAAGCTTGTGCTAAAAAGGTGTAGATAAATAAATACTTTGCACTGAAAATCTAAACTTACCATTACTGTTTGAAGAGGCAGAATTCATGGCAGGGTGAAAATAAACATGAGTGACATGGACATCTATAAACATATGTCATATTACTGTACAAGAGTACCCCAGTAAAAGGACTGGTGAGTGCTTGTCTTTCACCAAATGTCCAAAATGAAATCACTTACATAAGTATACATGTCTACCAAAAGTTTTTTAATTTAATACAAAATCGGCAACTGTTGTTAAACAAGTATGTAGTGTACTTGAAAAGAGAAAATGTACAGGAGGATACTGTTGCCATGATAACCATAAATGTGATCCTCAGTTTGCCAAGTTATAACTATCACAGTCATTTATCAGTACCATTTCTTCTTGCGCAAAACAACAACCACACTCTTCTTGTCTGTCTTGTTTTCTAACATATGCATGTTACCATTCACTAAATGCATAACAGTGTATGGCATTTGCTAGGTTGTCCAGCTTCTGCTTCAACAAGATTGTCAGTGCAAGACGGCAGCCTCTGTGGAAGGGACCCACTCCTACATCATAAAAGGCTTATTCAGAATGAACACAAAGAAAATCATTTTTATGTTTAGGTGGTCATACTCTAAATTAACTTACCAGTATTATTTCTACCAAGTCTGCTCTGCTAAATAAATAGTAAATCTTTAAGGAAAGCACACAATAATTAATTTTATTCTATATTTAATTCATCATTTGCAGGAGGAAAAAAATGCCTCCTCTAGCATTGCTTGTTTCCATCTGTTATTTTATTGTAGACTTCATAAAATTGAGTAGTTGGATGCGAGTCACACATAATGAAATGACGGTATTCCTTTCACTTATTTATCACAGTTATGTTTCAAAAAGACTTTTAACCACATAGACTACAATACTGTTGAATTACCATTATATTACTGTACTATATTACATTCACAGGAGTGTTCTGAAGACACATTTTTATCCACTGGAGGGGCACCTGAAATAGTTTTTTAATTCACATTTTCCACATAAGGAACACTAGAAAGGGCATTTTTATTATTTTTGAAATCTTTTTTTTCTTTTTTAGTTTTAGACTGTACAAGATCTACGTGGTACATACTCATCTTTACTAGAATTTATACTGTTTGGTTTCTGTATACGTCAGACTACAAATACAGCACTGAGTCCTGCCACATCCAGAAATACTCAGATGACACAGCTGTTGTGGCATGAATCAGAAATGGACAAGAAGCTGATTACAGAGATCTAATAAGAGCCTTCAGTGACTGGAGTCACAAAAACTGCCTCCTCCTCAACACCTCAAAGACAAAGGAGATGGTCATAGACTTCCGTAGATCCAAACCCCCTCTACAGCCAGTGAACACCTGTGGAGTGGACATCGAAGTGGGGACATCATATAAATACCTAGGTGTACATCTGGATCATAAGTTAGATTGCTCTAAGAATATAGAATAGAGACTAATATAAACTACATCTACAGAAAGGGGCGCCTCTTTTGCCTGAGAAGACTCCGATCAATAGACATCTGTAGTAAGATGTTGCAGATGTTTTATCAGTCTGTGGTGGCAAGTGTTCTGTTCTACACTGCAGTCGGATGGGGAGGAGGCATCAAACACAAAGATGCAAGACGTCTGAACAAACTGGTGAAAAAGGCTGGCTCTGTGGTAGGACTCAAGCTGGACTCAGTGGAGGATGTGGTGGAGAGATCTACACTGAGGAAGATGGAGACTGTTCTCAAGAACATGGATCACCCACTTCACAACACCTTGATGGACCAAAGGGCCAATGGTGGTGGACAGCTCCTCTCTCTTCGCTGCAGGACAGAAAGATTCAGAAGATCTTTTGTACCAACAGCCATGAGGCTTTATAACTCTTATGTAAATAGTAGATAACGGTTAGAGACATATTTTGTGAGACAACAGACGATTGAATTTCCCTTCGGGGATTAATAAAATTATTCTTATTTCTTGTTCTAATTCTATCCACTTGTGAATGTAAAGCAAGTGTTAATTCATGACAAAACAGCAGGGGGAGCTCCTTTACTATGGCAGGAATTACCTACTTACGGTCCGACTAGTCCGACTCATAACATTTGCGTGAAGCAAAACATTAGATGTGAGCGTGAAGAATGTTAAATGCATGTGTCATCAGTTACGTGGTCATGCTGTAAAGCGTAAAACACATAAACTGATGGAAGTAGTTGAATTCTCGTGACGCACATGCGCGCACGGTCACTTCTATGCAGCGCTTGGAAAGAGATTTGTTTCTAAATCTAACCAGATTTAAAAGTTTACGGTGCCAATCCACATCGTTTCCATTGGAGCACTAGATCAAACCTAAAGCAAAAGTCGAATGGAGACTGTTCAACCTTGTTAGTCCAATCAAATGTAACTAATCAGATAATATAGTTATTTTCTTTTCCCTGCTTTTAGTATCCACTAGTCTGTAGCCTTGAGGCTTGGAGCTGTTTTAAAAAGTTTCCACGAGGCCCCGTTAAACATCCACAACATATAATTTTTCAGGCGGACAACTTTGCTCTCTTCATCCATCTGGGCTATTTAAAGTGAAGGAAGGTAAATCTTTGGTTCTCAGCCTACACAACTCCTCGAGCACAGTCTGAACCAATGGCAGGACGAGTTGAACTGTTTTAGCCAATAGGAGAGTAGAGTGAGTCCGCACTCCGCTGGAAGACGACGACGATCATGGAACGGAGTAGAGTCCTCCTCGTTTTAACAAACTTTTAACGGTTCGATAAAGGAAAAGCGGTAAGTGAAATAGTGAATAAATTCAGTTTTGCTACATGTAGACACTTCTGTTTGATTTCACTCTTGGAGAGGGAGCCCGTTTTAAAAGTTTTGGTAATTCGGTTTGCTCGTCGGTGAACCAGTTTCACTGGCTGAAAACGAAAATAAATCTTCACTATAGCAGTTAAATTAGTTTTTGCAGTCGGGGGGAATTTCGTGGTTGTTTCTCGCTATAAAATCCCCCTCAACCGCAACACGTATCGCCTGCTGACCCATTTAGGCCCACATGCAACGTGACGTTCCGCTCTTAAACGCAGCCTCGGTTAGCCGTCGTTTCTTGGACTTGTTGGACGTGGTTTTATGGAGTAGGCTGCCGACTACACTTGTTGAATGCTAATACCAGGGCAATATAATCTGAGTTGTAAGTGAGTGTGTGTGAGCATCACATATCTATAAACTTGTTAGTTTTCGTAATGAAACATGTCAAACCAGGCATCTCAACCAAGAATAGTTTTTATATGAAACATGCAAACCTTATACTGAACTAGGCTCCATTTTCACTCAATCCACAAAAAACTTTTTCTCTCGAAAGTTGCCTCAAAATTTGAAACTTTGTTTTAACATCTACTATGTTGTGCATTTTCCCTAATTCCAAATATGGTTTCTGTCGTTCTCCCTGTAGGATTGAGGAGGGGAAGCTGTTGCTCCGAGCAGGAATGGGGGAGATTGAGGGTTCATACCGGGTCCTGCAGACCCCAGGCACAAGGCTGGGTGCTCAGTTCAACGCCGGCATCAGCACTTTGGAACCCGGCCAGAGCCTCAGTGGCAATATGGTCAAAAGCCACGGGCGAGGACTACAGATCCGCGTGCAGGGGTTGGACGACTCTCTGGAGTTCTTTGATGTAGACGTGAGTTTCTCCTCCAGCCATTCTCTTACATCTTTATTTCAGTTGCTATAAGTCTGCTATTTGTGAAACAGCAGGTTGCATCTTTCCTTATAACAGTCCAAGCCTTGATTGCGTGTGGCTGGGGTTTGTGACATCTGCCACATGGCTTTGGTGCTGAAATCCCTTCCTCCTTAATGCTAATCATTTGGGCATCTTAGTCTAACACACCAGGACACTTTATAGCTCCTTGGCTGTGATCTACATTTTCAGTTTATGGTTCTGGAAGTAGTTGTTGTTACTGTCCTCACTGTTCCTCAGAAATAAGTGACAAAGAAGTAAAAATATTGCTGACAGGACTCAAGAGCTTGAGCTTGAATGAAGTTAGTTTCAAGTCTGCATGTCCTATTGACACACAGACACTTTATTTTGAAGAGCTAGACTCCATCTATTCATGTCTAGGATAAGTAAATATGCAAATTACTGCATGCAAAGACTTGTTTTGATGGGTTGGGTGCCTGAGTAATGTTTTCATTGATCCCAAATGAAACCATTAGTTAAAATGATTCAAAGTATATTGTAAAAGCAGTTCCAGTACATGTGCAAATTTTAGTGACATTTCAAAAAAATAAGATATAACTGAACTTGAGTGGAATATCCCAGAATGAGAGCTGCTGTTTGTTGATTTAATTGTAATTACTGGACTGGAAAGTTAATCCCGTTTGCAAACTGGCAGCTGGTTTGAACAAACTTCAGATCCATGCTGTAACAGTGCTCCCCCGTGTTTACTTGCCAAGTTGCTGCTGTGGGAGTCACTCAGACGGCAAATAGGAAGCAATAAGGAAGCCTCTCTATCAGAGCAAATTTCCTGTCTTTTCTCTTCGAGGACACATATCAAAGTGATCAAAGGAGAGCTTTAAAAGGGAAAAACCAAAAAGTTGATGACTTATCAATGTGGAGTTATTGCTTTTAATATCATTTGACTTTCACAGATTTCAAATTCTGTTGGAAAAGTGTATGGTTGTGTAGAACCATCCTGTCCTAAATCCTTTGGTAGCCACAACAGAAACCCCTCTGGCAGATGTAGTGCAGGGCCACTGCTGAGACAGACATTTCATAATCTTATGCACCATATGTTTGAGACTTTGTCTCCAAGTCTTAAGCTAATACAATGTGACAAACACAAGCTGAATTTGTATTGAAGTGATAGAAGGTCCACGTACAGCTCAGGGGACATATCAAAACTTTTCTGTCAGTTTTTGGAAGATATTCAGCTGTACATGCTGGGCGACCCTGAACTTGGACTGCAGGATTCATAGTAAGCCCTTGGACATGGCGTTGAGAGGGGCTGGCAGACTGAAATACATAGCTGCTGCAAAAGGGGAATGACGGCAATCCTGTTGTCAAGCAGACTGCACTTTTGTCAGGAACAAGATGGCCTCTGAGAGGCTCTGTTGTCCCCTACTGCACAACATTGCTTTATATTTCTGTTCATTCATTCTTTATTGGGAGTGGTGGGCTGGGGGAAGAATAGTGCTTATGTCTGTGTCTAGAGCGGCTGCAGGGCTGAACATCTGCTACATGACATGTTAAATTTGTCACTGGAAGAGCTGGCAGTCCCAAAGGTTAAAATGTTTGTGTGACCATGGTAACTTTTTATTTAAGGTTTAGGGGAAGCATACATTTAATATTTTTTAATTTTACTGACCACAGCTTTATCAGGAGTACATGGTAGTGAGCAGATTTTAAGTTTTAACGTCTATCAAACCAAATTCTTCTTTAGACTTTATTCTATACCATTAGTGGAACATGAGGTTCATGTAACTAATCAAAGATTGACCTCAGGCGCTATAAGGTTATCCCTTGAACCTCAACAAGTCCAGTTGCTCTTTCAACAAAGAACTGGAGAATCATGACCTGGATGAATGAGAACTTACAAAGACACTGCTTTTTGTCATTACTTTAAATGGAGAAGAAAAAAGCTGCATAACTTTTCCTACTATATAATTTCAGTATTTCTCATGTATACTGTCTGCTAAAATAGATACTAAATTGCAGTGGTAAGCGTTTTAAATAGTTGTGGCCTTCAGGCAAATTGCCTTCCCGCGTTGTGGCATTTTGGTTGCTCAGCTGCTCAAATACCTTTTTGTATACAGACTGTATCATCTGCAGACACTGCAATGAGCTCTTCGTTTTGATCGTCTGAACATCATGAACAGTGCTTCTGTGCATATTTAATCGGTAAATCACACAGAAGAATGAAGGCAACTCAAAGACAATGATCTTTTTAGAGACAGTTCAGTCCCTGCTAGAGTTTGAGATGAAAAAAAAACTCAGACCCTCCTGCTTTTCTGAATTTAGATGTGTGAAAACATTTCGCCTTCTGTGTGAGGCACAGTGGTCTCACGGGGATATAAAATGTCTTAGTTTTCATGCACAAAAAACCTGCTCTTTTGGTCCTCACTCTCAAACAGACTTATTCTACTTAGCTGTCTACATGGATGATGGAATAAATATTCCACTAAAACTCCTGTTTACATGCAGACCTACATGCTGTGATTAACCTCTGCCTAGCAGACTGTGTGAAGTCGGTTTGTTTACAACACATAAAGCTGACAGTAATCAGACAAGAAGCCGTGTGTCACAAACTGCTGCTAAAACCCAGACTGAGAGATATCTTCTGAATGTGCTGTACAGATGTTCAAAGAATGTCCTCAAACCTGAATTATAGCAGGATGTCCTGCATTTTTATACATAAAAAGCTACATTTATTAAGACCTTATTCAGATGTGAAACAGAGTAAATCCTTTAGTTTCACATTTTTGTGTTTTGCTTATTGAAGTTGATACAGTACTTGGAGTGATATTGAAAACAAATCCTGTGCTTGGAGTCTCTTGAAATCCCTTGACATAAAGCACAGACTCTCTCTTGTTTAAATCTGCTTTCTTTACACAAGTTAACATCACTCAGTCCTGGCTTTGACATGCCCTCGACTTATGCAAGCTAATACATTACAGAGCTTATCTGATGATAATACAAAACATAATGCACATATGGTGGGATTGAATATGTGTATTTATAGTCATGTAATGTCTTTAGTCTGGAACTAAAGCAGACAAATTAGATCACATCACTTGTGCTTTGATCTGTGGCCTTCATCTGCTGCAGGTACCCAGCATGGTCATCATCAGCAGACATTTGCTTGCATGGCTCTTGTCCACAGGCCCCTCCCACAGCCAGCACAGGAGAAAGCTCAGCCTTGTGGTTTCTGGACAGAGAGGCAGGGCCGGCAGGGCAGGAGAAACACAGACTCCTTTTATCCAGCACAGCCAGGAAGGCCCCTTAGCTGGCCTTAACTTACAGCTCCAAAACTTGCAAAGAAGCACGAGAGTGGGATGTGGAACCTAGCAGTGTGAAAATGCAGGAGGGGGGGTTACTTTGGTGTTAGCAAACAGGCACATAAATAGCAAGGTTGACAACCAAGTGGGTTGGGGGGGACGGTGGGGCAGCCTCTGGTGTTAAAAGAGCAGTTCGGAGAGAGCAGTCATGGCCAGTGCAAAGTTTGAGCTGGAGTGGTGGGGGGAGGGGACACACTCACTCAGGAGTGAAGCCCGGCTGAAAGTGAGGAATTTCACCCACTGCTGGCCTGCAGCAGAAATCCCTATCAGATACTATCAGCTTTAAGTGGTGAAACTAGTTAAATTGAACAGTTCAAATGCTTTTTATATTTACCTTAGGATGTAGACAGTAGAAACTGATAATTTAGGATCAAGTCTTTCCAAAAATCAAAGCTCTACAGTATTTACAGTATTCTGTACTCTACTCTACTCTACAGTATTAATGTTGTGGTGTGAAGGCAAAAATTGCAGTCATTTTTCTAAAAGCCCTCTTCTTGAATTTACTTTCTCTTGCACTGCAATATAGAATCTGTGCAAGAGAAAGTAAGTTCAATAAAAGCAACGTGTCCTTATATTTTATTGTAAAGATTTTTCTTTCTCACTTAGTCGTTTTCATGTCTGAACACCCGATTGATATCAAGTCTTTTACATTATGCAACTTGTTACTTAGATTCAATCACTGGTTCTGATTAGCTTACTGCTTAGAATAACCACAATCCAAATTCTGTTGAAACAGCAGTGACCAGATAAAAACTGCTTTGTGGAAGTCAGAATTTTACAATTGTAGTGATCAGTCTTTTTTTTATTTTGCCCTTATTAAGATTAGAGATTGTTATCCTCAGTTTTTCATTAAATGCTATTAACCTTGCCGTGATATTTAAATAAAACTTATGGCATCAGTCCTGGTAAAACTGGACCTTAAAAATAGATGTTAACATGCCCATGATCTGAAATCTTCAAAGTTGAAGTAGTCCCAAAGTCGAAAGTTGAAAGTCGGCCCAAACTGGCCAAAGAGTTCTACACATGCTTTATTGTTTTCATACTGGACTTTGTCTTGGACATTAAACAAAGTGTTGAGGGAGGCCCACATTGTTCTCAGTCCTTGGATTTCTCCACAAGCTTGAGAGCTAGCATTCATGTCATTTGTATCAAAAGAAGAGCATAGAGCACTTCGAAAAGGTACAGAGCTGTGAAGTACTGTTTAACAGCTTATTTGTTGAATGTTTTGGTATGTGACATTATAGGTCAGCCTGAAGAAGATCCATTACGAATCTATCACTGAAACCACAGAAATGAAGTGGGCATACTCTTGATAATAAATGCCTGATGCATGTGTACTGGGACAAGGACAGTAGTCCAGTTATGTCAGCAAACTGAGCTCTAAGTGTAAATTAACCAACTTAACTGTAAACACACTGCAAGACAAAATCATATGCGGCTAATCAATTATGAGTCATTTTAACTACTGGATCATTATGTGACATTTATCGGAGTTGAGTTGAGCTGAACTTACTTGAATCCAATCTGACAAAAAAAGTCTATGTGTGAAATTCTTCTCTTTCCTTGTGCAAGCCGATCCTATTTGTAGTGCAAGTACTGTATATTAAGTCAGGATTACTTTACAAAGCATTATGTGATCATTTTAAGGGTCTGAAGCCCCCACAAGAAAACTGCACTGAATGTGACATTTAAGCAGGTTTTCTGACGCACTGGCACTTTTGTGACGATTTTGTTTTTGATCTAACAGTATGAGTTTTAAGATATCTGTGGACTCTTGTACAGCAGAGCCTTACTTCTGAGGGGTGAGGATATTCATAAATTTGACACTGTCAAATGTTTATAAAATTCTATTGAGTGCTTTTCTTGTTTTTAAGCACTAAGTTATGATAAAGGACCACTGAGCACTCATCTGTCATCCTTAAGACTGTGTACTTGTACTGGAGAACCGAAACAATCTGGTGTCTCATGTAGCATCTTTTAAACATACTGTGCTCTCTACTTCAAAAATCTTTCCTTTTTTGGTCCTCTTTTTTTCTTCTGGGAGAAAATGCCAGCTACTTAGTGAAGTCCTATGTGGTGTGATTTTTGATATGTGCATAGAGCTGTGCAGTGAAGTATCTGGGTTACACAGGCTATCTGAACAGAAGGCACACCTGATCCTGATTACCGCCATGTCGTGTTTATCTGCCAACAAATACTCTCCGGCCAACTGTGCACAAAAGTAGCCAGGTAGTAAAGAGGACTCGGCACTGGTTAAATGAAACTGATGTATTGTAAGAATAATGTCGAGAAAGGCTTCAAAGACCTGTTGATCTTTTGAAATGTCTCCTCACACTCTTGTGAAAGTGGCTTTAAAATGTTTGTCAGTGGGAAATCTCCTGTTTGCAAAGCCTAAACAATGTACATCCCACTGTGCCACATACAAGCCCCAACACACCCCTGCTGTCAATGGGAGTCTCTCCTCGAGCTCAGTGCCATTCACGAGTTGCTGGGGAGTATCAACTGCAAATCATGCTTAACCTGTCAAGCGAGGTGTACACCCAATCCCTGGATTTAAATTAGAGAGGATATTTGGGTTACCTGTTTTGTTTTTTTCTGTCTTAGTTTGCTGGGCATGGGAAGGTCCTCCCTCTGAGCTGGCAGCTTTCTGAACCCTGCCTTTGTCTGCCCCCTCCCTTTCTCTCCTCCTTTCACACTCACAGGGGAAGATTTGTCTCCCAGAGAAACATCTGTTTGTCATAATCCCTCCTGCTTTGGGAGCATGATTGGGTGACCCACTGACCTGCCTTAATGTTAGAGCTCAGAGATGAGACTGTGGTCCACTCCGCTAGTTGGGTGTGAACAAACAGCTCAGGATCATGTCACTGTCACAACACAGATATGCTTCAACTGAGAATGCCAGACAGGCTTTTAGGTAGCTGAGCAGTGAGGATTGGTGACGCATCTATTTGCATGGCAGTTTGGATTTTAATAGACCAAAAAGTTGTTGCTCTTTCCTATGGTTTTACTCATTCCTTTTCTCATATATAATCCCCCCTTTTTACATGTTTATCACTATTATTTAATGTATAGATGAAAAGAATATGAGAAGAGTGGTTTCTCAGAAAGCATATCCTCCTGTGTGGACTGTAACTGCAGGCTCAGATCAGCAGCTTTAGTGTTTGTGACTTATCAGTCTTGTTGGAAAATTCCAAATAAACATCATTCTTGTTATGAAATTAAGGGTTCATCGTCTAGTTGTACTTTTTGTGTTGCTGCTGTCTGGAAAGTGTGGTCACCCACTCCCTGATTGTGGGTGACTAAGCTCAGTGTCCCAGAGGACGGTCCTACCCTCCCTTCAGACTTGATTGCTGTGGACCGAGTTCAACATTCCTGCAGAGGGTTAATGAGTAACACAGAGGAGGGGCTTCTGAAAGCAGCACACTTAGTTTGCTCATGAGTTGTCTCCTGAAGAAAAAATGTGTTAACACCTCAGTCTAATCTGCTATCAGCTTTTTTTTTCTTCTAAAACAGACTCCCTTACTGATAAGTTTTCACCGCTTAGTTAGAAAATAGCCAGATGATAGGAAAGTGTATGAAATTTACTTTTTTTTAGACCTTACTTTTACATAAGGGCTGAGACAAACAAAGAAACCAGACACAATTCTCTTTATATATTTGATAGAAGTGCTGGAAAACCCTGCTAACAGAGCTGCTGCTAACTGAGGCTCAGACTGTAAACTATGATCCCTTTACCGGTTTCCAAGGTTCCAACTTAAAACTAAACTATCTACAGAGGGTTCTTAATCTGAAAAGTTTCTAATCCTCTAAAGCCTTCTGTGAAACTTTGCCATTAGAGCACCAGTATAAGTCTTGTGTTTCATACTGGTTTGTTACGCAGGTATGCATTTCCCACTCATTTTAATTAAAACAATCAGCAATGAGCATGTAAGACCCTGAAGACTGTTCAGTCCACCTTTTGCAGGTGAGGGGAAACTCTCTTTTAGACTTAAGTACTTTTACACTTTCATCTTCCCTCTATTGTCTGTGGTATTTTGTCTGATGATATATCGTATCGTCTCATTGACCAAGTATCAATTTTTTTTTATTATTAATTGTTAATATGAAGTCAAATCTATGATAATGGAAAATTAAAATCAACTGTTTGTCCAGCGAGGTTGGCAGAGGTGACATAATAGAGCAGGAGAAAGTTAGTACAACAAATATAACAGCACCTGGGGAAAGACATCAGGAATGCAAGCAGGGCACTAATGAGATGGATCTGACATATAAGGTTTGCAAGAAGTGCTGCATGAAAATAAAATGCTGTGTAAATAAGACAAGCATGAAGGTTAGACAAATGCTAAATTAACTAAACAGTTGAAAAAATTATATAAATCACAGTTTATGGTATGGCAATACTCACTGCATTGCAAAATGTTAAAAACCGTAATAATATCGTATCGTGGCCAAAGTATCATGATAATAGCGTATCGTGGGGCCACTAGGGATTCCCACCCCTAATGTTTCTTGGCTTTGTCCATTGCATTTATCAATGGTTATTTGTCTGCTGTTTACATTACCCTTATTCATGTCATTAGTACCACTGCATCAAACATTGATGACATGGGCAGGAAAACTTACATTTTCTTTCAGTTAAGTAAATTTGCTTTGGTGGGTCAATATTCATATCACACAATTTAGGACAACAAGACATTGTCATCTTCTTTTTAAATTTTATTTTCCATACCTTTAACAGGTCACTGAGGGGGTCTGAGAGCGGAGCTGCTCTACTTCTTTTTCAGTGTTCACAAGTTTAGAATAGGAGACAAATAACTCTGAACTATCTATTCAAAACAAAACTTTGAGTAATTAAGAGCCAAGATCAGAGGATTAAATCTATGTTGCCACTAAACAGCTGTGTGCTGAGCTGTGGTTAAATTTAAATGTGGTTTTGCTCTAATAACTTTGTTTATAAAGCAGACATTGGTTCTGACTCCCCTGGGCTCATTATGTGAGCTCAGTATGTGTGAACTGAAACTGAATACTTCAGAATGTCTCATATATTCTGATGCTAACGTATGGCTTTAAGAAACTGAGTCTGTCTGGACTGTATGTTTGGCCTGCACTCATACACAACCCAGAGAAAGTATTTTAACACACAGCATTTTTATTCTTGGGTTGAGATCAGCTGTAATCAGATCCTGTAACTGCATGGAAAAAGAGGCATTTTACAGCAGATTCCTACATTTATGGATGTTGTGCCTGTAAGTTTCACCTGCAATTGAATAGACTGTGTGAATGCCGAACCTGTGATTGTATCAAAGTAATGAAAGACTTAAATACTGTAAATCTCCTGGTGCTCTTTGAGTTTTGATGCAAAGCAGCTCTTTTTATAAGGCTTTTAAAAATACTATTTCACATTACAACCAGATGTTTTAGGCTATAATTTTCTCAAAAAGTCTCAGGCTGGGATTCAAAACCTCAAGTGCAGTGTGTTCTTAGTACATAGTAATTAGTTCTTCGTTTAGTGAAAACAAACCCCAGAGCGTTGAGAAGGTAAACTTGAGCACATTTCCTGCTTGTGATTTTGCTGCACTCTGGTTCAGAGCCAGTTAAGAGTAAATGTGTAACAGTAGGACACTTCTCCAGTGGACTTGCACATCCGAGTAGAGGAAACTATTTTAACTGACAGAACATTTGCAGACATGGAACACGTAACGCAGCGGATCATTTACAGATGCCAAATAGTTTCTGCACCACAAGGGCAGGCAGACAGAGTTTACTCTCTGCTCGGTTTCAGCACAAACACGGCCTTCCTCACCTCGGCCTCAGCTACATTTGTTTTTGCAGTGATCTCACCTATATTGTTCTTCCAAGTTTTTCCAATTTCTCTTTTCATTTAGATTATGAGATGTATCATCCCTGGACATTAAAGACCCCTGTGTTGACACAGTCATGAAAATAACAGCTCCCTTCTCTCTGTTGTTGTTTTTTCTTTCAGTCCAAAGCTCTTGGACAGGCCCTCCTCTCTGAGGTTTTCCTGCGAGGCAACCTCATAGAGAGTGATTACTTTGGCCTCGAGTTTCAGAACATGCAGATGAACTGGGTAAGTACACTGGCAACCTGGTTTTGTTTGTGACAAACAATTCAGGTACTTGATTGTGCATCATTTTAAGTAAACACAAGACAGAGTTCAAAGGTCACAGCTTGATGACTTGTCTCAGTCACAATATCAACTTCTCTAAAGTTTCTCAACAGTGATGTTCAAATGTTTTTTCTGGACCTGAGCTGCACAAAACCCAGAAATATTCAAACTTCTTTGGCACAAGCACTCATACTCTAAATGTCAGACTTTCCATTGTTGTGTCCTTTTTAAATAGACTTCAAGACCACCTACAAGTCCTCTTTAAGGAAACCGATAAGATCCGCGAGGCACACTGACACTCTACATCTTCACCAAAGAGACAGGGGACAATTTGTGGCTCATATATTCAACAGTGAGAACTTTAAAAAGTCATTTTGTATATAAACAGTGGAGCAGTAAGAGATTTTCACATTACAAGGAACAAGCACTCTGTTTAAAGCTCAGCCCTGCTGCAACCACAACTATAAAGAGCTAAAAGCCTCAAGCCAACAAGTTTAATGATGTTCTGGGTCAAAGTTCGACCTGTTTCCACTTTGGCAGCCCTCCTTTTCTTAATGAACCCTTTCCACACACAATGCTAGTGGAGTGAGTCCAACAAGAAAATTGTAGCATTGTAACAGTTAAAAGCTTAGTTTGAAGCCTTTGAAAATGGACCTCCTGAGGCACTGTGCAGATCTGTGTGTCATAAGTAAAACATCAATGTCAGTCTTCATTCTTTTTGCAGCTAGAATATTTCTGTAGTGTTGTTACATTGGTAAGCAGGGATGTGACTCTTCTGGATTTATCCTCATTTGTGAATCATGACATTGAAGGACTTACAGCAAAAGAAAAATAATAATAACCAAATAGTAAAATAAAGAAACTCTCAAGAGGAGACAATAACATGCTTATTATTCGTAAGTAATCTTGCTGATGTTTGTGATTAACTTAGCTGGTTGTTGTGAGATTAACAGTGACAAGCTGTGGTGGCTGCTTGGGTTTATTTGTAAGACTATTTACTATTTACTTCAGAGTCTTGGTGCGTTTCCTCTAAGGGGATCTTATTTGGTTGGGCATGGTACACAATTACTTAAAGGGCTGAACCATTTTGGAAAATAAACGAACTACTGTTTTTTTTTCTTCAATATTGCAATTGTGATTTAATATACGATTATTATTTTCAAAATCCTCTTTTTTCAGCAAACACAAACAATAAATCAATCTGTACGACAGTAAGCAATATCAGATTAATTTTACAAAAAAATTCTCTCTGGCAATTATCATTTCACACACACACACACAGGCTCTCTCTGCTATAGCGCACACATATGCATGCACCATCATAAACATCATGATACTAATCTACGTATCAATGACGAGATGTAATGGCTGCCTAAAACACTGGAGTCATGTTGATTCATTCAGCTGTGCTGTCATCACCGTATTGGATGCGTTTTCCGTTGTTACGCGGACATGGTTTCAAGTTGAAGTGCTGATCGCTGGTGTTTTAACCATTCGACTATCATCCGGGCTTTGTTGTGTTTTTTTAAGTGTTGATAAAGGTTTGTAGTGTTACCTCCTGAGGTAGCAACAGTAGCACGACAGGTTCTGCACACTTTGCGCTGCAGCATCTTTTTTTCCCGAAAGAAATCCATACAACTGCTGTGCTGCTCCTCTTTGGTACTAAATTTTTTGCAGTTTCAGCTTCTGTAGCTGAATTAGGCCAGAGTGCAACAGAGACTTGAGCTCTCTTTACCTGCTCAGCTTTGCTCCACTTGGTCGCAAGTCATGTGACCAGCCAAAATCGCAGCCTTTGGAGTTAGAAAATTGCGTTCTATCATATTATGTTGTAATAGCAAATGCAGTTAATCGTTCAGCCCTAATTACTTCCATTTTTATTGGCAAAAGTTGGGAAAGGTGCCATTATAAACCAGTCTACTTCTTGTGGGGAGACCAAGCACAGTGATCTGACCCTAAAGTATAGAGATTGAGAAGAAGGAAGAGGGAGGAGGAAACATCATCATACTTAACTCTGTCTTTCCTAACCAGATTCTATTGGATCAGTGTCTAATAAATTGGTCAGCACAGCTTTCAAAAAGTGATCATGATTAATGATGAACACGGTTGATGGAAAACTTAACAGATGGAGGGTTATACTTTTGTAGCTCAACAGCTATTTTTCCCTAAAGGCCACCGTAGCAAGGAAGAGTTTCAGTCTAGAATCTGACCTCTAGATATTACTTAAATGTTTTATTTCTACTCCCTGTATTTGTTAAATTACTGTTGAAATTGTTTATCAGAAGAACAGTTCTGATTTCGCTCCTGTAAAATAAATTAATCCCCCAGTTGGACTAGCTCGAACTGTTTATGACATAGAAGCACCAGTACTTGTATTTTATCTAAGTGTCCCAACACAAACTTTGAACCAAGGGAAGGATTCAGGCAAATATCATCTGATACCAGTTTCTCAATATATCTGTCTGGATCTAGTACATTCCTCCCTCAATCAAGCCCAGATGTAATAGAGCTAACAGGCTGCTTCAGTAAAGCAGTAAAGGCAGCGTCTGCCCACAACATGAACTCCCCACCATCGTTCAGACACACACTGTGTACGATCACTGTGATGTAATAGGGTCACTTCAGGATGGATTTTGTAAAATGTCATAATATGTTTATTCTCCTCAGGTTTGGCTGGAGCCCACCAAATTCATTGTGAAACAAGTGAGAAGTAAGTGAGCTTCAATTTTCAGTCAAATTCCTGGATGCATGAAGTTTCTGTGTTAAGGCAATACTTATCTGTTATCTTGTGTTTGTTCAGGACCAGCAAATACTCTGTTTAGGCTGTCGGTGAAATTCTTCCCTCCAGACCCCGGTCAGCTTCAGGAGGAGTACACAAGGTCAGTGACTGTAATTTCCTACTGGATATTGCTTTTATCTCATGCCCATGTCGACAGGCTTTTCTTTTTCAGAAGCCCGTGATTATGGTCTTCAAGGCATTGAAATATTTTCTTCCTTAAGATATTTATGAAATTCTTGTCGTGCTTTTCTGCAGTCAGTAAGAACTTTGTTTTCAGTGCATGCATTTACTTTTCATTTGAAACAAACTCAAAGAAACTAGAGACAAATATCAGTAGAGTTCTTTTGGAACATAACATGACATTTCCCTTTTTATACAGACGCTTTCAGTAATCCCGGATGAGATTATTTTGTGCTTTCATGGACTTTAGCAGATGGACTCTATGCCTCGCGGCATCTATGCCTTTTGATTTATGTTTTGTTTTTGTTTTTTTCTTTTACAGGTACTTATTCTCACTGCAGATGAAAAGAGATTTGATAGAGGGCAGGTTGATCTGCACGGAAAATACTGGAGCCCTGCTGGCCTCTCATCTGGTCCAGTGTAAGTTTTAACCTCTTTTCACCACAACATTGTGTTTCTCAGTAAATTGAGGAAAGCGTATTGATAAGAGTCAGAGCACAAAGCTGACCAAACAAACAGGGGGTTGGATACAAAAAATAAATTGTCACTTTATTCATCCTGGAAGTACGGAAAAGGATTAGGGCCACTGGAAAAAAAAAGGTCCAATATAAATTTTTAAATTATTTTCTGGGACTATAGTCAGAATTCTGCCTTTTTTTTCCTCAGAATGAAATATATTTTTTAATATATTTGACCTTTTTTTTTTTTTAAATCCAGTGGCCCTTTTCCCTTTCAGTTTACACTCTATTAAAATGAATGACCTCTTGAGATAAACTTAGTTTCCCAAGAGGAATATACAGTTTTTAACCTTACCTTTGCATCTGAAACACCTCATCCTACAGAAACTAACTGCAACCATTGTTGAGGAACCTCAGGATAATATTAACATAACCCAAGAGGGTCATCCTCTGTGCATGCAATAGTGAGAGAAAACAAAATATTTTCCTGCAAGGAAAATATACAGCGGCTTTCAAAAATAATATCATTCACTAAGTCTTACCTGTGTGTTTGACTTTCAGTACTTATATGCACACTTTAATCAACAAGTTGTACGAAGTATATACTATTTAAAGGAGAATAATGTTAGTGTATCTCAGAGGTTAATCCAATACTTTGACAAGAAAGATTTGGTTGGATTAAATAAAAAAAGATTGAATTGTTGAGCCTTTTATATGATCCATAAGAATGCATTGTACCCTGTTAACTATTTGTTGATTTGCTGTGCTGCAAATGCTCTCTCAAGAAGGTTAACAAGTCTCTGTTTGCCAACAGAGAATATCTTACACATTTTGCTGGAGTAAAAGTATGCAAATGTTTCCATGATTAAAATTGTTTTAGATGTGGCTTCCAGTTATGATGATGTAGCGTGTCACTGTCTTTATACCCAGGCTGGTGACACTTGGAGCTGGGCAAGAGAAAGTCTGAACATTTTCAGGTGTTCAGTGCATTTGAGAAATAGACTTTCAGCTGCATTTATTTCAGGAAAAGTGTTGTAACTCCATCTCAGTGAGCAGATGTTTGCATGTGAATGAAGAACTTAAATTATTTGGTGGATATGCTGAACATGTTCATGTACAAAGAGAAACTCAGTTTTGCTCTCTCTTGAATCACAGCGGAGATCGGAGACTATGACGATGTTGCAGACATGGAGTTCCTGAGGATGAACAAACTGTTGCCTTACCAAGAAAAGGTGGAGGAGAGGATCATGGAGCTCCACCGCAGGCACCTGTAAGTACTCACTTCTGATCTGTCTCGAAGCATGTTTCATGTAGATTAATTTGTCATGTTTTTGAGTACTACAACGCCAACTAATACTTCATTTGAGAAACAACAGGACACATGATTGCTTTGGTGTTCTGACCTCATGTTAAGCCAGCTTAGTTTGACTTGGTACACAATTCTGTTGAGGACAGGGACGGGCACGGTGTGAACTTATTCCCAGGTAAAGTTGTGATGTGGGTTAGTGTGGTTATTCTGATTACAGTGACAGGCACAAACTGACTGCTTCATAGACACACAACCACTGTGGAGCAAGACATTGACTGTAGCGGATACTAGCTGTACTGTAGCTCACTTTGTTGGATGTTGCTGGTTTACTTGAAACGTGATAATTTAGTTTTCATAAAGCAGAACATTTGGAGTGTTCGAAACTATGAGCCCAACCATCTCCCTGAGATTTTGTCCAACTGTGGTCTCAATTTCATACCCCACAAAGGCAATCACATGTGTATTACAATTTGAGGGGATTTGTAAACAGTGGCTCGTTGTCTCTGCCTCTTTTCATGTAGTTTCAAACACAAATGTTTAGTGTTTTTTATGATGAGGTAACTGAGCCCAGACAACTTTCTGTTCCTGCTAAACAACCATAATGAGAGGGTTTGTCCTGAGTTTCACAAAACCACTCACAGCACTTTTCCCACCACCGGCTTCCTTGTTAGCACAGTACCATCCTTTGGCCAACAGGGACTCTTTTCAGCCCCGAGTATAAGGCGGCTCTAAAGACCTTTCCTAATCTCTTCTCTCGGATGCCAGTGTGCAGACACAAACGGCGAGTTCCCTGGCCTAATCCCCTGCTCTGGCCGCTCTATTAGCCATAAGGCCAGTGGGACAGGGGAGGGCCCTAAGGAGATTTCACCGCTTAACGGATGAACAAAATTAGAATGTGGTGATGATTGGACGGATATGTCTTCCTAGCATGCTGTTTGGTTGTAATCACATGGTTCAAGATAACGCCTCTCAAATCCTGGAAGTTATAAGGGATTTAAGAGCACATTACTCTGCAAACGAGTCATGATTCGTTGACTCAATTCTGCAAGTCAAGCCATGCTTGGTGTTAAGTAATACATCTAAAAGAAAGGGTACAGAATAGACAAGACCCTCACTTTACTTTACCATATATTTAAAGGTGAGGGTATCATACTTTTCCACATTCACAACAAAAAACGCAAAGTTACAAAATTTAGTGTCTATACTAGATGTCTGCGAAGCTTCAAATCATGAGCTAAACATGTGTTGTCATAATCTGAGAAAATAGATGTAAACTGCTCCAATCTCAGATGTGAGATTATAGTCCATGTACGAGATTCACTATATATACATATGATGTCTATGTTGCTTCACTGGTCAACTGATTGACCATAATAGAGGGAACAGGGTCAAAACATAGAGCTCTGCCCTCAGCCGGCTTCTGGAAAGTCTCCGGAGAGGTGGCAAATCAGAAGAAAGTGGGCTTCTGCTGAGGGGGGCCTTAAAGAGACAGCAGCTACAACGAATTGTTTCAGATGTAGGCTGAAATATTTTAATACACCAGAGTGAGAAACAGGATTTTTTTAAAATCTAAAAATCATGTAAAGCTATTAAAGAGTTTCAAAATATGTATAATACCCCTGTTGTCTTTTTGTTGTTGTTATTATTATTATTATTATTATTATTATTATTATTACTACGTGAATGTATCTCTCCTAGGAGGGGTGTGACATTACCAATGATGGTGCCTTGCTGCTAGACTAAAAATTTATTGATAAATGTTTGACACTAACTTAGCTTTTTAATGTTATTCTTCCCTCCAGTTTCTTCCTTTGCTTTTCGTATTTTCTTGTATTCATCAGATTATAATGTCTGACTGAGCTGGATCATTTGATTTAACCCGAAAATGAAGGAATCCATCCAATGTATAGTGAGGCTCAGCGATAACATGAGACAAATGTCAAAACTCTGAAATACTAAAAGCAGTCATAGCATGTTTTTGAATCGCCTCATTTGCGGTCACAACCTTTACTGTACAGCTTCAGTAGAGTGGTGTGTCAAAAAACTGTACTCTTTACGACTAATGTGAGCTGGTTTTCCAAAGTGATGAATTCAACCACCTCCTCTCTAACCTTTTTGGTCTCTCTGCTTCCTCTCTGAGATATCTAACCCTCTTTTGAAAACTCAGGGTTAGCTGCTTCAGCAAAGCAGCGTTTCCTGGTGTTTTAGTGAAAGGACCATTCTCTGCTGCAGCATATTTGATTTTCAGATGTCTTTAAATTGGTGGTATTAAATTAAAGCTCTTGCTACCACCTCGACAATCATTCCCGCATATGTTGCTTTTGTTAGACTGTTGTTACCATCTAGTTCAATATTTATTCTTAGCAGTGGCAGCCCCATGGCAGTGTGGAAATATTCGAAGTATAGCTGATGATTTAGTCCGATAAAAGTACTTGATAGTACTGATAAGTCGACCGCAGAAGTGGCTAACGTTGAACCACTGCGCGTGCTGCTACTCCAAAGTGTTAATCAAGTGTTTTGTGTTTACCACAGGGGCCAGACTCCAGCTGAATCAGATTTCCAAATCCTGGAAATTGTCCGCAAACTGGAGATGTACGGTGTCCGCTTTCATCCAGCAGCCGACAGGGAAGGCACCAAAATCAATCTGGCTGTTTCTCACATGGGCCTTCAGGTTTTTCAGGTAGCTGCTCCTCTCTTACTGTCTGTCTTCTAAAGCGAGGGCCCCTAAGTCCCTAAAAATGTTGCTTGAGGCTATTTCTTTCTTGACACATTCCTTTGTCTCCCAGGGCAACACAAAGATAAACACATTCAACTGGTCCAAGATTCGCAAACTGAGCTTTAAGAGAAAGCGGTTTCTCATCAAGCTCCACCCAGAGGTTCATGTAAGTGTCTAGATTCAGACAACACTTTTGACTTGATGGGTTAGTCTCCGATTCTGTGAAGAGGACTGGTTTTACAGGGAAAGTTCTTTCACTTTATTTGTTTCCAGGGCCCCCATCAGGACACTCTGGAGTTTTTGATGGGCAGCCGAGATCAGTGTAAAATCTTTTGGAAGATCTGTGTGGAATACCACTCATTTTTCCGTTTGTTTGACCAACCCCAACCCAAATCCAAAGCTATCCTCTTCACAAGAGGCTCCTCCTTCAGATACAGGTAACACATACATAGCTGTAGAGAAATGTAACTGTTTTTTTATATAATGAACAGTGTAACTATTTAACCCCAATATGTCTTTCAGTGGAAGGACACAGAAACAACTTGTGGAGTATGTCAGGGAAAATGGAGCCAAGAGAACACCTTACCAGAGGTGTGTTTTCAGATGATTTCAGACACAGTTTTTGCTTGAGTTTTTCCTTTCATGTATTACCGTATAGATCATCATTCATAATTCAGCAATGAAATGTTTTTCTTTTTCAGGAGGAATAGCAAGATGGGGATGTCGATTCGCTCTCTTGCCACCGATGTGCCAAAACAGGTCAGCAGTGCAGCAAAGTTTGAGCACATGTGCAAAAATCAAACTGAAATCTTTATCATTTAATCTGTGATGACAAAACTCGTATTAATTCTCATCTTTTCACATCTTTTCTCTCCCTGGCTTCATTTTTCCTTGTCTTGTTTGTTTCTCAGAGTTTGTCATTCAATGACAGTCTCAGGGCCCCAGGCTCTCCATCCTCTGCTTGTGTCTCCTTTTACCCGACGCACATCTCAAGCTTCCCCCAACGCACAGAGCTACAACATCAGCCCCAGCCTTTGCCGTCGCTGAGCCAGTCTTCAGCTCCCTCTCAGCAGACTCAGAACATGAACCTGCAGCACCAGCATCAGCCACAGCAGCAGCAGCAGCTTCAGTCCACTCTGCAAGCCATCAGACCCCCCAGCCCTCCGAAGGAAGAACCCGTCAAGACCGCTTCCCCAACTCACTTCGCTTTTCAAGGTGCCCCTCAGGCAGCAGGACACTGCAGCCCCTTGTTTGTGTGTGTAGAGAGTGGCACTCCCCAATCTCAGCTCTCCAGATATGGCAATGAGGATAATGAGCATAGTGGGAGGAGGGGAACAGGGTGTTCTGTGGGAGGGGGTGCAGGGAAGAGGAAAGGGGTTTTTACACCTGAGGCTTTTGAAGCAGAGCTTCTGCGTACAAAACAGAATCCGTTGTTCTCGATGTCCAGCTCACCGCTGCACGTCACGGAGGAGTTCATCGATGATGATCCCACTGAGATCTCTTTTTATGGTGGGGGGGCAGAGGCCTTCTCTTTTGGGCTCGATGATAAAGTCAACCAGTTTGATTATGTGGTGGAGTCTGACCTTGATAAAAACAGGATGTTCAGTGTAGGCATTGAGGACCTGAATGGGAACACAAATGCATTCCCTGACAGCATAGTTGGTCATTCTGAGACCAGCTCACTGCTAAATAACCGCTCTGAGTGCAGCTCCCTGGACAACCTGGGGCTCAGCTCTGCAGGGGAGTCTATGTCTGTAGGTTATGGAGGTGCTGACTCCTCCTCTCTCCGCTTGCCTGGCTCTGACATCCAGTCAGAGGGCAGCTCCATGGTCAACTTCCCAGCATACTCTGTGCGGTCTGAGAGCAGCTCTGCTGTGCAGTTCAGTGACCTGGTAGAGCAGCTCGAGCAGCTCAGCTACCCCCCAACAGCCACTGAGGGCTCAGGGAACGGCAGCTCAGATTCAGACTCGGACTGGGGCTCTGACAGTGTCCTCCCTCCTGAGCAGAACCTGTTTTATAGTAACCCACTGACAGGAAGTAGTGGCATTGAGGGTTTCCTGCTTCAGTGCCACAACCTGCAGGCTCTGGCTCTTGCAGACCCCTCTGGATCCCCTCATATCAAAATGTAAACATATCCTCCCAACAGCGCTTGATTCTTCAGCCCCGGGCTTTCCAGGCTTTAGAAAAAAATGATGACCTTGTAATTTCTAGTGATTAGTGACTGCAGCAGAGTAATTCCCTCTTTAAAATTTTAACAACACTGCTAATGTCCAAAATACTTTCATTGTTACTCCTATTTAAACAAGAAAGCTGACAATGTGAAGACATAAAGAGCTGATTATATCACAGCTGCCTGTCTCTTATTGGACCTAAGTTCAATCAGCCTGCACTCCCATCAGCTTTAAGATGCATCTTAACAATGAACGACTGTCACTTATGAATCTACTTTATCTCAAAAATGGAATCCATGTTTTAGATTTTTGCAGCAGCACTAATCTGTTTGTTTTTTTAAGTTATTTTGCCACCTGGTACTTCCCTGCCTGTCAGGTTGTGGTACTTCTTTATTTTTACCTGCTATTGTCTTCTTATTAAGCGTTGCTCTATCAGATTTTGGCCCTGTTTGTCACAAACCTACTAACAGCATTGTTGATCATGCATTCTCTAACATTTCAAAACACAGATCATTTCATGCTCCTTTTTTTGGAAGCTTTATATCTTTTTATATCACCTTTCACCCTTTAAGTGCAGTAATGTGCACGTAAGCGTAGGAATGTCAGTGTGCTGTTTGCTAGTCATTTTAAAGCAAATTTGCTCACCTTTAGTTTTTTCACCTGGCTTTTCAACTCCAATCAAATGCAACAGACTTGGCTTATATAAAGAAATTTGTAGTTGATGTAGAGTTTTGTACAGATGACTTCATATTCTGTAATATTCCCCTTTACCATGTACTTAAATCCATACTTCTGTTAGTCACTTCTAGTCATTATTGTAGCCCTAAATTCTCATTTCTTAGATGGTACTAGTAAATGTTAATTACTTATCTCATGTCTATAATCTCAGGGTAAAAATAAAACCGAAAGTTGTCCAGGTTTAGTGATTCTCACAGGCCTCCTGTAATTAAACAAGGCCTGGAGAAGGGCCACTTTTCTGTTTGCATGTATGTGCCTCACTGACATCTGCTGGCTGGATTCAGCATTTCCTCATTTAACTTGTCTGCAGCATGTAGATAGTATCATGAGCTTTGAATGAATGATACTCGAAGGATAAAAAGATATCTATAGATATATTTCACAGACATAGACATGACTAGCATTTTAGCTTAAGCTGACGAATGTAAACAGTGTACTAATGAGCCGTTAAGTACACTTTGAACACCACTTATAATCAAATGAATGTTTAAACTGAACTGTGTGCCATGCTTTGTTCTGCTGTGGCAAGCCTGCAACAAGCACACCACGTGTTATATTGTTGAACACAATGTAGATGTAGCACTTTTAGAACTTAGAAATCTCAAATGTTGGTTAATTACTGGACTCACTTCTAGTTCCAATTGGTAAGACTATTCCTCAACTTTCAGTACAGGATCAGAGAGTAATGGTGCTCTGTCTGCAGCATGATTTGGTGTTTTCACTATCTTAGGGCTCCAGTGAGATGATACTCTGATAATTTGCACATTAGCTAGGAAACTCTGTTAATATTTTGATACATGCTAGAGTAGGAATTATGTTTTGCTGTCATGTGGTGAGATAACAGCATGCACAAAGCTTTTTTTATAACTTTTTTTTTTATCCTGTCCTGAGACCTTATTTCTGTGGTGTCGGCTCTTGTCAGTTGTTTCTCTTAAAGAAATAACTTTTGACGTGAGATCACTAGAGTGCCTCATATCACAAGTAATGACCGGTATTTAGTTAACCTGCGCACAGAGTCTGGATTTGCCAAGTCTGAATTCTCTGCAGAGCATGTATGTGGTGAACCTCGTGATTTTAATTTTGACCATGTCGGCATGTCGGCACTGCCTGATTTCATCTGCCCGGGAGCAGAGTTCACTTGGCTTTTGTAAAGTAAGACTCTGTGAATGATGCAGGTTTCCTTTTGTCTTATAGCACTTAGGTTCCCTTCTTTTCATGCAGCATGCTCTTAAGATAATCTCAGGTGTACACCCTTGTTAACTTGTCTGTAGCAATCACTGAGATGTTTTTGTGGACATCTCTGGAAAAAAAAGGGGGATCTAGATTAAGTTTTTCTCTCTGGGAATGGAGAGATTTTTTCCGACTTTTTAGCTCATTGCCATTTTGAAGGATGGCAAACCCCATTTTATTTTTTCAGTATACCTTAGATCACAGTTGTGAGCAGTTTTTTCACTTTTGCCTTTGAGGATTTGATCAAGGGTTTTGTCTTAATGGCTTTTTTATTCCTTTGTCTGCAAAAATAATCGTCTCACATCTCTACTAAAGAGTTAATCAATGACATGGCTGCATTTTTAACCAGCTAATTGAACTGCACTTAGGCTTCAAGTAATCCTCTCTTAATCCTGAACATGTATAATGACCTATAATTCTAAATAACATGTACCTAATGTTTGTATGTTTCACTCTCAAGAATAAAGTAATCACTTTTGGGTACCATGAATGTCAGACTTAACATTCTTTCAGAGACTTTCACTGAACTTGAAAGATGCAACTTCTTAGAGTGCTTTAACAGAAAGCACTTTGGTGTCGGGATGAAAAATTGTCTATCAAATACAACTTCATGTTGCCCTCCGTCTGAACCAGAATATTTTTACAGCATGTGAGGAAGGATGGAGAGGATGCTTTGAGGGTTAAACTCGGATGTTTAACATTTCCCTAATGATCTGATACTAAATGAAACCAGGCAGGTCGAGCTTGTGACCCATTTCATCCTCACACAAGAGCTGCTTTCATTTGTAAAGCAGCAAAGTACAGATTGTACACTTCTGTTTAGTCACTTTTCCATTTTCATCTCAGTGTTTTTGTTCACCTAGAGATTGTTATTGTACTGTCGAGGAGTGTTTTCTGTTGTATAATTCTTCAGAAATAACTTCATGATATGCAACAAGTAAACAGCCTTTCCCCTTTTAAATTTGAGGAGATGAACTTGCATGCTGTTGGGGGTTGGGTTGAGCTCATACACAAGATTCCTCAACCTAATTCCAGCTGAGTGTGTGTGCTCCCTGTTTGCGCAGGCTTTGTGCCAGATCATTCCACAGAAAACCCTTTGCTTCGTTCTGTGGAGCCAAATGTCTGCTCTTTCTCTCCCCCCTCTCGTGTCATTCCCTGTGGGGCACACCGAGATAAACTATAAACAAGCCTTTTCCCTCTAGACAGGCCACATTCCTGATAACTCTTTGCCTGAGCAATTATTTCCGGGTCGAGCAGTGACTCTTTTTTTCCTCCCTCCCTCTCGGCCTTCCCCCACTCTTTTTTTTTTCTCTCTCTATTAGAAGCGGAAGAACAGCTGTGGTGACCTTACCCTGTAAAGAGGAGAGCAGAGCGTTTCATCTGCTTGTTTTGTTGTAAAAGCTCACAGGCTGAACAAAAGCAGAAGAGCCAGTTCTCTGAAATGGAGCAGGGCTCGTTCAAGTTGCCAGAATCATTTGCTCTTCTTGTCGAGGGCTCTGAAAACAAAAGCAGGGGAAAAATATGGGACCCATTAGTTTACGTGGTTTCTCTGCTGTCTTTTCTTTCTGTTGTGAGAGTTGTTTTTGTTGAAAAGTGAAGCTCTTGAGTTGTAGTTTTTAGATTAGGGAGAATGACTCTCACTGTTTAATACTTGACTGTATGACATGCATGTAAGCCGAGTTTAACTGCACTGTTAGTATGAAGTTCTTTCCCTCATATAAAACGATACTATTGATTGAAGCTCCGCCCATTTGAATGATCATGTTTTTCCTGTTCAGGCAGAGATCTTTTGCTTCTTCTTGTTCTCTTTTCAAGACTCCATTTGACTCATGTGACTTGACACATTTTGTTATTCTCCCTCCCCCACAGACTCCGTCGACAGTCCTCAGCTCTCACCTCTCAACTCCAAAGGTCCTGTCTGCATGTCTCCCTCCTTCCAGATGTCCACCCTCAGCCTGCCGGGTCAGGCCCCATCACCCCTGCAAAGCCCCATCCTGAGCGAGGTGGGCAGCAATGCCAGGCTAGAGGAGGAGGAGGAGGGCAGGAGGAAGGTACACTGCTTACATGCCACCCATCCAGCCAGCCGTCTCATCACTCAGTTTAAGGATAGAAACCATGAAACCCCAATCTTCTATCTGTCCTTGTTATTTTGATGGGATCAGTTTAAAAGTTTTTGCCGATGAAGAATAGGAAAAGTTTGTTTCCGGTAGAAAGGTGAAACTGTTTTCAGGTCAGTGAAGTGAATAAATCCCTGGAGTTTGAGACCTGTTGTATCCCTCTCCTTTTTCAGCGATATCCCACCGATAAGGCCTACTTCATTGCCAAAGAGATTCTGACCACAGAGCGAACATACCTGAAAGACCTTGAGGTCATCACTGTGGTGAGTTTTTTCTTTTTTTTTTTTTGTCTTTTCTTCTTATTTGTTTTCAACAAGGCATTGCACTGCAACACACAGGCTGTTTTTTTTAGTAATATTCAAAAGAAAGTTGGACAAAGATATGATCAATTATACAAAATTTAAAAAACTAAAAATAAAAGCACCTTGTTTTTCAAATCATACAGAAATAAAAATATGTAGACTAAAGAAACAAATAAATAAATATAGTGTCTTACTTTGAAACCAGGCAGCTGGATGTTGACTACGTAACATGTTTCACTTAACATGTGAAGGTGGCCCAGTTCTTGTCTTTGGCTGATTATCAGGGCTGTTATTTGGCATGTGGTCGATCTGCATCTGTATTTTATTTTGCTGATAGGCATTAAACAAATAATTAAATAGATTAATGTTTTAGTGTTTTGAGTCTGTGTTCAGTCTCGCTTCATGTCCCGCCCACAACACCAGCTGATTGGCTGGTCGTCACACTAACGTGCATGTTGCTGATTAAGTGTTTTCTTCTGTAAATTGTCTGACATTTCATTTTTTGATTTAACATTTACTCAAAGCATTCAAACAGAGTTCAGTTTTAGAGTTAATAGTATTATAGTAGAGTATCGTCATTTTAAATTTTGACAAAAACATATAATTTTATATGACTGTAAATGCAGATCTGCTCCAAATATTGGTTATAAGTCTCATGCCAGTCCTGAAAAAACTATAATTGTCAACCATTAATGAATTGAATGATGGCTGTAATAGAGTCATGCACCTGAGCCCCCTGAGCTGTTAAGACTGTTTCTTCTGAAAATACATTCACCTAGTTTGTCAATCCAGTCATGACTTGAGTTTATATCTAACTGAGAGACCATCAGGAGCCATTCCAAGACTTTTCTTAGCAGGTATTTTTGAAGTGACAGGATAGGGCTGCTGAGGTATACATGATCAGAGTGACTCTTCAAAGACAGTCAAGTTTACAGTCCTTCAATAAAAAAACGGCTTAAAGGGTTGCTTTTGTTTTCCTCATGAGATGCCCAATCAGCTTATGAGGGAGGTGGGCTTGGTTCCAGGCATACTTGACCCCAAAGTTAAGTGTACTCAGGCATGGTCCACTAGAGGCCAGTTTTAAACCTAACTTCTTGCGAACTGCCACTGTACTGGACAGCATATACACACACAAGTGAACACAGGCATGGAGCAAATGACTGAAACAAACTTGTCTAATGTGAAAAAATATCCCAAATCTCTATTCACTCATCTCTATGAACTACCTGAAGAACAAATGTATCAAGAGTCTGTCTCAATCTGCCCTCCAGTGGTTTCGCAGCGCTGTGATCAAAGAAAACGCCATGCCTGACGGCCTGATGACCCTCCTCTTCTCCAACATTGACCCCATCTATGAGTTCCACCGAGGCTTCCTGAAGGAGTTAGACCAGAGACTGGCTCTCTGGTAGGTGATCGTTCAATTTGCCTCTGTAGTGAGGCTCCAGAGAGACCTCTATGAGGTGGCATTAAAGATGACATTTGTTTTTATAGGGAGGGACGCTCTAATGCTCACGTCAAAGGGGACTACCAGAGGATCGGAGATGTGATGCTGAGGAACATGTGTGCGCTGAAAGTGAGCCCGATTTGCCTCTCTTTAACAAACAAGACCTCTTTTAACGATGACGCTGTACTGTAATCAGGGCTGTTTGTGTTTGTTGTTATCTGCAGGAATTCACCAGCTACCTACAAAAACATGACGAAGTGTTAACAGAGCTGGAGAAAGCCACCAAGAGGCTGAAGAAACTGGAGACGGTCTACAAAGAGTTTGAGCTGCAGAAAGTCTGCTACCTGCCTCTCAACACATTCCTGCTCAAACCCATCCAGCGCCTCATGCATTACAAGCTCATCCTGGAGAGACTCTGCAAGCACTACTCTCCCTCCCACAGAGACCATGACGACTGCAAGGGTGAGTTTCCCACTGAGTTTCTCTTCTCAGAAACAATTGACTGCTTTAATTTGTTTTATTTTTTTAAAAGGATCGTGTACGATGATAAACATAAATGTTACTGTGTGAGAGTTAGCTGAGAGGTGGGGCAGGCAGGATCTGAGGAACTGCCAGTTTTGGGGAGAAATCTTGAATTTTAACACTAGCCCTCCCAACCAGTTTTCCCCTAAGATCCTCCTCTCCCCTCTGTCTCTGCTCTAGCAAACCCCGCCCACAAACAGACGCTGCTGCTCGCTTAATTAAATTAATTTATAATGCAGATTAATACTTCAGATAGTTACAAATGGGGCCCAGTCAACATGAAAGTAAACAGCATTGGTGCTACTGTAGACACCAACAGACTACCAGGAAACACAATGTTTGCAGGACTTCTACAACTAGGATAAAGTGACATAGTCCAGGACCCGAGGTCAACAGTTCAGCGGCGCTACAACACTCAACAGGTCCTGTTTGACAAGACACACTTCTGTTACAGACACTTGGCTGACTTTGTTAAAGCGGTTTACCTGTCCAGCAGAAAGGTTACAGGGTACGTAAGATCCCGAAGAATCCCCCATCATTGTTGACCCGGCTTTTTTAGCTCTTTTCCAGTCTATCTCCATTTTAAGCGCCTGTTATTCCGCCAGAGTCTCCGGTATTTACTTCATTTTCTTGCTTGTGTCGATGGTCGTGGCTAAAGGAGGATTCAGACAATTTCATGTACTTTCTGGTTGGTTTCTACTGTCCGATATCGTAGCACACCAACTTTGTTTGGGTTCTTGAACGACACGGGGGAGCAGCGTCTGCCTCACAACCAATAAGCACTAAGAAGCAATGTCCGCCTCAGAACCAATCAGGATGGGGGAGGTGAGGAATGTCTTTGTTTACAGTCAGAAAGAGCGGAGCGCTCTGAAATTTTAAAATGTTGACTACACAGACATAACAAAACACAGCGATATTGTAATATTACCAAATGTCATCAATAACTAATAGCTTTTGACTGATATTCAAGGCTTTTTTGTTTATACACCACAAAAAAAGATGTTTCTTTAACGGATTCCTGCCTACCCCACCTTTAAAGCAAATTTACATTCACAGTCATATATCAGGTTATGATTAAAACATGGCATAGGAAAAAAAATTGCGAGCTTAAACATACATTTATACACAGCAAACATCAGCAGTAAGAAGATTTACAGTCATACAGGGTTATCTTGATCAAGTTTGATCAAACTCCAGCTCTTCAAAGTCAGAAAACCCCAAACTGATTGTGCTGGCTTTATGATGGTCAGTTTTGTCAAGACCACATTTTTATTATTTTTTTATTCTCTGTAACTCTCATCAGCTTTAGTCATATGGCAACTTTTTTGCAGGCATGCAACACATCAAGACAGGAAAATGGGAATCAAAGGCTGCAGTATGAATGATAAAGAAAAAGGGTGGGAAAAATCAAGTCAAGTTTATTTATAAAGCACCTTTAAGAAGACAGCAGTCAATCAAAGTGCTGTACATAGGATAAATAAAAGAAGTAAATAAATAGATGACAATAAAACAATAAAATTAAAGACAGTGGAATAGAATATAGACAGTAAAAGAATAAAAGCTACAGTGCCTATGATTCATGTGTGCTCATTTATGAAATGCAAGGGAGAAAAGGTGGGTCTTTAAGGATGATTTAGGGTCTATGAGGCTCTAGTATGGCCAGGTAGACTGTTCCAGAGTCTAGGGGCGACTGCTGAAAAGGCTCTGTCACCTCTAGAACTTACTCTAGTTTTGGGGACGTCTAAAATCAACTGGTCAGAGGACCTTAAGGCTCTGGCTGGGGAGTGGTGATGCAGGAGCTCTGACAGGTACAGAGAGGCAAGACCATTTAAAGACAAAAGAATTTAAAAATTAATTTTTTAGTGCTTTAAAAAAAAAAAAGAAATAACATGAATCATGTAAAATGGATTGCTTAAATTTGGGCTCATGCTCCTGACAGATAAAAAAACATGTATTGTTTAATGACTAAAAAGTGATTGAGTTGGGTAGATTTAGACCCGTAAGGGTAAACCAAGACTTAAAAGCATACCATGTCCAATCCCTCATCTATTGCATGACCTATACTCTACAGAATCAAAACATGAGATGAGGGAGTTTCCTTTTTTCTGTCCCACTCGGAGCCCCCTGTGAACAAAGTGGTCTTTGCTTGTCTCTTACCTCTTTTCTCACTGCAGGTTTAGCCCAGCTCTGTGGTGACAAATGTAAAGAACATTAGTAGAAGTACTTTGGATTGACATTATTTCTTCATTTTTTCTTCACAGAGGCCCTGAAGGAGGTGGCTGAGATTGCCACTCAGCTCCAGAGCAGTTTGATCCGACTGGAGAATTTCCAGAAGCTGACCGAGCTGCAGAGAGACCTGATCGGTATTGAGAACCTGACAGGCCCTGGCAGGGTGAGTGCAGTGACATGGAGCGGAGGGTAGAGGGTGCTGGGGCTAAGTGTAACAACACAGAGCATCTGAAAATCGTCCTTTGTTTGTTTTTAGGAGTTCATCAGAGAGGGATGTCTGTACAAGCTAACAAAGAAAGGACTGCAGCAGAGAATGTTTTTCCTGGTGAGTTCAAAACTCCACTCAGTGCAAAGGTAAATCAAGCTTATCCATGTATGTGTCAATAACTCCGATTTCCCTTTCAGTTCTCAGACATGCTCCTCTACACAAGCAAAGGCGTGACAGCAACCAATCAGTTCAAAGTGCACGGCCAGCTGCCCCTTCACGGCATGATCGTGAGTTCATACCCACCTTTAACTTTTGACTGCTGCTCAGCTCCACTAAAGCTTTTGGTTCACTATCATTGGTGACTCATAGTGATGAAATATGGGTTCAAGCTGTGAGTGTGACCTGATCAGTGTGTTGAGAACTTTGCATGTCTCTGCTTCACTCCTGGCTGCAGCTCATAGTGCTCGACGCTCCGGTAAGTCCTCTGAGCTCTGCCAGCTTGGATGCCCAAACCCTTCCCTTCTGTTCCCGTTCTTGTGTAGACAAATAGTACATAGGAGACAGATGCCTGTCAGACCTCGCAGCAACTTGTAGTTGTACATCCAGCAAAAATGTACCAGTAGCGTCCCAACTAGACAAGTATCTTATTTAAAGCCAATGATGAAGCATTTTGAGCCTTGTCTTGTACTTGTAGTTAGCTGGAGCAGACTCTGCTTGTTGCAGAAGAAAGTCTGGTATTGTCCACAAGAAAATAATCTAACCTTTCCTACTTTACCTCCCTAAGCATTTATCTATTGAGTTTATGGTTTCAAGATGCGCTTCAGTTTGATGTTTATTCTATAAATTGTACAACAGGTGTAAATAACACCGCAACTCCTGTGGATATGTTTGTGGTGTCCGGAAACACAAATTCCTTCTGTTCATTTGCAAACAACAAAGCAGAACCGTTTCTTTTAAAGATCTGATTTGAATAACAAATCTGATGTGCATGCAGTCTGAATGAGACCGCAGACTCACACAGATAGAGGCTCTTTAGCAGGTCTGTCTGTGACTGAAGCCAGACTTGATGAATTTTTCCTCCTCCATTCCCAAACTTCAAACAAATATTGTTAAAGAAAGAAGTGTATGGGTTCAATGCTTCTAACATCTGTCTGGTTTTCCCTGCGTTCGTTCGTTTTTTTCCCTCTCTCATTAGGTTGAAGAAAGTGAAAATGAGTGGTCAGTCCCTCACTGCTTCACCATCTACTCTGCTCAGAGGACCATTGTTGTTGCTGCCAGGTAAGAAGGGGAAATAAAAATTAGGGCTGTAATCAAACGAAGAATTTCTTGGTGGGTTGGGTTGGGTGAATCCAAAATGGCGAAAACAAGGGGGGTGTTGTTATCTGTTAGACGGGGTGCTCTGAAAACACCCCCATCAGCACTTGGTACGTTGTTTGGGCTTTTGAATGACACAGGGAACAGCATCTGCCTCACAACCAATCAGCACTAAGGAGGAATGAAACACCCCCATCAGCACTTGGTATGTTCCTCCAGATAGCCATAGACTATAAATTGATGCAGAAAAAATCAAGTTGAACAATCAGAATTTTGGCCAACTCAGCACGTGTCAACTCAAACGTGTCGACCAATAAGTCGACCAGTCGACTAAATTCTGTACTCTATGGCCCTAGTGAAAATGGAGTCGAAAGAGTCATTTTCTCCAAGCAAAAAAAATATTTGACATCAGAAAAAGGAGGGAGTCTATAACTGAAAAATCACACAAAATATGATGCAGGATATTGTTATAATGCCATTGACCCCTTCACCATGAAATACTACAGATAAAAAGAACAGAGTAAGAACAATCAATTGGCCCTCTGATTAATCCATCTACTCAAAAAAAGAATATTTCATTTTACACCTTAAGTTTCAGTCAAAGACAATATGATTATTGGAGAGAGAACCAGGACAACAAATGATATTTTTGTGGTTGTGTGTGTGTGTGTGTGTGTGTGTGTGTGTGTGTGTGTGTGTGTGTGTGTGTGTGTGTGTGTGTGTGTGTGTGTATACTTGGTGCTCCAGTTTGGCCATGTCTCACTCCGCCCCTGGCTTCAGTGGGATTCTCAAAGAGAGCGTCATTTAAATTTTACAATTCTATCCTGTTGCCAAAGAAGTGTTTTGGACCTAAATGAATAGAAACTGTCATGTTGAAAATGCTTCATGTTTGCCTCTGTTAAAACTTGAAAAGTTTTTTTAATTTTTGCTTTGCATATTCCACACATTTGACTCCAAAGCAGATGTAGCAGTAGATTGTAATATGTCCCCCTCACTGAAAAAGTTAAGATGACTAAACACACTGTTTTCTTTTGTCTGCCTGTTTGTAATCTCAGCTCTAAGGTGGAGATGGGGAAATGGATCGAGGATCTGAATCTGGCAATCGAAATGTCCAAGAAGTCACAAGAGAAATCCAGCATCTTCCTGGATTCTGGACTTGGAGATCACTCTAACAGTAAGAGTTTTTTTTTTTTTACTTCAGTGTAACATGGAGATGTGAAGTGACAGCTGAAGTCACTGAGTGTGAAAGTCAGCCTGGGGTGGAGGTTTGTTTCCCTCTGCTGAAAAAGAAAATGATTTTTAATGAGTCTTTTCCTTCCATGGGAAATGGCGCTTGGTCAGATGGACTGTTAATCCTTTCTTCCAAACAACTTCCTGTTCCACTCCCTCCCCACCTCCTCCTCCTCCTCTTCCTCCTCCACCTCCTCCTCCCTCAGGATCATCTGATGAGGTTTCTCTGGAACAGGAGTCAGAGGATGATATGAACTCCTCCCGTACCTCACTGGACAAGCAGACACACCACCGCGCCAACACCACCATGCATGTGTGCTGGCACCGCAACACCAGCGTGTCAATGTCTGATCACAGCCTGGCTGTGGAGGTACTCCTCCTCCGCCCACAAAGAGACACTTTTACAATCCCATTCAGAAACATGCACACACATGGAAAAAGAAGGCAAACACCCTCTTTCATTCACACTAATCTTACACAGATTTGATATTAACCACAGAATCAGCATCAGTGGGTTTCAAGAAAACACTCCTGATGTCACTCCTGGATCTTGGTGTTTCCCTTTCTCTTTTTAACTCTCGTAGCTTTTCATTTACTTGTCCTCTTTTATTCTCCTTTTTGACCATTAACCTCCTATATCTGACTTCTCAGACGCCTTTTGTTCTTGGTTTTTAATGTGACTCATAGATAACTAATCTTGTGTAAGCTACAAATCTTTGGTCTTATTTTCTCTGCTCTAACCTTTCTTCTCCACAGACCAGGGAGACTTTTTAACTCTTCATCTTTTTCCCTTTTTCCTCCCCTCAAATCTAACATGCTAACACTTTCTCTGCACCCTTCTTCCTTCTTTTTGTCTCCTCCTTACCTTCCTAGTTTTCAGCTCTCCGGCTGTTTCACCAGAACTTCCTCCTCGCTACCTCCTCGGTCAGGGCCAAAGACCAAACACCATCACACATGTTTGCTGGTACCGCAACCAGAACCTGTCTCTCACTGATTACCTGCGCATGAACCAGGTACTAGAGCCACAATAGGCCAAGGCCACTGACTAGAACGGGTCCAGGTTTCCTCACTTACTCCCTGAAGTGTCAGTAGAAAGCATTTCAGGATAAAAAAAAAACTCATTTTATCTCAGCTTACACGTGAAAAATAAAAAAAACAAAGAGGGAAAGTTTATTTACAGATGCATCCTATTTAATCTGCTTCATCTCAGCAGACTCAAGTCCCAACATCTGCTTTCCTATACTCAATCCTAACTCAACAAATACAGTAATTAAATGAAATATTAAAATAGAGAAAGGAAAATTATCAAAACAGACGCTGAAAGTAGAGAAAACATGGTTTTGAAATGAAGACACAAATAACAATCAAAAGGACCACAAGTCAGTTTATGTTTCATAGAACAACATTTGTGATAAATTCATCTCCTTACATTTGGATAATTGTGCATGTTTTACAGAGAAATATAATCAGTGTTAATATGAAAAAATAGATGTACCTATAAAATACTTGATATAAACATGTTAAGACTGCAGAGTCCTGATTTAATTTGTAGATATATTGTTTGAAAGGAAACCTTGGTTTTGTTGCAAAGTAAAGCGAATAAAGTGATCATAACTGAAATAATAAAATGATTATTACTAAAAGAATCAAGTGATACCTGCAGTCTTGAAATGGCTCTAAAAATTACCCATAACACAACAAACAGACAGATGACAGTTCAGAAAATGAATATAACATATATAACATAATATAACCTGGATATAACACTGGCAAACTCACACCTACAGTGAATGTAATCAAACCCCTCATTGCAAAGGAAAACAAAGATATTCACAACCAAAGCCAGTGCAGTAGGCAGTAATAATTTTATTTAGTTTGCATAATTTAGTGACAACTATTTGACAGTCATTAAATATGCATGTGCATGCATGTGAAAGTGATACAACAATAGAAAAACAGAAAATTGCACTAAGGCAAATTAACACTAACAAACACTGCAGTCAAACACTTAGTATGTTCTCATAATGTTTAAAAAGTGGATTTATTCTGTTACTAATTTTTTATATATATGATAAACATGATAGTCTGTGTGAAACCACTCTTTCTCAGTCTGTTTGGTGTGCTAACAATCCTAGAGGATGATGATCCTTTTCCTCCTGCATGGGTGACCCCTCAATCAGCCCCAAACTGGCCTAGACTTCCTGCTCCACAGCTCAGGCTTTGACCCTGAAGTCAAACAGTATCAGTGCACAGAGAGAAGACAAATAGCATCAGCCTTTTGGATATCACTAGAAGCCAGAAAGACTGAGTACATTTTATTTGTACCAACAAGTAAAGCTGAGAAAACACTCTAAGGATGTGGAGCTGTAAATATGTCAGTTAAATTAAATATGTTATTTGAGTATGTGGCCTAATGGGTCAACCGGGGGAAGGTTCAGTAGTGACCCGATGAAAGGGGCTAATTGATGGAAACCACACAGTCTGTCTCTGATTTTCCTCTTCTGGTGTTATAGCATGTAACAACCCTTTAAAAAAAATCCTAATTCACACACATCAGTTCAGTACATTACTATTAGACACCCACACACAGCCACCGACCATTGTCCCATTTAATCTATCATGAAATCTACTGTGTATGTCTCACTTGTATTTCTCCATCTCTCCCCCTCTGTGAAGAACCAGCTCTCAGGCTACCTGCTGAGAAAGTTCAAGAACAGTAACGGCTGGCAGAAGCTCTGGGTTGTTTTCACCAACTTCTGCTTGTTCTTCTACAAAACACATCAGGTCAGCAGACACATCTTAAACTTTTATTATTTCCATCTTCATTTAAAAAATTTATATAAAATAAAAATGCCTAACTGAGGTAAGAGGACCTGTACAAAGTAAGAGTTTCTATCTCTGTAGGATGACTTCCCTCTGGCGAGCCTCCCCCTGCTCGGCTACACGGTCAGCACCCCTGACGAGTCAGACAGCATCCACAAGGAGTACGTCTTCAAACTGCAGTTCAAGTCCCATGTTTACTTTTTCAGGGCAGAAAGCGAGTACACCTTTGAAAGGTAAGTGACTTCTTTCTATTTCCCAAAACATTTGAGCTCATTTCAAATGGTAATGCTGGTGCTTTGAAACTGTGGTCCTAATTTTCTTAATCTTTAAGTCACACCAGCACACTGCTCCAGACAGCAGCCTCATACATTTGTACTTTCGTGCACTGCCTCTCATCGTAGCCACCTAATCTCAATTAGAAGCACTCAAACAGGCATTGGCAAGGATATGGGGTTCAGTTTCAAAAGAGCAGGTCTATACCAAAGTCTGTTTATGGTATTTACAAAGACCCAAAGCCAAGATGAGAAGTGATTCAGTCTTATTTTAATCCACTGTGAGCACATCACTTTACAGAAATCACAAGTGACAGTGATGACAGAAAACTTTCTTTAACAGCCAGAAACCTCAAACAGAACTAGATCTGCTGGGGGACAGAGGGAGCTGATGATAGAGACCAACCACAACGAGAACAGCACGTACAGACTTACTGTCACAGGGCCTACAGTAATCTTCAAAGTATGTGCACTGTCTAACAGAGTCTGGTGGCTTCGAAGAGGGAAATCACTTTCTGTTTGTGTTCAAAAAAGAATCTTACTTTTTGACAAAAACTCTCTTTATCATGTTAACAATTTGAGTCTATCGATGAAATATGGAGATTTCTTAGTAAGTCTATGTTGATCAAAGGCCCAAATGTTACGAGGGACCAGTTTATAAAAGGATTGTGTGTTTTGCACGTGAAAAAAAAACTGTCCAAATGCAACAAAAAATACTAGTGAGTTAACAAGTAAAAGCTGCAGAACAAGAACACAGCTGAGCATTGGTGCCGTTTGCACAAATTTAGATGAGCTGTAAAAAATACATCTGGGGCAGAACAGTCCTCTTTCTGTGCAAATGAGACTCATTACAAGACGTGGACAATGCACAGACACCTGCACAAACAGCCACACTCAGCTGGAGGGAATATTTCACTGTCTAGTGACTGTGAGAAAGTATTTGTGGAGAATGTAATGCTGTAACTTTACAGTGATTGTGACAACATTTCAGCCTCAGCATGTCTGAACAAAATGATGCATCTGTGTAGAAGTCTTCTAATGAGATGATCAAGAGTGAGTTCAGTCAGGCGAAGCCTGTCCCAGACTCAACCCTGTTAACTGGGACACACATTTACAGGCCTGGAGATGATCTAGCGCTGTGAGCACAACAAGAGTTTTACTATTATTAGATAGATAGATAGAGCTGTTCTTGCTGTCTGATTCTCATCAAATTTTCAGCACACCTGTCGAGTCTACTTCACAACAAACTTCTGAGGAGTGTCCCCTCCAGTGTTGCCAGATAGGAAATATAGAATTATCACAGCAGAGACGCAAAATTATCGTATTTTTGGGAATAATATCGTACACCTGTCATAATCAAAATAACAATCTTATTGTTGCATGATCGTCACATATAGTCACTCCTTTTAGTGTCCTACAGACACTCATGAATTTGTGGCTACAGTTTTGTGGTCATTCACCGCCCTGCCCCACATCAGCAGCATAAAATCAGCAGCTTCAACTCAGCTGTATTACACTAATCTTCCCCTTTAAACAAATGACAGGTGGGAACTAATGAGCCAAATCACGAGACCTCAAGGCCACCTACTTTTTTGAAACAGTATTCCTAAAAACTGACAAGGTAATAAAGAGTAATCTGACTCAATTTAGTAAAATCTATTTTAAACACAAAAATCACCTTGGCCTCACATAAGGATTCCGCTCCCAGTAATCACTGTCCTCTTCGGTGATGCTCATTTTTCTCAACTGACTTCCCGACTGAGAGTGATTGACAACTAATCATGCTTGTTGTTCGGAGACAAACGTCGCTTAAACTACGGCTGGATGGAAACATCACGTGGTAAAGGATGACTCGAGGGTTCGCAAATAAAAAACAGAAAAATAAATTGTTTAGCAGACTGAGACAGTCCTATTGCACCACACATTCACAAAACTCTTAAATTTTCGTACATTTAGCCTTTTTTCTGGGTTATTGATCATGCATCGTACAGTGGGCAAAATTATCATACAAATATGATAATTATCGTACACCTGGCAACCCTGGTCCACTTTGCCTTCAGCTCCTCATCTGTATCATCTGTATGTGGACAGCTTTGAGCTTTGTCAAAATGACAGAGGAGATGCCAACAGCGGTTTCCCCAATGAGATGCTAAACATGAGCAAAACTGCACAAAGCAGCAGAACTTATCATAGTGCCATATGCAGCAGCAATTTTCAGTGAGTTTGCTCCTGTGTCTATTGAGCCCATTTCCTAGCTGCTGGCTGGAGCATTCCACTGGAGCGTATCTAAAACTTTCTGTCCCATTAGTCATGTCAGGGTCATGTTAATGTAGGGCCAAGGTCTAAAAATACCAACATTAATTTTCAAGTCATGAAGGACCAGTTTTAAATCTATGCCTGCTGTCTTGACTTCACAGATGGATGGAGGTGATCAAGAGTGCAGCCAGCACCACAGGCCGAATGAGCATGCTCATACCTAAAGGAGGTCCCATGGAGATCAACGGAAACTGAATCAAACAACAAGCATCTGGAGGCTGGGCCTCTGGGACAGCAGAAAGACTTTCAGTCTCATTTCTCGGTGTAATTTTTTAAAGTGATGATTTGTACCATGACGGACTGGAGACTGATTGAGACTGCCAGTTCAAGTGTTAACACGCTCAGTATAAGGATTACATTGTCATGGTTGTTGCTTCTTCTTGGTAAATGCTGTAAATGATAACATTTGTTCCTGTTCCTTCAGGATATCATGAAAGGGAGACGTGTATATTTTGCTGTGTTTTGCATGTGTAGTGCTAATTATATAGACTGAAGGGAAATAATGTTCAATGGGACCAACTCAAGCACACAGAGTTTAGATTCAGACTTTTTTGAAGGACTTTTCTCCAGCAATTGATGACTGAAGCTTTGTTGGGTGCAGCTGTCACCATGCTGTGACTTTGACACAGATGATTTATCGCACGTGGAAAATGAAGGTAGTAAAGGATAGTGCATACTTTCGAAAGAGAGAGATGAGTGTGAGATGGAGGCGGACAGAAGGATCACTGAAAGTTGAAACATGTTTACGAGTAAATTTTAGAGAAGCATGGCAAGTTTTGAGCAAATCCTGACATGCAAGTGTTTAAATTTTTCAAAAGGGAGCTGCGCTGCTTCGATCTCCCCTGGAGGCCAGTTTGGTGCTATGTTTCTCTTTAATATCACATGTAACCAAATGTATCCTGTTTTTATTTTTGGCATAGGGATAACAGCTTGAGGACATGCTGTGTAGTGTTTACTTTGTATTAAAGTTAATTTCTCTTCTCCAAAACAAAAACAGAAGAACTCATTTTGATGTTTCGGTACTTGCTGTGTGTCAGACTGCTTGAGACAAATGGGAGCTGACTATTTGAGACACCAGTGATGCTTATTGTCAGTTTTTTAGTGCGCCACATACGACCATGGCATCATTATATTTGTTTGTATTACAACTGGAATCTTTACCCTTTGAGGTGTGTGTGTGCGTGCGTGGGTGCATGCGTGTGTGTGTGTTTATGCATAAGTGTGCGTAGAAGCCCCTGGAGCTGTAACATGGAGGTGATGATGGAGGTTGTCTTCAAAGCATCTACTCTTGTGTGTGTGTGTGTGTGTGAGAGAGAGAGAGAGCCTGTCTGCTGCATGGTTAACATACAGTAAGTTTCTCCTATTTATTGTCCAGCATGTCATCATGCTCCTGAATGCCCTCATGTAGTCCTCGTGTTATTCCATCGAACCCCTAACAAATAAAAGTTTCTCTCATAAACACATCGTCACTTGATTCCTTTATTCATTTAAAAATGTGCACATGTTTCTGTCAACTCATTTTGAGCAACTTTACAAACCATCACATCAAGTTACAATCAATCACAGTTCTTCACTGAAGTTATTATTCAAATGTTTATGTTGTAGTCCTCTAAAGCTGGACTCACAGAGCGCTTCAGTCATGATTCTTGGGGAATTATTCCACACTGTGATGTCTACACAATTACAGATCTGTACACCAAAAAAGCTCAGGGTCTTTGACTTCATAACTCTAGGCAGCCTGCGGGGTCCTGTGACTATGATGATCTCTCACATGATTCATTTTTTGAGCATTTGTTTCCTGTGACAGATATTTCCTAAAGAAATTCATAAGCCTGCATGCCAACCTCTTGTCTGGTCTGAGCCATACATTCTAGTGGTTCAGACTGAAGCGTGTTCCTTCATTCGTTTATAGTAATTGATGCAAAATTAATAGTTGTATCATCAAGTTATTCAAAGCACAACAGTTGCAGATTCATCAGAAACTATTAAAATAATACCTGCAGATTTGCATAAATGTGAAGTAGTTCACATTTTGTCCTTGTAACTGTTTGCCTTTACACTTGAACTTTACTAAAACTCAAGATGCAACATCACTCGACATGTACAAACCTCAGCTCTACAAAGATGAGAAAATCTTTGCTGTGTGAAATGCTACAAACAATTTTTTTTGGTTTTTAAATATTTCAAACTTTAATTTCGCTTGAAAGTTGTGTAAAGAAAACATCAGCTGTTAAAACTGAAACTTTTTCTTGTTTGATAAAAACATACATGTTAATTTGAACTTAATGCCTGCAGCATGCTACAACACACTTAAACATCTCCACATTACTGAGGTTTAAGAAGTTAACTACTCTGTGAGGGACTGTGTGAGTAAGTAGTTCACGAATTTCAGATGAATGATCCTCAGCGTGAAGTTGCCAAGAATTTGGAGAGTTCTTCATCCATAGTTCAACTGATTCTGGGAAGCTGGAGAAACCTCTGCTTTAAAGGGACAAGGCCCAAAACCAGCTCTGGATAGTGAAGATCTTTGGCCCTTCAGAACATGCCTCTGTAGTGGAAATCATTGCATTAGCTCAAGCTCACTTCCAGAAACTACCTTCTATAAGCAAAGTTCATTGTTGCATCCGTGAATACGTGTTAAAACTGTGCCTCTTAACAGAAAAGCTGGCAGCTTTTTTGAGTTTTTGGAAACCCTAACTGCGTTGTGAAATCAAATACTGCAACAATCCAACCACCTCAGCTGGTAAAGAAAATAAAAACAGTTCCTCTTGAGTTAGTCAGAATTTGGTTTTCTGCCAAATAGATCAACACAAATAAAAGAGCTTTGCCAAGACGTCTTTGTTGCATAAGCCACAAAAAGCAAAGAGAAGCAGATCCTGCATGCAACCTTTGGAAGTGAGTTGTGATTTTTGTTGAAAAAGTGAGCAAAACAAACTACTGTCCCATCACGCCAACCCATTAAGATGATAAAATATTTGAGATGATCTAAATGTTAACAGTTTCATTATTTTTAGGAATGATTAAAAAGAAGCAGTGTTTTTCTGCGATCAAAGGTAATGAGGAGAAAGAGCTTACTAACAGCTGCACGATTGAATCATGAATGACAGCTGAAGTTTGGTTCTGCTTGTGTGCAGTATTAACAAGAGTCTGCATATCTGTCAAGCAGTCATAAACAAAGCAGGGCATTCCTCAGGCATGTCCAAACAGTGTGAAAAGAGGGTGGGGTGTCTCCCCCCAGAAGTGACAATATCACTCGTCTGCCAGGGAAACCTTACAAACGGTTTTCTTTTAGGGAGTGGAGAAGGTGTGGAGCTGTCTGCTGTCAAAGTTTAAAGAGTAGTCATAGTTATACAACCAAAAGGCACAAATGGAGCTTATCTATCACATCTGTCACTGCGTGTAGACCTAAGGGGTGGATTTACTTCACAACAACTATCTATCAGGTGAAGATAATGGACAGTTTGCACAGAAAATGACATACAATCTGACAGAAATGAGAGGAATTCAGCGTGTTTCAACTCCTCATTGTGGTTAGCTCTAATCACAGCTGGGTTAGTGTGTCACGGAGGGAACACACGATAACTTCCTCATCTGAGGTCCATGTAAAAATGAAGCAGGCACTTAATGACTGTTTGCTTTCACCTCATTTCCTCCTGTTAGAAAGTACAGCACCTGTCACAGCTTATCCATCTTTCTAGTTACATAGAGACAAGTAAAAACTAGCCTAAAGGTACCTTCTAAATATGAAAGTGTTGCTAAAAGAAACCCTAAAAATCCTTCAATAACATGTTATTTTCTCTGTTAAACTTAGGAAAGCTGATCTTCCCTGTTTCCAGTCTGTACGCTCTGCTTACACCAAGTTAAAATAAGATAAACTAAGCTTGTAGATTTATAAAACTACACACTATAACCTCTTGTGCACAAATTATATTAACTGATCTACACAAGATTATATCTGTCCCTTTTGGAGCTTCAAGGGATCTGTGGTGGCCTGTTTGTTCAAACATATTAATCGTGTTAGAAATACTGGGTTAAGTTAAGAAGTTTACACAGAGAATTTTATGTGATGAGGTTAAAATTGTTGTGTTTATTTGCACATCTCAAAAACAGAACAAAGAATGACAAACGCTTCAACACTGTGCAGGAAAGGTTGTAATCCCCTAAAATGTAGGATGATAATGAATTACCATATGATTATTTGAGATGCTGGATTTTATTTTTTTTAATTCATTTCTGAAATATTTCTCTTTTCTTTTCACAGAGAAAAGAAAAAAACAAATTTTTTTTAGGATGTTCTAATTTTTTAGGTTCACCTGTAAACTTCATGCCACCTCCTTCATGTGTCAGTGCATCTGTGAGGCCCCCCTATTCAGAATCTCTGGATCCGCCACTGGTACCGCTGGGTTTCCCATAAATAATTGTTGTGATAGAGCAGTCTCAGATTAGATTTGTTGTTTTTTAACATTCAGGCACACCTTCAATATAGTATGATTATCATCTGAGATAACACTGAGTCATGTCCTGAGTGTTTGTGTGCTGTATGTGTTGGGATGGGGGCGGAGGGGAGGGGCGGGGCTTGTATTGGTCCTGTTATCTCCGCCCTTGGAGAGCACAACAAGTGCCCTTAGAAGGAAAGCCTGTCAGACTATAAAGTGGAGAGCATTTTTTACGGCTGCACTGCCAATCTGGAGGTCTTAAAAGTCACTGATCAAATCCACTTTTTTCCTGCTCAGTGACAACTAACAATGCAGTCCGTTTAGGATAACATTTAAGAGGAGGCGTGGGCCTATGAATTCACGGGTGAGTGGAATTAAATTATACTTACCTTCATTGTAAATGTGTTTTGAAGCATTAAGAACACCGTAATAGACTCTGACATAACTTTCTCCTCTGGTGTGAAACTCTTCCGAGCGTACATGTTGCTGCTGTCCTGACTAGATTTCTCTTCAACTCTATTAGAGATTGTTCTAGATCCATCTAGGCTATCAAAAGATGTCCATAAAGTAATCCGCATGCTTGTATTGCAGGATAATCTCCAGTGGTCTTAATTATCTTCTGGAAAAGGAGGGAGAGGGGGGGCGTGCATACCGGTTTGAAGTGCCCGCTGTGAGAGGCGGTGGAGGCGGGGAGAGGAGCAACGAGGTCCGCGCTGGGTGACTTGGGGCATGGAGATGTTGCGTCGCTCTTCTGTGTTTGCTGCTGAAGTTTTTGACCGCTCACCCACCGACAAGGAGCTAGTGTCCCAGGCCAAAGCACTGTGCAGGGACTACATTCACTCCAGGCTGAACCGAGCCGGGATTGGCTGGTCTAAGCCTGAGCACGGACTGGCTGCATCAGGTGGGACGCTGGGGGAGATATCCTCGGTCCTGCTGTGGCTGGGTAAGTTATGGGAACAAATAACGTTATTAGCTGTACAGGCCAAGGTGTAGTAGAAATAAGACAGCGATTCACCATTTCTGTAATATTCCTGCATACAATTATCATATAAAGTTAAAGCTGAGGTCTTTTCTGTTAATTTAAAGTCGCCTAAAGACGGTGACTCCAACTCCAAACAAAAAGGGAGACTGTGTAAATATTGGTAAAACAGATATGAGGGAATTTCCTGAAAATGACTTTATGTGGATGTCAGCAAATGTTGCTCCAAAACCTGGACATACTTTTCAGCATTAATGGTGCCTTTCCAGATGTGTAAGCCACCCATGGTATACGATCAGGGTTACTTTGAACTCTATGCTGATAACAACCTGGGAGGTCTTTCTCCTCCTTAGAGCAGAGCATGAGCCATCCACGATTTCCAAAAAGACTGTCATTTGAAGTTGTTAGACCACTTAACAGTTTTGGACATTGTCTCAGTCCATCCTAAATGTGGGCTCAGGCTCATAGAAGTTGCCAGCTGTCTGGATCAGGTTTAGGTATGGTTTCCACTCTGCATGGTTCTGTTTCAACCAGCATTTAAAGACGCAGTGACAGACTGAGTTCAGGACAACAGTTTTTTAAAAGTGATTTTGAACCCATGCTGTGATTTCCACTACAGAATCATGCTTGATTTTACTGCAGTGCAGCCTCAGGTCTTAAAAATCACAGCCATCCAGTGTTTTTGTTTTGCCTTCTCTCTCACTGTTTTTTCTATGTAGAATGAAAATGAAACCCACACATGTTTTTGGCAATTTCATAATTAAGAACATTATTCTTAAACTATTTGCTCATCCAGAGTAGTTAATCTCTTTCCGTCTTTCAGACAGAGACTCAGCCTCTTTTTAAGGCCATTTTTCTGCCCAATTATGATACCGATCTGTTACAAATTAACCTAATTAGTTTGGATATGTTCCTCCAGGGTGTGCATTTTGCATTACTCAATTTGTTCTGTGTTTTCCTGTATTAGAGACTCATTGCTGCCTTAAAATTTACGATGAGCACAAATTTCCACAAGATTTTCAATTTCAACACTTGATAAGAGGTATTTGCACATCTTTAATCAAATGTTAGGTTTAAATGTTTTGTAATCTGTTAAAAGAAATTTAAACAATGTTTTGTACAGTGTCACTGCTTTTTGGAGTTTCGAGCTGTGAACATATTTTTTGGATACAAATAAAAATGGAGATTAACCAGGGGTGCTTAAACGTTGGCTACAAGAATCGTCAAAACTATGAAAGCTACATTATTTGTGTAATTAAGAGTCTTTGCATTTATACTTGCCACATGAAAAGTCTTGATTTAATCAAGGTCAAACTTTTATTTACTGGCAGATCCTGGTTTATTTTGCGTCAGTACTTCTCAGTAATAATCTTGGACTGACATCTTCATCTATTGTTGGCATCAGACCTGTGGGAGCGTACTTCATTTCCACTGAAATACCTTGAAGGGATTCCCCAGAAAATTGGGTAAACAGTCTCACCTAAATCCTATTCCGATACCTGGACACGGGCCCAGTCTCAAATGAAAACTAACTAGATACAGAGAGGAAGGTTTCACTCCACCATTTGTGGTTTTCACCCACCTACAGATTAGATAATCAAGAAATTCACTTTGAAACCCAGATGGAACAAACCGGTGTTTATGAAAAAAATAGTTGAGCTCAGTTATGACGTAAATGTTTGGGAACACTTCAGAAGAAAGCTTTTCTATGTGTTCAAAACTGTGGTCGAAACAGGGTGTGTAAACTTCTGAGCCAAGAACCCACGGAAGAGATTAGATCAGCTACGCATGGACTTTGTGTTTTTAAAGTCATCTAAGTTAAAACAACATCTAAAGATTAAAAGGGGATTATGAAGTAACATTTTAATATTTGAAAAAATACTTGTATTCAATATTGTGCTGAGTGACAAGAACATGCAGGACTTTTTGATCGGGACAGCCCAATTTGGGATTAATGTAGGGGTGGAATGAAGTATGTGGGCACAAATACCAGAATAAGTAGCACTAACATATCTACTCATTCGAACTCCAACAATCATACTTGCTGTCAAAACCAGTATTGGTTTATGGCCTATTCCAGTGCATAATTTTTTGACTGAAAAAAATAACACAACAGAGGGACAACACATAAATCTTCTGCTGACAATATATCTCTTTATCATGACTGACAACAAGACATCTTGTTTTTCTTTTTTTCACAGTCACAGTCTGTAATCACTGTGAGGAGATAAGTGGCAGACCAAATGAAATGTTCCGTTTTTTGTAGACGGTGTGTAAAGAGTTATTATTATTATTATTATTATTATTAATAGTAATAGTTGTTACTCATGTTTGTGTCCAGGTGATGAGTTGGAGTACCTTCGGCCAAATGTCTATCGCAACGTAGCACGACAGCTCAACATCACGGTGGCGTCAGAGAGCATCGTGTCAGATGCTTTCCTGGCTGTGGCTGCAGACATTTTCTCTACAGGTAGGAGACCCCCTTTCAATGTGGTTTTTCTGTGTGTAAAGACATCCTCTTAGACCTCTTAGGTTTATGTCTTAGCAACACACACATGGACTTAAAAATATGGGAACATGGTCTGTATGTCTTTACAGGGCATTTGTTCATTTGGCTGTTGATAAGTAGAAACTTTTCAGGCTGAGGTAAAGACAACAAAAACACCAGTTTGGAGAACTTAGGTCAATGTGATGTTTTCCAGTTGCCTACCAAAGCATTTCTTTTTCAGTCAGAAAATTCCAGTCTAACTTTTAAAAGTGACACCTCTTAAACAAGGTGACTCACTTTGAGTATTGTAGTCATCATCCCCTTTCCGGAAAGGGACTATAAGGAAAAGACTTAACTCTGTATTTGGACAAGTTGTTGCTGGAGTGACTGATTGTTAGAGACAGTTTGGACCCCACCCATGGAGTTCAGACATGATCCTCAGCTGGTTTATACCTCAGAGAATGAGACAGCGTGGTCTGCTGCAGAGGTAATTAACAAAACCAGGCCATACTGTTCTCTGGTTTGTGCAGTTGTTGCTGACTCACCCACACACACATGTTAAAATGAATGAATGAATGTCTGCCTTTATTTAAACACACTCTCATGATAAAACATACTGCTGCAAGGCTTTTGTCACAGTGTGAAAGTGTACATTTGACTAGGGACGTATAACAAATGTACAATCTTTGCACAAAAGTGTTAAATGGTTGACACTTTTGAAGAGCTGTACCATATTTACCCTGAAGGAAGTCTTCTGCAAATAATGTGCCGTGCACTGACGTCAGCAACTAATGTTTATCTGTCGTGTTGCATCAATTGAATTTGGCAAACTAGCTAACCTGACTCCTGAAAAAATGTCAGCTGTGTAGAAGTATGATACCCTCTCTGATCAGGACTAGCAACTACACTTGTTCCAAAAGGAAGGATCACTTGCACCAATTCAACAAATACATCAAGCCTTTGAGTAAAACAGGCACGAAGGATTAAAAAGGGATGGAAACCTAAATATTGGACTTAGAAGTTTGTTGTTTTAAACATTGATAAAGTTATTTTCCCTGATTTTATTAATCAGTTTATCTCTGACAATACTTAGAATTCATGTTACTAAATGCCTCTCAAATGAAACAAGCAGATGCAGCAGGCTTTATACACTGGGAGAGAGAGTGAAAAGGGTCAAAGAGGCGGGGTGCGATCACTTTGTCAGAGCATGCCACTTTGCTGAGAGGAAGTCATGTGCAGCAGCAGATTAGGACCACAGACTTATTTAATGCAACAAGCTCAGTTGCAAATGTCATGCTGTGTTCTGCATGCAGAGATAAACTGAAGCCAATTTTTTTACACTCTCTTCATGTTAGGCTGTCTAGCACTTGCTTAAGCCAAGTGCCTTTGTTTAACTTAAAGTTCAATCATTTTGAATGAAAACTTGTGTTGCATGGATGTTGTGTCAGTGTCAAACTCACAGGATATTTTTGCCAGGCTTTTGGTTTCTCTCAGGGTCATTTTTAAAATCTCTGTCATCACCGTCTTCAGTTTCTCTCCAGATGCAGGCTGATGCTGTTTTATTGAAGGAGTCACTGATAAAGCTTTTGTAAACTGTCTGACAGTGACAAATAGCAGACGGACAAATTTAGCAACAAGCCAGTAACGAAAGTGGAGTTTGACTTGATGTCAAACAGACATGCAAATATTGGTGTTGTGTTTCCAAATAAGCCTCTGATCACTTTCTAACCCCATGTAATACATCCATTTGAGTCGTGAATAACTTCACTCTCAAACCACACAAATGATTAGCCAAAAATAATAATAATAATAATAATAATAATAATAATAATAATACATTTTATTTGTATAGCGCTTTTTAAAGGAGCTCAAAGACACTTTACAGAAAGTTAATTAAAAAAATGTTATTAAAAACTTGTTAAAAAATGAACTTTTTAATACATTTCGAAATTAGCCCTTCTACAAAAATGCAGCTGACACATTCCTGACACAACCCAATTACTGTAACTAATACCGTCTGAGGTAGACCAAGAGAAAACTAATTACCACCTGGGGAGCCCCAGATCTGGAAGCTTGACTTATTTAGTTTTTCTGGGAAACGATGGTTTTCATGGTGTTCAGGGCAAACATGGAGCAGATGAAAAAATGTATTTGTTTGTCTTTTTGATTTTAAATCATTTTATGTCTTCTTGATTCTAAATGGTTTTGTCTTTTTGATTTTAAATTGTTTTGTCTTTTTGATTTTAAACTGTTTTGATCTCTCCTTTTTTTTATTTTTTATGTATTCCTTGCATCTGTAAAGTACTTTGAATTGCCTTGTGTATGAATGGTGCTTTACAAATAAACTTGAACGGGTTATCTCCATTTTCCGGATCAAAGTACCACGAAGCATGGCATGCTGAGAAACTCAGCATAGAGTATTGGAACAGCAGGTGGCTGTATAATGGCAAAAGTCTGACATTTCAGGTCTATAATCTTATGAGTATTAATACTTTGTTGAAGCTTTGTACCCATGGAGCACACATGGAGCATTTGATTATTTAGTCTGCTGAATGTGCACATCTGAACAAAAAAAAGGAAAACAAAAAGGCTTTTTAGAAACATTTCTACGCTTTTATTAGATTTATTGTGAGTTGCATGGTTGACATTCAAAACAAAAATTTATGAGTTTTCTGGTCAGAAAGTTCAAACAAGTCACCTTCAGGATATAATCAGTAGGATATGAGCTTTTGCCTAAGTCAGAGTTCCCTTCATGAATTTATAAATGGGAGATCTGATAAGGAGATAAGTTGGAAAAACTGTACTATTGATTTTCAATTATAAAAATAGACTTGGCTCTAACTGAAGAGTATAATACTAGGATTTAAAGCTGGTGTGATGTCAACCAGTCCCAAGACGCTTTCCAAAAAGAGCAGATGAAGACCACACTCATTGTTTGATGAATTACAAAGACCCAAATTTGAGATGGGATAGATTTGACCCATGTCATCTAATATGACAGCCACCTGCTGCTGCTGAGTTGAGGATGGGTAATAAGGTGGCATTCAAATTTCCCCTAAACTGCCCTCATTTACTATTAAGCAGCAGGGAAAAAAACAGAATGCCAGACTCCCACTGTTTTCTTTTACTATGGCAAGGTTGTGATGTTTCAGATGCTTTGAGATGTATTTTTGCGAAGCACTCAGGAGTCAAAAGCTGGCACAAAAGATAAATGTTTACTTAACATTTGACCTACCACTAGAAGGACGGCTGTGTCAGAAGTGCTCTCAGACTAAATAAGACCACAGGAAAAGAAGAAAGATGGAGTCGGGGCTCTGTTATTCATGTGTCAGACATGTAAACACTCCTGAAGTAGTCTGAGGAGTTGACTGTAAATGGTGTGCAGCAAAAAACCTGAAGAGAGACGCACATTGTTGAAAAATCATCTGCTTACTGATCCAGTGAGGCGTACTGCCTGCCTGCTGATCGGATTCCTGAGTTTGATTTTCATCATTTCAGAGACTGAGGCATAATGCCTGACTGCTGCTCAAGTTTTACAGTCTTTTTAAACAGCTTTGAGTCGAGCAACTGACAGATGAAAACCCCTGAAAAGAGCATTTGCTTCATGTTGTCTAAGAGCCCCAAGATCATCAACTTAGACTTTGTTTGCCAACTTGTAGCTGATGCTCAAAAAAAGGACGTTTTTATCTCTCAGCAGGACACAAGTGATTCAGCGTACAAAGTTTGGAGTAAAGACGAAGTTTGTTTTGAAGTTTATTTGCTCCTAACAGTCCTATATCACATGCATTTCCTCACAGGTGTGACATGGGGGAAGGTCGTGTCTTTGTACGCAGTGGCAGGAGCTTTAGCAGTGGACTGTGTTCGACATGGACACCCAGCAATGGTTCACACCATCATCGACTGCTTGGGGGAGTTTGTCCGCAAGAGCCTGACCTCCTGGTTGAAAAGGAGAGGAGGCTGGGTAAGAGAGATTTTATTCACCTGATCACATATTTGTTTGATAATCTATCTTGAAGGCCTTTGGTCTTATCTTTACTTGAGAGGACTGCTAAAGAAACACAAGACATTTTGGGAGTAGAGACTAGAAGATGACCCGCAACTATTGCAATCAGGACTCCAAAGCCAAACCAGCACCTCTGGTCACAGAGTGGTTCTCCACATCTGTTTTTAAAGGCATGTCAGGCTCAAAATGCAATCCCCAAGTGCTCTAAGAAATACAGCACATCCTGCTTGAAATAAAAAGGATTGTTTTATGTCTCTCAGTGGGTGGTCACGTGTGAAAGATTGAGGCCACAATCTTCTGATAACTTTCTGGAGAAATCAATCACCACACAGCCAATAATAACAAGATAAAGGACCTGTGACTCAGTTTTAGGCTCAGGTCCAGCTCAGTCTATACCATCCACATGTCACATGTGTCTTTAGGCAAGATACTGAACCCCAAACAATAACTACAAAAGTCTATACAGGCACATACACCCATATATTAGGATAGTTGTTCAAGCGTTTGTCTACCAAAGAAAAAAAACTGAAAAATAAGAAAAAAAAAGGAAAAAAGAGGAAACAAACTTGTTCATCCATCAGGATTTTGCTCCTCTGTCTCATACTGTGCTGGTATTTTCCTTCAGTACCGAGGTTTGAGTCATTTGGCGCCTTGATTTCTTAGGTAAATCCCATCATTTCACTCTCGCATAACTTCAAACACACCTTTGTTTTAGCTTGATTTGGGACTGCTCATGTTTGTTTATCTTTTTCATGATGAGCAAAATCTGCAAATATAGGGTTTGGGCCAACTCTCTCAGGGTCCAAAGGGACAATTTAGTTAAATTTGGAACAACCGGATTCAGTTTAAAAGTGAGCAGATTTTTGTATGACTCTGAATTCCCCTAGCTCTCATAAATAGTTATCTACTTGATTGTCTATGTTTGGGGCACATGCAGTTTTACTATAGTTTCAGTGTTTACTCACAGTAGAAGTGAAAGCATGGATTTGGTGTTGATAACTTACCGAAGAGGTAAATTTGGACGTGAGCTTGTGTGTGAGAATGAATGTCAGCTGTGACCATTAAAGTCCCACTCTCATCATTTTTTTTTCACTACTCAAAATGTTCTCAGTGGTCTATTCAGCTCTTGAACACTAATGTCTTTAGGGACATGATGAAAGCTTATATCATAATTAGCTTTCTTACAAGCATTGCAATCCACTAACACACATGCTTATTCTGCGATCGTCCTCTCTACCTCTCACAGTTTGGCCTGCATAGCGGGGCTCTGGGGGCGGAGCTTGGATTTGCTACGTAAGAAATCTCACTGTGTCTGAACGTACTGTTTGAGTCTGTCAGAGATTCACAGTGATTTGAATGCAGAAATACTCAGAAATGCAGTCTGCTCTTCCTCATGAAATGTCCTGTAGCACTAGGAATACACCATATGAACATGTAGACAACAAGAAAAAACAGTATTTTAATCAGAGTGGGTCTTTAAGGGATCCACGTACCTGAGAATGATGACAGTAGATTTTACAGGAGGGAAACTATACAGACTATGCGGCCATACTATCTCTGTGCATATGCAAATTAAACACTTAAAAAGAATGATTTGAATGATCAGTGTTAAACATTTTGTGGTACATCCTTCCCCAAACAAAAGTGATATTAAAAAAAGAGGATGAGGACACATGATGTCTGCTTCTCAGTTCATTATTTGGTCAGGTTCTCTCTCACTGGCTGATCCAGAAATCATTTCTCCTCTCCCATAAGGAAGGATCATCCAGTTTGTGAAATGCTCCTGGAGTACTTCTTTTTTTACTTTTTATTTTTGTTATAAATCACCACAGGCCTCTAAAACCTCCAAACAATAAGTCCTCTGTAGGTCATTGGAGGCATCAGTTTTAGTTTCAGTCTGTTTCATAAGCAGCTAAATTCCCCCCAGAGGAGCTTTAACACAAACCAGAACCACCTCTTCAGACAGAACAGTGTGAACGTGTCGATCCTCTCTACGATTTTGTAAAATGGGGGAATCCAGACTAATCAGAGAGTCCTGCACGAACTGAGTCAGAGGAAGGATCGGTGCCTGGCGGCCCGCCTCTGTCTGCGTTCTGCTCTGCTTGAAAGAGCTTAACATGAGGACAAATGAGCGCCCTCATGCTCACAGACATGGCACCCAAGCCAGCTCTGTTTAGAGGAGAAGTGGAGTGTGACAAAGTGAGGAGCAGTGAATTGTATAACTGACCTCATGAAGCACAGATCAGGGACCTGATTTTCACGGTCACAGCTCACACTGTAACATCGCTGCAGTGGGATTTGAGGTCAGTGTGTAGAGGTGTTTTGCAGCAGGATCTGAAGAGGGAGATGTGTTTAATGTCAGGACTGACACCTTACTGCTTTCTGGAGATTTTCATTGTCTGTGCAAGTCTTTTCTTTATACAACTCTGAATTTTGCTGCAAGTACATAAGCTTCTACTGTGAGCTTTGGCTTTGGAGGGACATATTTGTGGGCAGGTTGCACATGCTGGGACAGCAGAGTCTCAGAATATTTACAAATCAGGAACACATGTGGAAACTTTTCTCTCTTTTTTTAAGCATATTTGCTCCAGATTTTACTGTTTCCATTTGAACCTGAATACCCTCACTAGTTTAACTCTCTCTGCTTGGCTGTTGCAGGTGGATGTCACAAAATGCGTGGTGAACTCTGACCCCAGTTTCCGCTCTCACTGGCTGGTGTCGGCTGTCTGCACCTTTGGACACTATGTGAAGGCAGTTGTGTTGTACCTGCTCAGAGAGAAGTGATTGAAACAAAATCAAACACTGGATTTTCAAGAGACGGACCAGTATGTAGCACCATCACCACCACAAACACCACTTCACCAAGGCATCCTCTGCTTTGGATCATGTTTACACTCATTTGCACTGAGCCATAATTGATAAACACTCGCCCTGCACAGACTCTTAAGTGTGTTTCCTCTTTCCTCTGTTAGATAGTGTATTTATTGTTCATAGTTTTATTGTGTCACATGTTTCAAGCTCTTAATTTTGCCTCAAAAAAGAGACCTGCTAATGTTGCTGGCTGTGTAGCAACAATTTGGTTGACCCTATAGGGGCAACTGTTGTAATTATTGTAATTGTAAACTGTTGGCAAACTGTTGTGGTGAGCGTTTTTGCTTAAAGTATAACTACAACAGTTCAAACAGAAATCCTGAGGCTTACCGTGAGAGATAGTCATTACATTTCTTACCTGGATTTAACATATAACCCCCACAGGCATTTGCGTGCTAGATTTACGCAAATAACTGCATGTTTTCCTCTCAGTAAGGGACTGAAGAATAATTATGAGAAGGGTGGAGTTCAGAGAAGAGAGGGGTTTATGTTGTTCCTCTTTCTTTTGGAGACAGAGGGAGGAGTTTTAAGGCTTTTCTCACTCCTGGGTTAGGTTCAGGTTCAGGTTCAGGTGACTTGAATCAATTTGTTCATTTGTTTTGCAGCTAGGTGATGATCTTCAGTTACAAAACAACCTGAATAAAAACTATTAAACATGCAAAAACATGAGAAATTGAAAGAACTCCATAGCCACACTTAACAGAGCTTAAGTGGGTAAATAAACGTCACCCAGATACATAAATGAAATAAAACAATGTAAACGCGTATATAAAACCCAAATCATATTTGCTAGTATCACTACATCTTGTTCAGCTAAGTTTTAGCCGGACTAACCTGTCCTTCTAAGTCCTTGTTCTGCAAAATCAAAACGTAAACCTCCATTCAGACAGAGGGACCTGAAATTTACTGTGTAAAGGATGAGAGTCATGCTGGACGTGCCTGTTGTACAGCCGAGACTTACACGTCAGCTTATTTGACCATTTAGCTATGAGATACAAAGGACATTGCATATTCTATCCAAGCAAAAATACCTTTGAAAAAAGACCAAAGTGCGTCATGAAGGTGCGACTTATTTGGAAAATAATTCTATCTTTGTTTTAAGGCTAAGCGGCATGCATTGATTCGTTATATTTACTCTGTTATTTTCTGGAGATCAGAGCTCCTTCCTCTTGATTTGCAAGAGCACAAAACAAATAGAAATCAACCCATCTTGCGTCATTAGTGCGGTAAAATGTTTGTTATCTACATCACTAGGTAATTACCCCATAATTAAGAGGAAACAAGCTTTGTGATCTTGAGATGATGAAGTTAATTAATCTGCTATCACAGACAAACCAGCTTTAACAAGAGAAATAAGCCAGGACTTGGAGAAAGCAGCTGAGTTAACTTGCTGAAATGGAAAGAACAGAGTGAATGTATGGATGCATGTCTGCTTAGGCCCTCTGTGTGGCTCTTTTTTGTGTCATGGAGTGGCATTAAGGACAAACAAAAATGTGCATTCAAAGTCAAACTAAAAACTCCACATCTAACCCTCTGAAGTTGCAATGATACTGAATCAACTTAAACAACTAATCAGTGAAGGAAAAACCTTTTGCTTTTGTCCTTTTTACTTTAAATAATGCTTGACAATGAGGATGCAGACTAGTAGTCACCACTTTAAGGTGTTGGTTGTGACATAAGGTGCGTCCGCTCAGTTCTCTGTTGTAATGGTATTTTTAGATTTAAATGGTATTTTAAAATCTAAAAATACCATTACAACTTAATAGCATGAACAGTAAGTCTTATCAGCCTACCCTGACCCTACAGTGCAAACACAGTCCTGAACAAGTCTGACTTGAATCTACAACCACTCCACCCATGTGTATGGATGTGTTATAACCCAGCAGCACTCTGTATTTAATGCATATTTCCTTCTCTTTTGTTCCCTGTGAGGCAGTTTGTCGTACTCATATATGTCACAGTATATGCTATTCCCTCTGTGTTAGAGCACTTTGAGAACATTTCACTCTATGTGTAGAGTTTATTTTGTGTGTAATTTCACTTTGTATGGCATGTAGCACAATAATTCATCAGAAATGAACTGATGTCTGTAAATCTACCACTGTAAATATTAAGAAGAATAAATGGTTCTTACAAAAACAAATCAGATCTGCAGCTTCAATTTTTAAGAAATAATCCAATATCTTGTGATTGTTGCATTGAAGGTTTCGAACAGTTTTTGATCCATCCCTGTGCTGAAAATCCAACAATGTGACTATAATTGTGAACATGGGAAACGAACCTGGCAGGTGTGGTTTCTCTAGACCACTAGAGGTCACTAAAGGGCATGTTTGAATGTCATGATTATTCCTCCTTCATTCTTCAGACTGCTGCACTGCACAGCAGGAGGTCCAGAGTGACTCAGAACATGCATCAAAGAGTTGAGAGTTTTACACAACAAGGTTTTGCTCAGACATGTTCCTGGATTAACACCTCACGCTGCAATGTGTAACACTGGAGACAGCCATTTACAGTTGTATTAAAATGGAGTGTGATAGAGGCCAAGCACTAAACCGCACACCATCCCTAGACCCCAGAGAGCCTCTAAAATGCCCAGATGATAGCTTCTTCATAGTAATTCTGTTGATTTCACATTTTTCTCGGTGTTGCCATCCATCCAATAGTACTTTTTATCCCATCCAGGATTGTATGGGGGTTGGAGCCTACTCCAGCTGTCATAGATGAAAGACAAAGAACCAGACACACTCTCACCTGTGTGCAATGTTCAGCCACCAAATAACACCTGAGGAGCAGGTTTTGCAGCCCTGTCTTAGAATTTGTTCAATGGCTGCAATTGGCTGTAATGACCCAGAGATTATTATAAGATTATTTGGGTCCACACACTGTATAACACACTGACTTAGTCTCAGTGATATCACCCTGCAGTAAAGATAGAAATTGTGGTATGGAGCCTAAAGGGGTTCCTTTGACTTAATCCAAAAGTGCTGAGCTTCTTGGATCTTAGTTTTTTTTTTTTTAAATTCAAAAATTGTGTTGTGAATATCATTTCCTGCTGACAGCAAGTGCACTTAAAGACCCAATTGTCTTTTTTTTACTGAACTGTCAATTGATTTGGGGTACTTGATGGTTTTTATTTGTCTCAAATAAAGAATGAAAGAAAGCTGAAGAAAATTGGGGAAAAGAATAAAATCACTTTTGCTGACAGTGATAACAAGTTGCCTCCATTCTGGGTTCAGCTGGTTTGCAGCTGTGAAGGTAGACAGTTTGACCAAAAAGATCAGAATAAGGAGTAGCTTAATAGGCTGGCCTGAAAACTATCTAAGGAATAAACTAAGTATCAAACAAATCAAGGAACAAAAGCATCCCTTATGTACTTTCTTTTTTAATCAGTTAACCCTCATCTGGGAGTTTTTTTTAGGAAAAATTATAAACTTTATAACAAACCAAACAGGTCTAATAAAGTCCTTCACATCTATTTAAGGGTCAATTTACAGAGCAGGAGCCATTTCAGGGAGTGGGCTGCTGCTCAGTTCAGGATGGTTGGGAGTGTGTGAGGGTCAACAGAGAGACAAAAATATATTATGTACAATAACATTGTAACAGTAAAAGAGAAGCAGTTTTACAGATTAAATACATACGCTCCAAAGCAAAGGTCAAGCAATCAAACAGGTATAACTGTTCATGTGAGCACTGTTGAATTGATTTCAGCCAGTGTTTGAGTTCTTTGTTGAAAGCATTAGCTACTGTTGGCCTCTAAAATTAGATTAGAGAGATTCAAAGTTTCTCAGGTAGCCGTTAAACACAAAATTAAAATGGTTAGAAAAAAAACAACAGGAGTCATCCTTAGAGAAACAAAAATATTTTTGCAATCTGTCATGGTCCATACATGACAAGGATACATCCCCTGGGGAGCTGTAACTGTGTCAGTGACTGATGGAGTGAAACTCAAGTTTTTGTTTCTTCTTCTGCACTAAAAAAATACTGTCATGAGGAAAAGGTTTTGACCTTCTTTCAAAGCTAAATATTCAAGCAATCCTGTAAAATAAAATAAAAAATAAAATGCTTTGAGAAGAGATGATGTTTTCACTGGTTTATGATTGAGTTCAGACAAGGAAGACGTATCACTGTGTCTAGCGCCCTGTCACCTGTAACACGAACCCATCGTCAACTGTTTTCGTCGGGACAGCTACGTCGACAGCTTCGGATTGGTTTGCCTAATATTACCCCGCCCTTTCCAAAGCCTCATTGGCCATTGTAAAAGCTGCCCCTCCCCTCTGAGAATTCCACAGCAGACATGTCTTCTGATTGGTCCGGTGAGTCCGAGTGCTGAGAACAACAAACAAGATAGGGTGAAGATCGTCGGGATGGATGCAGGTAAGCGAAATTTTACAGTAAAATAACATATTCCCTTCCCTCTGCGGGCTGTTGTAACGACTATGGAATTCAATCATTGCCTCTCCTAACCTTCAAGCGAATACCCAGCTCTGTCCTGACAGGATTGCCAACTCCCGCTGTCAAACACACTGCTTTGTAACGTCGGTGACGTTAGCTTGCCAAAGTGATGACTAAAGCTAAAAGCTAACAAACATTAGCATGCTCTTATTGCTGAATGTGGCGGATTCGTGGCGTTGACAGCTCTCTGTCCGGCCATCAAACTTCACTGCTGGAGTCTTGTTGTCATTTTTGTTCATGCCAGAAGTTTTCCTCTTAATTGTATGCCTCTTGTCCTTGGCGTTCGGATCAATGCTAATACTGAGTTACGCCCAGGAGGAACATCTAAGTCGATGCAGTGTCACCATCACATCGTTATTATGCTGCTGTTAGCACAGCCGGGAATGGTATTAGCTATTAGAGAGGTTATATTGTATTCAGAGAGGCTTATTCAGCTAAGTGATGGCACTCAGAGAAAGTAAACAGGCGTCCTCTACCCTATGTAGGAACATATGAACCTGTACTCTCTTTATTGATATGGCATCCTATCCCTTCTGTACAGTTATGTCTACTTTAAGTAACTATTTTAAATACTTTTGAAATACTGTACACATGACTTGAATTAAAATGATTTTACGATATAACCTCAAAACACCAACAGCAACAGACAGAATTGAGAGTATGAATCACAGGGTAATCCTCAACAAGCTACAATACAAGAGCATACAGATGATACTTACATGATCAACCAAATGTAATCGGTGCCATCATTTCGGCTCCTGTCAAAATAAAATATGGATGATTTAGGGTGCAGAAAACATCTGCCACAAAGTTAATAGACAGAGGGCCAGATGTGTGTGTGTGTGTGTGTGTGTGTTGGTGAAGCAGAGGCGCAGAGTGAGCCCTGACTGAAGCTGTGGTATCCACAAGCATTTATTGAACATGAATCAGTTTACAATTGACTTAAAGGGGTTTCGTGTTCAACCTACAGATATGAATCTATTTGAAACATATGTTGAAGCTTCCACCTCAAGTCATCCTGATATAAAATTTGAAGACCACAAGGCTGTAACTATGCTAAACTCACAGACACTTGAGAAACAGATGCCTCTGGCCTTCCTCTTCATAAATTAGGAAACTTAATCCAGATAAGACAGTTGTTTTTTAAATATGCGACTGTCTTAGATGTATTTGGTAGCAGTCGATCTTTCTTCATGTGCAATGTTAAATAACTGTCAGTCAGCTGAAGGCAGTTACCTGGCTCCCAAACTCTTTTGTTGTTTTACCTGTACAACATCTTTTCCCATAAACTGATGAAATGCATTTAACATTTTATTTCCAATGTATTCTATTTAAAAACATTTCCAGTGCATGATTAGGCACCAGTCAAGTAAAATCTGACTGTTTTCTGTCTTAAAAGATATACTCTCTTCATCTCTTAATGGTGTCAACTCCTGATTGCTCAATTGTAATCCTGGCCTTGAGCCCAGTCCTCCTGGCTGCAGTGATACTTGTGCAGACTGGGACCATTAAAGAGATTGCTTTTACCTCTACGCTTTTTTATGGCTTATGTATAAAGGTACTTGTTTACTACTAGCTGATTGTGCAAGGGAAGTGTCCCCCTGATGTTGTGTTTTATAGTTTCAAAAGTGTTTGCCTGTTTTTTTGTGTTATCATTAGATTTGCCATAACAACTTCTGCTTGTAAACAAGTTTATCAGTCAAACTGTTTTGGTCTAAAATGCCATCTGTGACTTCAGAGGACATATTTCAACCATGAGAAAATAACACTTAATGTCTCAGTGATATTGATCAGGCCTTGCAGACTATTTTTTATGCCATGACTCTTTAAGTGAATGCAGAGTTTTAATAAATTGGGCTGTTTTGCAAGACGGAGAATGTAAAGATATTTAACTGCATTATGAGGCATGTAAGAATTAGTTATAGCGATACTAAATTGGGACAGTCCCAGTACGAGGGACAGAGAGCAATGTCAGGACATTGCTCTGTGGTGCAACACATTTTTCAAAGCTGTCCCTAACAAACCCCAAGAGATCTGGAAAGTCTCCGCTAGAATGGTGGGTGTGAGGTTTCAGCAGTATGATGATGATCATTTAGAAAAACAGAGTTTGACTGTATCATGGCAGAGGCTAAGGTGTAACACAGTTAGTTTTTTGTTATCAGTTCTGATGACCTCTAAATGAGGAAAACAAACTCGCTCCACCTCCGAATATGATTTCATAAAAGGTCAGACTTTGGTATACGGTTGTAGCTCTGTGATCCACTACTTCAAATACAATTAAAGCGTTTTCTAACTTTGTCAGGCCTTTTGCAATTCATGATTTCACAAGAGAACTGGATACTTGATACTTTATTTACCCCACTGCAGAAGGACTCTTAGATTTGCTCCTGTAAAGTCATCCAAACTTGAAATAAAAGTTCTCAACAACAACAACAACACAACTACTTCCTGCAAACTCAAGTCGTAACACTCAACACTTGTCCCCTTTTGCAGCAACCTTGACATACGACACACTTCGCTTTGGAGAGTTTGAAGATTTTCCTGAGACCTCAGAGCCCGTGTGGATCTTAGGAAAAGAATACAATGCACTCACAGGTAGAACCATGAAACACAAAGTGTGTGTGTGTGTGTGAGGTCTGTATACTCTGTTTTTGTGGAGTGTATTGTAATATGGTGATTTGTGTTTCCCCCTGTAGAGAAAGACGACATTTTATCAGATGTCACTTCACGGCTGTGGCTCACATACAGAAAAAACTTTCCGCCCATTGGTAAGTGAAGAAATGTACGTCTTTATTTACACAGCTCCTCAACATGGCTGATGAATTTGGAGACTTGAGAAGTCTGGGTTTTACATCTTCTTAGGAGCTCATGCATGATTCTTTAATGTGTTTCAGGTGGGACCGGACCAACATCAGATACAGGATGGGGGTGTATGTTACGGTGTGGACAGATGATCCTCGGTGAGGCCTTGGTATGCAGACATTTAGGCAGAGGTGAGACAAAACAGAACAAAGTCAAAGACATGTATTTCTCTCCTAGTTATGGATATAAAATTTAACTGTATCACTCTGAGAAGCCCTAACAACTCCTCTCAAGAGAGACTCCACCGAACAGCGCTCGTTTTCCACTAGCTTTATGACTGACCTTTTGTTCTCAGACTGGAGATGGGTCAGAGGGAAGAAACAAAGAGAAGAGTACATCAGTATTCTCAACGCCTTCATCGACAAAAAAGACAGCTATTATTCCATTCATCAAATTGGTGAGCCTCTTTGACCCTTTTCACTGCTGGAGAGTCCTCTCTGAGGCTGTCCTGTAAGAGTTTCCAGTAAATGGTCATTTTTGTGTCCACATGTTGTAGCTCAAATGGGAGTTGGCGAGGGGAAGCCAATCGGCCAGTGGTATGGACCAAACACAGTTGCACAGGTTCTGAAGTGAGTACTGTGAAGAAGGGTCACTCTTACAGATTTCTCTCCTACATTTCTCTCCTGGCAGTTATAATTAATTACTTTCTTGATTACTTTGCGATTGCTTTTGAAAAATATCATGATTTCTAGTTCAGCGTTTTTTTTTCTAGGTGTGTGTATGTTAACTTTGCCAAATTATTCAATGATATCACAACTGCAGTAGAACCACTAGTCAGCAAATAAAGTATCACTTTTGATACTTAAGGCCTGAAGTGCCTGTTGTGTCAGAGCTGTAGAGTACCCCCCACACACACACATACACACACATAAACTAGCCAGAGCTGTAGCTCCAGTTAATTCGAATTGTTCCGAATCCAATACCAGTATCAGAAATTGCTCCGATACTACCAAAAATGTTGGCATTGGTATCGGTGAGTGCTTGAGCCCAGGCACCGATCCGATACCACGTAATTTATTAGATTAGTAATTTACTTACTGGTTAGCTCTGTTTTTTATACTGTTCTATTTAAAAATAAATGGCTTGAATTTGCTGTATTTACTTGTGTTTTACAAAGGGTTTAACCTGAGCCAGACATTACCACGATGATAATAATATCACAGTCATGCAGGCCTGGTATGATATATATATTTTTTTATAACATACTGCTATCAGATCGGTACTTGGTATCGGCAGATACCCACAGCACAAGTATTGGTATTGAGAGGGAAAAATTGGTTTTGGAACATCTCTACAGTTAATGACTACTGCCAGACATCTGTAATTCTTTACTACCCAGATGTAAGTAAGCACAGATGACAGGTGGCATCATGTAGTCGGGTTGGTGGCAGTACTTTGTTCTGAAATAAAAAGTATAAAGTAGTATTAAGGCTGTGTCTAGTCAAACTGGCATATAATCACTTGATCTCAGCAATGTATAACCAGCACAGACATATGGACAATAATCTGCAAGAGTTAAGCACACTCAGCAAACCAGTTAAGATCATTTAGCCCCAGACTTAGTGATCCACAGTTCAGCCATGTTAGATAAACTCTGCTAAAGTTTAAACATCCTTAGTCTTGATGTGCTTTTTTTTTGCCTGAGTTGAAGTCTAATATAAAGTCTCATCAGTGAAATAAATCAAGAGTTCTCCATTTTATAGAGTTGTTTAAATTCATGATAAAATAATGAGAAGATTACTCATGAGAATAGTTCAAAGATGAGTCAGATATGAAGAGTCCTCTGTTGATGATCGAAATGAAAGCCCAAAGACATAAAACTCTCGTAAACTTAATGAAAATGCTGCACATCCTCTCATTTGAGATACTGAAGTCAGTGGATTATTTGCCTTTCAACCAAATATTTCACATTAAAAAGGTGCAATGTAGAGGTTTCTTTAAAAAATGTGGTGCATTTCTTGAAATCTCTTACTTTCACATGTGCATTGAATTTGTTCTGTATCTTGAAGTGTTTGTGAAGCTGCTCTTTATGTTCTAAATTGTATTTTTTACATCCATCTATCTCCAACCACTCTTTTTTTCTGTGTTTCATTGCCTATGCAGAAACAATCCTGTGTTTTAGGACAATAAACAGTCAAGTATATAAATGTGTGAAAGCTGCAGTGGGAATGTGTATTACATCACGCATTCAGCATCACACAATGATGTCTTTATTTCCCGCTCTTTCCATGTATTCACCCCCTCACTGTCAAGCAATTAACACAAAAGACATGATGCTGCTCCCTGAGGAGGTTCAGGCTTGAAGAAGTGATTATATAAAGTGAGATGTGATGTTTCCATGTGCTGTTTTGCCCTCAGAAAGCTGGCAGTGTTTGATACGTGGAGCAGGTTAGTCGTTCATGTGGCGATGGACAACACCGTGGTCATCGAGGAGATCAGTGAGTCCACCTGTGTTGCAAAGTTTGAGTGTTCAGCTCCTGTTATCATTCATATGGATAGGCAGTTTAAATGTCACTTTGGTCCTTGTACTCCAGGCTGAATCACTGACACTGCGGGATTGTTTAGACTTCAGCTAAATCTTACAGCTATTGAAGATCAAAGGTTTTCTCAAAAGCAAACAAAAAGTTAATCCATGACATTTCATGACTTATCTGTGTGTGTGTGTGTGTGTCTGTGTGTGTGTGTGTGTGTGTGTGTGTGTGTGTGTGTGTGTGTGTGTGTGTGTGTGTGTGTGTGTGTGTGTGTGTGTGTGTGAGAGCGAGAGAGAGAGAGAAAGAGAGGGAGGGAGGGAGGAAATATTTTCAAGTGAAGAGCCTCCATTAGATGGATTGTTGCATAAGCATAAAAGTGCTGAGTCTGTGTTAGAAACGTTCCCTCAATGAGCTCTGCTTGACTCTACTGTGCAGTACAAGGTCATTTGTCTCAACATGGGGAGAAGAAAAAAGCTGAGTCTGTATTTGCACAAAACTGCATTATTGGTGTCACTGCAGAGCGTCTTTGTATGCCCTGGCTGGACGGAGCATGTGCAGATACAGAAGGTGTTGGAGAGCTGAACGGCTGCCTGGAGGGGGCGTGTGCTCTGGCTGAGGAGGAGACAGCACTCTGGAAACCTCTGGTCCTGCTCATCCCCCTCAGACTGGGCCTGAGTGATATAAACGAGGCCTACATAGAAACCCTGAAGGTGAGCTTCTTTACAGAGTATTTTTTCACTGTCTATACATTTAAAAGCAAACTAGTTCTCTGTCTCAGTGATTCTGTACAACCCATACGTCCTTTTATACAGCGTCTGTCACAAGAAACTTAACATAAAAACTGTAACAAAGCCATTTTGCTGTGACATTTTTATGAGTAAGATATTGGTAAGACATCTCTACCCTTGGAAGTAGCCATTGAGAGAGAAGCTTAGCGATGCCTGTTCCCTGCATCTTCAGTCCAGTTCTGGTTTCAAAGGTTAAAGTCAAAGTTTTAAAAAAAGCTTCAAATTAGATGTTTTATAAGAAGTGAGTGTTGTCCACTTTTTATTACAGTCTTAAGTTTTACTGGAGACTTTGCAGACATAGTTTCCTGGTTCCAACATCCTTGTTTGGCGGAAAATTGGCACAAACTTTTATAAACCCAGGTACTTGAATTACTGTTGACATGGAGTCTGCTCCAGCTGGAATGACATTAAGTCTCTTGTCTCTCTCCGTAGCAATGCTTCATGTTGCCTCAGTCCTTGGGTGTTATCGGGGGAAAACCCAACAGTGCTCATTACTTCATTGGTTATGTGGGTAAGTCTGATTTGTGTGTTTGTGAAATCAAAACTCACCCCTTCACAGCACTCATATGAATACTGCTGATGGTGGTCAAGTCATTAATATGATTGTCTTTTTTTGTAGGAGAGGAACTTATCTATTTAGACCCACACACCACTCAGCCTGCAGTGGAGCCTTGTGAAGACGGTCAGGTCCAAGATGAGACATATCACTGTCAGCACCCGCCCTGTCGTATGCACATCTGTGAACTGGACCCATCCATTGCAGCAGTAAGAACACCAGAGAGGGTTTAAATAGATCAGAGCGTTTGTATCCCAAAATAAAGCTGCTTGTTTGATGTGAGCGGCTGAAAATTCACTCAGTTGTTCTGTCGTCTGCCAGGGTTTCTTCTGCAGAACAGAGGACGAGTTTGACGACTGGTGTATGCGCATAAGAAGGGTACGTCTCTTGTCATATGTCTGTTATATTGGGAATGCAGTATTGATTTTGGAGACATCATCATATGAATGTCTCTTCGTCTAGTGGTCCTGCAAGAAAGGGGGCCTTCCCATGTTTGAGCTCGTAGACAGTCAACCCTCTCACATGGTCAGCGTGGACGCCCTCAACCTCACTCCTGGTAAATGGCTGTAACCTCTTCATGAAAAATCTATTCAAACAGGTCTCTAAATTCAGTTTGTGTTTTTCATTTTCTGTGGTGACACTCTCGACAGATTTCTCAGACTCGGACAGGTTGGAGCGGTTCTTTGATTCAGAGGATGAAGAGTTTGAGATCCTTTCCCTGTGAGGGACAAATGAACAATGATTTACTGTTCTCGACAGTTGGCGAGAGTTTCTTCTGTCTCTTCTCTGTATCAGACGGAAAGCCTGAGAGGATGAACATTAACTGGAGACCTCTTGAGCCAGTCCAGCTCCAATGGTGTAGTCAGTGTGCATCACACAGCGTTCTTCTCAACAGCCACTGAATGCTCTCTGTTTCCGACATCGAGACCGCCGGGTGGAAGCCGTAGCAGGAGCTCAGGATTAATTCTGTATGCACATCTTCCACATCCATGTGTTTCCATTTGAGTCTTAACACTTTAAATGTTCATTCTGAAGTGATATGGTGCCTTTCCCTGACTCCATCTTTTAAATTGCCATAACAGTTTTATGTTGTATAAACACTTTGGTTCATGATGCCCATGGCTTATGCGGTTTGTCACTACTAACAAGTCTGTAACAGCCTGTAATGAAACCAAAAGAAGTCGATTCAGCAGAAATGCTGTATTAATTATTCATGCAAAGTATCCTTGCCAAGTTTTAAACATACACAGGTTCATTTGAAGATTATTTATTTAATCAAAACGCTGTATAGACAGGTGAAAGAACAATAGACATGTAAGAAGATTAAAAATATAAATAAATTCAGAATCTGAGATTTGGTCAGTGTCCCTCTTCATGTCACTACGGTATGAAAGTCATTTTGGTGACAAGTGCCCACACACATCACTAATATCTGTATCTAGCAATTACAAATTGAAATCAGAAAGGTTCAGTGAGCACTAGAGTCAAACTATATACTTTGTTTATGTGTAACAGCAGCAACTTCCTTCAGGCAGACTCAAGTTCACTTCCAAAGTTCTCCCAGAGGCAGGTTCTGAGCTGCGAGGATGGCATTCAGACTGCGGGTCTTGATATCCTCATGCACATCATCAACGCTCTTGGCAGCATCTATTACCTGGAAAAAAACAATAACAGGCTGCTTTAAACACACATTCTTGTTTCAGATGGCACTTTGATTTAATCAACTTGCATATGATGTACTTTGGATCAGGTTACAATCAGACTGAGGGTCTCAGGTTTGATGGTACAATTTGGTTAGATTTATTTCAGTGTCTTTGGGTGAGAACGTGACTTCAGAGCAACTTGACAAAATTTCAAAAACATACAAACAAACAAAAAACAGCCATTAATTTTTGCTATCCTACAAACAGATCAAGTCTGCTCTACTGGTACAAGAAAAAGGAGCATAAAAACACTCGAAACAGAATTTATAAAGATACACCTCAATGTGTGACTGTAATTTATGGGGTATTCAGGTTGACAAATGGCTTACTAAAACAGACTAAAAGAAAGCTAAAACAGGTTAGTCTTGCATTTATAGACTGTTAAACATAGACTGAAAGTTGACATTTAGGGAAGAGGATCTGGGTCCAATATGGCTTGCTGGACCATAATTTGAGAATTTGACTCTGTTATACTGACCACAGCTCTTGGGTCCAAAGAACCACTTTTAATCCTAATCTTTGAGGATTTTTTGTGAGAAGTAACCATGTGTAGATTAAAGGGTGTATGTGCAGAGTTGTTGGAAAGATGCGGTGTCAGTAACCAGTGAACCTTAGACTGCTACTCAGAGTCCCTACTCTTTATGATTACGAAGACCTAGCATAAAGGTGGGATAAGACTGAGTCCCAACTTGTAAGACTGGGCCCACTCCTATCTCATCTTCATCTATGAGAGTATACACTGGGTAAATTACACTGGAGAGGAGAAACTTCCTTTAACAGGCAGAAACCTTGAGCAGAATTACTCATATTAAAGTCATCTGCTGAGACTGAACTGGGTTAAGAGGGAGAAAAGGAGAGGTGCATAGAGACAAACTGTAAAAACAATAATACAAAGAAATATGTGGCTGTATGAAGAGTATGTGTACTATTAACACTGTATTCAGTATTAAAAAGACTCAGTGAACAAGAGCATAAACTTAAGAGAAAAATGTTCATTGAGGTCAAAAATGAGCTGAGAAAAACTATTTCCTTTCAATCAAACACCTGTTTGCAACCTGTGATGTTGCCACCTGCTGGCTATTAGAGAGTATGCATCTAAAGAGTATCTAAGAATTTGGCCTCTAAAACCAAACGGCTACACCAACATCTCATATTCATGCTGTAATTTCAGTGGAGGATTCATACCTGCCAGTTGACTGAGGTATCCTTCATCAGGTGTTCAAATTTCTGCTGGACTGTTTTCTGGAAAACACTGGTCTCATATCTCTCCTCCCCAAACTGACCTCTCCGAGCAGCTTCAGCTGGACTCAGCTGGAGAAACATGACAAGGTCTGGCTTTGGAAGTCCCACATCAGGGCTCTTGCACCAGTCCAGATCAAATCCCTTTAAGAGATGGAGATGTGTTGGTACCTGGTGCTTTCCACAAACACACATAAAACAACAGCTTGGTAGATGCAGAGACTCACTGGTTTGGCACTGGTGAAAGCAACTCCAGAGAAAGCGTACCGGTCTACGACCAGAGTGGTCCCCTGCTCCAGTTTCTTTTTCATCAGAGGCCTGAGGTCAGAAGTATTTTATCAGAGGGATGTGTAAGATATGCCTTAATTATATATTAAGGCTAAACCTGAAAAAATGTTTCAGGAGAAGTGTGACGGCCCTGCATCTCCTCCCCCTTGTTGCAGAGATACCTGAGTGCCACTCATAACAATGATCTGGATCACCTGAGCCTGGGCCTGGCAGTGTTAAAAGCCCAACCCTGCTAATGCTTGCTCTCTTTCATTCTGCCAAACCTATCCCAGCCTTCACTTGTACATTCAAATTTATTTGTTACACTTGACAACACTCTGCACTTCATCTCCACACACATCCACACTTAAACCACTGACTGAACTGACTATGACACGCCATATTTTGCCATTGATTGTTCATTTGGTTTACTTGTTTTGCAATAAAAAAAGCCACATTTTTTTAAAGTATTCCCGGTGTCCTTCCCACATTTGTCTTGGCCCTTGAGCCAGGGTATGACAGAAGTAACAAGAACAAATAAGCACTCTTTTGATTTGACAGTTTACAGATCAAACCTGAACAATCCTTGAGTTCTGAGGATTATTAACTACTCAAGTTATTGTTATTCTTTATCCAGTGATAGTGAAACAAAGCTCACTTGTTCATTTTTTTTAATAATGAGTGTTTCCTGCATTGATGAGTCCTCACATTTACGGTTGCCTAAGTGGACATGCAGCTGAATATTTTGTGAAATACTTCAACACCTGATTTTAGTAATCAGACAGATTTTGCCCATGTTTTCTAAATTTATTAAAAATGTATTTCAACAAATCTATTATTCTAATGTTTATGAAATAATGGATTTATGTGTGACTTTTAAAATTTGTAATTGCAATTTTTACCTTGGATTTTTATTTCTTTAAAGAAAATTCAACACGGCTGGAGAGACATCTACAATTCCTTCGTGCTGGTATTTTACCAAGCTAAATATCTTAATGTCAACATTTACAAAAAACCCTGTTCACTTGTGTTCAGCAACTTTGCTTTTCATTGGTTGGTATTATTTAATTGTTGTATTTTCTCTAATGCAATAAAAAAAGGAAAAGAAAAACCAACACAGTGATACCGCCTTTATATCTGCTATCAGCCTACTTTTTTCTCAGTATCAGCACTGGTCGTTGAAAAACTGTCATCAGTGTACTGCTAGTATAAATAACCAGGTTTCTTTGTGCGCACATACAGTCAAGCCCAAAATTATTCATACCCCTGGCAAATTTTGACTTTGTTACTTTTATTCAACCAGCAAGTTTTTATTAACTGGAAATGACACAGGCATCTCCCAGAAGATAAGATGATGTACAAGAGGCATGGTGGAAACAGATATTTCAAAGCTTTTATTTAAATTTGAACAAAAAGTGGCAGGTCCAAAATTATTCATACCCCTCTTATTAATTAATAGACCAGAAATCTTCTTCTTTGTCCAGATGAGCTTTTGCAAAGGCCAAGCGGGCTTTTGTGTGCCTTATCTGGAGAAGTGGCATCCTCCTTGGTCTGCGTCCGTGGAACTCAGCAGTGTGCAGTGTCTGTTGCACTGTCTGGCTTGAGATGTTGCCACCAGCAGAACCCAGATTCACCAGGATGGCCTTGGCAGTGATCCTTGGATTCTTTTTCACCTCTCTCACTATCCTCCTGGCCAGCACAGGGGTCATTTAAGGCTTCATTTTAGTCCTCTGAGATTTTCCACAGTGCAGAATGTCTTGTGTATTTTAATAACACTTTGCACTGTAGCCACTGGAACTTGACAACGTTTAGATATGGCCTTATAGCCCTTTTCCTGACTTGTGAGCAGCAACAATGCACAGCCACAAGTCCTCAGTGAGCTCCTTTGTCTAAGTCATGACTGTCCAAAACCCAACTGCAGAGAGCTGTTTTTCACCTGTTGAGTTGATTAAAACAGCTGTTCCCAATGAATTAGAGTAATTAGGATGCTTTAGAACAGCTTGGACTATTTGGAATGGTAGAGAACTTTGGATTCTCCCATAGACTGTGACAGTTTGCAAAGGGTATGAATAATTTTGGACATGCCACTTTTCGTTCAAATGTAAATAAAAGCTTTGAAATATTTCTTTCCACCATGATGTCTCTTGTAAATCATTTTATTATCCTCTGGGAGATGCCTGTGTCATTTCCAATTAATAAAACACTTGCTGGTTGAATAAAAGTAACTAAGTCAAAATTTGCCAGGGGTATGAGTAATTTTGGGCTTGACTGTAAATTCTTCATCCCAAATATGAACAGATCTGGGGTAAGGCTCATGACCTGAGCTCTCAGGTGCATGCAATTAAGATGGCAGAATGATTTGTCATACTTTGGCCCATTACAATTACCAGACAAGTTTTGGGTCTACCCAAATTTTATGACAACAAAATGATAATGAGTAAACAGGCTTTGTTACCTTGTGAAAATGGCATGACAAATGACATGACGTTATAATGTGAAAAGGAGTTATATTTTTCAGATAAGATAAGTGATATTAAGTTGTGATAATAAACTGAATTGTATGGATTTATGTCCTCTTAGGCCTACCACAGACTGATCGTAGCAGGAAAATCACAGCTTGAAAAAAGGAGGCCTCCAAGTAACCTGCATCATCGAGCTAATGACTGCTTGTTAGTGGAAATTAGGAACCATTACTGTGACCACACCTATGCTGCCGTTGTACAGCTCTGATAATAGCTACCAAATATAGTTTTTCACTTGTAAGAGAAGCTGAGGTGTGGTCAAGTGTTTGAACAATTTAACAGTGTTTTATAACTGTTCTTAAGTAGAAGTCCGCATATGTTACAGCAGTAAATCAGGGGTCTTACACCAGTTCCCAGCGGTTTGCAGAGAAAAGCAGATGCACAGTATGGTCCTCTAAATCCCTCTTCTTCTCCAGATAGGCGCTGATCAGCTGGCCTATTGTTGTTGTCCTGTCTGTCCACAAATCAACAGCAACACTACAGATTATATCAATGTGACAGGGCAATGACAGCTTTATATTCATCTTGCACATTTAATTGAAAGGCAAGGGTTAAGTGACCAGACTTACCGGGAAATCGGATCATCTCCGCCGGTTTGCCGCTCTGCTGCAGCGCCTGAACGAGTTTATTGCACTGCGTCGTTTTCCCGGCTTTGTCGACTCCCTCCAGCACAATGAGAGCTCCCCTTTTACACGCCATTTTAACGCTGTGTGTTTTGGAGACAAAAGGCACAAGACGACAAATTTCTCCTGCGCTAAATCTCAAACAGCGCGGTAGATCCTCACCGCAACACTATTTACCCGCTGATTTCTGAAAACAGACGTCAACACGGAAATCAAATGACGCACTTCCTTTTTTTGGTGGGGGGGGGACTGTTTTGACTGAACAAAATCACCACGGTAGACATGTCTGGACACAACACCCCCCGACACACACAGGTGAAAGACAAGTCTCGTTAGGGAATTTTGAAATTACACTGAAATAGTACTGATGCCTCTTTAGTCCCAAATGTATGTGTCTAGAGAGACGGGAACCGCTGAGTGAAGACCGCAGTTCAAGGAGGACCGCGCTTCAATGACCCTCGTAATTTCCCACAGTGTCATCTAGCGGACGACTGTGTAACAATAGCAACCATGACACTGTTGGAGCCATAGATTATGTCTATGGTTGGAGCCACTTACACTCAAACATCACATTATGATTACTGACCCCTCAATAATCATAATTTTATACTTAAATTTACCATAGCTCAGAACCTCTGGGAGTATCAGGGCCACATTCTGTGAAAAAAGATAAAATAAATAAATAACTTTCTCACAAGAAACAACTATTATGTTACAAGATTCATGTTGTGTTATGAAAATGAAGTTGTTAATTAAGTCAAGGATTAGCCACATATTTCTGTTTTAAGTTTAAACACAGAAAAAAATATTGAATCAACAATATCAAAATAGGTCAAACTTAAAAAAATAACCCTGAGTGACTTAAATGGAGTTCCCTGAAAATCAAAGCACCTTGGAGCACACCCTGGATAAACAAATCTGCACTTTTCTATGGGCTGTAGCCATTTCCCTGTAAACTGGGTCACACAAATGATTGTCCATCACCTAAATATTAAAAGTCTACCACTTGGAGTCATTTAATAACTTAGGAAAAACTAATGTACTGAAAAAGACATGAATATGATAGGAAAGATGCAAAAATGTGTTTGTCTGCATGCATTTTATAGATGCATTATCAAATGCTACATGCTAAATGCTAATGTCAATAATGCAAATATGCAAAACACTTTAACAGAGATACAAATAGAGACTCAAATATGAGAAATACAAATTCATTAAGTAGTATCACGTATAAAGATATAAACTTAACAACAGAAAAACTGATATACATTATGACTTTCAAAGTGCAAGTTTAACATTACAAATACAAAACCAAAATTTCCATTTGTTGTATTGTGCTATTTCTTTTTTTAAAAGCAAATGCTGATTTTAAATTAGGATTCTTTCAGTCAGATTTAAAACTTTTAAAAACTTTCTTTGACCGAAGTACTTAAAGCCCAGGGAAAAAAAATATAGCTACAACCAACCTTTGACTGTTTTCATTTTTACCATTAACTTTTACCCTTTGTTTTGCCCTAATGTGTTTTTTCATCCAGCAACAGTTTCACTCAATTCATTATTAACTACTAACCTATTATGTGCCATTGTTTCCTTGTAATACTTTAAAAAGTAGGGAAAATATATTTTGTATAGTTTTTTCTTTTTTATCTCCAGGTTTGTGGGTTCTGCATCAATAAAAGAATGTAATATGAACTTTACAACTTTGAAAACAAATTGAGTGTCATGCAGCCAGACTTACTTTTATCGATCATAAGTTTCATTCAAATTCACGCACTAGAATTATATGTAAGAGTCAGAAAACCACTACCTAGTTGGTATTTAAAAAGTCAATTTCAAACTGTTTGCTTCCTCAAAAGGCATGCCCCCCCAGCATGTGTCAGGACATCACACTATCCTCAGAGCCTTTCTCCAGAATACTCCTACTGGAGCATCATCCAGATAGTACTACAGAATGTATGGAAGATGACAGATGACATCAGCCAGGCACGTACATGTACACGCAGTGGAAATATGAGCGCCAACCTCCTAAAATGAATTTGAAGTTATCCAATTTGGAACTATAAGCAAGTCCCTCACATGTCCCTCACATCCGCTACGCCCATGTTCATAATCAATACTTACACACGACCTAATTTATCCGTCCCATGCTCAAATTTGGGCACTAGTTGTCAAGGGCGCAAGGTGGTGCTGTTGCAAAACACAAGGGTCCTTAAAGCGCGGTCTGGCTCCTCAGACACATGCGTCTTTATCAACAGCAAACAAGACCAGGAGCAACAAGACTGACTGTTTCTTTATGTTAATTTTTAATGCCTGTGACTGCTGCTATGTTGTAACCATAGACTGGTTGTAATCTGTAAAACTTGGCACATGAATGTTTATCTGTTAAATCCAATAATGAAGTAAAGCAAAGTTTGATAAAAGGCATTGTTTATTTCAATACACTTATAACATGGACATTACTTTGAAAAGACATTTTTGAAAATCTTTAACTTCAATCAAATTTGTTTTTCTCTTATGTAATAATCTTAAAGTTACCTAACTGAAATCATATACTGCCAGAGGAGAGAATTTGTGAAACACAACATTTCCCTTCACAGTGTGACCCCTTACTGACTGCCATTGCAGGAGGTGATGCAACATTAAAGGGATTAAAGATATTTGATTGATAGCCAAGTACTTATGTGTGTGTGTGTGTGTGTGTGTGTGTGTGTGTGTGTGTGTGTGTGTGTGTGTGTGTGTGTGTGTGTGTGTGTGTGTGTGTGTGTGTGTGTGTGTGTGTACGCTTGCGTGTGTGCGTGCGTTGGGGGGGTCAGAAGTCACAACTTACATACAATGCATGTATTTTGTGTATTTTGTATGAGTTAAAATCAGGAAAACTGTAAAAGCAGTATTTGTTTTGATTCAGTAGGCCTAAAGTGTTCTGAGTTGTGTTGATGAGCTAATATTTAAGTAACAGTTTTAAACTTATTTAATGGCATTTTTTTTGGGTCTTAAAGCCAAGTTTATATCACAGAAATCCTGAGCAGAAATGCACTCATATTGCAGTTAATATGAGCTTTTCATTTACTTTTCTTACTATTCCAAGAGGAAAATGCTGAAAAATGTTAGTTATGAGTTTGCTCATCATAACAGATTAATTTTTTTTAAATCAATTTCAACCTAACAAAGTTTATTTTCCCAATAAACAGGATATTTTTCGAGAAACATACAAAACAAAATGATGAACACAATATACCGTGCTGCCATTTCCTAAAAGGGGCAAGTTAAGCCTGTTGTTATGTAGATAGATGGATATACTGTATTGATCCCAAACTGGGAAATTCTCTATTCCTTATGTGTGTGATTTTGCAACTTTAGGGATATAATATCATGGGGTAGCAGAGTAGATAAAATCCATTGATATACTGTCTGTCCTTGTCAAGCTTAGTGTATGTTCGATTTGACTCTGCAGTGATGAACTACTGTACTTCAGCTGTAGCATTTGCACGGAAATTTTTCTAGTCTATTTCTAACCACAGCTCAGTCCTCTGTGACATAAACAGGGTTCACAATCCTATGTTTTCTAAACTCTTTAGTTTGGTAGTGCAATGCTTATCATCATTTCACACCTCCTGCTCTAACATACATTAGCAAAAATGGCTGATTGAACAAGTGCATGAGCTGATCATGTTTTCATTATAACACACAGTGCCTTCTTTTCGCAGCAACATTGACTCAGAATAGCCTTTCATAGCAGGGCACATGTCACACTTTGCTCTTATGGCAGTGTTTCAGAGCATCCCTCAGAGCTGCCAACACCATGTCCACCTTTGGCATGCTGCTGTTACATCCCATCAGTCCCACACGAAGCACCTGAAATAACCAATAAATAAATAAATAAATCATAAAATATATATATTTTTACAAATAAAGAATTTTGTTTAAAGCAACAAAGAGTCTCACCAGGCCAACCGATGGTCCAAGTCCTCCAGAAATCTCTAAATTGTGTGTTTTCATTATGTACGTGGTGATCTCTTTCCAGTCATATCCATGAGGGGCAACAATCGTGGTAACCGTGGGTAGTCTTGCGTTCTTAAACAGCCATTATAGACACTACATTGGTTTCTTGCATGATGTTAATTCAACGACAACAACGTTATTTTGTCAAGTTTCATGATCATGTTGATATTTGAAGCTCACCCTGTCGTTGACAAAAAGTTTCAGGCCCATGCTCTCAAGGCCTGCGTGGAAGTACTCGGCCACTTTTTGATGTCTTTCCCATGAGTTCTCCAGACCCTTTACAGAAGAGGGTGTGAATAGAGACTTAACTTTACCAATTAAGGCAAAGGACATATTTAAGTGTCGTGCAACACTTACACTTTACCAACATAAAGGATATCCTAATACAAAAAAATAAAAATAGTCTCAATTTTTTGTTTTTGACACTAAGACTGAAAATAAACAGTTGACCTAGCCTCTGGATCTTGAATGTGAAACATAAGAAAAGGATGCTTTTACAGGTGCAGAGAGTAATATTTAGCAACATTTAGCATGACACACTCAGCAGAAATTGAATATTAGGTTCCTAAGCCTTTTTTGAATTGGTGTAAAATCCATTGAAAATAAAAACTGCTCTATGTTTGTTTTCTCAGTATGAGCTTCTTTTTATTTTGTAAAGAGCAGGTCCCCTTCCATGGAGGCTGCCATTTTGGACAGCCATGTTTTTACAGTGGCACAGATGGTACAAACTAGTGACAAATGCATTTTTTAATTTTAGTGATTTCTGGGAAACTGCTGGTTGGGAGAAAAGAGTCAAACTCAAGCGTCTTGCTTAGAGGACTAAAGTCTCTGTGTATTGGGGTTGCAGTTTTACTGCTAAGCAATATTGCTCCTTTTTTAAAGTATGTTATGCTTGTTGGCTGTCTACCCAGAGTTACTGAAACTCTGAGAGAAACAAAATCATGATTTTTCATTTGAACACATATTGTACCTCTTCAACAAGAACAGCCAGACTCTCCCTCAGTGAGTAAAAAGCAGTGACAGGACCTGTGTGGTGATATCTATGAAAACGGGATGAAAAGAACACAGACTATTTAGAAATTGATCTAAAGATCAAAGCGTAGTTTTTAATAAAGATTTGTCTTACACTCTTGAGGGTTTGCCATCACATCCCCAGTAGTTTGCAAGCCAACTCAAATCCAAAAAGAACGACACAGGCTTTGTCCTCCGGTTAAATATTTTCTGGCTGTGAAAGAGTCAACCCTTAAATATCTGTAGATTTTAAAATCTATGACCTGAATGTGTTTCTCTCACCATGCTCTTTCACTGAACGAGATGGGGGCTGTACCTGGAGGAGCATTTAGAACTTTTTGGGAGCCTGTGTACAGGATGTCAATCTCTGCAATCACAAATATCAATATTTTTTATATAAACTTTGAATCTTTATAACACATTAAATGGCTTCATTAGTAATCAAGTTTGAATACTGAACCTTGTTTGTCCATGAAGAGAGGAGCACCACCAATTGATGCAACAGAGTCAACAAGAAACAAGCAGTTATACCTGTAGGGACAGATCTAATTTAGCCATTTGATGCAAATGTTTTTGTAGCAAATCTGATTTAATTTGTGTGAAAGTTGAATCTTACTTTTGACACAGCTGTCCAATCCCGTCTAAAGGATGCAGGACTCCTGTGGAAGACTCTCCGTGGGCAAGAAAGAAAACAGCCGGTCTGTGTTTTGCTAAAGCCTGTAATGATAAACAGCATCACCACACAGATGTCAGCTTTGACTGGAATAAGAGGCATATAATAATCCTACTGATGGTCATACCTGCTCAATTTCTGCATTTGAGAAGAAACCACCAGGAGGTACAGCAATTGTATTCACTCTGGCACCTGTCAGATTGAAGTGGTGGAGACCCTTAGTACAATTTTACAGGATAAGAGTAGCATCACTTGCAAGATTTTATATAAATCCTATGAAGATGTGCCCCTCCTGTTGTAAGAAGGATCTGTGCTGTAAGATTTACAATTTTGTATCTCCTGTCCCCAATTGAAGCATGGTTTACCACTGTTCAAATCAGGATTGTCAATAACTACGACACACAGTTTTATTACATGAACAAGAGGATTTACTTGTTGTCAAATTAGAATTTGTATGCAAAGGAAAATAAGTTGCATAAAATGGATTATGCTGATTACTGCAAGATTAGATTATTGCGTGCTCAGATTTTTATATCTTGATAGCACAATATCAAGGATTTTACTCAACGGGACTTGAAGGGCCCCATAGTGTGTTCTCAGCCAGATACAAAACAAACTGTTTTGGCTTGGTTAGCATTTGTCCAGTCATGGGGTGATGTTTTAATGATTTATTTGTTTGGTAGACATCACAGTTAAGAGATTTTGCATGATGAAGAATAGTTATTGTCATGGCTAACTTGATGGACAAGCTGGTACATTGCAGCTGTTAGCAAGGAAACTAAAGGCCTGCCTGCACCTCTAAGGCTGAGTTAGCATCTGACAAACACCATTATTGCACCTTTTAAATAATGTGTGACACCTATGAGACTATTTTATGTTTTATATCGTGTCTAGTCTTTGCACAAGAGAAACTGTAAATGTGTGATTTGTTATTCAGCCTTTGTAGAAATCAATCAGCCTGGAGTGGTGCAGAAAGGGGAAGTAAAAGATCATTAAAACTCTGCTGGTGTATATGTTTTTGGAGTTTCTCAAAGCTAAACAGACTTATGCTTATACAGTCCTTGTCTGGTCTTGGTGTGATTTTTCACCACTCATCACATTCACCCATTCACACTATTCCCACACTGATGGCAGAGGCTGCCTTAGCCAGGGTTTATCAGTATCAGCCAATCTTATTCATTTGTATTCACACACTGCTGATTATGTCACTGGGAGCAATTTCAGTTCACTTTAGCTGGGATTGTACTGCCAATCTCCCCATTAGGAGATGACTGATTCTGCCCCAAACCAAAGCTGATTGTGTTAGGAAAAAGACTTCCAACTGTCTTACCTATCCTTTCAGCCATTTCTGCGGCTCTTTCTCCCCATATGCCATTGACTGCAGACAGCACACTCTCCCCAGCTTCCACTGAGTTAAAGATAGCACACTCCATGGCAGTGTGTCCAGTGCCGCTCACAGCTAAAGTCATGTTGTTCTTAGTCTGGAACATGTACTGGACTCCACTTTTTATGTCTTTCATTATCTGCAACATAAAATGAGCAAACATTAAAATATCTACACTGCTTTGTACCCAACTGAGAGTGGTCCTAACAGGGTAGCTGCAACACTGTTAACCTGCACACTTATAGGGGAGCTCAAGGATGAGGTTTTGTTTCAACAAACCCTAATTCCAATGAAGTTGGGATGTTGTGTTCATTTGCACCTTTATTCAGTTGATTACACTACAAAGACTCAATACTTATATAGACTCAAATTGATAAACTTGATTGTATTTCTTGCACATCTCAAAAAAGTTGGTTCAGGGTCAACAAAAGGCAGGTTCATTGGTAACAGTAGAGTGCCATGATTGGATATAAAAGGCACATCCCCGAAATGCTCAGTTGTTCACATCATCATATACAGTCTGTAATGTCATCAAAAGATTCAGAGTCCAAAAAAATCTCTGCATGCAAGCAGCAGGGCCCAAAAACCAACACCGAATGACCATGACCTTTGACCCCTCAGGCAGTACTGCATTAAAACAACAAAATCATGGACCAGGTCTACTCTGAGCTAAACAGTAAAGGACTATCCAGACTGTTCTCAGGTCAAAGTTCAAAGGCAGCATCTGTGATGGTCTGGGGGTGTGTTAGTGTCCATGGCTAACGGTCTCATCTGTGAAGGCTCCATTAATGTTTAAAGGTACATACAGGTTTAGGAGCAACATCTGCTGCCCTCAGAGACGCATCTTTTTCAGAGACGTTCCTGTTTATTTCAGCGAGACAATAACAAGACACATTCTGTACATGTGACAATAGCGTAGCTTCAGAGTAAAAGAGTGAGGGTACTTGACTAGACTGGTCTGCTTACAGTCAAGATCTGTCTCCCACTATAATTGAGAGGAGCATTATGAAGCACAAATTACCCCAACAGAGACCCCGGACTGTTGAGAGTCTGAAGTGGTCCACTGATCAAGTGTGGGAAAGAGTTCACCTCCAAAGTTTCTACAGTCAGTGTCATTAGTTTACTAATACTGATTGACTGTTGTTCAAAGGAAAGATGATGAAACACAGAGACAAACATGGCTCTGTCCAAACTTTTTAGGAACATGTAACAGACATCAATTCAATATGAATGAATATTTGCAAAAACAATCACATCTATAATTTTGAGCATTAAATATCTTGTCTTTGAAGTGTATTTAATTGAATATTGGGGGGGGGGGGGGGGGGGGTGAAAATAATTGAATTTCATTAAAATCACAACATCCCAACTTCATTGGAATTGGAGCTTGAATATAACAATAAACCTCTGTTAATGCAGGCAGTTTATATCATTGCATTGCTTTGATAGATCTCCAAATATTGCTCAAGTTTAACTTGGTTCTACACATAAAATTGAATACTCTCTATACTGAGCTCTGTGTAGGAGGCTGAGTTACCTCAAATATTTCTGGATGCATGTGTCCAATGACAGGATTAGCCCCTGCCTCCAGGATTCGTGGAGGGACATTTGAAGGTCCTGGTCCAAACATGTGGCGATGAGGAACCACCAACGGTTCCCGCAAACATTTTGGTGGCAGCACAGAGAGGGACGACATCTTTCCAGCTGTATGTTGAAAGCTTAGAAAGCTGTGAGAGCAGGTAAAGCAACGCCTGAGCCAAGACCTCCCCTCTGTCTGACCAGTGAGGTTTGCAGGTCAGGAGTCTGTCACAACATTTTCGGCCTTTATCTCTGACTCCTTTCGTCAACACAGGCTGCTCTCTGTGTCCAATAGGCTCAACTTGTTTGATTCTTCCTGGTTTTGAAGATACAAAGGTCGTTCAACATGACATCAGGTGTTAATATTTGACTACAAACCCTCCAGCAATTTAGGATAAATGATTAAACTGCTGCACTTCTTCCCCAGACAGTCAAAACATATGTGTCTCAGGGTCCATAAAAAAATAAGGCAATGGTGGCTGGAGTCGCATGAATGATTGTGGTGCTTTTATTCACAAACAAAGTGAGAAAAACAACCCCCCCCCCCCCCCCCCCCAAAAAAAAAAAAAAAAAAAAAAAAAGAAAAAGAAAGAAAGAAAATTTCTCGACATCTGATTCTTTAAGGAAAACCCCCCCAAAAGGAATCATTAATTTCCAGTACCTGCAATGGTCTAATTCACATTCACCCTCAGACTGAAGCGAGTTCTCTTAAGACCCATGGTGGTCAAAGGCTTTCAAATGTTCAGCCCCCCTCCCTCCCTAGACCAACCAGCTGCTGTCTGTCAATTAACTCAAAATTTCCCTTAATAGCTCAGTATACTTCACTTTAATAGCCAGAAAACCTTTCACCTGATTAAAAATGGCATGCTCCACCATCAGCACATCTGAAGGTGCTCCCCCTTCCCCTTTTTAAAAGGAAGCATCAAGCATTCAGCTCTGTTTGCAACCTAGAGCTGTGGAAAAAGAGCAACATGTTTTAAAATGGGTGAGGTAAATTATTAATAATAATAATAATAATAATAATAATAATAATAATAATAATAATAATAATAGATTGAACAATTTTAGATACATGTGTCTCTTTTAATCCTAACATATCAACATTTTATTGTAAAGTTTTGACAAATGATTTAAGTATGTAAAAGAGGTCAGTCTGAGATAAGTAATGGGTTTGTGTGTGTTAACCAAAGAGTGGATTTACCATGTGCTGTCCTCAAAGAGTGACATCCTATTTGCCACAAACCTTTTGGATGACTCAAGGTATGTTTTTCACACCATAGCATGTATTCAGCACCAACCTGCTTAGTTACTCAAACTTTATGCACTGTTACTTTGTGCAAAACGGTTCATAATGTTTTGCCAAAAAAAGCTGGCTAAACTGAAATATGGTCTTCTTGAAAATACTCAGTTTTCTCTGTGATATTGAGAACAAGGGAAAGGAGCCCATTTGACTGTTAAACTAAGTGCATTATGAGGATTTAAAAGATCACTAATCCATCAAATATTTAAAATACTTGAAAATGCTAATGCTCGTTTTATCCTACTCTGAATGGTTGTATTTAAAAAAATCGAAAGAATTATCATTTCAGGCAACAGATAAAGAAGAATTTTTTTATGGTACATTGTAAGCCACTAATTTATGACACTTGCTGCAACAGGAAAAATTTGAGAATGTTGTTAAAAATTGTTTAAAAACGTGTTTTAGTCAGTCTGACTTTGGTAAGCACTTGCAGTGCTGTAGGCGCTCTTTCACAATTTATGTTATCACTACACCTGTAGAGGTATATACTGTGCTTAATTTCCTTTAATGTTCTCTATTGTAGCTTATAGGTTTTTGAAGGTACAGTATGTAGAAATAGAAATATTAAGCTAAATCAAGTGGTCACACTCAAGACTGGAACTCACCTTAAATCTCCCGTTCATGAAAATTGTCATGATTTGTTCTTGTGAATTTAGTTTTTCCTGTGAAAATTAGACTTGAAATGAACTTTGACACTATTCTAAGGCTGTAAAAAGTAGTGTTCCCACATCTTATAATGTTTAAAAGTAATGCAGCTTAATTTAAGACATGTATGTGATGATGTGGGGGAAAATAAAGTAAACAGCATTCAGCAATCATACTAACAGACTCATATTATGTGAAACTCAGATTTGTTGTCTTTTATTGCAGCTTGTTGTTATTCCTCCTCACAGTTGGGCTTGATTTCTCCTCTGAGGGATGAGGAGGTGTTTCCCTAGAGGCTCAGGGCAGAAGGAGCCATCTCTGTACACCAGACGCCCTCTGATGATGGTGGCATGCACAACTCCTTGCAGGGTGATGCCAAGGTATGGTGTTATCTGCACACACACATTAGCACATGAGCTCAGATACAAAAATAGGATCTAATATTATATATTTTGCATATTTAGGCTAATGTACCTTGTTTTTATGGTGCACGTTAGCTTCTTCAACCTGTGACAGAGAATAAATCTCAACAAAACCAAAGACTTCAGATTTTCTTTGTTTGTATAAATGCAGAAAAATGCCCTTCATTTACAGTAAGGACTCTTTTAAACATACTTGAAATTCTCGCTCTGGGTCCCATATGACCAGGTCAGCATCATAGCCGAGGGTAAGGCTGCCCTTCTGTTTGTCAAGACAACATAGCTGAGCAGTTTTCTGGCTGAGGAGTCTTGTCACATCACTCAGCTGAAACCCTCTCTTACTGGCTGACGTCCAGAATAGAGGCAGACCTGTCAATGGTTGAAATGGGGCAGTGGTTACACAGGCCTGACACCATTAAGTATTAATGAAGCTTTCCTCTGATGTTTGGAGTAATTGCATCATAAATGCTCAATTACATCAGGAGGTGTAATGAATGCATGAGGTGGAATGCTGTGGATACGGATACGAAATTTTCTGGTGCTAGACTTTGACCACTTTTCCTCCTTTTTCACTGTGTCTGAACAGTCAATGATTGTTCTGGCACTCTGCTTCTGTTTACCTTTGGGTGAACTTTGCTCAGTTTGGGTGATTTTGAGGATTATAGTCAGGAGGAGGGAAAGTAGGAAACAACTAATCCCCCTTAAAGAGAAAATCTGCATATAAACTCTCTGTTATGTTGCACAGTCAGAGTTAAAAGTGGAGAATTTAAAGATAGTGTCTCTTTCAGCCAAATATAGAGGAGGATTTGTCATGAACAGACAAATCCTGGAGGCAGAATAATGTAAAAACTGCCATGGCTCGCTGAAGGCAACACTAACAACTGTGCTGTGGTGTTGAAAGTCTTGTACTGGGATAATTTAACTCTAACTAAAATGATAATTTACAAACAGATACTCTACATAAAACATCCAAATTAAACCCCAGTATCATGTGTTACAGACTGAGTCTAATCAGGGCTCTCATCAAACTCATCAGAGCTTTGTCTGATTGTTTGAGCTCGTATTTTGTCACATCCCAATGTAATATTGTTTGTATTGTATCACACAGTATCATATTGTATCCTTGCATATAAGTCAAAAAAGGAGCAGTTTTTAAATGTCTACTGCTCCGGCTCATTTTTATTATTATTTTTTTTAATCATAAATAAATACTTGAAAAAGGACTGTTTGTTGTAGGTGTGCTCCTATAATATAATATTACCATGCTTTTTGTGTTGGATCCCATTGTTTCGTATCACATCATATTTGTATCATTTTGTATCGTATCTGAAAATCCTGAAATTGTATTTGAAGGATGCCATTTCTCTTTTTATCTTGTTAATAATCTCTTTCTCCATCTCCCTCTATCAGTCTCTCCTTCTCTCTTTCTTTCTCCCTCTCTTTCTTCATCTCCCACTCTCCCCTCTCTAACCCCTCTCAGTCTCAGTAGATTACTGTCTAACATCAGTCTGGTTCTGCTCGAGGTTTCTGCCTGTTAAAAGGAGTTCTTCTCTACTCAATGCTGTAAAATGTTTCAGTCATGTGGTTGAAGATGGGATGGGAGTGTTTCTGATCATACAAGATGGGGTTCACTCTTATCTCATCTTTGCATTGGGTCTTTGTGAACAGAGTCTGGTCTTTTTTGTCTTGGGATAACAGTCGTGAAATGAGGCTTTATAGATAAAGATTGATTGACTGATTGAATAGTGAATGGGCTGTACTTGTGAAGCACTTTCTGTAGTCTCCTGACCGCTCAAAGAACTTCTCCACTACATGTTACAATCACCCATCCGTCACTTTCACACATTAATGACAAAATGTAAAAAAAGCACAATAGTGTTAACAAATCCCCATTTACACTCACACTGCTGGCCTCACCACCCAAAGCAGTATGGTGTTCAGAGCTGTGCCTAAAGACTCGTCAGTGCATAAACTGAAGGAGCATGAATCAGACAGCCAATCTTTCAGTAGCAAGATGATAACCATTGATGTCAGTTGATGGTGTTGGTGCTGGAAAATGGTTCATCTTTAAAAGCCCAGCCAATCTAGGGCTGCAGTACTAAGACGCCTGCAGCCAATGTTTTGTTTTCTATTGTGTCCCTTGGGTGCAACTTCAGATTTTATTGTTCCTGTAAGATCAGCACGGTAGATTGAAGTGGTGTGGAAGGTCTTCAGGCTGTATCTGATTAGACTTGGAACCCCTACCTTTACCAGTATTAATAAACTACCCCCCAAATTTGGGGGTTTTAACTGTGTATTTTATGACCATGGATAGATTTGACAGTTTCCAGGCTGTGAAAGTTAATCACATGGCCAAAAAACTGCTCCGCTTTCTTGGTTGGTCAAGCATGCTCTGAAAAATTGTTGTTTCAATGACTAGCATTTACCATCAACACTGATTACAGGCCTTTTAAAACTTTAAAATTCCCCTTTGAGCTCTTCTGTCTCATGGTTTTAGTTACCAAATTGCAGAGAAGAAATCCCCCCCCACGCCTGAGTGAAGTCTCCACTATCCAGCTTCTTCAGATCAATGGTGCAGGGTGAATGATCTGAAACCACCATGTCAATGTGTCCATCTTTCAGTGCAGACCACAACTGCCCCTGTGGGGGTTAGGAAATCAATAATCAATAAAAATGAAGCAGCTTTCTTTGATGTCTAAGAAGGCTAAGAAAAAAAAACAAGGTTTTGATGTGCTTTTTTTACCTGGTTGATGGATCCTCTGATGGGGGGACAGCACTTAAACTGGGTGGCCCCTGCAGGTATATCCTCTGCACACAGGCTGAGGTAGTGATGAGTGGTCTCCACTGTCAGGGGGGCCCCAGCCTGTCGGGCCTCCTGGATCAGTTTTAGTGGTTCTGCAGAGGACAAGTGGACGATATGGCATCGCACTCTGAAGAGGAGAGGAAGCTAGTGTTTGGATCTTGCAACATACACAGCTAAGTCACTCACACAGGTATCTCCAAGCATTATTGTATGTTAATGGATCTAAAGATCTTACTGGTACTGCAGGCAGAGCTCTGTGACAGTTCGAATTGCCTCGACCTCCATGATGTCTGGCCTGGACTGCAGAAAGGTGGAGTAGTGACAGGGGTCTAAGACACAAGAAGTGGTTTAGGCGAGGACATGGAGCATATCTACAATCAAAACTTTAAAACCCAAAATGAACTAATCTGTAATAACTCCTGCTGCATGGACTGTCTTGAATCATATTCAGCTGTCAAGACCGGTCTGAAGCCTTCAGGAGCTCTTGGAAAAATTTAATTTACCCCCTGCATAATGGTTGCCTAAAATATTGACTTTTGTCAATGTTGGGCACAAAACAATGGTCTCTGGTTGGAAACCAAATAAGCAACATTGCAGTCTGGCATTTTGCACCAATGACCACTCAGCTACCTTAGTTATTTGATGATGTAGTATTTATGGCAAAATTACAAAAACATTTCAGGTGCCATTTGAAACATTTCAGGCTTTCACAGGGGTCTCAGTTATTTTAGCCTAGTGTCTGCTGCTGCTGCCAGGGAGGTGCCAGGGAGGTACCTCCAGCTTTTATTGGCAACATTATGAAGCAGTTTAAATGAGTGAGACAGGCTGAGTGTTGGAAATATTTTTGAAGGGAAAATCAAAGATAACAAAGAGTAAAATCTGCAAAACAATAACAATCTTAATATGCATAATTTCTTGATTCAAGACATTTGAACAAATTGAACCCTAAGTAGTAAAAAGACAATTCCATTTTCCTACTTGATTTTGTTATTATCTGACCCTGATTATCAGAAAAACACAAATACTTAATGGAAACAGAGATAAAACAGGCTATGGCTCAGGTTGTCTACTGCTTTATGGCCTGTAAATGAATTGTTACCGCCATTCTCCTCAGTTGTCTGCAGAACTTCTCTCTCTGCATGAAACTTTAGGAGAGAGAGCAGAAGACACTAATGTCACATTACAATACCTAATGCAGATGAGTGGCTTTGATTAATACACTTTTTATCAAAGATGTAGATGGTCATTTACCAGCAGGACACTCCCTGTTCCTTGCAGCTGCTTCATGGCTGAATGTAGATCACTGTCAGTCACATGGGGGAACTCATCCACTCCACTGTGGATGAGGAAACACTTAAAGCCGGCCACTCCAGCCTGGATCATCGGCTGAAGCTCGAGCTGTTAAGAGACATCAGTTACTTGTGTTTTCTTTGGCCATAATTCAGCACAATCGAACTGAGAATGGCATTGTTACGTCCAAGCTGTCCCCTGTACCTGATTACCAGGGATGACACCTCCCCAGAAGGCAGTGTCCACAAAACACTGTCCTGTGGCCTCCCGCAGCTTCTCATGAAAGTTACTTAGTGTGGTAGTTGGAGGGATGCTATTTCTTTAAACAGGAAGGAGGAAAAAAAACATTTAGTTGCAAGCAAGAACAACTGGTTTCAAATATAGACATTAAAGTAAGAGAATATGACAATGAAACAAAAATACATTGAAACAACATAACCTGTATATTGATATTTTATCATCCTCATTTTCTAATAATCTATGGGTTGAAATTATTCCATTTGGGGGAGGAAAGTCAAGGACAGTGTGTATGTCTCTATCCCTAAACATAGTCAAAGTCAAACTTCTTTATGGCCGGTAAATTTTCTTAGGAAGCTAGCTGGGCTACATAATTGAAAACTTTTGTGAAATCACTCTGTATGAAATAGAATAGCACACTACCTTAAGCAGAAAACGCTACACTGGCTGAAAGAGAAGTTAACTGGAGTTTGGTACAATTCCATAAACTGGATTCTCAAGAAAAAAAGGACAGTACAAGTATCGCAGGTGTCTTATCATCATGGTGAAATACTTAGAGGAAGCCCACAATTTCAACTTGAGTGTTTGTCTCTTGCTTGTTTTTAGCCATTTACAGGATGCTTATTTTTAATAAGAATAAATTTATTTTATCTCCGTAGGGAAATTCAATATTTAAACACACATGTTCTGGAGCTTTTGTCCTGTCGACTCCAGCTACTGTACAAAAAAACTCAATGACTTGCACAGTCTATTTTGGTCATGGTCATGGCATTGTATATAGGAAACACCCAGTATTACAAGCAGTGTACTGTCTCCATAACCCATTTCACAAGCATACTCATGCAGATTGTATAATATGTCAGTCTGGATAGTACAATATTCTTGTTAATTTATCAATTTTCTTTATTCATGTTATATATCCCGCTAGTTCCCTGCCTTTTATATGACCTTAAGCCTGGTTTCCAAATTGTGGTTTTTGCATGAATTCTTTTAAGGACTTGTGGAAGGGACAAATGCAATTTCTTTGTATTTTGACGCAATACAGGCTATATAGTTTTGAGTTAGGTCTCAGTTTTACTCTTCATGAATGCCCTGTCATGAGTATTACAGCAGATAACTTGGTTTAAGTCATAGACCCTAAAGGCCAGTACCACACTATTCTGTGTAATTCAAATTACTCTTGTACATAGTGACAGTTCAGCGAGCAGTACACTGTTGCAGCTGCTGCACAACAAACAACTTCTCCACACCTTGCAGTTGCCACACAACCCAACCTGCACAAAAAACATTCTTGTGGTACCCATGTAGATTTGATCAGGTGATGGTAGTTATTTACCTGTTAGTTCACTTTGTAGATCACCTTACACCTTTGTTTTGGGCATAGATTAAATGATTACAGAAATATTGAATTTATGGAACTTACAGTGGCATGTCCACAATTGTTGTCACGCCCCCTGCTGCGGCAGCTCTGGTGGCAGTCCAGAAACCCTCCCAGGATGTGCGGCCTGGTTCATTCACATGGACATGGCAGTCCACAACACCTGCCATCACCACACTGTCACCCACATCTAACACCTGAGTGGGTCATGGACAAGATATTAATCATAAAATGTAGGGTTGAATATATGTATCTGCAAATCTACATCAGCTTACCTCTGCAGCATCCCCAGAAAAGTCCCTGTCTGGAAGTATTTGGCAGATTCTTCCATCCTTTATTATAACAACAGCAGGGCAGACTTCATCCCCTATCAGCACCCTCTGACTCCTCACAGCACCAATTGTTGATCCGAGCTCCATGTCCAACTTTAAGGAGGACTAATGAGAACTAAAGATTCTCCTCTCTGCTTTTACAATTCAGAGATGATCTTTGACCTGAAGTATTTTGGTGATCCACTGCAGAGGTACCACCCCCTGCTAAAACGTTCAAAAGATCAGCATTTGTTTGCTTTTCTTGTCTGTTGGTCTTGTGGCCTCTATTTGGAGAGGACAGGACAGTGCACAGATTAGGAAACGAGGAAAGAGAGTGTGGAGTGACCTGCGGAAAAGGAGCCACAGGCTGGAAAGAAACCTGAGCAGGTGGGTTAAGGCATAACTTCAGTTTATAAGGTGCATGTCGATCGCCAGGCCAGCAGCGTCCCTCAAATGGTTGATTTTAACACAAGTTCAACCTGTGATGAGGCATATAACCCACCACTGCTTTAGTGTGGAGTGGCACCATGAAAGGCCAGGGGGTGGCAGAAGTGCTAACACAAAAACCCCTAGACATACTTCTGTTGTTTGTTAAATAATACAAAAGTAACTGTACTATCAAACTTTGTTGGGGATATGCTGTATCTCCAATCAAGTGTCCAGTCTCATGCGTAAACATGCTGACATGAGCTTGTTCATTGAACATGCTCATTTTTGGTGAACTTAGCAGCTTGTTTTCCAATTTACAGAAGAAAACACGAGTGTAGTTCACTCTGGAGTCAGGTAACTGCTGCTCACTTTAAGGGAAGACCTGAGAGGTGTCAAGAGTTATCAGGAGGTCAGCCTCGAACAGGGGTTCTCAACCTTTGGCAGTGGGCCCTCCCAAAGGTGGAGTAATGCAGTTGGGCCCCCCAAGACTGACCACCCCCCTCCCTCTGTATGACCAAAACAGCCCCTTTTATCCACACAGACACACCTGTGTTCATCAAGCTACTGGTTTCACAGCTGCTCATTACACCACACCACAGTTTAACAGAGATCTGACATAAATTAAAGGTGGGAAAAATTTCTTACCCTCACTCTGGTGTCCAAAACAGGCAGCATTATCATTCATCCAGCTCCAACAGGTTAAAAATCCACCGATATTATTCCCATAGTCATTCATTTTCTCACCTCTATGAATTTAAAATGGATGAGCACAGAAAAAAATGTCTCAGTAAGAGTCTGACTTCAGATACCTTGTACTAAAGGTATATCTTACTCAGGTGTATCAGACCTCTCTCTGTACATATCTGATGTGTGGTCAGTGAAATTCTTTCACTGGAATAATTTTTATCTCTGTGTTCAAAGGAAAAATTTCAATAAAACAGAAAAACTATAATAAACAACAATAAACAACAACTATGAGAGGTGACCTTCGAATTCAGAATGTTTGATATTTTCAATTCAGAACAAACTGGACATCTGGCCGGCTTGATCAACTCTCGACTGAGAAACAAACATTTTGGAAAAAACTTCAACTTCGCCTGGATTTCAAGAACCTGGACTTTACTAGAAGGAAACAACACCTGAGGTCACCTGTGGATCCTGAATCTTTGACGAAAGATGGCTTCTGGCAGACCCCGGCCTGTGGAGTGCCCCCTGACCTGGGTCAGACAGTGGCACAGCAGTGTCACAAGTGAGAAAGCTTTGAAATTTCATATTAAAATTCACTCAATTTTACTTGTTGAATGATTTTAAGGAAAAGTTATTATCTATCAAGCAGGATTAAAGTATTAAAGTCACAGTTAATTGAAGTTTAATTGACCAGTGGTGGGAACAGAGTTATGAATATAACTCGATAGCTTGACCCAGAACCATGTTTTAATGTCAGAAATGTCTAAATTTGCATGGGGAAAACGGTCAAACATATTGACTGTGGTGTGCTGAGGGGAAAAAACTTTTATTTGCTCATGTATGGTGTAAGGACTTCAACTTTTAAATTAAACCACCGAAATGAAATTATTAAAGATGGCGCCTGGGCCACTTTTTTGGAATGTTTAAAAAACTTTTTGTTCATAACTTGGAGATGTTGGAACTGTGAGAAGTGGGCCTTAAGTAGGTGTGCCTTGCCAAAATCATCATTTATGCCATGGCTGTGATGTTTGGGTTATTTATTGGTATGAAGTCTGTTTGAATAATTAATAGATATGTATTGAAGAGTTGAGACTGAATTGTAATGCAGCCACTATGCAAATGCGTCTCCCCCATGCCCTTTTTTAAACTGACAGATTAGAGGTTTAAAGAAGAAAAAGCTCTGTTTCCAAGAAGCAGGCATCTTTATTAAGTTATCTTGTTAACCTGGTGTAAATGTCATCAATCCGCAAGATTTTAATGAATTTCCACATATTTTGGTGTTCGTTTTTATGCACCGAGCTTAGTGACACAGATGAACTTTTTGGCAAACCCCAAACCCCAACATTTTAGCCAGGTTTTGCAAACTGCAGGTAAGTGATGTCTGCGATTTAATGACAGATTCCCCCCTTGCAAAGAAAAAAAAACAACCTCTAATTGATACTGAAAAGTGTCCCAAACATCAAAACATGAAAATAACTTCTCCTTGTTTTCGATGCACTGGAATTCAGTAGAAATTTTATGTGACTGCGATGTGTACCATTAGGCAGCAAAAATCAAGGTTGCTTTGTCTTTGCACTTCAACCGTTCAATCTTATTTTGACAGTATTTGAAATGGTATTCTCCTGCTTTGTCCTCTGCTGCTTCCTCTGATTTCACTTTTGCTTCTTCTCCTTACCCCTCTAAATCTTCTTCTGATCTATCCCCTTCTTCTTCATCTCATTTCTCTACCTCTTCTTTTGATGACTTCTCTGCTACTTCTTTTGATTTCTCTTTTGCTTCTTCTTCTGATCCCTCTTCTGCTTCTTCTGCTTCTTCTGACTTCTTCGGCTTATTCAGGGCTAACCTCATGCTTGCCCTCCTGACTTCTTTGCTATGAGAATGTGCAGGCAGTGAGAGGACAGTAATCAGGAGGCGGGCCCGTCACCACAGACACCAACATGGCCTGATGAGGAACCATAACCATCAGCTCCTCCCAGTGGCATATGCCATAGAGAGGGAGGAGATAAGGCGTGGAGTGGATCACATCACATCAAGTTGTATATATTCAAACCTCACGTGACAAAGGTGGGTAGTGCGCAAAGATCACAACATAAATTCCAATAATGGCATTAAAATTGGAACCACCTGTGCATAAAGGGCGCATTGCGCTCCATGGCCTGGCTGTTTCTTTCATAGATGTTGGCATATAAAATAAATTTGGCTCACGCAACTGAATATTATAATATCCGTATGTAGGCTTACAGTAAATAACTCATCTGATAACTAAAGCAAATTATCTGTTCAGCCGCAGCAGCAGCAGCAGGACAGGGAGAAGGCATGGAGACATGTCCAGGTCGAGCTACGCGAGAAATAAGAGAAAGATAGAAATAGGGTCTTGTCTATTTACTAGATATTTAATTTAATTTAATGCAGTTTCAGCTCTGTTAATTCAGTCAGGTTGAGTGTCCAAACACGTGCCAAACATGCTCATCAGATTAGATAGAGATCAGAATGTATCGATATAGATCTAAATGTATGTGCTGACTCAGAATATTGGTTGTTGTTGATCATTTATTGCACTGAAATGTGCCTGACACTGTAGAAACCTGTAAGTGAGGCATCTGTGACGTATGCGCACTATGCCACCGGTCTACCAAAAAACCACTAGACCAGCTGCGCACCGCCTGTGATGAAAGCTGACCAGGTTTGAATTGGCGAGCTTTCAGCGCACATTCCATGCTGTCAGTGAGCGCGAAAATGTCACTGCGCCAGCTGATTCTGTCGACACCTCCCCCTGCCACGCTTGGTGGACCTCGGTGCGCCTTAGTCTACGAAAATACCAAACTGTCTGGGTGCCGGGCTCCGCCAGACGAAGTATCACTGCGCAGGGTCCACCACCCTTAGCCGTGCCGCTGGCAGGTGCAAAAATAGAGCCCTGTGTTTTTTGACAGCCACATCAAACATATTGCGCTGGGTGCTACTCGCCTTTGTCATCCAGCAGATGTTGTCAGTGAGCCAAGGAGCTGCTTTCAGTTGTTTGTGAAGAAATCAGTACCAATCCCACTGAATTAAACCCAATTCGGTTTCAGAAAGGTACAACTTTAAGATTTGTGTTTGGGCATACCTCCAAAAGTTTAATTTATGGATTTAAAAATTGGACAGACACACAGAACTTTGATGAGTCAGAAGATTTAGAACCATTTAAACCAAACCTTTCGTTCAGAAATTTTAGCTTGGAAGAGTTTAAAAAAAAGTTTTCATTCATAAATGGATCTATTTTAGTGAGACTCCTATAATAACCAAGGAACCTCATGATGTAGAAAAGACTTTTGCAAGAGCAGAAATTAAAGTGTGAAAACCCAGCCCAGTCTCCCATACTAAGAATTAGGACAGAGTATGATCATGAAAGCAACCAGCATACCTGGGAATCCTTCAGGTACAGAGCCTGCAGAGAAAGTATGCTTCATAAATCATCAACAACTATGAATGCCAAACTGACACTGAAGAGATCCAACAGAACGGGTTCATGTTTGGATGTCTGCCCTCAAACCTGACAGCACTTATTAAAATAATAATACTGTTCACCACATCAGTTTGCACTTTCATCTCTTCTGGGAACGCCCTTGTTTAATTACGTGAGCTGATCCTCACACACAAATATAGCAGCCTCATTCTTGAGGTTTATTTGAGAGATATGTTTGCTCCTGATGTAATGATCGGGTCCAAAATCCAAAGACCTTCTCCTTAAGGTCATTCTTATCCAACTTTACTGGAAGCTGAGGTGTTGAAACAAAAAAAGAGGTATTTAGTCCTAAAATGGCTCAGTTTAGAAGGTTTCAGCATGACCTTTCTTAATCAGATTATTGAAGCATCATATTAGCTTCAGCAGAGCTTTTGAATAGTACATGGAGGGTGGATTTTGTCCCTGAACACTTTCAGTGTAAGCCTATTAGCTGAGGGATCAATGAAGGGTCAGTATGAAGAGGAGTGGTTATAAAAACAGATGTACTTAAACAACACACTTATCAAAAGCTCTGTTTTGTAATCATGATGCTTAATTATGTCCCATTTTACATCAGCTTGTTGATAGTCCAACTACATTCACATTCACAGTACAGTTTGAATTAAAAAGTTTATATTAGCACCTCTCTATTATAAACAAATGAGCATGAGACAAGGCAAACTTTCATTTTTAACACCTGGTACAGGTACAAGGAGGGACAAGTCAGCTGAGCAGTTCAAGAAATAGATGTATTTTTATATTTTGCGCATTATATATACAATATGTGAAATTATTGATACATTTGACTGTCAATAGATTTATTGTGGGTGGCACTACTTCAACATGTAGAAGACAGTTTGAGCAAACACTTTTTTTGTCAAAGTCGACATAAACTGAAAGATCCTAAAAGGGGCGTCCAGGAGGCATCCTGGTTAGATGCCCAAGCCACTTCAACTGACTCCTCACAATGCAGAGTCGCAGCGGCCCTACTCCGAGCCCCTCCTGGATGACTGCGCTTCTCATCCTTTATCTGAGGGAGAACCCAGCCACCCTGCAGAGGAAACTCATCTCAACCACCTGGATCTGTAATCTTGTTCTGTCAGTCAGTACCCACAGCTCGTGACCTTGGGTGAGGGTAGAAACGTAGATCGACCAGTATATCAAGAGCTCTGCCTTTAGGTTCAGCTCCCTCTTTACTGTGACAGATCTGTGCAGTGTAAATCTAAAGCTTCTGTAGAGTTTTGTTTTTTTACATTTATTTAAAAAATTACATTTTATCATATCCAAAAGCAAATAAGACTGTCAGCCACAAGATGTAATATTTTTTAAATCTCAATTTGTAATGTGAGAAAGCAGTATGAGGGGGTAGGTGTCAGTCAAAGTCCCGACCAAGCATGTAGAAGACTTGGTAAGCAAAGATTACTTTGTCCACAGGAAGGGGTGAAATTTGACAAAACTGAAAGTTCCTCTCAGGAACTTTAAATGGTATCAAATTGTATGTATGTATTGTATGTTTTGCCAGCTTCAGTGTAGTTCACCTTCATCAAATGTGTAATTAGCAGTTTGTAAAGCCAAGCTGTCCAAGTACTTTTATACCAGAATGGCTCCTAATTTGCATATATTCACAGGAGAGGCTTATGTTATTACTGCTGGCTAGATAAAAAAAGCATGTTTATGTTAGGACAGAGAAACCCAAAGTTGCATTTAAGAGGAACCCTGAGTTACTGTAAGTTCCCAGCGAACTGAACCTATTTAAGTGTTTGGCTCACAGAGAGTCTTATGAGGTATTTTTGTCAGACCTGTTAAGGAATCTCACCCTTCAGGCTTTGCCAGCTGCAGGGGAACTTTGGCTTTAAAGAAACAAACAACTATCACATGCTTTATGTGCAGTTTTGTATCAAGTCAGGAGCTGAAAGGAATGGCTGGTATGCACAAAAACATTGACATTTGTGATTGACATTTTTGATTAAAACTTGAAGGATCAAACTTAATGGGCATCAGTGGACTTTACTTCCTCTAAGGCCACCATCATTCACCAGTGGGAATGATGAGCAAGGGAATGACTAAATCTAGATTCTGACCTCTAGGTAGGCTTAATATTCCCATTTCTACCGTACCTTAAAGGAATCTTAGAAAATATCACCTTTTTTCAAAAGGATTCAGAAATTTTGAGGGATTTTGTTAGTAATAAAAATCTTCAAAAACATTAATCATTAAAGTCTTGTGGGGGACTTTCTGTCAGCGCTTACTATGGACAAAGTACTACATTTATATTGTTGCTGATTTCATCTTGTCCTTATGAAAATGTTGTTAAATGACAAAAACCTTCTGTAGTCCTAGCCAGTGTCCATTGTAAGCCTATGGTGCACTGAAATGTTGTGAACAGGGGAACATTCTGGACCTCTTTGACCACTCTGGCCTTGAGTGCACCTAACCCCAACAGTAGCTACAGCCATTAAAAAATTATGATACAGAAATTGTCGGTCTCATTGTAGCTGGTCAAATTTTTTTTTGTAGATCATAGAAACATGTTACTGTTTATTACAACCCACCAAAAACACCTTACAGGAGCTTTAACTTTGTTTATTTGGGTTAAATCAGAAATCCAAAATCATTGGGGGGGAAAATATGAAAATATATACACACTGAAAATGCAGTGATAACTTTTTGCTTCCTTTTTGGTGGGTTTTACTTAACATGATACTCTGTTAGAAGACTGTAGAAGAATAATGTGCTGCCATACACGCCTACTGGCACATAAATCTTAACAATGCTCCATAAAAAATAACGAATCAATTGTGTGTACATTTCTGCCCTGAAGGTCTTCACCTGTCTGTCTTCATGTGTCCGCATGCGGCTCACTCTGTGCTCCTATTGGCTATCTGGTTTAGGAGGGGCTGGGCCTGGCTGTATCCTGCGGGTGTGGAGGGAGTGTGAGTAGATGAGAGCTGACAGGATGCAGCTTCTCCTCAGCGGGCCTCATACTCCATCCTCCGGGCGGTGCGCCCTGCGTTATGACGCCAGGCCGTTTGACGAGTGCATTACGTGGGACACAGCCGCTTGGATCCCGGTTATGTAATGCATCGGATGCTGCTGCACGCACAGAGAAGTAAAGGGTTAAAAAACCACTGACGGATGGCTGATTTAGACGCAAAACTCGGCGTGTTTGCTTATTTCTGACCGCACAGGCCTCTGTTGTTGGCGAAGAGGATGAAAGCTGTGAATCGATAAGGTACCGAGTGTTCGAGCCCGTCTGGGCATCAGTGGCCTATCTCTCTCCCTGAGGTGCATAGACGTCTGGAGTCTGCGGAAGCTGCACTGCTTCTTTTGTAGCCGAATAAGGCGCATCTCTGTTTGGATTCGTTTTATTTATCAGTGGAAATAAACCAATGCGGGTTTGTTTCAGGGAAGAATCACATTCAGATTTGTTTCCAAGACGCAGCGGTTCAACCCAGCAGCAGCCACAGAGGTGTAGAGGTACAAACAATGGCGGGTCCCGAGCAGTCCCAGCAGCAGCAGCAGGTGGAGGAGAAAGCAGAGCACATAGATGATGCTGAGATGGCCCTGCAGGGCATCAACATGCTGCTCAACAACGGATTCAAGGAGAGCGATGAGCTCTTCAAGAGATACAGGTGATTATCTGCTCCTTCAGCTCTGTTAGATGTGCTATTGCATGTTGCATGCTTGAGGAAAGAACATCATCTACATCTGCATAAAATTAAAGAAACTAACTGTTACTCAGGACATTAGGTTTCTGTATAGTCCTATGAAGCCATACATGTAAATTATGCCATTAAACATGCACACAAGCCTGCTTGTCACTGATAAGGGTCTGTCTCCACTGATGTGTCTTTCTGCACCATTGACAGACTGGCACTAAAAGAGGGATGATAAGAGTGCACGGTGTGATAAGAATCAGGAATATACCATCTTCTTAATCTCACGCAGCCTCTTCGAGACACTTGATCTCAAGACATTATTTTCCTTATATTGCAAGGTGAGGTTACAGCTGGGGAGCAGCAATTACAATCAATGTTTAGAAACACTGAGGGAACCTGTTTTAACAACAGTAAACTGCTGTACCATGAAAGTTAAGTGGCGTTTTCTACAAAGACTGCATTGCCTTTTGTACTGTATCAAACATACAATCATACTCTGTTTTTTTAGCATTCTGGTGATATAATATAATATAAACTAGTGATATTTGTTCCTTTATATATTTATTCATGTCTTTTTTTTTTTTTTTTAACAATTTTCAGTACTTAGTGTTAGATTCAGTATGATGAAGGTTCATCAGTCTCTCAATCAAGTGTAATAAAAGTATACATATTTGTTATTTTATGATTATACAGGAGTGATGGTTTATTTGTCCCCTATGATATTAGAAGGGCTTTGGCTGTATCAGATCTTCAACTCAGGATTTTCATGGCCATAACATAAAGATATCATCACAATATGTTTTGAAAAACATGCACATGAAACACTATCTGTTAAATTGAGAAAGATGGATGTACTTCATGTATTTTGATATTTTTTTCTTGTTTTGGTAGCTTTATTTGTTACATGGTCAAACTGTGCTTTTATTGTTAAGTGTTTTACTTCTGGTAGATCGTGAGTTATTGATCTGAAGGAAAATAGTCAAATGAATCACAAGGAAGTACAAATGTCCGGTTGACTAATAAACCAAAGAGGTACCAGCTCAGATGTTGTATTTGGATTACAATGAATCTTGAAATGTTCAATTTTAAAAATGCAGAATCATTTGGCTAGTTTGCTGTGTGCAGCCAATTAGTAGGTGATGGCAGCTTGTCTGCCAACACCAAGCTTCAACATGCTGGCTGTGTGGAAGTATTTTGAAGCTACTGAAACACAATAGCAGTAGGCAATAGGAGGAGGAGCAAAACAGCAAACCTGTAACAATGCCAATTCAATTGTGCATCTTAACTATCATCCTGAAGCACAGAGAGTTTCTGAAAAGTAAGAACAAAAAGCAGTGGCACCAGCTTAAACCTATCAACAGTCTTTGCAGGGGTCATTCAGCAAAGCTTCTTTGTACAGAGGAGACCACCTAAAGGGGAAGGAGATAACCAAGAAAATTATTGTGATTTAAACTCTTAATGACTAGCCTTGAAGATGCAAGCTTCTGCAGTCGAATGGTGAACTTTCAGCTTCTCTCCAGCAGTCTAGATGATAGTATTTCCCAAATGTTTCCTGACCTGAACTTCAGAGCTTGCGCTCTGCCAAAAAGAGAAGGGTTTTACTGATATTACTCATATTAGCTTTACTTTAGACATCTGGACATTGACTGTTAGTCCTGTCTGCATGTTGAGTCTCACTGCATAGTGAATTGACATCAGGCTATATACAGAAATATCTATTTGATGTTCATTTCAAAAGATGTGTGCATATTACTATTGGTGTCAGTATTAGTATCTGTATCAGCCAAATGATTTTGAAAACATTGGCATTACATGTATTGGCAAAAATATTCTGCACCCACAGAAGTGATGTCACTTGTCAGGGTTTGATTTATTGTCTCTTTTTTTCCTGGATGCAAAGTCAACTGATGATTTTCTAGAAAATATTCCTCTTAGTTATTCATCTTTGTCCCTCCTTTTGTCTCTGCAGGACCCAGAGTCCACTGATGAGCTTCGGGGCCAGTTTTGTCAGTTTCCTGGTGAGTGTCCTCTCCTCTCATTTCAATATAGCTGTAGAAAATGCCAAATGAAATATCAGCCAGTGTTAAGAAATTGCAGAGCAGTGATTCATAAAAATGCAGCAGAGTGAGATCCAAGCTGATAAAGTCACAGCTTATAAGTAGCCCAGTACAAAGACCTGAAATAACCCAATCTGTCAGATTGTTTGTCACCACTGGCATCCTCCGCATCCCTCACCATCCATTAACATAATGGATGCATCTTCATCCTGTCTAAGAACAGAACTGCTTGTTCAGAAAGACACATTACTGTAACAGTGTGCACATCACTGCTGGGTGAGGGTGAGTTTTCACAACGTGGTGGTCACACACACACACACACACACACACACACACACACACACACACACACACACACACACACACACACACACACACACACACACACAGACACACAGCACAGCACAGCACAGCACAGTACAGCCACTTGCACACCATGAAGACAGGGATGATGTCATCCTTTGACCCTGATATGCAAACTGGCCCTAAAGGGAGTGGGGGAGGTGACATCTGACCATCATGGTGGGCATGCTCAGGGCTCCGTTTAGTGCTGCATGAACTGAGAGGATGCCTCGGTTACACAATGAAATATCAAAAAGTCAGACCAGAAAACTCTTCTTTAAATGTCACTCAAATGTGACTCAGTGCATGATAATTATTGGTACTTCTGTGAGAGAAGTAACATTGACTCTGTATGCGTGGTTATTTGATTTCGGTTCAAGTGGACAGTAAGAGGTTATAGCACCATGTCAACAAAGACATGTTTTTGTTGTTATAAATGTGTCGGGTCTCTTTAATTCCAAAAACACAGCTGTACAGATGTCACTGTGTTCCTCCATTCATTGTTAAGCACAAGAGCCCTTTGTCCTTTATAAGTCTATTACATAACACTCTTTCCTTCTTATTACAAGATCTTGGGGTTTGTAAGCCAGCTTAAGCATAGATCTGTGCTGTTGGACAACACTATTTAATATCAGTGTTTGATACTTCATGTCTATTTCTCCACAGAGACATCAAGAACCATTTAAATACAGTCTCAAAACCCTTGTATGTGTTTAAATGCTAAGCTAAATGCTTACTAAAGAAAAGACGATTTCAATTCTGAATCTGATCAGTATGATAAAACTGCAACATAGCCCTGATTTTTAAAGCCGTATAAAACAATATATCGTTTGAAACTCACAATTGTGATATGTGTGTCTGCAACAGTCACATCAGGGACGTGCAGTGTCAGTCACAAGACCTGAAACACATCATGCCGTCACCACTTTTTTATTAAACTGTTTAAAAGCATCCATCTGATATATCTCTAATGCTGCCCCACATCAAATATAGAGCACAGACTGACATGCATGCATAGTCTGTGTCTGAGTGTCATTAGAGCCGAGCTCAGGCGGTCAAAACACATCCATATAGGATGAAGGGATTCTTTGTCAAATAACAACTTTCATGGGGCTGCTCATACAGCTGTTCATTTTTTTAGATATTGATGACGTGTAAATCAGCTACTTTTGAGATAAAGGTTCAGGAAGTTATGTGTCGCTCCACCTGTCACCTGTTTCTCTGGTTGGAGCCACTGTCAGAGGGCTGGACTTAGTGTGGTAAAAGCATGAGAGAGGACTCCATCATTGTTTTTCTGCATGTTTTATAGAATGCCATGATGACGTTTGAGGAAGAGAAGATGCAGATGGCCTGTGACGACTTGAGGACCACAGAGAAACTGTGTGAGAGTGACAGCGCCGGGGTCATAGAGACAATCAGGAACAAGATTAAAAAAAGTGTGAGTATGAATATGGACAGCTAAAACATATGTAGCATGAACTCTTGCATTTAAAACTTCGGGGAGGGGAATTATAAAATAAACTTGCATAATATTAACCCATTCGTCGAAAGCAAAGAAAGACCATCAGTACTGATAGTGATCCTTAACAGTCTTTGTTAAATACATTTTACACAGTGAAGAGTCTCAGTAAGTGATATATATGACCATTACAAGACAAAAGTGGAAGTAGTACAACTAACACACGCACAGGAAAAATCAACAAAGAAATGAGAGGTAATACTTCGTCCACAGGTGCTGCCAAAATCAACACAAACTATAATTGAGCTCTTTATTATACAGCTTAAGGTTAAAGGGAGGGTTCCAGTTTGGTCTCTCTTCATGTGCTGAAGCCCGTCAGATTTTATAATTTTATACTTTTTATTTTATATCATATTTGTTTTATGTTTAGGTCTCTTAATGCTGCTGCAGTGGCTTAAAAGGCTTTCGAGTATAAATACAGCTCAACGAAGCCAAAGAGTCAAATGCATAACAAACAAAATATAAACAAATATAACAAATAGAAGGAGGAAACAATAGGTCTGAGACATGGAAAAAAGGAATGCAAAAACTGTTCAAACAATACATTAAATAATAGGTTTTGAGAAGAAGACTGACTTTTAAAGGTTATGGATCAGAAAAGTACAATGGCCCTCCCGGGGCCAACTGCACAAATATTTCTGGAAGGCAGTTTGAAAAATGTCAAAGTAAAACTTTACATTATATGCAAAAAAAAAACTGAAAAAAAAAAAAAAAAAACATTATAGACGACATGACAATATTTCACATGAACACAAACTATATTTTGATAATACTATTACATTTAAAAACTTAAAAATATTTCAGAAATATAAATGCATTTCGAAAACACAAACATATTTTAAAATGGTTTTAGGTTTTGTGAAATGATTTTTTTTTTCAGTTAATAAAGTCCTTTTTTTTTTTTTTTTTTTTTAATGGCACAGAAATATTTGCACAATTGACCTTCAGGGCCACCATAGAAAAGACTTGAGAAATTAAAGCAATTTAAAAAAATGGAAAATGAAAACAAAAAAAGGTTTATAAAAATCAAAAAAGAAAGATTTAGCTGGACTGGTGTGGGCTGGATTTAGACTAACCAATAACAAAGTCTATGTATAAGAAATAGAAAAGATCAAGAGTAAGTTTAGAAATCATATAAGAGCGGTTAAAAAAGAAAAAAGAGCTTAAGAAAGCCAAAAGCAGGGGCCCAGCTATAGCTTAGTTAGGCAAGCCCCCCTGAGGCACAGGTTGTGAGATCAAAATCCAGTCTTTGGTGCATGAACACCCCCCACATTTTAAGCGACTCTCTCAAGCATTCCTGTCAAATAAAGATCTTGGAAACAATCTTGAAAAAAATCACGAGATAACAACCTTAAAATCTTCGCACTAACCTTCGGTTGAAAGTTTCCGAGTTATTTTTGCAAAGTTTAGAAAGGTGTAGCTGTTTATTTTCTGTGGAAATCTAAGAGGGTTTAAGGGATTACAAAAAAAAAGGGATTACTAATTTGGCCGATCCTAAACAATCAAGAGCCTGTAAATAAGATGGAAAAACATTAATCCTAAAAACACAGAGGATGCCAGAGCAGATTGCAGTAGAGTTGTTGATTTAATCATGATGTCAAGAGCAGGAGTATTGGAGGCCCAGATATAGACATGTTCCTCACAAGAAAACATGCTATGCCATGTCAGGAAAAACCCTTGGAGTCACAGGGTGAGATTATTACAGTTAAATTTTGTAAAAGTGAATTAAGTTTAACTGCATTGGGACCTCTCAGTGTCACTCAACTTCAGCCAGGTACTGTGATAAAAATCATTTAACATGATGGCAGACAATGTATGCATTGATTATGTCTGTTTTAGTTACAAAACAGACTCTTATCGATTATATAAAACAGCCAAATTTAACACAGGCTACTGCAAACACTGTCAAATCACACTGTATGGCCATTTAATCACAATGTGAATCAGCTTGTAATCCTTTTTAATCAAGCCAAATCAATAGCTATTTAAAGCTGCTATGAAATGCTTTTTGTTCCTGTCAATTTCTGTGCCCCCTGTGGTCAAAGTGTTACCACTATAATCACTGTGGACCTAAATGAATAAAAACATCACTAATGACGGAGATTGACTTGTTATCATGGTGTGGACCTGCAACAGCTTTGAAGTTTAGTTATTTAGTTGACTAAAGGCACACATGTCTGCTTGTTAAAACTTAATAATGAAACAACTTCTAAATAGCTTCAAAATACGTCTTAGTGTAGACTTTGTACCCTAATGTACAAATTAAACAGAGCTGGTCCAACAGGCCACTTGTGTTAAGTCCTGTTTCACAATCTCCAGTACAATACTGGTGGGATATAATAGAAATCAGTAGCAGCTCCTCTGAGTTTGTGTTGATTTTGTCTCCCCTCTTACCTCTCTACTGATCTCATCATGTACATGTTTTTTTTTTTTGTTTCTAGATCAGAAATATTAACCTGTTTTCTTTGAAATGTCAAACTTTTCTCTCTCTGTGAATCTGAATTGTAGACAATGTCCACTAAAGCTGTTTTAGCATCATGTTTTCAATCACTTTATCTGACACCTGCCCTACTGTAGTGGTTACACAGAGATACACGAGTAAAACCTAATCTGTTTAACCAGATCTGTTTAAAGAGTTTATATATATGGAAAGTTGATGACATATTGAACAGAAAGAATGGGCAGGGAAGTTGTGTGTCTTTTCTTGTTTAATGTTTTATTCATTTATTGCCGTCTCTAAAATTGTTGGCTGTGTTTTCATGTGAAATTGACTGTCAGGAGTCCTAATAGGCACCTTGGAATCTCCAATATTTTGATGTTTAATTTCCAATGCCATCCTTGTAGAGATCTTCTGTGATAACTGCCAACCACAACAGCCCCCAACCCCCCCTCCCCCCATCACATATTCGATCCTCGGCATCAGGCCTAATGATACAGGCAGCAGTGAGCTCATGCCAAACCCACTCACAGATTCAATTAGTACTTCAGTCAAATGTGATCATCAAACTGAGGGAGGAGTGTGTGGCTGTCGGACAGCTCTTATCATGCAGGAAAGTGCTTGTTTCTTTGATGCCATCTTTTGCTCTATGGATTTCGACATTGATCAGTGTATTTAACACTGCATGTAACAATGATAAGGGCACCCTGATTATGAAGGAGGCCTGGCGATACCTGTCTTTTCATTGGTTAAACTCAATAACAGTTTATCATCAATTATCATATGCTTAAAGCAGCTGGAAGGAGGTTTCATTTTCTGTTGATTTTGGCAGCCATGATGGACAAAAGCAGTAGTGTTTTAGCGCGTATTGCTGTAAAGACACTTATCTGGCTCGCATGTCAGGGCTCCGGGAACTAAATCTTTTTCAGCAGTTTTAGGCAACTTACTTTGTAAATGTCTTTAAAATGGGAAGCTAGTCTGGGTCAGCCCACCGTAGAGACGGACATGGAGCAGCAGGACTAGTTTAGTGACACAGAGCTGCTCTGTCGGTCTGTCTGTGGTGTGGAGGAGCTTCTCACTCTGTGGCTGCAGCTGTAGCATGACACGGTGTCTGCAGGAGTCTGCTGCTGCAAGACCTTGTCACCGTTTGTGTAGTGACAGTAACATGCCAGTTTTCAGTGCAAAATCAAGAGAAAACCACTAGCTCCCGATTTCCCCGTTCTCACTGTTTAGAAATAGCTTATCTTCACACAGATTGGCTCATTCGCTGTTGCAGGTGACAGGGGGAAATCAGCAGAAACGAGAGATTTTCTCAAATCTAGTTAAAAGTTCCTTACAGGATGTTTAAGTTGTCGTTTAACTTAATTTTAAGTCTTTTTACTTTTATCTTAGGTAAACATGATTTAAACCAGCCATAAACACACTGAATAGAGCACATTTATGTTGAAAATGAAGTCTCTCTCTAATGCTGTCTGAGGAAAGAGCACGTGCAGAGGGGCTGCCAGCTGAGCTGCTGTAAGGTGCCAAACATGTTTTTGGAAAGGATTTCATTGTTCTATCGTGTAAGAGGTTTTGTACATCAGAAGCTAAGCTCTTTCTATCTTTAAAAAACCAGTGGTAGTTAATTAGAGGTCTCAAACTTAGACTGGATTAGGGAAACGTCATCTTGAGGGAAGACCACTTTAAATTTCACGTACCACAAAAGAGCAGCACATTTCTGAAATGTGTTTTAATTTTCTGTTTTATTTTTTCAAAGTTTAACAAAAATATGCAAACATCAGTTATTATACATTTTTATATTCATTTTTTTGTTGCTGTTAAAGTGTTGCCCATTGAATATCGCCGTGTGTGGACAAATGGACAGAAGAGGTGCACCAGGTGTTATAAAAGAAAAGTTTTACATCTATACACTCCAAACTTAAGCAGTTGAAGGCCTAAACAAAAGAGCAGGTGATCAGACATCTTCCCAAAAGTTTATATTATTTAAGAATCACAAACAACAGAGCAACGCCTGCAAGAGCTGCACTGATTTCTCACAACCATCTGACAAATAATACCCCTCTCTGCTCTACTGTTGCCAAACACCAGCTCTGCTTACAGAGCTACAGTCCTGCTCAATCTAGGGGTTTAAAAGAATGATCCCATCACTCCTCAGATTTCTGTATGCAAAAGAAAAAAATGCAAGAAATGTTGATGTTGAAGCCTGGATGCCAAAGACAAACAATATCTTGGTTCTGCAGTGGAAATGTCAAACCTTTAAAATGAAAGATGTCTGACAAAACTTAACTCAGAATGACGAGGAATTTCCCCAGTTTCATGAATATTGACATGACTTAATATCTCTTTGGAGGGTGTTCAAACTACACCTGCCATGAAAGAACTTGAGAGGCTTTAAGTGTGCACATCTTCATAAGTGGGTGCAGTCCTACTTTCTCAGAAATGATACCCCCAAGGCTGAGCGCAGGGTTTGCTCCTTTGACTTGTCTCTGTTTCCTGATTGCTCTGCTCTTTTCTGACGAGTTTAGAACCTCTCCTTACAGATGGACTCCCAGAGGTCAGGCGTTGTGGTCTTGGACCGCCTGCAGAGACAGATCATTGTTGCAGACTGTCAGGTGTACCTGGCTGTACTCTCCTTTGTCAAGCAGGAACTCTCAGGTAATAAAACCTACAGCCACCAAGAGAATGACCTTAAACACAAGTCTCCCATGACAACTAGTGTTCAGGGCATTATGTAATATGCTGATGCATGTCTTTGTGCTGAATATAGACTGTGTACAAACACAGTGCTGTGAATTCCATGATGATAGGACAGGGCATGATGATAATTTCAAGTGAAAGCAGATGACATGTTTGATTGAAAAACACACAAACTCAAGGATAATCTATGAACAGTTGGTATTCAGTATTACTTGTGCATCTCCAAACAAAAAGCATCATAGTCTGACTTTCTGTCTCTGCTCACAGCTTATATCAAGGGAGGCTGGATTCTCCGTAAAGCTTGGAAAATGTACAATAAGTGCCACAGTGATATCAGCCATTTGCAGGAGGCGTGTCAGCGGAGGTCCTCTGTCAATCAGGAGTCTCTCACAGCTGACAACGCAAACCACAACGCACCAGCGGTGGAGAACGGCGTGACAGCTGAGGCCTTGGACCGGCTCAAAGGTTCTGTCAGCTTTGGCTATGGCCTCTTCCACTTGTGCATCTCCATGGTACCTCCACACCTGCTTAAGATCATCAACCTGCTGGGTTTCCCTGGTGACCGTCTGCAGGGTCTGTCCTCTTTAGCGTATGCAAGTGAAAGCAAGGACATGAAGGCACCACTAGCTACGTGAGTTGACTTTAAAAGCATTATTACCCTTATATGTAAAATCAATCAAATGCTTTTAATGGTTTATATGATGTGTAAATATATATAGATTTATACATGCTTACTTCCCAATACCTTGTTGTATTGCATTTTAGCACACTTAAGCCCATTGTCTTGGTCTTGAAACAGTCTATAACTTAGTGTCAGTCACAAAACAGTGGTGAAAACTCAAACATGACTATAAAGGTTTAAAATATTGACACATTCTCAGTTGTCCAATTAAAAAAACTCATTTGTTCATTAATTTGGGCTTCTGTAGGTCTAGTGTAGCTTTAGTTCAGTCACTTGAGTTTATTCGAACCTGTTGGATTATATGCTCACCACACTGAATCAAGTTTTTCTGGATTTTTTCTGTCTTTAAGTCTTTATGTTTAAACTAGTTGAAGCCTGGGTCTGAAAATAAACAGACAGATGCTCCCCAAACCTGCATCCCTCCAAATGTAGAGCAGGAGCACTTTGCCTTTATTAGACGGGAGAGCTGAAGAGAGAGAGAGAGAGAGAGAGAGAGAGAGAGAGAAAATGCAGGGAGCAGAGAGACATGCAGTAAAAGTTCACGACTAGGAGATAAACCAGCAACAAGGACTATTGCCTCTGTAAATGATGCATAAATGAAGCCCAGAACTACCAGTCAGTTAAATCAGTTAATTAATATTGTTATGATTATGTGCCACTGCATACCTAATGGCTCCTGCCAGAGTGCACTACCTGGAACAAGTACAGCACATAAGACAGATTGCATCTTGTGACGTGGCACACATTGGACATTAAGTTGTATAGGCTATGATTGGTTAAACAAGCACTCAACCGGAGTATTCCTAACAAGCACAGTCATGTGGATGTTAACCTGCGAGGAGCACTGAAGGCTGGCAGCTTAAGCTCAGCTAACATTAGCCACACTAAGCAAACTAATATGACATATTCTACCAACAGCCTCTGTGATCCTGTGCAAGCTGTGCAAAATTAATCCTGCGTACTTTGGACTGTTTGTGAGTGTTTTCTGTTCTTTAGAATTTAAATTTTCATATAAATAACTAGGGAATCAGTTGCGTCTGAATAACCCGTGTAAAGTTAGTGAGAATGATGCATAGGGACATGCCGACACCTTTTTGTCCAAGGGTGCAGATTAAGGATGCAACATGACAACCATCCAGAGGTTTCAAAACAGCAGTACCCCTACCATAGATCACTGATATTGGCAATTATTTGGGGCAAACTGATAAAGATCAACAGGCAAAGATTTTAAACACAACACAATATACACACACTAATAAACAGGGTAAGTGCTCAGTGAGGACAACCCTCCTATGACACCTTCATCCTTATGCTTTGATGACAAGTTACATAACCTACCACCTGGCCTTCTAGTGGACACAACAACCCAAACAGCATCACCTCCTTCATCACATTCAGGCTCTGTTTATGTAAGCTCCATGTCTTTTCATCACTGATACTACCTACTTTACCACATGGCTCTTAATTGCCCCCACAGTACAACACGTACTGCTGGAAGGTAGGCAGGCCATGCTAGCTCTCACTGCCTATGATACCCACTCACAGGCTGTTATTGTGTCCTCCTGAAAAAAAAAATACAATCGAGAGCCAAACTTTTCTCCATAAGTCAAAACTCACCCATCAGTGAATAAAAGAAGATGCACCTTTTTTGGACTCATGAAACAGTTTTTTTTCTATGAATAAATGTAATTACTACATATGACTGAAGTTCTTTACTGTTACCTTGTTTTAACCTCTGTTTTATAAAGGGTGCTGTAAAAAAAGGTGATACCTCAGACTGAAAAATAACTCCCCTGTTGTGTTGCTCAGGTTGGCCCTCTTGTGGTACCACACAGTAGTGCTGCCTTTCTTCGCCCTGGACGGCTCAGGTACACATGAGGGTCTGATGGAGGCCAAAGCTATTCTGCAGAGAAAGTCTGTGGTTTACCCGAACTCATCCCTCTTCATGTTCTTTAAAGGACGGGTCCACCGGCTAGAGGTACATGCAACAACACCAATCAGTGATAGATAAACTGCTCTGTAACCAGACTGTTGAAGCTGTAAATGTTGTTGATGTTTATTTCATTGTAGTGTTTTATTTGCTTTGTACAGATGACAAACTTTTTTCTTACTGCAGAAAGACAGCATTGGATTTTACATCTTCTTCTGTAACCCTATTGACTAAAACTGACATGTCATGTTTTTCTAACTTTACTGCTGTTATTTATGTATATACTCTCTTTTCGTCCCTAGTGCCATATCAACAGTGCTTTGGCCTGTTTCCATGATGCACTAGAGCTTGCGTCAGACCAAAGGGAGATCCAGCATGTGTGTTTCTATGAGATCGGTATGTGTTTACCCATTATGTTACTTTTATTGTTCTGCACTGTGCACAAACTTTATAAAAGACATTCATGTTCTTATGCATTTGTCTTTGTCTCAGGTTGGTGTAGCATGATTGAGTTGAATTTTGAAGATGCATTCAGGTCATTTGAAAGGCTGAAGAATGAGTCACGCTGGTCACAGTGCTACTACGCCTACTTAACAGGAGGTAAGCCAGCCACACAGTGATGTATTTACTCAGCTGGGATTCGTCTGTTGAACATGTAATATTTCATGCCCAGCTTCATTACCTGCTTTCCTGTCCAGATTTTCATACCTTCAGCTTTGTCACCCTGGTGTGGGGGTAGTGATACTGTGTGTAATATTTATGGCTAAGTTGACAAAGATCAGGTTATGAATGATGCAGACTCTTGCTACAGGCTCAGACCCCTAGTGTGCAGCATGCATACCAATGTTCCTTCCTCCCATATTTCTGCTAGGTTAACCCTGACCTTCATACAGTAATGACATGTGCGTTGTCCTGATAAGCGATGAGGATCGAGACGTGGTGCACTAGTTTCTACCCTGAATCCAACGCTTTAACCCAGATTTAACTTTTTGGTTATTTTTTACAGTGTGTCAGGGAGCTGCAGGTGACCTGGATGGAGCAAGTGGAGTTTTCAAAGATGTGCAGAAGCTGTTCAAGAGAAAAAACAACCAGATAGAGCAGTTTGCTGTCAAAAGGGTGAGTAAAGATGCAGGTTTTCCCATTAGTTTGTTCAAAATAGTTGTTTAACATTGATTTAATTGCACATAAGACAGGTAGAGTCTAGTCAGAATTTTTTATGATTCAATGAGCAGCACTTTACCCATTTTAGGTTGTTTTGTACTCTATTTCTATGGTTATCAGCAATTAATTTCCAGAGGTACTGGGAGACTGTACATATGAACATATACCAAATAGAAGAGTTTTGATGCGACAATCTAGTCTGTCTTTCTCTGCTGAAAAACTCATTACAAATACGCCTTTACTTATTTTCTCCTCCATTTGATTCCTCTCTGCAGGCTGAGAGATTGAGAAAAACCTCGCCCACCAGGGAGCTCTGCATCTTGGGTGTTATTGAAGTGCTGTATCTGTGGAAAGCACTTGCAAACTGCTCCTCATCAAAACTGCAGATTATGAACCAAGGTGAGTGTAACCCTAGGGATCCTTTTAGTGGCATGATCAAGAAAACTCACATTTGACCCCATGTGACTGTTTCCTCTCTGTGTTTATTCAGTGTTACAGAGTTTAGACGACACTTCCTGCAGAGGCCTGAAACACCTCCTACTCGGTGCCATTCACAAATGTCATGGAAATATGAGAGATGCTATCCAGGTATCAGTCTACATTTAGCACTGAATTACACTGCAGTTTATCTATACTTCTCATGTTATTCATCTTGCTCTCTGCACATTTTCTCTATAATGCAGGCATTCCAGCTGGCTGCTCGGGATGAGTATGGACAACAGATCAACTCATATGTTCAGCCGTATGCCGTCTATGAGCTTGGTTGTATACTCCTTGCAAAACCAGAGGTCAGTCTTCTGCATGTGATGTTTAGATTAGATTCATCAAAAGGTCAAGGAAATTATCATTTAAGAATTGAATTACTTAAAGGCTAGACTGCTGCTGTGAGCTGACTTTACTCAAGCTTAAGTTAATATAACAGGAACCATAACTTTAAATGTCACTGTCAGAAAACAGAATACATACAACCGCAATTTCACCACTATCAATTGTTAGTGTTATCACATGAAATTGGCTGTGCTTTCATAAGGACTGGCCTGGAACAGGATGTCTGCTTGCTGTGAACCATAATCACTGTAAAACACGAAAGACTGGAGTGATGCTCATATATATGTATATATATATGGTATTTATCTTTCTCTGCAGAGCTCTCCAAAGTCTGCTTTTCAGATGCAGTGAGATGTAAGGACTGTACCATCCTTTCTCACTTTGACCAACAGTGTGTTTCACATACGATTGTAATATATAATCAAATGTGATAACTTAACTGTAGCCTGAGATCTCCTGAGGGTGTCTCTTAAAGATTTTACTTCTGCTGTTTATCCCAGTGCAGACTGTGTTTTTTATGTCCTTTTTGTAACACATGTTGAAGTGCTTTTGCATATCAAATTATGTGCTATGTATATCTGTTTATTGAAATCTCCCATGACATTATTTGCTCAAGTTTTTCCGTGGTGTGACTTAATTATGATTTATGGTGCAATTCTCAAGCATCTACAGCCAAAGTGAGCAGTTTGTAGCTGGTTATGAATTAGACTTGACACAGTGCTTTGTAGAAAGTTGTGATTGTGTGCACAGTTATTATTAAATTTTTGAGGCTCTGCTAAAAAGACTACCAGTAACAAAATTACGCATTCCTATGAAGTTATTTTTGAGCTTGTAAGCACAAAACCAGGTCGGATGAGGTGATTACATCAAAGCATGCTTCTCCAGCAGCCTCTGTTGATATTTTCCACAGCAAAGGTTCATAGTGAGCAACGCACTTATTTTACTTTTTCACCATCAAATTGCTGAAGCAAGTACAGCACAAAATAAGCAAAGACAAAGAAACTTGTGGATGCTATGGCAACACAGATAATTATGATAATAAGTATTGAAGTTTGTATAAGTTCTGGTATTAATATTTGCACAAGTCCAACCTTTTCTTTTTGTGTTTTAATACAGACGATGGGAAAGGGGAGATCATTTCTTCTTCAAGCAAAGGTAAATTTATGTAGAAATAATCTCAATACAATTAACTGTGATTTCCTATATAAGATCCTATATAAGATAAAACTTAACTGCATGTTACTGATCTATCTATCCGTATTTATCTGTCTGTCTGTCTGTCTGTACCTTTAGGAGGATTTTACAGGCTACGACTTTGAGAACAGGCTTCATGTGCGGATTCATTCAGCCTTGGCTTCTATGAAGGAAGTAGTGCCTCAGTGACTCCTTAAAGAGGAAGCTTCATCGGCCTAAGCTACTACTAGCTTTTTACACCAAGTTTAAGGACATTCAAAATACCCGTATGAAGTCCCAGTGAGCAAAATCCTGTGTTTTTCATGGTTACTGTATGGAAGGAAATAACTTGCTGCCATTGTGCCCAGTCAGATTGACATGAAGTTTTCTCTCTGTGCTTTTGTTTGAGGTTTACAATATACGTGAATCCTGTTTGCCTTGCAGATGGGAGATGAAAATTGTCAGCCCAGCTTAGGTTTGCAAGTTCAAGAACTATCGTATGCCTAAGCTTTAATTTTCAAACAGACTTGTACATTTTGCAATTCTGTATTATTGCATATTCATAAAGAGTGAACTATGTGATCTTTGGGGTTTCCACATTGTAGGTTTTTTTTCAATTCAAGCCAGCTGCTTCTGCTTACTTTTAGTGCTAGCGCTTGGCAAGGCTAAACTCCCAGCCCTGGCTGCACAGAGATGATTCTGATTATAGTCTGTGACTCTGGGCTTAATGACAAACAAGTATATTTCACCAAATGTCTTACTGTTCCTTTGAGTGTTTTCCTGCACCCAAACATACAGTATTAATTATCTGGTATCAATTTTCCTCATTAACTTGTGTATTTGAAAGATTTTAATCATGCCACCACTTCCCTCTGACTGTATAAAAGGATGGATGAGGTGTTTCCACCTCCACCTGCTGTATAAAAGTGAAGCCAAAACACCCCCATGTTTACATCATCAGAGATCAGTGCTCAGAGCTGCAGTATTGATGTATCACCACCACAGTTTACAATGACACTAACAAATAGACATAGATATACAATCTACAGCTAAAAGCTTTTTGTAATTAAGTATTTTCAAGCAAGTCAGGCTGCACTGAATGATGCAGGTGACATAGCCGCACCCCTCTATGTGGCTGATTTGCATCTAAAAAAATTGTCAAAAGAGCTCAAAAAGAAAATGTTGGCGTCAGAAAAATGAGTCAGATGCAGCAAAGAAAAATCAATTTCTTGGAGACAAAGACAGCAGACAGACCAGTCTGAAGAAACCACCAGTCATCTCCAGAGAAGACTGAAAAATACTGTTTTGACAGTGAATCTAATAGCATCATTATTACTCTTTAAAGAAATATAAGACAGGGTTTTTCCTTCAAATTCATCTGAAAAAGTAGTGTCATCTTATATCAGGGACTTAGTTATCAAACCCCATAGAGCCTGGGTTTTGTATAACTTTGTGCATTTCTTTGACACACAGAGGCTTTTCTATTCCACAGAGACGATCAATGAATTTGTAAAGACTGTCTGGGTCCTATCCCTCAAAAAGGAAGTTATCTGTCCTGCATAGGCCTTTGTAGAATAATATGAGTTATGTTATGACTATGTTAGCCAGAGGCTGCATTCTTGTCGAAGTCTGTTGACCAATCAGAGGCTGCAACTGTGATCAGCTGAGCTTTTAAGGTCCAGTCAGAAGCGAGGACAGCTTTAGATCGAAATACTGTTTCGAATGTGTTCAATCAACTTGTCAGTACTTTATCCAGTTTGTGTGTGCTGCATTCATTTACGTCAACGTACCTTGTTTTATTTCTATATTTTTAAATATTTTCACTGTAAAATAGCTTTAAATACCATAAATACCCCCAAAATGGTCTTAAATAGGGGTGTCATCTTATGTTAGTGCCGATACATTCTTGGAATGAATCAGCAAAAAAAAATCTGCTTTATCATGTCCTGGCTTTATGAGCTATACTGCAGTTGGTCAGTAGGAGGAGCTTTGAGTGTTTGGCCTCACTTTTGGCAAGCTGCTTTGTTACCCATCTTTTTGTACGGTCAGCGCTCCCTCCCTTCTGTTATTAAGCACATTAACGTAACTTCTTGACTAAATCATATCTCCCTCCAGTTATAAATATATGATACAGGTGGTAGAATTTTTCACATTCCTTAAAGAAATATATGCATATCTGCTTGTGAAATTGCAAAAGGGGCCACTTATTATACTTATCTACTTGGAAAAAATACCAAACTTCTAGTATAATCTTGACAAAATCACAATTCACCTTAAATCACATTTAGTAACAACTAGGCTGCTGTGAGATAGTTCACATTGACGTAGGGAGCAATCCTTTATTTATAGAAATTGGGAAATCACCACACTTCACAATGCCCTGATGATGTTTTTTAATGCAGAAATATTGGGCATTAGTTCTGTGCACTATGCATGGTTTGGCAGGGTGATAGTGGCATTAAGACTGTGTACCTGTATGTCTATCCCTGCAGATACAGAGGTATTGTAATACAACATTGGTACTGTAAATGACCTGTTGAGGTGCTGCTAAATGTCAGCCGATTAAACATGTGTTACTTGTGGTTTATTTTAACAGGGTTTAATAAAACACGCTTTTAAATTAGTCAATTTAAATGAACCAACAAAGCAAAGGTTGTGTATTCCAAGTGTCACATACAAAACACTGTTTTACTTTGAATTTATATATCACAGTTTGGCTGACATTATCGCCTACAGTGATTTAAAAGTGTGATCGTGAATGGGAGAGATTACTTTGATGTTGATAAACTTTCTCAATGCTGTACATATGAATTATTCTGTACAGGTTATTGCCTTTATTAACTAGCAGTCTGAGTCTTTGTCATGCAAGCAATATAAGCAAAAAGAAACAGTGATTTACAAAGGCTCTCCACAAAGACTTTCTGTGTTTTCATCCACTTTGAGGTTGTTGATTTATTCTGCTCTCACTTAAAGCTGGTCATAAAAAGCCAGTCATCATCCCCTGTGGCTGTTATGGATGTAAACTGTGGTAAATGTTCAGGTGGCCACTGTGCAAGTGGTCTGTGCAGTGCAAGTAAAGTAATGGTGAAATGTCAGTAATTCTCCTGCTGTTCCAAATACTTCTGTCGCTGAGAGAAACTTTCTGTTGGTCATGATATTTTGTTGAAACTACGATAACGTCAGGATTATGGTGTTCAAAAGTGTCACATAACTCTACAATAAATTGTCCTCCATTAATCTCGTCAAATTCTTTTTTTTTGTCTTCCAAATCTGCGGAAATTTCATTTTGGATAGTTGATATTTTACAAGCAGGTGATTACAAAAAAATAAAATAAAATAAAAACATTAGATAAATACTCTTGTGTTCATGCTGGAAATTCAGTGCAGTTATAAATAACTTGTGGTTTTTTGGTTTGAAAAATATATCCCTTAGCTTCTTCAACAGAAAAACTGCAGCTTTGTTAATTTTGAACAATTATTCAGTAGAACTTAAGATGGTAACGTATTAATGAACACATGCAACCTGGTTCACCTCTTCTCTGCAAGTCCTGCATCAACTCAGTGTCCATCTCTGCAAAGATGCTGCTGCTCAGATGTTCCGGAAATGAGAAAAGTATTTGCCCCAGAGCCACTGCAATGCACCGGAAGAGAGTTAGAAATTGAAATGCACCAAAATCTTTTGACATAAATCTGAGAATTACTGCATACTGTGTTTCTGAGCTGCTGAGTCACTCAGAGCTGAAATGGGCCCTTATAACCATCGTTTGAGGTTGTTTGGCCTTATCCCCCTGCATTATCCGTTTAGCATTATTACACCACCAGATGGCGCCAGCTTACAGACCCTTACTGGATGTGAAACACTTCCTTTTCTCCCACCTTGACAAGCATGACAGCAGCTTTTTTAGGTTTGAACAGTTTCCCAAGGATTTCAGTCAGAGCAGTATCATTTCATGAGAACCAAGTTGTTTAAATTTTATCATTGAAGCAACAACACACAAACAAGATTCAAACAGGCCATAATACAAAACTTTATGTTGATGCATTTAATGATGAATAAATAACAGAATGGAGCTCAGCCTGGTGGGACTTGGCTTTGAAACCAGAGGGTCTCTGGGTCAATTCAAGCACAAACCATTTGTTATAGAGTTTGTCATGGTAGCTGCAGAGATTCCAGTTCACCTCTTGGGCACTGCCAAGGTGCCCTTGAGTACAAAAGCAACTCCCTGACCCCTCATGTTATATCCCTTTGGCTCTGACATTCCTAATACATTAATAAAGATGTTAGTGATTAAGTTTTCAGGCCTGTGTGTAACATTTATCGAGAAATTATCACTGAGGAATTAAATATCTTGTTTTCAGACAGTTATAAAACACAAGAATGAATACCTATGACATTAAAACAGCAGACAAAAATGTAAACAAGAGCAGCTATCTTTACAGTTTTAGTAATGGCTAAAAACACTTGTAGTCGAAGGATGTCAGGTCAAGCAATGAATTCTACAAAGCTGATTTGGTTTTGTCCACCACCAAAAGTGACACACAAAGCCCATGTACATAGGTCTGTTTTTGAATTTGAAATAAATCATTCTCACTGCTTGATGGCTCTATTTTGTATTGTGCTATGAACTGTGAAACACATTTGTGTGTAACATATTTGATCAGATTACAGATTCAAAACATGGGTTTGCAAAAGAAACAGGCTCAGTGGGCAAAGACTGGACTTTGAAGGTTCTTACAGGTGCTGTAATTAAAAATGCAGTCTTCCTCATATTTTGTTGGTTTAACAGATTAATAAATTTAATAGTCTTGTCTGTCACACCTCTCTAACAAAAGTTACTCAGTGCATTTGAATAAAAAGTATTTTATTTCCCTTTAAAAGATAGTAGAGGATCAGAACTTGGCAAGATTATAAAAATCATGCATAAAGGTACACTGTGTAAAAATGAGAATATTTTTTTATATCACCATGTCAGATAGATTCTTGGGTGTAGGTTTTGATATACCTTTAAAAGGTGTGATGGTTGCGCTTATGATTATTTGAAGCCTGTCTCCAAAGATCTGCCAAATCAAAAGTGAATGCATCAGTCATAAGCAACTTCCAGACTCACCAAAAAAATAGTGAGTGTAATTTAATCAAAGCATTGTCTTTATTTTCATAATTCAAAATTAATGATGATGATCTGTAATCTCCATGTTAAACGTGGTTAGGGTGAGAGTTTGCTCTCCATGCTGAGAAGGATACACACACCAAGAGCGTCTCTTTAAGAAAACATGTCTGTCACACCAGGCTCGAAGCAACAGCTCACACAGTCAATAAATTATTCAGGCTCCTGTGCCACTGAATTTCGACATGGCAGAGCAGAGCTCGAGGGCCGAGCAGACACAATACCAAGACTCCTTCTTCAACAGTGATGCTGGTCCTCCTAAATAATCTAAGGGCATTTCCTTTTAACACTGACTTATAAAATTCAGCCTGTATCTTGGCCTACTTCAGTATTAAACAAGGCAAACAGGGTTGTATGTGAAGCATCATCGAGCATGTGGTGATTCATGAAGGTGACATCATCATCTTTAATCTGTCATGATTCACACACCATTTATACGCTCCATGTGTGCTGCGCTTCAAACACACATGTAATCTTTCTGTGCACAGATTAGGCCTCGAAACCTTAATGCTGATGAATTAAATAAAGCAATTGCATCAGACAGAAGTGAAGGAGAAAGACAGAGCCCAGGAGAGATCATCAAATGTGAGAGAGGAAAAGAGAGAGAGCAGTAGGAACAGTAGGACTGTGCAAAGAGCAAGGTCACAATTGCATTGTGTTTCACTCAGGCTGAAACCTGAGCAGCCACAGTATCCTACAAGCGGATAGAGAGTTCCTGTTCACTGCCCTTTATTGCTGCTGAGCCTCATTTGCAATTGACTTATCATGGCACTCTGCACACGAGCTCCTAAATAAAACTTATAATTTTGGATTATGTATCCTCTAGTATGTGGCAAATCTGTGCAAAAACAGACTCCAGACTGCAACATTGTGAAAGGGTCAATGTTTGTTTGCAGGAGAGCTTATCTTCAGACAGATAACAGTGAAAAGAAAATGTATTGATCTGCCAGAAGCAGCAACCTTTATAGCCACTGAACCATTACTGTCATTTAGTGAGCAGGTCAAGTCCCTCACTATAGTACACACTGACATTAAAGGCAGAGTCCTCATATCTCTTCAATCAGCTCAATGGCTCTCCAAGAAAAGAGCTGTAGAGACCTTTCTGCAGGCGATGAACCTCTGCCTGTTTGCAGTCTTTTCAGGTGCATTTTTAAAACACGCTTGAAAGGAAATATTGATGTTTTTCCCTCACAAAATGTTAGTCATATAAAAACATGTATTAAGGATTCTTTTATGCTCATGCTTTAAATTCTTAATGATGAGCAGAATAACTACAACCAAACATTTCATCTCAAAAATACAAAGTAAAGATATTTGTTTCCAATGCTGCTTTTAAAAGCCACATGCAGGCTATTATGTAAAAACTAATTTGCATAATGAGCTGTTCTATTTCTGGGCAATTGCAAGGGGAGTGTGAGTCCAAAACACCCCGCCTGAACCCCCTTCACTTTTAGTTAGATAGCAAAAATTAAATGCCTTTTTAAATTTATTTTTCATGATAAGAATGTATTTTTCACAGAAACATTTTGATTTACCTGTGAGGAGCTTACAAGTGTGTTTTGACAGCGATTTTTGGTGATCAGAGGTAACTTGTGATGTTGTCATGATGAGCAAGGTTATATTATTCCTGCCTCTTTTGATTCACAAGGCACCATTCAAATCCAATTTTAAGTTTTACATCCTGGTCCCATAAAACAGTGAGCACCTTAAAATTGAAAAATAAAGAAGTGCAAATTAACTGCAAAACCTTGATGTCCCCTTGAGGCCGACTGCAAAAACCCAATGTCACTCTTTGCCGCAAAATCAAACTTTTTTGCAAAAAGTGAAAGGCTCATGACCAAATCCAAGGTTTGGGTTTGGCATGAATTCCAGGTCAAAGCTATCCTTTTTGTGCCCATGCATAGGCACATACATGGCCCAACAGATAGGTGGGATGTCGTATTTTGAAAGACTTAAGCCCACCTCAGTGAGGTTCCGTTTAGTCAGCCTTTCAAATATGGTGACCACCATTGTTGGGTTTTATAATCCTTATTCAGTAAACAGCAGATGATGTTACTTATTTTACTGTATGTCCATGTTTTTATAGTCAATGGTGAAAACCTTTTTAAGTTTCTCTATATGAATTCTTATATTTTCAATTTAAACCCTTTTTATTTCCATTATTGAAATATTATATGCAAGTAAAACATTTTTAATAAAGGTAGACTTATCATATGTCTCGACTGACTTTGGCATTTGGCTAATCATATGGATCCATGTTTTATCAAACTGATGGCCCACAAAATTAATCGAGTAAAAAAATGTAATATTTTGGCTGTACTGCTAGTGTGTCTTTTCCTGTGGGACTGTTTTCACTCTCCACTCTGCCTTGCTTCATATCTCACTCAATCACAGCACTATCTAAGATGTGACACGGCTGTGTGATGTAACAGGCTAACTTTTTACTCATGATGTTGAAAGTTTCAGTTTTAATCAAACATTTGCTAAAGATATTTAAGGAAAGTCTCGTGTTGGAGTTTGTAATAATCCAAATACTAAAACTAGACAAAATTTTCCCTAATTTTACTGTCAATGCATATTAGTTCCAAATGTTAGTTATGGGTCTTATAAATTATTGATAATTGGTTTTGGTATAAACCTCTGGAAAACCTATAAATCTTAAGTCTTATGTTTGTGATGCAAAAGAAAAGTTAATATTGTATGAAGAACTTATTATATAAATTTTGTCTTATATAAACACCTACCTTTGGCTGGTAGATAGAATTCAGCTACTGTGCTGATGCTAGTACATACTGTACATACATATTTACACTGATGCATCAGCTGTACTAAGTAATTGACAGAGTCCTAGTTCAGTAAATTCAATTTAAAACCTCTGCATCAAACATAATCACAAACCGTCCTCTTTTCCCTTTTCTGACATAATTGCACCATTATTGTGCAGTGTATAAACTCTAGACAGTTTTTAAAAAGTAGTTAAAGTCCTTTTCGTCTTGGCTTGCTCAGTTTGATTTGTCTACATCTGTTTTTCATGTCATAGTTAGTTATTTAAAGCTCCTGTGAAGAACTTTCAGTTGGTCTGAATTTTGGTGCCCTGTTTAGACAAAACAGCCTTTGCTTATTTTATCTCCTACATGCTGAAGCCATGTCGGCTGGCAAAAAAAATCCCACTGTTCTGACTTTTGAGGGACAACTGTATAATTTATTGTGAATATCTAATGTAGGAAATGTAAAAATAAGGCCTTTTCTTTGGCTACTTGTCTGAAACCTATCCCCCAGCTAAAAGCATTAAAATAAACAGTTTTAATTGGTCAGCCATTCCACTGATGAGCTTGTTTGTCATTTAGATGTCAGGCAAACAAGTATAAATTTCAGTCTGTTTTATATAAAAAACTCATTACAGGAGCTTTAATGTATTTTACAATTTCATAGATATGCCTCTTAATTTTTTAAAGTGAAGTACTTTGCTGTGCCAGTTTGTGTATTTTCTGCAGAAAAACAAAGTGCAAAACCTGCAATGCAGACATCCCCCAGTCCATAGGAAGAGGCAGAGATGAACATAATTGTTTTCTACCTCAGTTTAACTCTGTGTAACCCTGTCTCTGTGTCCAGACTGGGATGTTGTATTGTGTCCTTCCCTGAATAGACATTTTTTTCAGTGAGGAGACTGACTGCTTTGTGTATGTTTGTCTCCTCTCAGCTTGATGTCCCTAGATTGACCTACTAAACCCTATTCATGACAAATCCCTGTTCCCCCTGCTATTGCATGCTTAACAATCCTGTATGTAAACATGGCTGTTTCGCCTCTATTGTAAAGGTTACATCACTGCAACGTGAAGTTTTTTTTCCCTTTAAATTCTAAACCCAGTAGCTTTTACATGAGGTTTTTAAGAGGGACACTAATCTTGTCCTTTACTCTCTCTCTCTCTCTCTCTCTCTCTCTCTCTCTCTCTCTCTCTCTCTCTCTCACTACTGCATTGATGCTGTTACCTCCCTCGGTGATGATGTCACCGGCTCAGTGGAGCTCGAGCATCCTCCTTAGCAGAGGCAGGGAGACAACAGAGCCATTTTGACCGCTTTTGGAGTGAAGAGAGGCGGACAAACATCAATAAACAACCAGCCGACCACTTCGACATCAACACAGGGAGGAAAGGGAGGGAGGGTCGGTGAGTGAAAGGCACCGCCGTCCTTAGCTCGTCCCGTTTTCATGGAGAGGAGAAGCTGTTAGCTGGGGGCAGAGCCAGACCCGGAGGAGACCAGAGGAGGTGGAAGGATATTAAAACCAAGACGAGCACGACAAACACGGTTTCTGAACAGGAGGGAGACGTTTCAGGCCCAGCAGAGGTCGGTGAACAGTATTTTTTCTCTTCTTTTTCCATTGTCACCGCTGGTTATGCAGTTTTAATGAGGCGGTCTTTATTTACTTAGTGTTGAATCTCCTGGGAAGAGATGGGCATAGGGTGCGGCCATTGAAGAGGCTGTCAGTGTCGGTAAGATACTTCTGTAGAGACAGAAGGACATGAAATCCTTTTCTTTTGACACTGTATGGGTTGTCATGTTATTTTAAAGCTTTTAAAATCGAGTACATGTCATTTAATTGAAATGAGATGGACGAAAGGGAGAAATGCCCTCTCATTGGGCGTAAGGTGAACCACGGAACGTACTGCTACACCTGCTAATTGAAAAAATGTTAGGGAATAACCTCTGAAATATAGCATTACTGTATTATTAAAGCAATAAAACTGAAAATTTTAGCCGAATAGTTTAAGAGCTGTATGTCAGTGTTATCCTGTTAATGATGGCATAGCTGTCATGTTCATGTCTTTAAAATAAAACAATTTCTCAGACTGTCTCATAGGTTAAATTGTATGAAATTGTCGTCATGCTCATGCACAGACAGGCAGGGTAAATTACATTAGCCTTTGTCACCGGGAAAATGGTGGCCGCCCAACTGAGCTTCATCATCAGCTGATTGGTCTGGAGATTACGGACACTGATGTAGATGGTGGAAAAACAAGTTATCACGTATTTTCCCACACGTGAAGAATTAAAACATCTTTTTAAAAGGATTTTGAATTTCAGTGGTGAATGATGAAATATCCTTAAGCTTGTGAATTTCTTCTAAAGACATGAAAACATGAGTGAATAAGACATTAAACTTCTTATTTTAATCAGCTTTTTTTTTTTTTTATCCTGGTAGACATTAACTTTCAGTAGAGCTGCACCTAACTCGTCATGATCTAGTTTTTCCATTAAAATGATGTCACTTGCACACATTTCAAATCTGAAATTTGTGCAGTGTCAGCTTTTGAGGATATTCCAGGAAGTGGGGTGACACAGCAAATTTACAACAATCAATTATGATGACAACCATATGAGTCACTAACTATTGGAACATACTCTCAATACTAATGTGAGTATGTTTAAAAGACATTGTTTGGGCATATTTCAGTTTAAAGAAATGCTACTGTGCCTTATTAATATGCAGTAAGTTTTGATGTTTATTATGTTTACAGTCAAACCTGAAGGATGCAGTGAAAGCTAATTGTAACCTATTGCTCACTGTTAAGGCTTATTGATAAAGGCATTAAATGGAGGTAATCCAATCTTAATTTACGATGAGTCATGGTTGCTCCTGATGCACCCACAATGCCACCACACACTGAATACACACACACACACACACACAGTGATTTAATGTTCATGTGTGGTCTTTCAGGAGACAGTATGATGAGCTGCTAAATGGAGCCAGACTCCGGATTTGTGGCTGGTTTCATTGCTTTTGTCAACCAGGGAAACAGCCTGACATTTAGCTGCTGCTGCACTTCTTTTGTCACTACAAGCTTCATTATCCAGCCCTCTCTGCTGGCTGTAGCTGACCATGCATGGTCTTTTCATGTTACAGCCACACAGCCCTACCCTGCTCTATTGTGCCGATTACCTCAACCAATCAACCGTGGAGTGTAACATTCAAACCTTGAAAGTTGTAACTCAAGTGTTGAAATTAGCTTTGTAACCCTGTAACCTTAACCATACAGCCTGCCACGAATGACGGTAGAATCATTTGCAAAAGACATAACTCGGAAAGAGACTTGTAAGAGGGACTTGTGTGTTTAGTCTAATAATGATTAAATAAATAACCACTACTTGTGGGCATCAGAATTACAAGCTGCTTGAACTCATTTGTTATTTTAAGCCTGGAGCACTGGTCCGATGTTGTGCCTATCCTGTGGTACAGCCACCCATCACTAGCTGGTGCTGTGTCTCTAGTTGATTGTGCTTTATTGCTCTGCGACATAGATGTAAACAAGCACAGATGAGTAATGGCATCTTATAGTGTGGCACAAATTCACTGTTTTTGATTTAGAAAATAGAGGTGAAGTTATGTCTGGTTAAATAAGAGTAAAACCACTCGACTTGAGTAATGAACCAGCATAAGTGTTTAGATCTGTGGTGGTTCTGGCTAACATTAGCCCATTTTTGGCAACATTCTGTCACCATGTTACACTGTGTTATATTTTTATGAATATTTTCCACCTAAAGACTTTAGCTGTATCACTTGTCTGCTTGTTGGAGTCTCAAAATCTGTTTTCACCACATGGAGCACAATCTTTTTGGTACATCTTTAGTTAAACCAGGGATACCCAAGATGACCATTCGGATTAATGTAATGTCTTCATGTTTTCAAAACGAACTCTTTTTCCAGAATGTTTACAAAGGTTAAAAAAATTGCAGTTTTCATAGATTGTGTTGATTCATCGCCACTGTATGATACCACAAGTACAACTTTCTTCTAATTTTTCTTTGTAATTTTATTTTCAAGGAATGATTTGTACTTTGGAGCCTGGTTGCTGTATGTGCAGGATAATGGAGAAATAGTAGAGGGGCAGATTTGATTGTGTGTGAGAGTAGATATTGTTATTAGTCATATATTTTGCTTTTATTTCACAATTTAAAACTGTGAGTCAACTAGAATGATAAAATTTTAATGAGAGAAATAATGTGTTGTGACTTAACAACACTCTGTCTTAGTGAAAAGAGAATTGAAAAATAATTTCATTTGCATGTGAACTAACTCATACTCATGAATTCTATTAATCAGGACTTACTCTGTGCTCCCTCTGCAGACTTAAGGAAGCCACCCCGAGGTGCTAAGAAGACAGCACCATGGCAGGGGCCTCTGTGAAGGTGGCGGTGCGTGTCCGCCCCTTCAATTCAAGGGAGACTGGAAAAGAAAGCAAATGCATCATTCAGATGTCTGGAAACACCACCAGTAAGTAATCGTATTAACTCACCATAAGTCTATTTATATGTGTCCTGTGACTCATTAAGTTTTTTTCTGTGACATTCAGAATCAAATAGATTAGAGCAACAATCACTTCATGCTGTATGGTGAACAACAGAGTAGAAAATGGTTGACTGACTGTATATAAACAGAAGAAGCCTCCATGCTTCCTTTATTGTGAGATATGAAGCTAAAACACCACAATGATGTGTGCTGACACAAGGTGCTGGCAGAGCCAAGACATGCGTAGAGCTTTGAGACTGATGCCACAGCTCTACTGTGAACCAAAACATGGTTCTAATTTACAGATACAATGTCAAAAGCACGGCTATGGAGAATTTTGTGAATCTTAGGATAATATTGATCATGTTTTCACTTCTGTTCCTCCTTTAATGATCTGGGGAAGAGCTTCATTTGTCAACAGAGCTATCAATCAATCATCATCCAACATTTGAACATCCAATAACCAATTACAGCTGAACTTCAGAAATAAATGTGCTCCCACACATAAATTACCTAGCTTTAAACTAGCATTAACATAACATTAGACATGTTTGAAAAATGTCTTAACATGTATATGAGTTTCCAAGGCTGACTCATGCTCAGTCGGTTTTAATGGAGGAGGTGGACTCATACTGCAGCCTCCCTCAGAGGAGCTCTAAAATTTATGGCTTCTCATGGGCAAGATATTTTGTTCTCCATTATTCAGCCTGTGGTATAAACTAGATGAACTGTTGCAATTTTATTCTCTTAATTGGTTATTTCCTTATGTGTTGGCAAAATGTGATGAAGTCTGGTTTATTTCCCCCTCATATTCATCAACAACAACATTTTCCCCACTCCTTACTCCTTCCACACCAGCCTGAACAGCTTATATCTCAGATACCAGGAATTCACGTGAACTAGTCTGGTCCTGCTCCGTGTGTCTGGTGTATCAACAGGTTATGAGTTATATGTGCAATTAATTTTTGACCCACTAGTAAGACAAACATCCTTTTCCACAGATAAAGACAATCATATAAAGTTATTTAAATATAATAGCATATTTAAACCTCACGTGACAAAGGTGGGTTGAGCGCACAGATCACATCATAAATTCCAATAATGGCATTAAAATCAGAACCATCTGTGTGTCAATGACGCATCGCGCTCCGTGGCCTGGCTCTTTCTTTCATAGATGTTGGCATATAAAATAAATTTGGCTCACAAAACTGAATATTATAATATCCGTATGTAGGCTTAAAATAACTAACTCATCTGATCACTGAAACAAATCATCTGTTCAGCCGCCGCAGCAGCTGCAGCAGGACAGAGAGAGGACACAGAGACATGTCCAGGTCGAGCTGCGCAAGAAATAAGAGGAAGAGGAAGACAAAAAAGGAGGGAGACGAATTACATATCTTGTTAACTTTATCATGTGTGTCTATTTACTGGATATCTAATTTAATGCGGTTTCAGCTGTGTTAATTTGGTCAGGTTGAGTGTCCAAACGCGTGCCAAACGCGCTCATCAGATCAGATATAGATCAGAATATATCTATATAGATCTAAATGTATGTGCTGACTCAGAATATTGACTGTTGTTGAATATTTATTGCACTGAAATGTGCCTGACACTGTGGAAACCTACCGGTGAGGCATCGGTGACGTATGCGCACTACGCCACCGGTCTACCAGAATACTAATAGACCAGCTGCGCTCTGCCTGCGCTGAAAGCTGACCAGATTTGAATTGGTGAGCTTTCAGCGCACTTTCCACGCCTACCAAACTGGCTGTGCACTGGGCTCTGCCAGACCGGGTCCGCCACCCTCTGCCGCGTCGCTGGTGGGCATGAAAATAGAGCCCATTATGTCTCTGGCAGCAGATGTATAGGTGTGTGCAGACATGCTGACAGCAGGTAAAGATTTTTCAGTTTAGAATGTCCAGTCAGAGCCTCCTACACAGATGTACACACAGAAGCACACGTGTTGTAACAGAAAGAGAAAGAGAGATGTGACAGACAACATAACAGGCAACAAAACCTTTGCTTTTGGATGTCATAAAAAGGCGGCAATATAAATTTCATTTTTTTTCAGTAACACGAAAAAACTCCAAACAGAAGCTTTAAGTGCTTTTTTGCATCTGTAGTAAGTTACCTTTGTTTCAGACATTAAAATGGCAAAATCAAAGTGTAAGAAATAAGGGCTGTTTTTCTAAAGTGATAATATAAACTTGACAGTTGCACTCTTCAAAAAATAATTGAGCAACAACTTATAAAGTGAGCAATGTGAATTGAATCCCATTGTGTAGAAATGCACCAGTTGTGAAAATTGGAGCCAATACTGATGTTAGCAATTCAGCCAGTGCCAACAACCATTACTAATGTTTTTTTTTTTTTTTTGCATTACTTTGTAATTTTTTTGTCAGATTTTTTTTTAACAAGTTATGAGATTTGAATAGATGTTGGTCCTTCCAATAAACTCCTCCTTTAAATGTCTTTTAAACACGTGTTACAAACTGCATGCCGCTGATCTATTCCTGGAGACCATGTAACACCCCCACAATGGGCACATTGGTCTCATAAAAATAAATCAGTTTATCTGGCAGGGGACTTTTTTTCAGTATTGAAAATCTGTAGTAGTTTTCCAGATTTACACTTTAGTGATGAAGTTGGAGATAGGATACAGATAAACATCTGCTACTGACATTGGTGCCTGACACTAATTTGACACTAATTTGCAGATAGGCCCATGTCAGTCAAAAGGGCAATATTAGCATCCCCTCTGTTGTGAGTTGGGCTTATCAGTACTTTACCATTTAGTTTCCAACAAATGGACACTGACTGCTCTGACAGTGAGCTTGGGCTCCATATCATTGGTTTAAATGCTCTTTCTCATACGTAGTTTAAACTAAGGGTCCTGCATGGTTCTTGTACTTACAATAGTGTTTTCTCATTTGGAGTGGTTGTTTTGCACAATGTTTATTGTGCATATTGACTATATATCACTGTAAAACTGAAAACTAAATCCATTGGCCAGGTTATTCAGTCCTTATGAAGCGCTGCTGTCCTTGACTCTCTCACCTTTCTGTGCAGTATCAGGGGTGACTCTGCAAATCTTGTGTAAGAGGAAAGACTTAAATCATGACATGATTCAAGCAGAGAATTACATTAGAATCAGCCTTAATTCTAAGTGCAGGCCATTAAGATACTGTAGATTATTTTAATGTACTAAAAGAGGAAATGAAAGTTGTCTGATTACAACAGGGCTGATCCTTTAAGTCACTCCATATAGTCAGCAGCGGAGGATTTCTAGAGATAAAATCACCTGCTAGGAAATCTCCTCAACATCATCCTGTAGGTGACACAATCACCTCCTGCATATTTGGCTTTGTATTTAATCAAAGCAAAGCCTTTCTGTCAGCAGATTACGCTAGATTTAACAATAACTGTTCAATAAAAATTAATCTTCCTTCTCAGATCTGCTTCCAACGCAAACATGTAATAGTCATAAAAGCCACAAACTTGAATTATTCCCACTAAGAAGTGAATCGGAGTGTTTTAATTTTATACTTGTATCCCAAATTTTTCCTGCATTTGCTTTTCAGACCATAAATTGTGTGTGTATTTTCTGAGCATGTCGTGGAGAGCGCTCCACATTCCTTGGGTTATTTGGTGCAGAGTGAGGACTCTAGCTGAGAGGAGACTGGAAAGACACTCGATATGTAGTCTGCTAAGCAAGGTAAAGCCGTTCATCAGTAATGGATGAGGCTTCCTGAAATATTTACCGTTTGGCCTAATTTAGCCCGCTCCCCCTCCTCCCTCATGTCATGGGTGACTAGACAACAAGCTGAGCAGCTTTTTTGGGCCGTCATAATTTGACCATGTGATTCGTTGCATTTTTTTGAATGTCGTCACTGGTAGACTCAGTACTTACTCTTCTTAGATAAATCTTATGGGTGTTGTTTGGTTTTAAGGAAACGCCCATAAGGATTCGATAGTGTGAACATTGGTCTATTTTTGTTGTCACCCACAGTTAGATTGGTGTCATTACCTCTGCACAGATTTCCTACATTTGTCCCTACAGTGGTGGACAGTGAGTATTTTGCTGTCAGCAGAGTCTCCTGCAGCAGTGTAAATTTAGATTAGAGGCTTTGTAATCCACAGAGAAGGTATTTACAGTGTTGGTATCACTAAACGTCCTTGGAGATGTCCTGTTTGATTCAATCTGTGAATTGGATGTCTGAGCACGTACAGCCCATTAGCTGTTTTTGGTCAAAGCAGTTATCTATCTGATACATGAGAGGTTCATACTGTTATTTCTAAACCTTGATATTGTTTTTCCGTACTTTGAGGGTCTTAATGAGTACCAATAGAAACAAAAAGCCGTAGATATTTATCTTCAGAAGATTTCTTAAACTGACAGCAAGAAAGCAGGTAATAATGGCTGCAATATAGTCATACTTCTTAAACATGCATGATCAAATTATACCCACTGATAGTGTTTACAGTTTCTTTTTTTACTTAGAGGCTCAGATTTTGTAAAAATAGCCCTTTCTGTTAAACTTAAAGAGACAGTTTTGAAACAAGTGGCAGCTGTTTCTTTTAAACCAGGGCGTGGCCTCAGTGATGTCACTCATTAGGTTCTGAAGAGGGGTTTTGAAGCCAGAAACAAGAAAGCGGAGTTGAGGCAGGCTCGTTGCTTTCTGGCAAATGGCTCCATCCCATTCCCACCCACTTGTAATTTAACCCGGCTTCTTCCCTAGTTATACAAATCTATGCCTGACTCTCAGTTTTAACATCTTCAAAAAGCATGAGTAATATGAAAGTCACACCCTGTTCAGCTTGCGAGAGTAAAGAAATGAGCTACTCTAAACACCAGTGTTACACATTAAGGCTGATACGTAGACAACCAGCTCCTGTGTTCTGAAAGGTTAAAATGCTGTTTTTGTCAGTTGTGTCTGGAGACATTAAAGGTCCCATGGCATCCCAATTTCACACAACTTAAAATAGTCCCCTGGTGTGTTAAAAGCATGTCTGTGACGTCCTTCGGTCAAAATTCGATTTGGATCAATTATTTTAGTGCTCTTTTTATCAGCTAAAAACAGCTCCGCTCAAAATCTTCCGTTTTGGGCCATATCTCTTTAATGAAATGAGCTGCACCTAAGCCACATCCACTTTACACCCATCTCTCTGGAAGGGGCTGTGGCTGTGCTCCGATAGCCTTGTTAATGTTTACACTGGCTCGGTCATGGCTGCAAGAAGATCGCTTGTACAACCCTACCAGTTTGAGTCAGAGTGTGACCCAGAGGGAGAGGCTCCGGAAGAAAATCTTAGCCGCGTTCAGACCAAACGCGACTTAAAGCGACCTCGTCGACACATCCTATGTACTACTCAAAGCCACCAGGAGGGTCACGCTTAAGGAGGAAGATATAAATGTAGAAAAAATTACAACCAGAGCTCTGCTACAATGTAAGATATTGGTGCGCTTAAACTTCTCTGAAGCCTTTGCTAATTAATAGGATGGCCGACCGTCCAGGATTAGCCGGGACATCCAGTATTTGAGCCAAAAAAGGCACGTCGCCGCACTTGTAAATGCTAAAGCTACATGCTGCTCCGGAGGGGGATTTTGTCCCCCGCCGCCAGAGTTGTCGGGGAAGAAGCGAGCGTCTAAAATACGGGAGGATCCGGTAAACCGGCGCTGATCCGGTGTGTTTATCAAAGCGTGATGGCCGTGCTGAGGCACCGGGGGGAATTTAGGCTGAACTGTAAGTCAAAATAAAACGTTCACACTTACAGATGCCACATTTGTAGTAGGATCACGGATAGTTGGTACGGATCCATTCTTTATCTTCAGACATCTAGCAAATCCAGCATTGAACTGTCCCTCGTCGATAAAACAGTCCGAAGTGAAATGGTGCGCACATACGTACAGATATTTTGGAAGTGCCGCGGGTACATTCCCATTATAAATAAAATCCACCCATTGAGTCCTCAAATCCTCTGACGAGGGAGTTTTCAAAAGAGTTTTGTGCCCATTTGTGCAGCCAACAACAGAGCAAACGCTGCCTCTTTTTCAGATCGTACTTTCCCCATGGTTCTAACCGGAGCTATGTGAGCGAGCGGCCGGGAATAATGGCGCTTTTTTGATAATTTTTTGGGCAGGGCAGAGGGCGGCTCCATGGGCAGTGCCATCAACCCGCCAGCACTGACATGACGTCATGTCAGTGGAGTTTCAGAACGGCTCTGAGCACGCAGTTCCTAAATACGGAGATAACTAAAAAACGACTGGTTGGTTTTTTTTCGAACTTGGGGGGATTGTAGCAGTTTTCTATCCCTGATATGCACCCCTGATAACAAAGTCAGTTTTTCATGCCATGGCCCCTTTAAAGGATAGATTTCTGATCGATTGAAAAGATCTAGTCTTTGACAAAAACATTTATTTAATGTAGGGATTCTTTTCAAAATGTTGGCAGACAAACACCTTGAAATACCATCTACGCCTTTTATTGGCAACAAACATCTTTCAGTCAAATACATTTAGTCATGGGGATTGCTTTGCAGTCTTGAGTGCCTGTGCTGTTGCTGCAAGGAGAGGCGATATTTTGGACCATTAAGAAATCATAATACCAATTGTCTAGAAAAGGGTTGCTCAGGTAGGAAATACTGTATTTATTGTTCCAGTACAATCTTGAATGAAGTGTGAGTGTGGTCTGACTGATCTTCAGGACCAAGCATGTTCTTAAATAAAGGTGTTTAGTCCTGTTCTTCCACATTAAATAGTATGCGCATATCGCTGTCATAGTGCAGAGAGTTTTCTCTACATAATGCACACTTCTACTGATGTTAGTGTTTGGTTTGGATTTTCATTTAATAAGCTTGATTATGTCTGAAGCCTGGCTTCCACATTAGTACTGCCTGGTTTCTCAACAAAGAGGCAGAGCTGACCTGTGTCTCCTGTGACTAACACATTTACTGTTGACGAATACTTCACACAACCCCCCTTCATAAATACTGAACTATCCTTTTAATGCAAATGCAAATAGTTTCTATTTGTCTACTGTTATTAGCGGTGGCAATCAGCCAGTGGCCCCACAATACGATATTGTCACAATACTTGGGCCACAATACAACATTATCATAATACTTGGCCCACAATACTTCGGCCATGATACAATATTATCACGATACTTGGGCCATGAAATGATGTTATCATGATACTAGGGCCACGATACTTGGGTCACGATACGGTATTATTACAATTAATTTGAAAAATCGATACTTGGTAAATGAGACAATTGGATTTATCACCAGACAAAATATTGCAATACTATGCTGTATCAATTTTTTCTCCCACCCCTAATTTTTGTATTCTCTTCTTCATTTCTATCGTTATTCGGAGAACTCCAGTGAACCCTAAATACTACTTTGTTGTATTGTATATTTTTCGAAGTTAAGGGCTTCTCAAAATGAAAATAATTTTTATAAATATCCTCATGTTCAGTTTTTTTCAAGCCTTATTGGGAGTTCAGTTCACAGTCATCCAGAGTGGGGATGACTGGCCTCAGGTACTCAGTTGTAATTGTATCTTATGCAAAAGCCCCTAAAAGAAGTGCATCTAAAAGTAAAGCGCTTCTTGTAAGTTCACTGAACCTGCTTAATTGCTCGTCCATCACTCGCAGTCACAGAGTAGTTACATTTGGACTGATTTTGATTTTCATCAGGCCTGTGACATGATTCTGTTTGTTAAATCTGCCTTAAAATCCAGAGATGAAGCAGAGTTTATGTAAGACGTGTGGAAAACATCTTGCTGGTCAGATCCTCTCAGTAGACAAAGCTGCTTTCGGTGAGTCTGCAGGTCTTTCAGCAGAGCAGATTGTTCTTTCCCAAACTGAGTCAATGGCTCTGGATGTGAACTGGAGGATGTGAGCACACTGATGTCATGAAAAAGCCTCATTGGTTGCAGTGTCTGGAGGGGGTAGAGGGGCCGGGTATAAATGCTCCCTTGTCTTTTTGTAGTCTGGGGCTGTGGAAAAGTAGAAGAAGAAGGAGCTTTGGGGGTTTTGTGAGCATCTCACTCTCTGCTTTGTGCTCTCTGACACTCATGTGTGGGTCAATAGCCCTGTTCCCACAAAGCAGCAGAATGGCAGTAAGCTTGTTTTTAAGAGATCTCCCCTCCCACGCCGGCCTTAATTAAGATGCAGGGGACAGACCTGCAGGAAAAAAAGGCCTTGCTTTAAGGGATTTTGGATGCATAAACTTGGTGTATTGAGTTAGATTTTTACTGCAGCAAAAATATGAAAGAAGCTGAATAACTCAGAGATATCTTTGTATACACTCAAACCTATAAGAAAAGTTGATAATATCTGCAAAATAAAATCTTAGCCTCCCCCCACAATGTTTTATTTTATCTAGCTGTTCAGGTATTCCCTGTCAAAATTGTAAAAACGTTCAAAGCAAATTCATTCATTGTAGGGATTGAACACTTTGGACTGGATTATCATAACTGTAAATGCTCATAAATGCAGTTTTCAGTTTTACACACACTGCTTAAGGGCTTTTTGATACAGTGTTTTGAAACTCAGGCCTTGAAAAACCCTGGATGAAAGTCTGGGATTTTTAAAGCAGCAGACGAATAACCACCTACGCCCTGCGTTGTCTCAATATAGCATCAACATGGCTCTCCTCCAGTCTCTGTCAGTGGGTTCACATCACATCCCCTCTGCCAGACCTGCTGACGCAGCCACGTTTCCTTTCCTATTGACTGGGGCAGGTCACCCGTGACAGCCCGCCCAGCATCACTCAGTCTCAGATAGAAAGAGACCCAGCAGTGAGGGCAAAGACAAACATGGGAGAAGATGCTTTGAATATGATAAATGACAGCTGAAATAAAACTTGAATCTGTGACATGGGAGTGGGAGTGTGGATGTGATATGTGGGTATCACTCACAATAATAATACTGAAGGGTTGTGAGGTTTTACAAGCATATGATTTTGACAAACTCCAGAGTAGATTTTAGCTTATAGTATTTTACAATACAATACAATATGGTATGTTAAAACAATACAGCAGACATACACTCACCGGCCACTTTATTAGGTACACCATGCTAGTAACGGGTTGGACCCCCTTTTGCCTTCAGAAATGCCTCAATTCTTCGTGGCATAGATTCAACAAGGTGCTGGAAGCATTCCTCAGAGAGCTTGGTCCATATTGACATGATGGCATCACACAGTTGCCGCAGATTTGTCGGCTGCACATCCATGATGCGAATCTCCCGTTCCACCACATCCCAAAGATGCTCTATTGGATTGAGATCTGGTGACTGTGGAGGCCATTTGAGTACAGTGAACTCATTGTCATGTTCAAGAAACCAGTCTGAGATGATTCCAGCTTTATGACATGGCGCATTATCCTGCTGAAAGTAGCCATCAGAAGTTGGGTACATTGTGGTCATAAAGGGATGGACATGGTCAGCAACAATACTCAGGTAGGCTGTGGCATTGCAACGATGCTCAATTGGTACCAAGGGGCCCAAAGAGTGCCAAGAAAATATTCCCCACACCATGACACCACCACCACCAGCCTGAACCGTTGATACAAGGCAGGATGGATCCATGCTTTCATGTTGTTGACGCCAAATTCTGACCCTACCATCCGAATGTCGCAGCAGAAATCGAGACTCATCAGACCAGGCAACGTTTTTCCAATCTTCTATTGTCCAATTTCGATGAGCTTGTGCAAATTGTAGCCTCAGTTTCCTGTTCTTAGCTGAAAGGAGTGGCACCTGGTGTGGTCTTCTGCTGCTGTAGCCCATCTGCCTCAAAGTTCGACGTACTGTGCGTTCAGAGATGCTCTTCTGCCTACCTTGGTTGTAACGGGTGGTTATTTGAGTCACTGTTGCCTTTCTATCAGCTCGAACCAGTCTGGCCATTCTCCTCTGACCTCTGGCATCAACAAGGCATTTCCGCCCACAGAACTGCCGCTCACTGGATATTTTTTCTTTTTCGGACCATTCTCTGTAAACCCTAGAGATGGTTGTGCGTGAAAATCCCAGTAGATCAGCAGTTTCTGAAATACTCAGACCAGCCCTTCTGGCACCAACAACCATGCCACGTTCAAAGTCACTCAAATCACCTTTGTTCCCCATACTGATGCTCGGTTTGAACTGCAGGAGATTGTCTTGACCATGTCTACATGCCTAAATGCACTAAGTTGCCGCCATGTGATTGGCTGATTAGAAATTAAGTGTTAACGAGCAGTTGGACAGGTGTACCTAATAAAGTGGCCGGTGAGTGTACAACAGAAATACTATGCCATGATACGGTTCATATGATAAGATGCTTTATGATTGGATTAAATGGGAAACAGTAGGATAAGTCCCTCATGCTCTCCTCACACCATAAATCTGCATTTTCCTTCCAACACCTTAAACTCATGGAAACTTTCAAACATTCACTAAAGACTAAAATTCTTTGCTCTCTTGCTGAATTTAGTACTTTGATCCCCCACCACTGTTTCAAATTGTGACTGTTTTACTTAATTTTTATGTTTTTTGGTTTATTGTTCTTTTATTTTCAAATGTATGTATTTCAAATGTACTTGTAATCTTCACTGAATAAACAAAATTTTGAATGAATGAAAAGGATAGATAGGTATTATACCATACAGTTAACTTTGATACAATAAAAAATATATATAAGTTAATATAAGATAATAGAGGGTTTGGTACAATATGATACAATATGAGGTGATTCAGTTAATTTTACAAACCACTGAGGAAAATTTGTCTTGGACTGAATTAAATAATATCAATAGTTCATATTTATTCATACTAATTAATTTCTTATTACTGATATCACATCAAAAAGCTGTTATTTAAAACACATCTTAGTTTACAGGTAGACAGCTAAAGTAAAGAGTCACCAATTACAGTTTCAGGGGTCAAACAAATTTAACGAGTGAGATAATACCCTCCAGCCTGGTTTTTTAATTATCTGTAAAAATTTTAGACATCTTTGAGTGTCTTCCAACACATTTGAGTCATTTGTAAGGGGTCTTTGTGCCTTGTTATCCTTGTGTCCTGTGGTTTTTAATAGTTTGTTTGAGGATAAATCTGTGGATTTTGTGACTGATGAAGTCAGAGTTTCAGGAGGCTGTTTAAAATGAGTAATTACACCTAATTGATGTAGATGTTTCATACATTTGATTTGCTCTCATGAGCATGTGCTTTATGTTCTTAAGAGAAATGATGGGATTATCAGCCGTGTACGCTTGAGCTCACTGTTAGAGGTCATTATGTGCACTGATTAAAGCACAGAAAAGAGGAATACGTGCATCAACTACCAAATGCTGCTGACGTGGTTTGAGAGCGCACAGTCAGAATTTAAATGAGCTACCTCTGCAAGTATGACGTTTTCCCTTTATGACCCTACTACTAAATCCTGGCGTCATCTCTAACCTCAATTCTCATAATTATAAAGTGTTTCCATCATAAAAAGAGGAGGCAGGTGGTGAAGGGGGGCATGATGAGGATGGGAGACGTGCTCTGTGTGGTAAAAAAGCTCCTAAAGCAGGCCTCAGGTGGAGGTTGCTCTGACACGCCAGCTGTGACCACGGACAGCCGTACGGGATCTGACAGCTCCGCCTCGTGTCTCAGTTTACTCTCATACATGCTGCCAATCACTTCCACTCTAAGCTAATTACCTTATCTGAGTGAGAGCAGGACATTTTTCTTTCATTGCAGGGCTGTGTGAGGGTGTTTTGGGAAGTTGTATGAATCATATCCCGATCAGGCATGAGTAAGCAGCTCAAGGATGTCATATTGCAGGGGCTCTGCTTTCCATCAGTATTCAGGTCCATTTTTTAGGTACTGTAATATACTTGCCCTTTGTTAAGATTGATATACAGTATATGATGGCTTTTTTGTTTCTGGAAAGTTCATGTTTAGTGGTGCTTTCTCAGCATTTTCTACCAGCATTTTCTTTCCCAACTTCACTAAGTGTCGGTTCTTGACTTTGTTGGACCTTCGTCCATTATTAGATTATAAGAGACTCAATTCTTTTAAAAACGTGTATGCCAACAAAGCCTTTTCATTGAGCGAGACCAGGAACATATTGTACCCGTAATACGTTCATAGGTAGATGTCTCATGTCTGTCAGACTGATTCTTCATTAGACTTGTCTTGATTTTCCTTTAATGTTTCTTAAAACAGTCATGCATATATGCTCCCTATGATTCAATACTGCCAGATAACTTGGTTTTAGTTTTAAGACACCCACATCACTTTTGACTAAGCACCATCTGTTACTTGGGCATTGAGTATATTTATGGCTTACTCCTTTTTTGTATCTCTAGAAAAGTGATTACTGTTCTTTAACTTATCCCAACTAAATAATATGTGTAGTAAGAATAGTGAAATATGATTCAAACCAGTTCAACTGTGGAAGGACGGTGTTCACACACGATATTGGAAAGTGCTACACATCTGCATGAAAACTGTACATTGCTGAACACAATGGAGGTCTTCACACAAGACAGCAGTTTCAACTTTTTTCCTCTCAGAGCTCCTAAAACAGACAACATTTTATATACTTATATTCTGAATTTGACTGTAACTGCATTACCTTGTTTTTTATATAAACGAATTAGAGGGATTAAGATAGTTTTGGTGTGGCTGGTAATTCATTTATAAAAAGAAATCTTTAGCTATTTACATGTCGTGCACCAGGAACAAGTAAGCGGCAGTTCTGCTCACTGTCCTATCTAACCAAGCCTGAAGGAAACATAGGTCTTAAAGGTGAAACTATGATAACTGGAGTTTGCATGGTTGTTATTGTGGTGTGATGGAGAGTAGGAGACCTTTGTGGATTATTTGACTGACCTTGGGATCCTCTTGAACTGTAGGAACACTTAACTATCATTTCAGACTTAATTTGAATATTTACAGCATATTGCCATGTCTTCCTGGGCATGAAATGATGTAGTTAAAAAGATGAAGTGCAGACCCAAAAATGACAAAATAAGAACTGGGTCTCAGTAGTTCCAACTGATGATGCTCCTTCAGCCCGGTGTCATGACACATTACCGTCGAAGACCATTTATGGCAGGAAACGGTGCACAAGTGGGGAAATGAGCCATATGGAAACATTTTTAGCTGATTAATAAAACTGATTCTGTTGAGGCCTCATGTATTTGAAGGCAGCCATTGGAGTCATCACTTGGATGAACTTGAAGCAGAGTAGTGAGTGTTTGCTATTTCTCTGCTCATGTTTGGCCCTCCTCCAGAGTGCTTGACCGTCTTGAAAGGCCTCATCTCTTTCTCATGGTGAGGCATGGGGCTGAAACCTGAGACCCATGTCAGCCATGCTGGCCTATATCTCACAGCTGGATGCATAGTAACAGAGTAGAGAGGAAGTAAGCGTGTGTACGCTGATTTGAGAGTACTTAGCTCTGGGCCCTTTTCCTCCCATCGACCGATCTGCATTAGTAGAGAAAGGGTGTCTGGAGCTGTGGGAGCAGAAAGGAAGCTATTTTTTATCGCCAGACCACCACAGAGATATTGTTCCTGGGTGGGCACGCTACCAGATCCTTGAGTATTTCAGAGAAAAGGATTGATTTTGAATACTGGAACTATCATAGAAAATAACATTTTTATTGTAGTACGTCTCTTTCAGTCCTGATCACAAACAGAACCACTCTGGCTTTATCTGTTCCTGGAGACGTTTTTCTACTAACCTTTTTGAGGATATATTAAGCATTTTCAGGTCAATGAATGCTTTTTAAGCTTTATCTTTGGATAACCTTGTATGTAAGGACAGAAGTATGTCCCGGATTCAAGAGAAACATTTTAAATCCACAATGTAGGGTTTTTAGCTGATTATGAACAATCAAAACAAACAGTGCTGTTTGTTTTGAACTCAATAGAGAGTATATGTGTTTATATCAATATACCATGCATATTAATTTGCATCTAAATTGATCTAAATACAAAGAGAATATGTAAGACCAAAACTTTGTAAACCTGGTTTAGTTTTACATTTTTAACTGTGTGTGTCCTCATGAGTTTAAGTCGATAGCCGACCGATGGAGGCTCTTGTCTTAGCGATGTTAAATGAGAATTAGAGACTGAGCTGACAATCATGTAATATATACTCCCAAATGGTTATTGATCAGTCAAAATTGCAGAAAAAAAGTCTAAATGCATGGTGGTAAATGCACAGTTACTAACTAAAGAGCACTAACCTGGATTTTGAAGGTTGGATTTTGAAGATATCAGAGATGGAGGACTAAAGGTCCTTACACACCAGGCGAGAATTCGCCAAGTGAATTATTCGCCTTTTTTTAAAACAGCATAAAGTCAATGCAGGCTCCCACACCGGCGGCGATTTTTCCGCGGGGCGAAAAGCGTCTTTTATTTTTTCGCTCTTGTGTCGAATTTTTCGGATATTCGCAGGCGAATATCTGGACCTGCTAGACCTCTGGCCAATCAAAAGTCATGTTGAGTCACACTGCAAATTTGCTGGTGTGTAAGGACCTTAAGGACTGATTTCAGCTTCTTTTCAAACAGCAAAAGTATGGCTTTAACAGTGTGTCAAAAAAAATACCATGTTGTATTTAAATTTAACATTTCACTTATTTCAGCAATGAAAGAGGAGAGAAATTATCATTTCGATTTCAAGGTAGTGTTCCAGAGTCTTTTGAAATCCAGTCTATGCAAAGAGCCAATTTCAACATCCTTACAAAAATCATGAATACTGCACACTGCACAAGACGGTCCACAGACATAGAAGCAGCTTTAACCATGATCAATAATAGAAGAAAAAGCAGACTGTCTATCTGTGTTCAGGCACTAAGGCTGTGAAACTCCAGCTGTGATCCTAGATAAACTTTCATGACTATTTTAGCTGCCACATGTATGAGATACAGCTTTACATTTACGTATACATTTACAGATGAACAAACTTCAAAAAAGGGCCAACAGCTCCTCTTCACTGAGAGCTTGAGGACTTTAGATTTTTGTTATTCACACAAAGTCAATGGTAACCTGATATTCATCAGTAAAAGGTCCAGGGAGAAAAAAAGCTAGTTTGTGCTGTGTATTTGAGGAGTCATCCTGGTAAAAAAGGGTTTATCAGCATGTGATCACAAAACAACCTTACAGTAAAAACACACAAATCACAGAGATCAGCACTACTCTGAAAGCCTGGAAAAAAGTCACAAGTTTTTTGAAAGGGGAAGAAGGAGCTTTTCTCTGGGGACTAAAGAAATCTGATCCTGATGAAGAGCTCAGGGCTGATGACTGGGTAACACTGTTGTAAGATGAGCTGAGGCTGAAGAGCTGAGGCTGAGCTGTGCTAAAATGGCTACGGGGAGATAAATACACCTGGTAGACATGGCCTTTTAATCTAGCACCACCACCAGGCTAAACTCTACATAGTTGACAGCTTTGTTTTAGAGTTTATAAGAAGTACAACTGACTGAGAGACTTATTAGCAGTGCTGTTGAAAAAAAGTCAATATTATCTTTTATTTATGTGCATCACATTTTTGTATGATAATGTTATGGACAAAATATTTCGAAGCTTATTTCTCTCTGTCCATGGTGCTGAAATAGCCGCAGTAGAAAATGATCTTTCATGCAGTCACCACACTGTTTTTAATGTTGTTTTTTTTTTCTTTAATTATTTTCCCTTTTCAGACAGTTTGTGATAATGTTTCTTATATCTTTTAAAAAAAGATTGTTTCATTGAAATGGACTCAAATCAAATTGCACGAATGCCTTCTGAACTACAATAACCTGCAGTCTTTGGGGTCAATGATGGGTCTGACAGTAGGGATACCTTGCTTCATTTTTCATCAACATTCTTGCATAGGCATTTCAAGATGGTCTTTCTTGGCCCACGTATGAGGATATTACACTTCGTAACACCATATTTGGGTTCAGTGACAGTTGTTTTATGTCGCTGCTTCATCGATAAACATTATTTTGTAATTGGCGTCATAACTGTTCCCCAGCTGATGAACATCTTGGTCTACTTTTCAGCAACATTATTACAGACAATTGCCATGTCTGTGCATTTCTCTACCACCATGGTGCTGTAGCCCTGGGGAGGGGCTTGCCTCAGTCATGGGTGGTACACCTACTTCCATTTTTTCTTAATTTATAACAGGTAAAGGGAAACATTCAAGTCATTTTTTGTTTACATTTGGATAATTATGGCGTACAGGTCACAGTGTTCAATCCAGTGTCTCAAAATTATTGGAGTATTCCTCAAGATCAATCAAAAAAGGATTTAAAAAACAGAAATGTTCATTTGAAAAGTATTTTTATTCATACAGTCAAAGGGCATCTTTATCATGATTCATTTCTTTAGGTTACTGATGGTAGATATGAAACTTTTTCATGGTATTTTAATTTGAGAGATGAGGGAGTGGTTCCCTCACCATCTCTTTTTTTTTGCAGATGTATATTAAGGAGAAGAAAACACAATTTTTTTAAGGTTGTTGTTGAATACATTAAAAATGTATAGAGGTACAACACCCAGTCGCACAGCTCTGTTGACAAATGCTGCTCCCTGAGGGCTGCATGCACCAGTTTAGCAATGCTTTTTTTTGTTGTTTCTTTTATAGCTATAAGACTTCAATACAGCAGCTAGACAAGTCAATCTGGCTCCCAAATCATAACCAGCACCAGTCATAGGGGTATTTTCTTCTCACCTTTTAACACCAGGAGGAGACAGTCACATACTATTCGACTTTACGTGCAGTCAGTTACACCATCTGCAATCAACATAACCCAAATGTGTTTCATTCCACACTGCCACTGTGTCAGTGAGGGAAAATGCTTGAACAAGCCTTAAATCAATGGGCCCAAACACTTTACATGAGCATTTTAAATGACAGGGAGGCCACTGAGGCTTTCCAGCCCGATTAGCACAACAAGACACAGACACGGCTCAGATACAGTTTCACATGGTGGCTCTCACCCTCCTTCTGACCTGGGTTTCTTGTCCTGTCTTTCAGCCATCATCAACCCCAAGCAAGCCAAAGACAACAAGAGCTTCAACTTTGATTACTCCTACTGGTCCCACACCACGGTAACTCTCTCTACACACCAACAGTGCAACCAAGTTTAGATGAATACTCACATATACACTTTGTTGCCTATTTTATGGAAATTTCAAGATGAAAGTCACTGATCGATCTCTATCTCTACAGCCCGAGGACGTCAATTATGCCTCTCAGATGCGGGTGTACAAAGACATTGGAGAGGAGATGCTGCTGCACGCCTTTGAGGGCTACAACGTCTGCATATTTGCTTATGGGCAGACAGGTGCTGGAAAGTCCTACACCATGATGGGGAAACAAGATGTCAAGGATCAACAAGGAATCATCCCCCTGGTACAAACATAGTCAGATTGCTTTTACATCTCTGATTACAAATCCATAAATCATTTTTTAGTTTTTGAGATGATACAAATTTTAAAGTAGCAACCTTTTTATCTCCTTCCAGCTGTGTGAAGATCTTTTCACAAAAATAAATGACAACACAGACAACAGCATGTCATACTCTGTGGAGGTAAGCATCCTTGTCTGCTGTCATCTGTCACTGCTACGCTGATTTTTAAGCACCAAATAAAAAAGGACCATATTCCAACATTAACCTGAGACATGCTTCATATGTAAACTTTAATGTTTTGAAATGTACAGGTAAGCTACATGGAAATCTACTGTGAGCGTGTGCGTGACTTACTGAACCCCAAAAACAAAGGAAACCTCCGTGTACGGGAGCACCCTCTGATGGGACCTTATGTGGAGGATCTGTCTAAACTGGCTGTCACCTCCTACAATGACATCCAGGACCTGATGGACTCAGGGAACAAGGCCAGGTAGCAGACCTGTTTGAGATTCCTTCAGTGCATTTTCGTTGAACATTTGTAGAACTTGTAATTTTAACCTTATACTAACTGTAAACTTTGCAGCGTTGACAGGAAATAAGTCAGCACAACAATTTGCAACCAAAGGCTGAATATTTTACTGGTGCAGCACTTTGGTACAGGATATGCAGCTGAAAGTACCTCCTAATTATCCCAGTAATAGAACTATTAATTAAACTATAAAGGTCAAGATGAATGCCATTACCTCATATTCATGTGGATATAGAGATTTCTTGAGCTGTCATCCCAGCTAAAGAGACAGCAGCTAAAACGAAGCGTTTCAGACTGAGGCTGAAAGAATAATATTTTAATACACCAGAGTGAGAAACGCGAGGCTTTTTGAAATCTGAAAATCGTGTCAAGATATTAAAGAAGTATCAGAGAAGAAGTGTAGAGTCTGAGAAAAGTGCACAATACCCTCTCTTTATCTAACACTGGCATACTTACAACAGACTTATTTGATCAAACCACTGTATAAGAATTTTGTTATCAGACCAGCTCTGACTTAGCCTAAACCTCTCGAGTTTTTCTGGCTGACTAAAAAAGCATCAGAATTTAACAGTCTCCACTTATTCCAGCTGATTCTTCATTGCCTGTATCCACTTTCGTCCTCTGTAAGTTTTTTTTTCCTCTGATGCAGATGAAAACTTAGTTCTGGGATTTTTACGCTGTTGACAGTGTTAGAAGATTTCTTGCAGATGAAAGTGACAAGCAGGCCCCCTACAAGCAGTCGATGGAGAAGATGAATTATTTTCGCCTTTGGGGCTGGCAACACTTCATGCCGCTCTGTCTCTATCCTCCTCATCCTCACTTTTATCCTCTTTGCAAATATGCAGAGCAAACAAAACACTTGGAGGAAGAACCAGTGATGAATGTAATCTCTGTTTCTGCAGGACTGTGGCCGCCACCAACATGAATGAGACGAGCAGCCGCTCCCATGCCGTTTTCAACATCATATTCACTCAGAAACGCCACGATGCTGAGACTGATAACACATCTGAGAAGGTACAGTTTTATCACATCCTGATTGAACTGATTCAAATCTTATCTCTGCTGATCTACTAGCTGACTGAATTGGACTGATCTCACTCTTGTCTACTGGAAATCAATGGTTGCTTGAAGGTCATTGATATTAATCAGTGCTGGGAAGGAAACACTTGTCATGTAACAGGTTGCAAACAATCTTATCAAAGAGATATAACTTACAACATTAGAATAGCTTTTTTTCTGGCACCTCTAAACAGCACATCGACACTCAAAGGTCCTGAAAATAAACTTTATACTACAGTAATGAAGGGGTTGTCAAGTTCAAATTGTCAAGAATTTCTTGTCGTAAAGCAAAGCCATCTGCCTTAATGTGGTCAGCTGGCTTCAAAGAAATCTGCACTGGTTAAAGCTTAAAAGCATGAGATAAAGAAAGAAAATCAGAATATCAAGTGAACCAGTTTTAAAGGTTAAAAATCATGCCCATTGTTGACCGAATACAGTGTATATGAAACTACAGTCAGTTACTTGAATACCTTGATTTTTCCTAACCCCTCCACTGACATGATGTTTGAGTGAATGCCACAAAAACAAAGGTACAAAGCACAGACTACAAAAGACATACATGCATTGTGTGTTTTTATCGCACACTAAAGGACTTGTCAAACCTCAGTATTTGCAGATCCATGAGTGAGGAGATTTAGTGGCAGCAGCTGTGACAGCAGAGTCAGAAACAGGAAGAAGAAGCTTAACTTTAGCTGCAAGAAAACCAAATCCATAACCTTTCTGCACCTTAAAGTGGGGGTGTGGATGGGTTTATAGGTTCTTAAGAGGGTTCTGTGTTTTTGATTCCATCATTACAGAAATAACACAAATCATTTTAAAGTATATAGTATCAAAGTATCCAAGATTTTGACAGCTTCATCAGGATTAATATGTATGTAGAGCTTCTGTGATGACTTTTTGAAAGGTAATGATACAGTCTGAAATCTGTGCAAATGAGACCATTGCTGACAAGACTGACAGTTTCTGTCATGTAATTTTAAATGCCTGTAGCTACTGTGCGAGGGTCAGTACGCTAAGGAGCCTTGGCTACTTTTTCCATGGCAAATACTTATGATGAGTAATAAATTAAACTATAAAAAGACAGCAGGAAAAGGTTCACTGTCAACATCACTTTCAAAAGAATGAGACCATATCAGCAGTAATATAAAGTTACCGCTTTGTCCACAGGGGGTCAACGAAGACAGAAAGTCCTTTACAGGAACTTTAAAATTATTTAGCAATAATGAAATGGCGATTGTAATTTTTATATATAAGGCAAGAGACATGCAGCAACCACAAAGTAAACACTTCTGTTATGTCAGCCCAGGTATGCTATTGTGATATGTTATACTCTCCTTTCAAGTTGTCCAGTTTTTTAATTAAAAAAAGGGTAAAATTAAGGTTTTTTATTGTATGTCATACTAAATTTTGCTTTGAGTAATGTTTTTATCTGTCTCTCTGTCACAGGTCAGCAAAATCAGTTTGGTGGATTTAGCTGGCAGTGAGAGGGCAGATTCAACTGGAGCTAAAGGCACCAGACTCAAGGTGAGTTTTTTTTCTTCTTTTAACTATATTTTGGAAACTCAAACTCCTAGATGAAAACACACAAGCCTGCATGAGATGCAGTCACCATGACTACTTCTGCTTAAAAGCAGATTATGCTCACACTGTAAACATCACTCTCTGCATGTTGCTCCATCACAGGAGGGAGCAAATATCAACAAATCTCTGACCACACTGGGAAAAGTCATCTCTGCACTGGCGGAAGTGGTATGCATTGTAATCTGTTCATGATATATTTTAAGATAAAGCAGTTTTCATTTAGGATTCACTGGTTCTTTATTCTGCTTTTTTTTCTCTTTAGGATTCTGGGTCAAATAAGGTAAAAGTCTTAACTGGTTCTTCACTGATTTGTTTACTGTTTTACTTACTTTTGTGCCGAGGTATGCATAACCTTTTGATTTTGCATTTAATTGTAACGCAGAACAAAAAGAAGAAAAAAGTGGAAAGCTTCATCCCCTACAGGGATTCAGTCTTGACCTGGCTACTGAGAGAAAATCTGGGTATGCACACTTTGCTTTTCCAACTTGCGAGTCAGTCTCTCATTTTTTTTGATCCTCAAGAAACTAAAACCCGGAACATGTGTTTCTTCTTTTTGTCAGGGGGTAATTCCCGCACTGCAATGGTAGCTGCACTCAGTCCAGCAGACATCAACTATGATGAGACCCTCAGCACACTCAGGTAGAGAGCATGAAACATAATTTCTGCTGCGTCTTTCCTCCCACACAGCTGCTGAATGTGGCTCTGAAGGACAGTAATGAGACAACATGTTGCGTAATACCCTCAGTCTCCCTCAGGGATTTGCATCAGTTTCACACTTCAAACACTTTCCGTGAGCTACAGTGCTGGGCTGCAGAATCCTGTGGATGTGTGAATGTGTGTTTGCCTTTGAGTCTCCCCCCCTCTCACCTGTGTTAACTTGCTTAATGATGCTTCCTTTTCACTCGCAGGTACGCAGACCGAGCCAAACAGATTCGTTGTAATGCTGTGATTAATGAGGATCCCAATAATCGATTGGTGCGTGAGCTGAAGGAGGAAGTGTCCCGCCTGAAAGAGCTCCTCTACGCCCAGGGCCTGGGTGACATTATTGAAAGTAAGGAGGCATTTATTGGATTTATGCGACCATTAGTGCCAGCTTCAGACTCAATTTATAACATTTAAAATGTTTTTCTCTGAGTATGCACACTATTCTCACTGACACATTATCAGCCCACACAGCTCCCCTCACAGGATCTGCACTTAACTCACCTCTGTGCTCACAAACCTGTGCGTCTTGGTGCATTGGGACAAAAAACAAAGCAAATAAAGACCCAGCACAGAAAAAAAAATATCAAAAGACATAGATAGAGATAAAGACATACTCACTGTCTCCAGACTACAGTGAAACTAGAAACTAGCTTACTCTCTTACCTTTTGGGAAAATGTGGCAAAGCTCTAAAAAGAGAGGCTTTAAGTTTAAAAGGCTTATCAAGACAGCATGTCAGGCCAGCTAAGATAAACTTAACCTACTTACACTCAGTGTGTCACAATCTGTGTGAGAATGGCATAAAAACATAGGCAGACAAAATTGTAAAGGCGAGGCTTAATGGCACAGAGGAGTTTTATTGGGCTGTAATGGTTAGCATTAATCCTTTTTTGATCTAACTATCAGTAATAAATCACAGTTTTCCAAGTTTTGCCACTGTCATTTTACAGTTAATATTTTTGTTCATCTACAAATCAATACTCTACTTAACACAGTGTCCTGCATAAAATGTCTCAAATAAGTAAAGAAGTATCAGGAAGGAGATCTCCATTCATTTGCTTTTACAACAAAATGAATGGTACTTATGGGAAAAACATTCTAAATCCAGGGATCTCTTATTATATAGTGAGCATGGAGGTGAGCTCAGGTCAATGCATCCTGACTTCCTTCTTAGGTGTCCAGAAGACATCAAGTAAATGTGAAAACCTGTGAACATTTATCTTCAGGTGTTTTGCTGTCTCTCTCTTTCTCATTTCCATTCTCTCTCTCTGTCCCCTCCTTTCCCAGCATATCGAGCGACTGGTGCTGAGATCGAGGGTTTGAAATGTGTGTTTTCTGGCTCTTGCTTTTGCTCATGTGGCAGCAGCTTAGCATCAGCAGTGCTTACTGTGACGGTCAAAAGTAGCTTTTCCGTTTTGTTTTGTTTTCTCTGCAGCATCAACTTGTCTTAGAAGAGATATCCGACTTTCTTGGCACTTTGCATTGGAACACAAGTTCATACCTGCCAACATCTAGGTTTTAAAATGCCGCAGTAATTTTGTTTAAGTGTGGCGTTTGGATACTAAATGAAAAAGAAAGCTTATCGCTCACTGAGTAGCACCTAAAATAACTACAGTCTTGGCAAAAGTTATCACCCCTGTCCTGTTGGGAACTTTAGTCCAGCTCTGCTCCAATGAATGTTTGAAGAGTGTGTGGTCATATTTAGTCTTTTTGAACGATGTATAAATTGCAAGGATGTCCTGCATTTTCCAGCAGACGTTTTACTAAATTTTACTTTATTTTATGTATTTTTTATTGCAGTACTGAACATTTTTACATCCAACATTTTCAAATTTATGGGTATACCTTTTTGTAAAATATATATATATTTTTTTTTTTTATGGCTGTTCAAATAGGCCATAATAAACCTATTAACATTCAGAGGAAGATAATACAGGAGAAAAAAAGTCAATAACTAAGACAGGCAGCAGAAGTGTAATATTTCCAAATAAACATAAAACGGATTTTCAGAGAGAGAAAAAAAAAAAAAAAAAAACTATGTATAACTAGAAAAGCACTCTGAGAGCGCAGCCCTCCGCCAAGCAGCTCACAGTATCCGGAATTTTCAAAAAAGCTTTGTTTTAGCCCATTTTCTGCTGATTGGCCACCTCTTTGGAGGCTTTCTGGAAGCCGACTGAGGGCACAGCCTGATGTTTTGGCCCCACCCCCTCTTTTTTGGTCAACCCCTATATAGAAGACTACATACACCAGCTTGCTGTAGCAGCCCACTGGACGACATGTCTACTCGGCAGCCATCTTGTATTTCCATGAGTGTTTCTTTCCAGTAACTGTGTGGACACGCCCAAAATATATGATAATGGTTCGCAACTTGAGAGACATAATTCTCCAGCACTGAGGTTTCCATTGCTTTAGTGTGCCTTTATGTAAGGAGTTATAAAGTGACTGGATATATTTTTCCAACAAAACTCCTTCATGAGTGAAATTGTGTGCTTTTTCACTAGAATGAGCAGATATCTTGCCATTCTTTATCAGTTATTGTCACATTGCTTTCATTTTTTCATCTTTCCTTCATGTATTCTTCGGAGTGCGCTTTCATAGTGTTTAGTGTTGAGTGGAAAGTAAGAGTCATAAGCACACCAACTTAAGATTTGAATATCTCCCTCTTGCTGGTATTACTTTATGGTTTCTCTCCAGCCCGTGAGAGTAGATCTAACCCATGGATTTTTTAGGCCATCAATATATCTTTAGAGATTTTTATCTAATTGTACATTGTACAATTAAATTGTAATTTAGATTCTATATCTTTCATTCTGCTTCATAGGATGGGTCACACAACAGAGCTCTTATCTGAGCTGAGATATAATATTTCTGTAAGGATGAAAAGCACCATCTCCCTCTATCCCTTTATAACGTTTCAATCTTACTCTGGGTCTATTTCCTTTCCAAATGAACGTTGACTTATCTTATCCTATTTCAAAGGGTGGCTTTTAGTAATTATGATAGGAAGTGTTTGACAAAGGTCTAAGAACCTTGGTAAAATGTTCATTTTGTGAACATTTCAAGTGACCATTAATTTTAACTTGAGAGCCACCCAAACAGCCTGTAGTTGTGAAATGACCATGAAATGTGAAAATGGTTGTGTTGGCAGGTGTGCAATGAGTGAATGTTGATGTGGTTGAGATTAGCATGCACTCTCTGCCTGAAGGTTATTGTCGAGCTTTGTTGAGTGTCATGGTACTTTGGAGATCTGAGTATGGCTTTATACTGTAACTGTGGCACTGATTTGAGCGGGCTTATTTATACATGAAGCAAAAAAGCAATACAGAGCAATAGAAAGCAAAGAAAATATACATCCTAATGAAATATGTTACGAAACTGCTCCTTTACTGTTCCCCTGGTGGCGTCTGTGCCCTCCTGTTGGTCCCCATAATAGAGGAACATTAAATGACAGTGCAGCCTTCTGTCAAACACAGACCACAATCAGTTATATAATATTGGATTCATATAACTTTTTACAGTATTTCTACAACCCGTGGTTTTATTAACTGCACTGGGAAGTCAATATTATGTGGTCCATCTTGGCAGGGAACAGCCTGTCCAGATGGACGGGTGCGATACACTTTCCCAATTTATTGCTCCGTGTTGCCATAGCAGCAGCTGCAGGGTTCATACTTTTTTTGTTTTGTAGAGTCTATGAAGGCAACCACAGTGCCAAGATAAAACGCAGAACAGACAATAGGGGACTTGAGGTAAATTCAGGTTAGAGTATTTTATTTGTACCCGAGGCTAGACTAGTTTTGTAGAGAGTGATTCAGCTCCCTTTTGCACACACACACACACACACACACACACACACACACACACACACACACACACACACACACACACACACACACAGCATCTGGACAGCCTTGATAATGAAATGATAGACAATGGATGACAGTGCTCAAGACTAAGAAGAGTAACCCTGTAAAGAAATAGAAAAAGTAAAAAACATGTTGAATAAAAGCAAGATAAAGATATAAATGAACAATCAGTATAAACCAGATAATTAAAAACAAGATTAAATAAAAGGAAAGTCAATAAATAATACAGAATCTTTATTGCTTTTTTTTCCAACAAATTGATTCAGAGTCAGAGTGACTGATGGCTCCTGGAATAAAACTATCTTTAGTTTTACCAGCTAGTCCAAAATATTTTTGTTGAGAAATAAGAAGAGGAAATTCTCTTTTTATTGAGTAGGAGTCAATTTTTTGAAACAGTTCCATCTGTCCTCTGTGACAGTCTGGTATGCAGGGACTCTGGGTAAAAATCTGAACCATTTCAAAATTTGATGTTGAAGACAGCTTCTCTTTTATAGAGACAGAATCCTCCATGACAATGGGAAGTCTATTCAGTCATTAAGTCGTTATGAAAGTGGTCATGCAGACTGTGATCACTGAAATCAGACTTCAGGCTCCTTTTACATGTACATGGATACTTTTAAGAAAAGTGGGCTATATTTTTTTTTTGGATGAGACGTGGCCTCAGACACTCTGTGGGGACACAACAGAGGTTTTGGAAAATGTCTTTTGAGGTGGAGATTGTTAAGAATATGTTTTGTTCATAATCATGAAGATGGATAAAAAAGAAGTTTCAGGGAATGCTATTTGTGTGAATCACAAACGTGCAAAGATGGTAGGCTACTGGTCTGTTTATGTAAATTCAGGACTATAGCAGGTCCACAAGGGAACCTCACTGGTCTTTAAAAAAATAATTTGACATCCAGAATCAAATGTCCAAAATCATTCAAAGCAGCTATTGTCCACTTTATGGTAATTTGAGGAAGCATTTGAAACTAATGTCAATAATTGTATACCAACAGCCTAATGAAGTAATAGTGAGTGTGTGGCACATGTCCTTGTACCTATGCAGCTGCACCTCGTTAAATTAAGTTATCGCCATGGTAATAAATTCCAGAGGGGAGTGACTGTAACACTTCTGAACATGGATGGGATGTAATCATGCAGACCCTGTTCCCCTTCTTAGCCAGCCCGCCATATCTACGTAGCTAATACAGGTTAACGGGCTGCTCCCCTGTTATTTTCCCATCAGTCTTCACAGTTTTCCTCAGTTCATTTTTCTGAGTGATTTTGGGAAGTGCATACCAGTACAATATAGTACAATATAGTACAAAAACAGAGAATACTAATCATGAGAAATCAGCGTTTACTTCAGTAGATTTTAAAGCTTATTGCTTTTTCATGGGCTCTGCAGGAAAGCCCAATAAACATTGAATACATCCTCCGGCTTTTGTATAATATTTCTAATTGAGTTTTGGCTTCCTAATGTTCTCTGCAGGAAATCTGATCCAGTTACTAAGAGGCATTATGTCTCTACACACAGCCCCCTCCTGTGTGTTTTACTGTTGTACATAAATAAAGGTTTAGATGTTAGACGCGAAGTGAGCTCTACAATTCCAGTTTCTCACAGTTTTTCTCCTTAAATTGCGGACTGATAGTAATTATTGTTTTTTTATTTTCTTCTTTTTGAATGATTTTGCACATGACGCCCTGCTTGAGTATTGTATAGTAGCTGCATTTCCTTTGGTCATGGCTAAATGGTCTTCTTGTTGCATCTTTTCAGTTTCTGCGTGTGGCTTTCTGCTGGTGCTGCCCTGGCTTGTCAAGAAGCAAATTTCTCTTTGTGACTTTTGTGGGAGTTGTTTCAGGCCACATTTCTTCTTTCTTGTTCTTTTCTATTCTCCCTTTCTCTTCTCCTCCTTATCGGTTCACATTTCTCCTTTTTATTTGTCCCTTATTATCGATTTCCCCAACCCTTCTTCCTGTACACACACACACATCCTGTGCTCCCTCCCGCCCGTCCGACAGACCTATCCGATTACAAGAACAATAACAATAAAGGCCAAGCAGTGAATCAAAGGGATGATCTCTCCACAGTGACCAATGCCATGACGGGGATGAGTCCCTCTCCGTCACTCTCAGCCTTGTCCAGCCGAGCCGGATCAATCGCCAGTCTGCATGACCGCATCATGTTCAGCCCAGGCAGTGAGGAGGCCATTGAGAGGCTGAAGGTGAATACTGGATAATATTGCCAAGCAGTTCATCTCATACACACACTGCACTGGCAGCACAGCATGGATACACAAATGCTCATTGGCTGCACATTGTCAAATCATGAAGTTTTTGAGTTCATAATCTTCTCTGCAGTCAAACCAAAAGGGTGGTCATATTCGCTCTTTTGCCATCTCATGAAAATACAAACAATGTGTTTGCCTGTTTGTCAATACTATCTGACTTCTACAGGCTCAGTCATTTTTCTTCACTGAAGTTTTTGACTGGAAGATTAATTAACTGCAGCAGGATTGGAGCGAGATGAATATGAATGAGAAAATCAGTAATCCAGTAGCAGTACTTTTATGAGCAGCAGCAAAATACTGCCCTTAAACTTTTGATATTATACAGTTATATTTTTTTACATTCTTTATTTTTTTATTAAAATTATTATACAGCTTATTTTTACAGTAAAGGCACACGGTGGTGTTTGACAAACCTCATACAAACAGCATGTTGATTGAGAATCTGTTTTAAGTTATTTCCATCAAAAGCATCTAGAACTTTTTTCCCCAAAAGCTACTTAAAGGCTGCGATTTAATTTTCCTCTGCTTTTTGAGGACTAGATTAGGAGTATTAGTCAGCTGATATATGAAAAGTAAAAGCCCCAGACAACGGTTAACACTAGTTACCCTCATGTAATTATTAATTTAAAAAAAAAAAAAAAAAACAGTCCCAGCTGGGTTAAGTTTTTCCTGTGCTGGCAGTGTCTATTTTATATACAGCATAAAAGTAGTTGAATGTTTAGAGCACTCACTGTCTGCTTAGTGAAAACCACTCCTCCATCCTTCGAAATAAAGAAGGGGTAAGACTTGTGATGTCAACTTTATTAACAACAGCCACAGAGTAGCAGTTAATCTGGCTTGTTATTGTAAAGGTGTAACACACATGTCTAGAGCTTCTGCCAACACTAGTAAAATGTGTTTAAATAAAAGCACATATGAAGCATACAAAGCAATTTAAAACAGACTGAAGGTCAAAACTGAGGGAGGCAGAAGAGCTGCTGGATGACTCTTATAACTGAGTAACAATGAAAACCTTTTAGAAATGAAGTTCATGGACATGACCCGCATAAAAATAAGTTAAGTTAGGTTTAAAAACATTTACTACTTCCCATTACCCAGTATAATACTTGTTGTTTTTAAAGGATATGATACTAATGAATACGGGCCACTCTGTCAGAGCACTGATAAAACCCATATCAAAATGAAGCACATAAAGAAGTATTTCTGGCCTGTCAACAAATATACTTAACTTCAGTGTTGAATGATTTACTTCAGCAGAGCAGTCTTTCTTCATAATACTCCTAATATTAACAGGATCATAACACTGCACGTGAGATTAAGTCACAATAAACCATCACACTTAAGGGCTGTAGTCACTGAAACAGAATAGATCATAATCCTGTTACAAGATAATGTTTGTCAGTTGGATCAAATCATGTTTAGTCTTTTTATTAGTTTATTTTGTCAAATAAGCACAGGGCACAGTCCCCAGACCTGTTCTTGAACCACTGTGAAATTAAATCATTGCTGTCTTTCGTAATTTCAGGAAACAGAGAAAATCATTGCTGAACTCAATGAGACCTGGGAGGAGAAACTTCGCCGAACAGAGGCCATTAGAATGGAAAGGTGAGATGAGATAAATCCATTTTTTTTACTTTAACCACAAAAACTTTCTTGACATTTCGGTTTTCAGATAGAATCTACAAAAACAACTTGATTGAATGATTTTTATAATTATTATTGACAATGAAATGGTATAAAAACAGGCTTTTTCATATGGAGAGACCTGACATATGGATTTTTGTGTAAGAAGTGTGTTGATAGATTATGAAATAGTATAACTCTATCCATTATGCTGTTTGTATTTCTTAAATCCAAATGTCTTAAACATGCCTTTCACAATGCAAAAAACAAAATATACATTTGTTTTCCTTTGGATCCAGGTTTATTTGCTGAAAAAAAAAAATCATTGAATGTGAGACAACTGTATTTTTGTTGCATTTTTTAAACCCAGCTGTTTGAAATAAATAGCATTGATGTATAAGGCGTCCTAGAGGCTAGAGCTTCATATTATGTGTCCAACTCTCATTCACAGAGAGGCTTTGCTGGCAGAGATGGGTGTAGCAATGCGAGAAGATGGTGGAACTGTTGGTGTGTTTTCTCCTAAGAAGGTAAGACAAAACAAGACTCCTCAAAAAATCCTTTTTATTTAATGTTCAAGGTTTAAATTCTTCTGAAAATGCTTGTTTATTTACCCTAAAAGCTCTCGGATAGCCCTAGAAAGCCCCAGCCTGTGTTTATCGACACAGTGGGTCTGTTTTCCCCCAATGAGGTTTGTAGCTGTGAAGTGTTTCAAGCTGTCTCCTTCTTCGATTGCTCTGAGTCTCTCTCTGACGCCGGGCAGATCAGTTGAGGGTTTTCTTTTTCATTAAATGTTATCTTAAATCTACTTCATTACTCACTTCAAACACTCCCCAAAGGCAGCAATGGGTGTAAACATGGGGGAAAAGATAATGGCAGCGCCCCCGTTTCAGTAATTTATGGCTGTTTGCCTGTAGCCTCTAACATCTGACTGAGGCTTCATTAAACTCTCATGCTGTGGAGCTGTGGGGAGTGAAGCTGACTGCATGGTTTGATTGTTTGATGTTTCTTACTGAGGGAGATGACTTTGCAGCTCTTTGATGTGCAGTTTATGCATATGTTATACTGTAAATAACATATGGTTAATGAATGTTTCATATGAATGTCCCTCAAATGTCTCTAGTTAGTTCATTTTTACTTGGTCTTTCTTAGACCCCTCATCTGGTGAACCTGAACGAGGATCCCCTGATGTCTGAGTGTCTGCTGTACTACATTAAAGATGGGATCACCAGGTCAGACATTTGAAGATGGTACAACTGATTAATATGCAAAGGATGACATGTTATGTGTGTTCATTTTAGCGTTTACACAATAAGCCATCTCTAGACTTGTAGGTTTTTTACATCTCTAACGTCTCCAACCGTTACTCATCTGTTTTTGTCTCTTTTCTCTCTTCCACAATGTTAATTAACTGTTGTCAGATTAACCAGACTTGATATGACTGCTGTTAAGTTGTATCAATAGTAACAGTGTGCTGACAATAACTCACCCTTGATATAGAGATTTGATCAATCAGAACCAAGTACTTCACACAGCTCTGTAAGAGAAAAGATTGAGGCATTACTTCAGTTTTGTTGTTTATTTTATTACATTAATCATGGCAAAAAAATGGCTCCATAAAAAATTTGCGCAGATAAATAGAAGTCTGACTTCATATGTCATTTATCATATGAAGTGTGTCCTTTTTAAATATTAAACGAATGACATAATCTGGTGGTCGTACCCATAAAAGTGTTGATGTTAAATTTTTCTATCATTTTGAAAACGACCAGGAGAGTCGAACTGTAACGTAATGTGATGAGTGTTGTTAAATTGACTTTTAAATCACTGCTGGTTCTCTCAAACCATCTCTGTTTTCCAGGGTGGGTCGTTTGGATGCCAGCAGTCGTCAGGACATTGTCCTCAGTGGCCACTTCATCAAAGATGAGCACTGCACCTTTACCAGCTCCTCTGGTCCAACTGGAGAGAGTGGGTGTTGTCTTTAATTTTCTGATTGGTTGTTATTGCATACGTCTGAGTTTATTATTGGCAGACAGTACATTAAGCTTCGAGCTGAATTTTTGTTGCAGCAGTTGTCCTGGAGCCATGTGAAGGAGCAGAGACTTATGTGAATGGAAAGAGAGTGACAGAGCCCTTGGTCCTCAAATCAGGTCTGTACACCCCCTCTGTGAATTTCATCTTTCTTTTCATTTTTCACAACTTTTGGCTTCAACAATTTTTTGCCTTGACTTCTTGAATGATAGTTAACCTTTAGTTAGGGTGAGATATACTGTAAAAATCCCTATTCTGCCCCAACAGTAGATCAAGGTGCATTGTAGGTTTGATTTTGAGTACAATGGGTTCATTGTGGGACAGGTTTTCCTGACCTTTGTTGGAGAAACACTTTTTGATTTGCCTCATATACCAAGGCACAATGTTTTTCAGCTTTTCTGTATATCCTTTCTGAAGTCTGACCTATCTCAGTGAATCGGTTTTCACTTTACTCCCTTCAGTTTTGCCCTCAAGTCCATTTGGACCCAAGGGCGAACTGATTAGATTGTATTAGTCAGAAGTCAAAGGTTAAGGCACACTGACCTCTCATTTGTCTAATTCTTAACTGTCCGTTTTCTCAGAAATGCCAGGTTTTTCACTGCGTCGCATTGATAGATAACTTCCCCTGCCTTAGAGATCTGACAGATTCTCTTTTGCTGTATTGTTCCTTTCTTTCCCTGCACAAAGGAAACCGCATTATCCTTGGAAAGAGCCATGTGTTCAGGTTCAACCACCCAGTGCAGGCAAGAGCAGAGAGGGAGAGGACCCCATGTGCTGAAACCCCCTCTGAGCCCGTCGACTGGGCCTTCGCTCAACGGGAGCTGCTGGACAAACAGGGCATTGACATGAAACAAGAAATGGAGCAGAGGTACTTTATGATAATGTGAACTAAATTAATGTTGGTACTTTAAAAACATTACACCAAGTGCTTTGATAAACCAAGAAAAAAGTAGGGTATTAAGAAAGCCAAAACAAAAGAAAGTCAACAAATATGCTAAAAGCTAGATGGCCATCTCCTGAAAACAGTGTAGAGGAGACAGAAGGACAGTGAAGGATGAGGTAAAAGAATAAAATAATTTATAAGATAACATCCGATGGACGGAAGTATGTTTCAAAAACTGGAGTTAGGAAAGTCTTAAAAAGAGTCGTCTTTTTCTGACTAATCTCTCTGAACAGGTCAACTCAAACCTTAAGCCTGCGTGTCACCTTTAGATTTAAGCCTCGCCTCTGGTACAGTCACAAGAGCCCCAACGACAGAGCTGGGGCGCTCTGCAGCACTGGGCTGTGCCCTGACATGAGCAGTAAATTCCAAATATAAATCAGTTCTTTATTCATATGGAAGCAATGGGATTCAGGTGATGTGGTATTATGTGTCTGTCTCGTGCATAGGCGGAGTCTCAATGATGTCACTCATGGTTAAAAAAAAACTAAAAAAAAACTTACTTTGCTACTGGAAACTGGAAAAAAAGCTGGAGTTGATTATTTTCTACTTGGTAAATGGCTGCAACTCACCCACCTGCCAGTCAAATCAGCTGAATGTCAAACATAATTCTTGGCATGACTTATACATAACTTTTGGCCTGAATGAATCAAAACAGGTGAGTTACAAAAAATGGCAAAAAAAAAAAAAAAAAATACAGTTGTCAGGATAAGAAGACAAGAGAATAGGGACCACAGCCATTTTCCCTGATTTTTTAAGCAAACCTCAAGTGGACACTCAAGGAACTGCATTTTTCACACTTCCATATTTGCCATAATTTTGTTTCTTGGTAAAACCCTCTGAGAAACTGAGTGAAAATGAGCCACCCATTTTTGCCTTATCAAGAAATGTTGAGGAGGAATCCGATTTGGACTCACTCCTTTTTACTGAAGATTCGGAGGCTAAAAAGGAAACAAGAGTTACATACTTTTTATTCAAGTTGTGATGGATGCCACATGATTTGGGTCTATAACAAAGAGCAGCAAAATCTGTGACACACTGCTCCAGAAACTTGTTGCTGAAACCAAAGTGAATGAATCACCTGCCTGTGTGCATGTCCTCAGGCTGCAGGAGTTGGAGGACCAGTACCGCAAAGAAAGAGAGGAAGCCAACAATCTTCTGGAGCAGCAAAGACTGGTACAGCAATAAGCAGCTTTGTTTTGATGGTCCCATCAGTTTACCATTGACTGCATGATAAGAATGTATATCTAGATTTTCTTTAAGTATTTGCATGTATTTTACCTGATGTACTGTATATGTGTTAAATTTACTTGATTGAGTATCAAAACTATGGAAGTACCACGACACCATCTTTCTGTGTCTTTTTGGTTCTTTCGATACTGTATGTAAATGTACAGACTGTTAACTCTCTGATATCTGTTCTTAAAACACCACTCTTTAAGTTAATATGCCATGAGCATGTTTGTTGACATAATGTTGACTTGAATGAATTGAATAATTGTCCAGGATTATGAGAGTAAGCTGGAAGCTCTACAGAAGCAAGTGGATCGTTACTACCCCGAGGCCACTGAAGAAGAGGAAGAGCCGGAAGAGGAAGGTAGTGCAAATAGACTGACACATATATCACACATATATGGTATGATTCTAAAGAGATATTCCAAAAACGCTGAGTAATATCCTTTTTTAATGACAGTTCAATGGACAGAGAGGGAGAGAGAGCTGGCTGTGTGGAGCTTTCGAAAGTGGCGGTGCTACCAGTTCACCTCTCTGCGTGACCTGTTGTGGGGAAACGCCATCTTCCTCAAGGAGGCAAACGCCATCAGTGTTGAGCTGAAGAAGAAGGTCCAGCGTGTTATCCTTTATTACTGTCCTTGTTATATTATATTATTATTACTATTTATTAGAGTCCTTTACATCTGCTGGTTGAATATTTATCCAACTATAATGATGCTTTTTATGTCTCTTCAGGTTCAGTTCCAGTTCACCTTGCTCACAGACACCCTGTACTCCCCTCTGCCTCCTGACCTGCTGCCACCAGAGGCCACTAAGAACAGAGATATACGGCATTTCCCACGCACCATTGTGGCTGTGGAGGTGCAGGATCAGAAAAATGGAGCCACTCACTACTGGACTTTAGAAAAACTAAGGTATGATGTATACATGCAACATAGTCTGAGGATGTTTATATCTAATAATGTTTTCTGTGTATAAGTGCTTTGTATAAATCATATTAAAGCTGGCAAGTTAGAAAAATGGATATAGGGGATATCAAAGAGTAGAAAAAAGAGACCACGAAATAGAACAAATAGAATTAATGAAGTAAGTCTAAGTCTGGAAAAAAGGATATTTTGCAAAATCTAGATAACCCTTCAAATAAGAAGAACGTGATTTGCAGATCTGACCGATGAGGGTTAATAAATTGGATTCGTACCACAGTGTCTTTTTTAGGCATATCATTACAAGAAGTGCAGTGTTTAAAGTCAGAGCAGAATGACTCAATCATTGCATCTTCTTGCAGGCAGAGACTCGATCTCATGAGAGACATGTATGATCGTGCTGCTGATGTGCCCAACAACACCTCTGAAGACTGTGAAAATGTGATGACTGGAGGAGACCCCTTTTATGACAGATTCCCCTGGTTCCGTCTGGTTGGCAGGTAAATGCTGAAGCCCCATTTCTCTGGTGTATACAGCACATAGACACTCAGGGAAGACATTCATACTGGACTCAAATAGAGGTCAATAGCAGCCAGACAACAGATGTCCACTGTGCTTTTCTATTCAAGGTAATGGGAGACTGTAAATGTCACATGCTGTGCATAAAAAGTAAGGACGAAAACCAGCATGAACTAATCAGCCTTCATCCTTATTGCAGGGTTTCTGTAATTATATGCTGTAGTCTGTGCTGTGTCGACTTCAAACTATCATTAAATCTCTCCACAGCAACTAAATCAGGGACAGGTATCAGAAGGATTTCATCCTTCCAGATAATGCCAATTAATTCTGATTAGTTTTACCATATTGGTAGTAATTGGTACTCTTGTTCTTTCTATCATATCATCATTTAGAGAAAAAAATAAAGACATGAAAATTCATTGAAAAGTATAGCATTTTTGATTGGAGCTTCTCTAGTCACAAAACTGGACAATCACCATGATTTAGTGGTCAGAAAAAAAGACCACTTCCTTAAAAATAGATCAAACTACTAAGGCTGGATCTGGACTGGATTAATATTATCAGAGAACCTCTGTATGTCCAGAAGTAAGAAAGATTATTTGCTGCACCGGAACTTCCCTTTAACAAATTACAAATCCATACAGGTCCATTTGCTCAGGATTAAAAACACAGACGTCTTCTGCAACCGTTACACGTTATCAGAGGTCCCCAGGTAATACTAATCCTGAACCAAAAAGGCTTAACTATCCACAGAAACATTTATGTGAGCCATGTGTTTAACCTGCAGTTTAGTGTGGCTCATCCCATCTGCAACATTTAGCCAACAGGAATGAGAGAACACAGTGGTCATAATGCTTATAAGAGCATTAACATATCACCGTGCAGTCAGACGCTTGGCATTGATTCATTGCTTTATGAAATGTTGAACTGAAGTTTTATCGTTGTTGCTGTTGCCACACTTATCAGGTGAAACTCTTTTTTTACACGAATTGTACTGGTGTTAAATTTGATAAAGTATTCTAAAACTGAAGCTAGTGACTTCATCATTACGTGGGGTCATATGCCATCTTTAAGGGAAGAATGACATGAAATTTTGAAATACAGTTGGTGAGGGTAAAGAAACAACAACAGCACTTTTTTACAGCGTGGCCATCTGTACTTTCTGCCCTGACCAATTTTACAGGTACCAAAAAATACCAGTTCTTGAATCCCCTCTTCTTCTTTCTTTGCATGAAGGACTTCAAATGTTCAGTGCCGTACCTTTTAACCCTTAATGCTGTCAATATCCAACAAATGTTGTGTGCTTTGCAGGTGATTGAAGCTGGAAACATGTTTTTCTCCAAACTATGGTCTTACAGGTTTGATACAGAGAGGATTTGACAACCAATTGTTGATGCTGGGCCTGTCTCTCTTTAAATGGGAAAAATCGTCTTTGAAACATTTCAGATTGATGTTTCTTCAGCCCTCCCACTCAAAGCCTGCTGTTTCCTTCTCTCCTACATTGGCACACAGCCTCTCAGTCTCTCTGCCAAACTCTCTCCATGTCTCCCTCCCTGTCATTTTCTCCATCTCTTGCAGACGGGTAGCACACACACAGTCACATGGCTCTCTTACGTAACATTCAGCATATCGAGCTTTTAATGTCATTAAGCCCCTGCAAGACAAGCAGAAATGATCATGCAGTAATCTGCAAAATGTCTCCCTGAAATATGTTGTTTATCAGCTCATTTTGACCCCCTATTTATAAACTCTGAAGGCACCACAGGATAACAGTTTGAGGCCAATTGCAGCTCACATAATAAAAATTAGTTCCCTAGATAAATAATGTATCAGCGGTAAGCTGAAGCTGGATTTGCAGGTCTTTTTTAGAAGTGTCTTTTCATCCAAACCAGCAAACACAAGTAATAACATCCTCAGTGTTAAATTAGGGTCTTAAACATAAACACCAGCAGTAATAATGTTTGTTGACAGTAAGATGCTACTGTTCATGGTTGATTTCAGGATTATTTTTTATCCTGATAAAACAAAAATAGACTTGGAATATTTAACTTGATATGCCACAATTATAAAAATATTTAAATTTTTTCCATTTTGAATTAACAATGACAAAAACTAGTTAGTGTATCATACTCATCACAATGCAATATCTAAAAAAGGTAGGAACAATATCCTATATATTATCAAGCATGTTTCCCATATGCAGTGTAGTTGGAAAGTTTGCATAAAATGAAAAGTAAAAGTTTTTAAAAAAGGCATGAAATAATACAGAAAACTATATATTTAAAAATGCTTTAACAGAACCAGTAAAATGAAATATGAAATATAGCTGCAAATGAAATCAGAACAATGCTGCTGCGGAGGTATACTTAATAAATAAAGACACATTAGGAAACCAAAATGCCTTTAATCTGAAGAGTTTCACACAGAAATATCTTTTCAATGCCTAATTATGTTTTATTTAAGTATTTTTGTCAAGAGGAAATGATCTAAGATTTAAACATCTGATCCTGCTGTTGATCTTGTTTACTCATGATGAAAAGCAAACAGTGTGTCTGATAACAACCCTGAACACTACAGCTCTGTTTGAGTTAAGAGATCACTCCAAATGTTTCCTTAAACTCAACCTCTACATGCATTCAACTCCAGTGTCAGGTGAATTAAACAAACTTTACTTTATTTTATTATGTACTGATTTAGTGAACATGTGACAAGTCATCAGAAAATGCCAAGTAGCTTGAACTTTTTCGCTGTGAGTGGTAAAACATCACCTGACTGCAGCTTGAGAAACTAATGAGAAGTACACCATAGGATACAGCTGAAATTACAGATCAGGGTTGCTTGCGAGCAATTTTTGTTCTTTTTTTGCTTAATTCTTTGCATGGTTTGAAAAATTCTGTATCTCTTTGTTATAGTGTAACTCTCTGCAAATAGACCTGAATGAGACTGTTATACGAGGCAGTCAGGAAAAGTAAGGAATATACCTTACAATTAAATGAGAGTGTCTGTTGTATGCAAACACAAACCTGTGAATGAACTAGAGAAAATATGTTTTTGCAGTGGTTTCTTAGTTTTTCCAGAGCTGTATATTGGGGCAGGTGTTGTGAACAGCAGTAAGAAACTGACCTACTGCCAGGTTAGCCTGAAGTAAAACATGATTTTCTCCAAAACAGCCAATCAAATTCATTCAATGAGTCCACTTAACCATACATTTTCATTTCTACAAATAAGAACATAAACAGGAGACTGCGAATAGTTCTCATCATGTTAAATAAAGTTCTTCAACCACTTTGAAGGTCAGGAAAAAAATTGCTCATTTTAGTCTCAACATCAACCTTTATCTTGCCTAACAATCCACTGTCTGTCATCTGTGTCTCTTCTGTAAGTCTGCTGTCCACCAAACATCGGACAGCAGACATGTGAAGTAGATACGAACGGAAGACTCTGTTCAAAGTTAAGCAGGTTTTCTCTTGAGGTCCAATCTTTACAGCTCTCCACCAGCCTCCTTGTTCAAACAACTGTGTGCTTTCTGTCTATCTGTACTAACCTAGTTCCCATGTCTCTGGCTGCACCAGAAACCCCCTTTTCAACACATGCATGAGCGAGCGCATGAGTGACCCCACCCCGTCCTCGTCCCTCTCCAACTCTGAAATTACTGAGCTGGTCGACTCGCAGCGTGAGGGGCGAGGGGAGTTGGAGGAGTTGGAGGAGTTGGAGGACCTGGACGATGATATCTTTTTGGACGACCCGTGCTTGGAGCTCGGGGGAGATGATGATGAGGATGATGTTGATGATGATGATGATGATGATGATGAGAGGGAGCTCTGCCGAGGCTCCAGTGAAGGCCAGGATCCCTTTTACGACCGCACACCTATATTCAGTGTAGTGGGAAGGTTGGTGAGGTTTCAGGGAGCATGCTGGTGGAGGAAACTAGCTCTTTCACGCTGAGATGCAGGGTCTGTTTCCCTCGGCAAACATCAGCACAGATGAAAACACAATCACGATACAGTCAAAGAAGTCTTCTCTCACTAAGTCCTCTGTGGTTGACTGGGTGTGCATGTCCACATGGAAAAAGCCAAACTGAAAACAGTTGCAGAATATCTTTTGCTCTTATATGTGGTACACAGCAGTGTTTTTTGTTTTTGGTTGCTTTTATTTACACATTTGTTTTGGTACTTTTAAACATTAGTTACATCAAAAATATGAAGTTAGGGGATTATAGTAGGAGTGTGGCAGTGGAGATTTGAAAAAACAAACCAACCTTTACCTTTTTAATGATTACAATGTCAGTCAATCATCTTCCTTGAGTAAAACTCTTGTTGATTAAATTTCAGCTTTATTTTGACATAATTTCAGGTCTTGATGTTTTTTTTTTATAATCCTGAGTGACAAATGCACATGATCAAACTAGGTACACAAAAAGTACAACATTTCGTGACCAGTAGGCTCCTACCCATTTTCAAACTCACTGACAACTAAACAAAAAAGAAAGCTATAGATAAAAGTGTTAAATTAGGGCAGAACTTCTTTTATAAAACAAAAATTCAGGAAAATATTGGTCTTTTGAATCATCAGAGCCGATTTTTAAAAGCATTTGTTAACTTGTCTCACACAATTGTGAAGGTATCTTGTTTATTCCAACTCAGGGGTTCCTATCATCCCCGAAATATCACCCAGAAATTGACATTACAGCAACACAAAAGAACACAACAGCTAAGCAACCAAAACAGTATTTTTAAGGATTTTAAACAAATGCTAGATCAGAATTCATCTTGTGCATTATTGTTTAGACAAACAATATTTAGTATGCTTTTCTTCAGGTATGTCAGTGTGCATCACGGTTGCTAAAGCCTTGGATGCAGATTTTAGCCAGTCTGCAGAAAATTAGCTTACCTAAGTGCTTATGTTGCTGTGTTTTCCTTTGCTGCTGCTGATGCTTTTGTTTCTGTGTGATCACCTCCAGGTTTTGGGGGCAACAAAGAAAAGTAGAAAACCAATGACACATTTAGTTTGCAAAGTTTAATCTAAGAGCTGAATTCTGTTTTTGTACTTTTTTTAAAAATACTAGACAAAATACACCATGATGGACGTCCCCTCCTCCTACTTTAATATGAAAGTGATGCCAAAATGTTCCCCAGACTTCTTGCGCTTGTGCTCTTGCTCAGTAAAGTCAGAGCCTGTGCAGCAGGTCTGTATGCTGGAGAAGCCATTGCATAGACTTCCTAATTAAGATGCTCATTCACTACACATAAAGATCACACAGGCCGGCACAGTCCACAGTGTTAGAGCTTACTGAGTCATGGAAAGTTCAGTGATGGTTGGATTTTATCATGCCAATTTTCTTCTCTGTTTTTCTGTTGCACTCTGCATTGGAGGAGTTGCATTTGTCAGCAGGATGGTCAATCATGGAGTTACACCCCTTTATAATTTGAATTTATTCAGAGCTAACCAGTCAAGGATATGAACAGCATGATCCGAACTAGCTATAATTAAATCATGTTTGAACAAAAAAATGTTCACGTGAAGTGTGACCCATGTCTCTTCATCTACTAACATGGAGAAGAGCTTTAAGACCTGTACAGCAGCCATTTAGTCCGATAGCTCTAGACATTGAGCTTTACCTGAGAGGGGTTTTGTTTGCTGAGCTTTTTTCCCTTGTTTATTCCTCAAAATATCCTGAGATTATGCAGATGGTGGGAAAAAAAATTACATTCCTCTTTAATCACCTCCCGTTTGAGCAGTAGTTCAAGTCATGTAGCCATAAAGTCTCTATTCCCTGCCTCAGTTTTCTCTGTCTCTGTGTCTCATGATAGTGAAAGACGCATGTTTTCAAATGTCAAACCACTACACATATTTATTTTCAAACCTGACACTGAGTTGACTCTGGAGTAGACATTTCTGGGCCCCAGGGTTAATCCTTTGCTTTCTAGCTTAAATCTCATCAGCTCTGATTATTGCTGATTTTTTCTTTTTTCTTTTGCTTCACTAACTTAAACTAAGCGCTTCTACTGCTTATTACAACCTTACATAAAAGGGCTTTTTTATCAGCCCAGGGTGGTTCAGTTCATATCACTTGTTTCCATGGAAATCCAAGCAAAGTTGATGCTCAACGGCTGCTTGAGGTGTGTGTCTCACTTTTGTGTGGCTAAATGCAAACTAACGGCTTTAAAAGACAATCATTCACCAGCGAAAGCACTGACATGTCTCATGGAGTTTATTCAGGTCTTATTTGCATAACACAACAGAAAGTGTTGCCACGCTGTGAAACCTTAAAAAGCACGAAAGAGTTTGATGAAAATTGCTCTTATGAAACAGCAAAGTGGTGTTGAAGGAAGACTCCAAATCTCAAGATGAAAGAGCTGGTTTCTACTGCAGCTGTCTCTTTTAGGCATGCCAGAGCACAACTTGTTTTATTTTGACCTTTTTTTCTTTTGTCAATTTTGACTTGAATACGTCTGATGATGAACTCGTGCCCCCTCCTTTGCACAATCGATCACTTCCTTCCAGGAGGTGCACTTTGATTTCAGATGTCATTCGTTGTTTTTTGTGTAGCATCAAATCTATGGAGCTGTTGGCAGTTTTTTTTTTTCCTTCCAGCTGGGCCTTGTTACTTTTGATGATTTCTGTTGCATTTGCTTTGGATTCCTTTGAGTCGAGACGTTTTAAAAGCATTTTTCATTCAAGTTGTTTTGTCCTGAGCATGCCTTATTTGCACCTCACCAATCTTGTCATTTGCCTTTATTTTTAACACTCCACCCTTAAATGTCTACCCCGATTGGCTCATGGGAAACGTGGTCCCTAGTTGCTGCGGTGATGCAGCTAGAAAAGCAAGAAGGGAAAGATATCTAGTGCAGTTTTTCCCACATAAATACTGTACTAAGTTTATCATTGGCATTACCCTTCAAGTATTTGAAACTGAAAGCAAAAGTGCCCTAAGTTCATGTCCTGGCTCCTTGGATTTGGTCTGTAATGTGGTGTTTTCATATCGTGGCACTTCTATGATGAATTTGTTGATGCAGATGATAATAATCTTTTAATTTTACAGAAGCTTTGATTTAAGAATCAGACGTATTGCTCCTAAAGAAACATCAACCACCCAGCTTAGAAGCTCATTGGTTGCTAGTATTGAAAATAACTTCCCAACATTGACCCTTACACACATGCTCCTCAGCCTCACCAAGCTCTCATCAATGCAATCCTAAATTGAAGGAATTCTGCATGCAACCCATAGCTGTCTTGAAGTTTTTATGATTTACTGATGGTCAGGAAAAGCCCCTACAGAGCGATAGTAAAGGGCAGCCATGGCCATCGCAAGAGCAGTCCCAGCTTCTGTTTGGTTGCTTTGCAGCTCTGTGTTCTGTTGTCCAGTCACCGTCCAGTCCAGTTTTATCAAGTCTTGGCCATCTCCTTGACTTTTGTACCGTATCTGATTTTTCTTCTTTCTCTTTCTCCTCCCCTGCCCCCTTTTTAGGGCTTTTGTTTATCTCAGTAACCTGCTGTACCCTGTTCCTCTTGTCCACCGCGTTGCTATTGTCAGTGAGAAAGGAGAAGTGAAGGGCTTCCTCAGAGTGGCAGTGCAGGCCATATCAGGTAAGGCTCTGACCCTCACTCCTGTGCAGACAAAGGGCATGCAGGGATTTGAAAGGGCAGGCTGTGTGTGACTTCTTGAGGGAGTGAAGTGAAGGTGCTCTGTGTTTCCCTCCAGCTGATGAGGAAGCTCCCGACTATGGCTCCGGAGTGAGGCAGTCCGGTACTGCCAAGATCTCATTTGAGGATCAGCAATATGAAAAGGTAAAGATAATCACAAAACAAACAGGGATATCTTTTTTTTTTCTTCCCTGTTGACAAGTTTGTGTTGCATCTTTCCTCTGTAGTTCCAGTCAGAGACCTGCTCTGTAGGCCTGTCCCGTACAGGGGTCTCCCAGGAGGAGCTCCGAATTGTGGAGGGTGAGGGACAGAACGCAGAAATGGGACCATCAGCTGATGAGGTCAACAACAACACATGTGCGGGTAATTTTTTCTTATGTGTGAATGGATGATTGTGTGTTCAGGTAAAGTGTGCGTATGTGTTTGGAGTTTTAACAGTGCTTTAACACAAGAAACGCCAAGGAGGTATTTTTTACCCCCTGCTGTTGTTCAAATGCTTGTATTTCTTTTAAAATGAAAGCCCTACATCTTTAAGTCCATGAATTTTCCTAAAATGCATTTATAAATCATTCAGTGATTTTGGTGAGCATGTGATAAAAATTCAAATAAAATTGACCGTTTTTATGTAGAACTGTCAAGGGGGGTCATTTTGACCCATAGCTCCAATAGCGTCAGTCATGCTACAATATAATTTCTAGAATGTGTCAGGTGACTTATTCTCATCTATTTTTAAAGTAATAATGGAGACTCTGCAAAATAAGTGTTTAAAATACATGTTTTTTTGTGCATGAAGTGCCCACGTGCAGTTTGTGGACAGTGCACAATCAAGTGCTCAAGTGGAAAACCATAGTCTGAGGCAGGGAGAGCAGCAGCAAAGACTCCCAGGGTACAGAGCAGGCATCAGTGAGGATGACACATGTAAAATTAGACAGAGCGTCAAAAGGAGGAAGAGTAAAAAGGAAACACAGGCCGGCTGAAGCAGTTTAACTTGAGCTCCCATTGGGACTTTTGCCAATTTGATGGATTGAAGATGATTGAGCTGTGAGCTCATATGGGCTGGTGTTGAGGTCAGCGGATGTGCTGTGGGCTGAGCTTGAGTTCGTTGACAGGTTTTTTTTTAACATTATTTTTGTTTCATTTATTCTCATTTTGGTTTTGTTAAGCCCATTTTGTATTCTATCTCTCTATATATATGATTGAAAACTCAATAAAACCATCTATAGCTCATTTTTTTCTTTTTATGAATGTTGAAGTTTAAGTCAAACTGGCTGCAGAGGATCTAAGAGACTAGAAGGCTTAAGAAAAACATAATTGGTCACATAGGCTGCTCCCCAACCCGTTGACAGTCTTGTACACAAGTAAAAGATCATGATGATCATAAGCAGATATTTAGCCCAAGTCCGTGCCTCTTATCCCAGCAGAACCTGATCCACAAATGGGTCATGATGCCAGAAACCACAGAATGCACAGGAAATAAGCAAAACCTTGACTTGATCTGATTTTATTTTTACACCGTTCACAGCTGGTGCAGATGAGCCAGAGAATCCTCTGAAGGCTGTTCTGGATGGTGCATCTGAAGCTGCTCTGGAGCATCTGAAGATCGGAAATGTTTTCACCTTCAGAGTGACTGTCCTCCAGGCGTCCAGCATCTCTGCAGAATATGCAGACATCTTCTGCCAGTTCAAGTGAGCTAATTTTTCAGAACAATGTGCGCTGAATTATGGCCCTTTTACAATTCAACATGCTAATATTTTATAATTTGGTTTGATTCCAGTTTCATCCATCGGCATGATGAGGCCTTCTCCACTGAGCCTCTAAAAAACACAGGCAGGGGTCCTCCTCTTGGCTTCTACCATGTGCAGAATGTAAGAAGTATCAGATGAGCGCACATATAGATAAATTAAGGCATGTTTAAGCTAACTAACTTATTTCACTGACACTGTTTTGTTTATATAGATTGCTGTGGAAGTTACAAAATCCTTTGTGGACTACATTAAGACTCAGCCCATAGTGTTTGAGGTGTTTGGACACTATCAGAGGCAGCCCTTCCTTCCACTTTGCAAAGATGTCCTCAGGTACCTCGCTATGAAACCTTTTGATCAAGACAATTTTATGCACCGAAGCAATAATTTATAAAGTTTTGTTAAACGCTCCCCCCCCCCCCCCCACTAACAGCCCACTTCGCCCCTGCAGAAGACAGTTCCCAAGAGTGATGCCTCTATCCAAACCAGGTAACACACTGTTTGATTGATTTCTGCCAATTTGTTTATGTTTTTTGTCTGTGTCAAAAACTGGACTTGTCTGCGAGTCACGTCATCTCAGCTTCATGTTGTTGGGTGTGAGCAGTTGACTCTGACGCCTCGCCGGAGCGGGAGAAATCTCTGGAGCTGATCCGATACCTGGTCCCAGACGTGTTCAATGGAGCATTGGTGGACTCGTTGTCAGACCACGCTCTGTCTGCTGCTGGCTTGGCTGCTTCCTTTCTACTGGAAGTAAACGAGCGAGCTCAGCTGACAGCTCCGCCCACCTCTATCTGTTCAGTTATTAAAGCTCAGAAGCCGGGTTGGTTATTGGTGTCAGATCCAACAGAATCCTGTGACTAAAAGCCTTTTTATATCAAGTGTTTATCTTGATACGCCTTCAGAAAAATATTGTAAATGTCTTTTAAGTGGAAATTCAAATAAGCAGGAATTTTCTTTTATTAAATGAGGCTTTTGAGGTCCTTCAATCTGTTGTTCTGCAGATGGATAAAGTGACCCTAAAACGAGAGCAGTATCTCTGCTTTAGTTATTTTTTAAGAAACTGACCATCAACTTTTGAACCAAGCGTAACAAACTGATATAAAATGGAGTTTCTTGGTGTCAGGATTCAGTTGGATTGGCCCTCTGGTGTAGTGTGTGTTTTCTTTTGACCTGCGTGGTGGATTATCCTTTTAGTTCCCTCTTTGAGCTCTTTTGGAATGGGATTACAGAGGATTTATATGCTAACTTTAATGTGCATTTATAACTATTATGGATATGAAAATACTTAGACGATCCCCAGTGGTAAAAATTGAAGAAAAAGAGCAACAAAAAAGGAAGAAATAAACAAAAAATGAACTAAAATAAGAAGTAAGACTGAATAAGATGGCACTTGAAATTTAAAATGAATCATGTTTGAAACAATGCTTACTATGCATAAATATAAACACGCAGGGCTGTACAAACATCAAATATAATATGACTCCTACTTTTGAATTAAAAGCTGGGGTGCCTTAAACTTGTATTTTCTCCTTAGACCAGTAGAGGGAGACTCTGAATCAGTGTGAGACTTTGTCATGCCAGCTCTTATTTTTTCAGTTTCTTTAAAGTAAATAAGTGGAGTCATATAGCTTTGGATTCCTGCAAAAATTACACTGTCCTTCAGTTTCTGCATCCGTGTGTTGATCGCATTGCAAGTTCCCATCCCCTGCCATGTTTAGAGGTCTTGCCATTGACTGTCTATTTAATTTTAGCACAATTCTCACTTGATATATTTTTCAGGAGACTTTCTCCCCTGTTAGTTATCAACCTCAGACCTGTTCCATAGAGCATGATGCTTATTTGGAAAATGTAGTCCCATAACTGTATACTTGATAGTACATCCCATTTAAAAATAATATCTGCAGCTGAGAAGCACCTACCTGTAGAGCCTGTCCACTTGAATAGAGGCAACAATACACATCCACCTTGTCGTGAGATGTTAACATGTGGCCGATCTGAAACCTTAAATGTTCACAATTGAAGTCCATACTAAGATCTTCAAATAACTACAAAATGTAGGACTTTGTGTGTTGAAACTGTCATTCATAAACCAAATACCAACACCCTTATGGCCCCAGACTCAACCAAATTGAATTGAGCTGTTGGCCTTGTTATCACTTTTCATGAACTCTCTTATTTACTCTGAACTCTTTTTTGCAGAGTACTATAAATGAACAAGGTGTACTAACCCTGCTCAGACCAGATTAAAAACGGTTATGACCAACAGTCTTAGTGGCATTAAAGAAGATTACTGCTCAAGATGCACATTTATGTCCTTATGCACAGATTCTCCAATCTCTCACGTTATAGAAGAATTAAATAGCATAACATTTCTGGATTAAAATTATCTGAGTGCTCCTTTTGGGAGAGACTTCTGAGTAGCTCACAATTCTGCTGAAAGAAAGGAGCTCTGAAGTGGTTCCTTTCTTTCCCCTGCATCACTGATTTCCTGTCTTTAGCCCTTTCTCTTTCCTGTGTAGGTTAGAGCTGCTCCCTGCTGTTAGAGACTAGTCTTCCTCCTCCAGTCTCTTTTCTGTCTGACTTACTCTGTGTCCTTTTTCTGCACAGTACCTGCCACCAAGCTGACAGCTATGACCCGCCCGCAGGCTGGACCATGCCACTGCAAATACGATCTCATGGTGTTCTTTGAGATCTGTGAGCTGGAGGCCAACGGAGAGTGAGTATCCTGGGTCACTCCCTGTTTAACATCCAGAGACGATTTGGCAGATATATCAGTCAGAAAAAAATGTTGAGGATACAATGATTACTTGTAAAAAATCTGTACCTGTGTCTTTACAGCTACATCCCTGCAGTGGTTGACCACAGAGGAGGAATGCCATGCCATGGCACATTTTTATTGCACCAGGTTTGTCATCCACACTCTTAGCAGGGGGGGTGGGGGTTATTAAAATCAAAGCTATTTACAAAAGGCAGAGTGTTTAAGAAATGAGAAATAAGCTCAGTAAAAGTATAAAGAGTAGGAAGAGTACACAAAAACCAGTTAGTAGAGTAGGATATTTCACAGAGTATTGTACAGTCTAACAAAGTATTGCACAGTTAAACATAATATTGCATAGTGTAGCTCCATAAACAACGTTATCAGTATTTCATTTTTTCATTTTTTTTTACCATTTTACAAAGTTTACCAAGTTTTACCATTTTACAAAAAAGATTGCACAGTTGAATGTAATTATTTTAGTGGAGATGTTTACGGCTACTACATGAAAATAAGTCTAGGGACAGTCTGAGTGTGTGACACTCAGAGGGAGGAGTTATGAAGTTTGATGGTCTCAGGTAAGAATGACTTCCTGTGACACTGTGGAGTATTTAGGCAGAGTGAGTCGACTACTTAACATACTCCTGTGTTTAACTAGCACATTATGGAGTTGGTGGTGGATGTTGTCCAAGATTACATGTAGCTTTGACCACATCCTCCTCTCTGTCACCACCATCAGAAAGTCCGGCTCTATCCCCACAATGACTTTCTGAAAAGATTAAACATGGGAACGATATCATCTACATCAGCTGATTTATTGGTTATATGACCAACGATTCGGAGGGATAAAGTTTTAAATATATGAAAAATGGTTATCGTTAATATAAATGTATGAATAATAACAGCTCTAATAAGGTCGGTTTTTGTGTCTTATAACAATGCCCGCCTCCAAAATTAATTGCACATTTTTGATACCAGCAAATGTCATGTTGATGTCTAACAAAGTAGTCCTGTCTGGAAGCAGACTTACGATTAATAACATCATACGTTTAATTAGATCACTAATTAAAGATCTGCTGACTTGTTAGTTTTGACCATTCAAAGCCAAACTAGTTCAAAGTATTGACACTACAGGGCTTCTGCATTTGTAACCCCCAAACTCTTAATAAGTTGCCTTTCCTTTTGTGTTTGTGAAAAACCTCATTTGAGTGCTTGTCAGACTCCACCTGAAGAGGTTTGTTTTGGCTGCTTTTCCTCTTATTATAAAGTTAGACACAGCTTGTGAGTGTTACATTTCCCACAGCTTTGTTGTCACAAAACAATCTAAAAGGTATGCCTCTACAGGAAACATCTGAAGCCAGCTGTTAGCGCTCACTTAACTCCCCGTTTGGCCACGTTAGCATGCAATTGTTTCATTAGCTGCTGTAATATTATGAACGCTTGTGGTTCTGAGCCTTCATACAAGGTCTTTTAAGATGAGAAGCCCAGGCTTTCAGTAACAGTTGAGATGCAAATCCAGTGTAAACAGGACTCTATTTAAAAAGGAGTATTCAGTGAAGTGGCAAAGACAAACAGCTGTTGTTGTCCTGAAAAGATAAAAACTTGTGTTTTCTGGGACGAGAAACCACATTTCACATTTATGAGCAACTTTCTGAAACACACTGAATCATCAGAGTGCAGAGAAGAGGAAAAAGCTGAGCAGAGATTTACCATCTCACCATCTTATTTTCTATCCTCAGGGTCTGCAGAGGAGAATCACAGTCACCATTGTCCATGAGTCAGGAGGGGACATGGAGTGGAGGGACATCCGAGAGCTGGTTGTGGGTAAGTTTGACTTTCTTATTCAGAAGACCTGAATTGAACATGGAACGTACCGTTTACCTGAGCTGTTTTAATTGATGTACTTATCGTTCATGCAGGACGTCTGAGAAACACCCCTGAATCAGATGAGACCATCATTGACCCCAATATTCTCTCTCTCAACATCCTGTCTGCTGGGTATGTCAGGCCCATGCAGGATGACCGGTATGTATCGATGCTGACATTTGATGGACAGGCAGTTCTTTGAAACAAGGACATAGTTACAGCAGGTTTCCGTAGATTTGATCTCTGTGGTGTTTGACATCAATTGCTAAATAACTCTGTAGGGTTGAAGAAATGCTCTGATGTTGGATTCACATATTTGTAGACCTCAGCTGCTACACTGGAACAAAGCACAGTGGCAAATGCATGACTTTTTTAACAGCTGCACATGTTCAGAAAAGCAACATGCTGAAACTGGTATAACACACCTTATAGAGAGGGGTACTTATGTTTTTGAATCTATTGATATGATTGTGCAAACATCACTTCTTCTGTTTAAGCAAAGCGTGTAATATTTAAGCTGACTGTGAGGGAAGGAGATGATTTTAGTTCCGTTATGAGAAGTTACAGAATGAATTCACCTGCCTATGCTGGCTGTGCGACCCTCCTTGGTGTGTTAATCTGTGCTTTTTGTTCTTTGACTGTCATCATTACATCCACATGTTGCATCCCACCTTGTTTATCACCTCACCCCCTAACCTGTTAAGTACACTGACCCAACACTGATCTGCTTATAGATTAGGTAATCCACATTTAACCAAGTTACTTCATTATGATGTATTTGACTCCAGAGCGGAAAATACTACATGAGTTCAAACTGTAGCTCTCTAACATAAATGCATGATTTTTACTTTCTTACAACATGTATCACTTCAAATGAAGTCACTTATAAACATTAACATTTAGAGTCAATACATCTGTCACATTTAGAGCATAAAACATTTCACCCTCACCCTATAGAATCGTTTGAATAACCCTTAATATCTTAAAGCACTGTGGGGAGATTTTGAGTGGCTTTGAAATTCTATTGCTCTTCTGCTGATGCCGTAGTAGAATTAAGATTTTCAGACATAAGATTGGTTATTTATTTAACAAAGTGTCAATATTTAGCACTCACCTGAAAGTCTTGATGTTTGCATTAACAGTTTTTGAAGTTTGGTTGGTCTTACAGTACAGATAATAACTGTAGGTAACATCAGATCATTACATTACCTCATCACTTTGCATCCTGCATTTAGTTGCTTTAACAAATAAATCTTGCATTAAAAGAGGATTCGCATTCCAATTTTTAGCTTTCACAAATCAACAATTTGGCTTGAGCCATGGCTTTACCACAGTAGGTGACATTGCTCATGGGAAACATAGTTTTTCAGAATCAGCACAGCATGAAAACTCCTCACAGTGTCTTTAAGAGTCACAGACTTCAGACAAGAATGTAAATCTTTGAATAATTGTGTTAATGATGTTTCATTTAAACCCTGAAAATGTGCTTTTGGTTGATTTTGTGTTAAAGACAAGTTGAGCTTGAATTAAATTCACAACCACAGGATAAGAAACACACCCATGAGGTTGCAAATATAAAAATTCACCACAGTGCAAAGGATTAGAGGACCATGTGACAACCTCTGGGGGAGTAGTGGTAAGAATTTTTGAAAAGAAGGAGCATAAGCATTGCTAAAATTTGGATGTTAAATGTTCAGTGTAGTATTACAGCCAGCCAGTAGAGTGCAGCAGACACCTGGCATCTACATAGGAATTTGTGGTTTGGCTTTTTACTGAATTATATGTTACGAAGATAAGATGTTTATCCAAGAAACATGAGGATAACTGTTCGTAAAAATACATTGTTTATTCTTCATGAGTTTATTATTTTGGCTGGAGATCACACACACTTAATGACTTCTCTGTACAGTAGCACAAATACTCTGTAGCTGAAGGGTACTATAGTTGTTTACAATATATTTAAAATGTATCATAAGATAATTACGTACTGATTTTCTGTTATTGTCTTGAACAAAATTGTCATGTAATGACTGTGTTATTTACCAATATGTGATGCATTTTCTGCCATTTCTCTTCAGATTTTTGTAGCCGGCTGTTTTGGGCTTGTTGCTTTAACCCCTTTGCTTTCCCGACCCCTCTCCAAAAAGCTTAACTATAACAGCAAAACCCTAACCTGGACCTGAGTTTAATGAATCTAACCTAAAGCAACTAAACGCTCCACGCAAAACTGTCCAGAAGCCCTGATTGAACAGCCTCTCTTTGACTGCTGTGCTGCACCCGTAGACTTTACACTCTATGGGTGCACCTCATTGGTTTCAGCCCTCACTGTTTGTCTCGCTGTGGCCCACATGGCCAAAACCTTGGTTTGAGGTCCCAGCACAGTGTCAGGTTGTGGTTTAGTTTGGCTTCTGCTCAGTCTTGTGGAAACTAACAACAGAGTAAATATGGATGCTAACATTGTTCTCCTCCCTGTCCACTAACTGAATGTTGTTTTTTTACTTTTGCAGACAGTTTCTTGATTCGGACATGCCTAGGTATATTATTTTGCCTCTCTCCTCATGCTCCTAAGTTACACAGAAACACGTCTTATCTTTCTAACATCCTCCACACCCATTCTTCTTTTCTGTTAGCGTCATTGATTTAGTTCTACTTCTCTTCCACTCTGTCATCCCTGTCAGCAATTCATCTGTGCCTCTTTGTTTTCCTCCCCCACATGAGAAGTGAGGGATGTGGTTCTGCATGACCCTGGTTCTCTTGCTGCTCTGGGTGTGTGTTTGAGCTGTTATCAGGCTGCTGTTTTTGATGGACAGGGTCCTGCATGGCTCGCTTGGCTGCACATGGATTGTCCTTGACTGTGTCTCTGCTGGAGGTGTCGTGGGGCCAGTATCACCCTCTTTGTTTCCACTTTAACAGTTGCTACAGGAACTATTTTGAAGGCTGGAAAAAAAGCATACCATATTTTTTTCAGTTTTGTCTTTTGGACTGAAACATGAAATCTATAAATCTTTGAGGACATTTTGCAAAAATGTCTTTTTTTTTCTTTTTTTCTGCTCTTCATATTGCTTAACGAGGTAGCAAAACATGTTTGAAGTTGATGTGGTTTATAGTTGTTGAATCAAACCATCAGTTTAAGAACTGCTGACCAGGAGAGTGTCATTGTCAGTCAATAATAAAACAAGATTAACACGAGACAGTAAAGGCAAAGGAACTGATAGTGTTCTTTGTAAATGTAATTACAAGAAAAAGCAGAAAAACTTTCATTTAAACATATACATTTTTTTTTTCATTTATGGGGGACACATTTGTTGAACCAGATTAAGCTAAGTCAAATATTTTGTCCTTATAAATGAAATGATGCATCCAGTGAGAAAAGATGGTTATTGAACATTCAAACCTTAGTCTAAATAAAAAAAAGGTCCAAAAGTTTAAATCTGATTAAAAAAGCAACTAAGTTAGCAATAATTAAACAACTAAAAAGGAACTAACAAGCTAAAGAAATGAGCAAAGTCCCTGTAAGGTATCACCCCAATCTTTAAAATCGGACATTTTACCGACCAAACACACATGCACACACACACACACACACACACACACACACACACACACACACACACACACACACACACACACACACACACACACACACACACACACACACACACACACAATGTAAAGCTTAATGCAATACAAGACTGTCAAACATATTTATGTCTAAAAGGAGGGGGCAAGATGTACGTACTTATTCAGTCCCAACCTTCTCACAGTTAAGTCATTATCCATCTTCCATAAATAGGCAAAGTTGAACTATCCTTAGTTTTGTAAACTCAGTTGTCATCTTTTTTTCCTGAAAAATATAAATTTAATCCTGGTTTTTTAGTTATTTTCCTTATTAAGAATTTATTTTGTTTAATCCAAAAAAGGTGTTCAGATTCCTTTTTGTTATGGTTAATAACCAAACTATTCAATTTTAACTTAATAACTGTAAAATATTGCGATTTGGAGCTTTGAAACTAACATAGCAGCACCTGGTGGTGTTTATCACATACAGCAGCCCTCTGTCTGCTCTGAGCTCCACCACACCTTGCTGATAGTAATATTGCATATTTGGTTATTATTGCGTATTTAGTTTACATGAGAGGAATACTGCATATACTAAATATGGACACTGATGCAGCAAAGTGCTGCAAATTCACATTGCCCCCCAGACTTGGTGTTTCATGCTTTTGGCATTTTTTGAGGTCAGACATTTATGTGTCTGTTTTTTGTACGTGTATGAGCACAGAGCTCATGTCTTTAAGCTCCATGGCTGATATTTGAGTGACAGATGATAGTGAGATGTATTAAAGTCCATGTTAGAAACTGATATTCACTAAAGTGGATGGTTAATGTTACTAAGAGCTTACACAGTAGAAGATGTCAAACTGAATGGAACCAAGCTCCAGACATCAGCAGCCCTGTATCACGTACAAGGACTAGCAGTGCGATTGAAACCGTATTTATTCACTAGAGTAATAAAAGCTTCACACGCCCATCTCTACCAAACACTCAGTATTTTGTCACAGGGTTGCAGTGAAACAATATTTTGAATCCATGGATATGATTTTGTTTGTTACCCCGGATCTCAAGTGGCAGAGAGCACTTCCCATCACAGCCACAGAATATTAACAGGAACATGATTACACAAGCGCTGTAATATGGATCTCATATACAGTACCCGCTCTGGCACGCTTTTCAAATGCAGCTATTAAAATGTAATCCAGTGAACCATTACCTCAGCAGTAGCACTTTGCCCAAAATTGCTGCAATGTTGTGAATATTTTTTAAATCTCACTTATACCCCTGATGAAACTCTGCCAAACACCAGAAACAGACGGCTCCTCACATGTCAGGCCAGCAGCATGACTTCAATCCTGGCTGTGGCACTTTTAGGAGGTAGTAAAACACAGAGGAGCACATGTTTGTGCAGGGCAAAGAGGAAATTGCTTCCTTGTAGTGGAAGCAAACAGTTTTTCTACAGCAGGGAGGGAGGTGTGAGAGTGTGTGGTAGTTACAATTTTACAATTTAGCAAACGCTTTTAACCAAAGCGACATACATTCAAGAACAAGAAAAACACAAGCAAAGATCTAGATGAGAAGAAACCAGATCAGTAAGAGCCACAAAGTGCTTCAAGTCCATTTGGACACAGGTACTGCCGAGCAGTGTTAGAGGCAATGTGCAACAGTGTATAAAGGATTTTTTATTTTTATGATGAACATCAACAATGAAACAACCAATCATCAATATGAGAACTTCCATCAGGTGAACAGGCGCAGTTTTGGTTACTGCATTATAAGCAATGATGAGAGTTTTGGATTTGATGCGAGCTGCAACTAGAAGCCAGTGTAGGAAGATGAACAGAGGAGTGGCGTGAGCTGTCTTTGGCTGGTTGAAGACCAGACGTGCTGCTGCATTCTGGATCATTTGCAGAGGTTTAACTGTCCAAGCAGGGAGGCCTGCCAGTAAGGATTTGCAGTAGCCAACGTGGGATACTACAAGAACCTGTACCAGGAGCTGTGTTGCATGCTCTTTCAGGCCTGATTTTGGGCAGACTTAGTAGGCATGAGTTTTTTTGATCCAGACTGGATATTGATTTGTGGGTCCGCAGTGAGACTGGCTGAGATGATAATAAGCTCAGTCTCAAAGTTCAGGTTGAGCTGTCGGTGGCGTTCCCTCATTCATCTATCTAGAAATATCAGTGATGCAGAATGAGCTGAGACATTTGTGTGGTGGCATGGAAAGGAAAAGCTGTGTGTCATCTGCATAGCAGTAAAAACCCATGGAAGCAAATCATTGCGCCAAGTAATGTGGTGTATATTCAGAAAAGGAGGGGACGAAGCACCGGCCCTTGAGGAACCCCTGTTGATAAGCCATGCAGACTGGACACTCCTCCCCTCCATGATACTCTAAAAGTTCTCCCTGTGAGGTAGGACTTGAACCACTGTAGGCCAGACCCGGAGATACCAAGTGAGGAGAGTGTGGAGAGGAGGATTTGGTGGTTTACTGTGTCAAAGGCAGCAGACAGATCCAGCAGCAAGAGAACTGAGAAATGACCATGGTCTGTTTTGTAACCAGGAGCTGTAATGCCCATAATTGGATTTCATAATTTGAATTTATAATTGGCTATGAAATGGACTGGAATTAACAGTCATGCCTATTTATGACCCAAAAAAAGCAAACATAGACTAACCTCAGCAACATTAATACCTGCCAAAGCAGGAACTTCATCCTTGCCATTGATTATCGAAACTGTTAATCACAGAAGGAGCTGCAAAGATAGTCAAGATACAGGATCTTTAATTTAAGTTAATTAAAGGTATAACAAAGGTTGTATTTCTTCTTGAAAATTTTGACCTTTTTGAAATGTAGCATAGATGGAGAAGTTACACTGAGTCAGCTGAAGCTGTCTGTTGGGCGGTCAACTCTCTTGGTTTTTGGACTAGTTGATCTCCTAATGGCAGAGTTTTCTTACTGAGACAACAGTGAAAATAAAAAAGACAAACAGCATCCCAGCAACACAAGTGTATAACCACAAAACTCTTACTGACTCTCACTTTCTGTTCCTTTGATGGTTTCCTCTTTTCTCACAGCATTTCTCAGGGACTTGACCATAGGTATTTCACTGTCCTATCCCTCATTTCCCTTGGCTCTCATCAGCCTCTGCCTCATCCTCTCCTTGTTTATCTCTACCAAAAGTCATCTCAGCACTTCTGTGGTGTTGTGTACAAATAAACACATCAACACAGTCGTTCTGTTGCATGCATAATGACATTATGGTCACTTCTTGTTCAGAAATACCCATACACTTTCTGCAGTGTTAAAGCCCTGTATGAGACCAGCTGTAAAATGATTTATGACCTCTTTTCATCAATCATTTTCCAAATTTTGCCCCAGTGACTCAAAAGTACAGAAATATTTTTAATTTTCCCCAGTAGACTGCTCATGCCAGCGGCTGTGAAGCTGGTTGTAATGTCGGCAGTGTCATCTTTCTAGCAATTGTGCACACTGAAAATATTCCTTTTTGGCACTGACAGGCTTATATAGTAATCACAGGTGATTCATAACATGTCATTAACAACAGCTAGAAAACAGACTTTTTCTACTGGCTAAACTTCAAAAAGTTTGTGTCCGGGCTGCCTTCAAATGTTTAGTCAACTTAAATTGATTTGATCTAATAAAAATAATATGTATTGATCTGAAAAGACTTTTCATGTTGTGTTACTTAGCTTGTATGTACAATTCAGTTGTTCCTCCTGCACAGTGTTTACTTTTTATTCATGATCAAACTAAGTGACCTTTCAGTCATCTTAGCTATCATAAAAAAAAACATGAAGGTAGCATCTTTATATTATACCATCATAACTGTGAATTCATATTCAATCAATTTTAGCGCAAGGTGTGTCCTTTTACTTCCAGAGACACATCAGGTTGAGCTATCACAAAGAAAAGCAATAGCAAAGCATTGCCCTTGTAGTTCAGGGGAAAAATAATAAATTTCTCATTAGGAGTTTCTAAAGACAAAAAGGAAGGCATCATTTCTAAACAAAACAAAAGCCTATAACCCTGTTACTTTTCATAATGTTGTTGTGTAGTTTTGATACCAATCTCAGCCTAAATACTGATGGTCCTACTTCTATCAGCTGACTTTGCCCTCACATCTTATATTTCACCCTTCACAGCCTCAGATTTATGCAATCTACTGGACAAATGACCTTTTTTGTTACTATAAGAGAGGCCCACCTTTTAGAAACACAAAATCTCATTTAACATCTCTGATAGTTTGATAGCTCAAAGAAAAGCTGATTGGTAGTGGATTGGCAGTATCAAAATGACTGCTCATTTGTTGTTAGGGTATAAAGAGTTTAACTGTGGTGCTGATTATTCTCTTGGTTTCTTCTCACTTGGATAACTTCAGGACTTTCTACCGCTTTGAGGCTGCTTGGGACAGCTCCATGCACAATTCCCTGCTATTAAACCGAGTCACTCCATACGGGGAGAAGATCTACCTGACCCTCTCTGCCTACTTGGAGGTACAGTAGATTGCCGTAATTCGTGTGAGGCAGAAAGAGCTCTGACTGTATGAGAGGTGATGTGTGAATTATGTCAGAGAATCATTGTGAAAACCTTCCAATTTTTGTGAATTTCAGATGGAGAACTGCACTCAGCCTGCAGTCATAACCAAAGATATCTGCATGGTGTTTTACTCTCGAGACACAAAGCTCTCAGCCTCACGCTCCATCCGCAACCTCTTTGGCACTGGAACACTCAGAGCAGCAGATGGGTGAGTTCAAAATGATACCCTTTAAAGACATCATTAAGTCTGTGTGTTGTCTTTGTTGATTAATGCTTTTTCCTTTCTTCCTTTTCTTAGAAACCGAGTGACTGGAGTTTATGAGGTTAGCCTATGTAACCTGGCAGATGCTGGGAGCCCAGGTGAGAATCAGGACAAAGAGAATCAGGGCCTCAGTGTTGAACTCATTCCAACACTCCAACATGTGTAATCTGGATCTTGTATTTTGCCTTCCCAGGTATGCAGAGGAGACGCAGGCGGGTGCTGGACACCTCAGTTGCCTATGTTCGTGGGGAGGAGAACCTGGCAGGGTGGAGGCCCAGGAGTGATAGCCTCATCCTGGACCACCAGTGGGAGCTGGAGAAACTAAGCCTCCTACAAGATGTGAGCCACCCTTTGTGTGCAGAGCTACCTTTGATAGCACCAGAAGCCTTGGGCAACTGACTGTCATGTATTTAACCATACACTGACACAGTTGACATTTGGCTTATAATATTTACTGTCTCAAAGCACCTGGATTAATAGCAGTTTGACCACTGAAGGTTACTTGGATTCAGGCCTTGATTAAGAACTAATGTGATAGACACAAAAACACATTTTTTACATACTAAGTATCTGCTGACTATAGTATGTTTACAAAAGGAGTTTCAACAGTGTGTAAAATCTTTCACCCTTAATGTGTCTTGGCATGCTGTGAAATCTTTCCTCCCTTCACTTTAGTGTTATATAACTGAGATAAGAAAACTGGTGAACCAGTGAAAGAGCAGTGTGGGGTAGAGGCTGATTGATGTGCGTGGGGAAAGAGGGCCGACTACTGGAAGGACTCATGCTGAGTCTGATAGAAAAATGTCAGAGAAGCATCTTTTCTTGGATATGGGACTGCATAGCTACAAAGCAGTAAGGTCCATCAAGCAGAGCCCTGTAGCATTTGAGGTGAGAATAACACAGGACCTAGCATTGACCCCTGGAGGACTCCATCATTCAGAGGAGTAGCAATAGGCAGTTTGTCAGTAATGGCAAGTTAGAGCAATGTTTTTCATAGCATCTTTCCTCAAAGTCAGTTTGTATTGTCTGTGTTGGTGACTATGGTACATAATTTTCTTTTCTCTCAGGTGGAGAAAACCAAACATTACCTCCTGCTGAGGGAGAAACTGGAGTCGACACTGCTCATGGGACAGGATGCCCTGTTGACTTGTGTCACTGAGGAGCTGAGCGAGTCTCCTCAACCTCCTGAGGTCGACCAGGAGATCAGCTCTGGGACTGAAATCACCACGGAGAGGCAGAGGGAGCTTGCTGCTAAGGTTGGCCATCATTACTGGATAAATTCTTCAATTGACTGGATTGAATTTTTCCAGTTATTCTTGTTCTGTGTCTCTGGAATTTCAAGTATACATGTTTATATTTTCAAATGACTCATCTGGAAAAACTACACCGGTGTCCTCTTTTGCAGTGCTTGCGGCTGCTCATGCACTCTTTCAACCGAGAATACAGCCACGTGTGTGTCAGTGCGAGTGAAAGCAAGGTAGAGCTCAAACACATGAGAACAATCAGATAAATGTCTGATGCTTCTTTATAATCTATTAAATTCATGTTTGTGTTTGTTTATACAGATCTCTGAGATGTCAGTTACAACGCTAAGAGACTCCACCTCAGTCTCTGATCTAAACACAATCATTCCCTCAACAACATGCCCGTCACTTGTTGATGGTTGCTACAGTAATGCTGAGCTCAGGTCAGTCCTAAAATGCATGTGTGTGCTTGTCCTCATGTCTTCTTTTGTAATTGGACACAGATATGTCTCTAGCCTACATTCATTTTGTAACATAGATTTTTAAAGTGCTGTTAGAATAAAGATTTACTTACTTAACTTACTCCTAAACAACCAGCAGTGGCCTCAGTAAGAGTAGATTGTACAGAAGTCTATGAGGAAATACCCAGCTTCTTAACTGGTTCATACCAAAGTAAACATATCATATTTTTGTTGTCAGTTTCTTGTTTCAATTCATTTTAGCACAACATGATCCTGGTCCTTTTTAAAGTAGGCAGGTTAATCTTATGAGCACAGCTACCTCATATATAATGATATTTAAAATAAGATAAGATGTTTCTTGAATAGTCCCACAAGGGGAAATTCCTCGTGGGAAATTTAGCCAAACTTGTTCATGTTAAGTGTCATCTGGTTCCAACAGACCAATAGGGTAATGGCCAAAATGCCAACCTCAACAATGGTATACAAAAAACATTGCATGACATGTGTGACATTGATCCATTTCTTGTTTGTAGACATTGTGAACCTATATTCATATAAAGCCTGAACCTTCTTTTTCCTGCATGGTAGTTATAAAACACAAAACCCCATGGAGAGTAATATGAAGTCATGCAAAGTGATTTGGCTGTATATGGTGCAGTGTTAAAGACCTCTGGTTTCTGTACCGCAGACCTCCAGCACCTCGCTCCCGTGCAGTTAGTCCCACCCCTGACAAACAGCAGGATGCTGAGGCCAAGAAGCCCGCAGCCCCTGACGCCAAACCTCGAATCCGCAGATTTGTCCCAGATATTCAGGAGGTTAGAGTCAGGTGAGCTTGTCTCAGTATCCTAAAATAGAACATTATTTTTCTGTTGGAGCAGCAGAATAACACATGGTGATGTCTTTTTCAGCCCCATTGTGTCAAAGAAGGGTTATATACATTTCTTGGAGCCACATACAAATGGATGGGTGAAGCGCTATGTGGTTGTGCGGCGGCCATATGTCTACATTTACAACACAGAGAGAGACGCTGTGGAGCGGGCCATCCTCAACCTCTCCTCTGCACAGGTGGAGTACAGTGAGGACCAGCAGGCAATGCTGAAGGTAAGTGATGAGTCAAACTCTTCGGAGAGCCCTCCTGCTCTTAGACCGGGTCTACACTATACTTATTCTGCAAGTGACTTAGAAGTTGGTCCAAATTTCATCTTGATTGCCCTGCAGTGTACAAGAATGAACAAGGGCCTATCAGCTACCCCTGACTTGTTGGATGAATTTATGACTTGTTAGAAATTTTGAGTTGTGATTGCATATTCTCACACTAAGAAAGCAGAGCTGATTTCCCAACTTTGATTGTGCCTGTACGAAATGGTAGACAGCATCTGGAGGTGCTATGGCAACATGCAGCATGCTGTGGAGAATGGAACACACATAGTTTTACACCAATCAGCGATGACGTTTTGACCTCCTGTGCAATGAAATTCAACTCAATGTGTAAGATAAATTGTACAGAGGTTCTGTTTTTCCAACTTTTTCTAACACATCAGAAAGTCATATTCTCTGACTTCAACTTCCATCTGTGGAGCTGTCATAAAAGACTTCATCCACAGCCGTCACGACTTTAGCCAGGTGCTAAATTCTGTGTTAATATGTCAGTGTCATTGTACTCTGATTTATACAGCTCTAACATATATATTTAATCAGCAAACAAGCATTTATCAACTTTTTTTCCTTGTTAAAATCTCAAAACTTTAAAGAGTCATTTTTTTCTCCATGTGTACTTCTTATTTGTCACTGTGTATCCTGTTATTTCTACTCTGTCTTAGTATTGTATTATTTACTTGCATCATGTATCAGGCTTCAGTGGCTAAATTTCCCCTGGACATAAATAAAATATTTCTGAATCCAGCCTAATATTCATCTTTTTTGGCTCTTTCAGACCCCAAACACATTTGCTGTGTGTACAGAACACCGTGGAATACTGCTGCAAGCCACAAATGACAAAGAGATGCATGACTGGCTGTATGCATTCAATCCTCTCCTCGCTGGAACGATCAGGTAAAAAAAAACCCTTAGCAGGAGTGATTATCACTCAGCTGGAAAAAACTCATGGATAAAAACTACTTCTTCTTTTCTTCCTCTCAGGTCAAAGCTGTCAAGAAGACGAGCTGGACAGATGAGGATGTGAAACAAAGACTAAGATGTACATAGATCCCTGTCCTCATCTCTCCCCTTGTGCTGAGCCCTACCCCTCCAAACACAGTCACAAACAACCATCCTCCCCCCTGTACGTCTTCGGTTTATCACTAGTGTCCTCGGCACCTAAAGCGCCCATTTCGTGTCAGACCTTTGCTGCGGTGTGAGTCTCGTAGTCTGAAGAACCTCTTCTGTCACTGTACTGTACTGGAGTTTAATCATAGCTGGATGAACGAAGAAAAAAGAAGAAAGTAGCGACAGTTTCTTAACTCTGGTTACAAAATGTGTGGTACTGTGCTGTAGTTGTTGTAAGTGACACATCAAGCCTTATACATTTATTCCTTGAAAAAATGCAGTGACGTTTATTTTTACCTAAAGCTGCCAGTGAGGATCACACTGCTACATTTGCATCAGTAAATAGACAACAAACATGCAAATTCTACTCTACTCTACAGCTCTATATACAGTGTCTGAACCGGTTTGCATACAGCTAAAGATACATGCTCGTCGATGAAAAAAAATGACAGCTGAGTGTAACTCTCTCTTTTCTTTGTGGTCCATGGATCCTGACATTGAGTAATCTGCCTCTTATTCCTGAAACTTCTTAGAAACTTTAGCACACACAGCCTGGCAAAGGGAATGGCATTATCATTATAGACTTTCATGTTCTTGTGGCATTTTGATCATTTCATGTAGTTTAGCTACTCGTAGGAGCACCAAGGGTATCTACAGTCACACACAATAGGTAATCAAGTATCATCACCTTTAATCCTGTCGATTTAATCTCAATCTCTACCTGAATTTTCCTTTAAAATGTGATATATTTAGATATTTAACAGCTTTTATTATTTATTTCTGCATGTATTTATTTACAAAGACATTTATATTTCTAAAAAAGTAGTACCGTGCAATTTCTGCACTCAGCACTTTTTAATATGAGTTCCATAAATATCTGAATAACACCACCTTGTTCCCTTTTAGCTGATGCTTTTTAAAGATCAATGAATGATTTATGATTGGCTTCTTTCTTTGTTTTGAAGATGACTTGAATAAAACTATCCCCTTTAGGAGTAGGATAGTGATACCTTACCATACCCCGACTAGCGTATATTATTAGGTAGATTTACAAAGGTGGTGTGCACAAAGCCACCGTGTTAAGGGATCAAAAGTAGAAATCAGAAGAAGAAAAAGAAACTGGTTTTCTGAATAATGTATATTGATTAATGTAGTGCCTCTCTTTTCAGTCATACTGTACAGTATGCCTCTTGCTTTGAAACAACATCCTTCATGCTGCTATCATACTACTCTAGAAGTGTCTGCTAATAACTTCTTATCACCCTCCTGTTTTTATCATCATCATCAACATATTCAGACAATAAAGGTGTGGTTCATGTTCAAATCTAATACAGCAATCAGGTATGCTGTAAGCAAAATTCATAGCCTTTATGTTGAAACATCAAGGTACCTTACACCAACATGGTTCAAGATTGTCAGAAAGCATAACGGGGATATCTGTTCAGTCTTGCTTTGAATTGAATTTGTTTGAAAGAGAAGGTGTCAAAGTTCAAGTTCAAAGGCTTCACACCAAAAAAATGTTTATTTGTCTACAGCAATTCAACAGTGAGTCTTAACCAAGTGTTCCCGAAAAGAAGGGTTGAAGAAAGCTTTAAGATGTTGTGTTTTATCTGCATGTTTGGAGAACATGTATGCCTCAGGTCAGCCAGCCTGGAGGTCGTGCTCCAAAATCAAAAACAGGTGCATGCGCAACATCTCAAAGCATTAAACTATAAAAGAAAATGTAAAAATATATTTTTTCTTATTTATGCAAATTTTAGGAGGGGACAAAATTTGAACAGCAGCTCAGTATGTCTGTATTGACATTGATGCTGCAGCTGCAAGTATTATCTTTGTTTTTGGCACCTTACAGGAGTGGTACAGTCAAAAGGCATACAGCAAATCTGTGTACAGCTGGTGTTAGTCCTGTTAAACCAAATAGGAACAAGTCTGTGTAACTGGTTGGAATAATCAATATCATAATTAAAGTCTGTCTCATGCTTTCTTGGTATAACTTGAGTTGTGTTTGATCCAGCTATAGCGTTAAAATGGAAGGGATTTCACGCTGTACTGTACATGACACTGTCTTAGCACTCATTTCATTTCAAACCCAGTCTTAAAATGTGAGACAGGATCTTTGTGTTGAGATTTTTCCTCTTATTTTCTTTGGGATTTTAAATGTGTGTCACATAAGAGCCGACCAAAGTTTTGTTGGCATGGTCTTCAAAAAACAAAACACTGAATGTACACTGATATTTGAAAATACTTGTTCTGCTGAAGTGGTTGTGTTGACTTGTCCTCTGGTTTCACAGTGTGGTTCCTTAATGATTGTAGGTCACTGACTTTCAGGGAACCAAACAGAGCTTCATGACTTTATCTGTAGTAATCTTCAATAAAGGGGGTTGGTTCATTGGCCCTACATTGTGTCAAGCACAGAATGATACTGTAGGTAACATCTCACAAACGTCACTTTCATTTCACGACCTACCTTCACCATTTTGCTCTGAAAGCCTTCACGAAATGTACTTTTTCTAATCCCTTTGAAGGAACTTCATTTACATTTGACATTTTTGTGCTTCCATTTCTAATCTTTTTCTTTCTTCTTTTTCTGTTTTGTTGCACTATCAAATTGCACCGGTACATTTTTTTTTTTCAGATTAATTTTGCATTGTATATAAACATGATTGCTGTGAACTGTGTATTATAAAGTTGCACCCATTTACAAAACCTGAAATGGGCAGTAGTTCAGTCGGTGTCTCTGAGTGTTGGAGTTTAGCGTCAATTGTTTGTGTACACTAAACACATTGTCATATAAGAAATAAACATTGAGATTATGCAACACAAGCAAATGGACTCCTCTCATTTATAGAGCCTGTGTGGTGCATTTTGTGTGTGTTTCTTCCAAAATAAATCACGGTCGCATAATAAAAACAGTTTTATTTTTGGCTCCTTTTTTCCATCACTGCATCCCCCAAATAAGACCACAAACAATTCATGACCATAAAAGAAATAATTATTTCACTTAATGTTTAAACATGTTTGAAAACAAAAGTATGTTACATAACACACATTGTGTGAATTTTTGGTACTTTTGTGTTTTGCTCAACATTTTTGCATGGGGAAATTGTTTTTTATTTTTATTTTTCAAAGGTTTTTAGATGTGTTTACTATGAAAGTAACGAAATTTCGAGATTAAAAAAAATCGAAATCACGAAATCGAGATTAAAGTCAACATGAATAAAGTCGAAATTTTGACTTTTTAAGTTACGACATGAATCTTGAGATTTTGACTTTAATCTCCAAATGAAAATAAAGAATATCCTTCCTGTATTTATATTTTCCTCTTCTTGTGACCCTAATTGTCTTTCGTAGTTTACAGCCTAAAAACTGACTTCCTGCAATGGCACAGACGCCTCCAATTCGTTGTAACCATGGCAGCAGATTCTTGAGTTGCCATGTCTGTCAGCAAACCGTCATGGAGCCATCTGATATATTTTTGTTAACAAAACGTATACTTTAGCTCCCTTAAATGTATCTATAGCATATATAATTATCTCTGGCTTAAAAAGCCACTTTTTTGCAGACAAAAGTTTCTGGCAGCGAAATGTCATTTCACACATTTATACGATTTTAAGAGAACTGACAATGTAAACTTAATAGTTTTGCGTTTTGATATATATTTAGATGTATCTTTTGTATAAACTCGGTGTATAGAACATCTACTGTATAATATACCAGAGAAATCCTTTAATCGTAATCTGACAGCTATAATCGTTGTATACTGCTTTTTTTATGCGTATCTGGCAACCCAGTGAAGGAGCACCTCAGTCAACCACACGAACCAGTTAGCTAGCAGATGATTGATATAGACAGTAATAAATCTGTCCAGGACGTCTTCTCATCACTTTACAAGGTCAGACACAGAACTTAGAATGCCATAGGCATGAGTAGTATTTGACTGACTTTGACACTTGAAAGTGGGTCACTAGAAAACAAAACGTCGTTAGTTATGGGACCCGGCTAGCTTTAGCTAAAGTTAACAGATGTCAGGCACAGTTCATTTGTGTCAGCTTGCTAAATAATCCCTCGGTCTGTCTGACATTGCTGGGTAAAATCCTGACAGGCTGTGTAAATGTTGTTGTTATTGAATGTCCTTGTGTTTTGAATTGGGGCGCAGTCAGAACCAGGAAGCGACTCCTGTGACTGGGAGATTACAGCTGCATATGGCAACACGGATTTAATGTCATATGTCAGAGTGGATTTTACATGCATGTGAATATATCCACGGGGCTTCAAAAAATATATGTGGACATATGACATAGTGGTCAAACTCAGTTTCAGTTTTAAGTGGGTCATAAACTCCCTTGACGTTTGATCACACATTACGTCCACGTGTATACTACGTGGCAGAAAGAGAACTAAACATAAACATCGAGCTGACAGACATGCTGCTTTTGATGTAGTTATTTCTACATTAATCACAGTTATTTTTCAACAGAGAGCAGCTGGTCTCTTTGCAGTTCGTCAGTTTTATCTGGTGCCAATTTCACACTATTACATAAGGTTATGACCATGCCAAAGTATCACAAAGGGCTCTGCTAGTTCACCGAAAATCACGCCAACCCTACAATTATTCTACTGTGCAAACATCAGTGCACTATTCTGCATGGAGTACAATCTACCACTTACTGTCAGACAGTAAATGCAAACTCTCACTGATTCAAACACTGCAGTGAAGATGAAGAAAAAGCACAGAGACAAACAGACATGTAGACGCTGATAGAGGCTGACTCTTGGTAGAACTTAACAGGTTGAAGTCGATCCACTATTCTCTCTTTATGAAGCAATACCTATTATGTGCCTTTGCCAATGTATTGGAATAATTTAAGTCTTTTTGTGTTGTTTAGTGTAAATTCTTATATTGCAATAGAGATAAAATAGGGGATAACTTTGCAGCCCTGTACCGTCTTTATATACCACAGCCTTTATATTTACAGATGATCTCAGCCTACTTTAAATGTATTTATACAAACAACTTCCTCAGTGTCCTATTTCTCTCTAGGATTGATAATCATCATGGCCAAACAATCTGATGACATCCCCCTGGTAACAGGCCACACCTTCACTCATAACGACTTTCATCATTATTCTGAAATGAACCAAGACAGGTAGGGAGGATTTGTTTGAGCTGTTTATTCTAAAATCTGTTTTTGTGAAACCATAAAAATGCAAATTTAGTCAGATCTTATTATTCCTTTTATTTTCCCACTTAACACAGTACATTGAGAGGATAGAGAGACATTGTTTTTAAAAGTGCTTTATGTGGTACAGGATCTACATGGACTACAATGCTACTACTCCACTGGAACCAGAAGTGATTCAGGCCATCACAGAAGCCCTAGAGGACGCCTGGGGAAACCCCAGCAGCAATTACATAGCAGGTGAACACCTGAATACCTAAACCTGCATTATCTTTATACTACTTTATTGTGTTTTGCTTCATAAAGTGTTTAAATAATTTCCTATATAAATGTGTACTGATGCATATTTCTTTTCTTAGTGCCTTTTAATTGATGCTTGACGGTTTGATACTTTAGTGTGTAAACAATATGAAACACTATTGCTTGATTTATTTTTGTTTCCAGGTGCTAAAGCCAAGGCATTGATCAATCAGTCTAGAGAGAGTGTGGCAAGAATGGTTGGCGGTAGAGCAGAGGACATCATCTTCACATCAGGGGGAACAGAGGTAGTCCATCACTGTCAATGAGCATGTTTGCCTTTATTTACACCTAAAATACAACATAAATATATCAGGATGCTTTAAACCTTTACTTAAGTGGGTATTTCATTCATGCTTAGTTTGTTAAAGCTTGTTTTTTTTTTCAGGCCAATAACCTGGTGATCAACACTGCTGTAGAGCACTTCAGGAGAAACTACCAGGCTGCCAAGCAAGGAGAAGGGGATCACAATGGAGACATGGCCTGTCTGCCTCACATTATCGCCTCTAATGTGGAGCATGACTCAGTCAAACTAGTAGCTGAGCATCTGCAGAAAAGTGGCAAGGCAGGTAGGAAACCCTCCATGAAAGTCTAAATCAGATGAACACAAGGAGACAAAAAGTTGTTCAAATGGCCTATTTAAGTCTTTAAAAATGAAACTTTGCAGAGTAGCTTCTTTTTGATAACTTTGTGTCTCTCTGCCACAGAGGTGACGTTTGTGCCGGTGTCCAGAGTGACGGCTCATGTAGAAGTGGAGGATATTATGGCTGCAGTGCGTCCCAACACTTGCCTCATTTCTGTCATGCTGGCCAACAATGAGACAGGAGTCATCATGGTAAGCTGGAGAGAGGAAACAGGAGACATGACAAGATGTTGCTTTACTACTCCCACAGGGGGGAAATTCAAATTTAGAGCAGTAATAAATACAAAGGAGAAATTAAAGGACGAAAAACTTAAGAGGTAAAATAAGATATATTCAGCTACAGGTTTATTTGGTTTGTTTTATTTACTGAATTATTTCATAATGAAACAGTTCTTTAGTGTTTAAAGAGGAAAGATAGCTGAAGTCAAGGTCACGAAAGCTGATAAATCCCTCAGTGTGTCATGTATTTTCATGGATGAAATTTTCTCCCAGTCAAATGTAAAAATAACATCTTATACACAATATTTCAATGTTAAATACAGTCTAAGATGGCTTCTAAACTGAACCATCTTCCTCTGATCAGCCTCTCCAGGAGATCTGCCAGCGAGTCAAATCCCTCAACAAGCAGTGTGAGCGGTTTAGGATCCTGCTGCACACAGATGCTGCTCAGGCTCTGGGGAAAATCCGAGTAGATGTCTGTGAACTGGGAGTGGATTATCTCACCATAGTGGGACACAAGGTCAGAATTCAGTTGCATAATGTGTTTATTCTTCAGGAACTATAATACCAAGTCCTATATAATTCATATAACAGAGTCTGTCATATTTCTAGTTCTACGCACCACGAGTTGGAGCTTTGTATGTAAACGGCCCTGGAACTAAAACACCGCTGTATCCCATGCTGTTTGGAGGAGGACAGGAGCGAAAGTTCAGACCAGGGTAACTGTCTTACATGAGAAAGTATTAATAAAGATTGGCTCACTTACAAAAGGCTGTCAACTTTAACACAAGGGTCTGTTTTCTGTCTCTCTGAATGTTGCAGCACAGAAAACACACCAATGATTGCTGGTCTGGGAAAGGTATGTTCACTGCTTTATAATACATGCCATGGAAGCCTTCACCTGTATGAGAAAAGCTCATGATGTGTCAGCACTTTGCTCTGCTGACAAAAAGCCCATTCATTTTTGCATTGTTTTACGGACATGGCACGTTTTCTTTTGCCTGCAGTGCACTGATGAGATGTTTGTGTCTTCTGGTTTCAAAAGAGACAAAAACTGAGTGATCCTGACATCACTGATGACATATCATTTACCGTGGACACAAGTGGGCATCTGTATGAATAAGTGTTAAAAGAGGAAAATCAAGTAAAAATAGACCAAAGGAGACTAGGAAGAAACTTGAATGATAACTGGAGAGTACATTACTGTTTTTGCTGGGTAATCTCTGGCATTTACTGCTTCAAGTGATGTTCAACTAAGATGTAGTTTTTTGAAATGAGTTATTAAAGTATATGGTTAATCTGATCTGCTGCAGTTGATAGCCTAGCCTCCATCCCAGCTCTCCACAATTTCTTAACAAAGTAGCAAAACAAACAAGGACTGTTTAAAATCACAAATTATAATTAAACAGTTCAATTAAAGTTTTTTTGCCATATATTTCTCTCTCTCCTCTGATCCTGTTTTCGGGCTGGTTTTCCTCATACCAGTGGCCTTGTACTGTCACAGTACAATAAATCAGGGGTGTATCTTTCATTATTGGATTAAATCAGTGCAGCACTAATGAAGCTTTCTGTTGTGGTTGACCAAACAAATTACTCACAGTATTGAAGCTGCAGCTTGTAATTCCCGACTGGTGTTGGGTTGAGACAAGATTGGGTTGAGGCAAGACAAGATTGATGATATTGAAACTGGTTGTATTGTCCTCACAATGAAACACTAAACATGCCACACTGTGCATCATTGATAGCTGCAGATTTTTCATTGCAGGCTGCAGAGCTGGTGACCTCTAATCTGACAGATTATGCGAGTCACATGCAAAGCATCAAACTGTACCTGGAACAACAACTGGAGGTGAGTTTTTTTCACTGTGGCTGTGATAGAGGAAAGAAGTGGTCAACCTCAAAACAACTGATTTGTGTTACTTTTCTATTTAGTTGTTGCATTGTTACCGCAGTTATAGACGTGTTTCATTTGTTGTGATTTTGAATGTCTCAACCGTCTTTAATAGAATTAACTAATTTATTTTAAATTGAAACAAAGATGGACTAGACAAGTTATTTACTTTGTCCTGTATCCTCTTGCAAACAGAAGTGTTGTTATGACTAACCAGTGAGTATGATATAATAGCATACTGTGAAAGTTTACTGCTTTGCTTGCTGGAACGTTTTACTTTATTTACTTGTCTATTTTAATGACTAAATATCCAACAGTATGTTTGCAGTGTACAGTGTTGGTCAATTTATGTGAAATACTGGAGCATGATTGTGGTCAGCAGTTTGGTTTTGTTTATTTTATTTAAAAAAATATGGAAAATATCATCAGTATCAGTATTATTCTGTTTTAGTCAAAATTGATGCTATTGGTACGTATTTCTTCTAAGGCTGTCTTTGGAGACAAGATCCGCATCAACAACCATTTCCCTGGCTCTGATATCCTCCCCAACACATGTAATGTGTCCATCCTGGGCCCAGGATTACAAGGTGATCTCATGACTCATCTATCGCTGTCCTATGTCTGTTAGTCCAAAACAGTGTCTTCTCACCCGACACCAATGTTGGTCAGAGGCAGGTCACGACCTCCACAGGGCTATTTGTAAACTACAAAGGCTCTAAATGTTTAATCTCTCTCTGCTGCTGCTTTAGGCTGGAGGGTATTGTCCAACTGCGCGAGGCTGCTGGCCAGCGTTGGTGCTGCCTGCCATTCAGATAATGTGCACAGGTGAAGTAGCGGCTCATTCACCTGCTATTCTTTTTTCCACACACCTTTCATCCCAGTTACATAACTCCACTCGCTCTGCTGCGCTTCTTGTCTATCAGGCCCTCCCATATCCTCTTGAGCTGTGGCATCCCGTCAGATGTGGCAGCGAACGCCCTGAGGTTGAGTGTGGGCAGGGGGACGACGAAAGAGGATGTGGACGCAGTCGTGGAGGATCTGAGGGAAACAGTGCAGCTGCTGGAGGAAGCGCGCTGAGGCCTAAACATTTAACCTGGAGGTCAAATAAGGATGTGCAGAATTGAAAAGACTTTTCTCTTAATTGTTTTATGAACTGAGTGTGTAAATAGATGAAAGATTTAATATAAGAAATAAAAGGGGGAAAGTTGAGGTAACATGAGGGGTGATATTATAAAGAGATGAATGTGCTCAGCTTTCAGCACGTCATATGAGTAGCTAATCAGCTAATTAAAGTCAGGGGACTTTATTTTTGCATACTCTTAAATATTTTTATGATCAGCTTCAAAATGTTCTGTCAGAATGCTAATGTTGCAGATTTATCAGCTGTGAAATCATCCCTGTTGGGAGTTTCATGTTAAACAGTTATAAAAAATAACATTCATTGTAATCCACCATGCCTTGGCTCTGACTTCTCCCATTACTTAAGTTTCCGTGCTGCCTCAGCTCCCCCATCTCCAGTGAAGCGTCGGTGTGTATGCCAGCATATGGTCACTGCCACACAAAAGAGAGCAGGAGGCCACGAGTGGAGTGCCTACACCCGTCTTTCATTACCTTTCTATCTCGCTGCGCTGACCCCCTCCTCTCTCCCTAACAGCCATGCAGGCCAGCTGGCTGCCGCTCAGGTGTCACTTTCCTGGCTCAAGCGAGGCAATGAGTGCATGAGTTTTTTGTTATTATATGAGAGTGGAGCATGAAAAAGAGATGAAAGCCTGCTGGGTTGTGAACAGCTCCAGGGAGCTTGTTGCGTGTGCCATAACTTAGTCATAGCAGCCAGGTGATGGTGCTTCACCGGGCCATCCAGGCGGCACGAGCCGGAGATCTTGTACTTCTGAGGGAGCTTGCATCTTCCAGTCACCTCTCTCCAGCCATAACTGATGCTCAGGGTGCAGGCCCAGTGCACCACGCTGCAAGATGTGGACGTCTAGAGTGCCTGCAGTTCCTGGTGGGTGAACTGGGACTGGCAGCTGACATCCGGGCCTCGAACAGGGCCACACCAGCACATGATGCAGCAGCTACCGGCAACATCCGGGAGCTGCAGTGGCTGGTAGAACAAGGAGGCAACAATATAGAGGTAAGTTTATCCACAATGAACGGTCTTTATAACATACACTTGGAGCTCAGCTGCATTGGAGAGATGCCATATCTCCAGCTTGTAATTCGTACCCGCTCCGTTGTGTGGAGTCTAAATTAAGGCGATGGCTTTTGATGGCCATCTCACTGATCCCAGAGTGAGGTTACATCACTACAGTTGTGAAAAGTACAGCACAATACCTTTTCAGAAGTATTACCAGCTGATTACATCATACGGTGTTGACTTACTAAGCACCTATTAGCATTATGTAGCAAGGGTAATTATGTCCACATGCATTAGAGGAACTCCCGGACATGGATGTATGGAGTCTAACTTACCTCAAAGCCCCTGTTAAGCATTTATTATAAGTACGAAATGGATTGAAACCAACAGTGAGGCCTTTATATGAGCAAAAATATTAAAAGTTTATCAGTGGCAATACAGGCAATTTGTAAGTTGTAATTTTTAATGCCATAGCCACCGTTAGGGGGTAGGCGTCAGACAAACTTTACAGCGCTGTGAGGAAATGTCCTCTTTTTTCTTTTTCTGTGCAAAGTGAGTGAGTAGTATTACTGTTAGAAGACTTTAACGTGTACAGGAAGAAACCAGCATTGATAGTGGAGCTGCCAATTAAACTGAAAAGTTTGTCACAGGAGCTTTAATTTGTGTTTGTGGACATGTTTTAATCACAAAGGATATGTTAAAACACCAAAACTTGAAAGAGGACTTGAACTTGCTTTACAACCCTGCTGGTGATTGTGTGGAGAACACAATGTTGATCACATCCATGTTTTCTGACATAGAGAATAACAGAGTATGCCTGGGGCAGAATTAAAACATTTTGAGGGTATGAAATCCCTAAGACTTAAGAGGTGTTTTGATGGAGAAATCTTACACAGGAACGCATGCATAGCATAGACATACCTGGTGGATATACCTTTAGCAGTGTTGCAAAAGGCTATCACAAGAAAATTGTGTTAGTAAAAATTTGAAGGTTTTAAAAAGTTACTCTATATGGAGGCATTTACAAATGCTTTAAGGCCACAACAGTCTTCAAGCTAGTGGGACCAGAGAATGTAGACTGATCTGATGACCCCTGACAAAGCTTGAGGGGAACAGGAACTTAAAAAAAAAAAAGTGTATTAGAGTGTCATGCATTTGAAAAGTCCCCAGCCTGCATGGACTTTCAAAACACTAAGGGAAAAAAATTAGATTGAAAGCAGAAGGAGAAAGAGAACCAATAAATGTATCACCACGCATTAATGATGATACCTCAATCAGGACCACTTTGTTCAAAATTAATTATTATACTGTGAGCAATTGTTAAATGTGGCAGTATGGCTCTGTTCTGACAGTTCCCTGCCCTTCCATGCACTTGCATTAGAGGGGAGAGTCCCTCCCTTCCATGTGCATACGTAAAAAGCCAAGTCAGGAAAAGCAGCAGCAAAAGAAATTAAAATCTCCCAAAACAACCATACCAGGCAACCCTCCCTAGCTTTCATGTGTTACATGAAAGCACCAACAGGGCGGGTGAGCAGCAGACAAGCATTAAATGTCTGTAAAGCAACCTATCCATCCCCATAAGCCAGTTTAATAACATCAGCAAAAGAGGTCAAAGTGTAGCATAAATGGGAATCCAAGGAGACTAATATTGCATGTTGCAGGATTTATTTAGACTATACAAATATTTTATTGTAGGTATCATGGCAAAAAAAATGTTTATTGGATACAAGGCAGAATTATTACACAGCCGGCATTATACAGAGCACTCATAGCTATTTGAGCATTAAGGATGGCTTGAGCCTCAGGCCTGAGGTAACATCTGTAGGCTGATGGTGACCACTGACCCATAGCCTTAAGCATTAAGACTGGGATGATAGAAGATCTGGTCGTAGCTGCAACTATACATAGGGAATGAACAGAGTAGCACTCCAGTGGGATCCACCAAAGCGGATCGAGTGGAGACAAGGGTAGAGGCAAACTTGCCAAATGGCTGCCGCATCATACTGCTCCCACTGCATGCTGTAGACCATTTCTTGTCTGTGCTGAGTGTCTGTTCCCTGTGACGGGTGGTAGCCCCACTAAGTGTGTCACCTGCATACATTCTAAGGCACCAGCATGCTTTAAAGGCGCTTTGGTGCATTGAGAAGGGGTTTAGTGAAGATTGACATGGGCGGTGGTGTGCAGTCTCTGCGGTCACATCACCCCTCCCACAAAGGTAGTGGTGAAAGCTTTGACAAGCAAATGCAATGCTCAGGCACTCTACGACCTGCGTGTACGGTTGCTCTGTCTGGTACAGTGCGCAGGAGGCGAATAACCGATTGTCCCCTTTGAAGCTGGCAGCAGTCCAAACCAGACTGACTGGAGTTGCTCTCGAACTGGAACCACTGTGACCAGCGTTTTGATTTTTTTCATAGCAGTATCATGTTTTGGCAACCAGCGCTGTGGTACCTTTGTCCAGCAAAATGGACAAAGTTTGCAACAAGTGGGGCATTAACCTTGACAAATAGTTAACCAAGCCAACACACCGTTAGACGTCTTTTGCATCTGTGGCATGTCCAGGGCTGCCCTGACCTTCTCTGTGTCAGCCTTGAGGCCCTCTGCTGACAGTATGTGGCCGTGGAAGCAGACTTCACATACTCGAAACTGCAGCTTTTTTATGCTCAGCCTAAGCTTTACTTCCTTGCATCTGTCCATAAGAGCCATTAGGTTTGTGTCATGGTTATGAACAGCCTCCTCCTTCTTGTCCCTACAGCCAACTATGAGGATGTCATCTGCTTTTGGTTAAATCCCTTTCAAACTGGCCAGCAGCTCATGTTGTTTCCTCTGGTATAGCTGTACCAGAGGAAACCAGTGCAACTGATACACCAAAAGGGAGCTTCAGCCATTACTTTTCTACTCCCTCAACCCTAACCTGCCTCCAGAATGCTGTCATCAGACTGGTCTCCTCATCCAGGCAACACTGCAGGAATGCATCATGCCCATATCTAAATTGGGCAGAAATAATAAGACCTTTCCAGTGCATGGTTAAGGGGCTTAACCACTCATCGCTGTGAAGCCAGAATTTTTCAGGCTTCTTCACTATGACCAGCATGCTAATCCAGTCTGTAGGCTAAGTGGTTATGTTTAAGTGTCCATCCTTTAAACGTTGGTCCAGCTGTACCTTAACAGCCGCCTCACGGACTGCTAAGACATTCCTTGGTGCGCACAAGTGCGACTCAACTGGGCTGGTGAACACGTCATTGTAAGTGTTAATGAGACAGTCTCTGGTTAGCTCACCTGTCTTGTAGTGCTCCACTTTGTTCCGCTCTTCAGGAATGGTGAAACTATTCAGACCAAGTCTCTTGCATGTCTCCCTGAAAGCAAGGGTATCTGGCTGGTATGTACAATCCCAAAATCCAGTCTGTTTGTCTTGCTCTTCATGACTCACTGTAGGCTGTACACGCCCATTGAGCTCATCCACACACTGTTGTAAAACCTCAATCTGGTGAGACTTTTTTGAAGAGGCGTTCTTGGCACCAGGGGCTGTGTCTCTTGGTCACGAGCCCCCCTTTGCTAATGATATGAACCGTTGTTTCATTGTCACAGAAAACAGGATCTGTTTCCTGGACCAGAAATTTACCCCACAGGAGACAAGGTATGACAATGGGATACTGTTGGGTGAAGCAATGAAAGGACTTTTGTTTTTGGCAGAGAAGACAGTTCCCTTTCAGTCAATTCACTCGGTACAACACATATTGTATGGGATATCACGCCCTCCTGTGGCCTGACTGAAGACACCCTTATTCACGCCCTTAAGGCAGGTGATCTGTGGTGACATCTAGGAGGCTCCACCTGCACATATATATGTGTAACACCACAGTCACCCTTCAGTTCTTACGTTCTTCACCTCGCTGAGAACACCTCCACTGAGTCGGGCTAACTAGCTGCTGCTGGCTTAGCCTGGTCTTGTCTCTGGCTACTGCCTGATCGATTTTAGCTTAACCGCCCCTGTTGGTGTTAGCCTACGGCTACCCGCGGAGCGCTAATTTCGTTCAGCTTCTGCATCTTGTTATGAGCGCTGAGCCTAAGAAAGTGAAGGCAAAGTCTTCTGTTCACCCCTGTCCTCAGGGGTGCGGCTTCTCCCTTCACAAGAAAGATCTTCATGAGGCTTGTCCTGTTTGCCTGGGGATTGTCCACGCCAGGAGGGCACTGACTGAGCCCGAGTCATGTGAATCCTGTCACCGGTTTCGGAGCTCAACCCTGGAAAGGCGGGTCAAGTTTGTGGAGAGAATATTACGAAAGACTGCTATTGCGCTGCACGATCCCCTCCTCTCCAGGGAGCCGGCTTCGTTCGAGTCCGGTGGTCAGGACTTTCTGGTCGAAGGCTCAGTTAGAAACTGGGCAGACCATATGGAGTGTGCTGATGGTCAGCTGGATTTGAGCTGGTCCCCTCCGAGGGCGCTGGCCAGCCGCTATCCGGGCTAGCCTGTTACCAGGAGGATGATGACATGCTTGACATCGGTCTGGACGTGCAGGGTTTTTTGGAGGATGAGCAGGAGCCGTTGTCTTCGGGTCAGTACGCCACCGCTGCTGAGCCGGTTGATCTGGACGAGACATCCTTCCTCTCACTGTACCGCCGTGCAGCTGTGAAACTGGAAGTAGAATGGCCCTGTCCTCCACCGGCTCAAAAACCGTCGCGGTTCTCAGGGTTTTTTCTCTCACCCGAACCGACGACTGTTAAGAACAGTTTGCCCATGTTCCCAGATTTTGCCCAGAACTAACCTCGACATGGAACAAGCGCCACTGTCCACCTGCACTGCAGTGCCCGGTTGTGGACAGTTTATGGAACTGGATGGAGCTGAAAAAGCTAGTTTGGTGAACCCTCCGCCTATGGAGGAGTCCCTGGCAGCTTATCTGGCCTCGGCCCAGAATCATGGTGTTGATGGCCCTATCACGCTCCCATCCAAGCACTGCAGGTTTTCAGTGTCACAGCTGGATAACATTTACAGGACACAGGCAAGTACGGCTCAAGCACTGAGCTCAATGAAGTTAGAGTTGCCACAGATTACATTTTCCGTGTGTCCCGCTGTGCAGCGCTTTCTCTAGGTAGAGGCATGGCTTCCACGGTGGTGGCACAGAGGCACCTGTGGCTGACTCTCTCCGATGTTACGGAGAGGGACAGAGCAGTTTATCTTGACGAGCCCGTGTCAGCCAGCGGTTTGTTTGGGCAGTCCCTCGACGCCATTCAGGCAGAGTTTGAGCTGAGGAAGAAACAAACTGAAGCTTTGAGCAGCATCATCCCCAGGCGTGATGCGAGGCCCAAACAGCAATGTTATCTGCACAAACCGGCACCGGCGCCTCCTTACAAGAGGACTGTGGCGTCCGCTAGTTCAGGGCCCCAGCCGGTGAAGCAGCATGTACCCAGTCAGAACCCATGCCCCTCGGCTTGGAACAAGGGTCCACCACCGGGCTTCCAGAGGGGCTCAGCGCCCAGGAAAAAGACACAGCAGTCATCCTAGCAAGGTGGTGTCCACAGACGCATCCCTGAGGGGTCGGGGGGCTCTGTGCGAGGACGCAGCAGAGAGAGGGGTGTGGACGCCAGCACAATGCAAGCTCCACATCAATTACCTGGAGCTATAAGCTATCCTATTAGCTCTGAGGCATTTTCGTCCTGTTCTGACAGGCCATCATGTTCTGATCAGGACGGAAAACACAACCATGGTTTCCTACATAAACAAGCAGGGAGGGACACGCTCTCTTCCCCTGTTAAAACTTACTCACTCTCTGTTGCTATTGTGCAGTGCTCATTTTCTGTCACTCAGAGCCACACATATTCCGTGTCACATAAACCTTGGGCCGAACCTTCTCTCCAGGGGGGGTCCTCTTGTGAGAGAGTAGAGATTGCATGTCAGGACCAAAATGTACTCCCATTTCAAAGTTCTATTGTGGATGTTTTAACATTCCTTCAGGAGCGGCTGGATAGGGGTCTCTCTTTCTCAACAATTAAGGTCTATTTGGCAGCTATATCTGCATGCCATGTTGGCTTTGATGGTGTGACGCCAGGTGCTCACCCTCTTGCTATGCGCTTCCTAAAGAGAGTCCTCAGGCTGAGACCTGTGCTTAAACCCAGTGTTCCCTCATGGGATTTAGTGCTGGTGCTTGAGGCTCTTGGTGGACCCATATTTGAGCCTGTTGAGTCAGAAGACATGAAATTTCTTTCATACAAAACTGCACTGCTACTTGCTTTGGCGTCTGCAAAGCAAGTGGGTGACCTTCATGCTTTGTCTGTGCATCCCTCTTGTACCCAGTTCACTCTGGATGGATCTAAGGCTACATTGCGCCCAAACGCAGCGTATTTGCCCAAGATTATCCCCATAGCCTATAGCTCTATGAGTTTTGAACTACTGAGCTTCTGCCGTCCTCCATTTGCATCTGAAGAGCAGAGGAGGTTGCATTCCTTGTGCCCTGTGCGTGCACTACGCACTTACATAGACCGCACTCAGAGTGTGCGTTTATGTGGCCAGTTGTTTGTTTGTTTTGCTAATCCAGCCAAAGGCAAGGCACTGTCTAAACAGCGGCTTTCCCACTGCATTGTGGAGGCTATCTCCTTAGCATACGGCAGCAGGGGTCTTCCGTTGCCCCAAGGTGTGAGGGCACATTCAACCAGGGGAATGGCAGCCTCATAGGCCTTGTTTAAAGGGGTTTCTGTGAGTGATATCTGCACTGCAGCCAGTTGATCATCACTGCACATTTTGTTCGGTTTTATCGTTTGGATGGGACAGCTCCTTCAGTGGCTCACTCTGTCCTCTCTGCTGGGTCTACAATGCACTAAAGTTTTGAAGGTTTGACTTCGGTTCGGTGGCTGCTCTGTGGGGCGTGTATATATGTCCCATACTATATGTGTTGTACCAAGTGAATCGACTGAAAGGGAACGAAATGTGAATATAACTTCTGTTCCCTGAAGGAGAGGAATGAGGTACAACACTGGGTTGCCATACTGCGCAGCTAGGCTCAGTGAAGAGCGGCTATCGAACTGAAGGATGACTGTGGTGTTACACGTATATATGTGCAGGCGGAGCCTCCCAGACGTCACCACAGATCATCTGCCTTAAAGGCGTGAATAAAGGTGTCTTTAGTCAGGCCACGCGAGGGCGTGATATCCCATACTATATGTGTTGTACCTCGTTCCTCTCCTTCAGGGAACAGAAGTTATATTCATAACATTTCGTTCTGTTGACCAAACATCAGTAAACCAATGATTATTTTAAAAAAAACAATGCCTGTAAATAACCTAATAGCAGAAGAAGATTCCTGATTGTCATTATAAAGGAAAGAGATGCCATTCCATTTGTCACACAGAGCAGAACAAAACTGCAGTTTGGATCTGCAACCCTCATCTAAGTTTACCATATCATGGAGTTTCTCTACTGATTTGACAAGATAAAAAAGTCTATATCCAAAAGACCATCCCTGAAGCATGACCGTGCTCACTTAGCATCTTTGTCATTGTATTTAGCAGTGTTTCAGACCCCCATAGTGACTTTTTTCAAAAAAGAGACAAACAACACATCTAATGATTTTTCTGGAGTTTGTAGACTCTGACATGAAAGCAAGTATTGATCTAACTCTTCTCGATACTTAACATTCTAAATATGCCAAAAACTACACTGAATTCAGCCAAGGTTAGAGATTTAGACAGCCGGACAGGGTCATATCAGACAATGGGCCCCAGTTTGACTGTGCTCAATTTTGCCAGTTTTGGAAAAAAAAATCATCAGACAAAAGGTGGTTGGAGCAAACCTTGATTATACAGATTAATCATAACTGAGCAGGCAGAGTCCTTTCCAAAATTAAATACAACAGAAAATCTTTTGTTCAATATCTGACTGGAGAGCCAAATATCTGCAGAGGAAGCCTTCATAATACTGGCTGCAGCTCTTGAAGATAGATGAACTGGTTGATGAATGAGGTCCATTGTCTTTAAAACTAAAAATCTTTATTAAGCTGAATTAGGAAAAGACTAACTGTTTATTATTTATTCTTTTATTTATTTAGCAGTGAAGACAAAAAAATCCCTGCGAGGCGTCAGGTGAAGTGATTAACCATGAACTGCCTCCATCTTCCCACAGTCCCACAGCTAAAATCCTCAGTGAGAGATACATTGTGAAGGTTCTCATTAGAAAGAACAACTTCAACTTGACAAAATCGGTTGAGAGACATGAGGTAGAAGTTTGACCCCAGGGGTGCCAAAATCAATTATAACCAACGTTTCTTACTGGAGCTTTAATTCAGCCACACTGGATTATCACTGGGTGCAGCCTGATTTTAGAGTTATGGTCTTATTTTTTTATTTCTGCTTTTTTTTCAATTTTCTCAGTATATTGTCTGTATTTGTTGATACCACAACACCAAAATGAAAAATGAAGGTGCTCCCCTGGTTTTTTTCCTGGGGTTTGAATGAATATATATATAGGACAGCTGGGGCTTTGTGCACCCCAGACTCTGTTGAACCCTGATCCTGTTTGAATGTTTACAGGATAAGGACGCTTCTGGTGCAACAGCGCTGCACCTGGCAGCCCGGTTTGGTTGTGTTGGGGTTGTTGAATGGCTGCTTTCTGTTGGAGGAGAGGCAGAGGTGGAGACTAACTGTGGAGCTGTACCTGCTCACTATGCTGCAGCATATGGGGACCTCACCTGTTTGAAACTGCTGGTTCAACGTGCACCTAGGTGAGTTCACAGCCATGGCATGTTGGTCTTTGTTGCTCAAAAAGCCATTTAATGGAGACTGTTTACTGCAGAGACGCTGGATAAATCACTCACCGAACCCCTAACCCCCTAACCCTAACCCCCACAAAACACATGAGATGAGTGACACATCATAATTTTGATACACTAGTGAAAATGTTGATCATGAACATGATTGTATAGGAATGAAGTTTAAAAACAATTATTTAAACATTACACTTATAAACTTCAAGAAAAAGTAACACAACTGAAGCACACAGCAAACTGCCCCGACTGTACAACCTGCAAAATCCATAAAATGGTCCTTTAATTTGCCATCGCTTGACTTTAATTTCCACCTTAATGTATAACTTTTGGCCAACATGATTTAAAATGATTTGGGGCTGTTAGATGAATTGTTATTGTTAAAAACATTGCAAAACGTACAGTTATTTCAAATCATTATCACAATTTTGCTTTTCAGACTCCTTGTAATATAAAAAAAAACTTGTATGAACATACTCATTATTTATGATAATAAGAACGTTGCCATTGGACACCCTCAGCAGTCCAGTGAGTCAGATTTTTTTTTCTGAATTTCGTTTTTCTCTCTAGTTTTCTTTTTTAAAGTTCTTTGTCTTTGTTTTGAATAGAGATTAATGTTAAAGGTGGTTTAGACAAAAGCAAAGTTTAACTTTCACTGCTGTCCTACTTTTTCATTATATGAACAGTGTTAAAAAGATGAAGATTGTGCGAAAGGGCAATAAAACATGTCAGGCAGAGATACAAAAGGAATGAAGTAAAAGAAAAATTAAGGTTTGTTCAAAAATGACAATCCCACAGACTCTCTAGTCGGTCATTGTCACAAAATCTCTTATTTTGATCCACTTAATCCAGACTTCAAGAAACACACCTTTCTTAATACACAAACATAAGTGAACCTTGCAATAACATAATATTTTAAAACAACTACTTATTGTTGTTATGTTTTTGTGTTATTATGTACAGCACTTTGTGTGAGCTTTGGTTGTATTTAAAGTGCTCTATAAATAAAGTTATTGATTTCTTTACAAGCAGAAATCAAAATGCTTAACATGGATTTATTAGTACCCTTGTCTGACAGTGTATATTTATTAAGAAATATGTGGTAAACTGCTGGGACAGGCCTACTGTATATCTAATATACTGAATAATATTAAAACTCGATGTGCCACATTCGTTTTTTGTGTATTTAAAAGAAAAAAAAAAACACCAGAGATGATGCAAGGTCTTTTTTGGCATGGCTCATAAATAAAATTAATGATTTATGGCATTTGGCTTCAGCTGGAGAGAGGAGAGCATGTGAAATGTTAACCCCCTCCCATGAATCCCATCTGTCTCCTGTCTCCTAAACCTGAGACAGCAGCACTTAGTAAGAAAGTACCTGATTAAAATGGGCGGTTCTTCCTGCTTCCTCTCCTTGTTACAGAACAGTATGACTGTAATGTGTATGACACATGGACCATCACATGTGACCACCACTAACCTGTAAATAATACATGAGGTGACACTGTCACTCACATGTCAGCCATGTGGTTTGTTTAAGAGTAGTATTCCTGCTTATGCAAATATAACCCGGAGGTATCAAGGACTAAGAACCAACAAAGTTTAATTTATTAAACTAATTTTATATACCCAGTTATGTATCCTAACCCATTGTCATACTTATAAATGCATGCATGATACAAAACATTTTGTATCTGCTTATAGAAGATGCTCCTCAGTCAGCAAAAAACCTGACAAGTAAATGCATTTCTAACAGTGAAAAAGGCTCTTAAACAACAGTGTCTATGATGTAGTTGCTCTTAGTTATTTATGTTTAAAGCTGAGATCTGAGATTTTATTTGGTTGCAAAATTTTCTCCTGAAACTTTTTACACTTAGACATTTTAACTTTACAGACAAGTTTCAAATGTTCAGCAGTGTATTTGTAGTGTTATGGTACTCTTTCTTGTCATGTATACTGACAGTATAACTGCATTTTAGTGTATTACCTTATGTTACAAAATATCTGTTATAATATGGTTTTTGATGATTGTTTCATGCTTAATGTTTAATTTATTTCTTCATCTCTGTGTGTTTCTATTACTGAAGAGATGCACTGAAGCCCCTTGTTGCTGTTGCAGAGGTCTATCTTTTGTAAGCCATTTAGACTCATCTTGTTTTACCTGTTAATAATTTTAAACTTTAACTGTTACTCGAGGCTCAAAGACCCCAATGACCCCAAAACCATTTTATCCACATGTTGTGCATAATGGGAGCTCAAAGAATTACTTAAACTGTCTGCTAATTATCAAAAATGAGGCATATGCACATATTGAATCAAATACAATTCAAAATAGTATGTTGCTTTAGGCAGGATTTTTTGACATGAGCTCTGATACTGACTCTGTGATTTTAAATATTTGATAGCTGGTATTCATACCAGGTGCTGTATGTATGTTGTTTGATTGCAGGTGTGTGAACCGTCAGACCAGCCTTGGTGCTACCCCGCTATATCTGGCCTGCCAGGAGGGACACCTTCATGTTGTGGAGTACCTTGTGAAAGACTGCAGGGCTGATGTCCAGCTGAGGGCCCACGATGGCATGACCTGCCTGCATGCAGCTGCACACATGGGCCACAAAGTTGTGGTGGAGTGGCTGGTGAGTACGTAGAGAAGCACAACATAGAGTTTCCTTGATGTGGTTGTGTTTTCTTATCACATCTTTGATTCTTTTCCTTATCACTGAACAGGCAACATGCTCTGATGTCAGCCTGTCCTGCCAGGACAGAGAGGGAGCAACTGCTCTGCACTTTGCTGCCAGCAGAGGGCACTATTGTATCTTGGAGATGCTGTTCCACATGGGTTCAAAGGTCATGAAGGATTATTGGGGAGGGACCCCTCTTCATGATGCTGCAGAGAATGGAGAGCTGGAGGTTAGATTGAATTTTGTCTCATTTTGCTTGTGTTGGTTGTGTTCAATTAAACTATCTACAAAGATGCATTTTCTACTCTGTTTATTGTTGTCTTTATCTTGTTCCTTCTCTCAGTGCTGTAAAATCCTGTTGGCTAATAAAGCAAACCCCTCAGACCAGGATGTTGATGGGTTTACAGCAGCAGATTTAGCAGCCTACAATGGACATCACGAATGTGCCAGATATCTCTGTACCATGGAGAACAACGTGAGCTCTCTCTTACTAACATTTTATCTTGTTTTGCAAACGTTTCCTTGTTTTTAATCTCTCTTTGTGTCAGCACTGCCCAGCTGTTTACTCTGGCTTGGAAATCAAAGCTAATTTAGGGAGTATGGTCAGCAGCACACATCTGGAAGGTCTTGAAACCTTGCTGAGTCATATCTTAATTTGTGACATGTATTTCATGCAGGTCAGGCTTGTTCTTCTCCAGCCCTGTTGTCCTCCACTCAGCTGTGGATTGTTGTGCTCTCAGTTTAAGAGGTCTTAGGAAGTGGAGGATGATGGCTTTTGTGTTTTAATAGGGCATTACAGGGGATGATGCAGTGCGTGCTGGAGGAGATTGTGGTTCTCAAATTGCTGCCGTGGACTCTCTGAGATGAGCTCTTTTGTTTTGTTCAGACAGTTGGTGCTACTTAATGTGATTGATGAATATTTCAGTGTCAACACCTATGTTTGTGCTGGTGTTGCATTTACAAGTCAGGGGTCAGTGAGGTTGAAGCTGGCCAGCAGATAACTCCAATTAATTTTGACTTGGCTGTGTATGTTATGTACAGATGAGATGAGATGTGTTTGTTTGTTAAGTTTTGACCTTTTGCTCGATTTAGTTAACTAGTGCCTTGAAATAGTAGCGTGTTTACCCTGTTCACTAGAGGAGAATGTGTCATACTTTATTACTCAACTTGACAGCAAGACTTATGATTTTATGATTTTAATACTGTTAGTTTTAATGTCTGAAATTGGTGCGAGTGCGTAAGTGTGAGTTGAGCTGCTGAGGAAAAAAAAAACATTTTCACATTAATCATATTAAATATTCACAAAAATGATACACTTCACTAGTTAAGGTCAGGAGGATGACTTTTTTAGGAGACTCTTGTACCTGTACCTCTACATGTACAGGACCAGAAAAGCAAAGACTGCTTTGTCCACGGGGTGCAAATAAATTGACATGGACTCAAAGTTCAAGGAAAAGTTCAAAAGTTCAAGTTCAAGTTGTATGATGTAAGTTGGACCACAGCTAGTACAACACAGTTTGGTAAACATTATTCATGTATGGATAACCTGAAAATAATCTGGAGGAAAAAAGACATCATCTAGATTTCCAAACTTTATTTTTTTCAGAGTTGACTTTTACTCTCAGAAGTTCCACTTTTTTGTTGATTCTCATGTCTATAAAATCTCAGAATTCAGAGCCTAATCCTAGGGTTACAAGCTGTCTTTTCTCTGAGCTCTAAGAATAAAATCTGAAGTTAGAGTCAAAAGTCAAAATCTCGTAATTTTAACTTTAATTTTGCAATTCTAGGATTTCACACCTGAAAAACATCTTAAAACGCACACGTTCAAACTCAAGTTTAAAGAGAATTAAAAGAAATGTGAGAAAATAATTTGAATTTTGACTTTGATCCCAAACTTTTGACCTTAAAAAATTCCCCTCATGCTTTTCAGTTCAACTTTTTTCTCCTTTTGGATAACTTGATAATGATTAAGTTCAGAGGATTACAGGTGATACTGACACTGAAATCTGAGCTTGTGGAGCTATATAGGAAAAAAAATACTGCTGACTGGAGGAGCCTATGCAGACTGCTCTGTCGGCAGACTTGTTAACCTTTAAGTCCACATGCAGCCTGTCGTTTTTCTCTCTTTCACACTTCACTCACCACCTATGGCGCAGACTACACAGTGATGTGCAGAGAGTAAGGACAGCTGTCAGCCAATAGAAGCCATGAATAAGTCAGCAGAGAAGAGCAGCACTCATACATGAAGAGGAGGATGATAGGGAGCCGCTGAGGCGTTGCTGCAGAGCTCTCCCTTCAGAAATAATCCTCCCTATGAACAATAGAGAGCTAATTAGCGCCCTGATGGCTGCGACGTCCTACGCAGCCGGAGCCCGCGCCAGCTCAGGGCCTATCAGTTACCCCTCTCCTGCGGCTCAGGTGGAGAGCCCGGGGGCTGAGTTCGTTATGAGATCCACAAGCTTAAGTTTCAGCGTTTTCACCATTCTGATGCCTGGAACCAGCAACTCTATCCCTCTGTGGACTTGGAGAGCAGGATGTCACTGGCTTCAAACACACGTTTGATTGTATGTCATGTTTTTTTCCAGGGTCTTGAAGCGCTATGATTGTCACCTCTGCATACTGTGTGATGTGGGCTGTAGACAGAATGATGGATCGTGTTTCTTTTGATCACACAAACTGAGGCTTGATGTGAACAAAGGGGTCATCTGATAGAGAACCTGAAACAGCAGTTGATTGATTTTAATCTGCATAATATTTGGAGAGCAGAGCATGTTTTACTGTGCAGGTACACATGCTTTAATTACATTTCTGGTGATGTTTCAGGTTTGTCAAGTCCTGCGTGGATCCCAGGTTTCATTGGGTCTTAAGTGTCACTCAGATCATCTCATTTCCGAGCAGTGACCTAAATGGGTCGGGATGTTGACCAAACAGAGCAGTACATTTGGCCTCTCCGCATGTTTGGATCGCTCACAACGAGGTCAGACTCGTTCAGCTCTGTCAACCGCACTTCCTCATCTTGCATCTCAGAAACAGCTGCAATCAAATAAACAGAGTGTTGTGAGGTTTACTTCACACACATTTGGGGCTTTTGCTCTTTTGCTCTCTATCAGCAGGGATCAGGCCAAAGAGAGTGTTGTTTGAGGACAGTATTTTTAGATAGTCAGAGGAGGCAAACTGTTGTCTTTATGCATCACTGTGTTGTTTAGGATTTGTCAAAGTTTCCGCTTCCATGTTTTGCAGTTATAAACAAAACATGTTTTAGTAGCTTTTTGTCAGAAAAATAAGAATCTGAACTTCTTGAAACCTCCCATCCTGTTTGACACCTGGTCTGTTGATCTCCCGGGGTGTCACAAAGCATGGCTTCCCTCAGAGATAAATATGCATATACAGTATTTTACTGTACTATAGATGGCATATCCTCATACATCATGTTTTTCCACACTCACTCTGTACTTCTTAAAGCTCATGTGCAAAGTTTTTGACTGGTCTCAAGATGGGTTTGATGAACAGTGATGCCTCACAAAAGCATTCATTTTTGTTTATATTCATATATCAGACTGCTTTGCCACCAAGGGATGCAAAAAAATGCAAAAATTCTATCCTAATTTTTTGGGATTTTTCACATACTTAGGGTTTGACATTGTAACAGAATCAATGCTTTGCAACCCTAGCATGAGGCCACAGAAAAAAGGCTGCAAAGACATTTTCATTTCCTCATGATAATAAACTGATCGGAGGGTTTAGCTTCATTGTGAGGCCAACATTAATGTAAAATTATTAGCTAGTTGGATTACAGCAACATCCACACTGACTGTCATGGGCCGCTGACAGTCACGTCTATCAGTCACTATCATTGAAAAGAAGAGAACTATTAAAGAAGAAAAAGGACACAGTAGAAGTTTTGGATTTTTAAAATTCAGCAATTCTCTCCGTTCACTGACAGATGGACCTAGATTGACTCTTTCCTGAGCTCGCTCTGCTGTAAGTGCAGCACTCTCCAGAGGAAAAGTCTCCCCCTCCTGCTCCCTTTAACTGGCTCGCATACATCTTCTCAAAACTTTGCAGTGGTAAATGTAAATATGTTCTCATATGGTCTGTATGCTGGGAATAACATTAGCAGAATTTGACTTGAGGGCATTTCTGACAAGCATTTATGTTAACTTTATAGAGATTGCTGGTGGTCTAGTTCATTTTTGTAGGCTGTACAGAGGCATCAGTTTTCAATTGAGACCGCCTTATAACCGGGCAAAAACTCAGCAGGTTTTTGTCCTTTTGAAACAATTTGTCCTGCTGAAATACAGATTCTACCATCATCACTTCTAAAATATGACCATTGGCTGATTTTCTAGTGAATTACCATCCAATAGATTAATCATAGCTTCAGATTAATGAAATTTGACAGGAAATTTTGAGATCAGTGAGTGATTGTGAAGAATTATTAACAGAGAAATGGCAGTCCTAATTTTTCAGAAAATTCATCCAACAAAAAAAGCTTTGAAACATTAAGTTTGAAGAGCCAGAGACAGCACTTACTCTGAAATTAGTTGATTAATGTTACCGGAACAGATCTAGAAAAATGTGGCCACAATATGTAACAGCACTCTGTTATTGTCTGCTTTTTCCACCCAACGGTCAAACCCATCTCTCCTAGCTTATAGTATCACATTGTTTTTCCACCGTCACATCTCACCCGTTTGACCCCTACCTTCCAAATAGAAAACACCTGAAGAATAAGCTCCTCTATTCAATTGTCCCAAGTGGAAAAAAAGCGCCTGAACGCGCATGGATAAAATGTCTGTTTTCCAACTGCTTTGACAACTCTTCCGCTGATACCTCCCTTCGTGCAACAACGTGGCCATTGGTTTGTCCATGCATTAGTGACATTACCGGCCATCCTATCCTTTCCCTTAATTATTAACAGCATTCTCCGATCAGAGTTTATTGTTTATTGCCTGGCGGCCCTTAAGCCACTGGCAGAGATGCTGATGTTGGCGTCAAACAAGTGTTTGCTGATCTTCAGATAGTGTCACATCTACAACACTGAGCGACCGCCCTGGATACCTGACTGCTCGAGCCGGTGCCTGCGGAGTGTCACTGTGCAGTGAAGTGGTGTCAGTGAGCACTAGGAGAGTAGCTTCAGGTTAAGGTTAGTATGTTTTCTGCTGGATTATCAATCATTTCCTCTCAAATTTATAGCTTGTGCGCTGCTTCTGCTTGTTTTAATCCCTTTGGAGCTTGTACAAAATTATTTCTTTTTTTTATGTAAGTGAGTGGAGGAGCTGAGTAACGTTTTTAAATGAAAGGAAAGCTGTGTTCTGTTGACGGCCCTTGTTGGCAGATGTTTTGGCAGCATTTTAGCTGATTTCTGATCAGTTGTGGCCTCTTACGGTTAGGCATGACTAATATTCCCAGCTCATGACCCTACTATATGTTGTCATTGTTGATTTCTGCACTTTTTTTTTAAAACCTCTTCTATTTTTTTCTGCTCCAGCTTGTCTTGAAAATGTTACACTGTGGACTGGAGGACTAATACTTTAGTTCAACACTTGTCTTATTCAGCCACTAAAACGTGAAAAGCTATAACTGCTGGTAAAAGTAATGTGTCAGTCCGTTGATAACCTCTGAAGCATTTACCTCCATGCAGGAAACCTGAGAGTATTTTAACATGTGAGTGGACATGTATTTACACTATAGTGTTCTGTGTATAATGTACAGCCGCTGTATACATTCCATGTTGAAATTTATCACCCAGAACGTGAAGGTTTCACATGGAAACAGGTTGTTTTAATGATGGATTTCAGTGTGCAGAATTACAAGACATGTTTTTTAAATACACATGCTGTTCCGAAATACTTCAACCCTCTTATGGCTCGACCCACAGGGACCACAGATTACTGGTGCTGCATGTCCGACAATGAGAGTAGCTGTTTCTTAACTCTTGGCTCTTAATCTGTAGTGATCGGGCTCTTTGTGGTCTTGATAGAGGGGGAGTGGATCCAGGCCAAAACAGGGCTAGGCTATCTATATTTGCGTGGCAATCCTGATGGGGTGCTGATGAAAACCAAATGCTCTTCGGCCACTGGGACTAATTAAACACATACACACACACACACTCACACACACACACACACACACACACACACACACACACACACACACACACACACACACACACACACACACACACACACACACACACACAAGGACCGGTTCATCATAGCTTTTAGGACATTGAACTGTTACGAGAAGGGTCACTAAGGAATCAGGCTCCCCCCTTCCTCTTTTCCCAGCCCAGTTGTTTATCTATTTATGGATTGCACAACTTCGGGGAAGTTTATTCCTCCACCCGAGCAGTGTCACAGCATATTTCGTGCTGGTTGACATCAAAGTGCCGTGCGAAAGGAAATGGCAAAGACCACCTCATGGACACAAAGCACAACAGCATGCAGGAGCATATTAGTGCTGCCTTTGATGTTTTGGTTGCTAATAATGTCCTTGGAGAGCAGAATTTGATATGCATTCTGCATGGAGTGCATTAGGACAACACAGGTTCATTAAAGGGGATCTAAATGTTTCCATACATGCTACATCCTCCCTGGAGTGGTGTGAAAGGCTGCCAATTATTCAAGGTTCTCACTATCCCATGCATTTGTTTGATTCTTTTGTCACTCAGGAGACCTTTAAAAGTGAAGTACAATATATTTCATCCAAGCACTCAACATAATTTCATTAGGATTGTTTATTTAACTCCTTTTTTCATGGACTGATGATATATTTCTCCTGCGTGATGTTTATTTTTCACAAGAAAAAAATACAAACTTCCTCTTAGGGCCATGCTGAACCTAATATGAACAAACTAAATGTATTTATAGATGGAAGGTCTGTCTCAGATGGAATCACCTTCATTACCCCCAACACTGTGTCTTTGTCAGAAAATTAGGAGAAATGCCCATTCGCAAGTTTTTCCATTACAACAATAGAAATCCAAATTGATTTCACTTTGCATGTTTTTTTAAATAAAGTATGACCTTTCAGAATAACCGCAGTTTATCTTTGTGAGGCTGTATGTTTTTTTCCAATAATCTGATGGCAATCAGATCCTCTTCCACAGTGATGCTAAATTTTGGCAGCTGTCATAAAAATAGTTGTGGTGGCAAATTCTCCTAATGACATGAAATGTGTTAACTCTGCAAACAAAGTGTCTTTCAATGGTTTTTTGTGTGATTTGCTGTGTCCCAAAAACTTTCTATATTTTTTTTTATCTGTGAAGGGAACATTTTTCTCTCCAATATCATATCGTTAACACTTTCGGTAATCTTTGTATTTACAGACAACCAGTGTGAATCAGCCCATCGAACTGATCCGTCCAGAAGAGGAGGAGGTTAAGGTGAAGTCACAGAGCAGCAGGGACGATTACTACCGCTACCTTGGTGACACATGCAGGGACAGCCACAGCACTGACACACTCATGGACAACTTGAAGGTCAACAGTTGTTTATCTTGTTTTCCATGATTTACAATTTCCTGTGGTAACCCAAAACAACTGGGTCATGCCTCTCCTTGTTTTCCAAATTAGCAACCCGAGAGTGAGGAGTGCCCACAGGCAAGATACCCTCAGCCTCCTGACCCTCCTGTATCCTCTGCTTCGGCCAAGCCTCAACAGAAAGCCAGCGTCAACAGAATGGAACAAGTTCAAATTGCTACATCTGGTAAAAAGAGTTTTTATGTTATCTCATACAGCTCTCTTTTAGCAGAACAAAGCAACAAACTGCCCCACAGAAAATATGACTCTGATTTATATTACAGTTATTAAAGGTTTCAATCAGCCCAAGGGCACTGCGAGTAAGGTAACCATCCCTGCAGATAAGACGCCTGATGCAAATCTCCTGGCTGAAAGAAAACTTCTTGGCGATATGAAGTCCATAAAATCCTTGAAACAATCAGGCTTATCAGGAGTCTTCACTGGACAAGCAGTAAGCATATTTTCTGTTTTGGGTATCCTCCGACATATGCGCTTCTTTTCTCAAGCTTAAATATGTTTTTGCAGAGTAAGATGGTGGTCTTGCCTACTGAGGAGGCTAATCTGTCAGATATCGATTACCTGGTGCCCACGCACGACGAGAGAGGCCGTCCCATTGCTGAGTGGAAGAGGCAGGTGATGGTGAGACAGCTGCAGGCCAGACTGCTGGATGAGGAGGCTCAGAGGAGGAAGGTAATGTCTTTACAAAGATTAGACATGAATTTTATTAATGTTGTTTAAATCCTAAATGACATCCAGTGATAACAGATGTAGCTTAGGCACACTGATAGCTTGTACCAGCAACAGATTTTATAGTTATTTATTTTTGAAAATAATAGGAGTAGTTTGGATTAAATCAAAAACTATAGAGTGTTGACACATTGTTATGACATTGTTACTTATGGTAAATAAACACTAGTCACAGTAAATAGTAACTTGTATGAACTGTAGGTCAGAACCAGTGTTGATATTTTGATGATACTTATTTTTAATGCCCCTACTTTTTTATCAGTTTCTTCGTTTTGTTTTTATTCCTTCTGATCCATGCTGCCAACAGCCTTTGGTGAATGTATTACTGTTCATTTTCAGGTTGTCTGTCCATCCATCCTACCCACTTTACTCAGCCAGTATCTGAGGAACCCCTAAAATAAATATCTCTTAGTTGAGAAACACTCACTTAGAGTCTGGGATGACCTCATGAGGAGATGGCAGTCACAGTGATATCTCAAAATAAATTGGGTTTGGTCAGACCTCAAAGTTCATATCTTGGGGCAACACTAGCCTAGATGACTGGGCAAATTTACAGGCTGCCTGGGTTTGATTCCACTCTGTGGCCCCTTTCCTGCATAGCATCTCCTGTTCTCTCTCTCCCCTGTTTTCTATTCTTTCTACTGTCCTTTTTCTATTAAACCCAACAATAATTCTTTAAAAACAACTTCATAAGACACAGTTTGCAGGATGTGTGAAACACTTGTTACTTATTATTCCAGAACATCAGAGGGAAATGCAAAAGGTTGGTTTTAGCTTCAAAGGGGACAGACTAGATGACATCAGTCAGAGGTCATTGTTACCGTGTCATCAATCCAGTTTTCAGAGATGGAATGAGATGCATGTGATGAGTTAGATGAGAGACGATTAGATGAGATTAGAGAAGAAAAAAAGCACAGGTAAGATGAGGTAAGATTAATTAAGATAAAGAAGACAAATAAGATAAGAGAAGTTTACATTAGAGAAGAGGAGCTGAGATGAGATGAATAAGAGAAATGAGAAGAGAGGGCTACCTTACGTAGATTAAATGAAAGAAGAGGAGCTGATGTGAGATAAATAAGATAAATGAGATGAAAGAAGATTAGATAAGACTAAAGAAGAAAAGAAGAGGAGCTGAGATGAGATAAAATGAGATAAATGAGACAAATCAGATGAATGAAGGTTAGATGAGATTATTGAAGAAAACGAAGATGAGATGAGATGAGGCAAGACAAGATGAGATCAGACTGAAATGAACATTCATGTTATAGAAAAGCAAATAAAACCACTGACAACAAGGCTGACAGTTTTTATACTGTAATTTTTATTGCCTGTTACTGCTCTGAGGGGTCAGATAAACTGATAAACCAGACTTTGGTTCTGTTTACACAGCAAATATTCACACTGAGTGATAAATTTAACCAGAAAAAGACAACAAGAGGAGATTTATTGTCAATTAAAACCACTTTCTCCAGGATTAGAGAAAACGAACAGCAGTAAAAGGGTTACCACTTTGTCCACAGGGTGCTGTAAAACCAACTCAAAGGAGCTTTAAATCTGTTGCTCTTACACTTACATGTTCTGTAATGCATGCCATATTTGGGTGTCTAAAAAAAAAACTTAAAGCATCGGTTATACTATCTTTTCATTATCTGAAAAAATGATGGCACCCATGATGGGTTAGAGAACAGTCTCCCCTCACCTTTGGGGTAATTTCATTTTTTTTTTTTTTTAATTGGTTTGGATTGGATTGATTCTTGGACACATCTTGCTTTCTGAGAAGAAAAAGCTTTTGTGGGAATGTTCACAGCCCATACTTTGGCCAAGCTTTATTTAGCTGCGAATTAAGATGCCCAAATTTTCTATTGTATAAACTCCATTGTTCCAGTTATCAAATCAAGAGTTTGGTTAATTGGCAGAAGAGAAATCAGCAACTCTCCTCAAAATGAACTGAAGGTCTGCAGCACTGGAAAAGTCAGTTGCATGTTTTATAATCTGCCTAAATCCAAATCGCCTTCTATACTAATGCTTAATGAGCCTAACCAGACCACAGTGTGCAATATGAAAATTATGGTCAGGTTTTCTGACGCCATTTCATCATCATTTACTTACATCGCATCCAACAACTCACTACACATATAACACATTGCTAGAGGAGTCATATTTTTGAGGTTTGGATTACAGCTTTACTGTATCATTACTCTGCTTATTACTTCTCTCACGCCCCAGCCACATGAAATTAAGAAATACTGTTTATATAACAATCTGTATTTATTTCTGCCTGCCCTTTTTATCCTCTCTCACAGGAAAATGGGAACAGATATGCCAAAGTCACCTGGAGGTACTCCCAAGCCCACAATGCCATCCTGGGGCCCTCAGGAGAGCTGCTAACTGAGAATGACCTCATCTATCTGGAGCAGCAGATTGCCAATGTCTCCATGCAGAGGAACTGTGAAGGCTACGAGCTAGAGCTCGCACGTCTGGCTGAGGAGCTGCGGCACATCCTGCCAGCACCCATAGTGAACATCACAGTCAATACGCAGTTCAGAAACTTCACAAGTCAAGTTCCACTACCCGTGTGGTGTGGCCGAATCTCTGGCATCGTAAAGAGCATGTCTCTGCTCATGACCAACCTTACGGACCAGCCCTACTGCAAGATGCCCAACACAGACCTGGTCACAGTGTTCTCTCAGATGCCAGAGAGACAGAACTCCATCAGTGGGCGGAGGGAGAGGATAGAGGATGAAATTCATCAGTTTGGAGTCTCTGTTATGACTCTGAAGTCTAATTTTGAGACACAAAGCTTACCTTTGCCACATGAGCCAAAGGAGGCTGTTGTCTTGAGTCCTTCCCCACAACTTGAGGCCATTGAGTCTGACACACAGCCTAAAGTCTTGAGTCCTGCCCAAGAAACTGATCAAAACAGCGACTCTGGCATTGACAATGATGAAGTTGTTGCAGATGTCCAAGAGACCACCAGCCTCAGAAAGGAGCGGATAGTTGTGCTGTTTTTAGGCCACTGGAAGAAATCTGCCTACACTGTGGCGCTAAAGAGCAAGGATGCAGCAGAGAGGAAGATGAGCAGTGGTGACTCAGTGACAGACAACAAATCTGGGTCGGTCTGCAGTGGCAGCGAGGAGAGTGCTCAGTCAGAGATGATGAACAGCTCCCTGGGTCATTTCTTCAAGCAGAGGAGTGCTGTCAACAAGATGCTGGGAAACTGGAGGAGCATGATCTCCAGTGTACCGTCTAGACAGATCCGCAGGTAGGAACAAAAAACTTGGAACAGCAGTTTTATACATCAGAAACTGAGCAAAACGAATATTGTGTTTTATGGCTCTGAGTTGATTCACTAAAACCCACTGTAAGCCTCTTTCACATTAAGATTCTGCACATTGGTGCTGCGGTGTTTTCACATTGCATTACAGTGTTGCAGAGGTGCAAGAGGCAACACAGTGAGAGCGCAAAATGATCACATACACAAACTCACAGACAGTGCAGGCCATGAAATGCTTTGAAAGTACATAACAAAATCTTCATCACATGCTAACTGGGTCTTTGGAATCACTCCCAAAGACGCAGTCGGCAAGTATGAAATCATTAAAATAAGGAACATGCCTCTTTCCTTGAGCTATTGTTAAGAATCTGGCAGCTGAATTTGACAATTTGAAGTCATTTCATTGATTTTGTTTTTTTTCTTGTCACTGCCGTCCAATTACCGGGAGATAAAGGCATGAATGCTTTTTTAAATGTCATTAAAAACCAGCATCAATCTGTTCTGGCACTGGTTCATATTTAAGGTGCGCTTAAACACCTGACCACTATTTATAGACGCTGTGATCTACCTTGTGCAATTTGACTCTTTCACAACGTAAACTGAGACAGCAAGAAGAAAGAACATAGTGGTGGGGTCAGTATGAAGAGCACAGACCTATAAAACAAACAGGTCAAGTCAACAAAAAAAATAAACAGAATTTAACCTTGCTTACATTATTGCAGTATATTGCAATAAACTGTTAGTTAACACATAAGCCAAAACTCATATGATTCTGTTTTTTGTCAAAGAAAAGAGACAAACTTTCAGGAAAATTAGCCCAGCTTTTTTGTTTGTCTCTATGGAGCTTTGAGTCTCTTTTGCAGCAGCTCATTGTTTTGGTTGTGTAGTTGCATAACACCCACCAGTCCCCCTTTCAGCATTGAAGCTTCCTTTGACATTTTAACCCCACGTGATTAGAAACCAACAGCAGCAAATAGGTTAAGGAAAAAGTTGTACATTTCTATCTAGCAAGAAAGGTTCTATCCAAACACTCTTATTGCATTTTGGGTGAAAGTTACATAGCACAAACACAGATCTGAAAGAAGTCAGCATTATACGTATTACCTTCATTCAAATTGAAGTGAATGCTTATATTTCCCCATGACTTCTTAATGTTCAAAAGGTGGTTACTTATCAAAAACATTTGCTATGTGAACATTTTTTGAAGTGTTTTTTGGGGCTTGAGCTGATCCAAAATATAGCAAGCAAAAAAGTGTGTTGCCTCTCGTATACAAAAATTGTATTGACACAGCATTGAGGTTAAGTTTATAAGATATTAAAGTAATTAGGGGCAGACACACTTTACCTGTACACGGCCAGAGGCCTCAATTCCACCAGTTTGCCTTTTGCTAGGTTGACCAAAGGTTGGGTTGAGTTAGTATTGTCAATATGGTTGGACTGTTGTCAATACACTTCAAAACTCCCCCTCAGAAACCAACAGGTGATGTTACTGAGACTATGTCTATGATTTAAGTCTGTGGTCTATGGACAGTCTGTGGTCCAAACACTGGATTTCTTAAATTACATTGTAAAACAAATTTTGTAAAAATCCAGGAAACAGGAGCAGACAGAATTAATTTTTGTTTCACTTACATGCTCTCATGATTTTTCATCTAACAGCAGTGAGAGACAGTTCAACAATGAAGTAGAAGAGCAGGCCCTAAAACACAGTGTCAGATGGAACAAGTCCATATCACGGTCTGGTCCAATGTGGTCAGAGTGGAAAATTGAAGGAAATCTCCCTTTTTTTACTCTGAGAACTCCAGATATTGTGACCGTGTCCCATTTGGTCTAGAAGTTTTTTTTAAAGAAAAGCATTTAGTCACCCATTTCTGAGTTTTTACAAATAAGGTTTTTCCAAAGTCAGGAGTGGATTTTGGCACTGTTAAGGCTTGTTAAACATGAATAACACACTGCCAGTGCAGTAAAAAGCACAAATGACAGAGAATCAGACCCTCTGCATGCAAGTTAAGGTTCGCCTAACTTTAATAGCTGAATTAGAAGCTCCCTTCAGCTTCCTTAAAAACATATTATTACACAAAGCATGTGTTTGTTTCAGTTTTATGATGCAACTGGTGTTGATGAATCTCAGCTAACCATTCAGTGTTTTCTGCAGACTTCACAGACAACAAGCTCTCTACTCTCCGGAGCAGTTCCTGCCTCGTTTGGATGGGGTGCCTGTGGAGTATGATAACCTTACCCTGGATCTCTTCATGCTGGGGTACTTTCACATCCTGGAGCTGGACCTGCCTGTGGACGAGCGCAAAATGAGGCACCTGCTGTGTTTTGAGGTGTTTGACCACATTGGGAGCTTTCCCTGGGAGCTGGTCAGGGACTTCCATAAGGCCGTCATGCAGGACATCGAGGCAGGCAACCGTGAGTGGAAGGACGGTTTTGAGGACATTAAAGTCAAGTTCTTTGGAAACACTGTGAGCCAGCCTGAAAGCAATGCAGAAGTGGTGAAACATAGCCTCCCGGAGATTAGACAGGTTCCTAAAGTCATTGTGCAGACTCCCACACCCGATGAGGGGATGCTCCACAGTGGAACCGATATTTCCAGTTTTAGTAACGAGGAAATTTGTAAATACATCGATCGCAGTTTTGCTTTTTGGAAAGAGAAAGAGGCAGAGATTTTTGATTTTGAGTAGTTGATTGTGTCATTTTTTTTTATATTTTTGTATTGCTTGTAAAAACCCAATTCTGAAATAGTTGTGACACTGTGTTAAATTTTGATTTTGGTGTTTTGGTGTTTGACTTTGGTTTTTGGAGGTGAGTTTGAGCTCTGGAAGTGATTTCCACAACAGAGTCAGGTCTATTTTCTGATACAGTGCCACCTGAGGGCCCAAGGATCACAAATATACAGTATTAGTTTTTGGTCTCCCCAATGGACCCCAGCGGTTGGTAAATGATCCTATAGTTGTTTTTATTGTGGCAAAAAAAAACTTTTTTAGAGTTTGTCATCCTCATCCCAAATTTTTCCAATATGTTGCTGAAATTAAATTTGAAATGACAATATGTATATGTTTTTTTTTTAAAACAATGAACATTTTCAGTTTCAACATTTCATGTTTTTGCCGTATTTTCATTGAAGTATGAGTTTAAACTATTTGAAAATCTGTTTTTGTCAACATCTTAAACAGTTTTCCAACCTTTTCAGAATTGGGGTTTTAGTTTGATGGCAGAAACAGTTGCCGGGTGTCAAACCCATACCATGAATGTTGTTTGAACTGTGACCTGAATTCTTGTGTTTTTAAAACTATCAAGTACCAAAACTAGCATAAATGCTCGGCCAGATTGTAAACCTTGTTTACTTCATTTATTAGATATTTGAATTATGAATTTGTATATTTTATACTTCTTCCTGGTGTTAAACTGCAGTTAATTTCAGAAGTTTGAACTCAATGTTAAAGAAGAGTTATAAAACACATTTATCAGATGTTTATGTTACTACTTAAGAAACTCAGGTTTAAAACCCTCTACAAAAAGTCCTACCATACCCAAAACCAATATAGAAACCAGTGATCCCAGAGTCACTCTTTCTCAGGGATTGAACTTGTTTACTCTGAGATATTGACTTTTCAAATTTAATTAAAATAAACCTGATTGAAAATGTTCCCAAAACAGATCTGGGAGGAACAGAACGTTCTGGCTTTACTTAAAAAAAAATGAAACACGGATAGCTGTGTAATCCAAATCCTTGTGCATCTGACTGTTTTGAAAATCTTGTCTCACATTACAGCCTCTTTTCATTTCTCACCTTTTAAAATCTTTTAAATCCATTTTCACATTAAAATAAACACACAAATGGCCGGTTGATGATCCCATTTGTATTATTTACTGTTAAGAAAAAAATTAAAAAAACCCTCACTCATCTCTATAGTTTACTTCCAGGTCCATAACAAAATGCAAACTATGTGTGTGTGTGTGTGTGTGTGTGTGTGTGTGTGCAAGAGCAGCTGTGGGTCCCATGGTTGTTGTTTGGAATCTGCCTTCAGCGAGGCGTCACTCTGCGCCCTAAAAATAACCGAAAGACAAGCAGCCTGTCCCAGTGACTTGGCTGAAGTCTTTTCGCCATGCTGCCCACTCTATGTTGATCGGCTACAAACAACTTTGTAACTGGAAGGATGATCCATTATTTCCATTCTCTGCCTCTTCGGTGAGTGTGTTCTTGGTTACTTAGTATTTGATGATAGGAAAAAGTCGTTATTGTTGGCTTCAAATGAGATTACAGTGACTATAACAGTGAATCACTCTGATCAAGAGCCAGAAGTACTTTGTACTCCTTGTTACAACACGGTGATGCCACACTCAAGAAACAAGAGCCTTTTCAAATATTCTTTTAGTGTTTTACTCAAATCAGAGAGATCACCAAGAAGAAAGTTTTTGTTCTAAAATTATAATAATCTTTCACATAAAACCACATCATGATTAACCATGAAGCCAAAAACAACTAAGGTAAATTATTTAATCAATAATCTTTTTTTTGGTATTTGATAAAAGTAAACGGTTCCTGTAGATCATGATTTTGTAGTTCAAGTTCTACTGTCATATGTACAATACTAGCAGTAAAGCTAACACTATGCAGAGTGTGCTCTTACATAATTCTGTAAAAAAAGAAGCCTGGGTCAAGCTTTTCTGTTCAGTTTAGTCTTGTGAAAATGTCTCCCGAACGAACAACTTATCAGGGAAGGAAAACCTACTTTGTTTCATATTGTCAGATATTAAGGCACAGAGATAGATGGAGGATCTGCAGCCTCTGTAATGAAAAATATCAAAGAGATGGATATCCTATTTGTCTAAATGTAATACATTAACAGAAGAACAAAATATAAAAGCATTTTATGAGTGCCAGTAAGATCTTTTATTTATTTGTTACTTTTTTATTTTCTTCAGAGGGTCCAAAGCTCTCTAAATGATTCCGAGCTTTGGACCTTAGTAACATTGGTACCTTAGTAACATCTCTTTTAATCTAGTCACAGTGTGTGTTATTGTTTAGAAGTTATTCCCTTTTCTACACAGAGGCAGCTCAACAAGAGGCCCTAACCAGCCAATGAGAGTTTGAATAAATACATTTTTTTTGTACTTTTCTGTGTTTAAATTCCATTTTCATTGATTTTTAGGAATTCTTTTAGTAGATTGCAGACTATCTTGGATTCTGTGATCACAAAGTGACTAGGCAAGCATCACTTGAGTGCAACAGAGCCATAACCTTCGAATGCCAGGGATCAATTCTAAATAGAGTTCCTGGCATGGCAAAATTTGAGAACCCTGCTCTATACAATGTTGTTATAGTCATGAGACAGGTAAATAAAAACTATTTCACATTGAGACCATGTTGAGAATATGAGCTGTGTATGTGTATGTGTATTTGCAACTTATAAAACCTACTGGGAAAAAAACACCTTGTATACATAAGCAAAGACACAAATAACTTGAGACACAAATGTGGATTTCAGGTCTTTGTAAGCAAGATTTTGTTCCTCTTATTACAGTTACAAATGCTATTTTGATGGATCACTATTCTCCTGGTAGGATGTTTTCTTCACTTTTATGTGTTTTTCTCTGTACTGGCAGATAAACCAAGCTCATCTTTAGACCATCACTGCTGAAAGACGATTTGAGCGACATTTCTGAGTGAAGTCAACCATGGTGCGCAATGTGGATGACCTGGACTTCTGCCTGTCCTCTCATCCTCAGAGCATCCTCGAGGGCCTGCGCTCTCTCTGCTCTCACCCTAAACTAGTGGATGTTACTCTGAGTGCAGGTGGTCGGGACTTCCCCTGTCACCGCAGCGTGTTGGCCCTCTGCAGCACATACTTCCGCTGCATGTTCTCAGGAGACTTTGTGGAGAGCATTGCTGCACGTGTTGAGCTGCAGGATGTTGAACCAGATATACTCAGCAGTTTGCTGGACTTTGCTTACACGGGCAAACTGACCATTAACCAGAGCAATGTGGAGGGGTTGATCTGCACATCCAGTCAGCTGCAGTTCCAGACAGTGAGAGCTGTGTGTAGCAGATACCTGCAGCACCAGATTGATGCAACAAACTGCCTGGGGATCCTGGAGTTTGGGGCGATTCATGGCTGCCCTGAGGTGATGGCCAAAGCATGGGCCTTCCTCTTGGAGAACTTTGAAGCTGTGCAACAAGGTGAGGAGTTTCTGTTGCTGGAAAAAGATAGACTGGTTGCATGTCTGTCAGATGAAGGACTACAAATCCGGTCCGAGTGCACTCGTGTGGAGGCCATTCTGACGTGGGTCAGGCACCATGCAGAGTCTCGGCTGTGCCATCTTCCTGAGCTCCTCACCTTGTCTCGTCTCTGTCTGCTCAGCCTGGACTACCTGTCTGACTCCCTGCTGAAGGACAGTCTGGTGCAGGCCTCTCCCAGCTGCAGAGAGGCTGTGGAGAAAATTCAAAGAGAGGTCAGTGAGTTCATACTTTCTTCTTCTCCTCTTGTTTTCCTCCCTTTTCTTGTGTTTATTCAATTTAAGTGGATTTCGTAAAACAATTATGACTTTCACTCTTCAGAAAATGGAGTCAGCGCCAGAATACATGGACAGACTTGACGCTCAGAGTCCACAGCCAAACCTGCAGGAGGTGCTCTTTGTGATGGGAGGTCGTTCACTAGATGACTCAGATGATGAAGATTCAGATGAAGATGAGGAAAGAGACCCAAGACTGCAAAGACTGCTGCTCAGGAACTGTGCCTTCTACAACACTAAGACAAGTAAAAACCTTTTTTTCCCCTCACATTTAAAGTTCGTCCAAAAACAGTCATTTTTACAGCAAAATTCTGAGGAACAATCTGCCCATTAATTCACAGATGATTTAAAGACCTTTAAATTCAGAGTTTAAATGACAGCTCTACAAGACTGCTGCCTGGGTGTGACAGTTTTATATAATCTTCTCAGTTCCTCCATGAAGCATTTTAGAGTTAGAAGAGTCATTTATATGTGTGTGGTTCTTTTAAGAGGTTTCAGTGTGAATGCCTTCATAGGGATGTGGTTATGGTCCAGAATTTTGTGTCAAATGGAATTAAAGTATCACCAAAGTCCTGCAGTCCTTTGACCTACCATCTATGAGCTAAGCATATGGGGCACGTACAATCCAACTGATGTCAGCTTGCAACTGTATCACATAAGCCACTACAGCACTATGTGAGGAACGATACAGTGTTGGGAAAAAAGTTTGGAATATTTGTCAATTCAACCCCAGCCTCGTGTTTAACGCGGTCTGCTGCTTTCTGGAGAATTATTCAAAGACTTTTTAATGTTCCCTGGTCTCTGTGATATGTTTTTGAAATTCACATCAAACTATTTTGTTTCTCAAAAAATTGTAGGGCGGAAACCTCATGATTCACAAAAAGCCATAGAAATAACGCATAAAATCATGAGTCGGTATTTAATAAATATACGGCTGTAATTTTAAATTGCCACAAAATACGTGGACCATCTTTGAAAGCAACATCAAACATAACAAGACGATAACAACAATACAGTCAGTACTTTGTGTGACCGCCTCTAGCACTGTACAATGCGCGTACACGTCTGGGCATGCTGGTCACTAGGTTGGTAAGAGTTTCAACCGGGATTTCTCGCCAGCATTGGATCACAGCCTGAGTCAGTTCAGCCACATTTGTTGGAGGATCATTCACGTTACACGAAACACTGAAGAAAATATTCCAAACTTTTTTCCAACACTGTAATTTCATACACACAGAACATAAGGTAAACAGAAAAGGAAGCCAAACTTGAACTACTGAAAAGTGCAAAACTGCATTAACCAGGGATCATTGGATGCCACTGGGCAATCTAAGGTTTCTTGCAATAACTGCACACCATATTGACACTAACTGCACATCTTGCACATGCACTCCTGCATATTTTTCTGTTTAGTGTTATTCTTTAAAAAGAATAAAAACAAACACTGCATTTCACAGAATAATCACTTTGTAGACGCCTCCTCACTGTAAGTCATGGTTTTAGATCAGTCTGCTGCAGCATTTGTTGAAATATTAGATCCAAAAGATCCCTCACCCCAAGGACTTCAACCACTACGGGCCATTGGTACTGACCGACTGGCCACAGTTTGTGAGGGCTTGTGACTATGTGTCTGACACTTTAGGGGACAGTTTTGGCTCCCTTCCTTTTTACCCCTTTACACTGCAAACTTCACCCACCACACAACAAGCTGCCACCTGCAGAAGTTCTCAGATGATTGTTGGCCTCATAACCAATAATGACAAGAGGGAGTACAGAGAACAGAACCAGAACTCTGTGGACTTTGTGGTGTCAGCTGAACTTCCTCCAGATCAACACTGGAAAGAACAAGGAGCTGGTGGTAGATTTCCACAGGCCCAGACCCACCCCTCCCACACAGGTGAACACTCAAGGGAAGGACATTGAGATTGTGGACTCCTGCAAGTACCTGAGTGTTCACCTGAACAATAAACTGGACTGAACTGACTCCACCTACTGAGGAAACAGAGGTCTTTTGGAGTTTTCCTGAGGTCCTTTTAGGACTCTGTAGTGGCCTCAGCCATCTTCTCAGAAGTGGTCTGCTGAAGGAGCAGCATCATGACTGCAGACAGGAACAGACTGAACAAACTGGTGAGGGAGGCTAGCTCTGTCCTGGGCTGCCCTCTGGACCCTCTGGAGGTGGTGGGGGACAGGAGGATGATGGCTAAGCTATCATCTCTCATGGACAATGTTTCCCACCCCCTGCAGAGCACTGTAACAGCTCTGTGCAGCTACTTCAGTCACAGGCTTCTTCACCAGCGCTGTGTGACAGAGAGATACCACAAGTCCTTCTTTCCTGCTGCTGCAGTCAGACTGTTTAACCAGGCCTGCTGCCAGTAGTCCAGGTTTTTGAGCACAACTAACAGACAGTATCTCAATGCTACCTCAATGTACAATATTGACAGACTAGATATTTATTACAATTGCAAATACCTACATATTTCTTAGGTATAATAACCCATTAATGTGTACAATTCGTTTTTGTTCACTGTGTAGAACTATTTTTAGTTTTTGGTTGTGTTTGCTTTTTTCTCTTTTTATATACAACTTTTTTTGTATAGGTCTAAGTAAACTCTTTATAATTATCTGTGCACTATGAGCATGATGAATGTACTTATTCTTCTGTGTTTGCCATGCTGATACTTATGCTGCTGTTACACATCCTTCTGCTGCAAATTTCCCCACTGTGGGATGAATGAAGATTTACCTAATCTTACCTCTTATCTTAAAGTCAAAATATCAGCAGTACAGTAAAACTAGCAAAATCAGTTCCAAACAAAGGTCTTAACTTTTTTGTGGAGGGATTTATTTGAATGTTTCGATTTAAGTGCATGGACAGAAAATGTTCTTCTGATTTATTTTTCTTAATCCTGACATCCTTGGGACTGAAACTTGGACATTATTCTTGAAATTTCTGCTTCATTCTTGAAATTCTTGGTTAAAGAAAGACCTTTCTTCCCTCTTTTGTTTTTCCTGTGCCTGGCTTTCAAACTCTTGCATCCCTCTATCTATTTTAGTTTCCCTTGCTCTCTAAATAACACCCCAACAGTAACTTCTTTCTCTTTGTCTCCTGCAGAACAGTGGCATGAGCTCCCTAATTTCCCCAACCCTAACAAGTGGGGTTTCTCCATGGTCTCCCTGAACAATGAAGTGTATGTCACAGGTGAGCCAAACATACACAACTCTATAAATGCAGAGAGAAAGAAGAGAACAAGTGATGATAAATGATTCTGAGCAGGAGTCACTGTGAGTCTTGTGAGGAATGTAAAACAGACTTCTGACAAAGTGCTTTTGTCTGCCTGACAGGGGGCTCACGAGGTTCAAATACCAACACCTGGTCCACCACAGAGACCTGGAAGTACATCACAAGAGAAGGCAGGTGGGTTACTGTGGCACCCATGCTCCGGCCTCGCACTAACCACACATCAGCAACACTCAACGGAGAGATTTACGTCATTGGAGGTAAGAAAATAAATACAGTCGTGTATGTGGCTTTAAACCTGCAGCTCAACAGAAAACTTAGGCAGGTCATGTCCACAGTCTCTTTCCTCAGTGAAAATCTGCTGCAATATTGTAACAGGAACCTTTTAATTTAAGTGTTAACAATAATAACATTGTAACTCAAACTCATCACTCTTCTCTGACATTCTTACCCCTGTAGGTACGACAGCAGATCGGGTTGAGGTTGAGCATTATGACCCTTACAGTGACACCTGGGCCTTGTCGTGTCCTGCCCTAAAATATATGACAAACTTCACAGCTACAGCATGTCACGGGAAGCTCTATGTGATTGGGTCATGTGCTGTGAAGTACAATGCTTTAACAATGCAGTGTTACAACCCTGTTATAGGTAAGGATACTTACCTATAAGTTTGTGAGATTTGAATGGTTGCTATCCTCTCTGGTGCAGAATGAGATCTTTTTGCTGCTTCTATCAATGACTTATCTGCTATTTAAAGTATTTGGACCACATCTCAGCTGCTTCCTTGAACTTTTTTGGAAATATTAGAGAGATCAGCAGATGTCCACAGCATGATCTTTATCTAGGGCCTACAAACCTTTATAATGTGCAACAAAGGAACTGGAATCAGAGATTGGATGCCAAAACTTTGGTTTGCCTATTGATTTTGTTTTGATGTCCTCTTTACAGACAACTGGAGCAGCATATGTTCACCCTTTATTCCTAAGTATTTGTCCTCTCCCCGGTCTGTCTGTGTGGACGGGACTATCTATCTCCTTGCTGACAACACTAAGAAAGTTTACTCTTATGATCCAGAGGCAAACATATGGCAAAAGGTAAGTTTAAGATATGACTGACTGATGCGATAAAACTACGTTTATCTCATGTATGGGTGGTAGTTTGGAAATTTATAGCATAAATAATCAGTTTTATGACCATATTATTCTACCTTGAGCCTTGTGTTGACTTTTCTCCTTTAGGTCCAGCTTCTCCACATGCTCCATGAGAATGGCGGCCTGGTAACATTAGATGGCAAGCTGTTTGTCACTGGAGGCCATTGGAAAGGTATGGAGGGGGACTATGGGGTGGAAGTAGAGATTTACAACCGAGCGTCCAACACCTGGGAGGTGGAGTGTTTCCTGCCAAGGCTTTGGTTTTACAGCGGAGTCTGCACCATCTTCCTTGATCCATCCCATTGGCCTGAGCTCTTCCCCATAGATTCAACATAATGACCTTCTGTGCTGATAGACACAAACTCAGGGTCGAGGAGTTCAGGGGTGTATTACTAATATACACATGAGACAATGCAAATGGCATGTTTGTCCCTGGATGTCATTGTGTCTTAGAATAGTGTGTTACATGACTATCAGAGTTGTTTCTAGAGCATTGCTTGGCTGCTGATCAGTTTATTTATTCTTTGTATCATGTGCTTGAAAATTGATATCTTTATTATTTTATATATATTGTCTTTACACTGCTGCCATTTTCCTCATGCTCATGCTCAGGGTGGAGGCTGAAATCATGATGTGAGTTCATGCTATTGTACCCTAGGCTTTAAGTCATAACAATCTTGGGTATCAACATTCATTATCATTTACCCACCTCTTCTTAAAAAGGATATTTGGCCATTTTCAGAGTCTAATCTCATAAGTTATGCACAATTTTAACCACTTTAACACAACAGAATTGCTTTTTTTTTACATGCAGTTAAAACTTTACATTCAAACAACCTAACCAGGAACCGGGTGCAGTCAATATCATATTTTTTTTGTAATGTTTAATTCACTGGGATTTTGAATTAGCCCATATATGATGCTGTTACAAGCTAATGACAACCTCTTTCTCATCCTGTAGTAGTTAGGTTTCAAAAATACTCCCCAGAGAAGAAAAATTAAGTTAAGAAAAAGTTTTAAAAAATGATCTTACAAGATACTAAAGTTATAAGATTAAGGTTTGTCTGTTGCATTTTTTTGTCATAAAGTTATACTATTTTGCAAAAAGTATGATATAATGTAAGGTAACTAGCGAGAAAGTACGCTGGTACTCCCTAAACTTAACATTTTCATTCAAAAAATTCTTAAAAGCGTGATGAAATAACCATTTTGCTGGTCACCTCATAATAATGATTGTTTTAAAGCATCTTATGGTCTAAAGTTATTACCATGTTCATTTATGTAAAACTGTCAATGTTTGAAACTCCACTTTGAGGCCCTGGTTACCTTTGAATTTTAAAATTTACACTTTTTGCCACCTTAAAACCCACACCTTGCTCTAAATCTGATAACTCTGAATTCACCAACTACCATGTTAGCCCCTCTGCTGCTATCTCAGGTACACCATATGCCACAAAAATACATAATTCAGTCAGAAGAAAATTAATTCAAGAAGAAAAACTGCTTTAATTGTGACTTTGATTACCTTTTATTGTGAATTTTGTTACCCGTACTGTAGAAGGTCTTCATGTTGTGTTACTTTTACCTTATGTGTCAGGGCCAGACCTTGCCCTTGGTCTATTAGACTTGCAGCTTACAGGTAATTAATTAAATGGTTATTCACCACTTAGTTATTCATTAAGTGGTAAAAGTTGTCAAGAGTCGTCAAAAATGATTTCTGTTTGAACCCAGTCAGTTAAAGGTACTTGTGATGGTTTGTTATGGTTTTTAATCTAGTGTACTGTTTTGATTATAAGGATTGTATTATATTTTCGGTCGTGTATCGATTGTTTTGAACTGAAAGAGTTAAGATGATCAATAAAAGTGTTGACTGAAAACAAGAAGAAAAAAAACATCATGTCATAAGAAGTTTTTGCCTTTTGCGTGTTGATGATCATTAACCCTTAGGAATCTGTCAGGGCGTCCGTCCTGCCATGGGAACATCCAAGCCAGCATTCTGTTTCTATGGCAACGTCCCGGAAGTGCCTGGTCACCGTGGTAACGTGCACTGATTGGAGTGCAACTTTGCTGCAGGTGCTCTTAAACTTTCCTCGCTAAAAACATCCGTGAGTGATAAGTTTTTGAGTTTCAGTCGCTTTCATCGGATAGTTGCACGTTTAATTCGACTTAACTTACGTTTTCGTTTTATTAATACAACGACCTATTCATTTAAAACTTCGACATAGATCTTGACGTCTACCCTGTGTGTTACGGGCTAACTTATTAATGCAAGCATAGAGTCTCTCTCGACAGATGAAACTACCGAAGGCTAACGTGACTTGTTTGTTTAATACTTGCTGTTAAAGCTGTGTCACTTTTTGCAATGAGTTCACAACCGGACGGAGGTGCACACTCACCCAGACTGGAGGCTGTGATACAGGTAGGATACTACGGCTCTTGTGGGACTGGATAGAGGGTTACAAACAGTAACATTCCCCATGCATTTAGCCTCACATATCCATAATAGTTGTAACAAATGAGACAAAAAAGTATTGTGAAAAATATGTGCATGTAACCCTAAGTTTAAAGGATCCTTGGATATTGGTGCATCTTGCATTAATACTGCAAAGTAAATATGATTGCACCTTGCAAGGATATTATTTCACACAAATTTTTGGAACTTTGCCATTAAATGCCTTTTATAACGAAATTAATTGGAGATACTGACACTGATCTACACAGTAACCAGCAATTAAACAAATACTGAGGGCTCCCGGAGTAAAGCAGACAACTATGTTTCTAAAAATTGGTTCAGTTCAGGTATAAAGAGGCCCAAATACAAAATGTAGTTACTGTGCAGTTACTATGTTTAAAAGAGAGGAAATAATGGATGGCAGGAATCCCTTTAGCTTAGACTGATTTTTTCTTGTATTTCCACCTCCTCCACCTCTTCTACTTCCTGCTGTATCCACTGCCCCCTATCAGCCAATAAAAGAAGGAAACGAAGGAAAAAAAAGAAAAACCTTATCAATGGCAATTCAATTTTTAACTTTTAACCTGTTATTTTCAGCTGAATCTGAGTTTTTAGCATTTTGCAGATGATCATTTCTATTCCTATTACTTGACACAACATCCCAGCTTTTCCATGGCTGTATATATACAATGTCCTTACTACATTTTTAACTTGAGGTAATTTTCATTAATGAGATATAAATAATCTAAAATATGTGATATTTCAATGGAAAAATACCCCAAACTATGTCAAACAGAGTCTAGAACCAAGCTGAATACAGCATATATTATAGACAAACTCTAAAACAGTTCAGTTTTGTACAACGCTTTGACACCAGTGTTGAGCACAAACCTTTATAGTTCATGCTTTGGTCTTGTAATGTAAGTAAATGTGCCGTGTGCCCTCACAGTTGTACTGATTTTTCAAGTTAGGGTTTTTTTTGCATTTATATATTATATATTTATTGCTGTGACTGGCTGTAGAAGTTGGAGGAGTCCTTGCTTCACTCTGATGGTAGCTCTGGAGAGAGAAGTCTGACAATGCGGGATGATGGACATGAGTCCACTGTCACGCCTACGCCTGTCTTGAGTAGCATCCGCCAGATCATCACCCGCAACCTGATGGATCAGCCAGCTGGTAGGAACAAATGATTGAATTCGAATACTCTGCCACACGTACTGAATGCAGTTAACTTAAGCAATACATCTGCCCTGCTAGATATCAGTTATCATGTAACACATGTGGTGAGATTGACACTTCAGTATGCACGATCCAACTCTTTTCCCAGGTGAGAGCCCTTCAGGCAGTGAGCCAGAGGAGAACAGGGCTCTGCAGGAACAGCCGTCTCCAAGCCAGATGAGCCGAGACCAGCTGTCAGTCAAACACACCAGTATGACTGACAAGGTAGGAGTGACACAGAGTGGCAAGAGTGTCACACTTCGGTCAAGGCTAAAGTGTGAAATGCAACATTTTACCATTGTAGCCATACTTTGGAACAATATTTTGTTACAGAAGAGGAGTTAAGGATCAAGACTAAGCTAATAAAACTTCAAAGTCCTCATGAGACCATGAGATCTGATACAGACTTTCATTGGTTGAGTTTTTTTTTCAACAACAGGACACATCAATCCTACTATGTGATAACTCAGAGTCCATCACATGATGATTAGCCTTTAGTGGCGACTGCTAGCAGATACATTGTGTCAGATATCCGGGCCAAAACTTCCTGTCATGGGCATTGATAACAGCATGACTGTCAGGAAGTCCTGCTTGGAATTTTAGATACCCAGGAAAATACAGCACATGGGCCTCAGTTTACCACCACAAACTACACCAGCTGAATGATGTAACATGAATGCAACATTCTGCATACACTGCCTCTTTGATGCAATACAAATACAAAATATTTGAATTAGGAATAAAGTATAAGAATTCCCTTACTTTCACCTCATTCACCTCATAAGGACTGTACTCTCAGGAATGAGCTGTTAAACTAAGCATATGAGTATGTATAACCTCAATTATCCAGTCTTTTGACTTAACCCGCACTTCCCCTCCATTCTAACTTACATCTTTGTGCATCTGTATAATCATAAAGACACTGACAAGATGTTTGATTTAGAAAGTTTTACAATCCAGCCACTGAGTAGAAGTGTTTGCACCTGATTTTGAAGCAGGACTGAACCATTTCACGTAAACAGTGAAAGGCTTTGCATCACAGAGGTTGCCAGTGTTACTCCTTCCTTGCATCAAATCCCTGTGAGCTAGTTCAGGCAGGCAACTCTAGGTGCTATAAATTCATATTTACCATACATCATTTTTACAGCCACCTCACAAGTATCCTCCAATGTAGGCAGTCTATTTAAGGTATGAGAAAGACTGCTTCCGCTTTGCATCCATCACATCTTTTGACTGCACATGCCTACATCAGTATGCTTCATGTGTTACAGCAGTAACTGACACTTGATCAGATTGTATCACTAAAAAATATGTTTTTTTTAAAGAAATGTTTCCAATTTTAGGAGCCTAGCTGTTAGACAGTGCTTTTAAACTCAGATGTTGATGCAAATCTTGAAAGAGCTGGAGTATGTAATACTGTAGATGGTAAATTTGTGCAGTTTTGTTTGGAGATGAGATCAAGAAGGTCAACCACACTAGAGCATTGACTGCAAAAAGCTACATGCGTTTGAAATGGAATATGGTTACCATAAACATCAGTGTACCACAGCTCTTTCCAGCAGGGAAAGCCTTTTGGGGCAAAACAAACAAACAGTGCAGGGAGGTTGAAACAGCTTTGCATGTACTGTGGTGAAAACAGAGAAGGAAAAGGTTGTTTCATGTGTACTCACAGGGAATTAATTCAACTTGGAAAAAGCTCATTTTAAAAGGCATGCATTTTTCTTTGATTAAGTGCTGTAGAATTACGTTACATATTACACTAAGTACTGTATAAGCATCCATTGTGTGGATGTGTGAGTGCGTGTGGATGCTTGAGTGTGTGTATGTGTTTGTAAGAGTAAATAAAAGCAGAAGGAGGGTGGCTCATGAAGGGTTTCCTTGTGGTCTGTTCAGGTAGACTCAGACCCCCTGTGCTCACGAGGACCGGCGTCTCCCTTCATAGCCCCCCCATGGTTCCCCCTCCATGTAGCGGCTGATGTTTTGGGGGAAAATTGTGAAGGTCACCGGCCTCTCCCTTGAGACCCTTGAAGAAAAGCTCGTTTTTCATGGTGCACAAAGCAGCCATTTGTGATAACACTGCTCTCATTCTGCGGCTTAAATCTAATGAACTCCCTCTGCTTGCTTTGCTCTTGGTACTCAATTTAAAACCAAGGCTATAAATATAACTAAATTAGCTTGGCAGATATATATAGAATATTTATTTTGTTGTTATTTTTAGGTGTCAAAGGCACTAAACAGAAAGAAAAACATACGCAACTGTGGGGGATCTGAGGTGCTCGTATCACTGTGGAGCAGTTTGAAGTAGACTAAAGAAGAAGGGACTGTTTTCCCTCTAATATCACTGGCATTATAACTGTTGATGCCGCTGCTGATAATAAGATCCAGGAGTGTCTTACAAGTCAGGAGGTTCATTCCTGTCAGGACTTGTTTCTTCCAGTAAAAGCTATTTTCTCCTCTTTACTACTTATTGACTGCACAACAGCACGATAGTTTGGCACCTCTGTTGTGATGTGATGATAACTCAGTGTGCTAATCAGTCCCCTCAAGCTAAATTGACTGTCTTGGCTGTGGCATCGGTAATGCTAACATTAATGTCGACTATCTAATCTGCATATAACTGTCTGCCTCAGCATTTGCTGCCAAAGGGATAAAATTACTGAATACATCACACACTGTGTTTGTCAGCACTTTAAAGGCTCATATTAGTAAGGCTTACCTGATTTTGAGTAAGCAGCCAGACAGCACACATCTCATCTGAGAAGCAAGTAAACATAATCCTTTCTAGGCTTAAATCATGCAGTTATGATATCCAACTAAAAGCTTTGATGTTGTGCAAATTGCTGCTAAAAACAAAAGCTGATGGTTTTAAAATAACCAAAAGATGTATTTAATTAAAAAGGGTGCAAGTCAACATATCAAATATTTAAAGTGAAAATGTTATTGTTTATGAAAAAGGCTAATTTTATATATAATGCCAGAAACACTGTTCAAAACAGTTGGGACAGGGAGGATGTTGACCATTGCATCGCGTCACTTCCTCCTTTAACAACACTCTTAAATGCAATTTTACAGTTTAGCAATTTAGCTAGTCATGCTGTTGTCATAGGTTCAAAATGGCTTTGTCCTGCCGAAATATGCAAGGTCTTTCATGAAAAAGCCATGATCTGGATGACAACATACTGTATGTTGTGTTATTGTGCTTACCCAGATAGGTGAGCCACCCATGCAGAGAGAATAGATGCTGGCTTTTGAACTATGTGCTGGCAACAAGTTGAGTAGTCCATCCCCTTTTATTGCAGACAACTTGGCTTCCAAGATTTCCAAAAGGAATGTCAAGTTTTTATCGGACAGTCTTTCACTTTGCTTCAACCCGTCTGAAATGAACTTTGGCACAGAGACGTTGCAGGTGTTTCTGGATTATGTCTGTTTATTGTCTTTGCACAATAGAGTTTCAACACACATTTTCAAATGGTCAAATATTTTCATTAAACAAGAAGTTTTGTCAGTTTTATCATTTGATATGTTCTCTTTGCATTGTTTTTAGTTAAATACAGGGTTTAGATAGTATGATAACTATCCAGATATATTTTTACGAGTATTTTGCACAGCTTTTTTAACTTTTTAAGAAGTAGGATTGAATCTTTCACTCTGAACTTTCACTTATTATTGTAAAGGAAATTTGCTCTGGTAAGTTTCCTCAGCTAGGTTGTAGTATCAACACCAGGTGTTGAGGTCCATGTGGTTGCCTGCAGTGTACCCAACCTCAGTGCCAGTCCCTGCAGGTAGCTGGCTTGCAGGGTGACAGCTCTGTAAAATTATCTCAGGCTATGCCCAGTTATAAGGATAGAGACAAATTCAGGAGCAGTCTTTTTGTTGCATGTAACACTGAAAAGTACCTGATGTGATTGGGACTAGGTATCACTCCAACACGTTTGAAAATTATAGAATCTCTACTGGTTGGTGACATCGGGACTGTAAGAAGTTTCTTTTTAATTATTTATTCAGAAAAATGGCATAATGGGTTGATTCAAGAGTTTGGGGTTTCTGCTGGCAGGTTTATTCTATACTGGTCAGAGCTATGGCGCGCTGCTCTCCCATTTTCAGGTCAGTTTGTAACATCCAGAAATAAGATGTAACTTTCTCTTCTTTGTACGGATCTGACAGCTGTTTGACTTTTCTCAGTTGAAACAAGCAAACAGATTTCCTCAAATGTCTACTTCTCCTTTCAAATACCCTGTAGATTGACTTAAAAACAAAGTCTTTCTCTCACATGTCATTAAAATGACAACAAATTGGTGCCAAAGGTTTCTGAATGACATCAATCTGATACACTGATGGATGAAAAAAGTCCACCGCCCTTTTTTGCCAGCCACCCAGAGGTCTTGTTGACCTGACAGAGCGCCATTAACGGTATACTGGTGAAGTCACACCTGGACTGTGAAAGCCCTCCTCTGTTTCTCTGTTAAGTCACTCAGCTTGATCTCTGGTAACCCCAGAAAATTGCACCTGAACCTGGATAAACCTTGACCCAGTTTGTGAGTTGCATGGCCTCTGGAGGTTGGAGAGCATGTTGGGGTGAATTCTGAACCTTCTGTGTTGCTTTTGGAGGCCTGCCAGTGTGCATTTTCTCAGACATAGACGGCCATACTCTGCAGCCTGAACACTCAGTGAGTGGCTGCACAATACCACAGTGTGGCAGTCAGTCAGATAAAGATAAACTCTTGCTGAATGATTTCTGACACCAGCTGCCTTTTGCCCGTGTCCTCTAAAATCTTGAATCCCCTGAGTCTCTGTGTCAGAACTCTGTCAGATGTAGCTGAGGCAGATAACGTCTGTTTTTAAGGATTGTGTTACTGTCCCTTTTTGCTCTGCTACCCCCTTCTGTTTCTCATGTTATTCCTGCTGGCACAAACCCATTTATTTAAACTGCAGTTTGACTGGAACACAGCCAAAAACTCTCAACTAACATGAAAATTGTAAAAATTAATTGCCATCCCCAGAGAAAATATGCTTAAAAGCACATCCCAGAGCTGAATTTCTGATGAAAGTCTTCCATTAAAATGTTTCAACTTTTGACATTAGCATGCTCATGTTACTGGACTTTAAAGTCAAACATTAAGCACATTTTTCAGTTCTTTTTTACATGTCAAGATTGTGTAATCTAAAGTGAAGCCTTGAACAGGCTGAGCGGGTGTATGTGTGCAGGGTTTGTGCAGCCTTGTCCTTGCCAGGGGCATTGTGTTAAGTACTGCAAGGCTGGCCACATGCTTGTGAGTACACAGCATGTATTATTAGTTTGGCTGTATTTAAACAGATCACTTGTATCCCTTAGTGCCATCACGCAGCAGCTGTCCCTGTAACCAGAAAGTTCACTCCATGGTAACATACACACAGCCGCCTCGCTCCTCCTCCTTCCTCACTTCCATTCCTTGTGTTTGTTATCCCACATTGTGTAATTACCGACAGTGATGATACATAAACAGCTTTCACAATCAGCTGGGGCTCTTTCACGGAGTCAGCACTCCGGGGGTAATGTGAGGGGAAGGGGAGAGGGTATGTTGTTGAAGTAGGATAGTACGATTTTTTGGGCAGCTTGGGGGCGATGGACATCCGCTCCAGCTGTGTTTAGGAATCTGACAGATAGTGCACTCCATTAATTCCCTTTATTAAGCCTCTGGGCCTAGGCCAAGCCAGGGAAAACGGTTGCAGCTGTAACCCTTCACATGCTGGCTGGGACTTAGCACTCACGAACAGATCTTGCCCCAGGCTGAAAGCAAAATAGGATAAAAAGGATCTGTAGATGTGGAGTGGATGCTGGAGATTCTTGGAAATTTATCTCTAAACAGATATACAAAGACAGACCTGTAAAGTTAAGACAAGAGAAAGCCTCAGAAATGCAGAACAATTTTCAAGACATGCATAAAAGCTCAGCTGGAATCTTAGATAAACTAGGTGGATCTTAAATGTTGTGACATGAGGTCAGTGAGAGAATATTATAATCAAAACTTGGTAACTGTAATGGATTGGAGTTTGATCTACCACATGAGCTAGGCAGCAAGTTCTGGCCCAAACACCAAAGCCTTTACAAAGGCCTTGAAAATGATTCTCTTGTTGCTCGTTGGCAGATGAATCAAAGCAAGATTATCCCTTGATGTTGTTTGAAATATTTATCAAAAGAGACAATGCAAGGAGTGGCACAAATCATAAATATCAAGGAATATAAAAAGCTAATCCAAAGCACATTTTAAGAGACTAAGAAAAGGTTTTTACTTTGGAAACAAAAATGTGGCTCAGGAAACAAATACTGGGGAGTGAAAAAAGAGAAGGAACCACATGGAGGCATAAAATGTACCATGACCAACAGGCTGTTGTATAAATTGCATCGTGAACATTATTGTAGAATGGCAGTAGATGACCTCAAAGAGATGGGCTTCACCAGAATTGAGCACAGCCTGTTTTAGGGGGCCATGGAGGCTACTCAAGAGCGATTGTATTCTGAGGCAGATCATAAATAGCAAGGGGTGTTCCGTGAGCACACTTCTGGGCCTCCAGTAAGCCCTGTAAGCCCCTGCGTTAGGGCAGATGGAGGGCCGGGATTACTCACCTCTCTGTTGCTTTTTTACTGCCACCACTGATGGCTGTGCAGAGGGGAACAATGAGTTCAAGCTCACTTGGGGATGAGAGAGATGAGATTAAATGATCCAAGCAGAGCAGTGGAATAGATGGTGGTGCAGGGGAGAACAGTGAAGGTGGAGGTCTACACTATGGGCTGTTTTGGCGCCCTCTTGGGAGCTTCCTGCATGAAGCATGTCTAATCTAGAGCAGCCCCCGGCCTCCTGCTTTACAGCTGACGGGGGAGAAACAATAAAAGAAAAAGTGTCCCCTCTGTAGTGTGGATTGGGGCGAGTTGCTGGCAAGACGCCGACACAGTGCAGATATATAGGAAAAAGTGTAATTAACCAGTTTGATCTGCAGTGGGCGAAGACTTGTAGAGGTAACCTGGCATATCTGGTCATTGAGTACACAGCAAGCACGAGGACTGTAGTTATCAACTGGTGACTGGTGCTGAGGAAACTTATATGAGAGGGCAAGCAGTGACATGCAAGATTAATTATGTCGATACACAGAAGAAACTTATCAGCAATATTATTTTAATATGATGAACTTTGTGCTGTTTGGAGGTTTGCTGTGTTCTTGCACTGCACTTGCTCTTCATATTTCGTTAGAAAACTGCACAGAGATTGAAAAGTACAAAAGACTCAAGATATTTAAGAGGTCTTCAAAGAGGTTTTCGTTTTCCTATTTTTTGAACAGAATCAGATTTCAAATGTTGGATGTCAATACAAAAGGTGGAACATTTTTTTAAATGTGAGGTAGCAAGTGTTGCAGTAATACCATAGTCTGCTTTGTATGGCTTGTGCAAAAGGTCACACCAAGAAAACATTAGAGAGAGAGATACAAGATTTGTCGTGTCACGATGTCATAAACCTCTTTTATAGATGCAGACTGAATCATCACTTGGCCAATTAATTGGCTGACTGATGGCCTTTTGACGTGATCTGCATCATATCAGCATTTGCCCTCACAAGGCAGATCAGATACTGCTGTTATCTTTCAAAATGAAAAACACATTTGACAGCATCCATCCATCCATCCATCCATCCATCCATTTTCTACTGCTTATCCTGAGTCCTAAGCAAGCCCATCATCTGCGAAAAGCAGTGACCCAATTCTGAGACCACCATACCAGGTCCCTTCAACACCTTGGCTGTGCCCAGATCCGTCCATAAATCTGTCCATAAAAGTTATGAACAGGATCAGTGCCAAAGGGCAGCCCTGCCACTGAGGAACTTCTTAACCCCCTCAGCAACCTCAACCCCAGAGATAGAAGAGCCAACATCAGAGTTCCCCAGCCCTGCTTCCTCACTGGAAGGCATGTTGGTGGGATTGAGGAGGTCTTCGAAGTATTCTTTCCACCAGTCGACTATGTCCTGAGTTGAGGCCAGCAACACACCATCCTCACCATACACAGTGTTGACAGTGCACTGCTTCCCCCTTCCGAAAGGTCCAGAGGTTCTGGACCACCAAGATGGTTTTCAAGAACCTCTTCAAAGCCATCTGGAAGTCATTGTCCATGGCCTCACTGAGATCCTCCCATGCTCAGCAACCGCCAAAGCTGCATCTCGCTTGGCCTGCTGGTACCTAACAGCTACCTCTAGAGTCCCACGTGCCAAAAAGGACCGGTAGGACTCCTTCTGAAGCTTGACAGCATAGGTACTGCCATGACAGGCACTGACCTGCAAACAGCCACCTCAACAATTGAAGAACCGGACATGGCCCACTTGGACTCAATGTCCCTTGCCTCCCCCATGATCGAAGTTCTTCCTGATTTGGGAGTTAAAGCACCTTCTGACATTTTCAGCAGGCCCTAACAACATGTTTTGGTCTGACCAGCATCCTTCTCCACCATCAGAGCCAGGTGATCAGTTTACAGCTCTGTCCTCCTCTTCACCTGAGTGTCCAAGGCATGTGGCCGCAAGTCCAACAACACAGAGTCAGTCATGTGCCAAATGCACATGTGGATACCCTGAACATGGTGTTTGTTATGAACAATCTGTGACAAGCACAGAAATCCAAAAAACAAAGCACTGCTCAGGTTCAAATCAGAGGGGCTGTTTCTCTCAAACAGTGGCGGCTGCTGGTCTTTCAAGGAGGGGAAGCTCATTTTTCTGGCCTACATCATAATTGTATTTGTTTATTAGTATGTAACAGAACAGAGTCGCCAAACACAACGGCAGTCGTTTTTTAACAAAGACAAAAGTTGCTGAGGATCGGTAAAGTCTCCGGAGCAGTTAAGAACAACGGAATGAATAACTTGGAAAATGCTCTGGTAGATGTTTTATTCCTCAAGATCGCTGATTCGCTTGTTTAGCTGTCAATCAAAAAAGGATTTCGCCTCAGACAGCTCATCCAATCATGGATGCAGAAGCTCGGAGTCCGGGAGAAAGTCGGGACCGCCCTCTCGCCATAGAACTCCAGTGAAGCTGGGCTTCCGAATGGGCGGGACAAAGCCCAGCATTTATCCAATGAGCGTCTAGTTTCGCTGCTGGAACAACCCACTTTAAGCTTCCACATTGAAGTCAGCAGAAGCTGAGCATCCGGCTGTTTAAAGCGCTGAGGCGCTGCGAGGATGAATGAGAACAAAGTTATGCCGGTTACCTGTGATTATCAGCTTCTTATCACAGTGTCTGAACAAAAGATGAAGGCTTTCTAGCACGTATTTAGTTAATGAAATGTACACACAGCCGTACGTATTTCACCACTTTTTCTTTTTTTTGGGGGGTGACATTTTAAGGGAAGCCGAGCTTCCCTTGCAGTCTTAGAGCAATCGCCACTGCTCTCAAACTTACCCCTCCAGGTCTCTCTGTTGTTGCCAACATGGGTAATGAAATCCCCCAGCAGAGCGAGGAAGTCCCCTGAACAAGTACCCTGCAACCCTTTCTAAGGACTCCAAAAAATATGGATACTGCGAGTTGCTGTTTACAGAAAAGGCAAAAACAACAGTTAGGATCTGTCACCCTGCCTGGTGAGGTGAGGCTACACTTCAGTCCACTGGGGACGAAAGTGTACATACAGGCACCAAGCCAGGTAGCAGTAAGTATTGCCATCCCTGCCCTGCACCTCTCACCAGTGGCAACTTCAGTGTGGAAAAGAGAAAACTCCTCCCAACAGGGCTGGTTCCAGAGCCCATGCTATCTGTTTAGGTGAGTCTGATTATATCTTGCTGTAACCTTAACATCTCGCGCACCAGCTCAGGCTCCATCCCTGCCAGAGAGGTGGCAATCCACATTCCGACAGCTAGCTTCTGCAGTGGAGGATTGGACTGCCAAGGTTCCCGTCTACGGCTACCAACCAACTCCCACTGCACTCCATGGGTGCAGGCCTGGCCACCAAGTGCTTACCCCCACGCCTGGCTCCAGAGGGGTCCCCCTAATGACCCATGTGTGGACGAGGGAAACTTGATACCAATAATTTTATCCATCATAAAGAGTCTTTTTGAACTACACTTTTTCTGGTCCCTCCCCCAGGACCTGTTTGCCTTGACAGCATATCAAATCTAAAAATATCAGAGGCAGGTGTTAAATGTAAATTCTGTTATAATGTTAAGAATAATGCAGTTTAATAATAGTATAAATATTTTCATTCATACTAAGTTCAGATAGCTGGATAGATTCTCAAAAACCCTGTATGGCAAAATTGTTCCACTGTAAATTAGGCAAAGCTACGGCAAAGTTATTAGTGGAACATTATCAAACCTGAAAATGAGCATCACACCCCTTCAAAGTTGAAGAATAAAATTTACGGTTTTCTGGCTCTAGAGGCCAATAATTATAATTATAGCATTGATATACTTCATGGTTTTGTTGTATTTGTGCTTATTACTTTGGGGATACCCCTCTCAACCAGACAAGTTCTGTGTACTGTCAGTGTTCCTTTACCAAAAAGCCTTGAAAACATCACCCACATGCCTGCTACTAAGCTATCTTTCAGCGTATTTTATATCCGTAACTGTTTACATCCTAGTTAACTATCAACCTTGTCTATAGTCTATTACATTACCTTAACTGGTGCACTGCCAAGCCTCTCTCTCTCTCTGTTACTTCTGTCATCTTGTGATCACTGGAGTTGCAGGATTATTTATTACCCCACCCCAGAGCTTGGGTGTGTGCAAATAACATATGTCTTTGGGCATGTCTATGATACAAACAAAACAACAGTAAAAGCATGGAAAGAAAGAAACAAGCACTCAAACATAATAATAGAGTGCACAATATAATAGCAAACTGTCAGAGGCCTGCTGGGATGAATGAGTCTTGAACTTCTTTAGAGGGGTGTTAACATGGAGACAGGACTGGGTATGTACAGTATAAAGGAAGAGCATCCCAGTGTATGGCAGCACATTAAAGTCATGATCGCCTATAGGGAATCTGGTTTGCAAGAGAAAAAAATGAAGCCATTATGGGACTGCAAATAAACGGTAGCTTGTTTAATATCGAACTGCAGCTGACTCGAAAGGCCAAGAGGCTCTGTTATTACCTATATTCCACGTTTATTGCAAAGATGAATATGTTGCTAGCATAATTTAGATAATTGTTTGGTTATCTACACCTCATTCCTTTTAATACCAAGTTTTTTTTTTCTTTTATACCATTCATTTACCAAAACTGTACAAGGGGATAATGCTATCATTACATATCTGGTTTTATTTAATGAATACTAAGAACTCTGCATAATTATGTATAATTAGGAGTGAGGTTGAAAAGTTTCATATGTGTAGAACTGTATGCAGAGATTTAAACACCTTGGACATTTCTGTAGGACTCCAGATTCAGATTGTGCTCATCTGTTGTCATAAATCTCATATGCTACGGCCCTTGTGTTAAAGGTGTATTTATGAACTACATGCTTGTTAGTAAGTCAGTGTTATTGCTTTAGTCATGCCAAAATAGTTGAAAAGATGCATAATCACTTATGCTTCACACACAGCTGTTTCCAGAAGTCCCTTTAAACACAGCTGCTGCAGTTTTGTGTGTTTCAAACACTCCGCCCATGTTGTTCCTCCTTTTCTTAGTCCCTAAAGCTGTCACCTCAACAACGGGCAGTAAAAGAAGCTTTTGTGCTCACCATATCCTCAGAGAAAAACAGCAAAAGCACAGGGCTAAGTGCCTGATGGTTGTTAGTGTAGTTTGTAGTATAAAAATCTGAAAGGGGCATTTGAAAATGTGTTAATAATGGTGGCAAAGTGGCCGGGCTCAGTGTTGAACAGTGAGACTATTGTTTTGGCTCTCTTGGAGCCTGCTGGAGAGATTAAGCACCAAGAGAAGAGATGAGGTACAGAGGAGAGGTGGGAGGGAGGGAGTGGGTCGCAGGGTTGATTTGAAGGGCTTGGATGGTGGTTTGGAGGGAGGGGGCTTCCTCGTTCACGCTCACGCTCTCTTCCTTTCCTTTTAAATGAGAAGTCGGCGAGGGCAGCTGGAGGCACGCAGAGTGTTGTAGTGCTCTGGGGCCATGTGGTTTGTATTAGTGAGGACAGGGTGTCTGGCACCGGGATGGAGAGTGGGTGGTGCAAAGGGAGTTTAGGTTGTGTGAGGTTGAGAGGTTACAGGACATTTGGATTTCAGATATGGGAGAGGATACCAGATGAGAGGAATAGCGTATGTGAATCTTTGTTTTTGGATTTACTCAAATTACACAGCAATCATGCATAAAAACCAGTAAACAAACAAACTATACTTGGACTTGCTATTGACCTCCTCATAACGTCTTTAAGTCTGGCCAATGTTTGTCCAACCCTTACACTGTACTGATACTGATGGTCTCTAGATTTCCCAGTCAATCAAATGTTAACAATTACATGCTTTGTGTTCATTGGGGGAACATACTATGCACATATTTTGGACTATATCATCAGTGCCATTGAAAAAAGTGATGGTAGTAATTACCAATCAAGAGTGGCGCATTGTAGGATGTTCTTTTTGGCTTGCTCATGCATTTATGTAAAACCTCAAAATTGCATTGAGCGGAGCTCTCATGCTTTAACTCTATTTGTTCTTAAACTGAACCCACAATGAACTGTTGAAAACTGCTAAATGACTCAACAGAATACAAACATATCCTCTCTCCCAAACATTAATCATCAGTACATCTAGATAGTTAGGGTGAGTAAGACTGAGTTCCTGGCTTTTTATGCTGGGGTAGGCTAATTTGGAAAAGGAGAGCTCTTTAGAAATTGTGTCAGGTAAAATGTCATATGAACATGCTCTGCCTCAGCTTGAGTGCAGTCCGTGAATGAGCCCTACGAAGAGAAGGCTTCATCATCACATACATCAAAATGAAACTCCCAATCACAAAGAATTAGGGTGCTTTGTCAAATATTGGTAAAACAGATTTAGATGGTTCAAAATCCATTCAAAATCTTTATTTGATTTGAAATAGTACAAAAAAACTCCACATCAAATGTCGAAACTGAAAATTTTTATTGTTTTATGAAAGCTAAATGACATATCAAAACTGGGTACAAAAAGGCATCCTGAGGAGGCAGAGTCTCTGAAATAAGTAAAGATAGAAAGAGGTGCCCCACAATGTCAGCGTCTACAGTGGATAATATCATTAGGGTACAGAGAATCCAGAGAAATCTTTTTTTCTTTTTTTCTTTTTCTTTTTTATCAAAATCTTGTTGTTTGGTTTTTCAGGGCATAGTGCATATGTATTCAGTTGTTACAGACAAGATGTATGGAAAAACAAGTGTCAAAATCAAGCATATTAACTCAGGGTGAGAAGTATTCTTAACAAAGAAACATGAAACAAATGAAATATATAAAGCCAAAATAATCCCCTGCACTGCCAGTGAGCTTTTAGACATCAGCATCGGCCTGTCATCACAATGTTACATGAGAAGTGGATTGGTAAATTGTAGTAATGTCACATGACCACAAGGTTTGAAATATGCGTAAGAAAGGGTCCCCACAAATTCTGTAACTTTTCATTTGAGTGTTGAAGTGAGTACCTAATTTTATTTTAGTATACAGAGAATTCTTGACAAGACCAAAATCCAAAACTGGATGGGTTTGATCTCTGGGTGATGCTGAACCAAAAACAAGCTTAACTGCAGTGGAAATCCCAGCAAGGGCTTGATAAAATCCTGTCTGTGAACACAGCTCATCTGTGAATCCACAAATGCAGGTTGAAACTGCACCAGGAAAAGAAAACCAAACATAACAATGATCCAGAAACACTGGCCATGTTTTTTGGGCCTGAGAGCATTTAAGGTGGACTGAAGTGAAGAAGAAAACTGTCCTGTGGTCTATCAAATCAAAGTGGACATTTTTTTCCGGAAATCATAGACACTGTGTCCACCACTCTGAAATGAAGAGAGGCAGCCTGGATTGATCAACAGTTCAAAAGCCAGTGTTCCTAATCTAAGTTAAATATAGAGCTCAATTGATTTGCAAACCACAGCCTCCTAACTTTCGTAGCATTTTATCAAAAAGAATATTCTTAGAACTGCAAAAAATATAACAAACCTTTTCAACACTTCTTAGTAAGCAGAATTAATCAACCTTGAAAAAAAAAAAACGTTTATTGCATGGCTGTTTTTAACTTTTTAGTAAAAAAAAATAAAACTGGTTCTTTTACATTAATCATAATCATTCATCCTCCTCATCCCACCACACAGCTTGATCAGATGCTGGTGTTGCAGTCATCACTGGACTCAGACCAGGACAGCATATCACCAGGATCCCTGCAAACCCTGCAGAACAAGGACAGAGCTCATAGACAAAAACTGCAGCTCTTCCAAGAGGCTCAGCAGAGACAAGCACAACTAGTGCAAAAGCTGCAGAACAAGGTGACTTTAAATTATCATCATGACTCAGAAACAGTTACATAAATGTTTCTTGCCTCTGGCTTAACTTTGCATTGTCCGTTTCTTTTATACAAGGTCCTTCAGTACAAGAAAAGATGTGGGGAACTGGAAGAGCGGGTGCTGGAGAAGACCTCAGAGTCTGAGAAGATGAGATTGGTGGTAGGTCCAGATTGTAGTATCACTTTCAGTTACAACTATTGCTCTGATATGATTTTGTTCAATCTAAAATATGGTCCAGGAGGTCAATCTACCTTTTACACCAAACCAGACTGGAACTTATCAAACTGAATTTCTTGGCTTGCTTGATTAAATCCATATTTTGCTTGTTTTGCTATTTTACTGCATAATGCTTTTGAACAGAGCAGATAAATTCACATTCACCTAACTGAACACCTCTAGGAGATTTTGAACCAGTATATTGTCATTATCACCATCACCAAAATAGGAAATATCTTCTGTCTCACCCCTTTGACTGATAAATTTTTGCACGATGGCCAATCAACCTCCAAGAACACTTCAGACACAAGCAGTTGTGTAACTTTATCTTGTCCCACTTCAGTGGTATGAACAAAAGAAGACTAGAGAACAATTTGGGCTTGGTCTCATCGTCAACAGGGCAAAAATCCTGATGCGCCATCACCCTTTTGTGTGGATTGATTTGATATGTTTACTAAGTGTGATCAGGCCGTCTCTACTGTCACTTTTGCTAGTCTGAATCAATAACTGTTTTCAAGGAGGTTTGACCAATCAGAATCAAGTATTTTACACTGCTGGGTAATGATTATCTTTATTTTGAATCTTTCAGCGCAAGTCCATACTTTATGCTCATACTTTGTTTCAGTAGATTCACTGTTTATATACTATAATGTAAGTATTAGCTAACTGCTTAATAACCACTTCTACTATTTATTGAGGATTTCTCAGGGTTCAAGCTGTAGTGTCATTGTTATTTTGTGTGTGTGTGTGTGTGTGTGTGTGTGTGTGTGTGTGTGTGTGTGTGTGTGTGTGTGTGTGTGTGTGTGTAGCTCCAGGACTCTTCCCAGCGTCAGCAGCAAATGGAGCAGGAGCTTAACATGGCTATCCAGAATAAATCTGCTCAGCTGGAAGAGGAGCAGAAAAGGTGAGAAATAGGTATCATGCAGCGCAGAGGGAGAAACTTGCACAGCTTCTGTCAATTTTTAGAGAAGGGTTAAAAGTTTGGAATCCACACGTCCACACAAAAAGTTGCTGCATAGCAGGGAGTTACATATTGGATGAAGACCTAAAGCAGTAAATTCACAGACAGGTCTCTTTGAAATTTGTGTCTGTTTTGCTTTCTGCATTTCGTTTTGAGAGGGCGAAGTCAAGCAGAAATACTTCTGTGCAAAGCATGACCAGAGATATTTCCCACAGTTGTCCGAGATGCCCTGCTGTTTCTCCTGCCCCTGCTGCAGGGTGGTTGCAGAACCTGCCCTTGTTGGCAAATAATCTTAGCATCCAATTTGTCAGAGAAGATTTGTGGGGCTATGTTGGCTTTGTTTTTCAAATCATTTTAATGATGCTTCACATCAGCTAGGGGCCAACTCTTGTTGCTGAGGCCAGGATTTAATGCCCCATGATTAATGGAGCCATGGAGCCATGGAGCTTTCTTTGGCCTGTTGTGAAATCTGTGCCAAAACTTGATAACTTTCATGAAATACTATTTACTACTATAAAGCTCTATCCACTTTAACACTTTGTAATATGGGTGTAATCTAGAGATCAAGTTTACAGTCATAACTTCTGTGTTTTTGTTTATTACCAGGATTACTCAACCCCTCTTTCCATATGGCTCAGTTTTCTCTTAGCACAATCTACGCACAAACATGGGATTGGCTTTCTCTTAGACAGATAACCAAACATAAAATGTGGCTTGTTTTACTGTAAGAGTGTGTGTGTTTAGTGTGTGAATGATGTAAATATTTCTGGAAATGACTCTGTGAGTAGATCTGGTGGAAATTAAATTGAAGCTGACACAGGAGCCATAAAACTGTCAGATTTGTTCACCCTGTAAGTGTGGTTGGAAGGGGGGATTTTACAGGCTGCAGATGTAACAATGATACATGACCTTATGAATGACTAAGCTGAGGTAGGATGAGGCGATACGGCCAGAGATGTTATCACAATAAAGTTCCTTATTTCAGTTGATAACAATAATCAGCATGATGACTGTCAAATCAGTATTCCTTTTTAATTTAAGGCTGGTTTTTCCTCCTGTGTGTAATTTGAAGAGAGCAGATGGCTAAGTCGCTCATATCTGTGATCAAGCTTCTTGAATCCCTTATTTTTGACAGTGCATGTCAAAAATAAGCATGTCTTTTACAATCAAACACGCAACTGCCTTCGTTATGTCTTAAAGCTCTATTTTCGTGCCCGCCAGCGGTGCGGTGCACAGTGGTATATTATTACAGCGCAGCCCGGTGCACAGCCAGTTTGGTATTTTTGTAGACTGAGGCTCACCAAGGTGAGCCAAGCTGGATTTGGCAGTGCAGTAGGGGGAGATGTCGACAGAATCAGCTGGCGCAGTGACATTTTCATGCTTGCTGGTGGTGCAGAAAGTGCGCTGAAATTCAAACCTGGTCAGCTGTCAGAGCTGGCAGACTGCAGCTGGTGAGGTGGTATTTTAGCAGACCAGAGCAGCAGTGCACATCACCAATACCTCAGGTTTCCACAGTGTCAGGCATATTTCCGTGCAATAAATAATCAACAACAACCAATATTTAGTGTAACTATCTAAGTCAGCACATGCATTTAGATCAATATATTTTGATGTATATCTTGTCTGATGAGTGCGTTTGGCACTCGTATGTACACTCAAACTGACTGAATGAACACAGCTGAAACCGTGTTAAATTAAATATCTAATAAATAGTCACACATGATGGAGTTTACAAGATATTTAATTTTTGTCAAAAGGCATCATGCTTAAAATCACTGATGTTAGTGTTTGCTGCTCCTGCAGGGTCCACTTACATGCATTTGTTACTGTTATGTCCTGTGGTTTAACAGGGTGGTATTGTCTCAGTCAATGGAAAAGGTTTGTGGTATGTATGACCTGTCTTATTCAGCATGTCTTTGGCACAGTTTGCAGTGCACACAGCTTTCTCTCCAACTCAGCAGTGGCAGGTGGTTGTCTAGCATGAGTCTGGTCCTGCTCAAGGTTTCTGCCTGTTGAAAGGAAGTTTATCCTTGACACTGTCACTCATGAGATGAGATGGGTAAAATCTGTCCCATCCTAAAGTTTGGTCTTGGTAATTCATCAAACAATGAGTGTGGTCTAGACCTGCTCTTTTTTGGAAAGTGTCTTAGGATAATACCTGTTTTGATTTGGAACTATATTGATAAAATTTGATTGATTGATTGATTAGTTGATTGATTGCTCTGTGGAACTATAAGTACCCAAAATATCTCCCATCTATGGAGGTTCAGTCACAGCCTTTTTTGTTGGCACTCTTTTTGCCCTGCTTTGAGCTGGATGGCTCAAAAGGCCTTTGAATGTTGTTCATTTCAATGATGTTTCCTTTCTGCACCAATGTCTGTAAGCCCTGGAAATTGTATAATAATGACAGTAAAGCCATTGTTTTATTGACTCATCCTGAGTCAAGGTAAAGGAGGGTGCCATACTTGCTGTTGGTCAGGATTAAGGTGCCGATCAATTTTTAATGTTATATCCCTTGTTAATTTCAGGTGTGCCAGCCTCAGTCAAGTGAATTCTCTGCTGCGGGATCAACTTGATCAGGCTGGTACTGTCAACATTAGTCTAACAGAAAGCTTGTGGAAGGCTCGAGAAGACATCGATTTGTGTGATAACCGTCTGCGCAGAGAGCAAGAGGTGAGAATCACCACAAAAATAAAGTGCTGGAGTGAAAAAGGCAAACAGAAAAAAGCTTAAGTTTATTCCTTCCTGCACAGAGGTTGAGCAATTAAACTCCCGTTGAGTTCACATGGGGTAGGAATTCCATTCATAGCCAGTTTTGTCAATTCACTCTCCTTCTCTGTTCATTTCACTGCTATGATTTTTGAGTTGTTGTTTCCTGTGAAAACATTCCAACTGCTGAGGGGGAGGAAAATTTTGTGCAAACAATCCGGTGTTCATGCTGTAAATGGGCTACATCTGTTGATTCAGGGAAATCCAACTATTTGTATGTGTGCCAGTTTGAGTCCAGGAGTTCTAGTGTTACATGTGTTTAGGGTTACAATAAAATCCAAGGTGTCATCATTTGTTGTAAGCAACCCTCACCACCAGCCTTCTAGTCTCCCATCCCCTTGTTGTCTCCTTCTCTCTGCAGACATGCGCCTCCCGGCTCTGTCGTGAACAAGCTCGTGTCAGAGCACTGTGGCGCCAGGCCGCTTCCCTGCGGAGCACTTTCACCCAACTAAGGACTTTCACTGACAGGTGAGTGTGGCGTGCTGCCAGAAGCCCTCCAGCAACTCAGGATTCCACAAGAACCCCCACCCCTCTTGTGTCTCACACTCACGACAACAACCACAATCCATCTCTCTCAGCGAAGGATCAAAGTGGAGCAGGTCAACGGGGTCGCCATTTTCCCCGCTCATTGTTTCCTCACTTGGGGGACCGATGGCTTATGGTGTCCTGCCTCATTGTCCAAATCATCTATCAGAACAGAGCTTGAGCCCTATGAGACGTGGCTTCTATCATGCTGAACCACAAAAAGCACAAGTGAAGTGTAATTTGCTTTAATAATGATTGCTCAGCTCATAGACAGCTGTGATCATGTCCCAGGCTGTATGGTAATTTCAACTGAAGACTCTTCAAAGTGAGCCCTAATCCTGCAGCTGAACCTCAAGAGACATCCACCCTCTTTAAATACAAACAGTTTTTTTTGTTTTGTTTTTTTACAGTAATGACTCACAACTGTACAGAAAAAAAAAAACTGGATGGCATGATGCTTTTAACTTTCAAATCTTTCTGGGTTTTTTTTTAAATTTTATTTTATTTCTACTGTAAGTCTTGTACATGATTCTGATCAACAGGACTCTGTCTGATATGCATGGAGCATATATCAATGCCGGCAGGCAGCTGCAGGTTGCCTGCATGAGCCTGGAGGCCAGAGTCTCACAGGAGGGCACCTCTTGTGATGGAGGGATGACTGCACTGGAGAGGCAGCTGAGGGAGAAGTTGAGAGAGGCCATGAAGCTTCAGGGTTGCTGGGATGCAGAGAAAGTGGAACTGAACTCACGGTAAACTCATTTCTACACAGACTTAAGCCTGTTCATCAAAAGGCTTGCTGCCCTCTAAAAACAAATGAGAAGAAATTTGGGTTGTCCTGTCATGGAGCACCAGCTAAGCTCATCGGTTAATACTGATTACCCCATGTACAGAGCTATTGACCCTCAAAGTAGGTGCTCTGAGTTTAATTACAACTCCCGGCCATTAGCTGCTTGTTATCTTCCATTGTACCTCTCAGTTCCCAGGACCAAAAAGTCCTTAAGGTACTAAAATCTCTAAAAATTGATGACTGATGTCCCACCCCTTTTTAATTGGGTTGACTGGTGATCAAGAAGTGACATTAGCCATGTTCACATGTGCAAAATTTCTTGATCCAATTAAAAATTTGAGGGATCGGATAATCTGAATCCACTGTTTATATGGGTACAAAATCAAATAATCTGATCAGACATGCGTATACATGCACCAAGCTTTATTTAGATTAAAAGCATTTGGACATGCGCAGAGTTGTCTGATATCCCTAAAACAACTGCAGAAGAAACAAACACGGTAATGGCTCACTCCATCAAATTCAGTTTTACCCCTGTTAGATGTTGTCACTAGATGGCGCCCTTGCATACTTATTTTGCTGTTCTGTCAAAAGTTGCACTGTGCGTGCAGACGTGACATCATTATGCTGTATGTACGCTTTGTTATGTTATCGGAGGAGCAGACACGTCACCTGCGGTTGTGTTTTATTCCAGAGTGTTAAAATGAAACCTCCTGTACTGGCCTCAATAAATAAGCCAAAGGTTAAAAAGTGAAGATCAAGTCAGGTAAGAGAGTCCCGATCGGAATGAGTACATGGACATAGATGCGTTTCGGAATGACGATCGGCATAAACCACCCCTCTTGATCGGAATATAATTTCTTTCTGATTGAGCCAAATTGGATCCGAATCTTCCGATCGACATATTACGTGACGCAGTTTTATTCTGATCGGCATTTATTCGATTATTTGTGCCCATGTAAACACAGCTATATACGAGGATGTCAGTTTTCTAAAGGTTGATTTCAACTTAGAACGCTCAGTGTGCAGCAACTCAAATAATGTCACCAAGGGTGTTCATGCACTGACGATGCTGAACGCTGCGTTTGGTTTAAATCAAAAATAGGGTCTTCCAGTACAAAAAGTGTCATTTTTAGACAGAGCCCCTCAGTCCACTCATACTTATTACTGATGGCTTCAATAAGCCTTCTGCATGTAGTGGAAATATGTAAAAGAACGAATCAAAAAGCACCCTTCTTGCTGTTTTATGGGGACTTAGAGTCGCTCATTTTTCCAGGACACAGAAAAACTCTTAATTTATCTCCCAAATGCCAAACTTACTTCGCGATGAATCAGACTGAATGACCTATAATGACAGTTCTATTTCGTAGATTTCTTTAGCTGATCCCATTGCAGCACCAACCAGCCTCTAAACCTCATCTTGGGACTGACAGCTAAAACCCCAGACTCATGTTTTTTTTCTGCAGTCTGTGAACTAGTCTGACTGAACAAGACCATTTGACAGAAAAAACATGGATAACTTTGTTTCTGAATTTTTTTTATCGGAGGTCATCTTAAGTTCAGTCTTTTGATCAATTGCAAAACTTCACAATCTCACCACAGTTGAAAGAGGGGACAAATTCAATCCTCTAACCAGAACCCCAGAACTTTGATCATTAAATTCCTGCACATCGAGCTGTTTTCAATGACTACAGCATCTGTCCTGATAAAGAAGAATCCAGGCTTTTGTACCATGTCATGTGGGTGTGACACTCAGAAGACTCCAGGAATGTCAGTGCTTTTGTAATCTAGGTCTGGGACAGCTTTTGATGTTGTTGAATGTCATTGTTAATCCTGTGATTCTGTGCAGAGAATATGATAGTGTTCAAGGCCTTGCAGAGGAGGATTACATGCCAGTCATGTATGTTCATCTTTCTTTTTTTATCCTTTATCCATTTACTTCTGCATTGATCTCTGCAGCGTCCAAGAGCTGACTGACACGATAAAGCACCTCCGCAACCAGAACAGCGAGAAGGATACCAGCCTGGGCACCATGCAGATCAGTCTGGACAGGATGGTGGGACCTTGGGAATCACGACTGGGGGTGGCAGATAGACATTAAGTTAAGGGGGTTAAATTGGCTGTAGTCTGGACCTTAGGTTTGATAAACACCACAACTTCCTTGTCTAAAGGGCTGGCGTCTGGGGAATGTCGGGTCTGCTTTATGTGTGTTTGTTATCTGACCCAAATGGTTTCCTGCTCAGGAGACAAGGAGAGCAGAGGATAAAGCAGAGATGGAGGTCCTCCACACAGAGATCCAAGCCCTCCAAAAGGTTTTATGCCACATTCAGCAGGTCAGAGGAATGACACACTTCATCATTAAGCTACAGCATTAAATTAACCCATTTACCCATCATGTCTGCCATATCTAGGTGGTTGGTGGCGAGAGTGAAAGGAGTGGCTTTGAAAGTGTGACCTCCTCACCTCTTCATGGCCGGTCTCCTCTGAGGAACACAACCCTGACAGTTGTGCAAAGCACTCTCTCCAAACACCAGAAACAAACACAGGTCAGCAAGAACAAAAAAAAAAAAAAGAAGAAGATTTGGTTCTTATTTACTTATTAAATTGTTTGGGAATATTTGCTCCAAAACTGAGGGTAGGAAGTTCCCAAGAGAGAGACTTTTCTTTCATTTTTAGGCAAGGCAAGTTAGGCTATCTTGAGGCCAATTTTGAGATACAAGTGATGAATTCCTCAAAATATACATAAAGGAAATTTTTAGATGCCATATAAAAGTAGCACTGAGTAGTCACTAAGTTTTTGTATTCAAAAATTAATTGCTCACCTTAAGAGTAACTTGTCTCTGAGTTATTTTGCCAAGTGGTTCTCTGTAAGCATGTCTCCAACAGCACACCTTACACTCAGAGTTTTTAGTCTCTCCTGGCTGACAGATTGTGGAGCTGGCAGTAATTTAAAAGCAAGCCTTGGCTGTTCAGATGGTGTGTCTCTTCATTGGTGTGTTGTACTAATGTGAGCTGCACCTGGATAATCAGGGTTCACAAGCTCTCTGCAATTAATTTTGTTAAAATTAGGTGCTCTTTGAGATTAGGGTAACCAGTCTTGGCAGTGGAAAAAGTTTTCTGTCCTGCACATATGATACGGTACAGTACGATAAGATACGGTACGATACGATACAATACAATACAATACAATACACTTTATTGTCCCCTTAGGGAAATTTGTCTTGGACTCCAAAAGCTGTACAGATAAAGCTGCCAGTTGATGACACAAAGTATTAGACTTCATGAAGACACAGTCACACAACCCACGTACACTAATAATGTCAAATTTCTAAGGCAGAGAGGCCTGCTGAGCTGGTTGATTAGTCTTATGTCTTAGTCTTATGTTTAACAGTTGTCAGCTATTTTACTACAGTACCAAGTAAGGAGTCTGTATAACTTCTGTGGTTTTAACAGTATTATTGAATTTGAAAAGTAACTGGATACACCACAAAAGAAGTGGATTTGCAGTAATGTGTTACTCAGTGTCTCTGTTTAAGGCATATTAAAAACAAAGTGACAGCAGAGTTACATTTAAAAATAAGGGCTGGGTACTATCACTGATTTTCTGAGTTACTTAACTTGTGATTCACAAGGTCCATATTTGATTCAATTCAATTTGATTGGACTGACAGGGATTGGCCAGATCATCAACAACGAGTCTCATCAACACACAAGTCAGCTGTTGTTGTGATGTTTTTGGACCTCAGGAGGAGTAGCTGCTGTATTTGTTGCAGCTAATCAGGATCCAAATAAAGGAATCACAAAAAGTGGTGTTGTTTGAATAACTCCATAGAATGAGCTGCTGATGAATACTGCTAATGAAACAGACATCTACTATACAGATGAGGAGAAGAGGAGAGGTGGAGTGGATGTCTTTGTGTGAGATAGCCTGTATTATTTTTTTTGAGCATTTGGAGCACTGGATGGTAACTTCAACACAATACCTTCTTCAGTGGAGTTGGTTTCAGACAATATGTTTTGCAGTTTGCATATCTGGGTGATACTTTGCCAGGTGGTTAGTGGTCTCACAAATTTGTAGTATTTCCACTATATATGACATCTATAATTCACCTCTCGCATATGGACTTGTTTTTTTCCAGTGCCTCTCTGTCTTTAAGGATGTTGTTTTAAGGTTTGTTTTTTCCTTTAATGGAGTAGCTCCTTCCGCCATGTTTATTTTGCATTACCTGCTGCTCATGTGGTCAGATTTTGTTGTGCAAAGGCTGATCTAGTGAAACATGAGGCCATCCTCAAGAAAGTGATTATATTAGAAAGCAGGCCTCACAATGTTCTAAAACATAAATTAATGTCGGAGAGAAAACTGATCTTCTTAATCCAGCCCTATTAAAAATACAATGAAGCTATTGTTTGAAACAACGATTCTAAAGACATAATATTTAAACACTTAATGATAAACCCAAGTTTTCTTACCTGCCTCCCACAAACTGTGCACAACAGGACCTGCATGAGCGTCTAGATGCTGCACTCGAGCAAGTGAACACACTGCGTGATCACCTGAAGGAGAGAGACTCTGAGAGGAGAGAGCTGGAGCTCAAGATCCAGGAAGTAAGAAAGGAGAGTCAGGAGGCCAAGAAAGCTCTGGAGGAAAGCCTGAGGGACAGCAGCAGATACTGCTGCTCTCTGGAGCTTGTTTCAAGGTACTCAGAAACTGCTGTCATCCTGTTCCTTTTTTCAGTTTACACTTCTGTTATGATGGGTACAGCATATGATAGCTGCTTGATTTATATCTGGGTGTTTCTTTGAAGAAAGATCAAATTGATAACATGTTTATGCAACCAATAATCTCACATCGTCTTTTCCTCTGCCTCCTACCTCCATGTCCCACAGTGAGAAGAGCAGCCTGGAGAAGCTGCTGTCAGGGCTGCAGCAGGAGGTGGACTCCCAGCGTGCCGAGTTGGAGGCCCTGCAAGCCTCTTCACTGGAGCTGCAGAGACAGAGGGACCTCCTGAGGGAGCAGAGGGAGGATCTGGAGATGCAGCTGGCACGACAGCGCACGGAGGCCCAGAGAGGGTACGACACAAGCAGAGGAAGAATGACCATTACACAACACACACCCCGTCACCCATGATTGTTTTCAAGTTTCATTTTGTTTACAGTTCAGATCAGTAACACATGTCATTCTCTGTTCGGCAGTGCAGTCAGATGACATCTGAATGAAGATGTAAATGATTTACATTGCTTTACTGCACTCATGCAAGAAGGAGACTTTGTTCTGCACTTTGAGGGTTTCTTCTCTTCAAAAAAATTTGATTAGCAATGATTTGGAGCATGACATGCGATACAGCACAAAAGCATCTCCCTCAGTGTTCTGGCCTTTGGCACCAACATTTCTTCATCTTTTAAAGTGGAGAAGGATTATTGTGGAGAGATTTTGTTTATAAATAATCTGTGTAAAACAAATAACAGTGTTGGAGCGTCATGTATTTACAGCATTTTGTGTTTCAGAGAGAGGAGTCTGGAGGAGCTTGAGGGGAAGCACTCAGATTTACGTCGAGAGCTTGTGATGGTGAAGGAGGCTCTGAGTCAAATGAACCTGCAGAAAGAGGTGTTGGAGGATGATAAGGCTAGTCTTGCTCGGGCTCTCAGCAAGGTACTGGATCTGTGAGAGTTTAATGAAAGACGGAGTTTATGGCTTGGTATGTAGCTAGGTTTTGTGTAAAAAAGAAAACAAACAATATTAAGTCCATTATTGCTATTAATCAGTTAATGCGCCAAAATACTGGCTGACCTGTTGAGAACATTTATGGCTTGTGCAATTTTTAAAAGAATGCACAGAGGACTGTTCGAAATACAAACATCTGCACACATCGTCCAAACACTTCCAGTAAATCCTGACTAACCAGCTTCTCCAGATGCTTCATTTACCGACTGTTATCAGACCGGCACTGAAAATTATGATGGACCCACCCCACATCTTACATCAAGATTTTCCAGCCCAAGGTTTAGGTTCCCAATTGCTATGAACACTCCTGCCAATGTTCATGAAGCTTCTCAGTGTTAGCAATTACCATAAGGGTAGCAAAAATGTAAGACATTGACGGTATAACTTGTTTGAACCTCTGAGAAATTAAGGTTTAAACTTGTAATTCTTGTGTTGCACTTGACAGATGGAGTCCCAGAGTGCTGCACAGGAGTCAGCCCTCACCAAACTGCAGAATCAGGAGGCCACTCTCAAGGATTCACTGGCCAAAATGGCTGCCCTGAGCGAAGGCTTAGCCAATGACAAGGTGGAGCTGAATCGTATTTTGCTGAAGGTAAGCAGCCGTTCATTTGCCCAGTCACACTTTTAAAAGCCAGAGTGGAGTAGAACAAAACTGATATATTTTTGTCTTGCTTACAGACTGAAGGTGAGAAGGCACAGCTTAGTGAGCGTAGACGGGAAGCTGAGGTAGAACGGGCAGCAGCCAGGGAGGAGACAGCACGGCTCCAGCAAGAAATGATGGATCTGCTTACAGAGAAACAAGCTTTGGAGAGCTCCCACAGCCATTTGCAGGATCTGTGCCAGAAGCTCGAATCAGAGCTGAGCCTGCTGCAGAGAGAGAACGCGCAGACTTTGGAGCAACACTCCCAGGTCAGGGGCCCCAGGCCGTTTACACACTTTAGCCTCCACCCCACCATATCTCACCACCTGGGAGAGCCATGTTGATGTTATTAATAGCTTTCAGCAGGTCCACGGTGCTCATTGTCACATTAAAATGTATTGGAGGCACTGGACACATCTGCCATGGTTTCCTCTCTCTAATGGGATATGAAGTCAGTTTGAGCCCCACTCTTTGTTTTATGAGTAACTTGGGAGATAACAAACAGGGGATCGTCATGAACAAATGTGGACTGGAGAAGATAAATAGATAGATACATAATATCCAGTGGGGATTAACAGAGAACCAATAAATTAACACCTAAAGTATTCCCCCTCCTACCTCAGCAGATCCCTGCTTCCCCAAAGAATGAGAAGAGCCCCCTCTGTTTAGTTATCCGTTCTGAGCTGGGATATCCATTCTGATCTCAGCTAAAATAAAACCAACCTAAACAGTTTGACAAATTCCATCCAAACATTTTGAGACAGCTTATCTGTGAAAATAAATTACTGTGTTTAAAACAAGCCGTGAGCTGGCCATCTGTGGCACCAGGCTAATGTTTTAACCCCCTTATTGGGCGCCACTCACATTCGTAACATTGATGTTATTCATCCATGCTTATATTTACCTGAGGTGAGGCCAAAAGGCATCATGTGCTAATATTTAGTTTGTGTGAGCTCATTTTGCTTTGGTTTAAAATCAAATCACAATGATTGTTGCTTTTCAAACAATCTGTTGCAGTGAAATATTAGAAGTTGCAGAGGCCCATCTGAACCTTTGTGTTGTGGTTTGTGGTTTGCTTTCTTGAAGGCAGAGTGAAACATGAAAAAACTACTGACATATTACAGCTCAAAGTAAATGAATATTTCTGTTACAGAACAGAGCTCCATTGTTTGATTTTAATTACGACACCATTTCAAGAGACTTGAGGATGCTGTGTAAAACGTTGATAAAAACAGATTGATCAACTTTTTCCTGTTTCCTTTGTTGTATTTTTCATTTCATGATGAACAAGATGTTTTCAATAGACGACAAGTCAAAAGGGCTAGTTTAGCACCTAGCTGTTCTTGCAAAAGCTCTGAAAAAGGTGTTGTCTGGATTGCAGCGTATATTGCTCCAAAACATGAACATATCATCCAGCATTAATGGTTCCTTTTCGTGTGTAAGCTACTCATGCCAGTGGGACCTATACACCCCTATACCTTGGTGGATCCTGGATTTTGAGAGGTGTGCCACTAACAAACTAGCTGGTCCCCCTTCCCTTTGAAGCAGAGGCACCCAACACTTCCAAAAAGAATGTCAAATTTTCATATTGATTTTAGTTCCTTATACTATTGACCTCTCAGTTTAATTACACTTTTATTAAACTCTGTGTTGGTGTCTCTGGTTCAGCTTTAAAATGATTTTATTCTTATTGAATTTAATATCCTTTAGTGTTGCTATTGGAAGCTCACAGGAATCCAGAGTTAATTTGTCTTGTCTCAGGGGTCAGTTCTGGGACCTACTCCTGTTTTCAATTTATATGTTGCCCCAGGAACATGTCATCGGCATAGACATAACACTGATTTTCATTTCTATGCCAATGACACCCATCTTTACCCATGTTTAAAGCTGTGACAACCTGGATTTTACACAGAAGAACACTGGTCTGAAAGTGTTGAAATATTTGTTCATGCAGTCTTTAAGAGAGTGATGAATCTCTTCCTTTCTCTACTTCTTAGAGACTTGGCTGCTCTGGAATGATTTTTTACATCCAGTCATGTTACTTATATGTTGCAAATTTGTTGGGGGATGTTCCTCCAAGACTTTTTTTTAACATAAAACAACTTTTTTTGAGAGTTGATGTACTTTTCTTAGGTTTAATTTAAGTGTATTGCTGGTGTCAATTTGATTTTCAAATTTTTTTCAATGCTAGCTAGCTAGTTTCAATTAACTAGAGACTTTTAAATGATTAGGAATTATCAACACACACACACACACACACACACACACACACACACACACACACACACACACACATTTGTGTAAATATATATATATACAGTATATATATATATATATATATATATATATATATATACTAATTTGTATATACTAATTTGTATATACTAGTTTGTCCGGCTGTGCTACTGTAGAAGCCCGGCAGAGAAAGATAATAGCCTGTGTGAAGGGGACCCGCTCCAATAAAGGCTCATTTTAAGTTAACAAAAATAATATGATTATACATTAATTCAAACATACCTAAGAATACTTTACTACATTTCTAACAAGACTGCTTTGCAAATGCTGCTAAATACTAGCAAGAGTTCTACAAGCCCATCTTGCCACTGGCTTATATGAGTGATCCTGAAACCTGTTGATTGTCAGTGTCCCAGGTTATGTTGCTTACCTTTACAACCACTTTCATATGAAAATATTTTTAATGTGTAAATCATTTGCTAAAATTTTTGACAAATAAAAGATGAAAAATTGTCCTATAGTCCTCTGTACATGAAATAACCTGCTTTTTAAGTTTTGATTTTAAATGAATTTTCAGCCGGCTCTGCATCAACTACAATGTGACTTAGACATACAGTATAACCCAGCTAATCGCTTAAGTTTGTGCTCCAGGTGATTTATTTGTTAAGATGCTGAGGTTCATGTACAGTTTATAAGGCTCACTTTATTTTGTTTTTGTTTGAAAGACGCTGGTTCTGCAGAATTCAGTGTCAAGGAAGCAAGTATAACTGCATAAAAATGTTGGGTGGAGCCTTCAACACAACCCTTTATGCCCTTTTATCATGTGTTTCTTAAGCAAATAGTTTAAATCAGTTTCTCCGTGTCTTTTTCTGCTTGTCGCTGCGTTGGTCACCAGGTCAATAAGCAGATGCAGAGTGTGTCAGAGGAGCTGTGTGCGTGCAGGAAGGAGCTGGAGACACAGACCACAGCCCTAAAGAGAGCTACCCATGACAGGGAGGAGCTGGCCAAGGACAGGGCTGCTCTGGATGTCAAGTTAAACTCTGCTGACCGAAAGGCCTGTGGACTCACGCAAGAGCTGGTTGCACTTAGGTCTGAGTGTGTTTACGTATTTGTTTGTGTGGTTTTTTTGGGGTCTGACCTTTTCAAATATTTTGGACCACTTTTAGATTTAAAGCCAGTTTTTATGGTTTGTTTTCGTTGTGATTTACAGTGAATCGTATCCGTCTTCATTGGTTAAAGGTCAAAGTTGGGGTTTGGTGTGTATCTGTTATAGTTATGGTTAAGTTTCGAGTGTAGGTGATTTATGTTAGCCAGTAGAGTGTCCCTAAAAGCCCCATAAACAACCTACTGAGTGTGTCTCTGTGTTTTTCACAGTCAGACCTACTGCCAAGGTGTACTTAAGGCTGTTGTGACTTTCCAAGCAAATTTTACTTTCTAAAGCACAGCTAGTCACATGTAACAAGAGTCTTTAAGTGACATGGTTTTATTTGGAAAATACTCATGATGCATCGTTGGATTTTATGATCTTCTACACCTAGCGGTTCAAAGGTCCTTTTTCAGCGCTAAAACCCCTTCACCACTGTGTTCCAGAGCAGAGAAGGAGTCCCTGGAGACAGTGCTGTTTGAAAGCCAGGAGCTGGCCTCGTCTCTGGAGGCCGAGTGCAGCAGGATGGAGGGGGAGAGGCGCAGCTTGCTCCTGGCTAACGAGGCCTTGACGCGTGAGTGGCCCCCTCCTTTAGAGACCCCTCTGTCCTCCATGCCAAGCCCCCTAACCATGAAGTCTTTCCAACAGCCCACTTGAGATCCATATTTCAGCTGTGAGCTCTACAACAGCTGAGCTGCAGAATCACCGGAGCTGCTTTTTCAGCTGACCAGGGTCCCAACACTCTGCAAAAACACACATGGATCGAATAAGTGGTGTTAAGCTAGCTTGTCCACATAAAAAAAACTTGGTTGAATAGACCCCGTAAATTAAACTCAAAATAGATCCCTGAGCTTCTCCATCTAATAGAGGGGTGGGATTGTGTTAAATCTGTTTAGGAGAAGGTGCTCGGGTGCGTGCGGATTCTGAGCGTCAGGTGGTACAAGCAGCACAAGAGCGGAGTAAGTTGGAGGAGAAACTGGCCCAGGTGGAGAGGAATGCCTTGCTGACCCTCAACAACAGAGAGCAAATTCACAAAGAGCAGCTCAAAGCAGAACATCAAAAAAGGGTAACTTTCACTGGAGCACTGGCCAAAAGTTTTAATCTGACTTCTTCAGTCTATGAACAAGTCTAGAGATTGTGTTTTTGATGGTTGACAGGAGCAGCAGCATGCAGAGCTGACACTTCAGCATGAGCAGGCTGAGGAGCAGCTGCGAAGACAGTGCAAGGAACTGCGTGTGTGCTGCCAGAAGGAGCTGCAGCAGGTGCAGGAGGAGCAGGCCAGGCTGCAGCAGGACTTCAACCAAAGCCTCCTGCAGGCTGAGAATGAGAAGCAGCAGGTGGGTGAAGTGGTTTTCATTAATTTGTCTTTGATTATTTCTGCTCTTTAAAATGTTGGTGCATTTGAAAGAAAGCTACAAGATCCCAAGACCTTGGTTCAGTTTCAAAAACATGCCTGGCATATCCGTGTGTTGTGACCAGGCTTTGACCAAAAAGGAAGCAGAGAAGGCCATCCTGACTGAGAAGCTAACAGCTCTACAGCAGGATCTGGCCACAGCAAGCATGGAGCATGAGCGGACACAGCGGAGGGCAGTTAGCAGACAGGAACAGGATAAGGTATAAATCACCTGTGGCTTTGGTTACTTTTCCTAATTTCTACATCTTTCACTTGAGTAAACTTTATGTACCTCTGTATTCCAGGACACCATGGTTGCCCTTCAGTCTGAGATCCAAAGCTTGAGGAACCAATTTGAGGAGTCTTTGAACTCCCATGAAAGCACCAAAAAGAGTCTAAGTGAGCAGGTCAGAGAGTTACACCAACAGAGAGAACATTCACAGCAGGAGGTGAGAGACCTTTAAAGCACTAAAGCAACTTTTTACCAGTGTTCATCATAAACAGTATGTTTGTCCCTCTAAGGCACTGGTGGAAGCAGAGAAACACAAACATTTTTATAATTGTTAGCCAATAATGTTGTTCAAATGCTGTGCATAAGTTGTGAAGCAGATGCTGGTTGGGGCAGCATGGCTCCTGCTATATTGCTGGAACTCCCCAATATGGATACCAGGACAGATGACAAAGATGGCATCTGTGATTAGTTTTCATTTTGATCCAGATAACGTGGACGTATGGACACCCTCACCACAGAAGTGGTGTTATGCTGTGTTTAATAAATGATGCTTTATTTTTACTATTCTGTGAGTGTTCCCTCATTGGCTAGTCTGAATGAATATCAGTTTGAGCAAGTAATGGCCAAGTTACTTAGAATTAGCACTAGTTACTCACATACAAGTATGTTTTGACTTACAAAAGTAATTGTAGCGCCACTTCTTTTTGCCCCTCTTTTGGTCTCAGCAGTATTTAGTTAATTTGTCCTCTAAAAGCAGCAGATTCAGTTGTTGATATGGAAAGCTATATCCGAGCCATCGACATTTGCAACAACAGGCTCTTTGGTAACAAGTTTAGTTTAAGCGTGTTGTTTTTCTAGGTGTTGGTGTTGGACAGAGTGTCCTTCCTGCACACAGACTGCATCTCACTTTATTCTTGGCTTTTACCTTGAGAGCAGAAAAAATGATGTTGGTATTTCACAGAAATCTCACACTTGAATGTTCAGTGTCTGTAAGTGTTTACTGCACCACTGTGCTCACAAAAGCATAACCTCCTTACTAAGCTAAATGGTTAATAGTTATTGGCTATAATTTCAATACTGTTTGAAGAGTAACTAAATACACCACTAGTTACCGCAAATAGTATTAGAATTACTGTAACATGTTTAATGGTAAGCTGTTACTTACAACACTGTAAACAACCCTGAACTTGTTATTTTTGATTCCCCATCCTCACTCTAGTTAAACTATTGTTGTGTTTTTAAAGCCTGTGAATCATGGTCTCAGCTTTGTACACAAACTGGCATTCTTGATGTTCCCTGATCCTTCTTTGTAGGTATTTTTAAGTATTTTAATATGAATACCTGCATCAAAATTCCTTGCCTGTTGGTGCAATGGTAGCTCATATAAAACTGATATAACATTTGAAGGTTGGGGTGTTAATTACCGCAAATAAAGAATAATTATGAAATCCTTATGGTGCAAGTCACCTGAGGTGGTTAAGGCGGTAGAACCACAGAAATGGATAGGAAATTACAGGCTTGTTTGGACTGGCATTGGATGGGAGAGCAGGGATATGACTGGAGAGTGAGGGGGAGTTTGCACTAATTAGTACCAGTGTGAGGGAGAGCCATTTACCACCGGCCTCTGTTGATATTGGCTGATGCCACAGAGCTTAACTAGCATCAGTGTGCCATCAGGTGTGCGGAGCCAAATCCTACAAGGAGAACTGGTGTCCACTCTGAAGGTTCGTGCTCAACACTCACTCTCTGAGGCTTTAGTCTGTCAAGTTCACTCGAGGAAAATTTAGTTCCACTGACCTTAATAAAAACATAAAAGTGCAATTAGAGACTATAATTTCTGGCCAGTGACAAACCTCCGCGAGCCAAACGAGAGCCGTAAATCTCATCTCTTGGGGTTGCTTGAGGTCAGAATTCCAGGCACAGGGTCGCTGGGCGTTTCAGTGAAACAACAAGCTCACAGTCACCTCATTAAGATGTAACTGCAGAGTAGTATGGGCCTCACCGTGCCTTGATTTAAAAGCTTGGCTTCCATGGAAAGAGGGATTGTTTATCTGCGTGGGACTCATTGGTTTCCATAAAAAAGCAGAAATGAGGATCATCCTGTCTCCCTCTGTCTCCTTAGTCTTGTCAGAGTATAGTGAATGAGGTTGTGTGGAGCCAGCGCAGAGGACTTTTGAGGTTTTGAGAGCCCTCCCTATCATATATCAAGTCAAGCTTCAACGGCACTGTCATATTTGGCTGCTACCCCTGCTCGTTTCCTTGTTTGATTATTTTTTTACTTATCCCATCCCAGGATTCTCATGTCAGCCTGTGACAAAGGAGGAGTGAGAGTGTGTGACAGAGAGCTAGAGAGCATTAAAGAGGAGGAAAGCAAGAGAGAAAGAGCACGAAGGAAAGGGGGGTGGATACGGTCCCTGATGCCATAATATGAAATCAAAGTTTGAGTTAACCCTTTGTGTAAATAAGCCAGTGGGGGAGTGTTTATTTTCTCCCTTGCAGCAGCGAAAGGCTGGCTCCACTGGGACTCCAGGTCCCCGTCTCCCATCCATATAATGCAACACTGCTGCCCTCATATTCTCAGCCCTTCTCTTCCAACACCCCCCTAAAAAATCAGATAAAATAAAGTATAATTGGCCAGATCAGCACTGGCTTGTTTTTTCTCACATTAGAGTTTATGAGAAAGAACCATCTTGTGTGGCCTTTGAGCATAACACTCCTCCTCATCCTGCTCCTCATCCTCCCCTCTCCAGCCCTCCTTCCTTGATACCTCCTGGGGGGGCAGGAGCTGTTGTTTATCAAGTTGCTCTCTGTGGATTCTTTACACTTTTGAGCCGCAGTAAGGAGACAGGGAGAGACAGCACCTGGCTTTATGCCCAACTGGCTCTCATCCATGCCCAGATAAGCTCTGTCCTCCCTGCTTCTCCTGTTTTACACAACACGTTACCATAAAACTGAATATAGGTCATACAGTATCTCAAGAATGTACATGTAGCACCAAACATAGGAGGAGCTGAGGTTTACCTTTCAAACAGTGATGCTAAAATCTGTACGATCCTAAATCAGCTTTACAGTTTACTGAGGGATTTTTCTAATTTTACCCTTTTATACAAAGCATGAGATTTCAGCTTTTGATGTCCTGTAGATATCAAACAAATATAAAGAAATTATAAATAAATGTGTGTGTGTGTGTGCGCGCGCATGTGTGTGCGCGTGTGTGTGTGTGTGCGTGTGTGTGAAGCTCCCTCTGTGTGTTTACCTGTTATGCTTCCTCAGCTTTGTCTTGCAGTGTTATATAACACATGGAGACAGCAATATGGGATCAGCATAAAACTAAAAGTCATGATGACAGTTGTGGGCTGGAAATGTGAAAAGAGCAAAAGTTCAGCTTTTACTGGGCCTTTGTTCTCATACACTGAACTCAGCAGAAGCATAATATTGGTGACAGTGTGTGTCCCACTTACTGACTTTGTATTAAATGAATTAAGGGCCTTCAGCCTTTTGACTTTACATTGTGGGATGTTAAGTCAAAAGATCACCTCCATGGGTTTTGACATGATTAAATGATGCAGCCAAACAAAATACTGTGTCTCAGTAGTGCAAGGAACAGTACACATAAAAGAAAAGACATACACAGTTACTGGACTAATTTAAGAACAAGGCTAAAACGCATACTTGATAAAAACACCAGAACTTAAAGTAAAAAAAAACCTTAGCAACTACTCAAGGATCTAACAGTTTATGAGATTACTATTCAGTCACTTCAGTTACTTCACACATAACTTAACATGAACCATGCTGGCTGTTTCTAAAATATGGGTGACAAATTTAGTGACATAACTTTAATCTGTCTTATTATCATAAACATGTTTGATTCTGAAAACCAGTTTGATACATAAATGTGTTTCGGAGGTTTTGCATAACTTTCAGGCTGGACAAAGACAGTGAGATCAGCTTTACAAGGTATTGATGGAATAAGGAACTTTAAACAGAAAACCAATGATGCACCCTTATTTCATCTATTTCATCACTGCGACTAATGCTATAGTTTGGTTTTACTTTAGTATGTTATTTTTTATCCTTTTGTGAAGTGTAACCTCTCATCTGTTAAGCTCTTAAAAAGATGTGTACTGTGTATGAATTTAAAAAAACACTGCCTATTTATCATCATTTTATTTTGTGCATCTCTATTCCTGCAATCTGGACATGAAGTTAGAGGGCCTTCAAAAGCAGCAGCAGGAGGCTGAGGATGGACTCATTAAAGTGAAAGCTGAGCTGATTGAAGCCCACAGAGAGCTCCAGGAGTGTGCACAGCAGCGGGACAAGCAACGGAAAGAAGCCCTGGACCTGAGAAGGCTCTTGGGAGACGAAAGCAGAGAGAAAGAAGCCATCCAATCCTCAAACCAGGAGCTGAGGGCTTTCATCAAGAGAGCAGAGAGTGACAACAGCAGGTACAGCTGTCAAAATGATCTGGAGATTCTCTGTTGTAATTGTCAAGTGTTTTTTGTTTTTTTTCATTAAATCTTTAAATATGTCTTTACCAGTTTAAGACGAAGTGTTGAGGAAAAAGAGCAAAAGCTAGTTGTATTAGAGGACTGCAAAACCTCAATGCAACAGGAATCAACCACTCTACGTAGCAATATGAGAGACCTGGAGAAGTCCCGTCTGCAGGCCCGCAGAGAACTGCAGGAGCTGCGCAGACAGGTAAAAAGATCACTGTGCTTCCTGCTGTCCAGCTGATTTATTTCAAATAAAGGATTATCTTCGAGTAGTATGTGTGTGTTGTTGTGTTAAAATGAGCAGGTTAAGATCCTGGAAGGAGAGAACAGTCGGCAGAAACAGGAGCTGCGAGAGCTGCAAGCCCGGGTGTGTCAGGAGGAGCAGATGGAGGAGGAGGTAGAAGGCCTCTGGGAAACAGTCTGTTAACAACATGCTAGAGCAAACATTCCACCTTTGTGTACATACTTGGAGAATACCTGCCATACCCATGCAGAGACTGAAAGGATAAACCACAACAAGCTGCATGCTTCTAGGGGTGCTCTATATTATCTGCATAACACCAGCATTAGCCAATAAAAGCTTAAAGGTTAAATATCAGTATCAGCAGATATGCACATTTCCATCAATGTGGATAAATTACATCCACGTGATGACACCTTCCACGCTCCAACAACAAGCTTCAACATGGTGGCTGTGTGGAAGTATTTTGGCATTTTGTAAACAGAAAAAATAGCTGTTTGCAGTAATTGTGAGGCACGGGCAGTGTTGTATGAAGTACTAAACAAATATACTTGAGCTGAAGTATAGTTACCTTACCAGAAAATGACTGAAGTCAAAGTGAAAATCTCCCATGAGAATTCTACTCGAGTCAAAGTCTCAAAGTATATCACATTCTCTCTACTAAAATATCAAAAGTACTCAAGTAAATGTACTCCAAGTAAAAGTCTGAGTCAAAGTACAATAAATATATTTTTATTTTTTTGCAAAAGTCACCTATGCCCAAATAAGCACACATTTCAGGTGGGTGCAAGCAACAGCTCAGAAGAATAAATGGACACACACACAGAGGGGCACACACACACCACCACCACCACCACCAATCAGGAGAAACAAGAGTGCGTCCTCCAATAGTCAAAGAACTTCGGACAGAAGTTGGGCATGACGAGAACCACCAAACAGACACTGGACATTTAAGACTTTCTAAAAACAGGAAAAATGACAAGGCACCACTGAAAACCTGTCAACAACCTCTCTTACAGTCATTGAACGAATTGAAAAAATGAATCTGTGGCTATCTTGCTAAATTTCAACAACAATATGCTTCAAGTCTGCTTCATGTATCAGTATTTAAACTAGAACAGAAATGATAAGTCATGCATTCTTGTCGTCCCGGTTGGTCCACTCTAATTCACTTTTCACTTGTTTTAGAAAAACATCCCTAAATGGACTCAAGTCAGTACAAAATGCTGCAGCCAGACTCCTAATAAAATCCTCCCAAAGATCTCATAAAATAGCATTTCTATCCTCGCTACACTTTCCTCTCATAAACTCAGAATCCAGTTCAAGATTCTTGTTAGCACTTCCAAAGCCCTGCGTGGACAGGCACCTGCCGTTATCAAAGAGCTTTAACAACCCTACAATCCCAGCTGGACTCAGAGGTCTTGTGATCAGGGTTAGCTGGTGGTTCCACACTCCAGGCTTGAGACTAAAGGAGACGGTGCATTCACTGTTGTGGCTCCAACACTTTGCTTTGAGATCAGTGGACACAGTTTTTTTTTTAAAAACAGAGCTTAAACCTACTTCTATAAACTTTCAGATACTATACCTGTTGTGTATTGATGTTTGCCTTGCCTGTGCTTTGTTGCCCATGATAGTGATGTTTTTATTGCTTTTATTTTTCATTTTCATTTTGTTTTGTTGTGTCAGTCTTACCAGCTCTCTCTTTATAGTGTCTCGCACAACAAACAGCCAGGAAGCCCAGCATCACATTTCCAAGAATGATTGTTCTGATGGATTTTGTTTCTTGTAATCTCCTATGGTGCTGCTCAAAACTTATTTTCTGAAACCTTATCAGAGGTTTTTTTTTGTTGTCAACCATGAGTTAAACCAACAGAGTAAAATCATGTCCTCATTATTTATGATTCATGGCTTTTGCAAGATATTTCCCAATGCAATGCATGGTGGTCTTTTTGTTACTCCTTACTACAACAGCTAGAACAATGTTCAGCCTGTTGAATATGGTTTGTAAAAAAAGGTTTGTTTTTTTGTCTCTGCATAGGTTGCAGGTCTGCAGCACCGTGTGGTCGAACTGGAGACACTGAAGCAACAGAACTGGGATCTGCTGCAGGAAAGAGAAGCTTATCAGCAGCAGTGTGAGCAGAGGCACCAAGAAACCACTGCTCAGCTGGAGGAAACACTGAAAAACGCCCAGGTCCAGGTAAAGGAACTCTCTGTTCAGGTCGGTCTCTCTGAAAGAAAAGTCCAAAACCTTGAAGAACAGCTCAGCCTGGGTGACGCCAAACGCAGGGAGTTGGAGCTGAAGTTGTCCAGGTTGTACTCAACTTTGCGTCAATATACAAGTCTCTCAGGTACACCTGCTTCCCATAAGAGGTCTGCCTCTCCTTGGAGAAGCCTCCTGCAGTCAAAAGGTACGCTCGTGCATTTTCATAAACATGTGTCAGAATGCCATTGTTTGCTGAAAGCACATACATAATTAAAAGTGCTCTCTTGTTGGGTAACGTTCTGCAGCAGACAGATGCGTGGCGTCTTCACCACATGATGAAGATGAAGTGATGGACTTGAAGTCAGTGCATGTAGCTCTACGGGAATTTCAGCAAGAACTCCGGGACACACAGAGAGAAAGGGTACGAATCACTAAAGTCTCTTTGCTAAAAAAATCAGGAAAAGCTAAAAAGATATTTGATGGCTAGTGTTATGGCTAAGACCCTATATGTACTGTTGATGAAGTTAGGTGCTGTTCTGAGCATTATTTGTGGCTATAGAGTGGCTTTTTGGTTTAGGTTTATTTATGGCTCCTCAGACCACTGTGAATTGCTATCGTGCAGTCGTTGCTGAAGTTGGTATAACTAGAGAAGCAAGCAGTCAGCAACATTCATCTCTTGAGGGGGTGTCTAACTTGATGTTACGGTGTATTTGACTATAACTTAAATTTACATCCCGTTATATTGATATCACTTTAATGCCTTTAAATTTGACCAGAGAGGAGGTGGGAAGATGTGGATAACATGAAATGTGAATGTTTGTGGTGATTTTATTGCAAAATATTCGTCATTGTCATCATGAAGTTTAAAGGTTTTCATCAGGAGTCTTTAGGGAAGGGGTCTTCTTGACTCTTTCTGAAGTGAGATCTATTCTTACATGCATTACAAATTACAACAAAGATAAAATAAAGATTCATCTTAATTTTCATGAACTATCATTTATCAAATCAAAGATTATGAGAAAGTCTTGTTCCAGTCATTCACTTGCTATAACTTTTTTATGACCAGCTTGTGAAATCAAGCTCAGAGCTAATAGTTGACCTGATTCAGTCCGACAGCCTTAAATACTTCCTGGTGTTTATTTGTAATCAGACGTTTTTGGCAACTTTTGAACTCATAAACATGTCTTTCTCCTTCAGGATGAAGCCAAGGCTCAGATAGTTTGTCTAAGTCAGCAGGTGACCGAGATGCAAGCCAGCCAAGACTTATCAGCCAACCAGCTGCTTCAGCTACAGAAGTCCTTAAAACAGACAGAGCAGGGTGAGAAATAAAACTACTGATCCTGCAAACACTTCATTCTGTGAATTGATAAAACATATTAACCATATGATTTCAGGAAAAAGAGAGATGGCACAACAGCTGCATGACACACAGGCGTCCCTGTCCATTCATGAAGAAGCAGCATGTTGCACAAAGGAGGAAAAGAGGAAAGTTGAGGAGAAGGTCAAACAATTGAAGATCAGTCTGCAGTCTGCTGAGGCTGAGTCCAGAGTACTGCAGGTTCGTAAAGGACTATAGGGTAGGTTGGAATTACAACAACATCTTTTGTGACAACTTTTCCACTAATTCCTCCACAGGATAAGTTGGAGCTCCTGCAGGCCTCAGAAACTCGTGCAAAAGAAGACCGATTGAAGCTAAAGGAGTCTCTGGAAGCAGCAGAAAGCAGGGCAAGCAATCTAGAGCTTTCAAACCGCAGTCTTGAAGGTGAGCAACAAAGGGCCAGGCTCAGGGCTGCAGAGCTGGATGCAGAGGCTGAGGTGCTGCAGGACAGACTGACAGAGCTGAGGAGGAAGCTAGGTGAGAGTGAGGACCAGTGTGCAGGGCTGAGGGCCAGCGAGGAGAAGCTGGCCACGTCACTGATCCGAGCCGAGCAGCAGGAGAGCCAGCTGAGAGAACAGATCCACAAGCTGACAAACACCCTCAGTGACAGCAGAAGCAGCAGTGGAGCCCAACAGGAACAGATCACACAACTGCAGAGGGCTCTGACTGCCAGCGAGCAGGACAGAAGGATGCTACAGGTACAGAGTAACGTCTGATCCACTTTTCTGTAAAGACATATGTGGTCAGTTATTGTTAAACTTTCCCACTTTGAAAATAAAGAAGTTTGATTAAAACTTCAAAATGACTTGAACAGCCACACTTTGAGTGTGTGTGCTATGATTTACCGTGCAGCGAGTACCGTTCACAGCTCCAGACTGAGCGTTTTCTATTTACATTTGCTGCTGTGGTTTTCCTGAAGGACCTCAAAGACTGAGCAATAAAATTCTCAGGCAAGCTCATTAATTCTCCAAGAGCTACTCCGGAGAGCTTTCCGGGCTTAGTTTGGGACTGCACTTAAAAGATACTGAGCAAACAAAAACATAACGTGCTTGGTATAAATCTCTTGATTTTCTAAAACGCTGGCCGGTCATTGCTGTAAAATAAGTGAGAGAAAAATCACAACTCTTGCCTGCACCTTTCAACGGTGTGTCAAGAACTGTGGAAGAGTCAAGATATAACGGAGGGGGAAAAGTGTAAGGTCGTATGAAGGACAAAACTATATTTTGACACAGCTGAGATGTTAACTGTATAGAGTATATCAACATATATGTGCCCACAGGATCGTCTGGATAAAACGCGAGACGCCCTTTCAGAGAGTAAGAGGCTGAGTCACAAACTTACAGAGCAGAGCCAGAACCTCCAAAGAGCCACAGAGGACTTAGAGCAGAAAAACTGCGAGCTGGAGAAACATAACAGGACTTTAAAGGAGGTGAGTCACACTGAGTTAAAGTGCATATAAAGGTGCAAAAGTTAAGACTCTCTTTCAATAAACATGCATGATTGTGACCCAGAGCCTGAAACAACAGCAGGAAGCTGAGGTGCAGGTCCAGGTGAGCTCCCAGCAACTAAAGCAAGAGAAGGAGGAACTTCAGGACAAAGTCAGCGGTCTGCAGGCATCTTTGCAAAAGCTTCAGAGTGAGAGAGCTGAGACTGAGAGGGTGCTAACACGCATCAGTAAAGACAAGTCAGCACTCAGAAAGACACTGGAAAAGGTGAGCTGACCCATCTGCTTCATCATGATACCGCAGAAAACAAGTTTGTTTGATTCAAAAGTCTGGGGGGTCAATTTCATAATCATTTCATGAACGCAAAGAGCACTGACTCATCGTCAAAGTATCTCACAGAAAAAATCATGAATTTAAAACATTTGAAGTTTTTCTTCAACCAAAAACTGTCATATAGTGCAGAAACATTTAACAAAACACAAAAAATTCAATGAAACACAGAAATATCATACAGACAGCAAGAATGTTTAATGCGTTAAATAAATGATTTTGTGTTTCTCTAAATTTTTTTAGTTTCATAGAATTATGATTGACTCCTGAAGCATATCTGTATATTGTGAAATTTTCTGCATTTCATGAAATATTTTTGCATCTTTGGAACATTTTGCCCATTACAAATGTTTTTGTATTGCTTTTGAATTCTTAAGATATTTCAAGTTTTTTTTTAAAAAAGTTACTTTGTCTTAAAATGTTTTTGCATTTCATAATATATTTTGGTTATTTAAAACACTTCTATCTTCAGTGTTTGTTGCATCCTTTGTTTTTGAAAAACCTCTGTGAAGAAAATCAAACACTCCTGTAAAAATTTTAACTGTTTTTTGAACAGATTGAAATCGAAACTAATGCCTTTGTGCGACATACAGACTTTCAACAACAAGAACTACTTCAGCATTGTATAGTTCCTTTTTTGGCCACAGGGGATGCCAAAATCAAGACAAACCAAGAGGTCCTCACATTAACAGTCTTAACATTTATGTCTAATAAACTGTATGATCTGCGTCATATGCTGCAGTCTGTAAAAATGATAAAATAGAGTTGAATCATGTTAAACTAAACTGATTATGTGATAAGGACATTTTTAAATCACTCCAAGCATTGTTTTCTTCAACATGGTTTTGTTAAAATGATTTTCATATCTGTGCAAATTTGAATAATTGATTGACCACCGTTGGTTTTGATGTTTAGCCTGATTCAAATGTTTATACTGATGACCTAATGAACTTACAAATTTAGACAAACTATAAAACAATTTAAAAAGAGAAATGTCACTGATTTAAAATGCAGTAGAAGTATGCTGTTAAAGTCTTATACAGTAATAGCAAAATTAACAAAGTTTCAATTTTTTTAAACTTTTAAGTAATATCATGTATCTTATATTAAGCTGTTCTGCTACTGCCATAAGAAGCAGACTCAAGATCTCACATTAAAGCCCTAAAAACATCCCCCCACCCCCACCCCCATTGGACCCTGTAACATTAAACAGCTTTTGGTCAGGAAACCTGAAAAGTCCTGTTGCTGAATATGAGGTAAAAGGTTTGAAATACAGAGAAGAGCCAAACCACAAACGGCTTTAAAATATGTAATTAAAATCATCTTAAAGTCAGGTCTAAAACTTCTGGAAGCCCACGTACATGAAGAAGCCAGGACTGAGGTAATATGTGTTTGGTACTGCTCAGAAGCTTCACTGCCATATTCTGCACTAATAGAGGACATGCAGTTGCCTTAGCATTAGGATAAATTATAATTATTATGTTGTGTTATTATAATTATTATGACCATGACATACATTATTACTAAATTTCAGTAAATTAGTAAAGTTCTTCTTATCTTATCTTATCTTATGTGACTTGGAAGTTACATTAATCACTGTAAGGAGGACAAAGTTTATGTCTTATTAATATCTGTCATATTGTTCACTTCATTTTTTTGTTGTTTGTCGTATTTGTTTCATATTCATCTTTGTTATATTTTGACAAGTGATGTTGTAGAGATGGAAACAAGGCCTGTGTGCACCACAGGACCCTGTGCTTGGCTTCTGCCACACGTATTACAGAAAGGCACATGAGCACAGAACAATCATGGTAAAGTCGTTCACATTATGTCACCCTCGTGTTGTTCTCAGGTGGAGATGGAGAGGCTGAGGGGGGAGGAGGAGGTGGCGTCAGCAGCCAGAGAGAAGGAGCAGTTGGGACAGAGGATAACAAGTCTGGAGCAGCAGCTGGCTGAGAAACAGGAGGAGGTACAAATTGTGCAGGTAAGACTACATGGAGGGGGAGGACTACGGAGTCAGCTTGGGCTGAATAATTTGGAATAATGATATTACTCCTCTTATCCATATCTATTTCAATAATGCTAGAATTCAGTCCAGTGTTTTGTGTCAGTTATTGCGGATGCGCACTGAGTCCATTAACGGCTTCATTGTGCTGGCAGACCCTATTTTTCATACAAGATCACCGCATTTAAGAATTTCCTCTGCACAGCGTCCCATGCATATAAATGCTCACAGCGTTTGTTGCTGCATTCACAGACCTCTCTGTTGAAAAAAACTTCAACCAAAGGAGCACCACATGCATTCATTAATTCCAGTTCTCCCTCGATAACAAATCTATATCAAGAAAGAGCGGGACAATGGCAGAAGTGCACACTCATTCTTTGAGCTACAATTCCTAGATCTGGAGCTGCTGTTAATGCTCAGATTCTGTCACTGTAAATCAAGATGAATTTAAGGGTTTGTCTTTTTTTTTGGTATGTATTTTGAACCCTCTCTGATTTCCCATACTTGTCTTTTGCAATAGTTTCTGTAAAAAAAGTGCATCTCTGCACTATATGAATAGGCTGCTCAATTAGTCATAATTTTAAAAGAGAAACTGCTGCTCATTAAATTCTGATTAAAAGAACATCATTTAATGCCACCATGCACCAAAATGTGTTTTTTAGTTTTAAAACAGACCCATGTAGTCATCCCAGGGGTCATGACCTTAATATCCCTGGGGTCAGAGACCCTCTGAGTCCCACTTCTGCTCAAATACTTTTTTTTAAATTTTATTTTATTTTTTATGTCAGAACATAGTCTTTAAACAAAAATCCTGATTTTAAAAAACTCATTTAACTCATTTGACCTATCTTCAGGCCCAGATCTCCCAGTTGGAACACTCTCACACACAGCGCCTCCTTGAGGTGACAGCTCGCCATCACCAGGAGCTGGATTTAGAGACGGAGCGTCTGAGAGAAAGTCAGCTCCAGTCAGATCAGGCCTTAGAGACCAGGGAGAGGGCTCATCGCCAGAGGGTCAAATGCCTGGAGGAACAGGTATTTAAATCTACATGTTGAGGACGTGTTTGCACAGATTTTCTTCTATCGGTTTATGTCTGTGCCTTTTTTTGTTTGTCCATCTGTTTTCTAAATAACTTTCTGTTTGTCACTTTGTTTTTAAAAAGCTGCTGACCCTGAAAGAGCAGCTAGACCAAGAGACGAGCAGACGACGGGCCTATTTCAATCAGATGCTTCAGCCTGGTGTTTAGAGGCAGAGACCCTGCAGTGAAGTATGTAGCACCTCTGTCTACCTCATTCACTGCTCGTCTGGCAGCTTCCCAACAACATTAAGTTACAAGCAACGTCCACACAAACACACTCCTGAGGCGTCTGCTCCCACCCATGCCCATGTGCACACCGGATTGAATTAATCTGCAGGAAAACTCAACAACAACAAACAATGAGAGTTTTGTGTATAAGGAGACTGGATTTGCCAAATTGTTTTAAGGATTTCCTCTGGCTGTCTAAGTCTGTTTATGCTGCGTCAATTTTTTTTCGGAAACAGAGTGATGAAATGTTTCCTAGGTTGATGCTTTCTTCTCGTCTTATGAATCGCATTTGTCACACTAATCTCTTACCAATTTTTTTGTCATAATCATAGTTCGTGAATGTCCAAATATTTATGATGATTGTTTGCAGATTTCCCTTGTAATGTGATGTGATTTGTTGGTGTTTCAGATTTTCATAAAGAAAGATTTATGATGTAGCTCTTTGATTTTATCATGTGTTGTTTTTGATTTATCAAAAACTGTGATTGTTTTTAATAAAATGGGTGTATCAGAGCATAATTATACAATTTTGTTTGACAAATTTGATCATTATTGATGTTTCTCCTGGTAACACAACTTTGTGATGGAAAAAAAAAATTCTGTGATCTTTGCAAAACACAGCACAGCCCTTTGATGGCATGCAAGTTCTGGCGTTTAGTTCACACCATTAAAAGCCTTTGTGGATTTAGTGTTGTGGGTGAGAGAACGACCTTCGCTCTCTGTGCAGCGCTGTCTTCACTGTTTTCTTTCAGACATGGTTGCAGACTCCACAAGGTCTGCAGGGACCGAGGATTACCAACCCCAGAATCATCAGTCACATGCGGTCTTCTTTTTGCTTTGTGGCTTTTAAAAACCACTAATATGCTGTTTCCTCCATGTGTTTGTGTGTATCTGTAAAGCCAGACACTCCCTACATCTCAGCTCACTGCTTACTGTAAATGGTGTCATGCTGACAGCAGTTCACATGCATGTCTTCTCACTGTGTAACCTTGCATGCCTTGGTAACTTTACAGAGCAGGAGTTGCACTGAAAAGGGAAAATCTTGTCAGAGTTTCTTTAAAGCAGCCCTTTGATTATCATAGATCCGCCCAGTGGTTATCCAGTTACTGGCCTCTTTACAGCTATTGGCTAAAAGCAGCTAATTATGCAAGGTAGTGAATCCCTGTGGGGGAGGTGGGGCCAAAACTGAAAGAACTCCTTTGGCAGGCAGAATAGAGCTTTTATTGAGGATATTTCTAAGCTGACCATCAGGGACCAAATCGCTGGATTGTTAAAAAAAAAAAAAAAAAAAAAAAACATAGCTGAATCACGCTGCTCCCTCTCTTTCATTCCTTCCCTCGTTTCATTGCAGTGAGACGGAGAGCAGTGTAGCTCTCATGCAGTACCCAAGAGCAAGCAGAATGCAAGGAATCTACAGTATTCCCCTGTCTCACACAAGAAGCCCAGTTCACTCCTGAAGGACAAGAGAGTGAGGAGAGAAAGAGGCAGAGCCAGAGAGCAGTCAGGGGAGGATTCAAACTGCTGTGGTTGAGAGGAGGAACGTACGGTCTTGTCCTGTTCTGCTCTGCTCTTGTTGCCTCAGGTGTGTGTGCTCCTCCCTCCCCATCCGCGGTGCCTGCTGTCAGCTCCATCCCTGGCTGGCTGAGGCCATGGTGTTGGTGCTGCGAGCCCTGCTGCCCTGCTTCTGCACCCTGCTGTCCCTGGACCTGCTGCCTGGGGTGGAACCCGCAGTGCCCCTGGAGGACTTCTACCCCTTTGGCCAGGACAAGGGGGACTCCCAGACCATCGCTCAGGACGACGGGGGCTCCAGGCTGGTGGAGATCTCTGTTGCTTTCCCCTTCTTTGGTGACAGGCATGCAGGACTTTATGTGAGTAAAGAGCAGTGATTTTTTTTCTCCTGATGTGAGTGTGTGAGTGTGTGTATGTGTGCGTTTTGTCTTCATATGTCAGCGTGTATGTGTGTGCATGCACTTGGCAGTTGGCAATTGAAACTGACATGGTGTGGATTGTATAAGAGCCTCAGGGAGATGAAATTTGGCCAACATCCAGATACTACATTGACGTGCCCTGGGAGAGTTTGTGTATGTTTATGTGCGCTCACAGGCTCTGGTGTGTAGCCTCATTTGTAGAATATCATGTTTTCCCCTACGGGTGGAATTATAATCCTGTATGACATTTTCCTCACTTTACATCTGCCCTCCTTGCACTCCGAGGGGCTCTCATGTGCAAGGGAGAAACTATTAGCAGAACAGTGAAAAGCCTTGTTCTGATAAGTCTACAATAAGCTGTTAAAGGAAATGACAGTTTGTGTTCTTACTGTTGCCACGGAGCATCTGTGAGCGGTTCTTTCTTAGAGAGTGTGAGAGGAATATCCTCACAGGAGAAAGAGAGTGAAAGAAACAGCGCTCATGGGAGGAAGCCGAGTGGTTTGACGAGGATTTTCGCACAGCACAGTGAAACACACTTTGATCTGCCTTTGTCATGTATTGGGTTCCGTTCCAGCGCATGGAAAGGCAGAACTCCCTTAAATCAACACCACCTGTTGTGGTTATGCATCCGCATTCGCTCTCCCCGAATCACCCCCCCTCCCTTCTCCTCCTCCTCCTCCCCGGCTCTCTGAGCCTCGCCTTCCTCCTCCCTGTTCAAACCATGGGGCAGGGCAGGGGAGGCTGAGGAACCATGGCAACAATGGGCAAGGTCAAAGGTTGTCTTTCTAATATAAGCATGTGCACCATGAGAGTGAAGTCAGTCAGGCATTTTAAAACTCTTTTGCATGTACCCTCACTGTGTGTTAAGTCACATTGACAGTTTTTTTAGGTGCAGTGTGTTAGTGTTGTCTAAATGAAGATATGAAATCCAACAGTCTCTAAAAGTTTTACACTTATGGTTGTTCTGTCATGTCTATTGAACTCCCCAAATGGTTTGGACACAGAACACAAACAATCTTTGATGGCTTGCAACTCATTGAAACCCTATAATTCACTAAAAACTGTGCAAAGACAGCTTGTCAAATGTTGAAAGTAAAAAATATAATATGTGTTCATTGAAAAAAAACACCATCAATATGTTTAAAAAAAAGTTTGGACAGGGGCATGTTTACCAATGTATTCTCTGTAACATCACGGTGTGATCACACAGTCTCTCACAGAGTGGTGAACCTCTTCTATTCTCTGAGAGACACCATTAGGTCTCGGTTGTTACCTTACGTTTATGGATTATAGTTTAATGTTCTTATCTGGTACTGGCCCCAAGTACATGCTGTCATGACAGACAGACATCTCAACACTAGTGTCTAATCAAAACTGAAAAACAGTCAGTCTGCTGTTGTGTCAGTCTTCTCGCTTCCTGCCGGGACGCGTCTTTTCCCCCCCCAGAAAGTTGCAAAATCACATCGGGCTTGATGTGTATAGTCAGGCACGTCAAAATTCGCCTCCGAATATTTCATAATTTCGCGTTGTATATTTGCGTGTGTATGGACCTTTAAATTTACAATGAAACTGAGACTCAAAAGAAACAGATGAACAAGTGCTACCGCAGAGGAAGCAATGAAAAAAGAGCTAATTATACTAATTTACTGCTCTTTATCTAGTTCCTGGTCTGAACCCATGAGGCTTGTGTGATAACCATAGACTATATATAAGATGGACACCGTGGTTCCGCCTTCTGCCTGTATACGGATTTGAAGCCAAAAAGCTTTCGGTAATTCCGGGTTTTTCTCCACTTCCTTGAAACCAGAGCTGCGCAGTTGCGTTGTATGCAGACGTTTTTGGCTGGGCGGGGGGTTCGGAGCGATGACGCTCCGCTCAAAAAGTGCCCCCCCCGATGTCCTTCCAGCCTTTCATTTGTAACGCTAATAGCTTCCCCACTCGTCGTGACCAAGAATAAGTAAGTTCCACTTCTCCTAATATAATGTGAAATGTGTCAGCAGTCATGTCACATGTCAGTTAACACAGTTTACTGCAGAACAACTCATTTTTCCAATGCAACAAAAGAGAAAAATGATGGAAAAATGTAATCCTCTTCTCCACTAGCAAACCCGATTGGTCTTGACGATGAACGAAAAAGAGCGACGCACAAGCTGCAAGTGCAAAGTGTAGAGAATGACGCAATTTCCTGTTTTTATAACTTTTAATAACTTTTTAAAATGGAGCTGCAGAGAGAAAGCCTAGTCTAATAATAACTACATGTCAACATCGCAGTCGGGGGTGAGAAAAGTGTATTTTCTGTGTAATTAATTTCTAAAGGCCGTCCGCGGCTCCATTCACTTTGCTGGCAGTAGTGGAGTTTATGACTTGTACTGCAGCCAGGCTCTAGGGGGTGCTGTTCTCGGAGTGGCTTCACCCGGCGAGAAGACAGACGGCGTCCATCTTATATACAGTCTATGGTGATAACCAACTGATCTGGTTTTGTGCCTCAATTGTAACATTATACCTCTGTTGCTTAAATCTTGCCACTTTTCAATAATACACATTTTAACAATTTTTAAACTACCAAAACTTATTAAATGACAGCTGCGAACACCAAAACCACAAACTGTATAAAACATGGAAGTATTTTTTGTGGTGTCAACTATTGGTTTCTGAAGAAGCGTTTAAGTCCCAATGATAGGCGGTGCAACACTGGAAATGCTGACTCATCATAACCTAGAGAGGCAAAAAGGTGGGGCTTGGGTGGGCTGTTATTATTTTAATTTGGGTTTTTTTGTGCCTTTACTTTGGGGATAAGACAGTGGATTGAGCAGGAAATGGAGGAAGAGAACAGAGACTGATATGCAGAAAAGGTGATGCAGGTTGGGAATGAACCAGGGTTGTCCACTTAAAGCATTACCTTAGTATATGGTTCAAGAACTTGGACCACTAGGCTAGCAGTGCCCAATTCAGATGGGTGTTATGCCCCATGGGAAACAGCTAAAACACACCTATCTGTCAGTCAACCTAGCCATACCCCTGATCATGTGAATTTACATATGACTTTGACCTTTTACCTTATCTTCACAGATGCTTTATAAAGAATTCCTTTAATGTACATGGTTTAGGAATAAATAGCTGAGATATTTTCCCCAAACCAGTTTCTGAACTGTTTGGAAACATGTTCAGTTTTAACTGCAAAAAGGAAATTTTAACATGAGACCCAATGGGATTTCTTTGCTTCTTGAGCCTGTCTCAAGTGGCCGCTCAAGAAACTGCAGCTCATCCACTTCATGGATTTATTATTCAACAACAGAGATTGCTACCTGGCCAGCATTGACACTGGATTGCTGCCTTGATTATCAAATACTGAGGACAGATTACTCTGCAGTGTTTGATGAGGCTGGAGTGAAAATCTGTTGCTGGTTCACATTCTCTGAAACTCTAACAGCAGATCCCTGAGACGGTTAGCCTGTGTCAGTTCATATAGTAAGATGTCTTATTTTTGGTTGTTGATATCAACAAACACATCAGTGGATTGAAAGAAAGCCACAGTTATGTGACACCTGGCTGCAGAAGTCCCCCGTTGCTCATCAACATCAACTTCGGCACTGCCCCACAAACATGTACCCATGACAAGGTCCTACTCTTGTCCCACTTCTGCCTCCATGTAACTAAGCCAGCCCTCTGTTATGGTTTGTGTCTGGGAGTTCTCACACGTTGCTGGGATCTCTCTTCCTTCCCCCTCCTCCCCTCCCCTCCTCCCACGCCTCAGATAACATGGCAGGGGTCTTCCCCCTGGAACTGTCCAGCTGCTTTATCTGAGAAATGACCAATCACTTTAACAGAACACAGATGTATCTGCAAAGCGTCTTAGGGGCTTCCAAACAATGTAGTTCACAGATTAACTACTCTTATGGACAACCAGTTTAAAAGAAACAAGAAGGAAGATATACAAGGTCAGAAAGGAAAGAAAACAAGTTAAGATCAGATGGCAGGAGAGACGGTTAGTAAATAGATAAACTCAAGAACAGTGAAAAAGACCCACGCTTCTAGGTTTTGTTTTGTATATTTACATTATAAAACATGTAATTCATAGTCCTAAAATGTACAAAATAATTATGCATTTGTCTGAAATTAGACATGAACTTCAGGCTTTAAAGGACCATGCCAAGAACGTGCTACAGTAACTGCACACTTTACAGATTGCACATCTGCAAGCGCTCATCTGCTCCTCTGAAGAGCTTCAACACTTGTGCAATTTCATTCACTCACTCTCACTCACCACTATGTATGGCTCAAAGATGTGCGCATGAAGTTTTAGTCTTTGTTCTCTGAATGGGAGAGTTTTATATGCATGTGTTGGCTGAGAGATGTGACTGAGTGATATAAGAAGCAGTTTATCCACCATGGACAAGAGGTATCTGTACATACTTATACATACAAATACTTTTCACATGTATGACAGCTCTTACTAAAGAAAGGCTATTTCCTCTTGTTTTTCATTCAGTTATAAGAAAGGATGTACACTCCTTTCATGTCTGAGTTATAAAGCTATGGACAGGTAATGGTAGGCTTAGTTGAACATAAGCACGACAGTTTGTTCATGTTCACCCAACAAGGGGCTTGTTTTTTCATGGAATTACATCAAGCAGCAAGTCCAGCATTCAAAACTGAAGTCAGTCCAGAAGTGTAATTAACTGCAGCTCCTCAAGTGTCTACTTTAGACCAACGCCAAAACCCAAACGATCCTTTTAGGGCCCATAGTAAGACAATAGTCTGAAGCTTATTGGAGTCAGCACATCTAATATGATGGCTGCCACCTTTGGGCTTCATAACACCTCTGTAGAAGTCAGTGATGCAAGGAGGTGAAGTGTCCATTATTATGTTAAATGGCGATTGTCCTAGAACGGGAAATGTTATAACTTTGTACATAAAGTTAAACCTCACTATTGACAGCTTATCTTCAAGAGTTTTACTACACATTTCTTCCCGAGCCGGTGATGCAATGACATGCAGGATTGCATCCTTTATTTTCCTTTCCTATCGATGTCGATAAAGTTGTCGTCTAATGACCAAATTTATGAGACCAGCCTCATGTTCAGCTCTTCAGGTTGTCACTGCTGGAGGTAGAAAATCAAAAATAGTACAATGTTGGGAATGACGATTTTATTCATGTTTACACCATTCAAGACCTGCACTTTTCAACATGTTGACGTCAGACACCCACTGGCCTAATGACCAATCAATGGAAATCTACAGAGACACACAAAGCATGTAGTTGATGACAATATCAGGTCGGGTCATCATGTAAAGTTTGTTAGTCAATTTGCAATAATGACAGAGTGAAATCTAAACAGATTGAACCAAATGTTTACAGTATAAGAAAAAAAACATGGAACTTAGTTCGGACGTTGGTCTAGACTTTCAGAAGTGAAAACACCCTAACAATCCATGTTGGTGTTTCAACCAAAAGCACAGTTTTTATCTTGACCTAGCCAAGTCAATTTGATGTTAACTTTAATTTATTACTATGTTTTTGGTAAGGTTTATATTCTAAAACTTTTTGGATAGATCTAGAAAATGATCCACAACATGAAGTTAAGTCTGTAACTTCTACATTATCACAGGAACGGAGCTAGACTTTTTGGACCAGGCAGCCAAACTGGGGTTTTGAGTTTTACAGGAGTGGCAAGAAGTATCAATACTGGCATTAATTAATTATATTTGTTTACCCGCTCTACTAGAACTTAAACATCAAACGACTTACATTCAAGTATCATACTATCTTTACATTCCTGTGTGAATTGGCACATTTGAAAGGTAACAGGCTGTGTCCACTGAGTTGGGGTTCGTTTGTTTGTTTGTTTGTTAGTTTGTTTGTTTGGTTGTTTGTTTGTTTTTGCACTGCTGGTACCCATGACCTTGGTATTAGAGTGCTTCACATCAGTATTTACTGTTCCTAGATTGGTGGTACTTCCACCTCCCTCAGGAAAGATCTGTTTTAAACGGTCACATAATGATGGTTCAGGATTTTAGGGCGGCAGTTGGTCTTACCACCCCAACCAGTCTTGGGCAGATTACTAGCCATGGCCACCCTTGACCAAACTCCAGTTGTGCTCCTGAATGATTGTTAAGATTTGTCGTCTCAACAACAAGCAGCTCTTTCCTCATCTTGTGTTTGACCTATAGACCCCCTTACTGCACCCAGCCAACGGTTATACTGGTGCATGATCTAATAACAGCAAACTCTTACAGTGATAAGGTTATTTCCCAAACATTAAATATTTCTTTCAGCATGAAAAAAAAAATGTATACAGAAATATACAGTCATGAGAGGCCATTCATTGTCTCCAGTTAAGAATTTTCAATAAGACTTGTCTTTATTAAAGCTCCTTTTGTTGCAAGTATACAGAATATTTTTCAAGTAGAGCAGTATTACATCCAAAACAGTTAAAAAAAAATAAAAAATCACAAAACGCTTACATCACTTGTGCCATGAAAGTTGTATTAGATGTATGTGAGTCCTTCCACTCTGTTGAATACTGGATTTATTACCTCAATCTAAGCTCTTTGTAGCAGAAGGTGAGCCGGGGCTAAGAAAACAGACCAAGTGCACAGACGTAAGTCACTTCCTTTGGCCTCGTCAAATAATTTGGACAAGCTTGTAACTGTGAAACTTCAGTTTCTGACAAGGAAAACTAATGTTTTCCTGAGTCGATCCATGGGCACCTTTTCATTCAGGGGTTTGTTTTGGCTTGGCTTAAGCCAGATGAAAGTTTATTTTAGTCCATAAATTGCTTGGCTCTGAAGAAAAACCACCCAAGCAAAATCCTGGATGTATCCGGCAAAGAAATCCCCAAAAAATAACAAGGGAGTTGCAGAGCAGAGTGGCACCAGTGAGAGTGAGAGAAAGAAATATGGAGAGCAGGATGCTTCTTACAAGGTTGACTGATCGCACCTCTCCCCCTGTGAGTCTGACCTTGGTCATGTTACAGCATAACACACGGCAGCTCTGAACCCTTTACTCTCTCACATAAGTGTGATGCATAAGCACTCTGCACTGGAAGTTTGTACCAGTTATAACCTGGTTGGAATCCATGAGAAGAGGAAAAGTATGTGATATGAAGTAAAGAAAAGGTCCCAAGTTCAGTTTAAATTCCTCTGAGGTCATTGCCATGTCAGAGCGGTCCCTTAAAAAACCTTAACAAGTAGGAAGTACACTTGTTTAAACAGTTCCAGATGCTTCCAGTGATTGGATTAGTCGATTAAACATATTCCAGTATTAGACTATAAACCTTATTTGGTGTTCAGCATGATTTCCTACACTAATTTTGCTGTAAGATGGGTGACTTCCAAACCACTGCCACCACAGGTCTCTCATTAGTGGGTATGTGGGTGTGGGAGGCTGGTGATTCATGTACATCTCTCCATTCATGCAGTCCTGTGCCCTCGCTCTTGTTTTTCTCCCAGTATCGGATGGCGCTCTGGCTGACCCCCCCGGCCCTGCCCCTGTAGTCGCTCCTCTTTTTCCCCACATCAGCCACGTTCTCACCACATCACGCTGATGCAGAGGGGAAGACTGTGGTCGGGCAATTAACTGAGCTCCTGCGCCGTGCCAAACAAAACTTCCTCAGCTGTTTTTACAGCAAAGTCCTTCAAATTATGGTTTTCATACATGCAGGGAGCGAAGCTGAGCCATCTGACGTTACTTTGTCACTGTCACATGTCACTCAGCTTTGAATGCAGGGAAGTTTCGTCCTTGCTGGTGTTTAGGTGAAACAGTGCAATAGTGGGAAGAATCTCCTCTTGTTGATAATATGTGGACAAGTTGAAGGAATGGATGAATGAAGGTCTTTCATTGGGGTTGAACCCCCTCCACCAAAGGTTAGCAGCTTGTTCCTCACTATGTTCAATCTTCAGTGCAATTCCTGATCGGACACTATGTCATATTTGTGATACAAAGACTCTGACTTTACATCCTCTTCCGCAAATTCTTTGTCATAATGTGTTCTTGAACAGCCACCCAACCAATTTGTTTACTGGTCTTTTGGACCTATTTTTACTTCGACATCAAATTCTAACAAGTTCTATAAAATCAGCACAAATGTGATAATTGGAGTGGTCTATTGCAGGCCTTGGACAGCCCATGTAACCAAATTTAATTTTTAAAACAGATTTAGTTTTTTTTATAAGATTTATTTAGCCATTATTTGGGGAGGGCAGGACAGTGGACAGAGTAGGACACAGGGATAGAGAGCAGGGAGTGGCATGTGGAAAAGGAGCCACAGGCTGGATGCAAACCCGACCACTTGGGGCACCTGTGTTGACAGCTAGGCCAGCGGTGCCCCCAGAATATTTTATTTTTATATTTAGACCACAAAAAATAACGGCCATGCTCTTTAACTTCACGTGGATAAGTGTCCTGGCCTCTTTAAACTCACAGTCTTGGTTTATGGGCCATTAAATGATGTCTTCAGCTCTGCTGCAGATATTTGCTCTTAGCGAAGAAGCTTTGGTAGTCTCAGCGGACGCTGGGTGATACACTCTTGGTCTCGGTAGCAGTGTGCAAAGGTGTTGACTTGCATTGGTTAACACTGATGAGCACTTCACAAAACATCATCAATGGATGTTTGTTGACTACACAGTTAAACCTCATCACCCGTACTATCCAACAACAGAATTATTGAATTTAGTGAGTTATTAATATTCCACTGTAGGCCTGAAAGGCCACGATATACTGTATCTGAGCTGCAGAGCAGTAACCCACTTACCATTTACTGCCAAACAAGCACAACAAGACTGACCAAACCATGCTAACCAAACTTAATGCATTTTGGACTTACATTAAACATGAGGATAGGATTTTATTTACATTTACAGCTTTTTTTAGAATGGATATATGTCATTATCAAGTTCCTGTTTTGATTCACTAGTCCGCAAGCAGCCAAAAAAACAACCACTGAGTGTAAATAAATGAGTAAATATATTCCGAGGCTACAAATCTATTAGTTATTTTCGGTGATGACTAAAACTTTTAGTTTATTTTCTAGCATTTTGTCCTCATTAGATAAGACAAGTGAAGAAAGATGAGAAAAGTGGGGGATAGAGAGTGTGAGAGGACATGCTGCAAAGAGTCTTGGCTAGGAGTCAAACCAATGACTGCTGTAACAGGGACAATAGGTTTAGGCTAGGCAATACACAAAACAAGACAATTTTACCTTAAATTGTCGGTTTATTTTGAGTGAATGGCTGATGAACCTCCTAAATGCTTCTGTTACACACCATTTCTCACCTCTGCCCAGTCAAACCTTTTGAAGTCAACATTTCCCCATTCCTCAGTCCAGTCTGCAGTACTGACTGAGCTTTTCTCACAGAGGGTCTATGTGGCTGAGGGGAGGATGGGTTCATTTATTTGGTTACTTTGCTGTTGGCAGACGTCTGTGGATTTAAAGCCTGTGAATGTACTTCCTGGTGTGATGACTTTGCAGGTGCGTGAGCAGCAGAAACACAGTTTTCTCAGCTGCTGTCATTTCACGGAATAAATGTAGCGTCTGTTTGCTACATGGGAAGTGCAAACATCCGCTATGGGAGTGTCCGCTGCCCCATGCTGCTGTTTGCCCTGCAAGGTTAGGGCTACCTCTGTTTGTTCACCTTCGTCTCTGCTCCTCAGCACTTCCACTCTAACCCCACCTTTCCCAACAAACAAGTCACAGAAGCTTCATCTGACATGTTGAACAAAACACACCACTGTATTATTAGAACTTATAAACTTATATCCTATATTTTGTCTTCTTCAGGTTAACAACAATGGCCTCGTGTCTTTCCTGAGGGAGGTGTCTCAATTCACACCTGTGGCTTTTCCAATTGCTGGGGACAGGAGGGTCGTGGCGCCATTTTGGGCTGATGTTGATAACCGCCGAGCAGGTAGAGTCTTCTACAGGGAGAGCCGGGAGCCCTCAATTTTGAAGAGGGCTTCAGGAGACGTCAGGACATACTTCTCAGACTTCCCCAGCTTCAATGCTACATGGGTCCTTATCTCTACATGGCACCAAGTTACCTTCTTTGGAGGCAACGCAAACACACCGGTATAAACCTTCACTTCACTTTACTGCTCTCTTATTTTCATGTGCTGACTGCTGAAGTCATTCTTTGTGAAAGTTTGAGGTGTCTAAATCAGTGATTCCCAGTTTTATTTAAGGGGGTACTTGTGCAAATTCTATGTAATAATCATAATACAACAATATTTTTTCCTGATTTGTTGCTTTATATGTTATAAGAAGTGGGCCTGTGCATTGTGTCCTGTCAGCCACATGCACTTCAGAGCTTATCTGTGCCCATCATCATCTGGACTAGTGTTTCACAAGACCTTACTTTGGTAAATGGGTCTGGAACCACTCAATTTATTCCTTTTTACAGGGGAGCATGACACTGCACATAGCAACAGTAATGTAAACAGACAGCAGCATGCAGAGGAAAGAAATGTACCTTTCTCACCAATAAAGAAGTTGTAGTTGTTCAGTCATGTTTGAATGAAAATACATCATTGGGTTTGTCCAAAAAGGCCTCTGTGGTGGATTCAGTGGACCCTCCACCTTCCAGCCAGCAGTGGAAGCTGCCATCTTGGTGTTTGTTTACAAATGTATTGTTTACAAATACCCTGAAGTGGTGCTCCTGTGTGGCCATCTTACTTAAAGGATTGTGATTGACTTAGTTTATCTGGGACTAAGGGGGAATGTCTGGAATGGCAGCAGATCCAGACTCACATGCCAGTGAAAACTAATATAAGCTGGCTTATGGGTCTAGCAACACCAGCAAACGCATCACCACTCTGTCACTAAGGGGTCTTAATTGATTTGATTTTGTAGGGGGCACCCAGAGGGACAAAGGATCAAACTGTATTCCTTACTATTATTGCATTCTGCCACAGGCAGTTATTTATGCAGCTGTGTAGCTCTTTCTTGTACCACCTGTTATCACCCACCACCATCATCAGAACTGAGCACAGCCTACATTAATAGTCATGAGGTACCACAACCCCTGACCATTTCACAAAGACTTGCACCACCCCCTCCACTGACATTAAAATGTCCTTTCAATCAAACCAACACTCTATAAGGTTTCATTGTGCACCACTGTACTCTAAATGCATGACAATAACTTATTGAGGTAGGAAAGTGTTTAACAGTGATGCCACCAGACTGGTCCACCTCATGATCCAGCATGCTTTGCATGTAGGTGCAGTTGCTAGCTTCTTTTAGCACAACCTTGAGGCTACAATAATGTGGCACAATACTTTGTCTATCTCTGCACCTACCTACACATGGGATGCAACTCACGAACTAGATGATGAAAAAAATGAGTAAAATGTGTCTAATGCTCTGAATTTGATGGTATTTATCAGACTTTACATCACAGCTGCATTAATAACTAACGCACTAATGAATTGCTTACTTTGGTCATGCAAGCCCACTCTCTCGAGCCTATTACAAATACAAGAGGACAATATCATAACCTGAGAAAATTATCAGGCTTCAGTCTGTTAATATTTGTGACTGCAAATTAGCTTTTTCCACTTCTTCCATTCAGTCCATGAGTTTAACATAACATCTACACTAAACATGTGTTAGCAAAGATTAGGTTTTTTTAATCTAATCTAAATGGGATAAGCAAGAAACCACTGGCGTAGATAAACCTGGAGTCACACAAAACAGTCTTGCTGTTAATGTTTAGAGACTGGAGTTATTGTGTGATTTATTGGGTTTCCTTTCAATGGTAATTGTATGATGATTGGAATATCTTATCAGTCTCAGTCATGGGTCCAGATGAGGCGATTTTTCCTCGAGCATGACTGAGTCTGGGGAATCTCTGTGGTTAAAATGAAGTCTTTGAGATGCAGTATTACCAGAATTCATGGAAATCAGGAAATGTTTTAACCAAGCCTGTTCCTCTTCATGCAGGTAAATACTTTCCAAGTGGTGCTCATTACAGATGGAGAGCTTTCCTTCACTATATTCCAGTACAATAACATCACTTGGACTACAGGCATGCATGCCAGCAGTGGAGGAAACCTGGCTGGGCTTGGAGGGATTGCAGCGCAGGTAAGATCACATGATGGTTATTTTTCTTTATGGAAATAAGAAAATGATCTCCTACCTGTGAAGATGCACATCACTGTTTTCAGCTTTTATTCAGCTTTTTTTTTGATGTCTTTCTCCTTGTTACTCTCTCCTCAGGCAGGTTTTAACGCTGGTGATGGAAAGCGTTATTTCAACATCCCTGGCTCTCGCACAGCTGACATTGTGAATGTTGGGGGGACCACCAACGTAGGCTACCCTGGCAGATGGGTCTTTCGTATAGATAATGCCAACGTGGAAGTGGGTGGCTGCAATAACTCAGGTAAACAACAGGTAAATCCTGCATCAAAGAGATGACATAGTTTCCTCCTGGCTGTCTTTAAACAAGGTTTCCTGTTACATTGACCTCTTTCTGCAGCATCCGTTTGCCCACACCTGAGACCATGTCTGAACGGAGGCCAGTGCATTGATGACTGCATCACAGGTAACCCTTCCTTCACCTGCTCCTGCTTGGCTGGCTTCACCGGTCGACGATGCCAGATAGGTGAGTTATGGTCGACACTGTTTCCTGCCCTGTCACTGCTCGACTCACACTGCACTCTTTGAATGAAAAGCCGTCTACTTGAGATCCAGAAAAACAAAGTCAAGCCCTGCTAAAAAGATAGAGGACACCTGGATACTTCCTTAATACCCTTGTTGCCTCAGATGTTCCCAGACAAACTTACCTGGGGCAGCTGTTTTATTTAATTACAAGAGTCATACTACATACTCATACTACATCCTTTGTGTTTCTGCTTGTCTCTGCAGATGTCGATGAGTGCGCCTCGAACCCATGCCAGAACGGAGGGACTTGTGAAGACCAGATTAATGGTTTTATCTGTCATTGCCCTTCTGGATATACTGGTAGCCAGTGTGAAACAGGTACAAAGAAGACTTTCCTTGTCCATCTGTACTCACAAGGGATGTCATGACTTCATTTCTGAATTAAAGTCGTATTAAGATAGACTTAAGATGTGATCGTCAGAATCAAAAGCAGCACCTGCAGGTCTTAAAATATTTTTTTTTTCGTCTTTTAGCATCTCCAAAGCCAAAAAAAGTCAAAAGATAGTCAGCTTAGCCAACAAGTAAGGTGCAGCTGCACTTTTAGAGACACTGGCCCTCATTTATCAATCTTGCGTAGAACTGAGCGCAGATCTGAGCGCAGGATTCATAATATGATAGGACACACGTGAGATTTATGAAAGGGTTCGTATCTGACCAATCCTAGCGTACTTATGATCGGGTTTGGATAAATGCGGCGGCTGAAATAGATCGTCATTAACATGTTTACGCCCTTAAATATTCGTGGTTCAGAAGCCTCGCCCACTGAGGTCAAACATGAAAGAGGAGAAATATTAGAAAGATTCGAAACTTTTCTGAAAGAGGATATCCTCGCGTCTGTGGTGGAAACTAACAAGGATTTGCTCTTTGGAAGCATCAAAACTCATAAAAAGCAGTCCAGAAAACTCCTGTCTGGAGCAGGATTATGGTGGCGCTGAACAGCGCTGCCGTGGAATAGTGGACAGTGGCTGAAGTTTGAATAAATCATTAGTCAATAAGTTGCTCATGATAATAATTTAATATCTCATACATGCTTCATATTTTTTATTGCCATGACATAGGGTACGCTGCTCCTATTATTGAAAGTATTTAGTTTTAATTTGTTTGTCTGACAGTCTGTCGGATGCTGAACAAAAATAATTATAAACCTCACCAAACGGTGTGTTGCTGCCCCTGAGGCACATTTTATGGATTTCTATTTGAATTTTAACACTGATTAAATAGCAAAAGCACTTTCTAAACTTATACTTTACATGTCGGAATCCATCGATCCGGTCCTGTACAGCACCTTTGTGGAGTCTCTCCTAGTTATTGTTCTCCAGGCATCGGGTCCTCACGTTGCACCGGCACAGCCAACTGCACTCCATTCGTCAGTGCAACATTGTGCAAAACTGAACTGGCCTAAATGATGTCCCACAACCTTTCAGGAGTGAACAAAAACGTCCCCACTGCTGGGCCAAGACAGAAACACCTGCCTTTTATGCAGCGCTCCACCGTGGCCCGTGTGCGTGTGTGCGCATTGTTAAAACAGCGCTCCTGCTCTGTGGCAGTGTTTCTGGGCAGAGTTATCAAATAGGCCTATTCACGAAAGACATAACAGATTTCTTTGAATCGTACACGATGTCAGACCTGTCGTGAGATTTGGTCTCAGTGTATGCTCACGTGCAGATCGATAAATGCCGATCCTCACAAGGTGTACGTAAGTTTTTTGCCGTACGCAAGCTTGATAAATGAGGGCCACTGTGACTACTGCAGATGTCACAGATGACAGAGAAAAAACAGTACTGGAAAATTCTTCTGCTTCACTTTTGAATGCTCAGAATCAGTTTTTAAATCTCTATACTCTCAGGTTAACCTCAGGGCGGAGGTGGTTGGTTTATTTATACACAATGCTAATTCTAAAAAGGCTTAGAAGAAATATGACACAAGCTGCAGTAAAAAAAAACAAAAAAACAAAAACAAATGCATGCTTAAAATGTGTTACAAAAGGAAAGGAAACATGAATAACACTGACACACTTAAATTGTCTTTGTCACATAGTGTTACATCACGAAGGCCTTTACTGGGATATTTAAATTCATCACACTGGTGAAATGCTCTGATTTATTTCTACTAATATATGTGTGCTAAGGGCTTATCTCCAACTAATGGTGTGAACATATTCAGAATAACAGTATGCCCATGTTGCTAACAAAGATGTCAGAGCTGTCTTTTCTTGAACCAAATCTGTGATAATAGAAAATGACTTCTTAAACATGTTATTTTAGGGGCACTGGTTTGGCTTGGTGGTTAAAGCTCTCACTCTATGAACAGAGGCAATGGACCTAGTTACAGTGGTTGCTGGTACAAATCCCTGCCACACATTATTACTGCTTGTCATCTATCACTCTCTGCTCTCCACCTTTCTTGTCTCTCTTCAGCTATGCTGTCTAATGAAGGCCAAAATGCTGAAAAAGTATCTTTGTAAATTGCAAAGACTGAAATTTAGATTGCTGCTGGCTAGGTGTCAGCCTGCATGTAACCAAAAGAGCCATGTATTTTTTACAATATCCATTTCAAGATATCTAATGAGATGTAGATTTTAACGCTGAAATAATGAAGGATAAGATAGTTGCTAGAAGACACAACTGACACATCCACAGGGCAAAGTCCGATGAAGTGTCAACAGCATTTGGAGCACCCATGCCAGGTTTGGGGGTACAAGTAGACGCTAAATATGGTGAGATTTCACAATGAGTGCGCAGAAACTTAATATGTAGTTCATGCACTGACTGTATAATAACTGAATGTAGTTTTGGTGACGTGCCCATTCATCTGAAGCAGAGTTTTAAATGCTATTGGCAGCAGTCGCCATATTGGAAAAGCTGATTCAACCCAACTTTAGCTGACCCACCAGGTGGACCTTCTCAAAAACTAGCAAGTGTTCACTTGTCATTAAACTCTCCCTCTGATTCCCCAGTCTCTTAAACTTTACTCAAAACAAAGGTGTTGTAAAAAAAAAAAAAAAATCACTTCTGCATAATGGGTGCTGTGGGAGTCCTCAGCTAATTATACAAAAACTGTTCCTTGAACCAGACTGTAACTGTGTACATATTTGCTCTAAATCTGACATTTTGAATGAGTGCACATGTGGTTCCCAGTTCTTCTGCAGCCAGCCTCTAGTGGCCACTCAGGGAACTGCAGTTATTAGCATTTCTGTATCGGCTTCATTTCACTAACCAGATGTTGCTGCATGGGTCCATGGCAAGCATGAGTTGGCACTTTTACAGACAATGGTCTTAGAATTGCAGCCTAAAAATTGCAGTCCTGAATTTGCACCCCCTTGGTCGGCAGACTCATGCTACTCACAGAGGGGGAAAGAGATAAGAGACACTGCTTTATCCACAAGGGGCGCTGAATTCTTGCAAACTAAATGTTCACCACAGGAGCTTTAAACAGCACATAAAAAGATACCTACATTTTATTTTCTAAAATCCAGTACCAAGAATTTACCTTGAACATGCTGATCTAATCTAATTGTGAAAATTTTTTAATCCCTAGTCTTTTCTGTCGGCTTGTTTAAAAAAGATTTCTGACCTGGAAATGTCTGATTAATCAAAATAATTTTGTGCCTCATTGAGCAATTTCCAAACAAAAAAGTATTTAAGAATCTCTGTTCCCATTCCCACCGTTCAGCCTGTGGAGATGTTTCAAACCTCTTCTAATACCTTTCACAGCCAGCAGCACATACTTGCAGAGTGAGGGGAGCAGTGTGGCGGATATATTAATCAGCTGAGTAAATATTCCGTGTGTGTGTGTGTGTGTGTGTGTGTGTGTGTCTGTGTCCCTGTGTGGTGTGTGTATGTGTGTGTGTTTGTGTGTGTGTGTGTGTGTGTGTTGTAGACATTGACAAGTGCAGAGACAGGCCGTGCTTCAACAACGCGTCATGTGTACAAGGCAGTGGCAGCTTCACCTGTGTGTGTGAACCCGGGTACACGGGTGTCCTGTGTGAGACAGGTGAGCTGGGTTTTTTCTCACTCCGGGGAAAAAGTAGGCACCATCCTCCAGAGGAAATATCTCCGCTGTTTTTCACATCAAACTGTCCTCTTGGCAGCTGTTTCTGTCCAAAGCTTCCCAGTCTACCTAGACAAATGGGTCTAAGTTGAGGATACAGTTCATTTCATTTGCAATTACAATTCATCCTTTTCTTCTCTGGGGTCACAGTGAGAAATGAGAAAGTTCACTGAAACCAGGTCTGTTTGCAGAGTCCTTTCCTAATCTTGTTTGTCTGGTGATTGATTGCTGATAGAAATTGAACCTAACAGGGAATTGAATTTTCAGACCCGGCACATTTCATGAATCCTTGTATCTACATGAGACAGGATTACTCTTTAATACGAGACACCTGCTCAGTGAAACTTTATGCTCTTAGAGAAAAGGTTCAGTGCGCTTAATCCAGACGACAGCCTTGTGCTTTTCCAAGATTCAAGATTGAAAAATCATCATGTGAAACTGAATCAACAGCTGATAAACTTCTCCTGTCTGATGGGCTGACTTCTTCTGCATCCAACAGACATAAACGAATGCGAGTCCCAGCCCTGTCTGAATGGAGGAGAGTGCATGGATCGGATGGCCAACTTCACCTGTATATGTCCGGCTAACTTCACTGGACTGCTTTGCGAGACAGGTGACTGTTATTCAAAATGAATTTTGCCAGAAAAGCATGCTTGGAAAAATGCTTCCTGAGAAAATGCTGACATACTTTAGCCTGTTAGTCCTACTTTTGCCTTGGCTTCCTGTAATGAAGCATTCTTCCAACTGGGCCAAGCACAAAGGGAATCCAATCATACCTCTCTGAGATCAAAACCAGTATTTATGGCCATGAACTTTGTTCCAGTGAGCTGGTTCTGTTGCACCTCAATTGTTCTTAAATTTTTAGCATTATTAAGACTGCATAGATTTACAATGTGTAATTCTCTTGTAGCACAAACTGTGATCTGTGTTGTGATTTAGCTATAGCAGAAAGCACTTCTAATGACCAGTATTGACAGGTTAATGAGAGATACAAATGTAACTGAGGTTCTATGAATTCTTCCTGACTGCCATAGGCGGTTCTTAACACTAGATATCAACACTGTCATATCAACAAGGTCGTGTGCCCAGGGATGACCTATGACATAACCTGCCAGCGTCACCCTGAGTGACATCCCTACAGAATCTTCTCACAAGATTCGGAGTGACAAAGAACTCTGGCGATCATCCAGAATTCATAAAACTACAGTTACACCACCAAAGGCGGTTCTTAACGGGCAGAGGAGTAGAGTGTAGCCCAGGATGCTGCAGCACAAACTTCACCCAGGGGAACTCCCTTGAGTGCAGTCCAAGATGTAGAGACACTCCTGGTTGAATGGCCCTTGACCTTAAGAGGCCTCTCTTTTGACCTGTATGCCTCCTCAATATCCTTGACAATCCATCTGGAAAGCCTCTATTTGGACAGAGCCTGCCGCATCCTATGGCTTCCATCCCAGACAGATTATCAAAGGTCACCTGTATATAGAGTTTCAATGCTCCCACAGGACAGAGCTGTTCAGCTGAAGCAACTCCCCCCTTCTGCAGGGATGATGGCTCAAAAGCTGCCAGCTCAATAGCCTGGTTGAAATGGCCTGAAGCCAGCTACTCCAGGCCAAAGTGCTACTCCTGCACCACTTCCTCCTGCACATGCATGCATCCCTCACTGACAAGGCAAGGAGCTCACTCACCTATTTTGCTGTCACCATTGCAAGAAGAAAGGCAATCTTGCCAGACAGTTATTTTATCCCTTAGACCCCCTTTAGGGTTCAAAAAGCAAAAGGCAAAGGGTCTACAGCACTAAGGGCAGGTCCCATGAGGGAACTTTTATAGCCTGCTTAGGGTTCAACCGACGGGCTCCCCTGAGAAGCTGGGTTATAAGAGTGTGAAAACCTAGGGTCTGGTTATCAATTCTAACATGCCATGCTGAGATTGCAGCCACATAAATCTTCAAGGTGGAGACAGAGCACCTTTTCTCCAGCAAGGACTGCAAAAAATGCAGCACTTCCTGTTGACAATGAGTGTCCTTATGGAGGGTGCTGTTAAGTACTGAGTAGTGCCCTCGGGCTCCCACAGGGCCACACCCATAGCTGCAGCCGTTACGTACACAGATGCTATATGCTACTCCCCAAACTGCAACAGCAGGCCCCACCTCCTGGGCAAATACCATGGAGCCCCAATCAGGAGCTCTTACATCCGTGGAAACCAGAGTCTTCCTGGCCAGTTTGGGGCTATTAGCAGGAAGCTGTGATTGTTCTGTCGCTCTCTGTGTAGCATTGCTGCTATCAGAGGGAATGGTGGAAAGGCATCGAGGAGGCAATCTGGCCAAATACTCGACCTGCGCATGCATGAGACAGAGATCCTGTGTTAAGAACTACCTCTGGCAGTCAAGAAGAATGAACTAGAACTGATGGGGAATATTTTGCATTTATAAAACAAGTAAAATATCCAAGTTGAGGGGAATGAAGTCGAGGGGTGATTAAAAAAACAACATCATTTTCTAGTTCTTAGCACCCTTGCAAAAGAAATTTTTGTAAATTGATTCAAGGTTTTAAAAAATTATGATTTAAGGCTTGTTTAGTGCTGCATCCTCCTCGTAGCTTTTTAACATCAAGGTCAGAGCTTGCTCAGTAGGGCTCAGTCTCACTTCAGTGCTCTTGAGAAACATTATCAGCAGTTTAATGTTTTTGCAAATGCAAAGTATCCTAGAGGTATGTGACAAATTATACTTACAGATATAACTAATATAGATAGAACTTTAAGATCATTTGTCAGCACCAATTTATGCAGAATTTCATGTCTTCTGGTGTTGCCCTATCAGTACAGCCTCACCACCTCCCTTTCAGGTTGGCAGTCTCGCTATGTCTGAAACTTAACAGCCTTTACCTTATCTAATTCTTCACAGAATTTTATTTGGTTGCAGCAGTAGTCAGTTAGTATGTGTTTAAGTAGTTTACAGCTTGTTGGAACACAGAACTAGAGGTCTTTTTTCTCTACACTGTTTATTAACTGACTGATGAAGATGTAAATGCTCATGCTCTTAGGTGGTAAGCACATGCTTCTCGGACAGTTTTTCTTGCCTACAAATTACTAATTAATGGGGCATGCCTGTTGTCCAGTACTGTGCAAACTACGGGCTGCAATAAGTTTGTACCATTACTAGAATTACTGTAGAGAGCAAATACAAGCAAATAGCCGTTAGTAAGGAAGAAATTTGATTCTAATTCTGATTTAATATTTTACAACTTCCTTACAATACGATATGATACGATACGTTACGATACGTTACGATACGATACAATACGACACAATACAATACAGTACTCTTTATTGTGCCTGTTGAGAATCTGGTTTTGGACTCAAGTGCTGCAGACATTTTGCTGCTTCTAAATTAGAATTGTAAATACAAAAAAAACAACCCACATGTAAACAAAGACACAAAAGTGCCTTTAAATAGGGTGATATAGTGATTTATAACAACATGAGGCAAAAAGATGCAGTCCATGTGAATGGGAAACAAGTAAAGCGATGCCACCGATGATTTGATATGTGTAGTTTTGCCAGAGCAACAGAAACACGTTTGTAAATGTTATAATGTAATTCTTTTTTTTCCTGTGATGAGAGTGTATTCACCTCTGTTGCACTCGGATTGTGAAATAAACATAAATCAGAGACTTTAATCCCCAAAGCATACCAAATAAATCCCTAAGTATCTGTTTTGACATTTACCACCACAAGTAAGGGTTGAAATTATTATTATTATCATTCTATTTGGAAGAACTAAACCTGTAAAACACGTTCTTGTTTTCCTCTCACAGAGCTGGTCGTGCTTCAGTTCAATTCAACTGAGGCAGAAAACCAAACAGGTAAAAGCAGGCACAGCTACCGCAAAAGTGTTGCCAGATTTTTTTCCTCTACATATAGTTTGAGTCTTTAAGTTTGAGCCTGACTTTCTTTTCTATATGCAGCCTCGTGTGAGGAGGAAGACTGCAAGACACACCAGATCTGTGAGCACAGCAGCTCTGGAATCAAGAACTGCACGTGTGCTGAAGGCTTCTACGGTGACAAGTGCGAAGGTATTGTTCACTTAATGCAGGAAGCTGAGCAGGTAGAGAGCAGACTGGGGTAGTTAAAGAGAATCTCTGCTATCCCACAGGAATTTGGAGCCATGCCCCTGGAAGAGGCTGCTGTGATGATGGATTATTGTAATTATCAAAACTGACACAGCCTCACCCGGTTTACTACGGGAATCAGTCGCTTGATGTTGTGAATAATTGTTTTATAGCACATTTTTATTAGTTTACCAACAAGAGGAAGTGCTTTGTCTAGACTTGAAAAGGCCTCTTTATGAGTCAAAGCTGCTCTTTGGTATTCAGGTCATTTCTTCAGACAGAGCTGTTGAAATATGCATGCTTCCACACCGCTACTTGCTCCTCTGGAAGTTAGCCACTACACCTCACTGGAGGTTCAAGCACAGCTGCTGCTTGCATAACCAAGGGGCAATTTAAACACAAAATATGTAAAACTCAATCACCCTCTACTAATGCTTCATTCCTTCCTTTCATAGATGCATATTAAGTCATTCAACTTAAGGTTTTTTGCTTGGATCTTATTGTATTTATTTAGGAAATGACCACTGAGCAATTAAAGCCAACTTAGGCTCCCATGAGAGGTCAGTGTCAACCTCTGATAACAGTCACTGCAAAGTTTTTCCCCCATCACAAGCTCTCTAATAGTATTTGAGCTCATGCAAATGCATGCTACTTCTCACCCTTGAGCTGAAATAACTATCTGTGCTTATATAGGCTCTCTTAAATCTTCTAAATACTTTCCTGCCTGGCTCACTTGGAAGGCACAGTGGAAAAAGGAGCATGATCCTCCAAGGAAGAGAAAGTAGTGGGACACAGAAGTGCCTAATCAGGTTCTCAGATCAAAGGGCCCGGGCTGCACAGGTGGCCAATGAAAAGTGTGTCTTGCTAATTAACAATCCATTAATTACCCTGAGGCACATACATTTTACTCGCAAAATATGCTCCATATCATCAGAAAAATAATGCCCTCCACCGAGCTCCCGGGACTTCAAAGGGGAACCATTTAGCTGCGATACGGCCATGTCCTTTGATCCACCGCTGCAACTAGGAAGCAGAGGAAAATAAAAACATTCCTACCATTTGTACAGGGCGGATGTGCAGCATGCTGATTGGTAATCTTCCAGTCCTGTGAACTGTGTTGGAAAAGAGAAATGACAGCAAATCAATACGAAGTTTACAGTAAAGCAGATGAAAGACACTCGGCATATGGTACACATGTTGACCATTTATGCCTTCTGTCTTTGTTTACACTCAGGCCAGCACTGTAACATAATTTCAGGACCTGCTTTCAAGTCGATGCAGCAGACTTTCCTCTCTCTGACATGCACGTGCTCTCTTCTTTCTCTTTTCCTGTGTCTGCAGAGGAGTGTCTCTGCCAGAATGGGGGTGTCTGCGTGGACAACAATGGGACCTGTAAATGCCCATCAGGTTACACAGGACTCTACTGTCAGTTTGGTGAGTATGATACTAATAATGCTATTAAGGTGTAGGGCTGAGTTTGAGCAAGAATCTCTGGACATGGTTCCTATGGGACAAGGGTTATATTTCAAACTATTGTGGTGTGAGATTTAAAGGAACTGTCACTGTCAAAGATGCGTGTTTGACATTTGAGTTTAAGGTTCTTCTTTTCTGCAAAAATGCAGCAAAATGTACAATTGTACTTATCACTGCCGCTGACCCACTGTTCTGACAGTCTCAGCAAAGGAATGAACATGTAACTTTATCATTAAAAACCAAATCAATCTTAGCACTACAACTACATTTTGAAACCTGTGCTGTATTACAAACAAATACCGGGATACTGTGGTATTAGGGTGACAACTAATAGAAAATCAAATATCAGTAGGAGTGCAATGGGTTAGTTCCTCCACAGGTTTCAGGTGGGAATTCACAAAGCTCTGCAGTTTTTTTGCAGTTTTCTTGCATCTTATTGTGAGTGAGATGAGCTGTCAGTTTCTCTCTGCTGCACAGAGCTGCACTGTGAGGTCTCATCCTGAAAACCCTTATTATATCCAAACACACAATGAGCTGGATGTGGACGAGTAATCCTTACCTGTTTATTGGGGATTTGATTGATGGCAGATGTGACACAAATTTCCCAGTTTTTATCAGTCTCATTTCTGAAGGGAGTTTGTAAAGCAGCTTATTCATATTAGAAGTAAAGACACAGTTTTCTGTTTATTTAAGGTACTATAAGGAGTTTTTCAGTGTTTATGAAATAGACTGAAATTCTCATTGATGACTCTTCATGATATCCAAAAGTAAAAAAGAACATCAGGGACAAGATTGCGTATTTGTATGTAGTCATTTTTAATGCCTGAAACCAGTGCAACAGGGCAGGTGTCAGCCAGGCAGCTAAAAAAGCCATTTTCACAAAAAAATATTCACCATAAATAATGCATTTAACTGTCAAAGTCAGTTGTAGTGCTGCATGGTATATCATTTTATCGTCGTCATCCTGATGTACGTGTGCGCAACACTCACATTGCAGAGCCTGCCATATAGTAGGCAAATGAACTCACCTAATTTTTAAGGGTAGCTGACTGACATACACTGCATGTGACTCTGCATGTGCTGTGCAGTGATCCACCAATCACATTCATACTCAGCTGCCAATCAGACTACCCTGCCAGCCGTCAATCAAAATCAGAGAGGAGGAAACCACGCCCCTGCACATGACCTGCACACTGAGTGAGTCGCTGGCACTGCTGGTGTTGAGCTGAGAAACGCGTGTCCGCTGAGAATTACTTTCGGAACATTACTCATCACTGTTTAGCCCCAGAAATAAGAATTGTTTGGGTTTTAAATTGTACATTTCCATGGACCACGGATCTTCTATAAGAGGTGCGCGTTTCCACGAGGTGCATACAATTCTTGGTGGACATGCGTTTCTCGGCACAACACCGGGAACAACAATGCTTGCAAAATGAGCAATGAACAAGAAAAAAAAAAACAGAATATGGAGACTTGTTGCTCAAAAGTAAAGCAACGTCAGTTATCTGGAATTATTTCAGTTCCAAGAAGAATGATGTCGACCAAACAAACATGTGTTCTGTGTCGGCAGTACCTTTCATTGGTTGCCACAATGAGAAATAACAAGTCCCAGCACAATAAAAGCAAGCTAAAAAATATCTCTAAGAAAGACAGAAGCCATTCTAATAACATTTACAAAAGATAATTGTCCACAAGACTTCAGCAGTGCAGTGTAACATAAAGTGCTGTGTGTGTGTGTGTGTGTGTGTGTGTGTGTGTGTGTGTGTGTGTGTGTGTGTGTGTGTGTGTGTGTGTGTGTGTGTGTGTGTGTGTGTGGTCATATTGGCAACAATACTCAGTCCAAACGATCAAGTTCTGATGAAAAGCTTTGGCTCTGTTTGAAGCTGAAAGTGTAGAACCAGGACCCATTTCCCCAAAAAGCATGAACTTGTCTTCCTCTCAGAAGTAACCCAGACGCCATGCAGTAACAGCAGGCCATGCCCTGATGGAGGTCCTTGTTTGGAGTATGGAGGAACTTACCTGTGCACCTGTCAGACCAGTGGATCAGAGCTCGATCCCAAGGACATTTACCCATATGGTAAGACACTCAGGCACCAACCCAATAACAAGTCATTCTGCAGCTATGTGTCATTGCATCAGTGCTGGTTGCTGTGGCTACCAGCACATTCTTAAACACACTGGTCTGGACAACTGTCACCCTCTCCTTCTAAATAAATGGTCTTATTTGCAGTTTACATTTACAATGTGGAGACACATTTCAAAATGATTTATGCCAATGGATGATTTTGCATTTTATCCAATCTGGGAGTGACAAATAATGTGTGTGTTTATAAGTCTGGGCCTAACACTAGATTAAAGTAATGAATGTGGTGTTATGTTTCCCCAATGCAAATGGAACACAGTCAAGTCTCGGTGTGTATTTTTCAGTACAGCCCCGATCAGTCTGCGACTCCTCCCCGTGTCTAAATGGAGGCTACTGCTACGAGCGGGATGGAGGCTACAGCTGCGAATGCAAATACGGATACTGGGGGAAGCACTGTGAAAAAGGTAGCATTTTTGAGGAAAAAAGCTTGCAGAATCCCATCATTAATCATGCATTATTACTCAGACTTAAATGCACTAGGAAATGTGCCATTACTCACGATAATATTTGATATACTACAAAGCTAAAAGGATTATGGTAAATTGTGCTTATGATTGAGTTTTGAGCTGTTTTCCTGACCCAAACTGTAATAGACTGAGTGGTACCAACTTCAAGGACTCCACTCTCCTTGTCTCTTTCCAGTTAGACTTAATGCCTGTGCTTCTGGTCCCTGCCGCAATGGAGGTTCCTGTAAGGAGGAGGCAGGGAGCTACAGATGTGTGTGTCCTTACAGATTTACCGGGAAACACTGTGAAGTGGGTGAGTGCAAACCTCATACAAAAAAAACAAGTGGTCAGTGCAACTGTTGCAGTTGAGTCTCAGCAGAGTTCTCAGGGTTTAAGTCCAAGTTGCACCACCAAATACAAATACAAGTCAGGTCCTAACTAATAATATGGTGATTGTTTTCATGTGCTGTTTGACTCCACACTATTCTCTGTATGAACCTGGACAGACTGTGTGCGACCTTTGGATGTGCAGAAAACATTTTTTTAATTAATGTGTTATAGTAGACTATAGTATAGACTTGAAACATCAATAGGGAGTGAAAATACACCCTGTTGTTCACTTTTAGGAAGACCCAAAAGCTGTGGTTGGATCACTGCAGTTGTCTAGTAAACTTAAATATACCTGTAACCTTTATACAAAGCAGAATATATAGAACTAAACATCTTTGACCAAGTGGTTCTGTCACTCTGGTTGCCATCATTTCTGTTAGTGTGCTTACGGTAGCGTAAACAACACTTTGACTTTGACTTTGATACTGCTCTTAGTTTTCTCTCTGTTTCAGTTTAAGGTGGTCTGCATCCTCTCTTTATTAACATATCCAACATGCTGCACTGCTCTTGCTTCGATTTACAGCGAAATGCTGTATCAGCGGCACACAGATGCCCTTGTGGGTTAGCACACCCCACTTTTGGGGACCCCAGTCCCTGCAGTGGTCGCAGGTTCGAGTTTGCTCCCGACCATGTGCCGCATGTCCTCCCCCCTCTCTCTCTATTGCTCCATACTTCCAACCTGTCCTATCAATAAAGGCAAAAACTCACCAAAAAAAATACTTTTTTTGAAAATGCTGTATTAGTGGTTCTTGTTCGCACCAATCTGTTTTATTGGTGCTCTTCTGTATTAGCATAATGCTTAACAGTTTTTACCAACTGTTTTGCTTTGAATTACTGAGTGATGATGTGTGAAACAATCTTGTTTTTATGTGAGGCGTAGAAATGACGAATAAAAGGAATCTGTCATTTTTAACTGAATGAGCACAAAACAAAGATTCACTGGCAGAATTAGACGTATAAAGACATGCACTGCAGTCAAAGGACAAAGTCACAGATTTGGGGACTTATAAGATGATTCTTGAAGTTCCTGTGAGGAACTCTTAGTTAATGTTGATTTGGTGACTCCTGTGGACAAAGCGTTGTGTCTTGCCCCTGCTGATTTTGTCCTGCTCTTGAATAGGTAATGTTTTCAGACAAAGGTAAACTTATCTCACTAGCTATGCTGTAAGGAATATGAACAAATTGTGTTTTTCCTCTAAACCTTACCTGTTGCAGGCAAACATTCAATCATGTAACTGATGGCCTTGTTTGCTTTTGCTTTTTCCTTTTGCCTTGTTTTTGGCTGAATTGTGAATTCTTTTCATTAGAGGTAGGATAGATTTCATCAACTTATCTTTGTATCCAGCTTTTCAAAGTATCTTTCAGGAAATTATGGATAATTCAACACATTACAATTTGACTTTGACTAATCCTGAAAGGAGAGATCACATTAACTTTCAGCTCAGAGCTTTTTGCTGGCTTCCTTTGCCTTTGGGGATTTATTTCTGACTCCTTTGACTTGTTTATGAAGCCTCAGATAACCTACCAGCTTACTTACTGGTAATAAGCAACTTCCTACGAGCTCATGTTCAAACAAGAACTCTCAGATCTGCCACTGCCTTTCTTTTAAATGAAAGAAGCTTCCTGTTTTTATGGCCCAAAACTGTGGTATCTTTGAAATCTAACACCTCTTTTGAGCTGGCTTTTAATTTTTCATTTCATTCCCATTTTATTAACATTTGTATCTGTTAGTTTTTATACTTGTGTTTCTTTTCATTTCAGTTTGCTTTTGTTCAAACACTTTACAACCCAGTCTTGGAAAGTATGCTAAGCTACCTTTTTACATTGAAGGTATTACACAAACATGATAATTTTTATCACTGAAATAATTACTTGCATGTGTTTTTTTCCTCCAGGTAAGCCAGACCCCTGTGCCTCAAGCCCCTGTCTGAACGGAGGGACGTGTTTTCACTACATAGGAAAGTACAAATGTGAATGCACTGAGGCCTTCAGTGGCAGGCACTGTGAAATCAACATGAGCTCGTTACAAACTTCCACAGGTGAGCCGCAAATCATGTCTTTCAACATGATAATGCTAACATCTGATGTTGAAGTTTGAATGAAGTGGGCTGGAATAAATCTGGCACAGAGAGCGGATATCCTGGGATGTTCAGTCTAAAGATATGTGCCCTCCATCTGCAGATAATATTAGCTGTGTTGCTGCACTCAGGGCCCCACATTCACAGATACAGAACAGTCGCATGGGCTAAATATAAAAAAGGACGGTATTAGACGAGATGAATCATGTCTACACACTTTAAGAGCATGCTGGAGGTAATATTAGAGGGACCGAAACAGAAAAAGGATGGAAAACACCGTCACACTGAGCCCCTTTTAAACCCCCTCTGTGTCTGATCTGGTGTTACTATGCAGCCGTGCTCACGTCACAAATGTGTTTGTGTTCATTTTAGAGCCAAGCTGTGGGGCCCCCCCACAAGTGAGGCACGCCGAAGTCCAGTTCTCCTCGACAACACCGGGCTCAGTGGCTGTGTATGTGTGCCATTCAGGCTTCATGTCTGTGCCCAGAGCCACCCAGAGCATCTGTGGCATTCAGGGAGACTGGAGCCAGCCGCCCATCTGCGAGGGTTGGTAAAATACTCAAACATATTCACACAGTCAATGCTCCTTTAAAAAAGACTCAAGTCAATAGATTAGTTACATCGAGATGTGTGAGGCTGTCTTTGTTGTTCAAGTGTTTTTCTTATCTTTTGTTCATTACAGAGATCAATGAATGCCTTCTTAAACCGTGTCTTAATGGCGGTACGTGTAGAAACCAGGTTGGATCCTACCACTGCGAGTGTGCTGATGGCTTCTTAGGAAAACGCTGTCAGACAGGTAAAACTGTTCAAAAATGACAGTTTTTCTTTGATTTTACCATCAGAACTCTTAACAAAGGGAGTGAAAACTAAGGGGGCAATGCCACAATCCAATAGAATCACTCCCAAAAGCCATTGTTTGTGTACACAATTTGTTTCTTTATGCACAATTACAGATTAAAACTGTATCATGCAAAGACGAAACCACAAGGAAGCATGATTCAACTGCTAGTGACTTCTCTGGGCCTAAGGGGAAGTGGAGGACTATCTTTTGGTCTTACAAGTCAGACTTTGGCATAGTTTTTTTTTTTTTCTTTTTTTTTTAAACAAGCATCTGTGATGGTGTGGGGATGCACTAGTGGGAGTGCAGCTTTCATACACTATTTGAGAAGGGACCCTTTGCTTTAGGGGGCAACATACAGTATACTGCCATTCAGACTATGTAAGGCCTTGCAAATTTCAGTGAGACAGTACCAAACTGTATTTTGCACATATTCCAACAGCATGGCTCTGTAAAAGAGGTCTTCTACTTGGCCTGCCTGCAGTCCTTACTTGTCACCCATTGAAAACATTTGTCGCATCATGAAACAAAAAATAAGACAAAGGAGTCTCAAAACTGTTGAGCTGCTATAATCCCCTATCAGGCAAGAATTGGGCAAATATTTCACTGTAAAAACTCCAGAAACTGGTCTCCTGGGTTCCAGAAAGTCTACAGTGTTGTCAAAGAAGAAATAATGCAGCAGGCCCCTGTAGCATCATTTTTGAAACCTGTTGCTGGAATCAAATTTCTTATTGAGTATATATTTTGGGCTTAAATATTTTGCTCCTACACTATTTAAATTGAATTTGATCATTAAATTTAGATTTGATCCACATTTAATAATGAATCACAAATTCTTGGGAATTGGGGCTCTCATAAAAAAAAAAAAAAAAAAATAGGGTTCCCTGTTTTTACATTTTTTGACCTGTTGTTTTTTTTTAAAGGCTTTCTGAGTGAAAACTCCAGACAGTTTGTTGTTTGTAACAAGCCATACTTCAAGATATGAGTGAGAAGTTTTTATGCCATGTGTTCATTAGCAGTTAGAATAATCAACACATTTAAATGTCATGTGCCTGCAAGTACCTATGGCTCCTGTGTATATCTGTATCCTTTCTCATTTTAGATGTAAACGAATGCCTGATGGAGCCTTGTCTGCATGGGGGAACATGTGAGAACCAGCCTGGCTCTTATTTGTGTCACTGCCTACCAGGATTCGAAGGCACAAACTGTGAGACAGGTAAAGAGTTCACTCAGCCTGTGTTTATTTTTAAAGCTTTTAACATACAGATCATACAGAACAGTGATCAAATTCTGCCTTTACCATCTCTGTGCAGAGCAGGACGGGTGTGAGTCCAATCCCTGTCTAAATGGAGGTGTGTGTCGCGGTTATAGACAGAACTATTTGTGCGTGTGCAAAGATGGTTTCTTTGGAGACCAGTGCCAGATGTGTAAGTGTGACTGCATTACAAGCTTATTCATAAAACTCTTGCTCTTGTGTGGTTTTCTACTAACTGTCTTTGTCAACCTCTAGTGGAGAATCCATGTGTACTGCAGCCTTGTGGGAACCGTGGCCAGTGCAGGAGTGACAGGAGAGGGAATTACAACTGTATTTGCAAAGTGGGACACACGGGCAAAGACTGTGAGAAAGGTAAGAGCCAGAGACCGGCTTTGTCAGCTTGTCATCTGTCACCTCATCCTTTGTATATTAAGGACAACTCTGCAATTATTTAATGTATGGATTAGACATGTAAGGTTGCCACTGTTCCCAGACCTGTTGCCCCCCTCTGGTCTCCATGTGCTGCAAGTGGAGGAGAATGAGGTGGAGTTGCGGTGGGACGAGCCGGATCCCTCTCATAGTCTGATCAGTGGGTTTGTTGTCACTTACGGTCCTCACGGATGGAGCAATCGTAAATCAGACTCTCTGGACAGACAGAAGACCTCTCATGTCATGCGAGGCTTGGTGCCTGGCCTGCTGTACAACATCTCCACCTTTTCTACCAAACGCAACACCAACAGCAACGACATCAGCCAGCCTGCCACTGCACTGATACGCACAAGTACGCACTCTCTTTAGGACTATAAGCTGGCCCCTGGCACATACTTTATACGAAGAGTTTAAATGCCTCTGTTTGTGTGCTGGTTAGTTCTTTAATGCAAACATGTTCCTGTGCTAGGACCTCGGCGGGTGGAGCAGCTGCAGGTGCTGAATGTGTCCTCCTCTCAGGTGTGGCTGAGCTGGCTGGTTCAGGCAGCACGCCATGCTGCTGTCAGCAGGGTGCATGTGTCTCTGATGCCTTCAGATGGGAGTGAAGCTCGCACTGTTGTGCTCAACACCAGCACTGCTGAGCACAGCTTCAGGTCAGCTTCTGCACTGCTCGAAAAAAGGACACTTTATATAAAGGTCTATTTAATGCACATTAATAAGTATAATTATAAAACACTTATAGGACCGTATAACATGCTTATGAACATTTGTAATTGTTAATAAGATTAAAGTTAAGCATAGGTAGCACATTTATTATTGCATATGACATTATTGCTTTTAAGAATTTCTTCTCCTTCTTGAGACACTGTTCCCTCTTTATATCCAATAGCTGCATAAGGAGCATTTCAGCTGTTATTAACTGCATTATACAGGACTTGGTAATCTTTACAGAGCATTAATCTTAACATTTTACAGTGTATTCATGGTAAAGAACATTTATTCAAAGTTTATAAGTGCTCTTTAAATTCTTAACAAGATTTCAGTCAGTGCTTATAGGGGAACCTATAATCAATGAAAGATGTTAGCTTGAATTGCAATTAAGGCTTATACAGTTGTTGATTAAAATCTCATTAGGTTATAAATGCTCATTAGGTTATAGATGCAGTTCCCTGCTAATGTTTCAAGCTTACGATATAATGTTCATTCATCTTTGTGAACCTCTATAAAATATTAATTAATGTCAATAAACATCATGTTGATGTTTAGAACTTGTATAAAAACTGTTAACAAGTGTCTAATGAGAGCTGTAAAAGGTCTTAAAAAATAATGAATGTATTAATTATTCTGTTATTAACTCTTACAAATGTTTTAAAGCAACTTAGAAGGTCTGAAATATGGCTTATTAACAATTAATCAATACTTATTACAAGGGTCTTATTGTAAAAGTTAGAAAAAAGTTCCAAGACCTGCAGCTTTCTTTTTGTCCACTTGATGGTGCTGTTGAGGTGCTGCACTTTGGGCGTTGATGCGGCTTTTATTTTTAACCACTAGATGTCGCTGTTTAATCACTGGTTTCAGGATGCTGATAATGTGTGCTATTGCTGTAGCGCCAGATAAATGAGTCTTTTTCTCTCTGCAGTTCATTACGCCCAGGACAAATGTACACAGTAGATGTTGTGACTCAAAGTGGAATCAGACCAGATGAATTCCCTTCCACCAGCCACTCATCTGGACCTCTGCAGTTCTGGACAAGTAGGTTTCAAATCATCAGCAGCTGCATGTGAAACTTTATTTTTATTAGAACTGTAATGATATGACAGTTGACTTAAGTTTAATGTTTTTTTATTCAAAAGTTATTATAAACATAACAATTTATCACCACAGAGCATACAAAATGTACACAGTGCATCTGGATAGTATTTACAACGCTACACTTTTTTCACATTTTCTTGTGTTACAGCTTTACTCGTAAATGCTTTAAATTCATGTTATACCTCAAATTTTGGTTTGAAACTTTTGCAAATTTGTTAAAAATGAAAAACAAAAATACAACATGTACATAAGTTTCTTACAGTGTTGGCTCAGTACTTTGTAGTTGCACCTTTGGCAGTAATTACAGCATCAAATCTTTTTGAGTGTAACACTTCGAGCTTGGTGTTAAAAAAAAGTGTCGCACTGTGAATACTTTCTGCATAACAAATCAGCTTAGGTGTTTCAGTGAGGAAGCAAAAATGCAAGTTTAACTCTGCAAGAAAGCAATGTGTGTGTGCTTTTTAATCGTGACAGTTTTATGACTTGAAGCAAAGCAAAAGGCAACACAAGTTCGTAAGTATGCACATCACAGCAACGAGACAACTCAAAGTGCTTCACACAAGACATGAAAAACACAATGACAAACGGCAAAAATGCACTCTACATGAGGAGGTTAAATAGATTTGAATAAGTCAATTAAAAGAGAAGAAAATACAGTTAGATTACACAAATGACGCAACTAAGGGTTTTGAAGCCAGACACGAAACCAAGTGACAGTCTCACATGTGTTTCTCCCTCAGGGCCTCTTCCCCCACAGAACCTCTCCCTGTCACATGTGACCACTAACTCTGCCCTTATCACCTGGAGCCGCCACCCGAGAAGTGTCCTAGACGGCTTTGTGGTCAATGTGACCCGAGGACTGAATACCAGAAGTCGCTTCCTGCCTAACGGGAAGTTAGGCTCCTACACTCTGCGAGAACTGACTCCGGGACAGCATTACTATGTGGCTTTAACATCTGTCAGAAACACAGGACAGGAACAGATCCACAGCATACCTCAACATCTAGCCTTCATTACCTGTGAGTGTCTGTGTTTGAGGAAAACAGACTTTCATGAACCTTCATTTTGATAATTACTACACTATTTTAGCATGGAGGGGGCCATGGGAATCATTTCTCCTGTGCAGATGTTGATGCATAGGTTGAAGTGAAAACAAAGCAGGACTAGATGTGCCTTGAGATACAACATTTTGTATGCTAAATGATAACTTAAACTCTATATTTCCTTTGACCCAGTACCCATGGAGGCTAGACCAGGGAGGAGAGAGAGGCCGACACTAACTGGACAGGGAACGCAGACTGGACGTACCACAACCCCATCTCAGCCTCAGGACCTGGGAGGTACAGCAGAAACAGAGAACTCAGAGGAGCTGCACAGGTACACACAATTATCGATGGATATTCATTTACAATCAGTTTTGATAATGGGGATCTGCAGGATTTATTGTGACTATAAACACCTCACAAATTTATCTGTAATTTTTTATTATTCAGGTGGAAAGCGTATACAAATATTCTTTTCAAATGAAGTACAGATACTGTGATAAAATGTTACTGAAGGTGAAGTAAACAGACTGTTTTGTGAATCTACTCAAGTAAAGAAAAAAAAAGAAACTTAATTTAAAATTGACTTTAATTATTGGACTTTGAGGATTTTTAGCCGAGGGATAAGAAGTGATGATATAGGGATCAAGGTGTAACCTCCCAGTAGTTGCAAAGCATATTTTCAAGTTAAATGTTGAAGTATGACCAACAGAAGATCATTAATGTGTGAAGGGATGTTGTTGTCTGTTTAAAGTCACTGAATATTTCTGTCACAGTACCCTGCTTCAAACCACAGCCTGCTTTAGAAATAGTTAATCTAATATTGTTTAGCTTACATGACGGCTGGAACTGATGAAAATCTGATTGTGGCACACTTTAATAAGGTTGGAAAGAGGTTTCACTTTGGTAAAAGTGATGTTTCCTTCATGATCTACTGACCTTTAAAAAACAAGCCCGTAAAAATATTTCCAACTTTTTTGTGCCCACAGCCATCAGACTTAATAATTCTTCTGTAAATAGTAGATGACTTTCTTCTTCTTCTTCTTCTTCTTCTTCTTCTTCTTCTTCTTCTTCTTCTTCTTCTTCTTCTTCTTCTTTGACTTGAGTACCTCTGGTTGGGATTTCAGAACAAACTTTTCACTTTTGCAACTCAGTAACTGATACAGTGTGACATGTAGAGAAGAACAACAACAGCCACAAAAATACTTGAGTACAACTACTGATTCGAAAGAATCCACTCATTAGTACAAGAAAAGGTACTTTGTTACTTTATTTAACTTTAGTAAATGTAATTAGTTACTGTTTATACCACTGATCCAGCCTCCAGTGGTGTAAAGAGTAAAAACAGAGTTTCTCATACAAGACACAGAAATGTGTACAAAAATCAAATCAGTGATCAGAGATAGGCTGAGTCTGACATGTTCAGAGGGAAAGAGGTAGCATGCTGATAAAGCACATCACCATGGTTAATTACAGATAAAAAGGCTGCTTGGACAAGTATTTTCATGGGAAAGGCAATTCAGTTTAACACATTTAATTACCTCTTGGTTCAAAGTGAGAATCTGACGTTCATCTGTCCCTGTCTTCATAGACCATGAAAAGTATATAAATTTTATCTTACTGGCATTTAGGACCAGACTTCATTTACAAAGACTTGTCTGGACAAGATTAAAAGTAGCTCATAGTTTTTTTTTTTTATGCAATAGTTATTGCTCTTGTATTTCAAATAGATAATTAAAAGGGCATAAGTCAATGATTCAGAATCATACAGTTTTTAAACCTTGAAGTTTTCATGTTATTGAAGCTTTTGTCATTGATATATTTAAAATGTTTGTTTGTTTGTTTTTGCCGTCTATTAACTCAAGTGGCATCTGTGTTGCAGATACACAGAGCTCATTGACAGACGAGGAAAGATTACAGCCAAGTTCCCTCACCTGCCCCGAAAAGCCATCAGGCATCGTACCAGTAAGTCCAAGAGAAACCAAACATCTGATTATCATTTAACAGAGAGCCAGCTCTACAGTGCTGTTTGACAGTATTATATTTACATGGTTTATTGTTTTATTCAAAGTATCAGACTATATTTGACATAATGACACAATAAAGTATCCTGTTTCTGAAGCCAGATTAATCCATAACATCCACTGACATATATCGAACCACAAATCTGCTATACTGACATTCTTCTACAGACTGAAAGATCAGTTTCACAGTTCGATTTGCTCAGTATGTTTAAACAATGATCTGCTTTCAGATAGATTATCTTTGACCTCAGTCTTCTGTCCATATGGTCTGTAACATACTCGAGGATGTTTGGATGACTTGAAGCTGCTCCTCTAATGTAAACTGGACTCTCATCTATCACACAAACAGAAACAGTCGATGTGACAAATGTTGTTAAACTCACCTAGTTGAAGCCTGACATGAGAAAAAACATTAAACTTAGGGGTCTTTCAGTCATAACAACAAAAAAGTTATTTCAGATGTTAACTTTTGCTCCCATATTACCTCCTGTTGAAGAACTGTTCTCACCATATTGATGATATTGCTTTTGACCACTTTGTCAAATCAATAATGTCATATATCCGTATTTGAAGCTGGGAATACAAACAACTTTTCTGTGTGTCTCAGTTATTTACAGTTCAATATAAAAATTTGTCATCCATTGTACCTTTTTCTTTTTCGCTGATTCATGACTGGAAAAGTTTTGCCTTGCAGAACCAGACCCTCCTGTTAAATTGGAGAAGATGGAGGAAACAACAAACAAAATCAGCCTTGCACTTGAGACTCAAGAAGAAGGCTTAAAACCAAAACCTGGTAAGTGGTTTTGCGGTTTGCATTGGTTCCAGTGCAAACATGAGAGAGATGCTTTTTTGGAAAGCAACTTCTTCCTGGTCTTTATTTATGATTTTCATTTATGATTGATGGTTGTTCTGACAGTCAGTGTTTGATTTAAATGTATGTGAGAGTGCTACCCTCGTAGTACAAAGGGAGAGCATAGGGAAGAAGTGGTGCAGCAGTTTGCGGTTATCAACACATGCTATCAGCTGTGGGTAATGTGGGGTATCAGGGCTGAAACCTGACACTCACTCTCATTCTTCACTGTGGATATTGACGGCAGCTGTTGTGTTTTAGAGTCACCACAGGACTGCCGCAGTCTGCAGTGCCAGAACGGGGGTACATGTGTGGACGGAGGCGATGCCTTCATCTGTGACTGTGCAGGGGGGTTCAAGGGCAGACAGTGTGAACTGTGTAAGTATGTCTGCTTCATCTGCATGCATACACACACACTCACACTGAGGGAAACATCCAAGTAAATACATCATTGATCTGTTTATGTGTGCTGAAACAGACGGACCAGAGCAAATCTTGGTGGTGTTGGTTGAAAGGCAGGTTTCGCTCATGGAAAGGGTTTCTCTAAATCATTTAAGTCTTTAAGTCTTAGTAAGATTAGGGGTCTACAGTGATGCTGGTAGCTCTGTGAGGCAGGTATGACGGTGCTTGGAGTTCTGCAAAAGCATTTCTCACATGATGCTGATTTATGAAAATGTAATGAAAGGTGAGGATAGTTGTTAGCCCCATTGGGCCGCCTTCGGGTGGGGCGTAACAAATGATTACTGTCCTCATGTTTAGGATGTTGAGTACTTTTACAACTGTATGACCCCAGCAGGGTTTGGTTTCTCTGCATAGACTCTGCGATCTGACTCATACTCCCTCACTTTTGCACTTCAGCTTTTACCATTTTCTTCTTTTTCTTGTCAGTGAATATCCTGTAACTCTTAGATGTAACCAGGGCCCTCTTAAGAATAAGATTTCCCATCTCAGCGTTACCTGTCCCAATAAAGATATTACAAAAAGGTCCAAATCCCTGTGAGAGTGGTCCTAGTTTTGCAATATCAGATATAATAACCAAACCAAAGAACCAAAAATCTTGAAGAGACAGATATTAAAAACAAATTGCAGGCTTAGATCTTTAAAAATAGAGTTGATACAAAGTGAAAAAAAAGCTCCAAATAGCAAAGAGAATGCTCTAAATGTAAATTGTTCCTGCAGAAATAAGTTACATTCAGAAATGGTGCCTGTGGTGCACAACTTCAGATAAATAATGGATATACAGGCAAAGAAGAACAGACTTTGAAGCTACAACAAGTCATGGGGAGCAAATAGACCTCCTGAACTTTGTGAAACAGCATACTGCTGCAGGGATGCAAACGAATGCAAACGATTTGTTCAATAACTTATTAATTTTTATTGTGTTGAAGTTAAGAGTTTTATCTAATCAGGTATGATAAGGACATAGCTGATTTTGCTGACAGATGAGATTTGTAGTTGTTTGCAAAAGATTTGGCCTCAACTCTACCTCCAGTCAGAGTCATCCTTTCCAGTGTTGCTACCCTAATCTTGAGGCTGCTGAACACCTTTACAGACGCCTCTGGGTTACATTTCTGAGACTATGTTCATGATTTTGTTCAGTCTATGATTTAGACTGTCTAGATTTATGTGTCCTATGTTTCTTTGTGGACTTCTACAAGTCCTGAAATATATGTTAGTTATTCCCATTAGAAACTAAATGTTTGTAAATGTTTGCAGAGTTTTACAATCACTCTTAACAGGATAAATAACACAGTAGATTGCTATTCAAAATATGGTTCCACATACACTCTCCTGTACAGTTTTTCTTACAACAGAAGTTTAACCACATGGAAACATCCATACCCACTCAGATATGTGTTTACCTGTTTTTGCCCAGAGCTTTTGGTGAAAGATATCTGCAGAGCAGCTGTCTGAATGTCATGAGTTTCATCAGAGCTGGATTTACACTTTGTCTTTGTGCTCCCAGGGGCTGTTCTTCTGCTCACTCTCAGTGTGACTGTAACATCTCATGGTGTGAACTTACAGCAGAATCTGTGTTAGATTTGCATGTCATCATGTACGCTGACATGGAGCACTGAGCTATGTTTAGCCTGCTGCTTCTGTAAAAGCAGGAAACATGCTCTGCTGACAGTTGACCCCACTGACATGCCTTATGAATGACTTGGTTAACTTGAAGGCTTCAGGGCATGAATGTATGACATGAGTGCAGTGCCAAAGAAAGGCACAAAGCACCGCATTATTTGCACTACTCTGCTTTCCCTTCTTTCAAAACCAGCCAGAGCGACTATTATAACTCAGTGTTATTCACTGTTAAACTTACCAATGAGGTGGAGGGTGAATGATGCAGCAGCTGTCTATTATCTATAGACAATGTGCTCCTTCGACCCGGTTTAACTCTATATTTACTCCTTTACTGTCTCTCTAAGGCATATCCTTCGCCCAGTTGTCAAAGCTTAAATCGTCTCCCAAATGTCTGGTCTCTTTTCAGCTTTTCTTTCAAATAAAAGCAAAAGTAAAACAAATAAAGGGTTAAAAAAATAAATAAATAACAAATGAATGAGCAAATTCATTTCTCCCAACACATGACATTTTTAGGGTAATGTAAATACAAAAAAGAAATAAAAATTCAAAACAGTAATAAAAGGGGCAAGTGATGTTTGAAATCTTTATAAGAAAAGATTTTAACTCTTTGTAGCAGCCACAAGTATATGGAAAACATCTTGTTTGTCACTGTAACTGCTGACTGGGAGTACTGTTTTCTAAATCCAGTAATAAAGTGGGAAACACAGTGTGAAAACATCCGTTTAAGCCCTCTTATGATCAGATGTCAGTGGAGCTGTACATGAGCAGCACCCTGGTCATCCCTTCTCCCTTCTCGAGTCCTTTTCTTCACCTAAACATCCAGCGACAGATTGTTTAAACATTCCTTTCCTAAAACCATCCATCAGCCGGGGAGCTGCTCCATCTAAACCATCCAGCAGACTCTTTTCCTCCTCACTTGTCAAAACTTCAAACATTCATCCTTCATGTCCTGTGACCACTTTTTGCAGTGTGCCAGCGAGTGCCGCACCCCTGTACCCGCCTGTACTCTGAGACAAAGAGTGTGCCAGTGTGGGAAGGTGGAGTCTGCCACTACCTGTGAGTTTTATCATCCACAGCTCTCCTGTTTCTGGCCCAACGTATAAGTATCATGAACAAGCATAATGTTTAAGCACAAAAAAGTGATCAAATCCATAAGTCTGTTTTGTTCTTTGCAGGTATAAAAGGATTTATAAAGTGCAGCAGGATGTTTGCTATCGGGAGATTTGTGAAACAGTGCCTCCAAAGAGAAATCAGAGTGAGTTTTTCAACAGATTCCTCTTAAGTGTTTTTGGATGATGACAAATGCTATCTTTCTAATACATGTATGTTCACACTCTCAACAGAGAGAAGAACAAACAGACAACAGTAAAGGTTTGTTTTTGTCCTAAAATTCTTGTGTGTTTATCACTGCTACTGCAGAGAATCACAAGTTCTCCATATTTCTCCCAATAATGACTCTTTTCTTTGGTTTCCAGAGCACTTGGATGAAAGGACTGTCATTGCTGTCATGTGATAATCCTAACTTCATTTTTGGTGTTTATAATCTACTTGAAGTGACTGATTATGGTGATGTTTGTGCTGTCAGAACCCACTGTAACATTTTAGAAACATCTGAAAATAAGGTTGTATTTGTTCATTCCTGAGAGCTGAGTGTGTGTGGCTGCGTGCTTCCTCAGAGGACTCCAATCAATCACATGAAAAGCGGCCCGAATTGTTGATGATTTGCGATGTTTGATGACTGATATACCTCAGTTCCACGTCCGTGCTGACACATTAGGAGAGGTTTTTGTGATTCAACTGCAGGTTTATCCCTCAGGGAAAATAACTGTAGAGCTTTCCTTATACCAGCTTTGAAGATGTACTGATAAAGACAATGGGAAATGCTTGTTTTCTCCACACACATTAATTCATCTCTTCCTCTGACAATGGCGCACAGTGTTTTCTTTGTATAAATATCTTTTTTTGTGTCTTAGCAGGCTTCACTGCAGCTCGCTCCTCTGTAAATAGTGTTTATAGGCCATTTTGTAGGTGAATATTTTAATAATAAAAATGTGAAATGCTTTTTTGTTTCTGGTCTTTTTCTCTGGATACTTGCACTTCGAGTGCATCTTTAAGAAAAGTAAGATCTTCCAGTGTCCATGGTGCAGATCAGTTTTTTTTTTACCCTCTGTTATTCTAATTTAAAATATTACAGACTCAGTTTTCATTACTTGAGTCAAAGTACTTGGTCAAATATTATAAGTGAGTAACACAAGTCTCAGCAGTTGACTGTCTAACATGAGTCAAGATTTTTGCCTGGTAGAGGAAGTTCTTCCTGTCCACTGTAACTTGTTAAATGCTGCGAAGTGCTACACTCATGGTAGATTAAGATAGATCAGAGTGGGTCTAATCTTTGTCATAGCCCAGCTTGTAAGTCGTGACAAAAAGATGATAGGAATCAAGAGTGCCGAAGTAAATCACATATTCATTACAAATTAAGATGAAGAAACTAACAAACAATAATTATGAGGTGTGTAGAGTCTGTAAGATCAGCAGTGTACATGTGGGTGTGTGAGCATAGTATAGTGAGGGGTGTTGAGGAGTGCACTAACACAAGATCTAACTAAGGCACTGGCATGGAGAATGTGAGGGAGCCAAAGAAAGAGAGCGATGTCACCAGAAGCTGCTTATATATCCGGTGTGGAGCGCTGGGCCCAGTTGCTCCACACCGGAGCTGATACAGCTAATCAGCTCATCTGGCACCTCGGAAGAAACACAAATTAGTGTGGCCACAAGCAGGGCTATCACATCTTACTAGTTGAGACTCAGTCTTATCCCATCATGATGTTGGGTCCTTGTAAATATCATGAAGAGTCTGGTCTAGACCATGTAGTTGAGTAAAAGTACAAATTTCTCTAAATTATACTCAAAGTACACATAAATCAAAACTGTAAGTACAAAACTCAAGTACATTTGCCACAGGATATGGGAATGTACAAGAATACACTATTTCTAACATAAAGTAAACATACCAGCAGGATACCAGCATTGCCAAAGACAACTGGGATGCATGACTTGCATTGGATGAAAGTTGCTTCCCTATTTTGGCATGTTGCAAAAAAAATCTCTTTGATTTTACGACCAATGTGTTCAAGGGGCATTAAATTGTATTAATGGAGAGAGACAGACCCCTCTCCCCAACTCCAAGTGATGATGCATCCTCAAAAGTCCTCCAAACAAAATACTGGCACATCAAGCTCAAGGTGCCAGTACATGGATGTTAAACTCGCCCAGGTAATATCACAAAGCTTTATAATCAACCCAAGTAAGTCCCTCTATGTCAGTGTGTTTACTCCTAAGAGATGGTGTTAAGGTTTATTTTCAAAAGATATGAAACATATATGTCATGTATTCTTTTTGTATGTTGGACTTAATATTATGGAAGTAAATCCTGTTGATGAAAATGTGTTTTATTTTACTTGTTACGCAAACCATATTGCAGGGACCTCTTATGAGGGCCGATTAAGACCCCTGATCTGAACCGTAATGGAAACCCACAGTAGAAGCCCATGGACGCAACCCTTCCTTTAGTTTCAGCGCAGATGTCTTATGTTCTTACAGTTCCGTCTGTCTTGGTGATATTATACCCCCCTCTAAGTCTTTATTCGGCAGAAACTACGTTTTGCACGTTCAGCACGATCATCCACCCTCATCACTGCAGTGCGGATCTCCCCTCTCTCTCACTCCACTTGCTCCCCAGATTTGCGGTTTCTGTGCTGCATTCAATGAAGCTCGGAAACTGGCAAGTTATACAAACCCACTGTGGTAATACGTATCAATTTAGCAGGGAAATTTGGACGAAACATTTGATCTGAAAAAGAAGTATTTCAATAAATCCCTACGACTGATGTAAATTCGTTCGCTCTTAGGAAAAAACTGAAAGTTACAAAAACTGCATAACTGTAAACGTAGCCTATGTTTAGGCTGAGTAGTTTTTGTACTTTAACTGCAGTGTCCGACAAAAAGTTACCGAGGCCCTAAGCAGACAAGCATACACATTTCATTAGTTCATATGGTTTAGCCACGTCCTCCTCTCACAAGATATATTTCTCCAAATAAAGTATTAAAATATTTTAATGGGATCTTTTAAAAGTCACTCTAAGCAATATTTTTGGACTTTTCTGTAAAAAATATTTTAACCCCTAAAGTGAAATGTTGCTGAGTGACACTGATTATTTAGTTAATATGCTAAGAGGAGGTACCGAGCAGCTTGATGAAGCAGTTTCCATTTCAGTCAAAGTTGACTCAAATGGCTAGTGGGTCTGTCCACTGCCAAAATATCCCATGACATGAAATATTTGGATTGACATTATTGCTTTTTTAAAGTTTTTACATTAGCCATTTACATTCGTGTCAAACGTTTAGATCTAACATTTAGAAGTGCCTTTAAGATTTGTGTTTGAATTTAGATTTAACACCTACCATTTGTTTTATGGTTTATTCAGCTTCAAGATTGGGTATTAAATACTTGGATTTAACTTTTAGATTTAGGTGTATCATGTAAGTTTAAGATTCAACACTTAAAAATCTAGCCTATGGTACATTGAGATTTAATAGTGAAATCAGTGCAAACTTATCTTCACAACAAAAATAAATGTGGCAAAGGTAATAAATTCTACTCTAATAATAAAGTGACTGAAAGATTCGCACTTTTCTTTAAAACACCTCACAGAAATGTTCATATTTCAGTGTGTGCAACTTTATTTTAAGTGCATTGTCTTGACAAGACAAGTAAGCCAAAATCTAAAGACAACAGCTGTATTAACTTGTTATCAGAAAAAAACGAGTAAATAAAATTAATAGATTTATGACTGTTTAGGACTCCCATAATGATCATACTGGTTTTATCCTTTTTTTCCTTCTTTTGGTTTGTGAGTTAGTGTCTGTTTTGCCGATAGCACCTGAAGGCAACATTCCACTCCTGAAGTCAGAGCAGTATGAGCCCCCGCTTCCTTCCCCCTCCTCTCTGCTCCAAGTGAAAACTGAGATAGTGAGGAAAAAGCAACGGGAGGAAAGACCATGGAAGGAGGAAGTTGGATGTACTAGCCAGTCTGCTTCTTTGGGACACTTTTTTCCTTCTTTCGTTTTCACCTGGACTTAGTGAAACGCTTCAATGTAGCGTTATCCAGTGTGAAATTTACGTGCCGGTAAAACGTCGTAAACACTGAAACCCGAATGTTGAAGCGTTCATCGGCTGAGGTTGAACAGTTAGCACGACCCGACAAAAGTTAGCCTGCTCCGGCTAACTTAGCCTGGCTCGTTAAACAAGAAAGGAAAAAAACAAAGCTAGTCGAGAGGCGGTCAAGGCTACTCGTAATGTTGCCTCTCGGGATCGACTTTAGATACGGATGAGAAAGATTTTGGAGCTTTGGGAACAACGAGAACAACCGAGAGCCAGACGAGCGCTGCTATGTCGGGGTTGATTCACGGCTCTGGCAGCCCGCCTGAGCCCCGGGGTTGGCCACACTCGGTGCTGTGGAGGCTCGGGGGCTTCTTCTTCCTCCTGCTGCTGGAGGGTGCAGGCTGCCTGGCCAGCCCGAGTAGCCCCTCAGGCGTTAACAACAACAACAACCAGCCCAGTGTCAACATCTACATGAGTGTGGAGGAGGTGAAGAAGCTTTTGGGTAAGGAGGCCTGCAAGGAGACAGAGACAGCTGTCCTCAAACTTTGTTAACTGTGTGTTGAACTTATGTGTGTCGGTCGAGATGAAGCTGTCTCAGACACAGTTTACCTCTGTTAAACTGGACTTTCTTGAAGTTTAACTTGCTCTGTCTGTGTTAAAGGAGCAGACAAGGTGCAGTAAACATTAATGGGTCGATTGTAAAAGTGCTGTAGAGCAAAGAATTACACCTTCTTTTACTACAGCTGGCAGCATTTTAAGTCGAAGTACAGTCTCATTCAGGTAGAAACTCAAGTATTTTGGGTTTCCCCAACAAGACCGTGAACTAAGGACCTTAAAAGCTAGGAAAATGCATTTTTTTAACCAAACTGTGTTGTTGTCATAAAAACACAATCCTGGCTTTTACACAATGTTTTATTTGATGTACAGAACTGTGTAGTACATCAAACATGCACCACACAGAATACACAACAAAGGCCATAGGGGACAAAACCAGATTTATTTACAACAAACTGAAGTTTTTTCTTGTAGTTTTTCATATCTGAAAAGCTCAGTAAGGATTGATTCATTGGAGATAAATCAAAGTTTGTGGTTGATATAAAGTCAGCTCCCATGATAAATATTTTATTAAGATTCTTTATGTATCCTGATATTTTCATAGGCCTTGTGTGCTATTTTAGATGCTACCTAAAACACTTTGCACAGTACTATCTGGGATATAATCTCTGAAAGGCTTTTGTCAGAATGAAGGAAACTGTGGATCTTTCCCTCCTGCATAATAGACTTTGTTATATTGGTTTGTGAATCATCTGTGAATACAACTGAGCGCTGTTTGTGGTTGGTACATAACTTTCTTGTTCAATTTTTAAAATAATGATCCATCACATTCAAAAAGTAGTTTGCAAATTCATTTCAATTCAATGCAAATGAGCTTTATTGGCATGAGTGTCTGGACTGATGTTCCCCTAGGAGTGTACAAAAGTTTAACATGAAAACACCGACAGACTGGTGAAATCACGTGTGTCAGTAAAATGCAGGAGTCAGACAGAGGCTTCTTAGTGATTATAGAACTACCTCAGAATGGGATCTTTGACTGAACTCTGACATGTTACAAGTAAATCTTGATAGTCAGTCACACTTAGATGTTCAGTTTTACATTGTGGGGACAACAGTTTGAAGCCTGAGGAGGCTCCACAGCTGTGTTGTGTTTCAACCTCTGGGTGGTATTCTATGTGTCACCAGGAATAGTGGAGAGGAGGAAGTGACTAAACCATACATTTAAATAAAAAGGTTATGGGGTATTTGTGGTTCAGTGTCAGTGTTTGCTTACACAAAGTGAGTCAAAGGGAGGAAAGCTTGGACCAGTTTGTTGCTTTTGTCTTTGAAGTCCATCATAAAGCCACAGAATATGCACTAAAAGATGCCAACTTAGATAAAGTGACGTTTTAGTATTTAAACTGCCCTGACCATTTCAAATAATGAGTATTTGTGTCAGCATACATTAGGGCTGTTAACATTGGTCAAAAATGATATTTGAATAAAACAGATACAAGAGTGCTTCATCACTTCACTGCACAGGTCTCTGTTGTTATTTTGCATTTATTGAATGCTCCAAGTATAACGCCTTCAATCCCTTGAGTGACAGAGAAAAGATCTTCTTAATTCCATTCCCATCTATAATGTCTGATCAAGCAGAGCAGAGCCGTCTGGAAAATCATTTGGTGCAATTTTTTTATAACTTGATCTGATCAGCCTGTGGGAGACTCTAATGCTGATTGGTACAGTGCGTGTTGTGATTTCTTTGTGCATAATATTCTCCGGTGGATTGTTAATCAGGCAAAGAGCCAGTCACTTATTTACCACCGCATGGAAGTTTTTTTCTTTTTTGAATGTACAAATATAAATTTGTGCTTGTTGATTTTGGAGCATGATTTTTGCATAGACTGTGAGCATCATTGTCGGTCAGTGCAGTTTGCTGAATCCTCTTTTAAAAGCCTTTGCATGGTCTTGAAAGTGATGCTTACATCACTAGTGCATTCATTATTTTCATAACGCTACTAACATGTAAAATCACATGGACATTTTATAGAGATTTTGTTTTTGCAGCTACTTTTTCAGGTAGAAACTCAGCCTTGAGTGGTCACTGACCAAGGCCCCAAAGAGTACTATTTTGTCTGTCATGGATTTGATGCTATTTTGTGACTATGGTGCTTTTACCGTGAAACTCTCCCTCTACAACATGAATTGTGACTGAAGCATTTTTATTCAGTTCCCCATAGTCAGTTTTTTTTACTGAGTAACTTATTGTTTATCAGTTATGCATTATTACTTTTATTTGAGCATGCACCTATGGATTGTGATCCTGCAGATGCTGCATCAAATTTGACTCTTGACTGTGTTTCTTGCAGCAGCAGGTCATGCAGATGGTTGATCCATGCTCTTAAATAGCTCCTTGGTCACTCTCATTGTACTTGAAGTACTTCCACGTTGCCAACTTTACCCATTTTTTTAGAGAATACAAGACTTTGCTGTGTGGTCTACCTGCCACAGTTACACTTAAAGCAGATTCTCTGTGGCTCTTTATAAGCAAGGCAAGACTTAACTAAAACACCGCAGGTGTCAAGTTGCGTTAGCTCTGTGCAGGTTGCACCAAACATAATGTACTGCCCCCCTTTTTGAGCAGAGCCTGTACAATTATATAAGCATGATATTTCAAAGAACACTATGTAGTAAAACCTGTTCAATGCTCCATCCTTAAACAGGACAAGTTCAGTGTGGAAAATAGAGACACAGCCTTGTCCACAAGGGGCGCCAAAATTAACTTAAACCAAAATCTTCTCATTTGAGGTGGGTGATGCTCTACAGTAAGATTCAGCTTCGATTAATAAATGTCGATGCTTTAAAGAATAAAATGAATAGATGATAACGTCGATGCTTTGCTGCAATGCTGGACCCTTAATGTGCGTACACCCAGACTGTTTAGTGAGTGGGACCACAACAAACGGAGCAGGTTAGTTTCTTGAATTGAAGAGTTGAAGCTCCCATGTTTGAAATTGAATCGAATCATCAGGTACCCTTGTTGGAACAGCCTTACTTCTCATAGATGCTTTGCAGCTCATACAGTCCAAAGAGGAAAATCCAGAAGAACTAATAGACAAGCTGCTCCATATACTCAAGTCAATAAATTAAGAATGTGAAGATGCAGTAGATAAAGACTTAATGAACTCTTCCATAGTTCATTATAAGCTTAAGGAAAATGAGAAAAATTCACCAGTAATACTACACAAATCTATAATGAAGGACTTGCTCCTCTTAGAAGCACACTATAATGTCACCTAAAAGGTATAACATTATGCTTGCAGAGATTATGTTTAATTTCCTCTGTTTGGTTCAGCTTCTTTGTTGTACCTATTACTGTGCGAAGAGGAACATTGTAGCAATAAATTAGCCGTCCCGTTCCTTACACGTGTACACAAATACTCTGTCAATGAAGACGATACCATCAATCTTGCTAGATGTGCAAAAAAAAGAATTTTTTTTCTCCACACACTATTAGACTGTAACTGATCCACCATCTTCTCTCCTGCTGCCAAGGTCGAGTGAGTCGATAGATTGGTCTTAAGTTGTTAATTTAGGGTTTACCAAAGATGTCTCGAGGTTGCAGTTTGAAACCAGTCATTTACCATCCGAGTGCCGCTGCACGGCCTAATGAACGGGTAGAAGTGCTGGTGCGTAATGTCTTTGAGGATGGAGGAAGCTGATGCTGCAGCTTCTCAAACTGACTAATGTGCTGCTGTAAATACACGTATCATTGTGTTATCATGGCCTCAGCATTTTTACAACAGATGGGAGTTAGGGCGACTCAGCAACTTTGTTTCTGTTGTCCTGATCTCAAGGAGAATCAGGTGTGTGCAGGTTTTTTCAGGGATATTTTCTCCCAGAGCTGCAGTTATTCAGCAGTTTTAAACAACAATGCATGTTACTATAAACTCCATTATTACAGATTTAACAGATCTTGTCATGCTTTAAAATATCAAAGGGAGTGTAGTGGATAAGTTTGGCCATTTTTATTTTTGACAAGTGCATTATAGTAACCCTTCTTGTGCTGTTAAAGAAAGCTTGGAGCTCTTTTTTCTTCACTCTATAATCACCCTGGCGTTATACCGTGGGCTGATTCTGTCCATTTTGGTTCCTCTTGTGCTCCATCATGCTATAGTTAATCTTCTGTTGCTGGAACAGGGCCTCTCTTGTGGTTTGCCTGAAACCTTGTCTGGTCGTTTGGAGAAATCTCTTAATGTTTGACAACTTAGTGTGCAGAGTTTAAAGTATGTTTGTGGACAGAAACTGCCATAATCCAGGAAAAACTGTTGGAAAAACCTGCTGGAGGGAGGTGGAAATGGCAACACATTAGCTGCAGAAGGTAGTAAAAGCTAAATACAGATAACTACAGATTAATGTGGTGGGTTAGTTTGCTTTTTTAATTTGGCAGGTTTTGAACTGAAATCATAGACTCATGGATTATCTTCACAGGTATTATACTCTAAAGTAGGTTATGCACGTTTTGTTTGTGTGAGAAACTCAGCAAAAAGAGAGGTGGCCTGATTTAGTCAGCCCTCTACAAAGTGTCCCTCTTGAATAAGTTAAAGTAAGTCTCTTATCCAGATATACAGTATATTGCTTCCTGAGCCGTTACCACCAGCCCTGTATGCACACATGGTGTGCACACATACATGCCTACGACATCCTGTTGACAAAAAAGGAGTGTAATCTCCTAAAAATGCTCCCCAAACCGCAAAGAGCTTGTGTCTGCTAACAATGTGGGGAGTTTCTGAAGCGTCTTATATTTGACATGGAGGGAGTATCTGAAACAACAGGCATGGCCATCTAAGGGCTGAGTTAAAGAAAGCCATGGTTTTTAAAGGCATTTTTGGATTTAGTAAGCATGCTTTCATTTTTCAATTTGGGGAAATAGAGTGTGCTTTTCCCAAGCCTTTAGTTTAGTACATGCAAATTTGGGATTTATGATGTGGCATGGAGATTTTTTGGAACGATTTGAAAGGACCGTGAAAGCTCAATGATTATTATCCCTCGGATTGGACTTGTTATGGCTTGAGATGCAATGTTGAAATTAATAACGTTTATGATGACTCAGTTCCACACAACACTTCCAGTGAGCCAGCTTCAACAATAAGGCTAGTCAGTGTGTGTTTTACCATATTAACAACCCCCCCCCCTTTTATATTACCCCAGATCACAGCAGAAGTCATTGAAGGTTACCTTTCCTTTAGAACAGGTTTATACGTTTTCTTTTTTAATGAACAAACTAAAAGGCCTGATGTTATTTAGCTTATTTACACCACGGCTTGTCATTTCTGTCTCTACATGCTCAATGTTTACTTTTTTTCCTCTGCTGTCTATATTGTACACGACAGAGTTCCGCCCAGATGTGCCTATACACACAGACACGTGCGCACACATATACAAAGATACACTGATGTGCTGGCACACACAGGTGAGCACACTCCCATCAGCGGACAGAGAGTGTGCATCAGAAAATATGTTGTGTTAACCTCCTGAGAATCTGAGAAAAATAGTTTTTTTAAACACTCTCAGGGTGCTGAAGCTGGCAGCACTCACTCTCCTGCTCTTGGTCTAAGGTCATATAAGCATCATGATTTCCTCAAATGTTCATGTTTGTGTCTGTCTGTCCCCCCAAAAGCTGTAAGCCAAGGGGAAACACTACTAGTGCAAACAATGAGGAAAATGTGAATAATAAAAGGTAGTGATGCACGATATGAAAAATTTCAACCGATACCGATAACCGATAATTTTCTTCTTCTCATGGCCGATACCGATAACCGATAGATTCATATTTTTACATTTATTATAATCTTCATATAATCTGCAGTTTGTGCAGGATGCAGCGATTGAAAACTGATGTTTTTGTTGCTCTGGCCTATCTAGAACAACAAACAAAAGTTTTTGGCTCTTCAAATGTGGTCATTTGCTATAAATAACAATAACAGAGCAAAAAGCAGAACTTCATTTGATCCCCTGAACTGTTCAACAGAACTGTAAACTGTAAAGGAGTTATTATGAGACGTTAGGCTTAGCATGCTGACCGGACTAACATCTGATGTCCATATGTCTGTGGTAAAACTCACGTGTAGTCCGTTCTTGTCGATCATGTTGTGAATGTATGTGGCGACAATATCATAGAGTGCAGGAAGAGACACATCCGAGAAGAAGCGGCGGCTTGGGAGAGTGTAACGTGGCTCCAAGTGTGCTATTAACTTGCGAAAACCCGGGTTCTCAACGACGGAAAAAGGCTGGTCGTCGACCGCTATGAACTCCATCACTTTGTCGTTAATGGCTTTAGCCTTTTCGCTGTCTCTTGAGAAGCTTTTGCAGTTTTTAAATGGCCGCTGAATGGGGACATCGATCCTCCGTAGTGTTGTTGTCTTAGCTTTAGTACCGCTAGCAGCTTCGGCGGCTGTCTCATATTCTTTTACTACCGCTTCGCCGCGATGGCGACTTTTCAGATGAGCTATCAGATTCGCTGTGTTAATACTTGACGTCTTCTTTCCTCCTCTCGGAATCCTCGCTGAACAGGTTTTGCATATAGCAATGCTGTTGTCATCTTCTGCCACTGAGAAAAACGACCATGCTGGTGAAGACATTTTATTATCTGTCAGGTAGTGACAGGGTCAGACTTTGGACCTGCGAGTAAGGCGCGATAGATGACGTAACCAGCGCGTCTCGGACGGGCGGCTACTCCGCCTGCAAACGTTACTCGTAATTTCATTAATATATCGGATCTTTCTATCGGAAAAATGCACCTATCGGACCGATAAAAAATGACGTAATTTCCCCCCAAATCGGCCGATATTTTATCGGTCCGATAAATATCGTGCATCCCTAATAAAAGGGATGATGATGATGTCAGGTACTATGAACGCTGTCTCACACCGTTATAGCTTTCTGAGACACTCATGTAGAAGCAGTACACTGCTAGTATAATTACTAAATGTCTGCATAATTACAAATTACACTGTCTGCTTTTTGCTTCACCAAAATCTCAGTTTTCAAGAATTTCTAGGGCAGTGTGGGAACAAGATACCTGTCAACAGCCTGGGATGTCATTTTGTAACCTGGATACTATCTGCATGCTGTTGTTACTACAGTTTTATGTTTTAGAGAGAGACTAAAAACAGACTGGAAAAAAAAGAGATATTTAATTTTATATTCCACACTGATACTGTGTATATGCTGTGTGCACATTCACTGTGTATTTCGATGTTGTAATTTACGGTGGAAGTGCTGCTGGGTATTTAAAGCAAAACTGTAAAGCATATGAAATTCTCAGTTAAGATACTAGCATTTTTTTGTTAAGTTCATGCAGAGTAAAATTTGATTAGCTGTTACAAACAGTCGTTATCCCTTAGTTGTAACACATTTGTCGAACAAGGGAAACAGAAGTTACCTGCCTCACTCTTCCGTCTTTGAAGGAATTAGGGACGTTACTGACAGTCTCTCTCTTCCTTGTTTGCCTCTTTCTCTTCTTGGTCTCCTCAGTGAACATTAAAAAGGGGTTAAAATTTTATTAATATGCAGTCATCTGTAATATCTCCAGTAAAGTGGTTCATGTCACTGCGCGTCAAACTGTTTTATCACACGCCACAGGCTAAGGTTATTGGAGTGTCTCACTGTGAGTAATATTCATAGGATGATATTTGAACACACTAAGCCCCAGCAGCCCTGGAGGAGAACAGAGAGTGACAGCTGTCTCACATGAAGGTTTCTAGTCTTTCTGTAGATTAGCACTTTATCTTTGATGACTGGGCAAAATTATAGCCGTGAAACAGTCTCTAACTATCTACCTGTGGGTCAGTGTTCTGTTTGCCTGTCTGCTGATGGGTTACTCAAACTCTCCCTGCCATCATGGTAGCTTGTTTGTGTGTCTGTTCAATGCTTTGGCCGACTTTATGTTTGTGAATAAAACATAGAGAGGTTTTTTTTTTTTTTAAATAGGGAAAAAGTGAGATCACCTTCTCCTGTAGTCTGTTCTGCCTGCTAACTGAACAGATGGGCTTTCCCTTAAAAATGTCATTTTGATAACTTTAACAAACTACCTGACTCTCAGAGGGCCGTTAGCCAGCAGGAAGACGTCATGCCTGGGTTGAAGCAGGATTAGCATCCACTGTGTGTTTGTCTGTGGCTGAACTACAGGCAGCAGCATCCCTGATTGTTTTTGCACATGACTAAGTTCAGGGCAGTAAACTCTGTCTCAGGAATCCCACCGTCCACATGCACTCTCTCTGTCAGCTCCGGCTATCAGCTGTGTCTGCAGACCTCACGGGTTTGAATAGTGTTGGCAACTTGACCTCGAGGCCTCTGGAAAAGTCTTTTATTAAAATGATTGTTTTGTAATGTTTGAGTTTATATCCAGGGAGACCTAGCATCACACTGCCTGTTGAACATTCATAAAGCCCATGACTCCAGCTATGACATTCATTTTACAGTCTTCAATAGAGTTCTTTCTTTCCCTCTTTCCTGGCATTCTGACCATCCATGTGATAATTTAGAAGATGATGGATGAAGTAAAAATAAGAGCTCTGTATGTTCGCCTGCTGTCTGCTATAATAATGATCTTTTAGAGCCTGGTTTTCCATGGATTATTCACCAGTCGACTTGATCCCTAACACATTGCTCTCAGGAATTTTTTTATGGAAAATCTGCACTAAGCGAGTCTGTTTTCTACTTCTTGTACGGCTAACTCAACTGTGTCGTTGGCTTGGCTGCATGCTGTCACAATGCTTAAGCTTTCCAAACAAAGTAAAAGTGACCACAATTAGTATTGTGCAGACAAAATGAGCCGTTTCTCGTTAAAACCACCGGTCTATCCACTTCCTTCTCTTGTGGAAGGATTTCAGTCAGACAACCTTCAACTGGTGTTACAGCTGTCTCAAACACACACACACACACACACACACACACACACACACACACACACACACACACACACACACACACACACACACACACACACACACACTTATCTTCAGAAAACATGGCCTTTCTCCATGCTATCTCATCGGAAATTCTGCATATAAACATTTTTTGTACAAAGTGAGTAGGTCACTGTTGGCTTTATTCCTCTGGCTCAGCATGGAAAAATCAAAATAAACATAGTTTTATCAAACTCTCCAGAAGTGTGCAAAATCGTGCAAGATTCTTAAAAGCCAAGTGCATGTCCAGCCTTCCTTCTCCCCTCCTCCAAAGAGCTGAAAGGCAAGCAGGGGCTTTGAAAAAGAGCCTGTGAACACCGAGGAGTGATTGGCAGCAGTATTCATTTCCTTCATGCCACTCTCCAAGGATCCTGCGGTTGAATAGAAGGAGCCCCTGCTTTCACATCTTTTGTCTCAAAGCTGCAGCTCTTGGACAAAAGACGGGCTGCTGTGTAGCGAGAGTTTTCCCTTGTCGTGTCAAAATCAGAAAATCTTCATCAGAAAGAAACAAAAACACCTAGTTTTATTTCTCCTTTTGGAAATGAGAAAACGTTTGAGCGGCATGTGACGAAAACAGAAATTTCTAACCTTAAATTTGTTGAATTTGATTAGTAGGGGTGGGAATCACCAGTGGCCCCACGATACGATATTATCATGATACTTGGGCCACGATACGATATTATTGCGATTTTTAACATTTTGCAATTCAGTGAGGATTGTGATACAATAAATTGTGATTTATACAACTTTTTCAACTGTTTAGCTAATTTAGCATTTGTTTTTCCTTTATGTTTGTTTTATTTACGCTGTATTTTATTTTTATGTAGCACATCTTGCAAACCTCATAGATATTTATTACACTAACTTTCTCCTTCTCTATGATGTCACCTCTGCCAACCTCACTGGACAAACAGTTGATTTTGTTTTTTTCATCATAGATTTGACTTCATATGAGCAATTAATTTGAAAAATTTATACTTGGTCAATAGACGATATGATATATAACCAGACAAAATATTGCGATACGATGCTGTATTGATTTTTTTCTCACACCCCTAGTAAGTGGGCTATTTCTCGATTTGTTTGATGTTGTTGCATCTTCATGACCCACAAGTAAAACTATGGGCATCTTGACAATTTCTATGTAGTAATTTTAGTGCCTAAAAGCAATGGAGTGGGAAATGTGCCAAAAGCAGGATGATTTTTTTTTTTTCCCCATAAAACACAAATTACACAAGTACAGGACTAAATCTGCAGTTTCCCCCCTCTCTCACAGGGGTTGACCCTAACTGAACGCTCCATACTGGAACTTTAAATAGCAGATTCTTGCATAGACAAAAACACCTTTCTAAACTAGGAGAAAAAAAAACACCAAAATATTTGACCTGAGGCACACAGCGCAAGCTTTCAAACCTCTGCTGAACTCACCAAATATCCCGTGAAAAACAGCAGCCAAAAATAGATGGGTTAGATGGTTTGCCTTAGACCCCCTTAACATGAAATCATTCTGCCTTGAAGAGCTAATCATTTTCTCACTAAAGCATTTGATATTTGTTGAGCAAATGAAGGAGCCCCTCAGGCAACATGTAACCATCAACACGGTGCCTGTGAAGGGACATCAGTGGCAGACAGACTCCCTCAGTTGCCTCCTCACCCTGCCTTCATCCCTGTCTGCCTCAGGGAACTTTGTGGAGTAAAAGACAGAAAATGATGAATGGTCGCTTTGAAGTGAGTCAAAGAAAACCACACAGATTCCGACTTAATGTCTGCTTTTACTCAGTCTGAGATACTTTTAATGAGACGAGTAGTCGAGTACCTCTGTTGCTGCCTAAATGTAAAGCTTTGTTGTGTTTTAAGGAACCTTCTTCATCTGTGAACAATGTCAACAACAACAGATGCCCTTCCTCTTGAAACAAAAAAGACTGCATCAGCCAAAGGAGACTGCACGTATGGAGGGGAATCAAAAATTGAGCATGGGGACAACTGTGACCATGTCCTAACTGACAATGACACAGGAATCTGATGCTCACTTTTTGAGCTGTGTTTTTTGCAGTTGCAGCTTTGCCAGGAAGCTGCATGTGTCTGCTTTATTGTTTGGTTTTCCTCTTTTGAATGTCCCTCATGACCTGGGCCGTTATCCTGAATACTTTTGCAAATCTTTTTTAAGTTGTACCGGTGTATGGTGGTTAAACTACTTAACATGCTGTTCCATCATAAAAACCCTCTGATCAACAGTCATTTTGCTCTTCTGTGAATTAAGGCTAATTTTACATCATCTTCACACATATGCATATTTGAAAAATCCGCCTTTTTTCCCATGGGGCTTGTGAGACATCAACAGTCCCTTTTTTAATAAGCAAAATCCTGATCCCCTCAGGTCTGCTATGTTGCATAGAGATCTGAGGGTATGGTTTACTGTTAATACCTCTGGAATGCTGCATGCTAGCGACTCACTTTTTTCCACAGTAAAGCAGACAGCTGCACAGATCCAACATGACTCTGGTGTGGTTGTTCCTAATTCATGAGCTTAAAACAATATATCTGTGATAATGAGTCCAATACTCTGTGTCTTCTTATTACTTACACATGCTAAAAGCTGTTTTCTAGTAGCGGTGGGAGGAAAGAATTGACACAACACAGTATTGCGATATTATGTCTGGTGATATATCTTATCGTCTTATTTACCAAGCATCAATTTTTTCGAATTACTTCTTAATATATAGTCAAATCTATGATGGAAAAATCAAATCAACTGTCCAGTGAGGTTGGCAGAGGTGACACCATAGAGAAGGAGAAAGTTAGTGCAACAAAAATATAAAAGGTTTGTAAGATGTGCTATATGAAAATAAAATACTGTGCAAATAAGACAAACATAAAGGAAAGACAAATGCTAAATTAGCTAAACAGTTGAAAAAATTGTATAAATAGCAATATATTGTATTGCAATACTTATTGTAATGCGAAATGTTAAAAATTGTAATAACATCGAATTGCGTCCAAGTATCGTGATAATATCGTATCGTGGGGCCACTAGTGATTCCCACCCCGATTTGCTAGTTGTCTACTGACATGGATTTTCCAGTGGCTGATGCTAACGCGGATTATTAGAAGCAGACTGACCAGTATCGAAAATGCCAATACTACCGGTATATTGTTGTTTGTAGGTTTTTTTAAAAATTTTATTAACACAATTTAATGATTCACTTACAAGTGAGGAAAAAAAAATTGAATTTAAAAAATATAGTTATGTTGAAATCTGGGGTATGTAGTTTTGGTGTCATCAGGCAAAAACTCTACAACAGTTTTTGTAAAAATACCTAAATCCAGTCTTTTGGACCTCCTCTTTGCTTTGTATTCAGGCTTTAATATTTTCGACAAGGATGAATGCTTTCAGCCAATCAGGGTTCATTCCAGAGAAAGCATTCCTATTGGCTATCCCAATTACAAAGTAAGTCGGGGCATTCACACTCTCTTAAAGGGTGGGGGTCTAATACAATAGTGGAGCCTAAACCAGGAAAACTTGCGATCCCAGCACCAGTAAGTAACCATTGCATGAACAGCAAACCTTAAAAAGAGGAGACAGATTCCTCCTGATGAGCCTTTGACAATAAAATCCGTGAATGTGTTTCAGTCTTGGGATCAATCCAGCATATTCCAGTCTACAGTAATAAGTATGGTTATCTCAACCAATAGAATATTTTAGAGGGATTTTCAAATCATTCTTCAAATAGACAAATACACTGGGCCAAAACTGTGGATTTTAGAATATAAATGAAAATAATGCTCCAACTAATGTGAAACTATCATTCAATTCAGTGTGACAGCAGTCCTATTTAACATCAGGCAGTAACTGATGTGGATTTGATTTGCTGTGATTTAGGATAGAAAAAAGTTATCATTTAGAAAAGATGATGGTGATGTGACTGTTGAAATTCAGGGTCTGCCTCTACCAATAGCCATTCTTTTACAAACTCTCTTATTACCCAATCAGAGGCTGTAATGCAAACGTTCACCTACCAGAGGCTCTTGTGCAGATGTTGGGCAGTTTTGATCACAAAAGGTCATTGTACAGTGAGATAGTAAGCTGTTGTGTCTTATCAATGGTTTTGCAAAACAGCAAGACCCACAATGACAAGTACAGCGGTCTAAAAGCAGAAAAATGAAGTTAATGGCAGACTGCTTGGACACTGTATTAATGTGCATGTGTGCTGAGTGAGAAGTATTTCTTGGCAATGTAGTTTAATTCCAAAGAGTTGTTACACACATTTGTTTTGGCCTTCCAGCTGACCACAATTGATGAGTGATGCATTCTACAAAAAATAGACTCTGAACAGCAAAACTTGCTACTGCAGTGTTCTGGAACAACAACAAGAAAGGGCTTCCTGTTTCTGTTTCTCTTTTAAGAAACAACAATTACAGAAAAATCCTGAAAGGACTGCAAAATGCGAAGAACTAGACCTTGACCAAACATTAACTCTACACACCACTAATTAGTGCTCAGTGTGAATCAAGTAAAGCTAAACTTTTGTATAAAAATGTTGTACTATGAAGGTTAAAACTGGAGGACCACTTTAATAATGTGCCCAGATTTCAAACTCTGAGCAAAAACAACCCTCGGTAGGTAGCTCTACATCTGTGAGAGCTGACTGTGAGATGGGATGGCATGTCAGGTGATTTCCTGCTGACATTGTTAACCCAGTGCCTCGTGTTCCAGTGGATACAACTAAAGCCAGGGGTGGTGGTTTCAGGAGAGAAAGCCCAAATCACATTTTCTGGAAAAAGCAACTCTTTAAATGTGCATTCAGGGGTATTTCTGTTTTGGCATGCTATTCAGACTCAAAAGGTCTTCATTTGAACTTGTTGAATTTTCTTTTTCGACTGACATGTATGAAGAGGCTGAAAAAGGTTCTCTGCTGATTTTAGCTCTCAGTTTTTTTCATTGTCTGTTCAGAGCCAGGTCTTTTCAGTTAATAGCTTTACCAGCATGTCTGATATCTTAAATCTTGAGATCCTTCCTCCATTATCCAGCCTTCTCCTGCCTCATTCATGTCAAAGGATTTGTTTGGAGTTTCCAGCTGATAGAGTTTCACACGGGCCCCATTTCCTCCATCCCTAGTTAATGTGGCCAGTATCTTCCAGTGAGCACTGAGGGGGGTGTTTATCTCCTGAGCACTCAGGGATGAAGGCTTCGGGAGGTATAATGTCGACTGTGCGCACAAGAGGGTCTTTGTTATATCCATCATGGACCTTTTCTCTCGTCCACGGCCACCTTTTGTTCTCCTCGTTCAAAGTCTGCAACCTGATCTGCAGCTTGAGAAGGAAAATTTGCATGTGGACTCAGACGTCTGCAGGGCCCAAAATTTAAAGATGTATGAATCTTGATTTTTTTGCTGTGATTTAAAGTTTTGTTTTTCAAATATGAACATGAAAAGAATGACTTTTAAAGGCAGGCTCTAAATGTGATATTTTCTCTGAGTATCTGCGCCACTTTTCATTTCTTGAGCAATGAGAGAAACGTGGGAGGAGGAAAAGCCACAGACAAAAGAGGTGTATGGGTGTCCTTGTGCAGGGCAGCATACTGGTAGGTTATACCTCTGCTCAGCATCCAACAGCAGAGGACTGAATGGACGTCTGAGGTATGATGTGTAGGCGTCAGCAGGGTGTAAAGCATCTGATCATTTCAGGTGGGTTTCAGGTACAATCAGTGAGGTTGTTCCTTGCGGTATTTTGGTTTCCCAGCAGTGGTGATATTATTGGCATATATTTGCAAACAGGATCCTTTCACCGAGCTGAGAGTATTGATTCCCACAGTTTTAATCATAGAGCGCTCTTCCTTTTGTCACCAAGAGGATGTAATTTGACAAACTTGGGATGTACTGAGTTGTGCAGCTGTAGTTAAGTGACCATTAGATGCATAAATCATTGAGAAAGAAGCCACATAATGAGAAAAGGGTGCTAATCTGTCCTATCTAGATTAGGGACTATTGGAAACATCGGATGCTTTCACACCTGGGAACAAGAGGTTGTTCCCCTCCTTGGTCTGGATCATTCAGTTACAGATAAACGCAGCAATCACACTGTGATGCAGGACAAATCAAGCGAGCTGAGATGGCCTCACAGAGATGGTCTCGGCTCGCCTCCTCTCAGACCAGAACTAAAAGCTGCTCATCACACTAGTACCATGTTAGTGAAACAGTTATACAACTGTGAGGCGATTTCAATTACATTTGATGGTAATCATTACTCACTGCCCTCGTTCAGTTAAACACCATTGATTAGCTCTAGCTTAATCAGTTTACATTGTAGGAGTGGGAATCACTAGTTAGCCCACGATACGATATTATCATGATACTTGGGCCACAATGCAATATTATTGCGATTTTTAACATTTTGCAATACAGTGAGGATTGTGATACAATATTTTGCAATCTATACAATTTTTTCAACTGTTTAGCTAATTTAGCATTTGTCTTTCCTTTATGTTTGTCTAATTTACACTTTATTTTATTTTCATGTAACACATCTTGCAAACCTTGTATGTATTTGTTGTACTAACTTTCTCCTGCTCTATGATGTCACCTCTGCCAACCTCACTGGACAGGTGATTTGATTTTTCCATTATCATAGATTTGACTTCATATTAACAAGTAATCCGAAAAAATTGATATTTGATAAATAAAACGATACGATATATCACCAGACAAAATATCACAATAGTATGCTTTGTTGATTCCCCCCCCCAACCCTAATACATGATTATGCATTTCTTCATTTTTTTTATTTTGTAATAATCACATCACAGGGTTTAATCTTACTTGACCAGCAGAAACAGTTTACTGTAGCACTGATTTAAACAGTAAGCTCATTTGGCTGCCTGTCACTGTGGACCAAACTTTGCATCAGTGACACCTTGCTTTATCCAAACATAGTTCAACATGTTGGTATGTGCTCTTTGATAGAGGATCTTACTGACATGTTGTTTTGGGTAATGTATTAAGGGATGGTTTTGAATGGAAACAGATCACATTTAGTAACAGGAGGAGGTGGTATCAAAAGAAACAGATGATTTTGCTGATTCCCCCCCTGTGAAAAAATCAAATACAACAAAAGCTTGCGTCATTTACTTACAATAAATCTCGCTTTTAAATATGAAAAATTTAAGATGTATAAGGTTGAAGTGTGGGCCAGAAACCTTAGTCTTGGTTTACTTTGTGGTTCTTGTCTTTTCATTGAGCTTGCATGTGCTGGGGTTCTGTGTTTTGAGAAGTGGTCGGGCAGGTGACAGGACTTGTTCTGCCTCGGCTGTTGTTAATCACTTAACACCAACAGAGAGAAATGGAAGTGTCCAGCAGGAAATAATCCCTCAAAACAAAACAGGCTGCCAAGTTACCGCACTGGAATTCAGAATGATGATGTTATTTTCCATTACAGTTAAAACACAAAAACTTTTGCATCTAAAGTGGCAAACATTGTGATGATAAACTGAGGCACTTAGTATGTGTTTGTGGACAAACACGCACAAATAAACCTTCTACACACGCTCTTTGTGACATTCCCTTAAATCCTCAAACCTTAAGAAGCACTCATTCCGTGTCCCTATTCCACTGTATAAACACGGACACACTCTGATCACTATCCCTCACATTCCAGCTGTGAAGCAGTCACATGTAGTCAGTGGGTTTGGTGTTGTGGGAGGTACAAATGAGCCACACTCATACTAACCCTGTTTTGGTTTTTCTGCCTGGTTGCATAGTTTAATTGGTATCAAAGCAGTGTGGCCACATGTTGAGACAAGGAAGGTACACACAGTTGAGTATAAGAGGGCCAATTATTACAGGAGTGAACTGTGTGGCCTTGTGTAGATCTGTTTTTTACACATATATTATATCCTCAGGAGAGGCTGTGCTTAGATTTCCTGATTTCTGGTGTTAAAGTTTCTTACCAAGGCGTTGGAACAAAGTCGAATAGTGTAAATGCCTTTTTCTTCTCAATAATGGAAGCCCAGATGACTGGGGTTGCGACTAATCCAGATGATATTCGTAAACTTCTAAAGATGCGCCCGTTCACTTTAGCCTTTGGGGTAGTAAAGTTACTTTTATAAGGTCTTTTATTTATTTGCTATCTTTATTTATATTGTTTTATGTTTTTACGTGTTTTATGCTTGTGTTGTTTTATAGCTTTTATTGTTTTTTATTGTTTCTGACTATTTTATTGTAAAGCACTTTGGTAGTCCACTGGCTGTTTCATATGTGCTATATAAATAATGCTGACATTGACATTGACAAACCTCGGTATCATCATGAGCTGCAGTCTACCTTAGCTTTTTAACATCTCTCAGCCCATCATTTTGGTTTTGTGGTGTGTTGCTTTACGGATAGTGAAGTTCTGATGTTTCTGAGCTCCAGGATGAACACCGAAGGACACTGGGCATTAAAGTTGACGAAATGTAGGATTTCCAAAGATCATGTGAACATATCTCTTCAGAATTTTGTTTATTTGCAGCTAAAATTGTGCTTCTTTCTGCTTGCTGTGTATCTCTTCGCTATCTAGGACAGCCACTGAATCACTCGGTCTCCTTATTCACAGGACGGCAAATGCTGACATTTGTCTGTTGTAGGTTTATTGTAGACGAACAGAGGGGAGAAAGACAATAAATTTACCTGGTCCGTTGAGCAGTTACAGGACGCTGACGGAACAAGCTCAATACGGATTCTTTGGGTTTTTGGCTTTAAGGTCTTTGCTACATTGCTAGCAGAGTACTGTTGAGTGCCGATTGCTAACTGGTCAGTATGTAGCTGATGCATGCTGTTCTTGATGATTACACAGTAAAAATAGTCCAAAATAACCACAAATATTGTTTAATGCATTGCATGTCTTGTATGCATGAGAGACTCATGATGCCTGGTGTTTACTTTGTTGGTGATCTAGTAAAAGTAAGGACCATGACTCAAGAGAAGTTATGTAGATGAGTCGCTGTACTGTTTTTGAGTTTAAGAATGTCACTGTGTGATCTTGCTCCCCATCCATTTTAGGCTTGGAGTTATAAATGAACCACACATTAGGTTTAATTGTGTAATTGTTTGTTTTCACTGTGGAAATTTCCAATCATGAGTTGTATCTGAAAGTCTGTTAATGAAACGAACAAGCAACTATTTCCTCAAGAAATTGTGAGGAAGCTTTTTAACTCTTTGGGCATGGGTGGGCAGCAGTTTATGTAACAGCCACTCCTCTTCTTGAGTTGTTGAGTGCCTGAGAATGTTTTTAATTGAGCCAATGTGAGAGAGGTCTAAAAGCTGCAGCTCTGTGACAGCCTGAGGGTATTGGGGGAGCCTGGGCACATTCCTCCACTCTCTTTAAACTAGATACTTAGAGACTGATAGACAGATCCACTCTGCCACACAGATGCTTTCAAGGACTGATAACACTGCCCCAGGCCAGAGTCGGGGATTTCAACAGCATACATTAGGCCAATACGGCTTATTGATGCAGCAGCAGAAGCCCAGTGGAAACAATTTCTGAGAGCTGAATTTGACGGAGGAACTCACAAAACCCATTTCCACTGTGTTCGTGAGCTTTAGCATTCCCAGGCTCTGCATCTGATCAAGTGTGAATCTTTGGGCAGCGTGGCTGTTTCATAGAAGTTCACATTTTTGTATGTAGAGCATTCCAGTCCTTTCCCCTTAACCCTTACCCTGTCCAACTTGGTTTTCTGGTCAGAAAATTGCGGTCATATTTTAGATGTTGTCTCACTTGAAGAGTTTGAAGTTTTCCACTTGGGCACTGAGAGGTTTCAAGTACTAACAGATGTGGTTACTCCATCTTTCTTATTGGGAGGGGGGGTCCCTCCAAATCCAAGCTGGCAGTCAAGAGTGGATATTTTACCATTTTCATCAGGCCCACTACACTTTCTTATAATTAGAAAATGTATCATCTTTTATGAACATTTCATCTCTCATACAAACTTTAATGCAGCTTTTATGTCCTCTGTCTTCACACAGGCCTGGATGCTGAGCTTTACTACGTTCGAGACAGTATGGTGAATCATTACGCTCTCTCTTTCACCCTGCCGGTGCCCCACGAGACCAACAGCCTCCACTTCACATGGCATTCCAAGACAAAGGTAAGTTTCAGCTCGGGTGATTCGTCGGTTCAGTACATGCTTACAAACATGCCAGGCAATCTGAAAAGCTCAACACCTTTGTTTATCATTTTTCATTTTTAGGTTGACTACCGGCTTGGCTTCCACATAGAGAACCCAAACACCATGAACCAACCACGGACCAACATCTCCATGCAGGGGGAGGTGCCCCGTGTTCCCTCTGGTTTGTCAAATATGCTCTTTCACTTTTATCACTTACTGTATGCTTCCAACGCCTTTCATTCAACAAGATGAAAGATGCTGTGAAAGGATTACAGTTGTTTGCTGGAACTTAACAATGCAGCAAATCTTTGAGCATGGTTCTCGCTTCCACAATCTTCATAGGAGAAGTTTGGCACCTTTTGGTGATTGGACTTTTTCTGGCCAGCTGAGATGTTTGTGAGAGACTAAAGAGCACTTTCACAAATGGCCTCAAATATATAGTGTTGGAACCAGTGGATTAGCTTAGTATAGAAACAAAAAAAAAAAAAAAACATGGTCCATCTTCTGTCCACTCCCTGTCCAAAGCCAAAGGTAACCCAATATGTTTCCCAGTATCTTAAAGTTCACCCTCTGTTCATATTTAAAGAAGGGGGTATTATGCTTTTTTTTAGACTCTATAATTCCTTTCTGATTCCTCTTTAGTGGCTTTACATAGTTTTTAGATCAAAATAGCCTCAAATTTCTCACAGTGGTGTATTCAAATATCATTGTTTAAGCTTCCATCTATAACGCCTCGTTTTAGATGCTGTCCCATTGAGCTCTAGAGCCAGATGTTTTGGCCCCTGATCCCTCTAATGTGGCCAATCAGCTGAGAAGCAGAGAAGCAGAGAAGCATAACCGTATAGACATCATATATACATATGTATTGTGTGTATTATGTCTATGGTTATCCCGCTCCGCTGTGGGTGTCACCTCACTTGCCGTTCCACTTTGTCTTGCATTTTCCCACGTTTGTCTTAGATTTGAGCGGCTTACATCTACTTTCTTGATTATGACAAAATAGGTTTACCCCGTGATTTGAAACTTTGCATATGTCTCGTATGGACACTAAACTTTGTCACTTTGCATTTTTTATTGTAAATTTGGGAAAGCATGATACCCCCTTTAAAAATAAGATCAACTAAACAAATCTAACAATGTGCTTAAATTTGCCTTAAACGTTCCCCTGGGGAATTAATTTCTGGCTGTTATATAGAATGTCACTCTGGGTCTGTACTCCAGATGTTTTAAAACAAACAAACAAACAAACCAAAAAGATCCACAGCACAAGCTCTCGGTGATGACTGAGCTGCATGCAGCATTGTCTAAATTCACAATTCTGATAACTTTAGAGGGGAAGTGAAAGAAATATTGAGTGGTGAGTATCTAATCAGTATAAATCACTGACTCGATGCATCTCCATCTTGTGATTCCTGCAGTAGATTGAACAATACTCTACTCATCACAGGAATTTTCTCCTAATAACATTTGTGTCTCAACAGTGTTTAGAGTGGACCTCTTCTGTTCCGGCAAAGTAGATGGAGAGGCTGTTTTAACCGTACAGCTCAATCTGACCATGCATGCCAACAACTATACAGTGCTCAACTTCAAGAGGAGGAAAATGTGCCACAAAAGTAAGTATCTCAATAATCAGGAAACAATCATGACTAATTCTGGCAGAAAAATAGTGAAGCTCTAGGAAACGTTTCAGCTGATTTTCATGCACTTATAAACCTTCCCTCTCCTCCATATTATGTCATATCAGGGAACCTTTAGGTAAAATCAATAGCAGTGATATTTTGTAGACATTAGGAGTGATCTTATTTGCTCGACTAAGTGATTAGATGTGTACACCACAATCACAGTTTTTGATTGTTGTGAGCCTGAAATGCCAGTACCTTGTTTTATCTAAGCTGTAGTGCAACTGCTGGCTTGGACTGAAGCTCCACTTAGTGTCTAATGCTATAATGCCCAACCACCTGGATACAAACAAACACAGATGACAAGGTAGCATCGGCGGTTTTGCAGTATTTAGATCCAGAAATGAGGATTAAGGTGTACATACATAAGCAGTGTCTGGTACCTGACTGGAGCAAAATGTAGCCATAAGAGGCATGTGGAAGTGCACCCACAAAGGTGGTGCTATTTCTGCTAGTATAACCTTAAAGTGTTTTTTTTTTAGGTTTAGAGAAGTCTGTTTGTTGAAGTATCATTGTAAAGTAAAAGAAAATAAGTCTAACTATCCCTCAAAGAGTTGTATTCTGTAGATTACAGAGAGAAATGTATTGGTCTTTGTATTTTGTGTTCAGTCTGCTCTGTTCTCAAACAGCCTGAGGATAACTGCATGTAGCCCAGAGGTTTTCTGCTGTACCTTCAATGGAAAGAAACTTATTCCCATCTTATTTTGAGCCTGACTGGAATTTGCAACCACAAAAGATCTTTTGTGTAGCTAAGAGGTGGTTTAAATGTATGCAGAGGAAATCAAAACTTTGAACTGAAACCCCTTTTAATGTGCATTTCATAGTAGTGTGCAGACAGGGTTTTAAGCTTACTTGTGTTTGTTTAAGGACTTTTGTGATGTTCTCAAAATGGATTTTTGACCATAAACCACACAAAGTCTCAGGCAGTCCTTTCATGCAAGCAAGGAAACATTTGAGTAATTGATGTTGTATAATATGCACAGTAGACAATGTACAATAGGTTACACTAAGTATGATCCGATAGCTTGTATGAAGGCCCATCGAATAATTCATTTACAGAATTGCAATTAATCACTAAATTGCAATGGTTTACTCTGATTATTTGTATTCTTATTCACTTTCAAGTCCCATTATTTACCCTGAACAGTTTTTAATCAATTTTAACAATGTAAAACAATGTTTACCAGTGTCTTGAAGCAAACAAAAGAATTAGAATACTTTATGATCTTGACTTTTAGCTGCAATGTTAAGTCAATTCTGCACCACGACACCAGTGTGGTATAAAACCACGATTAAGAGGTAGGTGACTGTTCACAAGATACTAACCCTGGGTGTCCCTGGGTGTCCAGATCTTCCATGTTGACTGACCTGCAGTCAGTTGCCACCCATTTAGCAAGCACTTTCATTAATTTAGTTTGATCCACACTTCTGTGGCAATGTGCACACCCCGGAAAAGTGCTTTGCAAACTTACATGATGAGGTTTCCAGCTGACGGTCTGATTAACTGCACCTGTATGCGTAACTCAAAATACTTTGTTCAATTTTAAATCCTGTTTGACACAAAGTTACAGCACACTAGACTTGTGAGTTTTTAAAGGCTTAATTAGCCATTTTACAGGGCAATGTTGTTTTGTTCCATTATAATGACAGTAGGAAGCAGAAAAATGCTGCTGTAGCTAAGTCATTGTGTGACGAAATGGACGAAATAGCAGGAAGTAAAAAATATTAATATTTTAATGTCAAACCATAATCACATCAAGATTTATGTGGTATTTATTTTGTATTTGATCTCATTTCGTTCCATAAGACCCAATTGCATCTCTATGCATTATTTCATTCTGTGTCGTGAAGACTGTGGCTCCTTAAATGAAGTCCCCTAATTTACTCTCGACCTAATGGTTGTGTCTTTTTGTTGTCTTTCAACAGGAATAGAGTCTGACCCCAAGATTGCCATTCCCCTCAACAATAACACTCATCTGACTAACTGTAAGTACTCCTGCGTCTGCATCCTGCTCTGCTTCTCCCTCTCTTGCAGCTCAATTTTTTGTCTTTCAATAGTAGCATCATTCTGATAAGACAGAGGCTGGATTATTCCTGAATAGTCTCTCTGTTTAGCAGTGCACATTAGTCAAACTTTCATAACTGCAGGATATGATTACAGAGGCTAAAGAGAGGGAGGCATTCCCCTATTGAGTAGCACCCTCTCAGCCCCCTCCACTTTGAAATGGTGGTCCTCTTCCAGTGGCATTTATTCAGGGTCTTTTGTGAGCTCAATGCCACCAGTAACAAAGTACCATTAGTGGGTTGTCTCTCTTCTGCTTGGGTAGGCCTGAGGAACCTGGGGCCCTCAGAGGCTTTTAAATAGGTGATGAGAAAAGCTCTCAGACACTGGATCCTGGGCACAGTTCTTGCTATTCCAGGCCTCCATTAATGCTAAGTGGAGCCTTAGGTGCACTTGTAGTTTGTCCTTGCTCTCACTCATGTATGCCTCTAATTACTTTAGTAGAAATAGGAGTATTTCACTTCAGATTCTTTCATAATAGTGTACCTCTTTGAAGCGTCTTCTAACAAGAATGGTATTGTGTATGAAGTTGCTCTATTTTTCCTCTCCCTTTTTGTTGATACGTGTTTTCGTTTTTTATCTAATCAGTTGATGGTGTGACTGCACCCACCACCTCCACCCAGGTGTTCTACATTAGCGTGAGTGTCTGCTGCATTGTCATCTTCCTGGTGGCTATCATCCTTGCCATCCTGCACCTGCACAGCATGAAAAGAGTGGAGATGGAGGACAGGTTTGTGTCTTTAGTTTTTCCACCTTTCAAGCAGCCATTGAGTTATTTCCAGGAAGGAAATCACATTTTACAGAGAAACCAATTGAAAGGAGCACACAGCACCATACTTTTACAGCCGTCTAGCAGTCTAGTGTGGAAGTTCTATCAATATTTTCTTTGGAAAACCTCTGTGTCAATAAAAGAAAAACAGCCTGCTTCACAAAGAGGGTAACATCAAGTCAAAACCTGCATTTTCAGTTCCACTTTAGTTCAAGCTAAAGGTAGCTGTGAAGGTTATCTGATGTAGATCTCAAATAAGAACAGTACTTTTTCCCCTAAACAGTAGCTATCTGAACAGTTGAAATTCTGGATGTTATACAAGTTTTTGCCAAAGTGGCATTTTTTCCAAAGTGGCTAAATGTGACCACATTGCAAGCTGAGATCCATATTTTTTGCAAAATAATTTTTGTTAATTTGTAAATCACAAATCCTTTCTTCACAAAACCCCTCCAGTTTTTGATGAACATCAAAATCATGTCAGGGTATTTCTGTAAAAGGCCTGTTGGTCAGATGAACAATCCATTTGTTGATCAACACAAATACTACATTCAAAAGCAAAACACATTTTAACCAGCTCCTCAAAGGAAAATACTTCCTCTTGATAGTCTTTTGGTATAGTAAACAGAATATCTATGGGTTGTGAGCAGAGTTCCAAAGAACTTTTTTAATCACTGGCAGATAGACCAAAAATTCAAAAAGCATGTTTCTCACTGGTCAAAATAATGAATAGAGTTTCTGTGTGCATTTAAGTTATGGTACATTTAGGCCTGTCACGATAACAAATTTTGCTGGACGATAATTGTGCTACAAATTATCGCCGATAAACGATATTATTGACACCGTTTTTTAAATTATAGATAATGATATTATATGGCATAATAATGCGAGTACACCATGTCAAAAGTGATAAACTTTAATTTCCACACGAGAACAACACTGGTTGTTTTCGTTGACTAAAATATTTCCCTTTTCTCCCACGACGAAGACGTAACGTTGACGAGCTAAACAGAAGTTGGACATGACTAAAATGTGACGAGACGAAAGTGCGTTTACGTTGATGGGACGAGACGAAAATGACGAACAGAGTTGCAAAACTCAGTCAGTGAAACGCTAAACAGACAGGAGCAGCTTCAGTCCGCTCTGACAGCTCTCATCAGCCTGCTGTGCTCCTCCAACACACAGACACACACGCACGCGTGCGCGCACACACACGTGGAGTTTTGTGGTTGACGAAAACAAAACTGGTTTAAAGCCGAAATATTCCCACACTTGGGCTGTTGCGTTCGGTTTAGACACCAAAGCTGTCGTGTTCATTCTGTTAGCTTGCTTTTCACTCACGACGCTCACTTGCAGCACTGTATCCAAAAAGTCTGTGTCTGTGTGCCTGTGCGCGCCAGCCCCCTCGTGACAAAGATACTGAATGACTGACAGGAGGGTTCACTAACTCCGTTCATTCCGATATAGAGCCAACGCCCCCAGGTGCCGAGAACAATGCGCAGAGTGAGACCTCTTCTCTCATCCAGCGTGTTTGGTAGCGAAAGCGGTGGAAAACAAACACACGTCAATTATCGAGGCTGGCAAAGTTATCGACCTCGTTTTTAATTATCGAGCGATAAGGCGATTTATTGATTATCGCGACAGGCCTAGGTACATTTCATTGAGATGATAATATGTTGAACACCAAAGAGCTCAGAGCAAAAACTGCGGCCAAATTCAGTTCTGATATCAATTGTTTACATAATCCTGATCCCATTAAAGACAAAAAATTCCAGCATGGTAGCCGATGTGAAAGTTAACAGCGTCACGTTCTTGATTGTGCAAATGCAGAAGTGTACAGTTGTGTCAGTATGTATCCCTGTTACTCCAACATACAGACAGCAGAGGGAGATAACCTCTAAACCAAAGTGTGTTTAAACCTGTGCGCTTTTTTCTAAATAACATTATAGTTTTGTTCTTAACATTCACAGGCACTGTGGTGTATCACCCTCTAAATTAAAATCTGTTTGCACTGGGGGCTTGTATGTGTACATTTCAAACTCTGTCTCGAGCCAGTGTCTGGCCCAGAAGGGACATGTGAAGATGATGACTTGGCCCCCCTGGGAAACTGTAGTACTCAGCACAAAGAAAGTATTTGTTAATGAGTCAATTCCAATCTCATTAAACAGCAATGAAACTATTTTTAAGTTGAAGACCTTCAACCTCTGAGACAGTCTGCTATTAAGCCAAATATTCTGTTGGCATGTATGAGCTTGTTGAATCAGCTGTTTGTACCATTAAATTTAGCCATATTATAACATTTGTATTAAGAACGTAGAAATTTACACATTACTAAGTTTGCACGTTACACCACACATACTCTAGTTTTAATGAAGTTTAGTTATAGTCACACATTAACACTTTCTAAAATTAGTCAAGCTGTTGCATAGCTTACAAACAAACCAACAACAAAGTGAAATGTTTAAAATTTACATCATCAGAGGTCAAATCACAGGACATCAAGTTAAGACAGACTTTTAGTTCTACAGGGGATTGATTCTCATTTCAACTTTATAATGCTCAGTTACTTCTCATATTGATCAACTCATGTAACAAGTTCAAGCTGGAGTACTTTGATATTTGCTTTTACTCTTTTTTAAGTACAGCAGGTGAGCTTTTATTGTCTAGGTTTTTTTTTTATTTTTTGCAAATATTCACTTACTTTGAATTTGGTGCCTGCAACATGTTCCAAAAAAGCCTGGACAGGCTCAGCAAAAGACTGAGAAAAGTAGAAGAGTGAAGCTTATAGACTGGTCTGCCTGCAGTCCAGATCTGTCCGAAAATGTGAGGAGCATTATGAAGTGCAAAATACCACAACAGAGACCCCAGACTGTTGCACGGCTGAAGGAAGAGTGGGAAAGAATTCACCTCCAAAGCTTCAACAGTCAGTGTCCTCAGTTCCCCAATACTTATTGAGTGTTGTTAAAGGAAAGATGATGTAACACAGAAAGGTGAACATCACCCTGTCCCAACTTTTTAGTAATGTGTTGCAGTAATCAAATTCAAAATAAGTGATCATTTGCAAAAAATAATTAGGTTTATCAGTTTGGACATCTAACATCTTGTCTTTGTAGTGAACTCAACTCAGTATAGGTCAAAAAGATTTGCAAATCATTGTGTTCTGTTTTTAATTAGGTTTCATACAATGACCTAACTTCACTGGAATTGGGGTTTGTACGATAAATAAAGTAATAGATGTTTAAGGTATATAGTCTTACTGTTGAAGACTAGAATCGAAAACCAAGAAAATACAGGAGCTAAAAAAATGTATGGCAATGACATCCAGACGCAAAAAGTTAAAGTTAAAGCAATAAAGCTGGCAAATTTGGCAAGTTAATGCCAACAGAGATTTAAAAAAGGAAAAAAAAACTCTTGCATGCCCTTTAGAGACTTCGACTTCAAAGTTTTTCAAACAGGCCACTGAAAGAGAAACAACATCAGCAAAAAGAGAAGCTTTAATTATAACAGCACATGCAGAAACCGTTACAGTGCAGTGGTTCTTAATAAAAATAGGAATGAAAATAATTTGTAAATAAAATTCAATAAAGTGCGGTTACTTTGGAGCATAAATACTGAGGGCTGCTCATACATGTTTGATTCTGACTCTGGGGATGGAAAGCAGACGGCCACCAGAGCAGACTGGGTGGTTTGTTCTGTCTGAGAAGATCATTGTGGTATTTTGGCCCTAAACCATTCAGTACCAAGACAGTGAAGACTTCAAACTGCAATAATGTGATCCACTGTCTTGTTTTCAGTGAGTTAAAATCAGTTTATCACTCAGGCTGGAAAACATATCAAGAAATACAGGGAAGCCCGTGATGCTGCAGTGATTTATTGATAGTTTATTTTTTTGATTAAACAGTGTTGCAGATGTTTCCTACAGATTTATACAGAACCAAGACCAAACAGTGCAGCCGGATGTATGAAATTGGAAAGACTCTGTAAACACCTAAAAATGGATTTAACAACTGCTGGAGAAACTCAGTCTGAATGTCTCTCAATCTTTACTCTTCTCGTCTGTTTTTTTTTCTTATTTTTCAGTGTAAGTGACAGTGGAAGCTCACAGGGCCTGTCTCAGCCATCCACCCAGACCACACAGTACCTGAGGGCTGACACTCCAAACAACGCAGCTCCTGTCACCAGTAAGATATCTCAGTAACCCAAAGGCAATCAGAAATGAGCTCAAACAGCAGATTTTGTTCCAGATTTAAAAAATCTTAGACACTTTTGTGGACCTCCCAGATGGCATCTAGCAACGTTTCAGCACATTCAGCCTGATTTAATCTCCCGTGGTTGCTCTGTTTGTCCCCTCATACTGGCATCCACCAGTTTGCATTCTTTTCCAAATGCAATAATGGACTGTGAATGACCCTTTAATTTAACAAGTATCATAAGATTGTAATGTAGAGCAGAGTTCCTGCTGGTTTTTTCCCTTTCTTTTTGTTCCTACTCCCCTTGTGACCCAATCCTGTCCGACCAACGTGTAAATGTACTTAGAGTGTGTTTTGTATCAGGCCAGCTGTCCAGCATTTAGACAAGTACAAGCAGCCTTTTATATTTGAACTGGCAAGAACAGATCTAATCTAAATTGATGTAATTTTAGAACACGATGGGAAATACTGACACACATTAACAAGGTTAACTTAAAACCAACCTACAACCTACCTCGGTCCTGCATTACTCTTTTCAGTACTCTGGAAGTAATGGGGCCATTAAATGACACTTTTGGGTTTCCTGGGGTCTAAGAGTTTATGTGAGGCTGACTATTGTACAAATGTTGAATTGTAACCACTCCCATGTCTTTTAAATCTTATCAATGCTTGGGGATTTTTGGATGGTTTAAGCAGATCAGTGAAGACTTTCTTTGGGCAGAATTGTACTTAAAGCTTTCCCCTATAGTCTGTCTTTTTGCAAAGCCAAGCTCAGCCTCTCAGATCTGTAAAAGGGAACATTTCAGGAAGTATGGGTATTTTTCTTGCTAAGAATCTGATGAGAGGAATGATATGGTCCTCATATCTAGCAAGTAGCTGTTGTGTAAGCTCTGCACGAAGATCAAATGAGGGGAAACAGGCAGCGCGGCTGTTTGGTGTAAACAATTTTTTTTCACAAGAATCTCTAAAGATTACACTTTGATTTATTTTAAAGATCTACCATACATTTTTTCTCACTGCATCTTTGGAAAAATTGAAAATGAACCATTGATTATTCAAAAAAAGGCCTTTTCTCGTGACAAAAAACATGCAAAGTTAGTCCCCCCCCCCCTCCTCGTGAATCACATTGCTCTGTTTTCCACAGCAACTCTATGCATGTAACTGACTGGTGTAGCTACAGAACAAAAAGAGGCATACATGCTGTTTAATGTGCTGGTATCAACATGCAGAGTGGGTTCATAAGAGTATCTCCAGATATTAAGTCAAACAGAACAAGCAGAGATTGAGCCATTGCGAGGATGTGTCACATGGCTGTAGCCTCAGCTAAGTGACCTCATCTGCCTGAACACCTTTAGCCAGTGGGTTGGCATTGAAACATGCTTTAAATAAGAACACCCTCCTGAGGCACCAATACCATAGCAGTCTAAGCCTGCCCCATATACATAGGTCACAGTCCTTGACACAGCAGCCGCTGCTTTGACTCTCGACCATGTTACATGTTTGCTGCCCTACTCTCTACTCTCCACATTCTCTGTCTTTCTTCAGCTGTCTTATCAATAAAGGCAAAGATGAAGAAAAAAAAACTAACTTAAAGAAACAAACACCCTGATTGCATGACTGTAATGTGTGATCAGATAACTAGGTCGAAATTCACTAAAAAAGACACAGCACAGCGGAGCATATCCTTGACAATTGATTACTTTGTTTTTTTTATAGTTCTGGTCATTTTTGCCTTTGGTAGACAGGGGAGCTGAAGAGAGATGGAAAACAGGGGTGGAGAGTGAGAGAGAGGGAAGACATGCAGCAAAGGGTTGAGGCCTGGACCAACAACAGCTGTGACGAGGACTCTAGCCTGTATGCCTGGTGTACCTAAACTGCTAGCTAGGCTATCAGCACCTCGTTAACTCAATATTTGATACATTTTTATCTTCCCTACTCTATACTTCAACATAACACCTATCATAATGCCACATTTGTCTGCTAGTGTGTAGTTTTACGTTGTGTCATTGTGTTGCTGAGGCCTAAGAGAGTTGTGTGACATTTACATTGACAACAAAGTGTAACAGTGAGCTATCAGTCCTGTCTTGTACAGGCTATGTGAAAGGTGAGTTACTTGGTGTCGAACAACAGGAATATCACAGTATCTTTCTTTCTCTGAGTATTTCCACCATGGACCTTTATGAAAGAAGTCTTCTTGAACCATGTGCCTCACTTTGACAGTAATTTGTCAGGCATGTAGCTAACAGACATCTGTTTATATAGAGAATAGTAAACCGATGAGGAGATCACATTTTTGACTGGAATCACCTGCTGAGATAAGAGCCTCATTAATGTGATCTTGGTGTTTCACATACCGGCTGTTAATGTCCATCATTGTCTGTGTATGATCCTTCGTCGCCCTCTTGTGGATTCAGCCCACACTTCACCTTGTGTGCATTATTTATATTTGAGCTACTTGCTTTTCCTTTATGCTTTGCTGATTGTGATTTCGCACCACCATCCATTGCATTAATTTTACCCAACTCTTGATGGACAGCTCCACTTGACTTGCAAACATGACGTGTTTGATGGTTTTTGTTTTTGAATGCAGTCAAATTCATCAGAGGACATGTTGTAAGTCAAGTGAGAAGTCCATTAAATCACATCTTTCTCTCTCTCTCTCACCCTCCCTCCCTCCCTTCCTTTACTCCCCCCTCCATCTCCTCCTCCTCCTCCTCCTCCTTTTCCTCTTGTTATCAGACAATCACCCTGGTTCTGCACCCATCCTCCAGCTTGCTGCCTCCTCCTTCCAAAACCCTGGTGCTCCCCCTCATGAAACCAAAAGTAAGTTCCAGTGAAACTCCAGAGACAGCTTGATATTTCTGACTATAGCACCACTTCTTGAAGTGTTTTGTCTGTAGTGGTTTCAAACTTACACTGCTTGGATGGAAAAAATACAGGGTTTCAATTCTAGTGATGTTAAGAAGCCACCGAATATCTGGTTGTGGAATAGAAACTGTAATTTAACTTGTCAGCTGGTATAAAGATAAAAAAACATCCAGAAAACAGAGCATCTGTACCTTGAAGATGTTCAGCTCTTTTCAAATAACAGATAATATAAAATGTTACCCACAGTTCTGAACATATAATGAGCATTTCCACTGTTTTTTATTTTTAATTTTTGAGTCTGAGCAATTCATTGTTGAATCTAAAATATGATAATAAATTAATAGCTCAAGTATAGTAAGCATGAATCACAAGCTAGAAAGCTGACTCATCATTCATGGCGCTAGATTAGAACTACTGTGAATAACTAAAAAGATGTCAATGTTTCAATGTGTCATTGAAGCTGTCAGACAAAGGTGTATCTCATTAAATTAGAATAGAAGAAAATAGTGGTATTATCTTAATTATTCATTCAAAAGTGAAATCTTTCAAATCTATTTTTGTGTTAATTACACTTTGGACTTTAGTGAAAATCAGAAATCCAGTTCCTCATGATGAGAATATTCCCTTAACATCAATGAGGAAAAAAAAGAAATAAAGAAATAGACTTCAAACTTTTCACCCGATCTACCACAATTATTACAAATATTTGAGATTCTTCCTTTTTGAGTGTAGAAAATAAAAAAAAGACCTTTGTGATATTCTAATCAAGAGGCAACCTGTATTTCTGTTCATTTCAAATTAATTTACACAAAAGTTTTCTAAGATTATAGATCAATTTCTTGGAGATGAACACAGTCCAGAGTGAAACCCTTTTCAAAATAAAAAAAAAAAACAGACATGTATGTAATGCTGTTAAGAATGGATAGGGGGCAGCATTGAGCTGTGCTTTAACAGTCTCACTCTTCACTTGACCTGCTACAGCAAAGATTAAAAACCTCTAATTCAAGCAAAGTGTCTTATCATTTTTTACATGTGCAATGTGTGTATTTATTAAACCCAGACGAGGTCTTCTGCTTCCTTTCATAAATCAAGCTCCAAACTCAGGCTTTCAATAAATACAATACTCACCAAAGCTTTAAAGGACAAGAGAGGGCCAGAGGCACACTCAGTCATAAAGAATTCTCTGATTTTGCTTTCTATCGATTTTATTCACTTTCCATTTTGTCAACCTTTATCCAAGCAGCTGGGCAGTGTTTAGTGTCGCTGCAGACACAGGGGGAAAGAATGTATTATCTTCAATCACTGACATGCTACGTGCACATGAAGTGTGAAGGAATAAAGGAGTCATGTATGTTTACACTGTATGTGCATTTCTGTACAGGTAGTGTGTACCCACAGGTGTGTTTTTTTGTATCTAAACTGACTCCTGCCTTAGTCAGCTGACAGTGAGTACACATGGATATTGTGTAAGCGCTGTGCTGTAATACAGGACATGAAGTTGTTTTGATGCAACATGTAAAGGTCACTGTACACATTTCACTGATCACTTTTCTTGTAAGTACTGGATTTCTCTGAAGTCAAACAAGGATTCTGTGTACTTTTTAAGACACCTACGTGTTTGTGAATATGAAACGTGGGACTGTCAAAAGTGAAGCAAAGCTGAAGTCGCCCCCAGGTGTTTCCTGATGTAATTTGGGATTAAAGACCTGTCAGTCTTCTTTAAAGTGTTTGTTTGCATTTGGGTCACTTTTGACACCTAATGCAGCTCTGCATTATTCCATCCACACAGGTTATCCATCACTGCGTATAGAGAAGAACGACCTGAGAAGTGTTACTCTAATGGAGGCTAAAGCCAAGGTGAAAGACATCGCCATCTCAAGGGAGAGAGTCACTCTGCGAGATGTCTTACATGAAGGTACTTGTTGTCTCCCCTGTGGGACCTCTTTCTTTAGCTCGGTCTTTTTAACTCTTTCCTTTTTTGCATTTGTTCTCTTATGAAATGTGAAAACAAGAACACACAACTAAATAAAAAAAAGAAAACTAAATACACAACACTCACCAATCACACCAAAAGAAGACAACAGGAGTGTTTGGAGGGGGCTACTTTTGAGCAGTAAACATGGCAGCCTAATGCTTGTGCACTTTTTGAGTTAAGTTTTGTGACTTCATGAAAGTCTGCTATAAATCAGCAGGGTTAAAAACTGATGTTTGATCTTTTTTTAATACTGTACACACATTAACATGGAGGCAGTGCCTTTACCCTCTATACATTAAGACTCATGTGCAGCACATAGTTTATGGCTTGTGCTAATTTTGTGAATGTTTTCTCTTTGGGTGTTTACATGCTGTGAACAGTACAATGAAATACACAGGGTTTGGTATTCTTAAAGTACATAGAACCACATCTACTGCTGTCAAGATTAAAAAAAAAAATTCAGCCTTAGTTTAAAAAGATATTGTTGTCTAAAATGTTGACAAAGACTAATTTTAATGGTTGACAAATCTTTGAAACCCCGTACTTGGTTGCAAATGGGGCAAAGACAACATTTCACAAATACTGGAGCTGAAAATGTCCTCATTTTGAATTTGATGATGACAACATGTTTCAGAAAAAATGGGTCTGGGACAGTAAGAAGTAAAGATGTAAAGAGACTAACCACTCTGGACTGCTCTAGCACACAACGTCAGAATCAGAGTTGGGCATGAAAATCAGAGATATTGGGGACCTCATCATTTACAGTACATAACATCATCAACAGATTCTGGAAATTAGAAAGAATCCTTGTATAAAAAGGATAAGGCTGAAAAGAAATACTAGTTGGCTGTGATCCTCAGGCTCTCGAGCAACGCTGTATTAAAAACAGACATGACTCTGTAGTGGAAATCACTGTGTGGGCTCAAAATTGCTTCGAAAGCCGTAGTCTGTACACTGTTTGTTGCTGCATTCACAAATGTATGTTAAGATAGTGCTATGCAAAGGGGATCCTATAGAAAAACATAATCTTGGAAACTCTTGCAACTTCTGTGGGTCTGAGCCCATTTAAGATGGACTGAGGCAAAGTGGAAAAACTGTGTTGCCTAAAGCATTCAAATTTGACTTTCATTTTTGAAATCATGAACACTGTACTCTCTGCTCTAGATGAGACTGATACTCATATCATCAATTATTCAAAATCAGAAATGCTGGTGATATGTGGATTCATAAGTGCCCATGGCAAGGCCAGCTTACTCATCTGGGAGGGTACCATTAATGCTGAAAAATACACACAGGTGTTTGAGCAGCTTTTGCTGACCTTCAGAGGATGCCAATTTCAAGAAGACCCTGCATATTTGAGTACTTATTTGAGATGGTGCCAAACCACTTTCTGGACTTACTAGAACAGCATGGCTCTGCAGTATAAGAGTCTGGGTGCTAAAACAGCCTGCCTGCAGTCCTAACCTGTCACGCACAAAAGATTTGGGGCATCACAAATCAGAAAGTACAACAAAGGAGACCTTGAACTCCAACAGATCACTTTCAAACCTGGAACCTGGTCTTCTCATTTCCCAAATGTTTTCAGAGTGTTGTCAAAAGAAGAGGTGATGCAACACAGCGGTAAACTCATCTCTACTTTTTTTTAAACATGTTGCTGGCATCAAATTTAAGATGAGCATATATTTTTCTCAAAACAGTGACCTGTTTCAGTTTTGATATTTAGTCGTTGAAATGCATATCCGTGTAAAAACTTACAGTAGCTTGGTTTTGTTGTTCATGTTGTTACACAGATGATTATTACAGCTTATATTTAAATAACAAGGATAGTAGATACTGCTCTTTCAAGTAAATATGAGAATAAGCTGTTAGAGGCAGAGGAAAAGCTTTTAATAAAGCCCTTTAATGTTTGAAGAGATAATATTATTTGAAGACCTGTAATTTTATTTTAATGGGTCCAAAACTTTTCTTTGTGCATGTCCTCTGTTTGGTCTCATGGGAAAAGATTTGTGAAATTATTAAGAAGTCTCCACCCTGTAATTAGAGATGAGATAATTTGTCAAAGACATTGGAAATGACCGGAGCTAAAGGAGGACAGAGATGGCAGATGCTTGAAGTGGCTAGCCATAAAAGTGCCTCATTCAGAATTTGAATATAGCTTCTAATAATGTTTGATGGTCTGCATTAAAATATCTTTAAAATCATTCCTCTGGATCTCTGACAGGTCAACATTAAACTTAAGGAGTTAGATTGATAACATCTACAGCTGTATGTTAGGCTCCTTTGCATTGGACATATTTTTACTCAGAACAGTAGAGCACATCAACTCACAGACAAACATCATGCATCCATGATGTTTCTTTATTTATGTATTAACATCCCCGTTCTCTTAATGTATGTGTGGCAAAATGATTAAAAAAAAAAAAAAACCTAGCATGGAACTTAAAGGGATATTTCAGCCTAAAATTAAGTTATGGTCAAACACACCCTAACACCGAGTTAGACACCCCCTTGAGAGATGAATGTTGCTGACTGCTTGCTTACCTAGTAATACAAACTTTAGTAATGATTACACAATAGCAATACACAACAGTCTATGTCTCCATGCGGAAACCTCAACCACAAAGCCACTCTATAGCCACAAATAATGCTCAGAACAGCACCTAACTTCATCAACAGTACATATAGGGTCCCAGCCATAGTACTAGCCATCAAACATCTTTTTAGCTTTGCCTAATTTCTTTAGCAAAGAGACTAAACACAACTCACTCACTCTCCTCCAGCAGCCACTTGTTTGTGGGGGAGCCCTGACGAGTCGATCACTGAGTGCAGCGGAGTTTACTTCATGAAAATGCAATCAGACTGAGACGCTAAGGCAGAAGAACTACCGCGTCTGCAGTGCAAAATGATTATTATGATGATTATTACTTCATGGAAATGATCAGCTGCGCTCAGTGATCAACTCGTCAGGGCTCCCCCACAAACAAGCGGCTGCTGGAGAAGAGTGGATGAGTTGTGTTTAGTCTCTTTGCTAAAGAAATCAGGCAAAGCTAAAAAGATGTTTGATGGCTAGTGCTATGGCTAAGACCCTGTATGTACTGTTGATGAAGTTAGGTGCTGTTCTGAGCATTATTTGTGGTTATAGAGTGGCTTTTTGATTGAGATTTGCGCGTGGTTCCATGGACTGCTGCGTATTGCTATCGTGCGGTTGTTGCTGGAGTTGGTGTAACTAGAGAAGCAAGCAGTCAGCAACATTAATCTCCCGAGGGGGTGTCTAACTCGGTGTTAGGGTGTGTTTGACCCCAATTTAAATTTACGGTGGAATATCCCTTTAAATAGCAAGAAAGAGTTCTTGCACAGGAGTATTACATACTGATAGAAAGCTTAAGATGGCTAGAGCAAAAGCTTTTAATTTCCCTTAGGGGACCCTCCTAAAAGGATCAATAAAGATCAGTCTAACCGAATCTAATCTAATCTAACAAGTTGAAGTCCCTCAATCTCTTCCTTTGGTTCCATATCAAAGATAAACTCCACAGCTTGAGCTTTAGCTTGGCTCGATCAGTCTTTCTCACTAAAGCTATGGCTGCTTTTGGAGACGGTTTAGTATCGTCATGGCGTGATAGAGCTGAACAAGACTGTACTTTACTTTCTGGAGATTTGCCCACACTGGGGTTTAGTGGGGCTGTGAGAATGATGTAATAGTTACCCAAGGGTGTCTGTAACACAAAAGAAGAGGAAGGTGTGGGTGTCCTGTTTTTAAAATGCCACTGAGAGGCTGCCTGTTGGTTTATGGTCAATGTTTCTGTCAAAATATTGAATCAGAATGCAGAAGCAGCTCTCTTTGGTCTTAATCCTTCTCAAATATGACTGTTTACACTACAATAGCTGCAACTTGGACCCCGTAATCTCAGGGATGTGTTCAAATTTGTCTTTGTCAGATATGTGGCTTTAAAATAGAAATGCTGAATAGTAAATCTACTTCTTTCCAGACTTAGATATCTCAATGCTCACTGGAATGATTTAACATTTTGGTATTTATTGTTTTGGGCTCATTTGTTTGTTTTAGCTGACAGGAACACTAACAGACAAAGCTAACATAATTAATTATTCTACATTGGAACTGTTGTTGGCAGCAGGTGAACATTTTGACCTCAGTGTTTTTTTATTCTAAGCAGGAAAAATTGGTGACTTGAATGACCTCAACAAAGGCCAGTTGTGTTTGCCAGACGACTGAGTCAAAGCATGTCCAAAATTGCAGCTTTTTTAGGGTGTTCCAGTGTGCAAGGTTTTGCGCCTACCAAAAGGGGCCAAAGGTAGGGAAACCATTGAACCAGCAGCAGGTTTATAGAGAGCCGAGGCTCACTGATGTGGAGAGTGAAGGCTGGTCAGTGTTGTCTGAAATCACACAGGGGAACTAGTATAGCTTGCAGAAAAGGTTCATGCTGGTTCTGGTTTCAGAAAGGTGTCAGAAGAAACTGTGCATCACAGCTTGTTACATGTCGGGCTTTGTAACTGCAGGTCAGTCAGACTGCCTCTGCTCTTCTGCTGAAACTACCCCCTGTAAACTTGAGCGCATCGGAGCTAGGCCAGTGAAAAAAGGCGGCCTGTAGGGACACAACAACTAGCTAGAGGTGTTGACTTGGTCTCCAAATTCTGTTGATCTCAGTCTATAAAGCGCCTTTGGATGTCCTGAAAAACTGAGTCTGATCCACAGGGGCCCATCTTACAACTTTCAGAACCTTAAAAATCTGCTGCCAAATCCTTGTTGTCAGTTACTGCAGCATAGCTTCAGAGGTCCAGTGGAGGTCAGGGCCAAAACAGTCCTAATCTGATGAAAGTGAGGCTAGACGATGATAAACTGGTAATGTTATTACTGATGGATAAACTCCTGATACTTGCTGACACGTGTATTTGGTGCTAAATATAGAAAGAAGGAGGATGTAAACAGAAACACCTGTTTCTGATTTTTATTCTCTAACTGTGCTGCTTGACTGATATTGTTTATCTGGTAATCAGCAGCATAAAATGCTTGAACATTTTAACTGTTGCCTGACTAGAAAGTCTCATCAATCCATAGTTGTTTCAAACTGGATTCTTACAGGTAAAAGTTGAGTCTTGTTTAAATGAATAACTCTAAGTTTTTACTTTTTTTGCATTACGCTGTGTTCTATTAGATAATTAAAATTGAGTCCATGCTTTAATGTTTATCCCTATAAAGTACAGAGCTCAAACACATTGTAACTTTACTCCAAACTTGTATACTGGCAAGTTCATCAAAGCAAAGAAAGGTAAAGAATTTATCATTATGATAAATGAAGTGCCCATCCAAGTGTATTATCAGTGTAATTATTTTCACCAATTTATGCAGAAAGGCTGAGTTATATGGCTTTATTATTAGGATACTCTACAGCTGTTGGCAGATAAACACACTGACGTCTGTATTCATGTATAAACCTACCTACCTGTTTTGACTTGATGTATACAAAAAGCTAGTCAGGGCATTTGGGTATATTTACTGTGTATATGAACACATCAGATCCTGCTGAAAGAGATTTAAAATAAAACATTAAAACCATGCGTAGAAACTACCAAAAACAACCAAATATAAGTCGTCCAAGGCCTTTTCTCAGAGGCAGTTGAACTCTGAGTTGGATGCTGTTTGCTGGGAGCCGGCAGGTCCAGACAGGTTTGATGGGGAAGGAAGGGGAGGGAGAGAGACACTCACACACTAACCCTGTTGTTATGCTCTGTCTCCTCTCCTGTTGAAACACAAGGCAGAGATGGCCTTAGGCTTTAAATTTTTTCTAAGTTTATGTTGATGGTTTATCTTCTTGAAGCTTAAACAGTATTTTAGCTCAGTGAAATCCTGGAGCAACAGGGTGACAGTTTAGACAAAGGAGATGATGAACACGCTCACTTTGCCTTTCTACGTCGTGCGTCTTTCTGAATCATTTATGTGATGAAAGGTCTGTTGAGCTTCAGTGAATCCTTGCTCTGGCTCATGTCAGTGAGTCAAGAGCCAAAAGCTGCCTAATCCCATTAAGAAACAAAGCATTTTGAGCTGAGGCCTGTCCACTTCTGTCCACAGATCAGCCAGGCATGGCGCCCTGTGAGTGAGGTGGCATTTAAATGTGTGAATGTGAAGCCTCTGGCTGTGTCTCTTCGAGCGTTTTGGTAAATAAATGCCTGTGGTTTATTTTTAACAGGAACATTTGGCCGCATCTTCCACGGCGTACTGCTGGATGAAAAGGACCCCAGTAAAGAAAAGCAGGTCTTTGTAAAGACCGTGAAAGGTATGTGCTCACTCCACTGTAAGTAAAAGTTCAGATAACTACAGATCTTAACTGTAGTAAAAGGATAGAAAGCATTGAACAACTAACACTAGCTCGGATAGCAACACAGATTATTATAAAGACCTGAATATGTTGCTGCTGCTGAGCGTTTTCACTTATCACATGTGGTACTGTAGTAAAATATCTCCCTGTAGCCCAAAATGTGTTTCCCAAGCGACAGCCATTCTCAAGTGATGTTTGTAAAGGGGTTGACAGGATTTCTCAAACAACAAGAAGGTGAAAAATGACTCTTCCTGTTATAGATTTTGATCCATGGAGATTTTATTTTGCCAAAACCCACTTGAGCCACTCAAGACAATAAAAATCAATAACATCATCAAAAAATCAAGTTAGTGGGCTGAGTGTAAACTCTGTGGCTGGGCCATAAAAAAGTACCCTGGAGAGCAAGAAACTTTTTCATTGTTTGCTTTTGGAAAGTATTCATTGTATCACTAACTAGATTTCCTCCCCTCAGTGTCCACTTCGTTAATGATAGTTAAGAAATGTGCTTCACTATTACAATGAAACTCTGCTTTAAAAGCCAACAGATTTACCCCAGAACTGAACAGAGGTCAAACTTGACAAGACATCTGAGAGGTCACTGAAAGGGCAGTCCTACTATGTCAACTTCACCCTGATAACAGAGAAGAGTAGTCTAGGATGTGCCTCTTTTGCCACTTTTCCATCACATAGTTTTAGCACTACTTACCTCCGCTCGGTTTTGTTTGTTTCCCATTACAGTTGAACCACGTCAGTGTGGGTGGGGTTGTCAAGGCAGCCCGAAACTCTCATGATGTCATTTGTATGTGACATGAACATAACCCAAACACACGCTCTCTGAATGTGGTGGGTTTAATTGTAGTAGAGTAGCTCTCATCACTTATCCAATTATATCACTCTCTAGCCAATCAGTGGCCTGCAGTCTGCTGACATCACATTTTCAGCTTGACTAAACTTAACCTTTGGAACCCTGGCTAAGAAGGAACTACAAAAGCACCTGGCACCAAGTTCTATCACTTGGTTCTGATAGAAAACCCTAAACACGAGTTGAGTTGAGTGGAACAGAGTGATGCTAATGGAAAAACATCATTGAATTGTTAAAATATGATGTGCCAATGCAGGAAATGTGGTTTTTAAGACTTCAAGAGTCGACTTTAATTATTTTGCACCTGTAGGCAAAGCTGCTTGTTTTATGCCATCTGTGGTTCCATCCTGGTGATAATACACAGCTGAATACACAGTTGTCAAAGAACTAAACACATTGCTGAAGAATGTGTGTTGCAAGTACCCCAGCTTTTATTTTTATGTGCTACTCTTTGTTTTCTAGGAAGTCTGTTGGTTTGTAGAGTACACACTGTAGTCGCCAATGAATGTCAATGGGCCAAAACCTGGTTGTGTAAGGCCAACAACTGTGACAAATGGCTGAGGGTCTTTGCTAACACTTGAGTTGACAGTACAGTTTTTGATTTATTCCCTCTTTTGTGAACTCTGTAAATTGTAAACCAAACACTGCCTTTGAGATATAGAGGGTGCTTTTCTAATGGCTTCAGCAGATGGTACCAGTCCAGTGAACATGCACACAAATTTGTCAGTTAATAAATTATATGTCTTACTCATACTGCAGGGTTTGCATGTTGTTGAAAGAGCTCCTTTATGTTGGACTGGCGGGTTCTTTGTTAGCAGCTCGTATCAGCTTTGTCTGCCAGTTGCCTTCTGACCTCTTTTCTGTTTTCTGGTGTTTACTCAGGGAGGGGTGGATACCAGTCCACGAACAATATGCTCATGCCAGTTCTGAGTTTGTTAGGGTCTTTGCTTCCTCCTCGCGCCTTTTGGGGAAGGGAAAAATTCCGTTTTCCAAGAGGACCAGAAGATGGCAAAGCTGCATACACAGATCAAAAACTCTGCTTGGCAAAAAATCTGTTTTTCCCTCCTGAGTTTCTCACTACAAATGGCTGTTGGCATGAAAGAGAAAAAAACAGAACTGGACATGGTGTCTGAGTTTGTCATAACTATTGCCTCACCGTAGCAGCCGTTGTACTGCACAGACACACTTGATTGGCATCAGTACTCCACTTTCTAACAAGATTTTGTGTCTATTAAAACTTTTTAGATCATGCATCTGAGGTGCAGGTGACCATGATGTTGACTGAAAGTTGCAAGCTTCGTGGACTTCATCATAGGTAAGTGGAAGTCAGTGTTTGTCCATCCCTCTGTTCTTCCATATTTCCATACATCCATACAAAGATATTATCCGTTACAGAGGCAGCTTAGGTCACAATTTGTTTTTGCTATATTCTTGAGTTATAATTATAACAATTGTAACTTTATTTATAATCAACTTTTCAAAACCAGACTTACAAGATGCCACACATATCAACATATAAATACACCAGCTAAAACAAGGAGGGAAAATAAAGAACAAACTTAAAATTCTAAGCAAACACAATACGATAGAAAACTGCACTGGGGAAGGAGCAGTCTAACAGTGAACAGACTCCTCTGGTTGATGATGGCGGTGTGCAGAGGGTGACTGGCATCATCAATAATGTCCAGTAATTTGTCCATAGTCCTCTTCTCTGCCACCATCACCAGAGAGTCCAGCTTCATGCCAACCACAGAGCCAGCTCATCTGATCAGTTTTCCAGCCTGGATGGCAATGGCAACCATGGGCTGATAAAACATCCACAGGAGTTTTTCTGCAGATGTTGAAAGACTGCAGCCCCCTCAGGAAGTACAGCCTGCTCAGTCCCTTCCTGTACAGGTGGCCCATGTTTAATGTCCAGTCCAGTGTGTTGTCCAAGGTACTTGTATAAGTCTACAGCCTCCACATCGACTTTTTGGATCAGAACTAATCTTGACTCTTGACTGTGGTCTGGACCTCCCAAAGTCAATGACAAGCTCCTTGGTCTTTGAGGTGTTGAGGTGCAGATGGTTCCTGTGGCACCAGACAGCAAAATCTAAAGTAAAGTAGAGTGACAGACCAGTTAGTGGAAATGCACACAATAAAATAAGATTTTCAGGTCATGTGGTCTTTAAAATCTTGTGTATAAAAAGTTCAAACATTGCAAATATATGTTGCTGTCAAACTATGTAGGGCTTAAAAAACTAGAATTTAAAAACTGAAGGTGAGCTGGTAACCAGTGGAGATGAGCAAGAATGAGAGTGATGTGCTTGTTTCACTAGATCAAATCTGAGCAGCAGCATTTTGGATTTTCTGTGGTCAGTCTTTTCCAGTAATGCATCACAGCAATGAAGATGAAAGCATAAAAGTCTTTTTCTAAACTTGAAAGGAGAGAAATGCTCTAACCTTTTGAAATAAGCCTGGGTTGGAGGAAACAACACTGTACCACTTCGCACCGCCTGTGTTTAATCATCAGGCAGGAGTCAAAAAACACTCCAAGATTTCTGGCCTCTACTCCCACGTACTTTCAAAGTTGACCCAAAGCAGACAAAAAGTCATGAGTATCTTTTTGAAAACTAGGCAGAATCCCTGTAACAATATCAGTCTTGGAGTCATTCACTCTCAGAATTTTGTTGCGTTTGGGTGTCATAAAAATAATTGTTTATTTTTTTATTTTTTTATTTGTGTATTGGTTGACCGACATGCAGATTACAAATGGTAGGTCACCTAAAACAGAGCCTTGTGGAACCCCAGAGAACTCCAAAGATGTGTGATACTGTAAAAAGAATCAAGACACCACCTCTTAAGTTTAGTTCGGTTAAATTGTGCGAGCTCTCTCAGCTCTCACCATCAGACTTCGTTGTCTCTCTTCCCAGAAATTGGGCTTCAGCTTGTTTTGTTGAAGCCTTTGTTTGTCAACCTACAAAACAAATGGTTTCAGATTGGCTTGTGTGTGCAGTGTATTGACATTTATGTAGAATTATTGTGGCATAAGATCAGTAGGTAACGGGAAAGAAGATCATAAGAGTTCTTGTCCTTCAAATGTACTTTCAATGTTTGGAAAGTTGTCGTCATGAGGTCCCATTCCTTCCTCTTTCTCTTCTTCTTGAGGTCAGCAAGACAATAGTATTTGCTCTACTTCCTCTTTTACAACTTGGAAATGGTTTGAGTTACCCCGTCAACATGATTTCATCTTCCAAGAATCTTTTTGTTGTGAAGTAAACCTCAACACATGGACTGTACATTGATAGCCTAGGTGTTGTGTAACACTGTTCCTTTCTCTTCAGAAACCTTCTGCCGATCAGCCATGTCTGCACGGAAGAAGGAGAGAAGCCCATGGTGCTGTTACCATTCATGGCCTGGGGGAACCTCAAGTTGTTCCTGCGACAATGCAAGCTTGCGGAGGCTAACAACCCACAGGTAAGCTTCAACTGGCAGCTAGAAACAGAAGTCACTTATTAAACCATTAAAATAAAAGCCTCAGTGCAAGCTGTGTATGGAATCGTATTGAGACGTTAAGTACACTATTAAAATAAATCCTCTAAATTGGGATAGAGTCGAGTGTGAAAGAAGGTTTTGTGTGTTTTCAGCAATCAACACCACATAACACCCACCAGTAACTCCTGTTTACACTGTTATTAGAAAGACTGTTGATATAGTCTAGCTGCCGGTGCCCAGGGCCAAGATTTTTATTCACTATGTCAAGACAATCAGGCTTTTGTACAGGTTAACCTCAGGGAGTCTTTGATGCGCTTGGCAAAGCCACATCACAGATCCAACCAATCAATCAACCCCTAAATACAGATGTAGCGAACACAAGACGGAGCTTGCCATCTGTTCGCATTAATCAAAACCGCTTTGTCAAGTTCCAGGTTTACGCACCAGCACCTACATTCTCAGCAATCTCATTATGTAGTTTTGGCAGTTGTACAGGACAAGGACTTAGTCATTAAATTGTGCTGGTGCTATAAACATCGAGCTATAAATCATAAACATATTGGTGCAGGGGAGATAGTGCTCTCAGGACTGCACAATACTGCTGTGTTACATTTATTGAGAAAGTGAACATCTGGTTTGGGAAGTAGAACAGTTGGAGGGAAAAAACAGGGTTTGGTACTGACCTTTTCCACAGTTGTCATATTTCCACTGGAAACCACCTGTTCAAGTTACAGAGAGTGGTGGATATAGAAAATCTAACTGAAGTGTGTGATACCAAAGAAAGACTCCTTAGTTTAGCTTGAGGTGTTTGCTAAAAAATGTTCTAATCTGAGTTCATCGTTTGCCAAGACTTGCTTTTCCTGTGTAGTGGGATGAATTAATAAATGATGCATCTGCTCACTGCCAGATCAGTTTAAACAGACCCATATTTTCTGATGTGTGAGCCAGAGCCTGAGATTAGCAGCTAGCCGATGGGAAGTGAAAAACCAGATTTATAAATATATGATGAATTTGGAGGAAAAGGTAGTCTTTTAAGCTGCAGTCATGTTTGTATACACTGACCAGTCAGGGGTCTTTTCTCTGCTCAGTGCTCGGGCTTTTCTCAGACACACCTGCTGGCCCAGCCATTGTCTGCAGGCCCTTCAGGGGCTCCATGCATAAAACAAACAGCTCTCTTTAATGTCACACTCTGCCTGAAACCATCCAAGAAATGGACTGACAGGAATATTGCAGAGAGGGTAGAGAAGTTTGTAGCAAGTTCTCTAGTAAAGCTTATGTGGCACTTCACATCTCATGCTAATTGTGGTTTGTATGCAGTACCTTAGACAACCTTTGTCAGTCATAATAAAGTTACACTCTGGACCCTCCAGGAGAGATCTGTTGTGTTTTAGTGCTCAGAGCTAATCTAAGTCACTTTACCTGGACAGCAAGTACAGACATTAATGTGAAGAAGAAACCTTCAACCCCTGATGAGTTCTTTCTTTTTTTCATGTCATTTTTTGTTACCTGATTTCACTTCCACCATCTGCAGCAACTTCTCCTTACTTTGCATCTTAGCTAGCATCTTTGCTAACAGAATTATATTTTCAATGGATTGTACTCCTCCCTGCAAGTTGACCAACCCAACAGTACATTTCTTTGTTTTTTCTATTACAGTAGTATCCATGCTCACTAGATTGATTTGGTAAAGCTGTTATCTGTAGACTTTTAAGACACAGCATTTAACTACTGACAGTTTTTTTTTTAGGGAACATTTAATATTAAGCCACAAATGTAAGCAAGGTTTTGCCCATTTCTCATCTTTTTTGCTCAATAGATATTTGCAGTAAAATCATGGCAACATATCAACTCATTGTTGACCATCAGACAGGAACACCAACATAGTGATACTTCCAATTTTGCAACTAGACCGGGCAAAATGATCAGTTTATAACTGTTTTCACTTTTTTCCACTTTATTTTTGCCCACCTTTTTTTTATATATTTAACTGCCTTTGGAAGGAAGTACTGGTGGCTATTTAAAGGAGTGGTATTTTCCAGATGAATGGCCTTTCACCCTCATTTTAAGACTGAAATAGTCCTTGTGTGTGTACCTCCCATCTCTGTCCTATAGCTGAATTTTTCCTGGTTCAAAGGAAACATGAGCACTCTGACACAGAAGGCCAATTTCACCTCAGTAAAGTCACGTCAGCTGTTCTTTCTGTCCTTGCTCCCTCCCTTTTTCCGTTTTCATGTTTTTCCTCTGTTGACTGCTAACTGCACATTAAATCTCTCTCTTTTCCTTCTGTCCTTCCAGGCGATCTCTCAGCAGGACTTGGTTTACATGGCCATCCAGATTGCATGTGGAATGAGCTACCTGGCTCGCAGGGAGGTCATACACAAAGACCTTGCTGCCAGGAACTGTGTGTAAGTGTCCCTGACAGTTGTCCTCACTTCTTCCATGTTGCCTTCAGGTGATTTTCTTTGGGATTTAATTACTCTAAGATAAAGATGCTAACCACCCTCTGTTTTCCCCTCTCCCCTTGTCCCCCTTGGCAGCATTGACGACAACATGCAAGTGAAGATCACAGATAACGCCCTTGCCCGGGACCTATTTCCCATGGATTACCACTGTCTGGGGGATAATGAGAATCGACCGGTCCGCTGGATGGCTCTGGAAAGCTTGCTCAACAATGACTTCTCCAGTGCCAGTGACGTGGTAAGATTATAGACTCTATCAAATAGGGGTGGGAATCACCAGTGGCCCTAAGATACGATATTGTCACGATACTCGGGCCACGATACGATGCTATTGCAATTAGTATTACGATACAATATATTGCGATTTGTACCATTTTTTCAACTGTTTAGCTAATTTAGCATGTGACTTTCCTTTCCGTTTGTCTTATTCACGCTGTATTTTATTTTTAGATTTATATAAATTTGTTGCACTAACTTTCCCCTGCACTATGATGTCACCGCTGCCAACCTCACTGGACGAATAGTTGATTTTATTTTTCCAGTATCATAGATTTCACTTCATATTTACAATTGATTTGAAAATAAATAAATAAATAAATACTTGGTAAAGGAGACAATATGATATATCACCAGACAAAATATCAAATAAGTGAAACAAATCACTTTGGTATCAGTCATATATTAATGGAGTAAAGTTTCTAAGCTTTAAATTGCCAATATTGGTCATCATTGTGTTGCTTTTTTTGGGCACAAACTGAACAAATAAGACAAGGTGGTTGTGACTGGAGGAGTGATAAGAAAACACTTAAAAGCCTCTTTTATAGTGATGCACGATATGAAAAATTTCAACAGATACCGATAACCGATAATTTTCTTCTTCTCATGGCCGATACCGATACCGATAACCGATAAATTCATATTTTTACATTTATTATAATCTTCATATAATCTGCAATTTGAGCAGGATGCAGCGATTGAAAACTGATGTTTTTGTTGCTCTGGCCTATCTAGAACAACAAACAAAAGTTTTTGGCTCTTCAAATGTGGTCATTTGCTATAAATAACAATAACAGAGCAAAAAGCAGAACTTCATTTGATCCCCTGAACTGTTCAACAGAACTGTAAACTGTAAAGGAGTTATTATGAGACGTTAGGATTAGCATGCTGACCGGACTAACATCTGACGTCCATATGTCTGTGGTAAAACTCACGTGTAGTCCGTTCTTGTCGATCAGGTTGTGAATGTATGTGGCGACAATATCATAGAGTGCAGGAAGAGACACATCCGAGAAGAAGCGGCGGCTTGGGAGAGTGTAACGTGGCTCCAAGTGTGCTATTAAACCCGGGTTCTCAACGACGGAAAAAGGCTGGTCGTCAACCGCTATGAACTCCATCACTTTGTCGTTAATGGCTTTAGCCTTTTCGCTGTCTCTTGAGAAGCTTTTGCAGTTTTTAAACGCCTGCTGAATGGGGACATCGATCCTCCGTAGTGTTGTTGTCTTAGCTTTAGTACCGCTAGCAGCTTCGGCGGCTGTCTCATTTTCTTTTACTACCGCTTCGCCGCGATGGCGACTTCTCAGATGAGCTATCAGATTCGTTGTGTTAAAACTTGACGTCTTCTTTCCTCCTCTCGGAATCCTCGCTGAACAGGTTTTGCATATAGCAGCTGTTGTCATCTTCTGCCACTGAGAAAAACGACCATGCTGGTGAAGACATTTTATTATCTGTCAGGTAGTGACGGGGTCAGGCTTGGGACCTGCGAGTAAGGCGCGATAGATGACGTAACCAGCGCGTCTCGGACGGGCGGCTACTCCGCCTGCAAACGTTACTCGTAATTTCATTAATATATCGGATCTTTCTATCGGAAAAATGCACCTATCGGACCGATAAAAAAATGACGTAATTTTCCCCCAAATCGGCCGATATTTTATCGGTCCGATAAATATCGTGCATCCCTACTCTTTTACATTGGCTGTTCAAGGTGTGACTTAAAAACCCCAGTTAACAGCTTACATTTCTTTCTCCAAGGCAAGAAACTCAAAGTTTTCCTTTGAACATTATATAAGGGGAATGGTTTTCTTTTACCTCAAATTAAAGTGTAAAGAGGGGCTGGTATATTATGTTTGGCACCAGTGGCGGTTCTAGACCAAATTACTCCCCGGGCGAGCACCCCTCCAAGTGCCCCCCCCCCCCCCCCCAGCTAGAATTTTGAACAGATAGTTTTGTATTACTATGTAGTATTATTATTATTATTATAACAACAAAAATAATATATTTCTCAGTTGCAGAAATCCTTCAATAGAAAAAAACACAATCCTGAGGGCCATTTTCAGAAGGGCCCCCAGATCCTGAGGTTTTCTGACGTGTTAAGGTTTACAAAAAAGCTGCTATCTCGGCCTCTGTAGTAGATAGAAACAAAATTCAAAAAGTATTTGAGAGCTTAAACATGTGGCTTTCAAGAAAGCTCTCTTTTAGTTTTGCGAACCTTCATCACATTTTTGAAAACCTTGAACAAACAAACTCAAATGAAATAAAGCGGCTGTATAAATAAAAGTAAAGGCTCTGCACTGGAGAATGACAAATAATTTGCTTTCTGTAAAACAAGTGGCAGTCATGATAAAGTGTCCATTCAATACAAATGTAAATGTAGAAAATAAGGTGTTGAAAGGGTATACAGCTGCCTCAGTATAGTGCCAGTACAAAAGCAGAACTAAAAACTAAAAAATGAATAAATAAATACGTGGCTGACAGTGTGTTCATCTCTGTTCTCACCCAAAGTCATGCAACACTCAGAGAAAACGCTGATAGTGTGAGCCAAAGCACTCCCTATGAAGAGGTTGTTCACACTGCTGGATGTTTCTCCTCTGAAGCTGCTCTCTGCCGCCGTCATTGTTTACTTTACTCATGAAGCTCATCAAGCACGTAGCAAGATCGCTACGAGCGCTTTATTCGCCTATCAAAGGCAGACGGGTACGGTGATTTCATTCACTGCCACTCCAGAAATGATTAAAAAACTACAAAATGACGTATCCGCGCTCCCGCGGATATGCTGACATGCGTACACAGAGCAGAGCTCGCGACTCTCTCCCTGCCTCGTCTCATACAGTCTGTCAGCCTCTGTGCAGCACCTTCGGAGCAAGCAGGGGCGCCTACAGCAGCGGGGGGGCGCCAATTTGACAACAAGAGTTAATACAAATCCGCTTTGCGGTCAAGATTTATTATTATTATCTTTTATTTTATTTTTTTGGAAGTGCTCGTGCCGCCCCCCATGAGTCATGACACAAATGCCGCCCCGGGCGGCTGCCCTGTTCGCCCGTGCCTAGAACCGCTACTGTTTGGCACAACCAGCATGGAACAAAATTAAGTGGCACCAGTGGTTCAGTAATGTTGTGTGCTGTGCTAACAAGAAACACGGAAGCCTCACTATCTTAACTATGGCAGAGGGATTCAGCAGACAAGTTTTGTATCCACCAAAGAAACAAATTAATGGGCTTGTGTGGGAGTAGTTCAAGTACACCGTGAATGACTGCAGAATTGTTCAAAATGACTGAATACACGCCTGCAAAACCTGACGCAAAAGTTACAGAGAAAGGATCAAACGCATCCAATCACTGCACCACAAAAGTAATGGTAATATATAATCACAGTAATATTACCTGAGTAACGTAATGAAAACTGAGTTGGTTAGAAATTAAAATAGAAACGTATTTACAGCTGGAAAGTCTGGCATAACAGCAGAAGTTTTCAGAGGTAATGACATACTAAAACTGTGAATGTTTGATACACTGTTTGTTTTTGTCAGATATAGTAATAATTGGTGTTTACCCAAAATGTTATCCATATCACAGATGTCACTGTCTTACCACTGATATCTCCCTGCAACATACGTTCTCAGTCTCAGTCTCCATTGTGCAGCAATTCCCACACGTACACCTGAAGTAAAAGGTAGGTAATGAGTTTGGGAATTATTGATTATGACACGAAATAGACTATAGGCCTTGTGCATAGGTTCATCATCCTATACCACACGCAGCTTAATTGTGAATAATACTGTATGACTGGTCTCCAATTATTTTCCATGGAGGGCCAAATTATGTGTTGTGTTAATAAACTATTTGGAGGTCCATGAACTTAATTTCGGAAATAAATAAGATAACCATGTTCTGTGTGTTCGTGTGTAGCCTGATCACCCATAGCCTAACCGAGAATGATAAGTTAGATCAAATCTTCTCTTATCACGGTGGTTCTCAAGTCCAGTCCTCGAGCTCCCCGTCCTGTATTTTTTGAATGTTTCCCTGCTCCAACACACCTGATTCAAATGATCAGCTCGTTATTAAGCCATTACAGAGTTTGATAACGAGCTGATCATTTGAATCAGGTGTGTTGGAGCAGGGAAACGTCCAAAACATGCAGGACGGGCGGGCTCGAGGACTGGATTTGAGAACCACTGTCTTATCAAATTACCATTCTGACACGTCCATGTTCTTTCGCTCTCCGGCTTCTTCATCTTCTACCTCCTCTTCGGACTCGGACTCGGGGTCAAAAATATATGGATTAATGCCTGCCATTTTTAGCCTTTTGCACACATTAGCATAACAGATAAAACGGCATCAGAACCTCCACTGCTGAGCCAATCAGAGCACAGCAGGCTTTACAGCAGCGATCCAATCAGAGCAAAGCTCATTACCATAAATGTTAATGAGCCAAAACCTGTTGATTTTTCTGAAAGGTTTTTTAGGCATACTAAAACAAACCATCAAATAACTTTTCAGCTAAAATTATGTTGCAAACATGATTAGAGGACATCAAGGATTAGGAAAAAATGATAAAAATGGGTATGAAATTTTGGTGGCAGGTCCCCTTTAAAAAAATTAAAATGAATGCATAATAACTGTCATGATCATGAATATTATTTCATGTTACTCAAACTATAATTGTAAACTCAAAACCGTTCATCCTTGCATCCCTGTTGGAGGGGTGAACTTCTTTCTGGAGCCATTCTTATGTTGCCATTTTCCAAACTGTGGTTTCTGGCACTCAGACTTTGGCCAAATTTTTCATCAATAGGTTTTTGTGCCTATAATCACTACAGCATCAGATACAATGTTTATTTGGTGTAGCTGAATCACAGAAACCTTTTATTAACCTTTATTGTCTCTAATGGTTTCTCCAAAAATGATAGGATATGATACAGGAGAGGTGATGCAGGAAATGGCCCTTATTGTGTCAGAGCCATTCTTGGACACTTTGTCAAGGTGTCAAAGGGAAAGGAGGAACAGTGTTGAGCACCATGTGTGTCTGTCTCTGGCTCTTCCCTCTTTCCTGTTCCAGGATAGCAGAGTGGGTGCGGCAGACAGTAAGGAGGCTGGGCAGCTCCTTAAAGACGTTAGCCAGACATTCCCCCCACCCCTCCACATTCCTCTTATGGTCAGACTGTTTCATGGCAGTCGTTGCCCTCCCTGATCTTACAGTAAAAGAGAGGCTTGGCTTTACCAGCCCACTCAGCTTCAGGGGAAACTCCACACTATTACCTGGAACAAGAAGCATTATGAGAGCATCACACATGCCAGTGTTACACACGTAAATGCTCCATAACTTATGTCAGTGGTTACGCACATTTGATGCCAACACATGCAGGACGAGAAAGTGACTAAGAGGTCTCACTTGGAGCAGCGTTTGTGACACCAGTACTTTAAAAAGCCCCACCCCCACCCCCCATCACTGTGCCCTGGGGTTACACTCAGTATATTAGCTCTATCTTTCATTTAAGAAAACAGTTGTAGTTTGAATCATCCTGTTAAATGTATTAGAAAATAAATCTACAATATTCTTTGACTTTCTGTCCCCTTTGTTATTGGTAAAGGGAAAGATTTTATTTTAATTTTAGAAATATTACGCTTAGTTTTTTCATTTCCGTTTTTATGGTGTTAAATAGTGTGAGAGTTTGTTGAGGAGGCAGCTATGGTCTGGCTGCAGCTATCAAATATTTTAAAAATAGAGCATTCTACCAAATATTCCATCAATCGATAAGATAAAACATAACTTTTTAGTTATAGTGCAATTAGCGTGGAACAAGCGTGTGTGTTAGTGGATTGCAATGCTCCTAAGAAAGCTAATTATGATATTAGCTTTCATCATGTCCCCAAAGACATTAGTGTCTGAGAGCTGAATAGCTCCTATGTTTCCTGCTTCTTCTACTACATCTGCAATGTTAGGCTGCAAGCTAGCATTAAAGGAGTGTGCAGAGCAGCGTTCCACTGGAGTGACTTAAGCATGTTGTGTCACCTTGAAAATAATCTGTGTGAAACAGTGAATTTTCGAGTTTATAAGCGAGTACTCGAGGCAGAGAAAATTCCTTGTTCATTTTTTGTAATCGAGGTACTCAAGGTACTCGAGGAATCTTTGCAGCCCTACAGCTATGGTCTGGCTGCAGAAGACATTTTGATCTCACTCTATTTAGAGGTCAGCTGATTACAGTTTTTCAGTAGAAATGGAAAATTATATTCAGGATTATGTTGAGATTGGTGTGTAATCACTCCATTTTTAAAAAAAAAAATTTTGTTTATATAGAATGAGCTTTTTTTTTTTTTTTTTTTACGTCCATAGAAGCAAGTTTCATGTTACAGGGTCTGCCTTCTTCTGCAGCCATGTTTCGACCATGGTGAAGACAACTAGTGCAATAATCACTTTGGTATTTATGGAGTGGTTGGAGAATGTGCAGAAAAGAAGGAGAGAGTGGTTTTTAGTTGTCGTGTGCAGAAGAATTTGTGTTGGTAGACATTATTGATGGTCAAAACTTGACAAGTGGAAGATCAAACTTATCATACATCACAGCAGCTTTTTGTCCTCTGCGGTCACTATCTCTTCATTAATAGTTGGGGTGAGCAAGGGAGCCTTTCAGCCTGGAATCTGACCGCTAGATATCACTGAGTACTCTTTTGATTTCCCTGCACCTTTAAGGGATATGAAATATTTAAGGATACACAAAGAAATTACATCCAAACAGAAGAAATGCCAGTGTAAGCAGTTTTTTGTATGTCTGATGTGGACATAGAAGTTGATCTAGCCCTTTATTTAAAATCTCAGCTCTAGATTATCCTCAAACCTTTAAATCTGTACCAAGTTAAGGGATGGGATTCTTGCAGCTTTATAAGTAATTCCAGGTTTACAGAAAAGTTGACTCATGAGACTTTATTTAAACGTGCTCATCACCAAGCTGTGGACTATTATGACATTTGAACGTCTTGGTTTTTACACATGTGCAGTTAAAAGTCTGATGATAGCCCCGCTTTGTACATTTTCCTGCTGTGTTGTCTATTACCAGTCACAGCCCTGCTTTAGACAAGTCTCAGATTGTACAGACTCAAGAGGTCCAGAAAAGACAAAAAATGAAATCACAGGAAAGAAGCAACACCAATCCAAGAACCAATGGACCATTTCTGTGCCAGTTTCAAGAGTAAAGGCCCTGGTATCATGACAGGATATAACAAGCTGCCATGACTTAAACAAACCTGCCATTGAAGAACCCAGTGCTCTCATGAGCATCCACTCACTGTTTTTTACTAAACAGAGGCCAGGTCAGAAAGAGTTGCCAACTTTCATTCCTGCCAAGAATGTGAAGGACTGCCAGGGTCAACACCTACAATGACCTCAGAAATGGGTTAATAATCACAGTGTGATTTGAAAACACCAGAGAGGAAATGTTTCTGTTCCCTGTTTCCTCTTGGGGGTCAGACTGAAGGGTCAGCTCTATAACACGCTCAGGGTGGACCCTCATTGACACGGGAGCTTGTACCAGCCGTCTTTGTAAACATGAGGGTCCCCTGTGTTTACTCTGTCTCTCAACAAAAACGTGGCGCAGTGATTTCTAATGATGATGTATAAATTTATCGATGTCATTTCCTTGCATTGTGCCTGTGGAACATTCTGTATCTGAATGCAAGTGGGCACCCCTGACTGTCTCTGGGTAGGAATTCTGTTTTGTTTATTCTGTTCGATGAAAACACACAAAAGAAAACAGTTTGTGTTTAAAAAACTGGAAATATTGTAAACAAATGCACTGTCCTGAACATCACGTTCATCACATTTTGTGTTTATACAGTGGGCCTTCGGAGTGACGCTGTGGGAGCTGATGACTCTGGGCCAGACCCCCTACGTGGACATCGACCCCTTTGAGATGTCAGCATACCTGAAGGATGGTTACCGAATAGCACAGCCAATCAACTGCCCAGATGAACTGTACGTTGTTTCAAGAGTGTACACACACACTAACACACACACACCTAATTTTACTGAATCTATTTTACATCCACAAACTCAGAAGTGTGAAGACATCATCCTGCTCTTTGGACAAGTTTTGGGGGAAAAAATAAAATCATTGAAGCCTGAGAGAGGAATTCACTAAGAATAGGTTTGTGATTGCACCCCGAGTTGTGCCTGAGATATCAGTTCTCTGTATTGAATGGACTGAGCAGTTACTTGTTTTCTTACATAACAATGCAGATAATTGACTGGGCTACCAGCTGGCCTCCACAGCTGCAGACAGCTGGCAAGTTTGGACTTGATCAAATTGCTGCAGTCACTCTGAGGAGATGTTTGCTTTCTCCCTCATCCTGTTGTTCTCAATGCAAACAGATACTTGGAGTTGTAGCCATCCTCAGTCCAGTATGTTATTTCATGTTTACCTAGAGCCAACAAGCTGTTGATGACACATTGTTTGTGCCATACAGGAGTACTGACACCTGAGTGAAATGTTGGTAAGTTACCAGCTTTGTTGGTGTGAGGCTTATCAACATCCTGTAACTGTCAGGAAGGAAAAGGAAAGCTTTCTCCTATCGCAAAATTGTTGTTTCCTCGATATCAGCCTACAAAAAGCCTGTCACCTTGACACATAAGGATAAGATTTTCCTGTTCAAAAAAAAAAAGTTCTATGAATCAAATCTGACATTAACAGGCCGTCTTTATGTTACCTGGCTCATCAAAATGTTATACACCAACAGGAGATAACTGGAATAATAAAGAAGGCTGTCAGCTGTTTTTGTCAGCAGGCTCAGGGACACTTCTGTAATGCTGCTGCTGGTGCATGCTTTGACTCTTTTTCTGCCACCAAATAAAGCAATAAGATAAGAAGAACTTTATTTATCCTCTAGGAGAATTTAGATTAGTTAGCTGTGACTCTACTGATCTATCATTGTACAGATTATATGCTGTTCAAGCAAATTGGGATTAAAATGAAGAGAAAAATGGGATTTTCTGCATCAACAACTAGACACAGTGGATTTTTTAACATTGAAAAAACTAACAGCTTTGAACTTTCAACTGTATGCTGATGATGCTCTCCATTACAGTCCAGATATTTCTCTTAAATGAATACATTTTTGCATTACAGTATATCTTTATTTTTCCTTATACTGCATTTTTTATCCACAGCAGCATTCAAATCAAAGTGTCTGTGAGGAGTTTTTTATATTTATGAAATAGACTGATACTGATACATATTGATGCCATTTAGTATATGAAAGCAAACAACACTATCATTGCTAAGACTCATGCCTTTTATGTTGTAGTTATTAGTGTCTGGAACCTGCAAGGAGGTATGTGTCAGTCGAGCAGCTGAGGAAACAGTACATTGTACACGTTAAGTTTTCTCATTGAATGGCACATTATATTGTAAAAAGTCAGCAGAATGAGATTTGTCCTTATATGACACTACTTCAGGATGGAGAGGATAAAATTAGAAAAGACTCACCTGTCCACATGGGCACGGAAGTGGACACAGACTACAAGTTTCTCACCGATACTTTTAAATAAAATAAAATTAGGTTGGAAGCAAACCTTGGCCTTACGTGGATTTCAACGACTCATTTTGAATAAACAAAAACAAAGTGATTTTCATGTGAAAGTGATAATACACTAATATAAACATACTCATGAAGATGATATTCTCTTAAGCCATTTATGCCTAATGCTGCTGAATACCTCACACTCTACCTTTAGTGTGTTGTGTAACCACGTACTACAATAATTGATCAGATTTAATAGTCATGTTACCCTGATGCGGTAAGCTTTCCCACCACTTTTGCTTTCTGTTTTCTTACCTTAATTCACTTAAGAAAAAAAAAACAATAGTGCAATCATTGAACGTCCTGAACAACTTAAGGGAAAGTACCTGGAATTTCTCAAAGTGTCTGAACATGTGTTCCTTCAAAATTCAATAGGTGGTGAGGGGTTGCCTTCCTTTTCCAAAATATTATAGGTTGCTCAATAAAACATTCACGGGCATGAACTGATTATATCTCACTTGTGTATCAGTGCTGCACAGGCAGCTCCTGTTTCAGGACAATACAGAACAACCTGTACGTGTAAGTTCAACTTCAGGAGTGGGTATCATGTAATTTCAGTCCCCAGCCTTTTCTGTTACTTTTCTTTTCCCCCCTTCGTAGCTCGTCTTACACACAGAGCGCTCAGTATTGAAGGGGTTAAACTGACTCTTCTGTTCTGCTTTCCTCTGTATTGCAGGTTTGCAGTGATGGCGTGTTGTTGGGCCCTGGACCCGGAGGAGAGGCCCAAGTTTCAGCAGCTTGTTCAGTGTCTGACAGAGTTTCATGCAGCGTTGGGTGCTTACGTCTGAAAACACGCTGTTTTTCAGTTTTCAAGAACAGCAACACAACAAGCTGGTGGACACTATTCATAAGGAATACACATATGAAAATGTGCCTTATCTGATGAAAGAGCAGACTGATGCTGATGGTTTTTATTTTGTACAGTACTTTTTGAGTTTTTATATAGTTGAATTACCTTTTTACAGCATAGCAGTGTAAAAGGATTCTTTGTTGAATATCGCTTCTTATGCTTTGAAAGCGTCTAGACAGTGCTCTTCTTTGCCAAGAGGACAGAAATGAATGAACAATGTCCTCGCACATCAGCATTTTTGGACATTGATGTGCCATCGGACAAAATTCAACCGTCACAGCTTGGTGTTACAGACAGTATTTTCTACAGTGAAATAACTTAGAGTAACGGTGTTAATGGTAGATGTGTTATGGACTCTACAGCAGAGTGATTTAGGTACCGAACTGAGGCTGACACGCTTCACTTGTTGGTGTCACCAGACTCCCAAACCCATCAGTTCACTCTGCTTAGTAAGCTCAAGCTCGGTACGACGAGGCCTCATGGAAATCCAATCAATTCAGAAGATTTCAGAGACTTTGATGAATGGTACACTGTTTTCTAAAACTGTTTTGTGAGTAACCAGGAGGACACTAATTATTACTGTGAACACACACAAAAAAACTCCTCTGCAGCCCAGTCCAATTCCTAATCTCACACCTTTAACATCTTTGTGATGTGTCTTTATGGTCACTGCATGTTGAATTAAGGTTGTAAAGTGTTTCCCCACGTCATATCCACAAATTAAACGGGATCTTTTAAATAGATAAATTGTCCTTTTTTATTTTTGGTATTTTGTGAAGAAAAATGTTTGTATTTTCAAACTGGAGCTCTATATTTTGGGGTCTGAATGACACAGAGAAACAGAAAGTTACTGAATAATTCTGGTTGTTTGGATCAGCTGACACCTATAAGACAGCTGTGAAGGCTGCGACTTTATCCCTGCAAGCAAAACCTCCCATTCAAAAATACCTCCATGTAAATGCTTCAGGCTTTGATTGTTATTTAAACTGTCCAAAATCATTTTAAGAGGTAAAGGTGGAACTTTCTCTGGTTTCTGTTAGCATTTTCAGAACTTAGTGTTGACAACTCCCTTTGAAGCATAGGAGAACATAGGAGTTACTTATGTACTGCTGCCTCCAAGTGTGACTTCAGTTTAAGGGGCTCTGGTTTGGCCCTGGCGGTGGAGTGGACACCCTATGCACCGAGGGTTCAGTCCTTGCTGGACCTTGTCATAGGATCAATTCCCAGCCCTGAAAACGCTTGTACATGACGTTCACACACTCTTTCTCCACATTTACTGACTCCCTCAGGCTGATGTATCTGTTGAAGGCTAAATGTTTGGTTCAGATTCATTTCAAGAGTTAAAAAATCTGAATAAGTCCAGATTGCAGTCAAATGGTAGCACCCACATCCTCTGGAGTAAATAACTCTTTTTTTTTTTTCTTTAATTGTTTATGGGGTCTGGTTGCTTCCTGGTCATACAACCTCCAAAAATGGTTGTGACATTGTATCAAATGTAAATTAAAACTAATTTGGTGGTTTGCAAATCATTCAAATTCTTTATTTTATTGAAAGAAGTGCAAAGACAACATATTAGATTTTGAACCTTGAATGTTTTTATTATTTTACAACAACAAAAAAAAAACAAAAAAAACCCACCCTTTTTAAAAAACGATGCCAGCAACACATTTCAGACAAGCTAAGACAGGGTCGCGTTTTATCCTGCTGCATCATCTCTTCAACATCCTGTTAAAGTTTGAGGACCAAGGAGACCAGACTTTGGAGTAGTGAAAGTGAAATGTTGGCCCATTATGACCTAATATAGGGTTTCAGCTGCTTGACAAATAGGGGTCTCTTTTGTGTTTTTTCCCTTTCATTATGTGCCAAATGTTTTAAACTGGCGAGGTGTCTGGGCTGCAGGCAGGCCAGTTTGGCACCCAGGCTCCTCTGTTACGAAGCTGTGCTGTTGTACTATGTGCAGAATGTGGCTTGGCATTCTCTTGCTGAAACATGCAAATTCTTCCCTAACAAGGGCATAACCTGGATGGCAGCACACAATACTTAAAAACCTGAATGTACTGGGGTCAATATCACTGTAGAGTGCCTTTAACCTTTCATAATACTCACATATTTTGATCTTAATTTCTCATTCCTTTTATGTCTTTTCATAAATATTAGACATTAAAATGTTAGAAATGCATGTTAGCTAAGCTCCCACACATATTTTCACAAAATTATGGGCCCATTTTCAAAGAATAACCCATAAGATATGTCCACCCTATCATGGACATCATGCCTGACTGTTAAATGTTTTAGTATTGCAACATTATGGTGAAAATGACATTTTCAGTGAGGTACAATGTCCCTCTTCTAAACAGGGTAATTTGTTTGCTTTCAAAGTATGAATAAAATAACTATTTGATGTAAATAATTAGATTTTAAAGAAACAGATACAGTTGGCACGTAATGTTTTTTTAATTTGGCGAAAATTATGACATTTTGATGCAAATTTTCACTTGCATATTATTGCCCCCACTTAGCTATTGATCACAACAGAGAATAAATACAGATATTGCACATTATTATTGCATTTTTATCAAAATATATCAAGATGACGGGGTGGACTTTTACATGACAGGGTGGGTGATGATGATAGATGATGTCTATCTATCTATCTATCTATCTATCTATCTTTCTTCTTTCATCATGCTACATATTATGTAACTGAATAAGGTTTAAACTAATATAACCGTGTGTGTGTGTATGTGTCTGTGTGGATGGGTGTGTGTCTGTGTGAATAAAATTTCCACCCTGTCAGGTCCAAGTGCACAACAGGGAGGACATTATGTGACAACGACAGGGTGGACATTTTTCCTTTCACTTAGCATTAGCTGTGCATTATATTGTAACTAGCTAGCTAGCTTAGCCTGATTCTTGAAGAGAACTTGCTAGAGTAAAACTTGTATATTTTGAAAATACTGCATTCTAATCACTTCTGGCCTATTTAATGCTGACAGAGTGGACATACCAAGCTTGGCCAAACCACGTTTGTGAACTTAAACGCGCAGAACTTGCCAATACAAAGTCAGCTACACACTTGCTGCAGCTCTAGAGTTTCCCGCCTTTTGGAGAGATGAGAGAAACTGTTGGTGTGATGTCACTGTAGTTAATGGCCTTTCTTAAAGAGACAGATCCCCCGACACGACAGGGTGGACATTCATTTCAAGGACATATGCAAACTCATTTTTAAAATGAAATAAGAAATAGGATTTTTATTTTTTATTACTTAAGACACTTAATTTATGTAATATGTTAATGAACTAAAAATAATATATATATTTTTTTTTTCAAAGACATGTAATGACTTTATTCTGCTCATCTTGAAAGTGAGTGAGCAGTGCAGGGGACATAGCAAAATGGCATGCATCCTCCTATACAAAACTGAAAAAAATCTTGAAAATGTTTTTAGAGAAGAATAATAATGCTTTATTAAGCATGTAGAAACTTAGCCCAATACAGCAAACCCTTTCAAAGTAATTTTCATATTAAATTAACATGTCAACTAAGCTATTCATCTACAGGACACCAAAAGGCACAGTTCAGTGATATTGACCCACTGTTTGGCATTAATAGAGCCTTCGTAGGTGTGTACTGAGGCTGCACAATATTGGAAAAAACTAACATTGCGATTTTTTTCAACCCTGCGATATATATTGCGATATTAAAAAATACAGGAATTTTCACCAGATGACCTGAATAGCACTTGAAATCTTGAGGATAGTTAACCTGCACTGATCTTACCTCTTTTTGTGAATGTTTGTAGAATGGCTTCTGTCTGTCTCGGGGATATTTTTAGCTTTTATTGTGCTGGAACGTTATTGTGGCAACAGATGAACACAGAACACGTGTTTTGGTCGACATTATCCTTCTTGTAACCGAAATAATTCCAGATAACTGACTTTCCTTTTCTTTTTGGCAACAAATCATCATCTTCTGTGGTTTTCTCTGTGTTGCTCAGTTTGCGATTGTTGTTGTTGTTGTTAACGGGTTGAGCTGAGAAACGCATGTCCTCCGAGAACTGCATGCACCTCAAAAAACGTGCACTGCTTATAGTAGAGTGGTCCACGGAAATATACATTTTAAAACCCATACAGTTCTTATTTGTTGGGCAAAACAGTGATGAAGAATGTTCCTAAAGTAATTCTCAGCGGACAAGCGTTTCTCGGCACAAATCCGTAGCGCCAGCGACTCCCTCCATGTGCAGGACATGTGCAGGGGTGGGTTTCCTCCTCTCCGATTTTGATTGACAGCTGGCAGAGTAGTCTGATTGGCAACTGAGTGATTGGTGGATTGCTGCACAGCACATGCAGAGTCACATGCAGTGTATCTCAGTCAGTTACTCTTGAAATTAACTGAGTTCATTCACCTCCAACATTGCAGGCTCTGCGATGTGACTATTGCACACACGTACATTGCGATGACGATGCTCAAACGATATATATCGTGCAGGCCTAATGCGTACCAATGCCATGGGCACTTATGCAGCCCCATATCATCCCAGATGCTGGTTTTGAAATTGTCCCGCAGTCCCAGTCAAAGCCTGGCAGTCCCTTCCTTGATGTTTTAGAGTGAAGAAGGCTGTGGCAAGATCCATGGTTTCCAAAAACAATGAAAACTTTTATTTGTGAGACCACAGGACATATTTCCATTAGGAGAGTATTTAAGATGGATTTCATGTTTGTATTTGTTTTTTTTTTTCATGCATGGTACATATGTAATCTGCATTTGTGAATGCGGCATCAAACTGCCTTCATCACCATTGGTTTTTGGAAGTGATTTTGTGGTGACTTCCACTACAGAGTTTGTTTTTAAAACTCTACCAACTGAGGGCTCAAAGATCACAGTCCTGTAGTATAAGTTTCAGCCTTGTTTTTTTTTTTATAAACTAACATTTTTTACTTCACTAATTGTATTGCAGGTGATATTTCTCCCAATTGTTAGCAGTTTTACTCTGAAGGTCATTATTCTGAATTTGTCGTGCTATTGGGTCCTGCAGTCTCACCCCTGAGAGGCTCTGCCCCTGTGAGACATCCTTTTCATAATCAGCTATACAATTGCAATGGGCCTTATGCAGTGATCCACTACTTCCTGAAGGTAAGGCTGCTCCTTAAGGTTTTCTGTCTTACATTATTGGACAAACTGATTAATCCAGGTATGTCTGAGTGGTCACAATGATCAGTCACACCTGGATTAATCAGTTTGTCCAATAATGTAATATAGAAAATCTTAAGGAGCAGCGTTAAATTCAGGAAGCCGTGGATCAGTGCATAGAGCCCATTGAACCTAAATGATGGGAAAAATGTTCCTCCAGGTGTTTTTTTTTTTTTCTTTTTTCTTTTTTCTTTCTTTTTTTTTAAACTTGTTGCTAGCATTAAATTTAAAATGAGCATGATGTATTGCCCTGACACAGTTAAACTTAGGGTTAAAATTATTCACTTATTTGCAAACCGTCAAATGAACGTAGTGTCCCGACTTGTTTTTTTCTTTTTTTTTTTTTTTTGATTTGGGGTTGTCAAGGTAAGCACAACTTTCTCAAGAAGGTCTATTTAGTAATCTTCCTGTTGTGCTGCCAGACACTTGGAATTACTAACTGAGCCTGTCAGTAGCAAAAACAAGCAGTCTTTGTGGATACGCTTCAATCAAGAGAATTTGCCCCTGAGCATGACAGCGCAGCAGTAACAGCCTGTTTTACAGCTACCTGCAGAAGCAATCTGCTGGAGGGTTTCCAAGACTTTTATACCTTTCGGTTATTAAAACAGTGGAACATCTAAAAATAAGGCCTAGGTTTAAAAAAGTACCTTTGAAAACAATAGCTCCTCTCACTGCCTTCACTGATCTCATAGTAATCTTTGTTTTGTACCACAAGAGCAGTGGGTAAAGCCAAATGTTTTGGTTCTAATCCGTGTGTATGTTTAGCCTGCAGAGCTTCAAACCACAGAGATGCTTTTGCTGTTACTGCTCCACTCAGCCAAACATCCTTTTGTGATGGAAAAAAGAGACCTTTAAGTTCAAACAATTAACACATAAGTATCTGTATTACAAAATATGATCCTTGTGTTGGGAAACAAAGACACTGTTTTAGCTTTGGAATTTTCAGATTTTCTTTGTTTTATCAGTCTCTTTTTGTTTTGCCTTTTCTACGTTTAAGCTGAAGTTGAAGTCACATGGATGCTGCACTTTTTCAAGATGTTGTAATGGAAAGTTATGTCAAATCTAATTTGTGCAGAAGCCCTAAATCCCTTGCATCAAAATTCCTCCCGCTGATATGCAATCAATTATATTTGTGGCAGACACTGACTTTGGGAAAATTCACCTTTAAACATTTTACGGTGTAGAGGAAAAATGAATATTTTGTTTAAATTAACACCAGAAATGCAAACTTCAAAGACAGTGGATTTAACACGTGGGAACAAATGTCAAACTTCATGATTTTACTCCATCATTTCTCTACAGAGATGGTATTCAGCAATTAACCAAAGGCGTAGAAGTGTTTCTGTAAACATTTTAATGCCAGGCAGCATCATGTGGGGTTGTTCTTTTGTAATGTGGTGCTTCTTTTTTTTTATTGAATTAGCAAGTAAACGTCAGCGATCTGAAGCCACATTAAGATGTTTCCACACAGCTGCGGTGGCGTTCGAAGATGACAGTCTATCAAAATTCATTGTCAGGTCTGTGTCAGTTCTTCACAGCCGCTCTACAATTTCCTCACCAGCTGTACAATACAAGACTGTAATGCAACGTAGCCACAAGACATGTTGAGTAAGAGGAAACTGTCATTTCCAGACTGTCCTGACACAACCATGATGTGGTTTGCTGAGAACATCTTTGAGACGTAATACCACCAGATTTTAGAGGGTTTCTGGTCTCTTTTTTTCTTATTCATGCAGATATTTCACTTAAACCGCTTTCTAGGAAATGGTTCTGCTCATACTCACACACAGAGTACAAAACAAGGTAAAATGTCCCCCTCTGAGATTCAAGCATGGATTCAGCTGATTCAGACTCACCTTTGGATCTTCCTTTTATTGTTGCTGCTCCCTGAGGCCCACTCTCTCCCTTGTCTTCTGTCATTGTTGTTTATTCACCTCATATAACTTTGAAGGGACACATCCTGTGCTCACCTTTGATTGGTTGAACCTCATTGTAACTGCACAGTACCTGAATACACACTTGTTAATGTAAATAGAGTCTTACCAAAGATCATCCCAGGAGCTGGTCATAAACTGGATTGAGACTTGTTTTATCATATGACAGTAAAAGTTGCACAAGATATAATCTGAAGATATCATATCTGAAGCTCTGTTTGTTATCAGAACTGTCACAATCTTTATGCATAGAGCCCTCAGATGTCTCTAAACAGATGTCACAAGTCATTCAGAAATGAAAAGTTAATGACCACAACTAACAAACCTGTAATACACTCTACATCTGAGACACATGCCCTGATATTGCTCAGATAACAAACATGTCAATGCCCTGAATACAGATTAGTCACTGCGTCAATACTGAGCTTTTCTGGTCTTTGGATCCCTCAAATCACCTCTACACTATATTTCACCTCTACACACTGATTGCCGAGGATGCCATATGAAGTGCTAGGACACTTAATAGTGCAGAAGTCATCACAGTCATCCACAGGTGGTGCTGTATTAGGGAGCATTTGAGGTTAAGTGTCTTACTCGAGGACAACTCTTGGACCTGTAGACAGCAGGATCTGGAGATCAGGCCATCATCTCTTTGACCGAGAGACAGCCCATTCTACATCTGAGGCATAGTTACTTAACATATTTAACAAAAACACCAATCACTTCATTCAAGCTTTAATATCAGATGCATGAGCATTGGGATGATTGTTTCTTAAAGTTCAGTTTACCCACTACTCTCCCTTCCTGCAGAGCTTCCACCGTCCCCAAAAAAAGTCATTTGATTGATTGCACAAGGTATTAACTGGTGTACATTTTCTAATTATCTAGTGGTAACAACTTCTCTTGAGCATAAGTTGTGTTCTTGTAGGAGCAAATTATCTGTCTTGCGTGCACAACTTTCATATCTGCACACAAGAAAAGTAAATGATACAAAACCTTGTTCCCACAAGATGATTGTTACATGCAACAAGATAATAAACTTAAGCCAACTTGATGAACAAGTTATCTTATTGTGCACACAAGATGAGAGCTTGTTACCACAAAAAAAGTTGTATTGTGTGCAAGAGATTAAAAAAAACTTCCTGAAATATTATTATATAGTTTTCACACAGTAATAGAAAAGTGAAAGCGCTTCATTGCCCCTGTACTTACTTTATTTTATGTTGTTTATTATTCCCACTGGAAATCTGTCATGGAGAAGTTGTACCCACAAGATAACAACTAAATCCTGAGATAGTCTTGTTTTGAACAAGACTAGTCAAGTTTTGAACTCATTAATGAAAATAAAACAAAAATCCTTTCTCAGTCTTTTCTTGCTCTACCTCTACTTTTTATATTTGTCTCTTGTATGTTTAAGTTAATGCTGTAAACTCTAACTTCATCTGTAAACACAAAAACCCTTGGCTCAATTCTTCCACATTACTGAAACAAGTTTAAAATGCGTTCTCCCACAGCTAAACATGTATTGTTGTAAGATAATAGGCCTTGTTGGTCTACATAAACACTCCCCTGTCAGTGGTTTTCAGAGTTCATTCATTGTCAGTCCTTCTCCTGTCTCTCTGGGTCCACCACTCATTAGCTGGAGGGGAAACATCCCAGTGTGCCACATACCAAACCTAATGAAGCACGAGGTCTGAGAGAGCTCCAGGAGGACTGAGCGAAAGGTGAAACCTCAGTCATGAGAACTCCTGCTCTGTTTTGGGAAGGAGGACAACTCCTTATGAGTCATTAACGACCGACTATAAACACAAATCTGAAATTTGTATGTCATATGATTATCACGTCCTCACAGGTGAGTGTTGCTCAGGCTCGCGCGTGACTCAGCCAATCATCGCGGGACTGTCTGTTCCTAATTCACAGCTTTCAAAACATTCACGCGTGGGACTGTGGGCTGAGTCCAATTACATCAGCAGCAGCGGTCATAAAACCGGGGAGCAGCTCGCTGGAGGTCTTTAAAACTTTAAGGATCAACCTCTGAGTCAGACCTGGAGAGGACACGAGCTCTACTCATGGACGTCAAACCCTCCAAAGACACGAGGACGCCGCGCGCGCTTCGGTGCAACATTAAGGTAGGCATCAGTCCCTCACATACAGAGAGAGAGGAGAGCAGAGGAGGCTGCAGAGTCAGCCCACCATAAAATGTCTTGTTTTAACCTGCAGCACTTGTTCCCTCGTAGTTTATGTAACTGTCGGAGCTAGATTTATTTTTAGAAGATGACATAACATTATCAGATAATAAAACAGAAGTTACAATATGACAAACATGCAAACTTTATGTTTCCTGAAGTCGCGTTCGTGTTCGTTTTTAGGGTTTGGTTTACCTTAAACAAGGCTCTGTGGAGGCATGAGCTCACCTTCAAAACTTTTCAACATTTCAACTGGAATAAGCTCATTGTCGCCACAAATACGGCAAGAAAACTCAAGTTAAACGTGGGAAAAATGATTAGTTTTACTCGGGCATCTTTCTTTGGTCAATTTAAAGACAAAATAACACTGTTTCACCGTCACATTGCCATCACTTGAGACCTTTTCTTGAAATGCTAATAATATTACAAAGAGTGAGGGTTTTTCAAACTAATATTAGATAAACAAAAGTGTATTTTAGCAAAAACTTGTCCTTGCAGCAGCATGTATTTCTCTGCAAAACATTAGTAGATATAATTACATGGAATCTAATGTGAAATATTGCATTTTTGCATCTTAAAATCTTTAGACATTCAATTTGCTATTGATATATGTTCAGTTTTAGTTGAGAAGTCATTTCAGACTTCATCTCAACGTGCTAGCAAAAAGCCTATTATTAGAGTGACTTTTCAAAACTTATGGCAGTCTAATAATGTAAAATTGAGCAAAAACTAATAAAATGTACTTAAGGTTTGCAGTTGACTGTAATTCCCTGCAAAACTTGAGATGATGTTAAAAAACCTGAATGTGAAATTGTTGCATGTTTTGCATCTCAGAGACATCAGATAATGCAACCGCAGTTAGCTGAAACCAAGATTATTACTGCTACTGCATTAATGCGTCTGCTTTTACTTTTTGCATGGGTTCCCCTAAAACTGAATAAAATTGCTAATAAGACAGATATGAGTTTTTCTCAATCAAAGTTATGCCTTAAGAATTTATGTTTTTATTCACTTGTTTTTCTTTCTCATAGAAATGAAAAAATTTACCAAGAAATAGGTGAAAAAAAAGGGGAAATTGCCAGTCATTACTTGTGAGTCAGTGCCAGGATTGAGCTATCAAAACTTTATTATTCATCAAAAGTCTTGAAACTGAAAGTATTGCATTCAGTTAGAGTCACTTCAGTCTGAATGTTCTCCTACTGAGAAGCTTCGAACTAGGAATTATGAAAAACTGCATGATTAAGCATGGAAAAAACTTGTTTTTTTAAAAAAAGGTTTGCAGCTCTCGAGGTTTCATTTTGCCCCAGAAGGATTTAATGAAGTCAAATAAAGTTAAAAAGGTTTTATTTTCTGTTATTGAATACCTCAGAGAGTCAGTGTGTCTGTGTCCAGCTTCACCTCTGGCTCTGATAGGAAAAGTCTCCTTGTAAATGCTGACTAAACGGCATTTAGTTAGAAGCTGTTGTACTTCACTGTATGGCAGGGATTTGAGAGAAACTGTTTGTTCTCAGGCTGTGAGTAATAATGGGGCACAACTCCACGTAGCTTGCAGCGAGAAAACTCAGCGAGAAATGACTTGTCTTCATCATTGGTGTTGTGTGGTGTCTGTGGACTGTGACTAATACACTTGTATCCTGTAAGTTTTGAGGAGTGAAAGACGAATGGCTTGAGCAACTCCTAAATTTCCAGCTAAAGGTTTATCTAAGAAGCTGTTTACTCTGTGCAGACTGTGGTGGGTCCAGGTACCACAAATCTTCTCATGTTTGTCATTTTAAGTCTTTACTTAAAATTCCAACTGTGTTGAAATAGAGGTGTACAAATATATGAAGGGTGGAGATTATAGAAATCATCATGCAGACATCTTTCACCCAACCTGCACAGCATGAAAATACCTGGGTTTCAAAGCCGTGTAAGTATTTAGATAAGGGGAGTTTTCAGAATAAAAGCTGCAGGATGGCCTCTCTGTGCTTTTTTTCTCCTGCACTGGTGTGAAATCAAAGCTGAGGAGTCTTTGTTTACAGTATCCTAATGCCAGAACTCCTGATTACAGTTTGCTTTCTGTCCAGAAATTTCAACCACAACCAGAGTAAAAAAAAACTGCTCAATCCGTTTTCACTTAAAACAAAATCATTGTTGAGAAAACTGTCAACGGTCGCTTCACAGGGAGGGACCATGTCTGTCTGTCTTTTCTTGACACCGGTACATGCTGTTCGGCGCTTTGCTCTCGTATTTGCTCTTTCATCAGGACATCTTGTTTGTTTTTTTTCACAACTTTGTTCTTTTGAAAAGCTGCACCCAGTTTGCAAACTGAGTCACTCAGTTAAAATCTCTTAAACGATATCTGTGCCAACTTCCGAACCAGGTTTCTGCTCAGGGGCACACAATGTTTACATCCTGAGCAGTCAGGGAAGAAATGTGAGAGAGCTCTGAGCTTTCTCTTGCCTCCACACCTGAGTGCACAGCAGTGCTTGGCTGAATCTTGGAGATTAACACTTTTTAGCATTTCAGCAACAGTTGGTGCTTTATTTCATATTTATTTTCAATATGGTACAAGAAAATGAATGCCACAACAGCTCCCCCAATATGATACTGAAATCTGTACAGGGTTTCCATCATTTTGTTAAGTTCTTATTGGGCTAATTCACGTTCAAGTGTTTATATTTTGGATAAATTGAGTTTTAATCATTGATGTCATGATTGACAGCTCTGTTGACAAATACAGACATCTGCAGTGTGGAGGAGGAAATAGTGGAAGAAAACGTGACAACCACTGACACAGGAGTCACCAAACAGGAGTCTGATCCGCTTTGGACTGTTCTAGTCTGAGGGATCCCTCAGGTTTTAACAGTGGGTTAAATGTGTGTTTTGGTTAGCAGGAGAAAGGTGATGTCAGGCAAGCAGGGGAGTAAAGAGTACAGGGGAAACCATGCAGCAAAGGGTCCTGACTTGCAATTGAACCAGCAACTGCTACAACAAAGACTTCAGCCTTACATAGGCTGGGTGCTGAAACTGCAAGGCCAAACACTGTCTGAGCCCAGCTTCATTTTTATAATGAAAGGAGATGCTGATGAGTTGATCACTGAGTGCACTGGAGTTTTGCAGCTCAAGGAAGTAAATTTATGATTATTACTTCATGAAAATGCAATCAGAGTTCTTGTGTATCTTGTTTGTGCACTGCAGACGTGGTAGTTTTTCTATCTTAGCATCTCGGTCTGATTGCATATCCAATAATAATCATAAATAATCATAAATTTTCCGCTGATGAACGGTGGCATAAAAATGCGCTAACCCTTTTGTCTACAAACAATTATTTACTGACTCCTAAAACAACATGTGGGGACAACCAAGATGCCCAAAGACTTAAAAACTGGAGTGTACATACTGATAGGGCTGTCAAAGCTGTAACACGACATACACTAAGACTGAAGTAGAAGGAAGACCGTGAAGCCTGCCTCTCTCCAAAGCTAACAAAATCCACACCTCTGAAGTTCTCCAAGTAACTTTTGAATTCTTTTGTATTCAATAAGATGTTGAGGGCAGAGTATTTCAGTTTATGAGCTTTAGATTTGCTGGTAGTAGCGTTTCCCAAACTTAGCAAAGCTAGTGATGCTCAGTCTTTGGGTTAAGTGGCCTAAGCATGAAAGTGTTTCAATCTTGTTATCTGATATCCAGAAAGGCTGCTTTAAAGGATGTTTTCAAAAGTAACTTAAGCTCTGCTTTAAAGCATTGAAATTGACTCTTTGACTCTGCAGAACTTTGTTTTATGTTTATTACACAATGAAGGGAGTGATAATACATTTTTACTTCCCTTCAAGTACGCTGTGAGACCTCAGACTTTTTCCTCTTTTTTTCTTTTGACCAGTGTCAAGGTCAAGGTTTCCCTAGGAAAAAAAAAACATTTCCTCTTATAAATCTATGGATATCCAGTGTCACATTTTCACAGCAACACGCGTCCCCAAAATAAAAACTTTTGAAACTACAGAGTGGATTTCCCTCTATTCTTCCACTCACAGCAGGGTTGAAGGCTGGGACAATAACGTCCAGACAGACGATGTGAAGCTATTTAAAAAAAGATAAATATACACGATTCAACCCTGAACAGAGAGAATTCCTGATTTAATCTTTTATATTAAAAGTAGATTAATAATGAATTTTCATTGTGATACTTCATAGTCTGGTGTACTGTTGGCACACAGGATCAGTCAGGCTTTTTTCCTCACTTTAATATACTCTGTGAATATTTTGACTGAGCTTGAACATTATGCAACATTTCCTGCTGAGAAAAAGTGACCTGCTGCATTTAACCTCTGAAGGCACTTTGAAGGGCTTTCAAGTTGTGTTTATTCTGGTGACCCACTTTGAATGAAGTATTTTTTTCTGGGCTGAACACTGCAGTTCCCCTGAGTCTATTTTCCCATTGTCATAAAGATGTCAGGGCTGCATGATGCTGGAAAAACCCAACACTTTAATAGGTTTTCTTTCTGTAGTATTTATTGGGATCTGAAATTAGACGTTTAAATGTGTTAAATTATGTATGCATATGTATAAAAAGAAAAGTGAACAATCATCCAATTCATAATTTGAAACTTTAACTCTGCTTATCTTCTAACAAAACAAAAGTTGTTTATTTTTTTACTGCACCTGGAGCTGGCCCTAAACAGCATGTCATATTATATGATTACACTATGATTCTGCTGAATCCAACAAACATCCAAAATAATTTTTTTGAATCAATCTGAGGTGAGCTGACAGCCTGTTGAAGCCTCATTCACTGCGTCAAAGTGGTGTAAAAGAAGGGAAATGTACATGCCAAGTAAGATAACACAGATTTTTTAATTTAAATATTTATTATTTAAAGGATTTTTACAATGGCTTTATTGCAAATACCCTTATCGAAATAAAGATTTTTTATACTACTTTTCTTTGTTCAAGGCAATTATTTGCAGGATGCAGCATATAAGGGAGTTGACATGGCTATGTAAAATTAATAATTGCAGCATAACATGATAAGACCTTGCCAACGCTTGTTTATTACCATTTACAGCCACTTAACAAACAAAAATATTTTAAGACTTTTTTTGATTGAATCTTGATGGTTATGGTGTACAGCTCATGAAAATCAAAAAGCCTCTGTCTTAAAACATTAGAATATTACAAAACAATAATGAATAAAAAAGGAATAAATAAGACAGAAACACCAACCTCCTGGAAAATGATGTTCATTTATGCACTCAGTACTTGGTTAGGGCTCCTTTAGCATGAATTACTGCATCGATGCAATGTGGTATTGAGTCAGTCAGCCTGGATCTGCTGCAGTGTAATGGAAGTCCAGGTTGCTTCTATAGCTCCTTCAGATAGTCTGTGTTGTTGTTCTGGTATCTCTTGTTTTTCTCTTCATGATACCCCAGAGATTCTCTTTGGGGTTCAAGTGGGGCAGGGGGGTAATCAAGTACAGTAACGCCAGGATCAGCAAACCACTTTCTGGTAGTTTTGGCGTCGCTGGCAGGTGACAGGTCCTGCTGAAAAAAGAAGTCTATCTTCACAAAGCTTCTCAGTAGATGGAAGGGTGAAGGTCTCTAAAATCCTCTGGTAGACTTTGGGCTGCTTTAAATCTGCACTTGATAAAACAGAGAAAGCCACTGTTGATATAGGAGTAATACTTGGCGCTGTGTGTGATGAAGCTCAAATATATTGGTTTCACTTTTTTAATTACATTATGAAAAAACATGAACTTTTTGGGAAATTCTTGTTTATTGAGGACTTCTATGTATTTTTGATAATCCTGCTCCAGTACCAGGCGTGAGAACAAAACATGATGTTTAAAAAAAATGATTAAAAAAAAAAACATTTTTAATCCTGCTTGCTAACTTACATCCACTGCCAGTGGAGCTCTTAACATAGACACACCTCAGGGTGAGTGCCATATATAAGTCTTGTCAGCATTAGTGCCATTTTAATTGGGGGTCATGAAGAATCATCAGAATAACAGTGAGACTCTTTCAAAGTCTGTTCAAACTCCTCACAGTGCCTTTAAAATGAATTTAGGGTCATAAAATATAGCAGTCTTTGCTGTGTCCCAAACATGAATTAGGTGTTTTATTGAAGTTATTATGTATTTCTATTGTAAAAGCCAGAGACTTGTCCCTGAAACATGAGAAATACTTCAAGCACCACCTGTGATAAAAATATGGATCTGGCTTTGTACGGTGTTACATTGGATTTTAATGAAACACTCACGGAGCGCTGGCTTTTTAACTCTAAACCTTAAACAAAGAAGCTCATTACCTGCCAGTAAATGTCGAAATCATTTTGATAATTGAGCCCATTTGACATGAAAAGATGATAATATATCAGAAAAGGGTGTAAAAGCATCTTTTGTGTGTGCTAACAGTCGATAAATCCGAGCTTTAATAGGAGAATTAACTGTTCTGAGACAAACACAGAGTTTGTACTTCCTTAGCCAACCTGGCAGCTGGTAAACACGTTGAAAGCTGGGATTTATCTCTGTTTTCTCTGTAAATTCTCTCTTAATCTCTGCATCTCTTCAACGTCATTCCCGTGTTCACAGCCCTTGAAGCAAATAAAACTCAGTACATAGAGTCCTACGAGTGTCCATGAACACCTCACAGCAGGAGGGGGGCTCATCCAGATCTGTGGAAGCTCATCCAGCGTGACCTTGATATTTCCACATTTCTGGATACGAGAAGAAAACTCAGAGAGGAAAAATCATGCAATCGCTTCGAGACCCACACATTATCTCCACCAGGAGCTGTGAACTGGCTGATGGTGATTTCAAAACCACTGAATCACATGTTTTATCACTCTGTGGAGCTGAGCTGTTAATTATTAGGAAAGTTGATAAAATACTGCTTTGACATATAAAAACTGTTGTTTATCTGGTTGCTTAAACTTTCACCCAAACAGTGCTTTACCAGGCGAACAAAAGAGAGATATTATTTGAGAAAGTCCATCAGTTAAAACTTTATCCTGCAGTTTTGGGTTTACTCTTATTGCACTGATAGCATTATTTCCACACAGCTGATCTTGAAAATACAACCTACGCAACACAAAGATGCAGACGGCAGTATCAACCTTCAAACAGATCTATTGTTGCTAAAAGACTGTGGGTTCCTCGATATTTTGCAACCAAACTAAGCCAGATAGTTCTCCATCATGTACCCCCACTTTTGTTAGGTATCTTTTTGTATCCTTGTCATTGGTCCTCTAGTCGTAGTTTTGGATGCAGCACTTACATCTTTTATAGTTTTAATGGTAGCATTGAACACAGCTCTTTGCAAAATAGTCACATTGCAAGTTGGTGTTGTACTGCTTTCACTTTCTGTTTTCTTCATTGCCACACAGCTGACGTCTTAGCTCTGGGGTTGTTATGCTAATATAACAGACTGCCCCATGTTCATGCTTTCACCTCTAAACCTTGTGTTCCTATTAGGGATAAGTAACAAACAAACATGGCCGAAGGTAGTAAAGAAGAGGTTTCTGAGCAGCTCGTTACTGAATGAGGCTCCAAGATTGGGGCTTAGATGAGCAATCAAGTTTGTCTGACATCGGACAGTGGATCTGCTGCTGCAATTCACTCAGTGCAATAAGAGTTTTCAACAAATGTTTAAAATGTTTTCACATTTAAGACTTGTTTGATGTCATTGATTTTCTCCATAACCTACCACTTAAACTTGTAGTTAAGTGTCTTATTTGACTACTCCAACTGGTGTTCTTACACAAAATGAGTCAAAGATATAGAATGGAATCATAACACTTTTTATTGGGACTTTTATCGTTATCACCAGAACGGCAAATCTTATTGTGATACATTTTTTAGCCCATATCGACCATCCCTAGTTTCCATAGAGATGCCGCAGCCTGCACTACAACAGCACTTGTAGTAGTTACCATCTTACTAAGTACAGTTAGGGTGACCAAGAACCTTAAGTGCTCAATGTTTGCACTTGGTGAAAGTTGTGCTCAGTGAAGGCAGACAGGATAAGATCATGTGTTCACATTTTTAAACTCAATCAAAAAATGCAATACAATCATCTCTGATAAGGCTGCACGATATTGGAAAAAAATAATATTGCGATTTTTTCAACCCTGCGATATATATTGCGATATTAAAAATACAGGAATTTTCACCAGATGACCTGAATAGCACTTAATGTTATGCTGCACTGCTGAAATCTTGAGGACAGTTAACCTGCACTGATCTTACCTCTTTTTGTGAATGTTAGTAGAATGGCTTCTGTCTGTCTCAGAGATATTTTTTAGCTTTTATTGTGCTGGGACGTTATTGTGGCAACAGATGAACACAGAACACGTGTTTTGGTCGACATCATCCTTCTTTTAACCGAAAAAATTCCAGATAACTGACTTTCCTTTTCTTTTTGGCAACAAATCTTCATTTTCGGTGGTTTTCGCTTGTTCGTTGTTCATTTTGCGATCGTTGTTATTGTTGTTGTCAGCGGTGTTGTGCCGAGAAACGCATGTCCTCCGAGAATTGCATGCACCTCGCAAAACGCGCACTGCTTATAGTAGAGTGGTCCACGGAAATATACAATTTAAAACCCATACAGTTCTTATTTGTTAGGCTTAATAGTCATGAGTAAAGTTCCGAAAGTAATTCTCAGCGGACACACGTCTCCCTCCGGGTGCAGAACATGTGCAGGGGTGGGTTTCCTCCTCCCTGGTTTTGATTGACAGCTGGCAGGGTAGTCTGATTGGCAACTGAGAAGTAAGTCTGATTGGCAACTGAGTTAAGGACGAAGGTGATTGGTGGATCGCTGCAAAGCACATGCAGAGTCACATGGAGTGTATCTCAGTCAGTTACCCTTGAAATTAAATGAGTTCATTCACCTCCAATATCGCAGGCTCTGCGATGTGACTATCGCACACACGTACATCGCGATGACGATAGTCAAACGATATATCGTGCAGGCCTAATCTCTGATGGTAAGGATTGGGTTTGGGAGATCCGTAGTATTCTTCATAGGTTTCTGTTTTACATCCTCTGCCAAACACATCCCAGTTCTTTAACTCATTGTATCAACTGTAGCACAGTGAGTGTTGATGACTGTATTATTTTGGACTGTGAATCGGTCAATCATATCAGGATTCACACTCTGGTCGTGAGGAGAAACAAATATTTAGATGCAGAAATTGTACTGGCATTTATCTGATTAACATTCAACTCTTCACCTCAGTTAGTCCATCTGTTCTTCTGTTTATAACCTGAACATTTGACACCTTCAAATGCTTTTTCATGTCTTAAATTTTGTAAGAACAGCAGAGTCCAGGTCTGAACAGATAGTGTGTGTATTTTGTGTGATATGTTTGTGAAGCAGTTGTTTGCTTTTTGTACTTAGCCCCCCTCAGCTCACTGCTCAGACATCATTTCAGCTCTTTCACCTTCAGAATTGTTGAACTCGACTGCTTGGACTTAATGTTGACTCAGTTTGTCGCAATTGCTGAAAACACAGAAAAACTGCATTTAAGGCAAATCCTCCGGTATTTCTCTGCGACTTCACATATGAGATGACAGTGTGGTTCCTCTAAGATAGTCCCTTTTCCTCTGAACAGTTTCGGTGCCTCAGGAGGGGGGATAAAACCTTTTAACCTTTGTGCTTTTTTCAGCTGTGAGAGACATTTTGCAAAACAATTTCTCACCATAGTTGACATCTTTGACTTCACCTCTTTGAATAATGGTAATAGATAGGAATTACTTATAATAAGCATTTCTTTGCTTTGTCCCTCACAGTTTCATTTTTGAAGTTTTTTTTCCTCTGTTCTGTCTTTTTGTGCTTTTTTTCACATGCAAGTATCTCTGTTTTGAAGACTCAGGCCCCTTGTTCTCTCTGTATGTCCACCTCTTCAGCTGTTTGTCCTGTGCCACGGCCTCCTGCAGTTCTCTCAGCTGCTGTACGCCGCGTACTTCAAGAGCACCATCACCACAATCGAGAGACGCTACGGCCTGAGCAGCTACTCCTCAGGAACCATTTCCTCTTTGAATGAGGTAGGAGCCAACAAAAACACGTCCACACAGTGACAGATTTATTCCAAGGATATCCATGACAAAGGAGGAATCAGAGAACAAGCAACATATCAGAATCACACTTCCTGACAACCTGAGCCGGACTCCAGTATTTTGAAACTGTTTTATCACAGGAACAAAGGGTCGAGAATAAAACAGGAATGCACCGTACGTGCTCTTTGAGGAAGAGGCTGGATCTTTTGGGTTCAAATAAGATTTAAAGAAAACACACGAATAAAAGATCCACAAGTATTTTCAGGCCCTCCACATGCATGGTAAAGGGGCACTAGTAAATTATTAATTCACCCTGTTGACTTTTGCTGCCTGCAGACTCCTTGCATTTTCAGCAGCCCAGATCCATGTTGGATCTTGTATAATTTACAAGATCTGCTTTGATTTTATGGTAGTTTATGAGAACAGATGCTTTGAAACCCTGATAATCTCTGCGTGGTTATTTCAAACAGGGATAATGTATAGTGAGTGGGTGGGGTCTAACCCTGTCAGAGATAAAGTTTGAATAGAAAAAAAGAGTGTTTAGAAATGAAGATTCAACCTGTCCAGTTATGAAACGATACCCATACAAAATTTCAACATCTATACCAATTTTTGATAGTAATAATTTTATTATTATTATTATTATTATTATTATTATTATTATTATTATTATTATTATTATTATTTTTATTATTATTATTATTATTATTATTATTATTATTATTGTTGTTGTTGTTGTTGTTGTTGTAATAATAATAAGTATGTATGATGGTGGTAAATGTAGAGAAGTAGACAAACATTTTGTGTATAATCATGCATACAAAGGACCAAAATGAATAAATAATGTAATTCAGTGCATGACCACACTTTTACCACACATTAACCCACTCATTACCCAGATATAAAACTTTAACAAGTTGACACAGAATATTAATTGACGGATGATTTGCTGATTAAAATGTGTTCATCCAGCCACAGTCAGTGCTGTTTCTATGGCTACAGTATCTTTTAATTCTTGAAATGTTAATATTGTAGTTACTATAGAATCCAGTATGGAGGACACAGTAGTGTATGTTTATGAGCTATCAGAGGGAAGAAGGTTTAAACTGTGTTGCTGCATGAAGACATCTACTAGGTTTATCAATGAGTGCTTGGATGTGATTGTGTAGCTCTTTCTAGTAGGCCTACTGTTACCACCACCCCGCCTGTTAGCTGCACGTTAGTTCAACGCAGCCTACAGTTTGTGAGGCTTACGCAAACTCATTTTCTAATACTCTCTCTGTTTATTTGTCTCCTAGATCAGTAACAGCATACTGATAGTCTTTGTGAGCTACTTTGGAAACCGGGTTCACCGTCCTCGGGTCATTGGAGTAGGTGGACTTCTCATGGCTGTCAGCGCCACGATTCTGACCTTACCTCACTTCCTATCGCAGCCCTACGAATACGACTCCATTTTGCACAGTAAGAAGATTTTAAACACACTTCCAGACTGCTTCTCTATCTCCACTGGCACTGCTGACAGCAGGGAGTGTCATGAATTCACATATCTGTGAAATACTAAATGAGACTTTACTTAGGAGTTTGCCACTGTAGCATCTTTCAGCAGAAGCCCCAAAGCTCTCAGCAGGAGTTAAACAGGTACCTGCTGTTCAGCTGTCTGCTCTGTGGGGGGGTCTGGTCTGTTTTGTTTGTGCTTTCCAAGTGAATTTTTATTTAAGAAAGAGGAAAGTTAATAATCCCATAGCACTCACTGAGAGTTAAAGAGATTAGAGTTACTTCCAGGGATTTAATTTGTAATAACAGTGGCCCTCTTCCTTCTTTTATTTTGTTAAAAGACAGAGTACCTTGGCACACACAGAGTATCAGTGATGAGCCAGAGAAACATCAGGAAATTAAAAGTAGCTGAACAACAGCATCCGTTGCCTCCTTGTTATGAATTTTGATCTTTTTCCCTCTTCCTCCCATCTCCATCCATGTTTGACCACCTCCAGATCGTCATGACATCTGTAACCTGCAGGGAAACTCAAGCACATCAGAGTCCTGCGGTCGTGATGACAGCAGGCGCCTGACAGACACAAACAAGCTGTGGGTGCTCATGGCCAGCGCTCAGCTGCTCTTCGGTGTGGGCTCAGTGCCAATCCAGCCGTTTGGGATTTCCTACATCGATGACTTTGCCAAACCTGGCAACTCCCCTCTTTACATAGGTGAGTATCACAGAGGTGGTCATCCAGAGGTGGTCACAAACAGACTGGTATGACTGAGAGCATTTTATTATTCTTTATTATTCTGATAACAGAGGTAATAAATCCTACTCTCAAATCTTCCTTCAAAACACAATAATCTCCATCTTCTGCTTGGGATTTGAGTTTGAGAACTTGTGGTGGAAATAATAATGTGTTTAATTCATAAAAGCAGAACTATATCTAAACTGGATGTAAATTTCATGTGCCTTTTAAAGTAAAACAAAATCAAATAAACTTCCTCAATAAAGAGTCTGAACAGTGCCACTGAAACTCAGCTTTACTGCTGCTTTCTCATTCTCAGCCATCCTGTTTGCCATTTCTGTATTCGGGCCAGCTGTTGGCTACCTGCTGGGCTCAGTGATGCTGCGGATTTATGTGGATGTGGACAGAACTGGTCTGGGTAATGGCTTGCTCTTTAAGGTTATTTTATGGACAGTTTAAAGCTGAAAAGATGGTTCACAGTGTGTGTCTGATGACTGCTGCTGCCTGCAGGAGCTGAACAGGAGCTGAGACACGGAGACCCCCGCTGGGTCGGGGCCTGGTGGATGGGTTTGCTCATCGCCACCGGCTGCCTGGTTCTCACCTCAATCCCTTATTTCTTCTTCCCTCGCAGGATGCTGACAGAGGATAATGTAAGTCAGAATCTCATTTACAAACGGCTCTATTAAATAAATGAAAACTCATCTAAGCAGCAGCATATATCTCATGTTTTACTGACACCTGCTGGCTTTGAGTGAGTGTTGCAGTTTTGATTTACTCACTGCTCTATTTCCAGAGTATAAAACAAGTTTTTTCTGGTCAGAAAATGATTCCTGTCTCTAAGTTTCACATACTGACAGTAAATACACTGTATTTCTGTAAAACTGATTAATACTTTGGATGTACGATGTGACTCAGAGCTTTTAAACATTCCGCAGAAAATATGAGTCACAGATAGGATGAAGCTGAATTTCATCCCACGCGTTCTTCTTCAATCCCACCCAGCCTGGACCAAAACCAAAAATATGTACATATGGTTGAAAATATATTAGTATTTTCCCAGAGTTTACCAAAGTCAAAACCCCTAAAATATCATTTAGATTGTGAAACGCACCTTTGTGCACACCAAAGGTAATTAAAATGGCAAGCTAAAATTAGTATTCTTGGTGTATTAGTGTAAAATAAAGGATTTACTTGAGAAATATTTATTTAGAAATTCAAAGTAAGAAATTAATTCATGGTTGTAATAAGTACTATAAAGTTTTGATCTAAAAGTCGAATAGAAAAAAATATTTTAAAAATGGTCATCAAATGAGGTTTTTGTTGTATTAAGATGCAGCTTATTAATAAAATAAATATACTTCTTTGAAAGATTGTCATTTGTGGATGCCAGGTAGTGTGCTGATTAGTCTTTAAGATACATAAGATATGATGATGATACATACTATGTGAAAACATACAATAGAATCAATGTACTGCTGTGACCGTATACTGGAATTGATGGTAACCATCTTTGTTAAAATATAAGATACTAATTTTATGCTAGAAATGGAGGATAGATGAAGAGGAAGCAGCAGATTGTCTTTGAACTAGCTCAAAGCAGCTTACCAAAAGATGATTCAACACCTTTACAGACTGAAATTCTGTTATTTTAAATTCCTAACCCTATTAAATGCAACTTTAGGACTTGTGCCTCTTTGGGTTACTTATTGAACATTTACACTTTCTAACCTTTCTTTTAGCTGTTTTGTACAGTTCCATTACGTACGATCCACTGAAAGTAGCTCATACTACAAAATAAAAGCAGTAGTTTTTAGTTTGTAGTTTTACAGTGTAAGAAATCAAACCACCTCAACAGCCAGATAGAAAAAATATCAACATAAAAGCATAGCATTCTCATAGCATTCTAATTTGCAAGCAGGGCAGCGCCACCTGAAGTACATCAATTTTCTTGCAATACAAATATTATAAGTACTGTAGATTTTGCAGTTAAATAAATTCTTCCGGGAGACCATCACTGTAAAAGCCTCTGATGGTCGTTCCCAGGGAGTTCCCTCTCAGGTTTACAGGTAATTATAATCTTGTTCTTTGATTATTTCATGTGTAAATAAATACTAGATATTAAAAAAAAGAAATGTTGAACTGAAAGAAGTGATTAAATAAGTAATATGTATCACCTAGGGCGTCTCTGGTAAAAGGAGGAATTCATTTTTGACCAAAACAATTGCCACACTGAGATATGAATGCGAGAGAAGATGTAGGGTGTTGTTAAATGGTTCCTTGAGTTCCTCTATTCGCTCTGTGGTGGTGCGTCTGACTTTAAATGTTTGCTTTTTCAGAAACACTGTGTAACGAAGAGCATGTACGTCAGTGAGCAAAACACACAAAAAGAAAGGAAAATGCAAAAGAAGTCTTCCATTGTGGTTTTTGACAGCTTCAAATGAATTTGAATGCAGGAACAGTGTGGAGCAATTGCACTGAGCTGTCAAACCAGTCTAATGTTTTCATGTCACATGAACACAGCCCACAGAGACAGGGAGTTAGTGCAGGAGAATGTGGAACAAAATGAACAGAGAGTTTGGAGGAAAAACGTCACATTTGAACCAGTAAATCTAGGACTGATGTTACTCTGTTAGTCCTTCTTCTTTGAGTTAGTGAATCATATAAATTACCTCATGTCTATATGAAGCTCTGCCTCTAGTGAAGTTAATGCTGATTATTGTTTTGCAGGTTAATGACAGTGACGATGACATGAAAGATGACTTCAGAAAACCAGATATCTCTTTGCTTGAGTTCCTCAAAAGTGAGTTGTCAAATTCAGTCTGTTTGATTCATACACTTCCTCAGTTTAGTCTTCTGTTGTTGTTATGTTTTGTAACAGTTAGGAGTACATGTTAAAAATAGTCATGTTTCTGTATGTGATGGTGTTTTGTCAAGTGTTCCCCCGGCTGTTTGTCCACCTCCTGCTGAGCCCTCTCTTCCTGACGCTGGTCCTGGCACAGTGCTGCTTCTCCTCAGTGATCGCAGGTCTCTCCACGTTCCTCAACAAGTTTTTGGAGCGGCAGTACAGTGCTTCAGCTGCCTATGCAAGCCTGCTAGTTGGTATGTACTTTTGGAGTTGATATATTAAGATGGAGCGCCAGGAAAAGATCCAATAATAGATCACTACAGTACTTGTCAGTCAATGACAGCAGCTAAATAATTCAAATCATAATGTACAGCACAATGTGCATTGAGCCCAAAACAGTCTGTTTAAATCATTTAATAGATTACAATAAAGTACAGCAGACAGCTTGCACTATGGCTTCTTTCTGAAGAATGAAAAGTTTGTAAGATTATGTATACAGTTAGTGCTGGGGTGTATCTTGTCTTATATATTTCAGTCCAAAAGAACTGTTCACTTCAGAAAATCTAAAGTGTTGCTTTTACAACACGTCAATGTCGTTAGATGACGCCAAAGCTAACTATCTGCTACTCATATCATTACTGGTGCTAATAGAGTGTGAAAAGAAGAAGAGGAATGGTGTGAACACAGAAAATGAGTAAGATAAGAAAATAAATAATCAGACATGAAAATGATGAGCTATAGCTAATATGTGCTCTTTAATTTTGGGTTTGTTTACTGTATTGTTTGTTATCCTGCAAAGCATGCTTCCCGATTTTATGAGGGGCTAGAGAGAAGTGATGTAAAGTAGAACAAGAGCTACAGTAAAAATGAGAGATTATGAAATGAGGGATTATGAATTGTAGACTAAACTTGTTTGCGGTTTCCAGGTGCTGTTAATCTGCCGGCAGTCGCAGTGGGGATGCTGGCAGGTGGAGTCATCATGAAAAGGACGGGTCTCTCTCTTAAAGCAATCCCTCGTTTCTCTGTGGTGATGCTCACGATCTCTACCTTGCTCTGTATCCCTCTCTTCTTCATGGGCTGCCCCACCCAAAAGGTCTCAGAGGTCAATCATGGCCAGAGTGAACCTTATGGGTGAGTAGGAAGACAATGACTGTATTAATATGAACAGTTTATTTTTTACCTGCAAACTTCTGTGCAATTATTGATAATATACTGATCCTGAAACAGCAAGAAAAAGACCTATTTAAGACACAAAATGTGTAATAGGTGATTTAGTGTTATGGTTTGAGTAGTCAATGCATTCACATGTTTTGAAGTAGATTATTGCTCTTTGGGCAAAACAAAATAGTTTCAGTCATACTCCTACAACATTGTATCACATGTGTGGTTATATGTAAGGTATTCGATATGTTTCTTTGTCGGCCCTTTTCTGTATTAAAACAGGAGTAAATGGGTCAGACAGAACTTGAACTTTATTGGAAACGGGGCGTTTTGAACTTTCAATGCTGTGTCTACCTGCATGCTGGGTCATGTGGATAAACCCATGCATGTCTGGATTTTTTTCTTTGAAATTACAGGTCATTTAGCTGATCCTGCTTTGTTTCAGTAGGTCTTCTGTGTTTCCTGGCACTATTTCCAGTAAAGTCTGTTCAGTTTTTCCACCCTCTTGCATTTGTATCCTTGTGCATTTGCGCAAAAAAACAGCCATCTCACTCTTTGAGACAATGCTTTATAGCTCAACTAGTTTTCAAAACGCCCACAGGGTGCCTTCAGTGATCAAACAGCAAACTTTGCAAAATGCCATCATGCAGATTTAACAATGATGTTGATGAATTAGAAATTGTTGAGACCCTAGTCTGTTCAGTCTGTAAGCAGGGATTTAGAGTGACTTTCTTTTCTTTTAAACCTAGTTAGTATGTTTGTGTCAGATCTAAAACCTCCAGTGCATGACAGAGTGAACCTTAGTGAGTTTATCTATAGATGGTGTGGACCTGAGGTTGACCAATTACAATAATGCTGATACCACATAGCTTTTTACTTTTGCATTTGACAAGTACATCACTTCAATTACTGTTTTTTTTAAATGCTGAACTTTGCGAGTAGTTGATCAGACAGACATTTGTGGAAAACTGTTTGGTTTAGTTGAACAGTGCCTCAAGGGACTTTTGGAGTTCTGTTTAACAGTGTCTTATGGTTAAGAAAGGTAAATAATGTAAGGTAATGTAATCTGCCCAATTAAAGGCAGCTGATGAATGCATCAATCCTGAGTGTGGACTATATTAATTGTGTATTTTCATCAACTTAAATACAGTCAGGTCATCATATGCAAATGAAAAATAACCAACATGAGGCCTGAGTTGGTTTCCCTTTGACTCTGTCTCTGTAGGTCTCCACTTTCGTGTTACGCCAACTGCTCGTGTCCTGCCAGTGCCTTTAACCCTGTGTGCGGCTCTGATGGTGTGGAGTATATTTCACCTTGTCATGCAGGCTGCACAAACTACATCAAAGACCCCAACAACACCCACAGAGTTCAGGTCAGTTCCTCTTATAAAGCAAGTGTACACGCTCATGGTGTCCTTCCACAGTATACTTGCAGAAATTAAGATTTTACCTGTGCTGAAGACAGAAGGACTTAATTTTGATTTATCATAATATGGTGCCATTTTAAAGCAGACTACTAGATGGCACAGTGTTGCCACGGAGAACAGACAGTTGTTAGGGCTACAGCAGCAGAGTCTGCTAGACTCACTGTAATTTTATCAATGCAAGGACAGAAATCCAGGTAATTTAAGGTCAGTTTGGTCATGTGGGAAAAACCAAGAAGAGAGACAGAAACAGAAGAGACAGGGCAGAAGAGGTTAAAGACACAAAAACTGCAGAAATCCTTCTATTATCCATGGAAATGTTCAATTTAATGTGAATAATATCAACTAAGTTGGCACATTCTGGAGAGGCTACAGAGTTGCCTGCTAACATAAAAAAACAATGATAATTTAAATTAATAAACAAATGGTTTATTTTTTAAACAAGTAGCTGTGTAATAGGTGATTTAGTGTTATATGAGTGAAGTGACACAGTTCAATCAAAGAGATAACCTACAAATTATCAGTTGGTGTGAAATGATATTGATTATGTTTAGGAGGGTGTGAGAAGACCACACTGCTCTGTGTTGAGGTCCTGCTCATCCTGTCAAGGTTCCAAGTTAGGAATAATGTATTATGAGCAGGTGGTTATGCAAATGACAATACTGACAGGGTGAGGACAAGACCACTTATAAGACCACTACACACTAAAAACATTGACCTAAAGATGACTATTGATTTTTAAATAATTCCTTTACACAACTGAAAAACAGGTCCTTCACTGCTGCACATTAAACTCACGGTGGTGCTCAACATGTGTTATATCTATGTCTTGTTGGTGCAGTTGACAGAATTCAAATACAGAAGAAACAAATTTTATAACTGGGATATTGTCATTGTTATTTCTAGGGCTTATAGTTGAAGTTGGTTTGTTGTAATGGACAATTTAGAGATGCACTCACTAGCTCTGCTGCTGTTGTTTGGATTGAAGGACAGGATGCTGCTTCTGGCAACAGTAATCGACACTCTGATCATCTCAGTGAAAAAAAATTGTTTTTTTTTCTTATCCTACCAAAGAATCTTTGAGTTGGCCTGTAAGGGTTTAACTCACCAGTGTGTGCACAAGGGGCAGAGTGCTGCAGGAATTACATATTTAATACACTGAAGAAATCTCAGCATCTTGTTTCACTCTCTCAGTTTCTAGAATTGTACACAGAACAAGTCTCGTGGTTAGAAAGTGATCTTCTATTTTATATCAGCAATGACAGAAAGTCTGTGATACATAACGTGCCTCATTAGCAAAGAGTGAAAAGAGAGACTGCTTTGAAGACACCAGCAGCTCACAATCAATGTCGGATCAATGCTGATTAGTCACAGAGCATATAGAAGGCGTTTCAAGGGGGACAAATCCTCAGTATTTAAACGTCACAGCTGGTGAGTAATCTTCCAGTGGGAGGATTGTGTTACTGCTAATAGAGTATTAGTCAGTTTGAGTCAGCATCTAAACCTACTGTGTAACACCGCAGACCCAGACAGACACTGCTAGAAACAGCTAGCTTAGTGGATTAATACTGAGAAATCAGAGGATTATTGTTTATCTTTCCTGAGTACTCAAATGTCCAAAACTGGTATTTAATCAGCTGCCTGGAGAAGATCTACTCAGTACTTTCCTAACCCTTTTTTACACTTTAATGGGGGTTAATCAGCACCAAGGTGGATAGTTTTGTAAACAAGTGGAAAGCATCTTTGAAAATGTAATCCCTCCTGATCAAGTCCCATAATTAAGATCGTTGGCAAAAATTTGGCCTTTTCGCCTGAACTCCATGTAAAAATCTTGTCTCTATTGTTTCTTAATATTTCCTTTCTTTTCTTTCTTCCTGCAGATGTATACTAACTGTAGGTGTATATCTGGGAGTCAGAGCCTCGCCCACCCATCTGCGTGTCCAAACAGCTGTCCACATTTACTCCTACCTGTCATACTCGTCATCTCTCTGGCATCACTGATCGCCTGCCTCACTCACAACCCCATGTACATGATGGTGCTCAGGTAAGGGAGGCAGACAATCCATCACAGCTAGAACATGTGTTCATTGGTGGTTTATATGATAGATTTAGAATGGGTTCAAAATCCATCATCTATTTAATGATTGAACATAATTTTCCTCATTCCAAGCTTGTTTTTGTATTCAGACCTCAAACTTAAACCGGATTACTCTAAAAATGGCATTGAATGAAAATGCTTGACTTACGTATTGTGTGCATTTTTGCAACATGTTTCTATACACACTCTGGCTATTCTACAAATCTTTCCATTGGTTTCCTCATCCAGTGTTAACCTCAGCTTTGCTCAGACTTTGATCCTTTCTTTCAGTCTTTTATGGCCATTTCCTTCCCAGGCACTGCAGCAGTCAAACACTGAGCTGCTTTTGTTTTTAACAATCTCTGCAAGGCTCCATAAAAAAAATCAAACACAGCAGTTAATAAACGAGTGCAGCAGGCTTTAATGTACTATGAGGCAGCTGAGAATGAATGGAAAGCAAACAGGCCTCACTGTGGGGGACTGTTTGAGTTCAATTTGTTTTACATGGTTTCATAAAGATGCTCAAAGTGACTTATTTACTGCCCCCCTTTAAATCAGGGCTCTCTCATGCAGGATTGTTTTTTTTAAATAACAGAAAAATTAACCAACTAATCAACACCACAGCTATCAAATACAGTGTAAATGAATAACACATTCACCAATAATAAATACAGATGCTCAATTCCTGTTTTCTTTTCAGATCCGTGTCCTCTGAGGAAAAATCTTTTGCTATAGGAATTCAGTTTCTACTCATGAGAGTATTGGGTAAGTCAGGACACAAATGCTTTCATTTGTCTCAGACTTAACTAATTCTTGAGTTAAAGCTCCTGTGAGGAGTTTTAATTAGCTTTAACTATGCTTTTTTTTCATATGCATATTTCATTTGCTATTCAATAGACTGAAATTCATATTGATGTCATTTTAAGATATCCAAAAGCACACAAGACCATGATTGATCATTTTTGTACAGTAATTGTAATATAACTGGGTAACTGTTACAAGAGGGTAGGTGACAGTGGAGCAGTCAAAGACACAGACGGATTTTATATTTTCAGCCACCAAGAGTAGAGGGTGTGAGATGAATACAACACGTCATGGCGAAAATTCTCACCAGCAATTGCTGTGACAATCACACTGCCTTGTTTGGGTCAGAGTTTCCAAAAATAAGTTGAATTTCTTGGTGGAGCTGACCCCGTCTGCACAGTGGTTGATAGCCTTGCTTTTGTGCTAGTTTTCCACCCAGTTTCCCAACATAGGGGTCAAGCTGACTGGGATCTCTTTTGGCACAGTAAAATGCAAGGAGAAAAGAACTCACAATAAAGAGTTATGTGATGCAAATTCTTTAAAACACTGAAGAAATTATTGGTCAGTTATGTAATAATGATAATAATTACTTTTATTCAGACATACATATTTATTACACTAAAAATCTTTAAAGTATAATACATTACTTGAAAATGAGTGTGACTAAAATTTATGGAGTGCAATTGAACTTCCATCAGTATTGGCATCCTTATCCTTCTGTGTTTTATTTTTTTTAAGCAAATGTTAAATTACCCTTCTGTGTGTCTCATTCCTAAAAAAGGGATAAAAAGATATTAACCCTAAACCTTCAATCTCTTTTCCCTCTCAGCCTGGCTTCCTGCACCTGCTCTATATGGGATGGCCATTGATACGTCCTGTGTATGGTGGAGACATGTGTGTGGCATGAAGTTTAGCTGTGGTTACTATGACAACACCATCTTGAGGAACAGGTCGGGCAAACTTTGTTTTCTCCAGTACCAAATATCAAACACACCCACACACCTCAGTGCTGACACTCATTTATCTGTCTGGCTCTGCCCCCTGAAGGTACCTGGGCTTACAGGTGGGTTATAAGGTCATGGGCATCATCCTGCTGATGATGCTGGGCTGGAAGGTGCAGAGGACTCAGGAGTATACTCTGGAGAAGAGGCCTGAGGGACTGCTGTGACCACGCTGAGCGCCAATGTTGATCAAAGTGTCTGAAGGTGTTGTAGTGGTGTTAAACATCTGAGACGACAATGTGAAGAGCAAAGCTGTAGCACTGGGAGAACGCCACAGTGAGGACCGTCCAACATCAACCGCCTATCCTGGAGGCAAACTTTCCTACCTGGTGCTTCACTGGTTTGGAGTTAAGATAAACATTAAAGTAAATGGTATTTTGTTAGACATATCTGGATGATTTAATGCTGATAATTGGAATAGATAAAAAAAAAAGATACACCAATGAAGAGAAGTCCGCTCAAACAAATCTCCGCTGTGGTAACTCACATTTTTATCTTCATCTAAGATAATGACAAGTCCAATGAAAATAAGTTAAATATTTTTGTGTATCACTTTTTCCTAAAAGGTAGGAATCTAATCAGATTTCTATTTCCAATGGGAACATATTCTGTAACTAATGAACTGTATAGCTTAATATTTAAGTGTATTATTGTAGCTTTTGTCTCATTCACAGAGACATCTGTGATAAATGTAGAACTTTTATGTACATGATCACATGTAACACTTGATCTTTTTGTATAGCTAATGAATTTTTAAAGACTAAGTGCATTCACTTTTAATCACATGTATAATGCTATCAAGTGGTGGGGTTGTTGCAGAAGACTGCATAAATGTGTATTACTTGTTAATACAAATATAAAGCACATCAATAAACATTTATGAATTTCTGTTATTGTGTCTTAAAGGCTGGATATCACTCCCAGAATTTTGGGCCTCCCTAGATATCCAAGGTTTACTGGATGGGTTTTAGTTTGTGACTTAAACCAAAAGAAAACACATCACTTTGAACAATGAAAGTACAGTGCCAGCCAAGTAAGGCAAGGCATGTTTATTTGTATAGCACTATTCATACACAAGGCAATTCAAAGTGCTTTAAAGATTTAAGGAAATACATAAAAATTTAAAAAGGAGAGATTGAAACAATTCTAAATCAAAAAGACAGCCCAGTAGGGAGAGGCATGTTCAACAAATATTAAGCCAAGGGTGGTACTGAGATGTGATTGTTCACGTCAGGGGTCAGTCCATAATCCCAAGCAATGATTGCCTATTTCCCTTGTCAGAGGTGGAATTTAGAATAAAACCTACTAATTGTGATATGAGTAGGTTAACTGCAGCTCTCAGTATTCAAATCACACATTTTCTTTTGTCAGTTAAGATAGAAACTGCATCTTGCCATGATATATCGCAAACTTAAATAATAAAGCTTAACCTTTTATGCTAATCCACAACTATAAACAATTTACAATTCAGTGAAAGAGAAAAGCATTGTGTAGTGTCTCATAGCAGGTGATATTTATTGCAGGCTGAGAAAAGAAAAAGACCATACACCGGGGAGTTTGATATCACTGGCAGAAAAATATACTGTATATTGTGCAGATAAGAATATCATATAAGTTGTGAAAGCAGAAACATGAATAAATAGGATTAACACATGTAGAAAACTATGAATTGTTATAATGAGGTAGAAACATACGCCCAGATAGGACGTGTAAATGTACTGGTGGAAACTATTCACTAAAATATCAAAGGGGGAAAAATGTTGTTTAACATACAAGTATGAAAACTCATACGTTTAAAAATAAAAGCATGTTTTTCATGATATCAACAACAGAGTGCCATAAATCTTGATCATACATGGTAACGAGGTAGTGTTAAAGGTCAAACTGAAGCCAAACAGCACCTCTATCTGATCTGCCGCTCCCTACTCACATGACGTCATTTTATATCAAGGCTGTCAGTTTACCGGAGAACGAGGAGAGGCCGCGCAAGCGCAGAAGCCTCGGGCTGAAGGAGGAGAAAAAAAATCACCCGAAGCGTCACGGACCGGTGCAGCAGCAGCAGCAGCAGCAGCAGTGTGCCTCCATCACGAACAGTGAGAGAGAGAGAGGGAGAGGGAGAGAGAGAGAGAGAGAGAGAGAGAGAGAGAGAGAGAGAGCGCTACATCGCCCCTTTACCACCCAGCATCTTCACCGGCTAACAGCGAACTCGAGTGGGAACACACAAGTATACTCAGGCTGTCCTCCGGTGTCCAGAGTTCCCCCCTTTCCTCCTCCTCCTCCTCAAAATGTCCGTGGGCAGTGACTTTGGGAACCCTTTAAGAAAATTCAAACTCGTCTTTCTGGGGGAGCAAAGTGGTAAGTTTTGTTTTTATTCTCCTGAGAAGTTCCGGTATGCTCGTGAGTCAAGTGAACCCGTTGCACCTGCTCACCAGTTAGCAACTTCATCAGCGGTTAAGCGTTCGTTTCGAGTGCAGACATTTCAGCCGTAGAAGAAGAACACGGTTAAACGTGTGTTTTAAGTTTATGCAAGTGAGTGTTGGTTTGTTGGTGGCGAGGGTATTATTAATTAAATTACCGGCCTGTGAAGCTTCACACAAAAGATCAGACTGTTAAAATTTTAGCCACCAGCCCTTAAGTTCAATGGAATGATTATAACGCTCCTAATGATGCTTACATTAATTTTAAACATCCCGGACTTGCTATAGAGATCTAGGAGGTAAAAGCGCTGTATGGAGGCAGGTTGAGCAGCCTCACGGGTTGATACTGTGGATGGTACAAGTTGGTAAATATTCCTGTGTTGAGACACACCCAGGTTGTCGGCAGCGATGAGATAACTTGTGTGGCTGCAGTCCCTGCCCTGGAGTTTTTCCAGATTGCATGCTGAGGCTCACAACTTTATGATTTTGCTTGATTGTTCCCGGTAATTATTATTTCGTGCTGAGACTGATCTTCGATTAATCTGTTTGTATCTGTGTCTCCTCCATCCTGAGCTCGGCTCACCCACACACCCTCAACCATTCAAAATCTTCTCCTTTTCTTGAAGGGAATAAAACCGTTTTCCATGATATCATTCTGAGCTGACTGAGGCAGGATTTGGAGATTGAGATTTGCTTTGGCACAATTTTTTCTGGTCTAATTCAGAGGTCTTGAGCATCCACATTAACACCATTAGTTATGGTTTAGCCTTTCAATGGGTCCTATTGATCATCCAGTATAGTGGGGTCATGCACCTCTTTTTATATTGTTCCATTTTCAACAGTATGGCATACAAAAACGTGTAAAACCTCACAGTGGCTTAAGGGGTTATTACTGAGATGCCTTCACTTAAACTAAAGGCATCCTGGGAATGTAAACTGTCAAGTGAGGATGCCCTGCAGTGCTCAAGGTTGAGACTAAAACAGGAAAATCCAATGATTGATCAGTAGATAAAAAGCAAATCAATAGCTAGTAAGTGTAGTAGTCATTACTAAGGTAAAAAAAATGTCCTTCTCTGGTTCCAGAAGCTTTAAATCAGTAATTAACTGATTTTATTTTTTTCTCTAAGAAGTAAATTGAATATTTAAAGGCTTTGGGACCATTTGAGAAAGGTAACGTAAAAAACATGTTAAAGTTACTGTCAGGAGTTTTGCATGGGTTGTGGAGCAGACTGAAATTCGATATTCTTCTTTGTGTCCAACAAAGACAACAAAGACAAACAACAACACTCAGCACCACAATTGAATTTTATTATGTTGTGATTTTCAAGGCCTGTAATATCTGTAAAGAGGTAGGTTTCAGACAAGATAGTGGGCACCCAACTGGAGCAACAGCCCTTATAAGTAAATATCCACTGTGGATAATGGTTTTGACCACCTATAGAAAGATAGTGTGTTTGTTTGTTTTATTTGCCAAAAAATACTGCCTTGTCCTGCACAGGACAAAATCAGCATTCCACAGAGAAGTTTCTGTCAGCAGCTTTGAATGGGTGCCAAAAAGACTCATTTACTGCTTGCAAACAATGAGGATGTATGGAGGAGGTGCATGTACATTTTGGTGATGGAAGTATGGCAGTGTACAGTAAGTTTTATGCTATGTTAGGGCATTAACCACCAAAAATTGCAGCTGCCACCTTAACAAATGGTTAATGAGTGGTTGAGTGAGTGGTTAAAAGACATTAGTGAGTGGACAAGTGTTGAGTAGGCAAATGGTGGAGAAGCCCAGCATGTTCACTAGAGAAATTGAGCTCACGTCACTTAACACTTGTGACTCAATGATATGAGGTCAGATCCAGACAGTCAGAATTAAGGCATGGACCCTTAATTTTGTGTCTTAAAACAAGAAATCCCCTAAGGTAATGTGACCAACCACTTAACGAACAGACTTTTTTATGCTTCTAACTACAGGTTGACTGATATTGTTTCTTTTGCACTGATACCAATTGTTGGTCATTTATGAGAGCGATAACTGATATTTGAAAATGAAATGGGTTGTCAGTAGAAATGAGAAACTTTAGATTTTGGACTTTGACAAACTCAAGCACAAAACTTAGTTGACATTCCTACAGTACATGTTGAATCAAAACTAACATTTTCATCATCAAATACAGGAGTAAACGTTGAACTAATTACTTTCACAATACAGTTATGTCACACAGTCACATGACAGCTAGCCAATCAGAAAGTATTGGGAGCAGAACACTGGGTGAGACAGAGTGGAGAGTCCATACAGGCCCAGAGGGAAAGACAGACAACCATCAGAGCCAAAGTTACACACCTTTTAATTAAGTTATTGTATCTGCTATCTTTAAAATAAAGGCCAATATCAACGAGGGATGGGGACGAATTCTACTGTCATTACTCAAATATTGTTATACTACTCGCACATGCCTCGTTCTTGGCTTAAGTACTGCAACTCAATTAGCTTACGGGTCATGCACCATGTCAGCCGTTACCAAGGAAAGGACAACGACATATTGTGAAAGATATGCAGTGTTAAATTTGTATATCATAGAAACAACAGCTTGATGCTTTACCACATGGGGTTAAAGCCCTGGGAAACAGATGAAAGGCAGATTCACATCGCAGCATTTGTTAGCCCTGTTATCAGCTACCACAGTGATAGCCATCTAAAAATGATCACTAAACTGATAAGGGTAATCTATTGCAGGAGAAGAGTATTATAGTATTAGGACTTATATTAAAGCTTACTAAATGTGAAAACATATTTTTTTATTGATAGAAAGAGAAAATAATGTGCATGTAGTTAATGGCTCCCCAATTTGTGACCTACAATCAGTTTTAATATGGAGGTTTTATTTTTAGATATTTAAATGTTGTATTATATATTTAATTTTCTGTAGCTCTGTGATAGACTGGAGACCTGTTCAGGGTGTACCCTGCCTCTCACCCAATGGCAGCTGGAATAGGCTTTAGCTCCCTGCCAGAAGGTTTGAGGGGCTATAAAGAATGGGTTTGACTGATAGACGGATGGATAAATATGATGTAGCTCTATATTGAACATTAACAAAGCCTTGTTGGATGGCTTTGCTCTTGGGTGATTTTGTAATATTAAATGCCAAGCAACAAACCAAAGGGGATTTGGCTGCACAAACATAATACCAGGGAGTGCATTGTGTTCAACAAAGCTCAAAGGTAGATGAATGTTTTGGTTTCATTATTAATATAATATGACACAGGGAATGATGGAAGATTGAAAAAGTATTTATAGTTTTCAGACATGAATGGCTCAGGCTGAGGATTTCTCCATCAGAGGATAACTCACTCATCTGGTTGTTGAACTATTTTTGAGTGTGCTGTGCAAAAGCTTTGTCATGCCTCCTGTAAGCCACATTGATTCATCCATCAGAATTGAAGATTCATCTCTCTTAAAGTTCATATCGATTCTGAATGAGAAGATGGCAGTTTTATAAAAGCAAAGGTTTCAGGATGACAGGTTTGACAAAATGTCATGTTTTTAGGTTTGCTGCAGTTCTCGTTCACCAGTTTCACTCTCTGTGTTAGTCAAGTTTGTCAAAAGTATGTTGTCAAACTATGATGAGTTTATTTTCCGTAACAGTTAGAGTTGTAACTTGACGATGAGGTGTTTTATCCATCAACCATCTGAAGCATATGTGGTCACTTTGTAATTTTACTGCATTATGCCACAGCATCTCTTTTTGTATTTGCACTTACTAGTGATTTAAATCTGGTCTTAGAAGATTTCTTAATGATTTATTTTCAGTTGTTCAGGAATTAAGGGACGTGATTTTGTGTCTCTGTCTGCTTGTGTGTCCTTGAACAGTGATATTACATTATGGCATTTGTGTATTGCTCTAATTGTAGGTAACACAAGATCACAGAATCAGCATTTCCCATAATTACAGCTGACCTCACCCCTGCATGGTAATGATGGGAACTGCTGTGAGGTTTTATTAGCTTGAAGAACCTTTGGCTTCATAAAACCATGGAGGTTTCTTGAAAAATGAAATGCAGCTCTCACTGTATGCTGACATACAAGTTATTGATCTAGTTTTTTTTAAAAGGCTTTACTGTTTTTGATGGATTTGTTGGTTCTTTTTGAAAATCTGTCTCTGTGTTCTGCAAAGATGAACCACCTTAATCTGCACCCAAAATGCTGTCAAAGCTTTCATTTACAAGTGCCATCCATTTGTCCAGAATTCCTGACTTTAAGAGAGGCTAGAAAAAAGCATGAACACATTCAGGCTTAAATATAAGGAATTTCCCTCTGAAATCACTGAGATGCCTACATCTGAAACGACTTAACACGTAACCTTTATGTTCGGTAAAATATGCCATGTAATTTGTGCTAGATTTTTTTTCTCATGAGGACATGGCAGATTTTATAAAGGATTAAGGTTATAGACAATCTTTGCTGTTGTAACAGTTTACAAGAAGTCTTCAGGTATTTAAGTCTTTTTGCAAAAAACTAATGGAATGGAAATGGAAATGGAAATAATGGAATATCTATTTAATGAAATAAAATTTTGAACAATTAAATATTGTTGATCCTTCAAAACACTGATCAGTAACACCATCTTCCAATTATGATAACTGATGTAACCGCTTACTTATGTATCAAACTTAAACTTTTAAATCCCCTAATTTTCACAGAAGTTGGAAAGCTGTTCAGAATTTCATTAAACTCAGTTTGATGATTTGCAAATCATTGAATCCCTGTTTTTAACTGAAAATACTGCAAAGACAACATATCAAAAGCTGAAACTAAAAAAAAAAATGTGTTTAGAAAAAATATAGAAATTTTAAATTCACTTCCACCAAAACATGATTCAGAACATTTGGGACTGGGGCATGTTAACCATTGCTTAGCATTATTTCTTCTCTGAACAAAACTCCAAACATTTGAGAACCAAGAGGACCAGTTTCTAGAGTTTTGAAAAGGAAACTGGAGAGAAGTGAGAACACGGCCTATGATTTCAATGGGTGACAAGTCAGGGATGCTGTTTGACCAGAGAGTCACAAAGACTCTCTGACTATGAAGCCATGTCTATGCAGCAGTATTTGCAAAAACTGGTTTGGCATTGTCTTACTGAAAAATGCAAGGTCCTTTCGGAAAAAAGGCTTTGTCCAAATGGCAACAACATTCAGTATTCTGCTGTAAAAGCTGCATCAGTCTGCATTAATGGTGTCTTATTGGATTTGTAGCTACCTATGCCGTGGGCACTTGTGCATCCTCATTCTATCAAAGATACTGGCTATGAGCTCTGTAGCAGGTCCTTCTCTTCAGGGTGAAAGACATGGCATCCATGATTTCTAAAAAGAATGACAGATTTTGACTCGTCAGATGCAGCGATAAACTGTGTTCATGTCTCTTTAGTTTTTCATGTGAGTTAAGAGTGAGCATGTATTTCATGGAAGAACATTTTTCTTTTCCATTATTAGGTATGATATCATTGCACTATTTTCAATAAATTATCAGGTTCAAATTTGTGCAAACTCATCAAAGTTTGCTTTTGCCAAACACTTTTAATCCATTTATATATTTTTTTCTTTGGTTTCATATTGTAGTTGTTTGTAGTCGGTTTATAACAGTCTCTGTTTCTGTTTAAGATCAGCTGCAGGCTCCTGAATTGAACTAAATCAAAATTGTATCAGATAATCTCTTGTGATATCAGCTCACATGGTCTTCTTGCCCAGAGAACCAATTTAATAACCGTTTGAGATGAATCTTACGATATACACTCCAAGCAAAAAGGTCTTACAGGGATAGTGTGGTTGGCATTGTCCTGTAGTGCCTTCTTGATAAACTGGTGTAGGGTTTTGAACTCTTTGAGACCCTGCAGGTCTGCACTGAGGGGTCCCAGCCTCTCTATAGGAGTACAGTGTTTACTTAATACCAGTACCAAGAAGGGGATTTTATTTGTCAACCAGTGCTCATCCAGACAGTGTCAGGCAGCTCCAGCCAGCCTGTTTGATTGGGTCGTCTCCTGCAGTGGAGCTGTGTCTCTCTGTCATGTCGGCTATAATTGCAGCTGGTGCCCAGGCGGGCGTGAATCCCGTCAGCTCTGCCACCATCATTTATTAAAGGACACGACTGGACTCAAGGGTGTCATGAGGAAAGACGTCCTGTTAAAAAGACTACTTGTTCCTTTTGTGTTGATTAGTCCTGTGTAGCGTGAAGGGCCTTGAAAATGTGTATGTAAAGGGAAAGAAAGCATGATGTCCTGTTTTTTTGTGAAAGAATAAGCTAACCTCAGTGAGGTGGGGGCTTTCTGGATTAAGTGGGTGGAAGCAGGCAGAATGCTAAATGAGCTGTCAGGAAGTCTCTCCTCCTGCATACTTCTTAGGGTGTTTTTTACACGGCCAGTACAAAGAAGGCTGGCTAAAGACTTCCCTGACAAAGCTAAAGGCTTAAAGCAGGCCAATCAGCTGGTTCGAAGTCGGTGAGCCTACGCTTTTGGTGGAAACAGCATTTTGCAGGTTCTAGCCCCAGAGCAATCAACCAGGTCATGGTTTGAACAGTTTTTGCCATGGGCTGATTTCAAAGGAGTAATGCTGCATGGTACTTTGTAAAAGCTAATTGTTTGGAGGTTATCCCCTGACGCATACCTTAATTCATCATGGACAAGCAGATGGAAATATATTTGGTAGAAGCATCCGCATGGCTGCCATGAGATTTTGCTCTCTGAATCTAAACGCCATCTTCTATTTTCCCTGCACAACCAAGATTGCCATGGTACAAAGTAGAGCTGGCTCCAAAATACTGCTGAATCACCCCACCGATATACTTCAAAGTCGGGTGTAGTAGGTTAGGTTGTCTAATGCATCAATCACTGTTTGTGTCTCCAGGGAGCAGCTTTCTGAGCAAATGAAGCCCTGAGTTTTGGCTTGCCCAAGCAAGGAGCAGCAGGCACATTGCCTCACTGAGGCTGTGAAACCACAGATCAAGATAAAGTACTGCATATGAACGCAGACATAAAGTGAAAGAACAGGCACAGTTATTCTGTGCAGAGGAAGGGTAAATAACCTGAGCAGACAGAAGCAAAGTCACTTTTTGGTCTGATTGGTAAACACTGACAATCATTGCAAACAGATAAATCACCTAAGGGTATGTGCAATGACCCAGAATAAATCTGTAATAATCACATTCATGATTGTAAAAAGTCAAAGACATACTGTCTCTAAAACATGGATATTAATCTGACCAGAATTAATGGAGGTGTTAGTGTGAGTGCTTCAAGAATTAATATCCCTCTCTTGCTTGCTTATTCACTCAGGGTGTGAATGAGCTTTTAGTGGCTCTAAATCTTTTGTGATGTCAAGTCCCTCCGCATCTTAATGTCTTTCCCCGGGGCCCTCTTTCTCACTCTGTATACTATGGGAAATTATTCCTCTAATGTTACCTGCACTAAAAGATTTTTTTTTCTTTTGCTGCTTGCTCTGTGTGTGCCTCTGTTTGAAATACCTGACTTAATTGAAATGCTGCTTTTAGTTGCTGGACATTTGACAAATGTTACAGTTGTGTTTTCAGATTGGGTGTGAAACTTAGTTTTGTGAAGATCCAGGCTGAACATTTTTCAAAAATCTTTGATGGTTGAGCTCATTGATTCCACCATCAGGTCTCTTGGGAGCTATGACATGACTTGTTGAGTCATGTCCATAGACTGTATATACTATGGACAACTTGGTTCCACCTACCGTCGGAATATGGATTTGAAGCCAGAAAGCTCTCGGTATTTCTGCGATTTTTCTTCATTTCCTGAAACCAGCGCTGTGCAGTAGCGTTGTACACATTCGGCGGGAGAGTCACCGAGAGTTGCTGTGATGACGCTTGGCTCAAACAGCGTATCCCTCGGGTAATCTACGCAATCCCTGAACGCCCATAGGCTGTATCAAGTGTCAATCATGGAAAACATGAACCCCCTAATAATTTTTTTTAAATGAAGCTGTACAGAAAAAAAGAGGACTTGAGCACAAACCAGTCTTACAGTAACTTCAAGTCAACATTGCAAGCATGGGGAATATATATATATATTCCGCGTAATAAATTTATAAAGTTTGTCCACAGCCCCATAAGCTTTGCTGGCGGGATTTATGACCTATACTGCAGCCCGTCAACAGAGGGTGCTGTTCTCGGAGTGGCTTCGCCCAGCGAGGAGGCAGACGCTGTCCATTCTATATACAGTCTATGGTCATGTCTTTCGAGTCAAATCACAGACATACTTTGATTGACTATTCAAGTTTTTTGGATAAAAGTACATTTTAGGCCTACAGGTTATCAAACTGTACACAGAGGAGAATTTTGGAGGTTAGTTGTCCACTATAATTGCTGAACGATGGGTACCTTTTACAAAGACATTAGATAAGGCGGAAGCAAAGTGAAACTTATATTGCAAAATATTTTCTCGCAAGAGGGAAGTACAGCCTCCATGGTCAAGCACATTCGCTTGTACATCAGTTTAATCTAAATGCAGTGCCTTTGTGTTTGAAAAAATCAGTCAACTCCAGTAACTGCTGCTGTTACTGCAGAACAGTCATCCAAAGTGGTCGTGGTGATTGAACCCAAACTTTGTAGCAAGTCCTGTTTGCTAAAACCAGAAATCAAAGATAAAAAACTGGGTCAAAATTGACAGGTAAAAGCTAGTTAGCTAGGTAAAGGTGATTTAAAGTTCCTTTTAGGAACATTTGAATTATGTGATTTCTTTGTTGATCTTGCTGAGGAGTGTTTTCTCCAATAAAATCTCTTCCTTAAAAAAGCTTTACATTTCTCACTCTGGTGGTTGTAAAATATCATTATATCAGCCTCTGTCTGAAACGCTTTGTTTTAGCTGCTGTCTCTTTGAGGTCCCCCCACTACTAGGCTACTTTCCTTTGATTGGCCACCTCTCTGGAGGCTTATAAATCAGTTTGTTACCATGATCTAAGATGGTATATCATAATATACTGGTTTGTACCATTGAAGAGGGAAAAAAAAACATCTTTGATTTTAAATCCATATATTCCAGGCTGGTTATATAAAAGACACTGACTGTTTTAGCAAGTTTAGTTTGAAGCTGACTTTGGGAGCTTTCTGTGTAGATAAAGGTTTGTTATGCACCCATTTCCTCACTGAAACTAGACAATTATTCAACAATGAGAAAATCTGTGTGAATAAGAGGAAGTTGGAGACAAAAGTGTTGAGAACAATGCTGTGATTTTCATGTGGGCTGGTGCATTTTTTGGTTGTTTCTATCCCTGGTTATTTCTACATCTTAGTAAAATGACATTAATGTCATTATTATTATTATTATTAGAGTCAAATTTCCCAGTTTGGGATCAATAAAGTATATCTATCTATCTATCTATCTATCTATCTATCTATCTATCTATCTATCTATCTATCTATCTATCTATATATATATATATATATATATATATATATATATATATATATATATATATAAAGTATGATGTTTGTTCCAGAATCGTGTTTTCACTGGAGCAGTACCACATAGTTGGTTAGGAGCTACGTCTTAATGGACCGTGATAATCAGACTCAAACTCAGAATTAGGAAAAGCTCCTGAGGGGGATTTTGAAATGTGATCACTCCTGAGATCAAACAAACTTTCAATGCAATGGGGGTTTTGCAATAAAAGGAAGGACTAAAACCACTACACCCTGACAGTTAGTCAAGGATAAATCTTTGTTGTGCAAGAATGTGCAATGGTGTTTACAGAGCCTTGGATGCTTTAAGGGTGGAGCAGGTGAACCCTGTTGGTAACACTTGCAGGTTGGTAACACAGCAGACTGGTACAGGTCAAAGGCCTTGAACATGAGCTCTGATGTGCTGTTGAATTCCGTTCTTTTGCTCCATCCTTGATTTTTTTATTAATCAGGACTAAAGAAAAAAAAGCTAAAATGTGCAGCAGGAAACGGGTGCTACAAACCAGAAATGAGTTGATGTAGTAGACTTCTGTGGTCTGCTGTTCAGTAGTTTTCGAATCTAACTTGTGTTAACTCATGGGGTCAGAATCTAGCTGTGGGTTCATACAAGCTCAGGAGGTTTTCACATTTTGGTTTATGAAAAACACATAAGAAGTACTGTTCCACACATGTGTTTGAATGAGACTACAGAGGTTGTCATGACAGCAAAAACAAATTTGAATATACAAAGTTTGTGGATTTCCTACAAGTGTGGTATTTTATACAGGGGTTGCAGCCTTAAAGCAGGAGTGTGTAGTATTCAGACTTGGTAGAAAGAAAAGGAAAAAAAGGATTCAGCCCCTCCAGTGTCCACTTAGGGCTAGCTCCAGAAGAAAAGGAAAACCCCTGTAGGTCTGACTGCCAACAGCCCATTTCACAGCAGAAGTAAACTTGTTTGTAACATATTGAACTTGGATGATTTTTTTTAAAAATGGTATGTATGTCTCTTCTCAGGTTTCCAGGTCAAGTGAAAGCTTGGTTGAGTCAACTACCAATATCATGGTTTCCATCTTTTAACTGCAAACCCCTCTTCACAAACCAGAGTTGGTGACATCAATAATCCACTTTCAATCGGACTGTCTATTTATTTTCTCAGACTTTCTAAGTCTATCAAAAAAGGTCACCACACTTGCAGTTTGAGCAGAAATGGTGTCAACTTTGTACTTTGGTTGGACACTGGTGTGTTCTCCTGGTGACAAAAACAATCTCACTGTGATGGTCAGCTTTCTTGTTTGAGCATGCACACCAAAATCTCACATATACTACACACATTTGAGCAAAGCATGTTGATGGGAGGGATTTCTGTTGGTGGAGATGTTGAGGTCAAGCTATGATAGTGGTATTTGTTCAAAGGGATTTCTCTTGTAGCTCGTGGCTTTTGCATTTTGCACCCAAAATCCTCAAAAATATATATTTTTTCCTCAAGTGAGGATCGATACTTTCTCCTGGGTTGGTCTTATTTCTACCTTTGCTGCTCCTCTGATGGACCTGAAGTCACAACATTCTCACACCCCACTGAAACTGAACCCTGTTGTGTGGCGCATTCAGCAAGCTGTGAAGTAAATAGAGTTGCTAGACCTTTAGCTTGTTGGTTTTTCCATGAATGAGCTTTTTGAAGGCAGGCTGTCGATATTTACTCAAAGATTGAAATCTCTGGGAGTTCAGCCTACATTCTCTGAGCCGCATCATTCAGTAATCGAGCTGCTCCCAGAGATAACTGGTCATCTTTTTCATTTCACATCCCATCGCTTCTTCCCGGCAAGTGTTCTTCTTTTCTGATGGATTGGGGGAAACAACTCCCTGACAGCTTTGATCTGCTATTGATCAGCTCAGCTACCCATTAATGGGTGTAATTGATCAAAGGCACCAATCCCAGCAACACACTGGGCTAGTCCTTCAGTCCACGGCTTAGAGGGCAGAGTGTGTATGTGTGTGTTCTTTTTGTAGTCTGGCACACTAGACATATACAGTATGCACTAAACATCTGTGTTCTAATGTGATTCTCACCTTCATGGAAGAAGAACTGCTTGGTTTTTTTTAGAGTCCTCCTGGTCCAATGATTTTGTCAGGACAGATCTAAATAAAGTACATGAACAATTATGAAATGAAACTTTGACAGTATGTGATGAGCAGAAGATTACTCACAATGAATCTGGTTGTTTTCTGACTTTTTCATTAGCACTGAAAACAAGACAAAATGTTTAAGTTGTCATTTGAATTTGTCAACTTACAGTGATTAACACCACATTTTATGAACATGTCGACAATCACTGTCTCCTACTGGACTACGTGATACCCTAAAAACTTTTTCCGGACATTTGTCCCTGAGTCTCAGGATTTACTTGTAGGTGTTGTGAGACCTCCCTGAAGCCCCCTGGTGTTGGTTGGAAGTTAATTCATGTCCAAGTGACTGTGTTGTTATTATCTCAAGTAGAAATACACTGATCAATCAGTTGCTTAGTAAATAGTATTTTTTGAACTGATCGGTATTATATCAGCAAATTCAAATCTAGAACAGTGACTGGCAAGTGTTTAATATAAACTCTGTTATGATGCTTCTGTCAGGAATATCAGCCATGATCTGAAATCTGTTCATAACATGTATTTGTCAATTTCATAAACCAATTAAAAATCTCACTGAAACATGTCACTGACTATAATTACCATGTAATTCAGATCATTATGTGCATGGAAAGTGTTTAATAAAGATGGCTGGACAAAAATCTAAAAGCCTCTTGTGGCAATATTTTACTGAGCCAAATATTTATCTGTCTACTTTTACTAGATAGAGTGTTTTCCAAGTCCAGCAGTTTTGTTTCTCATTTGTAAATATTGTTGGTGGGGTAGGCAGGAATTTGTTAAAGAAGCATCTTTTTTTGTGGTGTATATACAAAAAAGCTTTTAATATCAGTCAATAGCTATTAGTTATTGATGACATTTGGAAATATTACAATATCGCTGTGTTCTCTTATGTCTGTGTAGTCAACATTTTAAATTTTTTTGAGTGTCATGCTCATTCTGACTGTAAACAAAGCCATTCTCCACCTGGTTGGTTGTGAAGCAGATGCTGCTCCCTTGTGCTGATGGTTGAGAGGCCAGCTATGTGACTACAAAATGTGGACCCAAAACAATCTTCTGACAATGGCGGACAGTGGAAAGCAGCTGGAGAAGCCACAAAAAAAGACTTTTCCTCTTTAGCCACCAAGGACTACCGAGGGCTGTAGCTGTAAAACAAGCACTCAAGAAGAAGAAGAGATACCGGGCAAGATATAGGGCCAGAGTAAACATCGTCATAGCCTTTGAACGATGGAGGACCATACATGATTTAAGAAATTTTAGATCAGATGTGAGCTGTGATTTAAAGCCTTCTTACCTCATAATCGGACATGTTTCAATGCCTCAGATGGTCTGTTGTTAAATCGCCGGTAAATTAGAGCGATGTGAGTGAGCACGAGTGTCTGTTTTGTGGTCGGGGCTCACTGGAGCAGAGAGGGAAGGGAGAGGAGGAGCTGAGAGGAAATGGTTAGTGTTTACTTTCAAAGATTCCTCCCAAAAACTGGTGTTCATTCAGATACTGCCTACCCCACCTTTAATCAAGAATCATTAAATATTGGCCAGAGGCCGACCTGCTCCCTCATTATCAATTCTGTTGGAATTCTGTGATTTGTCCTCCTCTTATTTTAAGTCCAATTAGTGTTGTTGTTTTTTGTAAAGTAAGTCCATTTATCAGTAAAAGGATTTAATCAGACAGTGAGCCAAACTCAGCCCCAGCTGGGCTACAGCCTCACTTGCTGGACTTGCTTAAGAGAGTACAGAACAGATCCATTTACTGATGCAGAAGTGCTTTATATAGGGTTTTATTTCATTTACCACTGATGATTACTAAGTGAGTTTGTTTTAGGGAGGAGGGGACCACAGCTATTAACTTGATTCCCCATTTTATCTGTGTGACTGTGCAGTTTAGATTTTGACACACTGTGTGGACCTTGGAGGCCCTCTTGCTGTGTACACTGAATAGCCTGCTGTGGACTATTCCTGTAGTTTCCTATTTAACTAGAGGATTCCTCCCCTGTCTTAAATACTGTTGCACCTATCTAAAGACAGCCTTTGAGTATTAATCTGCTGTATTTCACACTGAATAAAGCCTTTAAGATGCTTATAAAAATTCAAGGGCCAAGTCATAATATTGAGGACTGCAGCTTTTTGTGTTTTTTTTCTTACTAACATGGATCATTTTCAGATTTATTAAGAGTAGCTTTCAGTCCCGCAGGGGATGGTCTGCAGCCAAAGAATACTAAACAGGTCGGCATTGACTCCATACATATGCTGCACAGCTGAGTGGGCGTGTGCCCAAAGGCCCATGGGAAAGCACAGCCTCACTTATACACTCTGACCAGAATAAAAACAGGGTTGCAAATCAGTCTGCTGCTCAGGCAGTGATGTCGAGAAAATATCTGATTCAGTTCCACCCGTCTGTGTGAGCAGAAAGAGTTTGGAAACAATATCTGATGACACAGTTTCACAAAGAGCCACACTGGGTGCTTTCTCTGAATACAATTGAAGCAAAACTTCAGGAAGAGATTCAGGAACTTCTGAAGTGGCTCCCATCATTCAGCAGGAGAGACTATTCGCAGACCCTTTTTCTCTAAATTGCTTGTCTTGGAGATGGATTGGACTCCCGCTTAATGTGTGATCTTTGGAAAGAGAAAGACTGAGGATGCCATTTAAACATAATCCCAGTTGCTCAAACAGAACTGTGAAAAAATCCCTGCTGTGGAGGAAAGCTGTCATTTACCCAGCATGAGATGTGACACTTGACTGAGTTCAGCAGGTCTCCATCAGTGTTTACCCTTTGCACAGCTCCCCTAGATCAGCCCTCATTACGGGGCTGCTTCAGCATACGCACAGCCCTCGAATGGAACAGTATGGGCAGGTTGTTTTTAGCGTATTGATGAGCTCTTGGGTTTTTAAAAAAGTGAATTTAGATCATGTTTCTAATTGGCACTGCTGGCTGGACACAGTGTATGTGACTTTTAAATATATTGTCTCATTGAGATGCTGGTGCAAGCACCGCGCAGAAACTCCAATGGAGATTTATGGAGTGGAAGTGAGCTGAACATTCATCACTCCAGTTTAACATTGAAGGGAGTGTTTTATCTAAGTCCGTGAAAGAGAAATGAATCACTATAACAGGACATGCAGACAAACAGGTGGCAGAGATGCAATATACAACAGCTCATGACATATTCAGGCATGCCTATTTTTAAAAGCATATGATGCTGAGTATTCATGTCTGTATCCTGTCTCAACAACCCTCAGAAGACTGGAAGATGTCTTTGTTGTCTTTGTTTTTCATCCTGGAACCCGAATGATTCTTCGGAGACTGTTGCCTGCTTGATTTATCCCTCACACACCCCTGTTACAGAGGGATAGTTGAGCCTTGGAGCATAGATGAACCTTGATTCAAAACAGAAGAGCTGCAATTCCACTTTTGTTTCCACTGTGGAACAAGAATCTAAAGGTAAACCAGATCAGCCTTGAGTTGACTATTCTATGCTGCAGAAGCCCATCCCCACACTTCTGTAGGAATGTAAGACAGAGATTTTGTCAGAAGCTGCTAGTCCCACGCCATTATTTGAAAAGAAATGAAATTTATTTTGGTTGTACGTTATGACGACAAAGCATAACAATTTGTGCGAATCTAAAACTACCAAACACACAATCCTTAACCAAAAACGGAGCAGGCTGAAGCCCAAAGGCTTACTTATACCGCCTCTAAACAGACCACAAGATATCCCAGAACATCAGCAAACAGAAAAAATAAGGAAAGAAAAAAACAAAATACAAAACAAAAACACAACAAAATAAATATTCCTCTAAATTATAGTCCTTAATTATTTTATATTTTAAACTTTTTTGAAATTCATCATGGAGCTACACAATTTTATTTCATTAACTTCATTCCATTCATATTTAACTTTTTTCTTCGAGGTTCAGCCTGTGAGTTTTTTTTTCTTTTATAATAATTTGGAATTAACTACAATTCCAATAGCAAAATTGGTGACCATAAATAAGAAGTGTTTGCCTCTTACACATGCACTAAAACCTTAAGCAGTACGATATCAAAATTTATGGGTGTTTGAGTTTTGCTGTTTGTGAGTGACAGGTGAGTGCAGTTGTTTAGAGGAGGAGTGATCATTTTGTTTGAGTGCAGAACAGACTAAGTCTGTGCCGTGGTATCAAACTCGTGGTCCCAGTTTTTTTTAAAAGCAGTTATTTGAATCCAGATATTTGAGTGAGTTGCACTTAGGTAAGAGTCCTTGCAAATGTACATGTAAGATGATAAAGCTCTGCCAAAAATCTTTCTTGCTCTTATTGTACAGTAGCATCTTTTTTATTGCAATTTTTAATTAGGGTGAGCAATGTCAAGGTGGCTCTGTTGACCAGTCAAAAGTAACATGCACTTTATGTCAAATTGAAGTGAAATATTACTTAGAGTTTGAGCCATCACCCTACAGTGCGGTTAGGTGTCTGCGTCATGATAACCAGCAGATCACTGTTTTGGATGAAACTACAGCGCTAGTTAAATGGGCAGCAGCTGATGAAAGGCCAGCTGATGAAAAAGACTGGGGACTAAAGGATGTCCCCAAGCTGGCACACTTAGGATCAGTCACATGTCTCAATGTGTAAAAGTGTTATCCCTTAAAAAAGGAACTTAACATTGTGAATAATAGTATACTTAAAGTGAAAATTCTGCAGAGAAGTTTACTTTCATTTGGATTAATTTTACAGCAGCAGTATTTTGAATTCTACTGTATCCAATGACGACACTTGTCAAATAGGTCTGAATGACTGATTGAGAGTGCTGAGCTGTGGCAACAACTCTATTGAATTTTTTTTTTCACTACTCTTATGTTCATTTCATGGTTCAGTCATTTTGCTTGTTCAAATGTTAAAATTCTGAAAAATCTCTCTGCTTGTTTCTGTCAGTAATGTGTGATGAAGGGTTTGGTTTTGGATTGAAGGTTAGAAACTGAGGAATTCACTCTTGGCTCCTAGTGTTAAGTATTTTTGACATTTTTGACATTGAGGTTAAAATATTTGCTTTCTTGGTTATTTTCCAAAATCTGGAAAATGTGCTCAAGCTAAAAAGACAAAATAGATTTTTAAATTTAGATCTGACCCATACACCCCACTGATTTACCCTGACACTTTGGAAATACGATTGGGCAGTATTTAAGATGGTACAGTAAGGGGCACTATTTTCCTACAGGAGAATAAACAGGCTTTACTGTTTGACATAAAGACTCATACTCATAACCATAAGCTGTCTACACTGCTCCAAACAAGCTGGATTCAAAAATCACTGTGCTGTATATTATAGAGATGATTTAATTAGAGGCGTGGGGGTCAAAGACATTTATTACCATTACTACACCAGATTAAAAAACTGAATCACATTGCATTGTTAGCACCCCTGCATTTCAGTCAATATTAGCACATGTTCATGCCCTGCCCTTTGCTGATCCATTAAGAGCCGAGGAAATTGCACCTCACAGACAGCTGGATAGTGAAATTTCAGATGATTTACAATAGAGGAGAGGTGTAAATGATTACTGTCAGTTGTATTATTCACAGTCCAGTCTGACGTCTGTAGTATGAGGAGGGCTTTCAGTGATTTTTCTCAGATGTGACCAAAAGTGCACTAATAATTCAGAATCTAGTCCTCAGGTTTGCGCACTCCTATACAGGGTACTTCTATTTAATTCTGTGTCACTCAGGAGCACAGATTAAATCAAATGAAGTTGTTCAAGTATGGATAGATTTGACTGCCTATTTTTGAGAACTGAATGTGGCACTAGCCACCGATTCTGCCGTTTTAGCTCGCTCAAGAAACTTAAAATTTTTGACACCCGCTTAAGATGGATCACTGTGTTAGATCTTAATTGTGTTGGACTACATCCTGCTATCAAATGAAGGCTTTCAGACAGATTGTCTGTAAATTTAGAGCAAATTTAGAGAAGCTGACTTTATGTGTGCTGCTGTTGGTCGGCAAAAGTCCTGCCAAAAAACATCAGAGAAACGCTGATTTTGGCATGAAACTGTCTTTTTCTATGTGTTTCCTCTTTGATTTAAAGGCCTTGTAAAGGAGGACTTCTCTGCTCTACCCTCTCTATAATTTCCATTATAGAATTGACTGTTTTAGTTACCCTGTTTATATTTACTCTGTTAAAAGCACCACAAATATTTTGAGCCGGGTGTAAATTGTGATTATGATTTAATCTGCTGTGTTTCACACTGAGAGAATGAGTATGTCTGATAACTTCTGAAGTAGGAAGATAAATTATATGTCTGGAGGACTGAAAATTTTCTCTCTACAGGATGCTGTTTTCATTCCTTCAGCTCCCAGCTGCCCTCTGCCCTGCGAGAATGAAATCAGATTTAAACATTAAAACGTCAAGTTGTTGTGTCTCAAGCCCTCTGGCCTCCGACTGAAGATGTATGACTTCTATCTCCTTTCCCCAGGCAATCACAAACACCACAAGATTCATAGAGACCTATTTCAAATCTAGGGTCTCACCTGAGTGGATATGTCATCTTACTCTGTATTTGTTTGTATGTGTGTGTTGCCATTGCTTTTAGAAACATCAAATGCCTCATTAGGCTGCGTAAGAGCTGAAATGGCTTCCTGAGTGCTTTATGTGTGCATGAGAGACACCGCCTTTGTTGAGTTTGAAAGCATGTTCATCCATTATTCAGGGGTGTTGGTAAATGGATGTGTCCTGGCAAGAGTTCATTTTGCAGGTTTTCAGCAGGTGCAGTCTATGCGACAGTCATTTTTCAAACAAAGAGAGACACGCAGGATCTGAATGTCATCTTAATACCTCTCTTTAAGACTCATTTAATGTCTTTGTCGATGCCCTCTGGTTCTGAACAGTCAACATGATGACTCTGCTGTCATATTACTGGGCCAGAGAGAGAGAGAGAGAGAGATTAGAAGAGAGATCCTTTAATTTCTCAACTTCCTCCGTCCATTCATTATTTGTCAGAAGTTTAACAGGACCAACAGTCAACAGTAATAATAGCAGCTCGGTCAGGGTTTACTTTGGCACAGCAGTGCTTTGAGCTCAATGCTTGCGTCAGCAGCACAAGCACTAATGATTAAAGCACAGATTGTGCTAATGACTAAAGCACTATTTTTTTTTGCAAGTATTTGGTCATTAAAGACATTATTTCAAAAGTAAAAAATATGACTGTGAGCCAATCTAAAAAGTCAGGCAGACTTTGAAATGATCACAGTTCGATTGGAGGTTCATTTGAAACCATTTTTTATGGCAATCCATCCAACAACTCTGTAGGCATTTGAGCAAAAATATGAACCTCACAGTGGCACTAGAACAAAACAAGAAGAGGTAATCAATACAGTTTCAAGAACTAGAGTACTGTGAATGCCAGTACAAAGTTTGACACTTCTGTTTTACTTATCTGCAGTGAAAGAACAGCGGACCTTCAGTCTCCTTCTACCTGACTTTTTGTGCATGACTGGAGCCTTTAAATGGCTCTCAACTTTAAGTGGACTCTACAAGTGAATTAAAAACAACACAGTTTGAAGTGTCCACAGACTCTCATAAGCTTAAGAAGACTGGGATCTTATATCCACATCTGGGTCCAAAAAAACATCACAGTACAAACAAATACTGTAAAAGAAAAATGAGCTGTGGACTGTAGTCAGTAAAGTGATTACATGTACTGAGGTCGTTATTCACAGGGCTCTGATTCACTAAAACAATCAGCTTGCCATACCATTGCACTTATTACACATCTGTTTACTTAATGAATATGTCTTTGCACTAAAGACTGATTCAAGTGTAATGTGAGGGATGTAAAAATGGCTATATTTTAAAATGTAGCTTACACAGCTGTTATTACAGTAACCTGAACATTCCTAGCATGCAGCGAGATAAGGTGGATAAGACCTCGTGTTTTTACTAGGGCCTTATAGTCCTTGTCAACTGGTCGACTTGTTGGTTGATACCATAGACTGTATATAGAATGGATGCTGTCTACCTCCTCGCTGGGCGAAGCCACCCCGAGAACAGCACCCTATGGTGACGGGCTGCAGTATGGGTCATAAATCCCGCCTCCTCCAGCAATCCCTATGGAGCTGTGGACAAACTTTAGAAATGTATTACACAGAATGTACATTTTTCTTCCCTTCTGGTTGACATGTAGTTGTTGCAAGACTGGTTTGTGCTCAAGTCCTCTTTATTCTGTACAGCTCCATTTTTAAAAGTTAACATGGGGTTCATGTTTTCTATGATTGACACTTGATACAGCCTATGGGCGTACGAAGATCGCGTAGCTCAGCCGGGGGATACACTGTTTGAGCCGAGCGTTATTACAGTCCCTCTCTGCGACTATCTCTCCGAATGCGTACAATGCTACTGCGCAAGTGGTGGTTCCAGGAAGTTGAGAAAATCCTGGAAATACTGAGAACAGTTCGGCTTCAAATTTATATAATGACAGATGGAGCCAAGTTGTCCATAGTATACAGTCTATAGTCATGGCACATGGCACAGTTTTTTTTTTAATCCTTTTGAGTTTCTTTTCTCTGTTTATGGCAAATTGATCATTTTTTCCCCAAAAGAATAATATTACAATAAGGCTGCTGAAGTCTCTGCGATAAGAGCCATGTAAATAGTAGGGGAGTACATGTGGCACACCTAGCATGGTTTAGTAGTTTTTTGAAAGGTTGATCAAATGTAGCTCGGTCAGGTCAGTCAGGATAAACTGGCATCCAATGTTAACACAACAAAGAGCAGCATATTAATGTGAACCTCAGGTGTTAAAAAAGGGTGGTTTCTGTCTTGTTTTTATCTGACATAGACCAGCAGCAGGCTCTAACGTAATTCTCCGTATTTGATGATACAGCAGGGTCCCACAGTTTGCCTGAGGCAGCCTCACTTCTAATGGCTGAATCCAGGGAGCTCATGTCAGCCCAGTTTGGGGTTTTCTGATATGAAAAATGCAAGATCTTGATTTTCCCTCTCATTGAGGCACATCCTGAGACACCATCACGTTAAGAGCCCTTGTTGATCTTTTTTCGTAGCTATAAAGTTTTGTAAGGAGTAAATTAGTTTCAGAAGTTTTACTGCAGGAGCATTTCTCACTGCTGTAGGGTGGCAGTTGCGACTGATTTGTTAATGTCTGTGTGATTTGTTAACTTAGACTGAAGGAAATTCATTCAGAGGCCATCTGCTGTTTGGCTTTCTCCTGTCGAGTTCTCTGTGCCAGCTGCTGTGACTATGAATAAACAAGTACACAGATGCAAGAACCCATATCCCTCCCACTGTCCTGTATCTTGTCCAGGTCTCTGTGTGTTGTCTTTCCTCAGCATAGACAATTATAAATAACCACTTATTTCTCTCTGTTCCTCCATTCATCGCTAAATATTAGATATCCTCCTCTTCTCAAATTTCCAAGCTCTCATCCTGTTGTCGTGCAAAGGCAAGGCATGACAAGCTCTGCTTTATTTTTATCCACTCCTTGTGAGTGGGAGTTGGGCCCATGTAGAAAGCACTGCCATGCTCTGATTGGTTGCCAAGTCCTCAAGGGTATTCCACCATGCTTGCCGCCAAGTGACCGGCAGTGGATTTACCTGGCTGCTTGGCACACAGCTTGAGGGCTGGATGGACAGCTTTTAGTGTTACTCCATTTCAAAGAGTTGTTAGCTGGAAGTTTTACTTTGTATGTGTATGTGTTCATTCTCCTGTTTGTAGATAAATAGAAATTAAGTGCACATTTTACTTGTGAACACTGCTAAAGCTCTATGACACATTTACAAGGTTGGCCATAGTAACTTTTTAACGCAAATCTGCAAATGTTTGTTAATGAGTGGTTTCTAATTGCAAAAAAATCCCCCTCTCTTAAACCTCGCCAGAAAAGCCTCAATAGACAGTTTATTTTGATTAATTTGTTTTTTCTAAAGTTCTGCTATAATCGATATGAAGAACCGAAAGAGCTTATTTCTTTGTAGTTGAAAGCTAAGGCTTACATCCTTAAAGTCATCAGGTTAAGTGTTAGTTGAGGAACAAGACTGCATTCCTATGTGGAGTGTAAAACAGAACAAGAACCAGTTGGAGCAAACTTTTGCAGCAGAAAGCACGGGTTTTGTCTGTGCTGTCAAGTTGTATGTTTGCTGATGTCATTTGCAGATGACAGGGGTCCTCCTAAGTCTTGGGGGAGATATTTTCAGGATCCTGTTCAAGTTGGTCCTGTTTAAGGGTTTTTGCTTTCTTAAGTAAGAAAACAACTACAAAATGTATGCAAAATATTTGTGTAGCACTTTTGAACTGCTCAGAAGAATTAGCATTTCTGAAAAGTAATAGAAATTTGAAAGATCGTATTTCTTGTATGAGTACAAATTCAGGTTAGATTAACATGTTAGGTGTTTATTTGAATGTATTTAGGTGGGAAAATGTATACTTTATCAGTAACTTTTTGTTTTGCCTTTTTCACGAGGCACTGCACAACATCCACAGTGAATTGCACTCTTTAGTGTACAGCTGGCTGATATTTCATCAATACAAGAAGACACCAACATCTGGTAAATTTCAAAAAGAACACATGTAAACAGGTGAGAAAACCTAATACTATATTAAGTCTAGAAGCATCTGATCACTGTTTTTTTTCACCTCTGGATCTTTGAATCAGCACAGTCAGTTTGCAGCCAGAATGCTGTTGTAAACTTACTCTACTATGTCAATGGTGGTCATCATAATTTTTAACCCCAAAGAAAAAGCAGCCAAAGCCTTATCAAAAAATTGCCTCCACAAAAGACTTGGTCTGATCGGAAAACCTCAATGAGTCCAGAAATATGGTATCTGATTTGCCTTGGCATTTTGACTTTATATAATGAGACCTAATTAATCACAGCTGTCCTCAGCAATCATAACAAAGTATCAGAACCCCCCAGGTAATACTAATCCTGTGCAAATAGGGCTTTACAGAATCTCTCTAGTCCCTGAATGTTTGGAAATTCTTTGTAGAAGGAGCTTTTAATAAAATAAAATACTTTTAAATATTCTGATTGAGGTCATAAAGGCTCAAGGTTTGGATTTCTATTAAAAAAACGTGGTCTATTTGTGTCAAAGAGTGCTAATTATAATCACATCACCGCAGTACATTTATCCTTACCGCTTTTTGATTTCCAGCAAGGATTTATTCACTTCCTCCTGGCATCTTTCTCACACATTAGAATTTGAATTCATAGTTTTTTTTAATGCTCGGAGTTTAAAGAACCTTTGACTAACTCACTTTGTGGATGCACAGTTCATAAATAGCAGAAGGGGAGGCAGAGCCTAATGTGAGCCTAACTGTGTTATGCTTTTAATGTGCCATAAAGCTGCATTTTTAGATCTTAAAAGATCCCTTGATGAGGTTTGTGCTGACTGTGCTCGCTGGAGTCCTGGTGGTGAAAGTGCAGGTTGTGCAGCAGCAGGTGTTCACTTCTCTCCGTTAATTGGCGCTCATGTTGCTAACTCACTCCACCAAGTCTTTGAAGCATCTCACCAAGTAGAGACTTCATTAAAACCAAGGCTACATAATTGGGAACCCACCGTGTGGGAATCCCCTCTCTGTGTTGCAGCATGTCTGGCTGCCTACAAGGTGAACATATAATTGATAGCTCATTCACTGGGGTGGCTTTTTACCAATAGGACTCGTGTGAAGAGTGGTTTAATGTTGTGTTTCTGCCCTGTGTGGGGACTGTTTCTGTTTCTGTCACAAGTCAGTTTGCAGTCATTTCATTTGTTGGATTATTAACATGTTCAGTTTGCTCATTGTAGAGAGTACTGATGTAAACATAACCCTTTTAAACTTCAGTAGCCAGTGAGCTAACTGCCTACCCCTCAGCAAGGTCACCCAGACTGGCAGAAGTCCGTCACTGAAGACCATATTTGCATGGCAGCCATTTTCTTGCAGTGTAACTCTCAGGATGCAAAGTTCAAATAGTGTGATATTTCACTCCTGTGTGTTAAGTTGTAGTTTGTTTTATTTATGACAATCTGAAAGATTGTTGTCATTTCATCACTAACAGCTACAAAGCCAGTGGATGGTGAAAATACAAAATAAAGTTTAAGCCTGAAAACACATTTGACAGCTCATTTGCTAACATCAGAGCACAGTTAACGTTACATTCAGACACTTTCTATTTGACATCCTCGGGATCACAGATATGATGAAAGAAAAATGTACTAGAGAATGTTTGTAGAGAGAAGAACAGTGGGGAGAGTGTACAAGGATATTAAGTGTAGGGAGTCAAACCAGTGACTTCTGGAATCAGGACCATCGTCTCTGTAGATGTACACCTATACTAGCTCCTTTCACCATCTATTCTCACTTCATGAAAGCTCTGCAAACAATATGAGGTTTATGCAGTGTGCATGACAACCTTATCAGCTGGTGACTTCCAGTTGTTACCAAGACAACAGTCAAAGCATTCATCTGACAGTGAAAGGATCACTTGTTAAACACGGGTGTTACCTTCATCACCCAGAGGCACACTCAGGTGGCACAATGAAAAACCTTAATTCTCACCAGCAACTGCAAACAAATCAACAAACAGGCAAATAAGTTTGCCAAAGGCCTGAATATAGAAAGAATTGAAAGGGAAAGAGCAACTGAATTTCCAGAGAGTAAGATGAGACTCCCTGTACTGTCCCTAAATGTTTAAAAAAGCTCATATGATCTTTTTTTATTTACCTTATTTAAAAAAAAAAAAAGGTAAATTCGCGTTAGTGCTACTTAGCCCATGGAAATGTTTTACTTTATATTTAAAGAAACACTCAAATTATAATACCTGCTATCTAAGCAGTGGCTCAGTGCTTGGGGCTTTCTCCAGTCCTCTGACCATTCAAAGCACTTTTACATTACATATCACATTCACCCGTTCATGGCACATTCATACACTGGTGATAATAGAGGCTGTTAAGTAGAACACTCACCAGTTTTTGAACTAATCCCGTAACTGAACACAGCCAGCAGGAGCAGTTTAAGGTCAAGCATCTTGACCAAGGACATCTTGGCATATAGACAGCAGAAAGACGACCGGCTCCACCACTGAGCCACAGCTGCCCAAATGTAATGGAAGCCAAAGGGCTGTCAAACACGTTTTTTTTTTAAGTTAGAATATGGCCAAGTGACTCTGGATTTCACTTTCCATTGTCTTTTTAGCTGTCTACTTATCAGGAAACAATGAAAAAGCCAGATTGTCAATGTTAATATGACTTACGACCTGAAACAAAGTAGTAAAACCTGATAATGTTTGCGTTTTCCAACCCTTAGTCTGGCATCAAAAGTTTATGGCCGCTGTGGGAATAGGTCTGGGATTACATTTTATTCTACATTTTGTCCACTATCACATAAATCTTTAGTTTGCATGTAAAAATTGGATTTCAGAGCTAACATGTAGTTAAAGTTAATAACTTCTGCTGCTTTCACATGTATTTTTGTGACACAGTTAATAGAAGTAATGGCCTTCTCCATTTCATCCATCAGCACTGTCAAAACAGCCTGCTATTGGTCGACTTTAATTGGCCCGTCACTAAAGTTCAACTACACATTTAACATTTGGGTTCTGCCTCCTCATGCAGATCCTGGACTCTTGGCACTCCTACACCAATTCTGCTGAGTCCAGGTCTTTAGACATGACTCTGTTTTTAAGGGGCTGTGAAGATTAAAGGATGAAGACATTTAACGAGCGCTGAAGGTCCAATAAAAGTGGCTATTTAGTACCATTCTGGAAAATGTAAGATCTAGCATTTTGGGGGTTTCGCCTCATGGGCACCAAAAGTTAGGATTTCTCTGCCTCTGTTGAATTTGCGGTCCCTTTTTTTTTCTTTAAAAATCAGCCTCAATGCAATGAAAATCCTTCAAATGTGACATGTTGAACATGTTTAAAAATGCTGTTTGATGCAAAACTCAACAACAGAAGATGGTTTAGGGTGACTTGACCTTTTTTCCAATGCAGCTGCATGCATAGATAACAAAGAGTTTGATGAGATATCTGCCGATATTTGACAGTTCCATCCAACACTGCTGTCTATTCTTGTTCCAGCTCATGGACTGTGATATAACTTCATGTCTAAGTGGAAGATGAAGTCATCAAGTTCACATACAATGCTGCACTTCTTGTTAAAGATTTAAATGCCTTATGTAAGCTCATGAATTCGTCCTCTCTAACCCCAACTGTGGCTACATAACAGAAGAGAATAACTCCACTGAAATGACTCTCATCCAGTGAATCAAGCTATACAAATACGCTGGTAATGAAAACTCAGAGGGAAACATGACAAAATTATGCAACTGTTAAAAGAAACACACCAAAATGTGTGTTTAAAGTAAAAGAAAGGAGCAGCTGAAAATGCATCATGATAATGAATGAAGGCGTTTTAATTGGGGTGTGAAAGAAATTATAATGCGCAGACTCCAGCCCTCCACACTTATCTTAGTCACCAATTAGGTAGCACAAGCTGAGGATATTAGCATTTTCAATTTAAAGCCCCCCTTTGAGTTCAGTAACAGATCAAGACCTGATGAAGTGTTCTGAAAACAAGCCCACTGGGCCTTCATTTACAGACACACTGAGGCTGTTTGAGTGAATGAGGCTGCTGCTGTTGTCTGAGGACATGTTGTGAAAATTAGACAGCCTTCTCTCTTGTTATTAAGGTGGCTATATGCACTAAAGGGACTTGTAACTTTTATGCTTCTTAATTAGTCTATGATGGTAATCAATAGCTGCCAGACACTGAAGAGAGAGCTACATTTAATAGCTGAAATGTCAAGATGAGACATTTGCGCAGACCGTCTGGAATCGGTGGAAGGATCATGGCACAGGAACTGGCAGCTAAAAATGATGTCTCATCATTGCTTTCACATGTAGCACCCTGGGTTGCACTGAGAATTTTGTTCGTGTAATCACTTCTAGCTGTTCAAAATCTGCCAGTATCCATCAAACACTGAAGTTTCCTTTCCTCTGAGTGCCCTGCCCACACACATATAGAGCATGCAGGGTCAGGACAGAGAGGGATATGTTTCTCATGCACAGAGAAAGCAGAGGAAGTACTCGTTGGTTTCACAGGGAAAGCAGGTTGCAACTTGCAAATGTTTCAGTGACATCACTAATGGAAATATTAGCCAGGCGCTGGCTGTTTGGTCGGCAGTTGGTACTTATGGAAAACCCAACCCTAGCTGCTCTCCTTTTCTTACCTTGTTCATTATCATGTACAAATGTTGCGTAGCAACCGCAACATTTGATGTTTTTATTTTTAATGTTACTTTAATGTTTCTTAATGTTACTTTTAAAGATTATTTAAAGTTTTAATACCCCTCTCATTTTTAATGGTTGTATTGCTTGTCACCCTGCTAAGTTTGAAACAGTTTCCAGAACTAGTCTTGACATGTGTCCTTCAGAAGATGCAGCCTCTGAACTGAAAACAGCTTTGCTTTGAAAAGAAGGTAACCTCTGCAAATAAGTTGTCTACTGGTGAAAATCTTTCACACAATCAGTGCTGAAAGAATACCGAGCTAAAAAGGGGCTACAGTCAAGTTCTCCACAAGTTGAGTTTATGTATGAAGGAGCTTAGAGATGTGCTGAAGTCCATCCATGCATACACTGATGAATTCAGAGTGTTTCCCTGTTTTAATCACAGGGTCTGTTGATTTTGAAGAGGAGGAGACCTCTGTGGATAAATCAGCTGCTCAAATAACCCAGTGATTGATGAATGCTGCAGAGTCATTTTGACATTATGTTCATTTTCACTGCCTGCCACGCTGTAGCTCTTCTATTTTTGTGTGATGCACCCAGGTGCAGATTTTTGCAAAGTACATGACAACTTTTGGTCTTTAAACTGATTAATGATTTAAGGGACAGTCCTATGAGGTACTCAAATATTAAACCAGACAGAGGACTCACTGACTCTGCTCATGTGTGTCATGTCTGCTAAGTTTCCCTTTACCTCTGTTTATTCATGTTGGTAAAATTTCCTTCATTTTTGCAAATTCATGTTTCATGTCATGTCCCTCCTGGGTTTTTTTTTTGTTAATCACTAACCCTTGTTTCTGTCGTCTAGATTTGTCCCTGTCTTGTCATACCTGCTTCCTGATTTTGTCTTCCCACCTGTTTCCCATCACCCTCATTACCTATTGTATTTTACCCTGTATGTTTTACAGTCTTGTTGCCAGTTTGTTGCACTTCATAGTCTTGTTCCAGCATTATACATAGTTGTTGATACCTGTGTATTACCTTGCCTGTCTTTTTTGGACCTTGCCTTTTTGCCTCACGTTTTTGGATACCTCTGTCCGAGCTTTAATAAACCTTATTTGTTAGACAAACTGCTTTGGTGTCTTGCCATTGGGTCCTCTCATTTCTTGACAATGTGTGTTTTAGAACATTGTCTTGTGCATAGAGAGCTGCAGCTCTGCTTAACGGCAACTGGCAGAATACTACAATGCTCTACTACACAGATGTAAACAAGCGCAGATGACAGATAGCGTCTCATGATCACAATATTGTCTGTCATTACTGTGATCTGAAAAAGGGACATTAAGCTGTATGCAGGCTATAAACTAGCATATATTTACCAGTTTAATGTGTAACTAGCACAGGCATGCAGACATTAAGCTGCCAGGGTGACTAAAGGCTGGTGGTGCTAGCTCTGCCAAAGTTAGTCTGACAGTCTTCAAAAAACATGCAGCAGCCCATCTGCTCTCTGTAGTAGGTTTGATATTTGAGGAGATGTTCTAGATAGTTATATATTTTGCTGTCCTTTGTTGCACTGCTGTGGGTTGGGAGAGCAGCATCTCATTGTTTTAGTTCAGCCAAATACAAAAGTAAAATGACAATCTAAAATGAAACTGAAATCTTGAATAATTCAGAATTATAACTAACTAGATACCAGTACCAGTGGTGGAGGCTAATGTTGTTGTTTGTTCAGTAACAGGTTATTGTAGTGTCCTACTGTCTTTACCATAGGCTGTATATACTATGGACGACTTGATTCTGCCTTCCATCATTATATGAATTTGAAGCCGAATTGCTCTCGGTATTCCCGGGATTTTCTCCACTTCCTGGAACCACCACGTGCGGAGTAGCATTGTGTGCATTCGGCAGGAGAGTCGCTGTGATGACACTCGACTCAAACAGCGTATCCCTGGATGAGCTACACAATCTTTGTGGGCCTATAGGCTGTATCAAGTGTCAACAGGGTTTTTCCTGCGTTCAAAATTGCGTGGCGGCCGCCTCCACCTAATTTTGTGCCGCCCCCAGCCAGAGCGATTGATTTCGCTCAACACAGCGTAAAGCTCCAGCTGTGTTGATTGAGCGATTGATGTCCCGATGCAGCAGCAACGTATTTTAACTGCAGTTGCAGCGCTGCGCCACTATAGAGGCGCTATATCAACAGCAGTGCACCGGAAAGACCTGAAGCATCTACCGAAGAAGAAACGGATCGAATCATGTTTTTTCAAGTTTCTTTCCCGCTAGTTGGTGCTATCGGCGTCCTGATTTTCCCTGGCGGATGGTACAAACAGGTAAATACTGCTTCTCTTTTTTGCATCCAAGCATGTCGTGTTAATTTAAAAAAAAAAAAGTTTACTCCGTTTTTAGCGTTGCAGTTATGACAGGCAAAATCAGCCAGTACTTTAAAAAGCGACCTCGCGAGGAGGAAAGTCAAGAGTCCAGGTGAAACACAGCAGAGAAAAAACGTAACAGGCAGTTAAAATGCTATAATTCATGGTGGTGACAATGTGGAAATTTGTGTCAGGTCTGAAAGTACTTCACAAGGGACTGGTGATCGCGAGGGTCAGAATGCAGGACAGGACGAGTCGGCGAGGCGAGGGTAATTAATTAATTAGTTTCCAATTAGGAGCATAACAACGCAAAGCCGACGTGTACGTGGTTTTTATTCCTCTTTCCAGATCTTCTCAAAAACACAGAGCCAGTGGCTTTGACAAGCAGTGGCTCAATCAATTTACCTGGCTCAGGCATACTGAGGAAGGCATGCACTGCTGTTTATGTCAAAAGCACTGTGCCCCAACACAGCAGGCAATTGCTGCCTCCTTAGTGAGACAGCCATCAACCAACTACAGGCTGGACACATTAAAAAGACATGAGGTGACAGCCGTTCACAAAGCAGCAGAAGAGAAGGAGAAATATATTAAAGATGGTAGTACCTAAAAAAAAACTCAACTAATAAAGTTACAAAAAAAAAATAACATAGTTTAGATAGTTTAAGAAATAATTGGTTGTCGTTTTTTTTTTTAGGGAGGACACTGCAGCGTATACATATATATAGTATGTGATTGAAAACACTATCACTCTTCATGTCTGTATCAGAATAAAAACAAAATTACTTAATGCATGATGAATGGTTTTGTTTAAGGTGAAGACACCTCTGTGGAACAGACTGAAGGAGAGGCACTTGGATGTCTGTTGTAAGGTGGCTGTTGATGGACCAGACCAGGAGGCCTTGGACTACAAGGAGTGCATGAGGAGGTTCTACAGAATGAAAAAGAGGAGGCTGAAATGTTCTGTCTGGTTGCGAGATGTGTGGATGAAGTGTACTTTCAATTTAAAGTTGCCAGCTGATTTGTGTATGTATATAGTTTTAATAAATTAATGCTTTAACATAATAATGGTCACACTCTTTTTTGAACTCTTAACTTAAAGTATGTTGCCTGTAAAAGAAAGTGAATCGGTTGAATTTACAAATACATGCACGTCGTGGCGCATGGTCAGGATGGTGCCACCTCCGCCTCAATTTGAGCCAGGAAAAACCCTGGTCAATCAACATTGCAATCAGAATTTGTATTGTGTATTATTAATTTTCTAAAGTTTGTCCTCAACTCCGGAGGAGGCAGGACTTATGACCTATACTGCAGCCCATCACCATAGGGTGCTGTTCTCACGGAGGCTTCACCCAGCAAAGAGGCAGACAGCTTCCATTCTATTCTAAGTCAGAGCTCATCCCTGCACTTTCCTCCATAGTTCTTTTATATTCAACATGTTGCTCTGATTTTGCCTGTGATCACTGTAAAAGATTTGGAAGAAAAACACAATTTGTAGTATCTCACACACGTGAACATGCATACAGACTAGCTCTCCTTCTGAGAGGCTGGTATGAGCTGGTAGTGCTAACTCTGCTAATGTCGGCCACACTCTGCAAAAACTGTTTTGACACGTGTAACTGTACACGTGTACAGTAACTGTAACTGCAGACTCTGTGACCCCATGTTTAGCAGGTGTGATGACAATGTCCTGAGTGTTTTTTAACCGCTGGACTTGTCAGCTAGTCAGAATTTGAATGTCCTGTCAAAGCATCTGTAAATTAGTCACTTAACATCATCCCTACCCTGCAGTCATAACATCCACACCCCTTACTATGCCTCACTCTGCATAACTCTTGCCAGAGTATAATCAGAAAGGATGAGTCAGAAGACCCTCTGACTGCAGATAAAACCCTGTGAATGCAAAAGGGTTGATTTTGTCTCATTATTTATTGAGTGACACAACTTGACAAGTCAGGTACCGAAATCCTGTGACCTGTGAAAACACACTCCTGTTAAGACCTAAATGAATAAAAGTTGCTGCAATATTTTCTCTCCCTTTGCCTTGGATTTCACTTTTATGTCTTAAGTAAAGCAGCTAATCATCTGAACCCCATCATAATCTCTAAAATCGTTCAGTGTTGCTGGCAAAGAGGATGAAAAGCTTATGAAGAGGAAATATTCAGAAATGAGGAGCTAATTCTGAGATGTAATCAAAAATCTGCCTTGTTAATCATTTCTTTTTAGCCTAACAGAAAACTCACTCAATTATTGCAGCCATGAGCGTAACTAAGCTTCCTGCTTCCACCCCAGTAATTAAATTCAACAGACGTGGAGTTATAGCTGAAGATACTTACTAAAGCTGAATATTGCACCCAGTTCAGTCTTAAAATATACCGTAGGTGGGATGTTTTTGTTTCCCTATAAAGCTGAGCTGTAAAATTCCTGTTATGTAATTCAACGTGAGTCGCTTTACTGCTCTTTACAGGTTTTAGAAGAAAATCAAGGTGTGTTAGTGTCCCTCTCTGGGGAAGAAATCTGGGTGTCTCTTCAGATTCGTTTTGTTCTGCTCTCTCCCAGACACTACTTGAGTTGGACAAAGAAATGAGGACGAGCTGTCTGTCCCTGAGTTTTGAGGCTTTCAGCAGTGACTGAGAGCCCCAGAGAGTGCTGTCTCATGATGCTCAGCAGTCGAGGAGGATGAGTCAGCAGTGAGGACGCTGGATCAGACTCTCCATCCTAATGTTCTGCTCTTTTATAACTACTGATTTGAAGGCAAGCTCTGCTGAAAAAGAGAAAAGAGTAGCAGCTCAGCCACATACTGTAAAGCCAATATATTATTGTGATCTGCATGGCTGCAGCCTCCGAAGATTTCATGGGAAAATTATTTGGATAGAGTTGAAAACTAATGTACAATGCCTGTTGTACCTTTCTTGGTGCCAAGTTTAAATCTTTAAATGTCAGTTGTAATTGTTTTAACCAAGTCTGGTCTACATGGTGAAGTATATGATAAGGAGACTCTATTTACTGTAGATTAGTGGTTTCAGTAAAGCTCCTGTGGGGGTGGTTTTCGGTGATTACAAAACAGTGATGCTGCCTCTGTTGTATTTGATCAAACACAAACAACAATGTGATATCATTTTCTGTTGGCCGTGATCCTGCTCTGTAATTATTGGTACCAGCATGGGCACTGGCATCAGCATTTGAAAAACCAGCATCTGTCAACCACAGCCTTAAACCACAAAGAAATGGTGTATACCATCAGGTAAATTCCAAAATAAAACACCATAGTCCGACTCTAAACTTAATTACTGTAGATGAGAAATACTCATTGATGATGGGTTTATTGTAAACACAGAAAACTTTACAGCCTTTAGCTCCCGATCGTCAGGGCTCCCCCAGAAACAAGTGGCTGTTGGAAGAGAGTGAGTGAGTTGTGTTTTGTCTCTTTGCTAAAGAAACCAGGCAAAGCAAAAAAGATGTTTGGTGGCTAGTACTATGGCTTGGACCCTATATGTACTGTTGATGAAGTTAGGTGCTGTTCTGAGCATTATTTGTGGCTATAGAGTGGCTTTTTGGTTGAGGTTTGTGTGTGAAGGCGTAGACCGCTGTGTATTGCTATTGTACGGTCGTTACTAAAGTTGGTATAACTAGAGAAGCAAGTGGTCGGTAACATTCATCTCTTGGGGGGGGTGTCTAACTCGGTGTTACAATTTGTTTGACCATAACTTAATATTGGAATATCCCTTTAATAATCACAATACTTGCTCGCTAACAGTAGAGGCTCAACAGTCAGAAACTGACATTCAAATTAGCAGGAAGTTGATCACGGGAAGGCAAAGTAGCCTGTTGTCAGGGTGTTGTTTTCTGGAAACTGAGTCTAGCTGTTCCTGACTGTGCTCGCTCTAAACACTCCTCCGGTGGGCCAGGATGTCCACACCAGAGGGAGCAAAACCAAAAATTGGCATACTCTGTGGGTTCTCTTAAAACACAAAGATTATTGTGGACTGGACTGATTTTACCAATTGTGAAACGCAGGGCTGATACCAGCACTAATGTTAAAAATAACAGTTAAGCTGATTGTTAATCCTGTTTTTTTGTGTTATTGAATACAGCACTTACAGCTTCATGCACACAAAATTTGACTTCATTAGACAACTTATAATGAGGTTTAATTCTGAACAGACCGTGGCTAAGTAAGTTGAACTGCTATCTTGAGTGGGCCAGCTCTGGAGTTAAATAAGCTGGATGATGTATTGAAAAATCGGTGTGAGATCATTAGCATAATCAGCAGTGAAGCATCAGATCTTGCCTTGCAGATATGGGCACCAGTGAAGGCACAGACACGTGTAATTAGTCTCCCTGATTAAAACTCTTTCTGTAAACAGTTGTAACCGGGGCCTATTTGATTAGCTGTGAATTGGAGACAGATTATGCTCACTGAGGGAGACAGTGTATGGAAATTTTCAGGACTTGGTTACACTACATTTCCTTCACATGAATAATGAATTGCAGCTTCACAAAAAGTGAAAAACAACAAATCTGTACTGGCAGCTGTAAAGACAGATGTTTCATGTTGCACAGAGGAGCATGTAGATGATTAGAATCAGATTTATAAGTCAAGAGTGAGTAAGATAAAATGTCAGAAACTGAGTTAGTCAGAGCCATCCAGAGTCTGCTCGGTGCTTCCCAGCAGACTGGTCTTAAATGAAGCACTTTGGATCTGTTCCATTAGACTTATAGGGATATAAGATATCGGCTCCCTGCCAACCATTTGCTCTGATGCTAAATGGATATAAGAGGAGGATGTGATTGATTTCTTCCCCATTTGCTGTGCTCCAGTCCCCTTCATTAGTAAAACCACTGAGGATAAAAAAATTGGAAAATCATACACTCATCTATCAATAAGTCGACCCTGTCTCAGCAGCCCTGAGATGGAAACTAAGTGATTTATTCTGGTTTATTAGGCCCTATGCTCCTAAAAATGATGAATACATTATTGGATTGTTATGAAATTAGTTGGGTGTTTTACAGCCATTTATCAGACACAAACCATAACAGGCCCTTGTAAAAAAAAAAAAAGAAAAGAAAAGAAAACAAACACTGGCAGAGTAGTTAGACAACATTTTGCAGCATAGTAAAGCAGACGCTCTTACTGTTTGGCTTATTAAGCTACGAGAATAGTTGTGGTCCTATTCTCTTGTATTCACCATAAGAACAGCTTGCACCAGATGAATTTCTTTTAGTGCAAGCTGACATTAAGGAGCACTATGAACCCCCTGCTCCCATCAGCCTGACCTTCAAATTGATAGTTCTACCAACACTGCATGACGCAAATATTTCTTTGACCATTTGTGATTTGTTCAAGAAGAATGAAATGAAAGTCCATAAACGATGGTGCGGTTCTATGTAACTGAAAGTTAAAGTTTGAAACTTGTAGACCCTGATTAGAGTTACTAACTGATTGTTATGGTGGCCCTTTTGAACCAACTGAACAAACATTTCCTGACTTTTCATTTCATTTCATTCTTTTTTTTTTGTTCTCATTGGTCTTTAGATTGTGATTATGAAGTTTTAATAAAAATCATGTTACCTGTGTCATTTTCAAGGGCTTCTCTCCTGCAGAGCTCCAGTAGCTCATTAGCAATTCGCTTCTGAGTTATGGGTGGAGACAGCGCTGCTCTACACACCCCTCTTCATACTAGCTTGTAGCCTAACATTGCCGGTGTCGTAGAAGTGGTAGGTAACATAGGAGCTATTCAGCTCTTAGACACTAATGTCTTTGGGGATATGATGAAAGTTAATACTATAATTATTTATTTATTTTTTTTTAATTTTGTGCTCTGTTGAATTTTTTCAGTTCAGTGACATATTTTTATATGTTGCTTATACTGTTTCATGATATGCCTCTGTATATAGGATGTTTGTGTTTGCACTGCTGGGCATGATTTGGGCTGGTTTCAGAATAGTTTAATCGAACTGAAAAAACAGAATGCACATACAACCACAGGTGCAGCTGTATTGCATTTTCTTTCAATTTTTTAAGGATCTTGGCTGCAAGGACAGAAATGCGATCATTGTCATTCATTCTTTTTTTTTTTTACAAATAAGCTCTGATCAATTGATCCATATAAAGACAGTCTTTGTTGATTTTTTTCAATGTGCAAAAAAATGAGGAATTGCTTCAGCCAAGTTGCTCAGAATTCAGGCCTCCATAGAACATACATACATTTAGCATTGGAAAACATGTATCTTGTACCGAAATATACTGTTATCACAGTGGTAGATATCGTGTGTTGTTAGGGTGGTGCATCTTAGAGTGTTGATATGACCGAGCAGGTGAAAAAATCTTTGTTGTTTTAGTGTAACAAACACTATCTCAACTTTAACAGAAAGAACAGTGTTTTTCCCCCGTCCTTCCTCTTAGTGAGAGGATGATGAAGAAAATGTGTCCAAAATCTTGAAGCCATCAAATGTCAATAATCAAGATTTGATTAATCTGAGGGTAGGCTTGGTATTCTGTTTTAATACTGTGCAGATAATGTACAGCTACAAACCTAAGACTTCTCCTGTTTCAGCTTTGTTTTATTATGTATCTTAGTAACTCATCAGCCTAAATGGGAAATTTCCATGTTGGAACAAACATAATGGTGGCAGAGGCAGCAGCACTGTAATTACATCTGGACCTGATGCCACTGCTGACCTCTCGGTCACCCCCACACACAGTAATGAGCTCCCTGGGCAGCAGTGACAGCCGTGCCAGAGAAAGCACAGCCAACAGTCCTGCTGTTATGTTTCTGTGAGTGTCTGAATAGAGGACGCCTTTGTCTCTCATGTAACCCATCTCTTTCTTCTCTTGCAGTTGGAAAGACGTCTCTGATCACACGGTTCATGTATGACAGCTTTGACAACACATATCAGGTAGGTGCCACAGCAGACATATAGCAGGCACTAAGGGGAATACTTTGTCTGTGAGGATCAACCTCTGACTCTGTCTTTCCGTCTAACTGTTCTGTGTCAGACATTAATCAAAGAATTAGATTTCATGATGGTTTATTCACCAGAAATAGCTGTTTGTATTTGCACAGACTAGGAAGTTATAGCCAAAAATGATGTTTAAACAGACACCTTTGAACTGAACAACATCAACAGCACTGCTGGCCCTCAGGCAATCACTATTCCTTCTTTCTTTTCTCTAAAGCAGCCTAATCTTGTCTCAAAAACAGGATATTGCTTATGCAGCTACAGTTTTCTCATACAGGTCTTTGCAAGTGTCTCCAGACTCACTAAGGAGCCTAAAATAAAACCTGCAGTATTATTGCTTTATGAGTAGAAAGCATCTACTTACATAGTAATAAAAAAGGAATCAGAAATAAATCTCACAAAGCTTTTAGGCTTCCATGTCATACGGTTTAGAGAGTGAGTGAGATTTTTGGAGTGTCATTGTGTTTGTGCTCAAATCACAGTGTTATGAGGTGAAAAGACATTAAGCAGATTAACCTCAGAAATGCTAAAACAATCTTATGTTTATGGAAAACAATCTTATGTTTGTGGGTTTATGGAAACACTGAGTGGAAGGTAACTTAAGTTTTCTAAACTTCAAGTAAGAAATCTGGCTTAATTTGTCCCTTCGTATTCTTCATCATCTATGAATAATGATAATAAAGCCACCTTGAATCTTGAACCTTGATAATACCAACCATATAACTCAGAGCACAACTGGATGTCTGTGTAAGGTACTTCTAGCTTTTTTCATAGAGTTGCAAAGGCATCTTTCTCACAATTCATGGAAAGTGTTTTTTTTGTTGTTGTTATACAGCTAAGTTATGAGAGTAGGTCACATTAGGATTTCAGACAATCTGTTTTGGGGGGTCACCGAGAGGGAAAGGTTCGAAACTCTGTTTCTGTGTGAAGAATTGCTCTGTGTTGCAATGTGCAGTTATATGTAGATGTGTTGCTCTTCCTAGTAACCTAAGCCATCCCCACCCTGCCTGCTGCCGCTGACGACAGACAGCCGGTGGTGGTGCTGACAGCAGGAATGTCACAATCTACCTGTAGTGATGTTAACTGCCTGTAAAAACAAAAACAAAACAAACAAACAAAAAAAGAAATATTGATATCTTGTGTGAAAAAAAGCTGATAGTAATACCCTTCCCCAGTCTACTGTAGTGGTCCTGTTAGCTAGTTTCCACATGACATAAAGGGGAGTAGAGCTTGTGCCTCTGGATTACTGATCAATATTCACTCTTTCTGACTGCGCCTTCAGCTGTTTTCATTCAGTCTTATGAGTCTTATATAAGAAACATAGCAACTGAAACCCAAGACAAAGAAATGATCAAAGTCAAAGTCCAACAAACAACCATTTATGAAGCAGTGTGGTCACATGGCAGATGATGGCATATCGTACATTTGAATATTATTGGAAATGGATGATGAAGTGTAAGGTAGTTGTGGGTTTTTTTTCCACAAATATTTTGATTATATAATTTTTACAATATCTTATGGCCACCATTACCATAAGGGGAAAAATGGTATCATGACCGCTTTAGATGACATTCGGGAGTTATGTCAGTCGCTTGTTGTCTTAAGCTGAGTCTAATGGTCAACAAAGTGTATTTATTTACTTATTTGCCTAATGGTGTTCTGCTGTTTATTTTAAATGTATAGAAATGTGTAGCAAAGTGATTAAAAAGAGGCCTGTTACACTGGTTAGCCTCGCTTTATTCCAGCATGTGTTCACTTTGAAGCAGTCCAGATTTCTTCAAAATATTCTTCCCATTAAGGAATCCAATATTTTCACAGGATGTTAAAGATTCAGGTTTTGTGTTTGATTGATTGTAAGGAAAGGACTTCAAACATGAGTCATTCTTCAAGCAAATTTAAAAATATATTCTAGATACAGTTTTATGGGTTTTTCCTCACTTGTCAGGTCAGTAAATAACAATGCCAGGACCTCACTGAAGAGGTCACAACAAAGAGGGGCACCACAACATTTACTTGGATTAATTATACTTAATTTAACCCAAGTGTACTAATTTGGAATTCCAAACTATAATGTGCAGTGTATCAGGTTCAGGAAACTGTGAAAGTTGTGGTGTGGGTTGTGCACCAGGGAAGGGATGTGTGAGTAGGTGTATAAAACAGAAGGTCAGCACTGGTTTCCATAAGCAGACAAAAACGAAAACATGGTCTATCTGTGTGAAGGGCAGGTAAACACTGTGGCACTAAAGTCCAGTTTGAAGCCCGGCCTAATTTCATTGCCATATACCAGGGGTACATGATACCAGGCTATCATGGTCTGATTAGCTGCTCCTGAGCGGTCTGATGAATTTCTGGCATGTTAGATATTTTGGTTGGCACACTGTCCCACAGTGAAAGCAGGGCTGTGAGCTGATTCCCCAACTGCAGGGCTTTTTTTACTCATCGTACCTGCACCAAATGGCAGGCAGTGTCTGAAAGCAACATCGTAACACAGCGCATGAAGTGGACAACTCAAATACACATAGATGTGCAACAGTCAGACACATCATGGCAACCTGTGCAGTCTAATGTAATCTAATAAAACAGCTCTACCACAAATGCCATTTTAACAAAGCTCCAGCATTTTCAGCTTATGCTAGGAAAGTGAAGACTACCTTTGAAAATCACAGCTATATATCCTGACTTCATCTCCTGTGTGTGGGAGTTTCAAAGGAAACTGCATTGACAGTTGTGAATGTCTGTCCAGCTTGAACAGTGTGAGCACTTTGGTCATGCCTGACAGCCGCACTGTACAGTGTGAGCTCTGAATATGTGAGCTGTAGTAGCTCATCCTAAATGACTCATTCACTCTGTATGAGTTCACTTTACAGCATGACATTTATAAAATCCTACAGAGGAAGCCTAGCCTTGGTGAAGCTGCAGTACTTTGAGTAACTCGGCACACTGGGACCAGGTGCTGAGTTAGTCTGGGTCCCTCTAATTGGTGTACAGCAAAACCTCTTAGATGACATCAGTAAAACACTACCCCACAGTGCAGGAGCATCTCAGATGTTATTGATGTTTTGAACCTCGGTTTAAAGAAGTGGTGACGTTGTTGCTGTCACCAATAAGACAGTACATTAACTTGAAACAGCGAGAAAGCAGTCATCTTCAAATGTTTCAGTATCCACCTGACACCTGTACCTCACAGAGCTTGTGTCCGAAAAGACAAACATGAGAGTTGAGCAGGTTGTTTAACAGGTATTGTTGTGGTGCGTAAATCAAAGAGAAGAAAAACAGTCAAGTAACTAAGAGATATCAGTGAAGCAAAAGGAATCTCAAAGAAGGCTGACTGCTGAAAACCTGAAAGCCTTTTTTTTTTGGCATGAATGAGATCTGCTCCAATAAAATCTAAACCTAGAGTGCGGTGTTGATTTGAGTTGGAGGAGGTGTTCTTTTCATTTTAAAACATTTGTGAGTTGGAATAGACATTTCCTTCAGGTCTCAAAGTTTGCCAGCAGACTTACTGTCAGGCCGGCAGAGTTAATCATGTTCTGTAGCCTTCTGGTCTTTCTGGAGCTTCAGTCCCACAAGCCCAGGTGTTAATCTGTCCCTGCCTTTAAATCATCTTCAGCGGTCTCTTAAGATTGCCTCAGTTTTTGATCTAGACCTTGCCTCTCTTTTATTATCTCCTCAAGCTAACTTGACTCTCTGTCCTCTTCAGCATTAATATCTCTTATTAAAATTGTCTCTATCACCAGTAGTGAAAATAATTAAAGGAAAAGGGTTTTGTGCAATATGCTCATTTGCTTTCAAGTGGAGAGTAAAAAGATTGATACCACTCAGTTGAGCAACTGCCACCATTTATTTAGCTTAGCTTAAAACCAGCTTTCTTATTATTAGGCTGTATTACAAACTTGACTCAGATTTGTCAAAACCCCTGGACAGTGGAGATTAAACTTCAATAAAACCCAGGGACAATGTGATGACTCACATCTGATCATACCAAATCAGTCTTTGGAAAAGAGGCTTGTTTCATCTCTGCCTGTTGACAAAGTGGTAAAATAAGTTAGCTTCCATGTTACTAGGGCTGCACAATTTTGGCCAAAAATAAAATCCCGATTTTTTTGTTTCTGAAAATTCAATTTTCAATTTCAATTTTTTATTCAGTGACAACTTTTCCAAACTTCAATTTAATGATAAGATTTTCAGTCCTTATTTCTGCTGATTAAGGACAGAAACGTCATCATAGAAAATGACTGCAGATGTCTCGTTCACTTTGTCTAATGTTCGGCTGCTGTGAATCTTAGCAAATAAACAGGCTAATGTTTCAACTCACCTGCATAACAGAACATTCATTTCAATGGTTAATCATCCAGTTAAAAAGGTTGATAAGAATCTGTTGCTATGGAAGCTTTTGCAAAGTAGAGATGTAACAATGAACCCATGGTAAAGTTTAAATATTGTATTTACAGTTACTTTAACAGTTCAGTCTATAAGATGCATTCTGTCATCTAAAAGGTGGTTTGTAGCCCAAACAGTGGTACAAGTAGTAGTATTCTTGATTTAAGAGTAAATTTACCACTTTTTTCATTATTGAACAAAAACTATGAGAAATTCTATACTTAAAAAGTGATCAGATCCTGCCTTTTCATCATGTTTGCTTCCTTCAGGTTTCTTTTACTCTCTTTAGCGGTATAACTGAGATTTTTTGTTCTGTTTAATGAAAGCATTTCATGATACCTTTGCTGGGCTTTAAAAAAGAATCAACAATCTTCACTGTTGTCTGGCATTTTGTTGCAAAGACACAGTTTGACAAGAAATAATACACAAATTCATAACACTGAAATACATAACACTTGGATTAAAGGAGTTGATGGGGTAGATTTGGGCTTCTCAATCTCAGCTTGTTGTTGCTGTTACCATACCTGGTCCTGAGCACAGCTAACCTGCTGCAGGCCTGAGCTTCATGTTTAACAGAGTGATTCAAAGATGGTGGTCGAACTCTCTGTCAGAGAGCAAATGAACTTATTTCCCAAAAGAATAACCTCTGCTGCTGCATAGACTGAGTGTTGAACATAGTCAGACAGCTTGTAATCACTTTCAGTTTCGTTATATAATCAGTGTTTTACAAAGACCTGTCTCCTTTAGAATTACCGCTTCCTGCTAAACCCACCCAAAGAGGAGGAAAAAACATGTCTCTATTCTTCAGTTTTTATACAAATGCTGTGCTGTGCTGTAATGAGATTTGGATGGCTCATTGTGTGTGGATTAAGTTATCTGTGTTAGCTCTGTGCTGCTGTATCCTCTTATATTTCTACATTGGCAAATCATGAAGGACTACAGAGCCCAGCGCTGACTGTAAGGGCTTGTTTCTTCATGTTGTTAAGCTGCAGAATCTCTGTGATGCTTAAATGTTTTTTACAGATTTTTTTGACACAAATTACTTAGGAAAAGGCTCAAAGTGAGGCTGACTGTAAACTGAAGGCTGACAGGAGGAGTTATGTCAAAAGGTTTTAATGCAACTTCTTTCCTAATGAGTGTCTTTACAGTGATAAAGAAACTAATCATTCACTGATTGATGTTGAAAACAGTCTATATTTTGTGGACTTGGATTATCAAGCCTTGATTGTGACTTTGGATGTTGCCATCTTGGTTTTTGGTGCCTGATTTTTTACTTTATTTTCCTAGCTTTTCCCTCAGAGGAAGAATCTATTTGTGATAAAACCTTCCTAATCAGAGTTGTTTATTACACTCACAAAGCTCAGAGAGATGGTAGAACAAGGCCAACAAATAAAACATGGACCCTGGAAGTCATTGTTATGCCCCTCTGTCTTCCCTGCAGGGAAAAACAATCACTTCTTCTTATGGTTCTGATGCCCGGTCTGCTACAATAAATGAGTATGCTCATTATTTCCTAACCTTTTCTGGTGAACTGTCACAGTGAGGTAACCTTCTGTTGTCTGTGAGAACATGGCTCTGTGCTTTCACCAACTTCTTTCAACACCTTTTGTGTGTTGTTTCATAAAGGCTGGGAACTACATTGGTGCAGAAAATCATGTGAAAGGTAACTTTGTAATGCGCACGGAGCATTTTCATAAGGTGACGAAAGCCCACATCCTATTTTTCCAACCTGTGAATAACTTTGAGGCTGTATGTATTTTGAGCAGCCAAGTGTAACCCCCTTTAAGTTTCATTGAAAGAAAGAAAAAAAGCATGGAGATGAATCTCTTTTTCTACTTCTGTAATTTTTTTATTGAGGGTCAATAGGAGTGGGATTCACTAGCGGCCCCACGATATGGTATTATCACGATACTTGGGCTGTGATTCGAAATTATTGTGATACAGTGTGTATTGCGATACCATATCTTGCAATTTGTACCTTTTTTTTTTCAACTCCTTAGCTGGTTTTGCACTCATCTTTCCCTCATGTTTGTCTTATTTATGCAGTATTTTATTTTCATGTAGCACTTCTTACAAACCTCATCCATTTTATTTGTGCCCCACTTGCATTCCTGATGTCTTTCCCCAGGTGCTGTTATATTTGTTGCACTAACTTTCTCCTGCTCTATAATGTCACCTCTGATAACCTCACTGGACAAACAATTGGTTTTATTTTTCCATTACCATAGATTTGACTTCATAGTAGCACTTGATCTGAAAAATCAATACTTAGTCAATGAAACGATACGATATCGCAATACTATGCTGTATCGATTTATTTCTCCCACTCCTAAGGGTCAGTGGGGATTGAATATTTTGGGCCAGCCTGCAGTAGCTATTTCAAGTGACTTTCAGGATGGTTTAACTTTCCAGCTGGGGGAGTCAGTGTTTGAAGTAAAACCTCCAGTTCCTGGTTGATGCTGTTCACAATAAAATGGTTCCTCTTCAAGTCATCATATACCTATCATAGTTTTAGTGCTGGGCTATTTTTAGATATTCAGACATTAGTGTTGTGTTTTGTTTCATTGTCCAAATATCTGGTCATTTGCACAATGAAGTTTTGCCAAAATAGTCCCTAAAACTTTCATGCTACTGACGTCTTTTTGGGATTAAATTAACCTGGAAACACATCCACCAAAAGGCATGATAGTGTTACTGCAGTGTGATTAATATCTTTATAAACAAGGCCAATAATAGATCAAAGGTAAATGCGACACAATCATTTCCTGCATCATTTTCAGAGAGCAGCTCTTTTCTCAGTACAACAACCTGAAGTGAATGTGGGAGTCTGTTGTTGCTCGCAGGCTGTCTCGCTCCAAGGCCACTGCTGTAACTCCCCACCTGAATGCAGCTGGGTAAATTACGCCTTCGAAATCAAGCAGATGTCAAAGTGCAGTCATTCTGAGGAGCATCAGAGGGGATTGTAGGTTTCTGCACAGATGGCAGACATATACACCGGCCTTGTTTTGATGATGAAGTCCGAGGGATTGGAGAGCTCTCCCCACCCTTGGTTTTTTCAGCCATGTCCTCCGGTTGTAAGTGGGCAGGCAGATGCAGGACAGATAACATCTGCTTATTTAATAACCTCCCCATATGCTGTTTAATGTCAGTCACTGCCCCCACGCTGTTATTACAGCCTGTGTACCAGATAGAAACAGCAGCCAGAGAGGAATATGGAAATATTTGTGTGTAAAACAAATTAACAACAAAACCCTAATAAGTCAAATGGAACAGCCTCCTTGTTCCTTTCTTACAGTCACCGTCTTGTTTTCCTTCAGCTAGTGGATTATTATTTTTTATGGGTACCATAACCTCCAGTTTGTAGCCATAGATCAAGCCCAGTCTCTCTCCTAAATGTTAGTGTTTTCTCCTGTTTGTGAGTATGAGTGTGTCTGCGGGCTGCCCCCCTCTCTCCTGAGTCTTCCTTCTCCTCCCTGGCTCCATGACAAGCAGGGCTGTAAATGATTTTTCACTTTTTTCTTGTTCATCTCCAGAGACCTTTGAGTATTAATTAAAATGCTGCATGCATTAGCCCGGTTTGAGTGTTTATGCTGCTGCTCAGAGGGGGAGGCTGGAGTTTCTCAGTGAGGGTGGAAAAGATGCGATGAACCTGCAGTAGCTCTCTGTCCTGATGAGCAGGTTTCTGAACTCATGGCTCCCTAGCTGAATCACCGCATGCTGTTTTCATGTTTGTCGAACTTTTAGACGTGAGTGGATCCAGTTGGACCTTTTGGAAGAAAAGCAGCAGTGTATTTACAGACTGAGGCCATCAGAAAGATGAAACCGAGCGTGGTAGTGGCTTTAGTTAGCAGGAGGATGACTAAGGCCAGATTTGCTGCCTCCAAAGCAGCAGACTCCCATCAAGCAGCCAGTCAGCCAAGAGATACAGAGGCAGACGTCCTCCCTGCCTGGCAGCACATGCTAAAGGGCTCACAGCCCTCCAGAGCAAGAATGCTTTTGTCAGCTGTGGTGGAGCTGTCAGTCAGGCTGGCCATCAGGCTGTGACTGCACAAAACACTCAACGATTCAGTGTCTCAACTGGTGATTTCGGAGACATGACACTTTTGGATCACATTTAAATGACAAGGAATATTTAAAAGTACAGAGAGTCTGACTCTCAAGATCCTGTGAGGACTTTTTAGCTGGTTATGAAACAGATGGATCCCTCTATGTTACCTGCAAAAGCAAACAAAGACCGTATCATTTCCATATTGTTACTGCTCTTGAGGGGTGGGTGAACGACAAAGTCAGTTGCAGCAGCCTGATTTTTACCTTCTTTTACTGTAAAGACTTCAGGTGAGTGGCACTTTGACTGTTCAATGACAGTGGGATGAGATTTCTTTTAACAAAGAGGGAAGAGTCACTGCTTTGCCCACAGGAAGTGCACAAATTGACACACATCAAAAGTTCCTCACAGGAGCTTTGTTGTAATTTCACAGAAACAGACGGAACAAGAGAGCTGTCAAAAAATGTAGAAGAATAGGCAGGACTGTGGGCAAAGCAGGGAAATGAAATGAAACAAACACTCCATAAAAAAAACCAATTCCAGCTAGTTTGAGCCCCTGGTGTCATTTATATTTATCATAGACTGTATACAGAATGGACGCCGTCTGCCTCCTCGCTGGGTAAAGCCATTGCGAGAACAGCACCCTCTGGTGACGGGCTGCAGTATAGGTCATTAATCCCAGCTCCTCGAGCAATCCCTATGGATTTGTGGACAAACTTTAGAAATTAATTACAGAAGTCCTCTGTTTGTTCTTTACAGCTCCATTTTTAAAAGTTATTAGGAGGTTCATGTTTTCTATGATTGACACTTGATACAGCCTATGGGCGTACGAAGATTGTGTACGAAGGATAGAACTTTTCAACTTCTAGAGACAAAAAAATCCAACCTTTTACTGTTTTCTGTAAAGCTGAAAAAAATTATCCTATGAGAGTAAATCAAGAAAAAAAGGATCTGAAGACATTTTAATATTAAATTATGCTTTTAGTCAGTCATTGAGACAGACACTCAACATTTCCCCTGACATTTCTCAGTGGTAGAAAAACAAAAGAGTTGAAAGAAACCACTTAGAGTTTGAGAGAAACTCTTTTGACTATTTCAGGCTTAAAAAAAAAAAAATGAATTAAATTGAATTGATGATATCTGGTAATCCAAATTAAAGTGATTGTAAATTATAGCCTTCAGCATCAGCTCTCTCTTCTACCTGTCTCCTACCTGTCTCTAAGTGTATTTTATCAGGTCAGAGTGACACACAATCTGCCATCAGGGCTGGGAGATTGCATTAATCTTCAATAAGGTCTTAGTGGGGTGCAAGTCCACCCCTTGCATGTTTTGACTCAAATAAATAAAGTTAGACTTAATTATGTCTCTCCACTGGTACAGCTTATGACTCTGGGTAGTTCTGCAGATTTAGCATGCTGTAATTGTTATGTTCTACATATATCATAACCACAGTCTGCTGCTGCCTGATGAAGGAAGCTTGCTTATAGGCCGATCTGTTTCCTCTTCTGCAGGCAGAAAGCTTCAGATTAATCCAATTTTTAGAGATCACAAGCTGCTGTCAAACATGACACTGTGAGCTGCATGCCAGCGCGCTCGCTGTGACTAAAGGTCTGATGGTTTAACAGCGGCCATGCCAGATGGAGGACCTTGAAAGTCCTGTTGAGAGCAGCAGTAGCAAGAAAAGTATTCAGACTCTCCACTCATACAAAAGCAAAAATAACATTAGTTAGTTAGGATACCAGCAGTGGCATTTCTGTTTGGTTCTTCAATCCATTATCTCATTTTAGTAAATACTCTAAGTATGATTTAGTTAAGATTATTCTGAAGGCCTCATGCTGAGTGACCCCCCTCCTGAAGAGCCAAAGAGTTTTAGTCAACTGTGAAAAGAGATCTAGTGCACGCTGCAATAATCGGCATTTATGTTAGCTCAAAGGTTGTTAATGACAAACTATTGACTCATAAGGAAGGGTCTGATTATTTTAACTCCTGCCCTTATCACAGGTCAGATTAGCTCATAAAATAGAGAAGTCCAAGGTTGTTTGTAAAGAAATAGTTTACAGCCCAATTAAAGCTCCTGTGAAGAGTTTTCTCTTTGTGCTGATTTTGGTGCCCCCTGTGGACAAAGGAACTCTTTGCTGAGCTCATCTTGTAAATATGCAGAGTTTTCACTGACAAGGAAGATTCACATTTATGCCTTTAAATAGTCAAATGTACTGCTTCCTATGAGTTTTTCCCACTTAAAATGTTCAGACTGTTTTTTTAAGCATGTTGGTTGTGTTGTAGTAGTAGAGATCGGTCTTGGTCTCGAGACCATTTTTGGAGGGTCTTGGTGTCATCTCAGAGGCATTTTCTCTCGGTCTTGGAGTGAGCGGACTCAGGTTTTTGAACGAGACCGGTCGAGCTAATAACTTCACATCATTGGTAGTAATGATTCTCCCCCAGCTGCAGCTGCTAAGTTACCTGCCCAGTGTCACACAGTCCGAGTGACTGACACACCCCCTCCATACAGAGAGAGGATGGAGACGACAGGAGGAGAGGCTGTGTTCATGCTCAACAACCGGTGAACTCGTCATAAAAGATGTCTGCCAACTCAACAATTATTAAGTTTGGTTTCCTAAACCACAAGGAGTTTATTTGTAAAACGACATGCAAGCGAAAACACTCAGCAGTGTGTGTAGTGGAGCAGTGCAATTTTTGCAGTGCACAACTCACAGAAACAGTTTTTTTGATGACATTTAATTAATTAATTGCACATACAAAGGAGTCTGATGAGAAGATCAGAGTTTCAGTTCAGATTGTTGAAATGTGTTACTTTTTCTTTTCAAAAATACAGCTGTGAATGTTCTGAATCACTTAAAGGCATTCTCATGTTAAATTTTTTTTTTTTACGAAACAGCTTTTTAGCGGTTATAATGAATAATAATAAAAATAATTATTGTACCAGTTGAATAGCGTATAGTAGATAAAAATACACATGAATGTGAAGAAGTGACTGTTATTTAGGGAGAGAGAAGGTTAGGGGGGGCTGGGGTGGAGAGTGAGGGGGTAGTAGGGATACGGCTCAACTTACCCCGCTCCTATGGTCAACTTACCCCATACATGGAATAAGTTGAACAAAGAAGACCAATTTTTTTGGCATGCTATATTATCAAGACAGTTATGTTTACACTCATTCTGTTGGTTTGCAGGAATGCATGACATCTTGAAATATATGCAGGTACACTAGTTAGAGACAAAACTATGATTGCCTTGTTGTAGTGATCCGAAATATGAAAACGGCTCATCTTACCCCACTCTCCCCTTGTTTTACTGAAAATGGGCATATTCTCTTTGACCTTTTCTTTGGTTGGCCCTCTTAACATCTGTCTTGTAATATGAAGTTACCTGATGTCCTGACACATCAACAAATTCCTGTCACAATCAATCCAGTTCAAGATGATCTGATCTATGAAAAAAATATCTTAAGGCTTTATTTAGTTAAGAAGTCAAATATGTTTTAAATATCATGTGGGTGAAATCTTTTAGATTTGTTAAAAGCATTCATCCCAGGCAGGAGGGGAGAGAGATTCTCAGCTCTGTCTTCCAACGATGTGCGCTGATTAAAAATGTAAAAGGAATATTAATAATTTCTGCTGATCTAATATTTTCGTGTATATCTGTCTGTGTGGGCTTCTATATTTAAAACAGGGGCCTGAAGAGCTCACAGCACCTCTGCTGTTCCTCAGAATATGTGCTGAATGATTTGTGATATTACTTCATGTCAGGGGTGGTCCATCTTTTCTCTCTCTGTAATCCTGAAGTGTAAAAAGCTTTTAATTATTTCAATTTTGTTTCATGAGCTGCTGTTGACGGTCAAATAAACAAATAAAGTGCCTGAGCACAGGGATTTTCTGTGCATAAATGTGTATTTTATTGACAGACAGACCTATCAGTCATCTTATTTATCTTTCAATTGAGTTAAAAACAGTCAGGGCGATGGTGATAAAAGCAGTAAAAAAAGATTTCTGTTTGTGTCTTGTAATGTTTTCCTGACTGATGCAAATCTGCTTCACTTATGTGGACTGACTTAGGCACCCTCCTTTGCACAAAGTGTTACATCTAAAATCTTAACAGTGTTTGTACAAGTTCTTTTCTGACCAAAATCTCATCCTGTAATCAGTCAAACTGGTTTCACTTGGCTGTCTTAAGAAAGGAAAGGCTGGTTCTGCAGAGTGCTGTGAATGACTTCCCTGACACCTACTAGGATATGGTGGTAGCAAGCACAGCTTATCACAACACAAATAAGTAGGCTGCATATCCTATTTAGTGGTGTGACTAATATGCCAGCATGAAGAGCAGAGAAAGGTGGGCTATCAGTTTAGCTCTGCAGTTGATGTGCATGCTCCTCCAAACACAAGTGTTATAGTTCTTGTTGCTGGATCCCGGCCAGCCATAAAGGTTAGCGGTTCATTGGTGATGTCAGCGCATTTGTTTTTGCGCTGTGTGCATGGGCTTAAGATCGCTTTCCAGACTTGAATTGATGAAGAGGGAGACATTGAATTTCCCCTCAGGGATTAATAAAGTTCTTCTTATCTTATCTCACATCCTTATCATCTATGCTGAGAGTGGCACATGGTACACAACAACTGGACAGCAACAGATAAACAAAGCATTATAAATTACTGAGGAGTTTGAGATCCCACATCCTTTCTACCTCTGCGGGCTGTAAGAAATGTGAGTCAGCAGCTGGGAAAAAAAGGTTATCACTCTACAACATGGTGGCAACTAGGGATGGGCAATACATTATCATCATAATATAAGTATTTGCCATCTCACGGTAAATATGATGAATGCATGTTGATGATGTAAGCACGAGCAACAGACTCGCAGCCATAGCCCACACAGATCAGAATAACAAACAGACATGGCTGAAGGTAATGAAGGAGAGGTTTCTGAGCAGCCCGTGACTGAACGCGGCTCCACATGAAGTATGCCTGACATCGGACAGTGGATCTGTTGCTGCAGTTCACTCTGTGCAATAAGAGTTTTCAACAATGTTGAAAATGTTTTCACATTTGAGACTTGTTTGATGTCATTAGTTTTCTCCATAACCCACCACTCAAACTTGTGGTTGAGTATCGTATTTGGCTACTACAACTGGTGTTCTCAAAACAAAATGAGTTTAAAATATAGATTGGAATTAAACAATTTTTTTATTGGGACTTTTATCGTTATCACCTGAATGGCATATCTCATTGTGCTAAATTTTTTAGCCCCTATCGCCCATCCGTAGTGGTAACCAATGTAACATCACTGCATTGTAAAATATCTTAAATCCAGGAGCATTGGACTCAATGTGGCAAAGAAAAGAGCTGTCTACAAGATCTGTAAACTGGACTTGTGTTTCATTGGAGCATGGAGCAAATTTGAAAAAACAGCTTTCCTTCTTTATCAGGTCCTATGTTGTGTATCTGTGCTCAGCTTCAGACAAAAAGTGGCCAACAGAGGTGGGTGATATGACTTTGGGCACCATGGTTGTAAGCAATAAGTCTGTGCATCACAGATATCCTAGTTACCGCTGGCTGAGCTCAACAATGCTGCTTGGATTGCATACTCCACATGGGGAAGACAGACACATAGTGCCAGAAAGAGCTCCAACAGCTGCACAGAAACTGCATGACATGGACTTTTTTGATGTAGTGGAAATCATTGGACATATTTCTAACTTATACAACTTATATTTCTAACTTATATGAAATGTATCCGTTTGGTTCTTGATGGTTTTGTTTGCTTTATGGGGCTGATATAGTCTATATTTGTTTTACTTTCTGTAATATCGTATCAGGTCCTTTTCTGTTTCCTTTCCTTTGAGGCTGTTTATTTTCGGCCTCACAGAGCCTGATCTGATCTGACCAAGTGTAGAGGAGGAGTATAAATGACGTCCTGTCTCCATGCCAGACTCTCTGAGTGAGTCCACTGTGGTAGCTGGCATCGCCAAGGAAACGGGTGCGTGATCAAGCTGCTGATGCCCATTCCCGTTAAAGGGGGCAGAGGGCACCCTGCTGAGCTGCCAAAAATAGAACCAACCGATCAACCGATAGACCCACCTGTTTAATTAAAGCTGGATAAAACTGTGTCGATACCTGGAGGAGGAAACAGGTCAGCTTTAAAGGGTGTTCTCCAAGTTTTTAATGCTGCAGTTTTCAGGCTCAGGTCACACAGGTTTGTCGACACATCACTGGAGAATGCTGTGTTATTGTGAGTCTGTCTGAGACTTCAAACTGTTTGAGCCTTTTACACCCTGTTCCTCTCACACTCACCAAACACCTGAAACACCACATCAGAGGACTCAATACATCACATATCAACAGCCACAACAGTACTCAACTCTTGTTTTATACAGTACTATGAACAATTCCCCACGCTGAAATAAAAAACACAGGGAGAACAATATTTGCTGATAAGGATTTACGTATTGACTTTAGTACCCTCAGTGTTTTAGCTGTAATGTTGATTTAAATGAAACCAGGCTTACAACTACAGAATACTTAAAGGTCGTGAAAGTTCGTTAAGTGCTCAATTTTTAGACTTTCAAAGTAGAACAAACAAAAAAAAACACTTCAAATAAGACCATAGACCTTAGAATAAAATACTCTGTTATAAACACTGAATATCATAAATCTATGAAATTAATAGAGCTGGGCATTGTCAAGATTTGCACAATTGAATTCAATTCTTCTTCTGCTCATCACAATTCAATTTGGTATCAATTATTATTGATTGGTATGATTGATTTAATAATGCGCATAGATGACAGAAATACCAGTGTCATTTATGACAATAATGTGTAAAAAAATATTTCAAATATCTGTTGAATGTAAAATATAATATAATAACAATTAAAACTCTGTGCATAGGTTTCCAAAAGGTGTGATTGCAGAATGAAGTTCACTATTGAATTATTCCTTCATAAACATTGAATAAAACAGTAAACAGTAGTCTAAAAACAATGAAGTACAGTGTCGATGTTAGTGGCCCAGATAGGCCCAAAAAGAATCAGTCCAAAAATAAAAAATGAATCTGGACACATCCTGGTATAGCAGCACAGAGAAAACAGCGGGACCTGAAAGTGGTACACCTGTGAATTTAGCCTAACCAAAGCTGCAGATAATCACCTGTTACTTGACATATAAAGAATGAGAGTTAACCTAGCTAAACTTTAACCCCCTGTTTCCGAAAGACCGTGTTTCCACAGCATTTGATAACAGCTTATCAACAAAATGAATCACAATTAAGTGATAGACACTTGATTGAAAAGACACTTTTCAAAGTGTCATTGTCATTCAGATTTTGACACATTCTGCTCTTTTCTACCAAAAATTCCCTTTTTTATTTTTTATTTTTTTTTCATTTCAGTTTTTCTGCCCTGTGCTGTATGATGTAACCTGGTTTTGTCATCTTCAGAGTGTCTTATGTGGTGGATTAGTAAAAATTCAACAACTCATGAGGAAAATCTCCAAATTAAATGAAAAGTGATCAATTTGAAAAACACTGCATAAAGTGCAGAACACTCAATCCTTTTGTGTAGTGAAGTGTCTAAGGGCTTTGAAAGCGCTGAAATCTGAGAGCTGAAGTATGTCGTCACACGTCTGAAGTTAAACACTTCACAGGTCAACCAAATCAGCAGAACCCAAAAACCCAGATCCGTAGTTGGACATGGATTTCTAATCCAGAACAGTGGATGAGAGGATGGCAGACAGCAGAGCAGAAAGCTGTGGGCTTGGCTGCAGAGAGTAAACATGCCCTGAAGAGGGAACATAGTGCCATCTGCCTCCTGACACAACCAGGGAAAGATTAGATTGCTATTAGAAATTGAAGGTAATTTCATCATTCATGAGAGCCACGATTTAAATGGCTCATTTCAGTTGATGACATTGGAAGGCAGTGCATCTGAAGTTAATTTATAAAAGGACAAGTCTGAAGGAAATAAACTGATGCTACAAACACCACCAGCATTTGTTGTTTGGGCTTATTTGAAATGGCTGTTCCGAAGTAGGTCAATAAAATACATTGAAATCACCAACAAACACACAAAAGATGATCCAAACCGAACTCAACAATGAAGCATACAAAATATCTAACAAAAACAATACAGTAAAACAGGAGGCAAGAGGTCATATGTGACTCACTCAACTTTAAAAAGTAGCTAATTTTTTCTTTTCAAGATTGCCAGAAAAATAATGTCAGTATGCAAAGAAAACTAACTTTGATATTCCGAGTAACAAGCTAAAGATGAGTTGAGGTCTGGAGAAAACAACCAAAATGAACTCATCGACACAGGAAAACATTGTTATCTTGCGCTAATGAGACACATAAGCCGAGATCTTGAGAAAAACAACTGGAAATTACTTGTTATCAAAAGAAACCAAAGCTAGATAAACTAAAGTATATGGAGGCATGCCAACACTGGTCCATTTTTATGTCTTTTAGTATTCAACTCCTCTTTATACACTGATGATTGCTTTCTCTGATCTTTACAGTAATGTTGATCCAACGTTATTTTCTGTCTTTAAACTAGGCCACAATTGGGATTGACTTCCTGTCGAAAACCATGTATCTGGAAGATCGAACGGTAAGAATCTTCAGTTACTGCTATGGTGTCATGACAAAGATGTTAACTGTTTGTAATCTGACGGCAGAGAAACTCTCTGTCACACACTGTAGAGCTGTGCATCTCCACAGTAATGCATGCACAGAAAGCAGCTACCAATGCTGCATGTCATCTCTTTTATCTCTCTACCTGTAATATGTAGATGAGGACAGTCAAATCTGCCTGCAAGTCTGTTTATCTCAGGAAATCATTCATACAGCAGCAGGCAGCATGACCTTGAAAATCACATTATAAGGAGTCCACTTATATAAACTATGCCTGAAAGAGGGAATATGCCATGAACTCTTTGCTTAATATCTCATCTCTCATCTCCCTCTATCAGTCTCACCTCTGCTCATCTCTTTCTCATCTCCCTCTATCGGTCTCTCCTCTGCTCATCTCTTTCTCATCTTCCTCTATCAGTCTCACCTCTGCTCATCCTTCTCTCATCTCCCTCTATCAGTCTTACCTCTGTCCATCTCTCTCTTTTTCATCTCTCCCCTCTCTAAACCCATCTCAATCTGGGCAGATGACTGTCTAACATGAGTTTGGTTCTGCTTGACGTTCCTGCCTCTTAAAGGAAGATCTTCCACCTCAACTTGTTAAAAGTATTTCCCTCATGTGGTTGAGGATGGGACTGGGTCTGATCTTACAAGATGGGGCTCAATCTGATCCCATCATTACATTGGAACCTTCTAAGTGTAATATGGTCTGGACAGGCTTTTTTGTTAAGCCTCTTGGAATGGCGCTTGTTGTAAATTGGCACCATAAACATAAAGACTAATTGACTGTATGTATTTATCTGTGTGTTATGTAAGCATATCAGTGTGTATGTGTGTGTGTAGGGAGCCAACTGTTCCTAGGCTCTCTGATAATCTGAATAATCTCAGCCTCCTCAGCTTTCTCTCTCTGAACCCCAGGTGAGGTTGCAGCTCTGGGACACAGCAGGACAGGAGCGCTTCAGGAGCCTCATCCCCAGCTATATTCGGGACTCTACAGTGGCTGTGGTCGTCTATGACATCACAAGTCAGTATCCCTTACAAAATATTTATTTCTTTACTTACAATAAGCTGCTAGCTAAGCATTGATTATACAAATGAATCCATCAAACCTGCAAGAATTACTGTAAAATTCAGTATATGCACAGCTGCACACATTGAACACCTTTTTTCATCATCTCATAAACAGTAGGTTATACAGGAGTTGAAAATGCAGCTAATTCATTGCGTCTTACTCAGAAGATGGTGCTGCGCAGAGTATGCTGGTACACAGCAAGGCAGACCAGTCCAGACTGTCAGTTTTTAACATCATTTCTCCCTCCTCAGGTCACAGTCATGTAGTGTAAGGAAGTGGTGGTAAACTATGAAGTTAGTAAACCATGTCAAGTGCTGGTTAGATTGAAAAGACCCCTTAATTAAAAAAAATTGTTACCTGTGGAGGGGGCAGTTGGTTGCAGGCACTAGATCTATCCTGTCCTCACGATGATCAACACTACTGTGGGTGTTGTGTGACTATTGCACTGGCCAGCAGGTTGGTGGAGGTGGCTGGTGTTATTTACAGCCCCTGTCCATCACTTTTTTGACAGTCGTTCTTGCGCACTAGGTCAAAATCATATACTCTAAGATGGTATGAATGTGCCTGTTTGACTGAGAAGAGACCTCAATCTTAGGCGTAGGTGAGTGGTGTGAGTCACGGCAGAATGGGTGGGTCTTTACTTTACAGATATGAAATTTAACATTAACTCTCACAGTAGCAAGCAGACTTCAAAAAGCAACATGAGCGGGAACATACAGTAGTTAAACCTTGTTTCTACAAGGCCAGTATCCTATATTAAATAGCAGCGAAGTGTACAGTATATTCTGTATTTTACAGTGTGATCGAAGATCTAGCAAAGTTATACTTAAAATAAGGACAGGAATAGAAATGATTGCAGATTTTTACTGTGCGATACACATCATACACTTTTAATTGAATTAAATTTCTAACGTAAGAGAGAAGTTGGAGTGAAACTGCGATAAGTTAAATGACTTCCTTTAAACCGAACAGCATTAAACGGAACAGTTTTTTTAGATGATGATTGTCTCTCATGTACTGCAGGCTGACCTGCCATCCTGAATTCAGTCCCTAAACAAAGTGGTGCCACAAACTAGTTATTCTGGCCTATTTTTGACCTATTAACTGCATGTATCTTACATTTTCTTCCTGTTTGTTTGGCTCACACTGCAAAACAGAAAACCAGTAGTTGGTGTCTGTCCAAGAAACCCTGCTACTGATCCAAGCTAACAGGTCATCAAACTGAAACCAAAAAAAGCTGTAAGCAGCACCAAAGCTACAGTAATGCAGACAATATTTTTGGAGAAAGATGACATTTAGAAAAGGCCATGTTGAGTTTGATTTTCTGGTTGAAGACTTGTGTTTTCTCTGTTTGGTCTAATTTGCATTTTTCCATTAAAGTCATGACACTGTTAATCTGTCAACAGTTTCTGTTTCATCCACTGCAACATTTTTGAACTTCAATCAGTTGTGGCATTAGATTTACAAAACCTTACACTGTTGTTGTCATCCTGAAAGAGACAGAGGATCTGTGTATCCAAAGTCCCAGTCCAAGAAAACAATACACTGCTCAGTCTGCAAGATACAACCGAGGACATCACAAGGCCAGGGGGATTTATGAGGAGCTTTAACATGTTGCAGACCTGGTGATGCAGAGATTTAATGGATTTATCATGTAATTCCAGTATTCTATACAATGCAGTGACATCAGTCAGCTTATGTCTTAAAATATGTCTTGAAAAATATGTCTATGGAGGTCTTTAGTTGTCCACTCAGTCCAAGCACCCAAGAGTCAAATTGGGGTACATACAGCTTTGGGTCTGTATTATTTAATAAGTTAATAAAATCTATTTTAGGATCTGAAGGACTCAGGATCGTAGCAGCTGCACAGACAGCCAACTCTAACTTTGTTTCTCCTCTCTTTTAACAGATGTTAATTCATTCCAGCAAACATCAAAATGGATCGAGGATGTGAGAACAGAGAGAGGAAGTGATGTCATCATTATGCTTGTGGGCAACAAAACAGACCTGGCAGATAAAAGGTATGTAGTCACTGCTGAGCCTGCATCTTTACTTCAGTACATGGAGCTTATCTGCCCACAGACAGTCAGCTCTTCTTTTAGTTTCAGTGCCACTGGTCAGCTTGGTCTAACATCCACTTAAAACACCAAATGTGGAGAAATAAAAGTCTCATGAAAACATCATGCTGACTCCACAGACTCTTCTGTAGAGTAGATGATTTGATCAGCTGTGCGAACATGTTCCTGAACTAATTGGTGTATTAATGAGACAGAACTGATTAGCCTGAGCCCATTATAACGTCTTAATACTTTGCCCTCTAAATTCAATATTAATGCTGCTTCCATATTGTGTGACAACTAAGGGAAATTAATGTTTCTAATATTATATCATTAAATGTACGCAATACATTAGGTGGCCATGTTTAGGGTTGTGTAGTGGAACATTTGCTAACTCAGCTGCTCTTACTCCTTTGAAATGAAAAAAGTACTGCTCACTTATGGAAATTATTCAGTTTGCACAAGAAGATTGTTTTTCATTTACAAACTGCATATGTTTAGAAGTGGAAAAAACTCTAAAAATGACGATGGTGCAGAATACTTGATATAGCTGCCACTGAACCAAACTACTTCAAGAAAGAATGGTTAAAGAAAAAGGTTTAAAATGAAATGCCAAAAAGCAAAACTACACAGAGCTGAGAGAATAAGAGAAACTAAGGGAGGGACTGATCAATAGTGTGGCTGCTGTGCTCATGGTTAAACATATAAATGGTAGTAATGAGTAAAATTTGAAACAAACATAGAACAGCAATAACTCCCTGATTATGTTATATAGATTTTGTTTGAAAAGTTTGTAAAGTTAAGCTGAAGCACTCTTCTTTATCTGTCTGTCCCTGAGGTGCTGGATGAAAATAGACTTCAGTTTTAAAGTCTCTCGAGACGCATAATCTTTCACAAAATAGACCAAAGTTTAGAGAAGTTAACTCAGCCAAATTTTAACCTGAATTGACTTTGTTCATCATGCTGCTTGATTATCAATCAATATGGTAAACACTAGTTTGCATGTAAAATCAATCAATCAATCAATCAAATTTTATTTATATAGCGCCAATTCACAACAGTCTTCATCTCAAGACGCTTTTCAAAGAACAAGAGCGGGTTTAGACCACGCTCATTGTTTGATGATCAAGAACCAACCGCAGATGGGTTTTGGCCCATCTCATCTAAAATGAGTAACAGTGGCAAGAAAAAACTTCCTTTTAACAGGCAGAAACCTTGAGCAGGACCAGACTCATGTTAGACAGCCACCAAGCCGCTGCTGGGTTGGGGGGGAATGTAGAGAGATAGGGGGAGAGAGGGGAGAGGGCAGGGGGAGAAAGAGAGAACAAGATAAGGGGAAGGAGAGAGCGTAGAGAACGAGGGTGAGAGAGAGACAGGGGACAGCATCCTAGGTAATCCTAGGTTTTAGGTAACCTCCTAAAAGTGGGTGTATTTATGAGGAAACATGACAGTGCATAGGTGCAGTATTAATAAGCCACTATCATGGCTGTTAACTGTTAACTGGGGTTGTATTCATAAACAGAACAGAAACTTTCATGTTGGTGAGGCAGTATACAGTAGTTGACTTTATTAGTACGACAGAGACTGATAGACACGGCGTCTATTCATCTGCTGTTTTTGTTTTTTTAATTTTGTTCAGTCTTAAGTTCTGACAGTCCTCTGAGACATCCTTTGAGTTGCTTTGGACAGCTGTTGTGGTTTCTGGTCTGTTTCTTTGTGGGGGAACGTCTTCAGACAATGCTTTCCCTAAAACAGCCGTGTGACTGTGGTAACTTTGGCTGATTGGAGTGTGATTTAAAAACAAACAGGCTGATGTTGCAGATAATGATGGTGATTTCTTGAGACTTAGGTGTCCTACTTCTTGATGTCCCTCTACACCTGTCACATCAGAACCTATACTTAAGGCCAAGTTTATGGGAGTGTTTGAAGCCTTTAGACAGATAATACAAAAGTGGAGAGTTATTTCACTTAACAAAGAAATCAACCTAAGTTTAATTAGGCATGTACTTGCTGCATTATTAGCATCATTTGCCCATGCAGTATTTCTGTAATATTTACAGAAGGGACACGTCGAGGATGCATTTCTAGCTGCAGCAAAAAATTCCCATCAATAAACTGGTGTTTCTGACTCAATCTATGACTGACAAGGGAAAGCATGAAAAACTGCTGTTGATGGCAGTTTCTGGATCAAATTTCCCTGGATCTGTCAATAAATTTCCACAGATGTCACAACAACAGGCCCAAGGCTTTGGTTTTAGAGATGGAGTTAGATTTATCAAATATAGAGAGATTATAGTCTTTCTTGATGAGTTAGCAATGAAGAAACCAAACTAACACCCACACAAACACACACATGCACCCACACACACATTCAAAGTGAAGTTACCCCGCAAACCATTTAAGTAAGATCTTCTGAACCCTCTTCTTTAATTTATGTGCAATTTACACTAAGTGTCATTAAGTTGGGTCTTAATAAGGCCTGGAATTTAAGACTTAAGTTAATGTCCCATGGTGAAGAAATAAGGCCATTAACTGCTCTAAGACCACCTCAGCATCTTCTCCTAAATGCCTCTTCCTTGAGCTAAATCTCTCTTACTGCATCTGTACAATCTGAGGTGATTCTTCCTTTTACAGTGCAGCAAAAACAGCCCTGACCCTCATTTTTCTGTACTTTTGAAACTACAAAACCCTGCAGTATGTCTCTGTTTCACTTCCTTGCACTGCGTAAACCAGTTATTGAAATGATTTTTCTCGTTCTGCGTTTTTCCCTCATATTGCAAGAAAATTGAGGGTAACTAACTGTGACACTCCTCGTGAAAATACTGTTGCACACGCCAGAGAATGTTTCATTCACACAGAAGATGATAAATGTTGCTGTCACTGTGGCACTGTGATGCTGCACCAGAGAGGCTCTAAATAGCAGCAGTGGTATTCAGCTTTTTTTCTGCATGTGACTGTACAAAAATGCATTCAATGAAAAACAAAATTATAGCAAATAAGTTTCGTATTTCTGTGCGGTGAAGGATTTGGCACCTGATCTGATCTGACAGAACTGTGGCTGACATTGAAAAATGAAATGAGAATCATCTGACATCTCAATATCAGGGAGAGATAGAAGTGTGGCAGAGATGTAGCGTGTTTTCATCATGAGGGATGTTCGATTTTAATTGGAATGTTAATTTCAGCATGTGTGAAAGAGGCCTCAAACAAAAAATAAGCTGACTGATGAAATGAACAGCCTTTAAAGTCTCTATTACTATGACTGAAGGCACAGTCAAATGAGATCAAATTCTGAGCCAAAATCAAAAGCCAATATCTGAACCCAATAAAACTTAACTTGAATGATACTTGACAAAAAAAATTGTCATTGTATCTAAACACATTCATTTATTAAACATTACGTTTAACAACTGGCCTGAATGTTAAAAAGCATTTAACTAAGGCTACAGCAGTGTTTATTAAGTGTTGTTAGCAGTGAGCATATTGTCTTATACAGGTGTGGTTTATCATGTATCATATCTTACAGCAAAAGAAAATCAAGTGTCTTTGAATTCTGGGCTTAAAAACTCATTATAACTCCCACAACTTTAACCGGTTATAAAGCTTTACCCGGTCATAAGATGATCACTGTTGTTTGAGGTTTAGCTTGCTCTTGTGTCTGCTTTGGACAGAGAATGTATAAAGAAATTATTAAGAAATTTTAAGTATTTGTTGTCTGTCACTTGACTGACAGCCACGAAATTCTGCTTGTAAGTTCTTATACGCGTGTTATAGGATCATATAATTGATAATCTCATAAACTCACTTGTGTTGTTGTGAGTATCAATGAGACATTTTCTGAGAATCATAGAGATTGTCCGTTTTTATGATAGATAGAATGAGTTCTTTCAAATTGTGAAGCAAACGAGTGTTGTCGTTAGAAAAGGGCACTTTAAGAAAGTCACTTGATCAATTAATCCTATAAATTAACGATCAATCATCGATTTAATCAAAAATACGGAGAGGTCTTGTGACACTACGCTTCCACCTTACTAGCAAGGAGGTGACGCTGCATCACTCCCCTTGTAAAATGTCAAAATCCTTCTGCACAGTGATAGTCACTGCATTGCTTCAACACACACACACACTGACTGGTCAAACAGGGTATCCCTCCCAATTAGCAGAGGTTGATCTTTTCTGGAAAGCAGCTGGAGGACAGACACAGCGTTTTTTTAGTAACGTTGGATCAATCAAAATTTTGCATGATCAATGGAATTCTTAAAAATCAATTAATCGATCATTGATTAATCATGCCTATTCCTAGTTGCGGTAGTCCCAGGATTACTCTGCAGGCCGCTCTGGCAGGCTAGAGGGACAAGACATGTTCACTTTGTGACATCACCAGTTGATGAATCTCCGAAAAAAAATATGGGGTTACTTACTGAATACAAACATCCTGCTTGATTATTTGTTGTTGGGAACTTACTTGTGGTTCCTTTTCTAAACTTTCTGTGCCAGGTTTAGGTTCCAGATCACATGGCCATATTTTATAGATTATCATTTCAAACAGAGGTTAATCAACTCAGTTATAACAACTTAGTAGCATGGCAACAGTGCAGCAGACTTCAGGGGAGCTGGCCAAGAAATGGTAGCTTACACTAAGTGTTGCAGCTAGAAGCTGAAGTAAGGGTTTTGAAAGACCCCATCCTGAGATAAACTAGAGTTTTTTGAGCTGTAACTCATATACAGCTGCAACACAGGTATCAGAAGGACAATGTTAGGCCTGGAAATGGGACCGATACCCCCTCTTGAAGGAGTGGTTTACACCAGAAGAAGTTATCCAAGGAAGCAAAGCCAAATTCTGTAGACTTTTTCATAAGTTCATATAAGCTTTGAATATGAGATATAATGCTTTTATTTCTACTGCCAAAGATCCTAGATCGCATGTTAAAGTGAAAGCCGAAGTCAAAATCCAGGACAAACCTGCTCTGAAACTCTAAAAGCCCGATAGCGTGCAAGAATGTTTCAAGGATGGCACATTTTGCACATCTATTATGCAATTTCCTTGCTAACTGCCAGTCTGATGACAAATAAGCCTTGGTTATGTTTAAGTTGGAACTCAGACGCCTGCATCCAGAAATAGCCACAGCAGCACTGGTGCTTCTCTGATCGGGTGGTGTTATTATGTAAATACATCTCTGGTGTGGTGTTTTCTGTTCTCACTGCAGAAAGGCTGATTCTCTCTTTCATCTGAGCTGTGATAGAGAGAGGTGTCATTAAGGGAGAGAGGAGGACTGGATGGATGTAATGTTGGTGAATGAGAGTTGAGACAGGTTGTTACAGCACAAAGCAGTTCGAAAGTGAAGAAGCGGTATTTGGAGTTAGCCCACAGCTGATTTCTTTCCTTTGTGTGGAGAAGAACAAAGAAGTCTGAGTGGCTACGTCATGGTTTTCCCCGCAGACCTGCAGTAGGTTGATTTAAAGAAATTAAGCAGAGAGCTGTGGACTCAGCCTCACTGCACCGATCTCTCTGTATGTGTTAACGAACACCTGACACAGTCTCAGTTTCACAGCCAGAGCCTCACAGTCACTGACAGAGTCATTAACTGCTCTGCACATGGGCTGTTATTAATTTCCTGCAGAACAATGTAATTAATCATTCTCAGTCGTTAGCTAATTAAGTCTGGTGTATTTTCACCAGCCAAGATTAACAGGAGCTGGAATAACAGGAGCCTGAGTAACAGGCATGAACTGTGTCTTTGCTTGGGGTTAATTCAAGTAATACACTCCTGTTTTGAATCAACATTTTGGCAGTGACGTTTAACATAAACACTACAGTATCTCTAATGCAGGAGTCAGCTGGGTTTGAATAACTACTGTCCTCTTGTTTCCACAGGCAAATCACAATTGAAGAGGGTGAGCAGAGGGCTAAAGAGCTGAGTGTCATGTTCATCGAGACCAGCGCTAAGACAGGGTACAACGTCAAACAGGTGAGTTCAGAAGAATATTGGTTCAAAGACTTTAATGAGGGACTCCAGACTTTTCTGTTTTCTCATAGATATATGGTAAAGTAAAATATCCCAGAAATGTAAATTTACCACAAAGGGAAAATGCAGGACAAAAGCAGCTTGATAGTGGAGGATTGTAGTTATGCTGCGAAGAAATGACATGATGTGGTACAGACTGCTGCTAATATACATTGTAAATATTTCAGTAAAATCTGCATATTGTGCTGAAAGTCAGTTAATCTCAGTAAAATAACATCTAATACTAACAATGCGGGATAATGCTGAGCTCTTCTTTCCTTATAAAATAGGATATTTTTCTAAACATTCATGATTATAATTGGTTTACTTTTGCATGACAAGGTCTGCAGACCAGAGCTGTTACAGTATCAGATGTTCATATAAGAGCATGAGGGATAAACTTTCAGTCAAATCAAGGAAAGACGGGCACCACTGACCTAATGCACCCTATATATGGAGTTATACCCCAATCAGACAGCCTGGGTTTGACCCCAGCCTGCGGCTCCTTTCCTGCGTGTCACTTAACCATGCTCTTTCTCTATTCCCGGCTCTGTCCACCATCCTATCCTCCCTGCCACAAAGGCACTTGAAGCCCCAGACTTTAAATGTTACTCATTGAACTTGACTCATAAACCCAGTCAGGTCATGTTGCTTTTCCCAGAAATGTCTTAAATATCTACATTTCCAAAATAACGTGAATCATTGACCCAATATATGTTATACGCCAAAGATTTTTACTGCATATCTTTCCATAATTCTATGTTACATGCTATACTATCCAGCTCCAGCATGACCTATAGAATGATTTAGAAGCATGAACTGAACTGGCCAAAAAATCCAACTTCTGCTTTCACTTATTCTTGATTGAGACTTATCTGTACCATCCTTCTAAAAAATATCACTGAACTAATCCAGTCCATGCTCCCACCTCCTGTCTTGCTCAGCCTTTTGCCCAACTTTTAAGCATTTTTTCTAATAGGTGTAGTCAAACCTCAGGCCTCAGGTTGTACTTTGGTGCATTTTGAGATACAAGAACATTTATCAAAACACAGACCCATATCACACTACCAGAGGTCATAAACAGCAGAGGGCATCTTTAAAAGAGTTTCGTTTCCCTGAGAGTGCTGCTCATGCTAATACATGCCAACAAAAGAGAAGCATTGAATGATTGTGCTGTGTCACACCATGCTCTTGCTATAAGCAACATGTATTAAGTAGAAAGCAGAAAGTTTGTTGCTTGCAGATACCAAAAGAAGCACTGCCTGTTTCTACAATAGTGATTTGTCTCAGAGCAGATGTTTGTTTGGTAAAACAATGACTGTCTGTTTAGTTAATAAGCAGAGAGATGAAGGCGAGCTGTATTGTGATTGTCAGTGAATGGTGTTGCTGGCAGACGTCTCTCTCAGCTTGTTTCAGCTCAGACAGAGGAGGCTTTTATTCACCTGACTTTAGGACTTTAGGACTTCAGGACTTAAGGATCGTGGATTTACAGCAGAACACCAGGCTGCACCAAACAAAGGTCTCAGAGCTGCATCCAAAGGCTGCAGTGTTCACTCTGTTTGGCTGTGTCATCATTGATCACTGCGAGCATGTGTCAGCAAGTTTAAGCTCTAAAGCTTTACATTTAGGGATATTCAAGAAAAAGACTAGTTTTATGGTCACTTTAAAAGACACGCCAAGACCATAATGTTAATGTACCCAAAATAAACAAGAATTACAGCATTTTCTGAGCCACTTTTACTTTAATTCGGATGAATCAGTACATGTTTTATTGAACTGAACATTAAGGTAATACACAGTATTACCTATTAAAAATAGGAAGTGGTGTAACCATCATTGCACACCACCTTTTAACTGGAGGGAGGACAAAGAAGAAAAAGGAGAAGCAGCTAGTGAGCTGTGGTCAGACACTTGAAAAACTGATGTTCCTTCATACACTATAAATCCAGTATCAACCTGAGAGCCCATGTCTTTTTGGGGGTGCCAATTACTTTAACATTCATTCAAGTCTGTAATCTTTCAGAAGCACCCATAGACTGAATAAAAAATGGATGCCATCTGCCTCTTCGCCTGGTGAAGCCCCCGCGAGAACAGCACCCTCTGGTGACGGGCTGCAGTATAGGTCATAAATCCCGTGTCCTCCAACAATCCCCATAGAGTTGTGGAAAAATATAAGAAATTTATTACATGGAATATAAATTTTTCTCCTCCCAGGTTGCGATGTTGACATGTAGTTACTGTAAGACTGGTTTGTGCTCAAGTCCTCTTTTTTCTGTGCAGCTCCACTTTTAAAACTTATTAGGGGGTTCATGTTTTCTATGATTGACACTTGATACAGCCTATGGGTGTACGAAAATTGCGTAGCTCACTCGGAGATACGCTGTTTAAGCCGAGCGTCATCACAGTGACTCTCCCACTGAATGCGAACAACGCTACTGCACAAGTGGAGGTTCCAGGAAGTGGAGAAAATCCTGGAAATATGGAGAGCTATTCAGCTTCAGTTTGTATAATGAGAGACGGCAGAGCGAAGTTGTCCATAGTGTTTACGGTCTATGGAAGCACCATATACTTCCCTTCTGAAGAAAAGCATAAATCAACCCATTTGCACCACTATGAATTTGCGATTTGTTACCAAATTAGGAGATGGACTTCAAATGTCATTTTGTTGGATAAAATGCTGACCATACAACGTTTCCAGAACTAGATCTGTTGTTTCCTATACAAGATAAACGATGTCATTCAATATGTCACTCTTGACAGGAGGCAAATGAGAAATCTTTGAGCTATTGCTCTGTGGTAAAAGGGAAGTTTGTCAGCAACAAAAAGACTCTGTTCCTGGACGGTTTATCTCAAGCCTATTAAGTGAGGCATTATTTATGTAAACATAGGAATGAGCTTCAATATGTAGGCCGTATAGAAGTCCTTTAATGTGTCAAAAACAGACAGCGGTATAACTAATAAGCTATTCTTATTAAGTGCAAGTGATGCAAAAAGAGATGCAGAACAACTTTCCTTGCAGTTTATTCATGCATTTAAAAAAACATTATCCTGAAGCACCAAGACTTTCAGAATAGTATGAACAAAAGAGCATCAAGGCCAATAAAAACCTGTCTGCAGCAGCTTCTTCAGTCATTCATTAGAGCTTAAGAATACAGCAGTAATCATCCAAATGCTCCTGAAGAAAATCTTTGCATTTATTACTCTCAGTAATCAGCCTTTCAGTGTGTTAGGAAATGCAGGCTTATGTGGGCTAATGATGAACTTGGAGCCTCACAATGTTGTGCCTGACTGCTGGTTCTTCTCCATGTTTCACTGAACTACTTCCTTACCTGCAAAACTTTATCTTCATTCACAAAGTTACTCATATAAGCTTCATCTCAGGCATCAAATAGAAGTCTTGTCAGTGTTGAGCCTCACCGCCTTGTGTTATCTACAGAAATGTTTTTTTCACCGTCCTTTACTCTTGAATTTTTTGTTTTTTAATCGAATTGAGTTGAAATTCTTAATCATAATATAGGAGTGACTTAGTGTTCTTTACAACCAAAAAAAAAAACATGTGAGTTTAGTGTGTCGTGTCGGTAAAAATCCAATATTGTAAATCCGTACTGTTTTTAACCTCATATACAGTGATGAAAGTGAAATGAAGAGGCCATCTGTTTGCAAAAAAAAAGGCTCACAGTTTGAAGATGTTTCATTTGTCTTACTGAAGTGTCCTGGTTTCTCTCTTTCAGCTGTTTCGGCGTGTGGCAGCTGCTCTTCCGGGGATGGAAAGTATGCAAGACACAAGCAAAGAAGGGAGTATCCTTTGACCCATTTCCATGAAATGATGAAAATAGCCCAGTTTTAAAATAACAAGTGAACAGACTGAGCTTACAGGTAAATCTTTTTTTTTTTTCATTTTAATTCCAAAAGTGTTGGCATCACTTCTTGCTAGCCTCGGAGTTAAAGAAGCTCCAGCAGTGATGTCTGCAGACTGGCACCTATTTAACCAGGTGTCAGCTGCTTGTCCAAATAAGTGTGTATTTAATACAACACAGTGGCTAAATGCTTTCAGTCCTGGTGTCTATTAATGTAGGAGAGCTGGCTGAAGGGTCAGACAGTAGGAGTCTGCAGTTTTGTCCGTTGTGGGTGAGCAGATTTGCTCATTTGGACAATGACAGGAGTCTCATTCTGCTGCTGCACACAGCTCTGCTAACAGGCACCTTGTATCTACTGCTGTCAAATGAGCATGTCACACCTCCACCTGTGAAAGATGTGTCAGGTGCTGCAGCTTTTACTTCTTCACTCCCCTAAAACACTGAGACCTCAGGGAGTAGTGTTAAATACTATATTAAATATGAGATGTGATACGGTGATTGAGGGCTTCTTAGACAGTTTTTCTCTTTTATGAGCTAAAAACAAACACGCGGTCGTGAATTTATTTGTTTTGACTACATTTAAGAGTGATTCTAAAACAGGCAGACAAGTGTTGTGTCTTATATTAGAGGAGATAAATACAGCAGTAGCTGAGACAGACTGAAGCTGTAATTTTCATCAGTGTCTCAGAGAACCCTCAGGCTGTCTGTGCTCCCCTCATGCCTCTGCAATAATTTCCACATCTGTAAGCACATCCGACACAGGAAACAATAATGCAGCCCACACTTCACTCAGACTCTTTGAGATGATTGTTGTGTCCTTCAGTTAAAGAGGAGGCATTTATGCTGAATGCAGAAATACACTCAACTATGAATGGTCCCATTTTCATAGAAAGCTGTTTTGATTGGGACCCTTACATCTCTGTATTTACTGCATTTAATCTATATAAAATAGTTGATTTGAGACGACTGTGAAAGAATCTGCCCCTTTCACACTTCTCAATAACTCATTTTTCCTCAAAAGGAAACATAGTTTACACCAATCACAGCAAATAGAATAAAAACTGAATGAAAAATGTACCACATTATTTTAGACAGGAGTTAATAATAAGCATACAACAAGTGATATTTGCCGATATGGCTCTGTTCTCAGAGCTCCCTGCCCCTCTATCTGCATACATGGAATATGAAACCCTGGGTGGGGGGGCACCTCTCCTATGTTTGCATACATGAATTAGGCAGGCAGAGCAGCAGCAAAGACTGCCAGAATACAGAACAAAGAATGTATCAGTGACAAAAAAAGTGATGATGGTAAAATCAAATACAGCAGAGAAAGTTATCACTGGGCTGGAGTGGGGTAAAAAAAAGTAACATGAGCAGGCGGGCTAAAGCAGTTTAAATGGTCCACCAATGTACAGAAGATAATTAGTTAGGCTGTCAGACACTTTGGTCTGGCATTAGGATGAGCTCATGTACTGTTGGCTGAGCTTCACTTTATGGCCTGCCTGGACTAACACTATCTTTTGTGGCACCAGTCATACAAAGTCCAGAGCCCTAGGAAAGACATGAAGGAAAATCTTCCAAGAGATCCTTGGACATATTTGCAGGATCTCACAAATATTTTTCATTCTTGGCCTAGCACCTCTGTCCTGTATTTCAGTAATGTAACAAAGTTAGGACCACTCATCTTTACAGTCTTCTGCTTACCTGCCCCTTTAAGTAGTTTAGTTCTGAGGGTGGCTCCTGTAGCTTGTTGTCTACCTGGCTAAGGTTGCAAAGAGATATCACTTTTGTAAAGCAGTATCTTTTAATGATTAATTGTCCTTAGAAGGTAAAATCTGTGAATATACTCTTGGTAGTGACATAAATTAAGAATTCACCTGCATCATTTTTCTGGGAGTTTTTTCCCCTCCATGTCCCTTCAAAGCTTTGGAAGAAAGAGACATTAGAGAAGGAGAAAAAATTGGAGAACCAAATTACCATGTTCTGACTGACTCAGCTGAATGCAGTCATGCTATTGATCATAAATGATCATAAAATCAATACTGAGCCTTTTAGATTATATCCATTTCTTAAGATGTGTTGCTAAAATGAGAGCTAATCAAGACTGAGATAAAACCCAGTAATGATGGCCTACTGACTTCAGCTTCATGCAATATTTCAGCACTTTTCTCAGACTAGTGCCAAAGCTACTTCCTCCAAAGTGCTACCTGCAACTAGGAAAAATCTCTATTAAAAGTACAGTGCATTTTAGATTTTAGACTGCTACAAGCATTAAAAGCATCATGATAAAGTGTAAAAAAACATTAAAGGGGCATTTGAAAACTAATATATGCTGAGAATAAAAATAAAAATATAGAAACAAAAGTAAAAGTACAACAGAACATTTCTATTTTACAAGAGTAAAAGTTACAGTGCATTGATATGACTTTTTTTTAATCAAAGTATGTTTCATGAGATTATTTCTGTCGAATCAGCTAAAAGTGAGAGTTTCAGTCTTGACATAAAGAGCTGAGAGTTTCAGTGGACCTGCAGCTCTCTGTGAGTTTGTACCAGATTTATGGAGCATAAAAACTGACTGCTCTTTCTCCATGTTTGGTTCTGACTCTGGGGACAGAAAGCAGACCACCTGTCTCCTGTCTGGATGGTTCCTAGTGTTTCAGAAGATCACAAATGGATTTTGGCTTTAAACCGTTCCCCCCTCTCCAAACCCACTGCAGCGTTTTAAAATGGACTCTCTGAAATGTAAGTCTGTTGAAGTCCGTCTAATTTAAGATCAGCAGCTTTTAATATTGTCGCTGAGTCTGCTCTGACAGCAGCAGTCCTTCATTTCCTCGTCCACACAAAAAGCTGTGCACCATCTCTATGGTAACCACCATGAGTGAATTATGAAACTGCCTTTGGTTTTAGCTGTGTTCATATCGCTCTGCTGTAAGTCCTTCAGTGTAAAGCTGTCTCTCAGGCTCTCCACATTAACACTGCAGCTTTTATCTCCTCAAACGTAAACATAACTCAGCTGCTGACCTTGGTGTAGTGAAGGAATACTTTCATTTATCTCCCTCTGATTATAACACACTCATCATTTACCTCCAGTCGTCCAGCGTCTGCAAACTGCTTGGCCTCAGTAATAAACTCGGTGACCTGACAGCCCTCTGAACTGTTCAAATCTTTCTCGGCTTTTTATTTCAGTCATAATTCATGTCTATAAAGCATCACTCACATTTAGCCAATTACTTTTATCTCCTCTCCTGTTTTTTTATTTCTCTTCTAATGAGGATAATGGATGAGGGAGGGAGCTGTGTGAGGTGGAGGTGTGGTGATGGATGGCAGACGATGACAGTCTGTCAGCTGCTCTGTGCCTCTGCTGACATTGTCACTTAATGGAGCGGCTCCTCTCTTGTTATTGCTTTGTGAACAGTATTGATTGAACTGAGGGCAGGAGCAGAAATAGGCAAAGTCTAGGATATTAACATGTAGGTTACATGGCCCAAAAGTGCCTTTATTGTCACTTGTCCTAATTTGTACCTGTTGATAATATTTTACAAACATGGAGCATCCTTCAAAATCAACCTGAAGAAAGATTTCAAATGCAAAAGAATACCAGTAACATTTAATGTAATCTCAGCCAGCAGAAAATAACAATAGACACTGTAGAGTATAAAAAGACATGTTTAGATGAGTTATACTTCACTGATAGGAGGAAATTCACTTCTTGCATCAGCTCACGGTCAATAAAATAATTATGTATGTATATTTTTTATAAATAATTATTTACCATCAATACTCTTTATTTAGGTATTCAGATTTCTGCACTTTTCTGTACTCACATTTTGCACATTGTACACATTTGCACATCAAATATTTCTACTATACTTTGTATATATATATATATATATATATATATTATTATTATTATTATTTTACTTAGTAAATTCCTGTCTTTATTTTTTATGTTTTATCTCTGAATGCTTAAAGGCATGGTTGACGATCTGAGAAACAGTTGAAAAAAACTGAGCCATTGAGGCAGATTTGAAAAACGCGTCCCAACCCCCACACACAAACCTCTCCCCTCTGTGCTACCCCCCCCCCCCCCCCCCAAACTTGTATCGCCCTCTCCACAACACACCCTCTCTTGCAGAGCAAGAAGCCGGCCGGCAGAAGATCCTAGGCTAGCTTGAAATAGGATTCATCATGTCGGATTGCGAGTGACTAGCGGCAGTAAACACCGCAGAGTCTAATAAGACTTTATGAAACATGTGCCATGTTAAAAGGCGAAATTTACCTGTACAACAAAAACTCTGCTGTCTCGGCGTCTGTTTTCAGACCCAAATCCTGGAGGAGCTTTCTCCACCGCTCGAAGGATGACCCGATGTTTAATTTAAGATTCCTCACTTGGTCACATTTCCCCTTACACTCTGCCCTTTCTTCTGTCGGCTTGTGTTTCCTTTGCCCTTTTAGCAGTGAGGCAAGTAGAAGTGCTTTTTTTTTTTTGCATCCTTCTCTATCACAGCTACGCTACGCTACTTTTAGCCTCTTAGAGCTCCAAGGAGGGCCGGGAGAGTGGGAGGGGACAAGCCAGAACTGCAGGAGAGGGGTGTGTCAAATACAGCGAGGTGATTGGATGGAGAGACGGAGCAGGAGATTGACCTAAAGGAGCTGTCCAGGACGGATTGCTCCCATTGGTCAATGTTTTTGCAGCCCTGCATCTGCTAGGGTGAACGGAATTTTTCCATTCTTTTTTCTCTTCACTTTGTGGAGATCACACGATAGGACCATGATCGCCATATAAACGAGGTTCATAATAATTACCGATTTCTCCAATCGTCAACCATTGCCTTTAAATGTGTCTAAGATGTTTGTGATGCACAATACAGTTTTCTGTCAGGGATTAATGGAGTATCTATCCTTTCTGTCCCATTCTGCTCTTTTCACCTGTGGATAACTGTTTTTTCCACACGAAACTTGCACAAGGTTTTCTAAACACACACAGTCCAGCACATTGGCATAAACCTGGAGCAGAGCAGAGAAGTCTTGTCACACCCTGTCAGGAGTCTATTTAGCAGAACCACCTGCTTCCTTTACCTCATTATGCTAGCTATGATTATTATGAGACAGTTATTTCATCTATACAATTGTCTTTTAGTGCTTCCATTGAAATTGCGTTTTTTTGTTGTACTTGCTGGCCAGTTAACATTCAATTTGACATTTTAATTAATGTTAAACTGTTATTATTATTTAGTTTTACCTTTATAACTTGCATCAAACTCCACAGTTTCATTCATGATAAAGTCTAAACGTTGTCCTACCTTGTTGCAGTAAATCACATTTAACTTGCATTTTCATTGAACTCTAAATGTAAAAATACGAGCACCTGCCTAAGTCCTCTTTGTTAATTTCCTGTTTACATTTTGTTTTCTTCACTCACCTAATAACACTGCCAAAGTCTGTACAATGCTGTGCTACAAGTCTGTTTTTAATTTAGCTGATGCCCTTTTCACTCAAATCTTTACATTTGCTTTAACGTCTTCTGCTGGTTTCTGCCTGGTTTTCCTTTTCTGTCATCTCTTGTCTGCTTGTAACTCCTCAGACGTTAGCCTGGTAGTTTCATACAGTCCAATAGATTAAAAGTGGCTTTAAAAATGTTGTTAGTAGGTGCTATGAAAAAGCTTGCCTAAATAACAAGCTAAATAATGCAAAAACTCATTATAGTAACCATGATTAAGTAATGATAGGGTAATTATACAGTAGGGATAAAGCATGTGCCAATTAAAGAATGCAAAGGTTTCCATAGTCCCTAGAGCTAGTCTTGTTTATGGTTTGGGTCATAGCTTTGTCTTTCCTGTCAAGAGGGTCTACACCACTGATGTCCACGATGGGGACCTGCAGAGAAACCACAGCAGTAAGAAAGTCTTTTGCTAAAGGAATACTTAGCAGTGATTTGGTGATTTTGACAAATGGGTTAAAGGAGGTGTTACCTGTGTTCTCTCATTCCTGTAAACCTCCTGGATCACAGAATTAACAGCAATGAAGAGAAGAAATCCAATATAGTCCTCTTACCTGGTGTAGACTTTTATTAGAAAAGACTGCTAACTACATCTCCTCAGTCCCTCTGGAGCTCATGTGAAAGTCTGACGGCACTGAAATGTTGTTTTCTTACAGTACATGGTGATACTTAGCAGGGTTAGTGTGCTGGATGTCCTTCGGTTTCTGGAAGCGCTAACCCCTCCTTTAAAACATAGTTTGGCAGCCATAACAGAGCTTTGAGAAGTTTGGAGACATCTTTCTCTGGTGGCACGTGTAGAATAAGTCCCTCAGGTAAAAAAATGCTTATGTGCAGGGAGAGAGAGAGGATATTTTTAAAAATCCCTTTGCAAATTGGTTTCAATCTGCTTGGCTGACCTTTACTCCAAACCACACTTCCATAACAGATTTGATAATTCATAAAAACAAAGAATCAGAGATCAGTGGGCAGAATATTCTCGTGGGAAAGACTTTGGCAGAAATTCAGGCATTTTGATGAAATGACTGTTTCAAGCTGAGAACTCTCAACCACATTTAATGAGACAGTTTCACCTCACTTAGAAATGTATCTACCAAATAAAACCAACATTTTAAGAATGGGGCACTCAGATTATATCAAGATAAAGTAAGTTTTCATTTTGTTGGCGAACAAGTCCTCAATTTTGGAGTTATTTAAGCAGCCTCCTCCACAGTTTACTCTCTGCTCTTTTTAATTGCTTGTTTTAAATTGGGGGCGGCTGTGTCACGCTGATTTATGGTGGATGTCGATGCCTATGGGGCTCTGACTCCTGCTCTGTTTCTGAGAACATTTTCAGAGAGTCACAGGTTGTTATCACCTCTGCAGGTCTGCAGGGAGAGACAGCAAAAGGCCGAATGACCCAGATGGAGAGTGAGGGTCATCTGTGTTAATAAGAGAGAGTCAGAAAGTAAAATAAATTACAGCAGACTCAGACTGGTCAGAGAAAAATATCACCCCCTGACTTTATTTAATGGGAGTTTTACTTTATGAAGCGCAAATCCTACCAGGCAGCAAATGCCTCTGCATAAACGACTGCACAGCCCACTACATAAACAACTCTGACCTTATATGTACGACTGGTGCAGTAACAGGTCATATGACTCCCTGCTAAGGAGATACTATAGACTTTACCTACACCCACATACACACAGACATGCTCAGAAGTATTGGATCACTTATACAGTCAAGACTGAGGCTGCTCATTTGGTTTGTAAATGTTGGCTGCTGAGATAAGGCCTCACAGGAAGACTCTAGTAAATGTCTGGATTTTAAGATCATCCCTTAAATGTCACCAGAGCTGGATGATGTGCTGTCATAAAATATAAAAACAAACACAGTAAATGCAGGACGGCTGCTGTGAGGATGTTATAGGACCAATTTGCCTATCGTATGTAGGCCACAGTATCTGTAAGCTCGCTTTTTAAACATGCAAAGTGTTCACCTGAAAAATTAATATGAAGGGAGAGTGCTGCTGCTGCTGCTGCTGGTTCTGTATGGAGGCATTCACAGGCGCTCAGTCATCATGATACACCTCCTGTCTCTTCAAAACAAAGAGGCTGTGGTCCTCTCTCTCTCTCACTGCTGAATATGAAACACACTCTGGAGGACTGCCTTGGAATAACACCTTATCTGAATTGTGCAAAATCACTCTGACTAACAGCAACAGCTCATTAGCACCCCATTGTACATCAGCTTTAATTGTAGCACAGCAGAGCCAGCAGCTTTCGCCAGCATCCATTCTCAGTTTATTACCAAACTCACAATGGAGGAGAGGGTGTCCTGTGGAGCTGAATGATTAGTTCGAGGAGGACTTTTCAGCTTACTTTCTCTCAGAAACAAAAGTTTTTTCTAAAGACTGCTTATATTTTCTGATCGCAGACTGAAGTCACATGTGCTCAGGTTGTTAAAATGGTTTGTAGATTCGGTAGAATGGTGAAATGGCATCATCTAGTGGTAGTAAAATGGTACTAGAACCTTTGATTAAAAGTACATAGCATAAAACCTAGTTTACATCAGTTGCATAGGGGAGGTTTTCTGGGTGTTTCTTTTCAATCAATCAATCAGTTTATTTATAAAGCACTCTTCATACATGGACTGTATCACAAAGTGCTGCACATTGGATCTGTTTTTATCTTCATACAACCTTTTATAGCTTAGTAAAGGAAAGCTTCTCTGTAAAATTACAATTTTGTCTTTGACAAATGCTCCCCTCTTTTTTTTCTCCTGTTTCTGTTCTCTTGTTTTTCAGAGACAGCTGATCATTTATTTTTCAAATTGATTTATTGTTTATCAGATACTTTTACTCCAGCAGAGGGCAGCAGCAGACATGATGGAAACGCTGACCTCACTCAATCTTTTCTGATGAATAAACAGTAACACGAGCACTCACCTATCTGTCAGACAAACTAACCATGCTCTTAATTCTGCTCAAATATGCTCTTACCTTAACAATGCTGATGAGTTTTAAACCGCAAATTAACAATATGGACTCTTAAACTTATACCTATGACCGATTACAATCTCATACTCATGGCTTGTACTGACAAGATTACCTATATATTTTTTTTACATTTTTGTGTTGTGAAGTATGTAGTTTAAGCTCACCTGACACTATATTAGAGCAGTGGTCAGTGCTGTCACCTCACATTTATTACAGGTCCTTTCAGTGGGAAGTCTGCGTATTTTCCACATGCATGCAGGGCTTTTAGAGTCCTGGGTGCTCATGAAGTCAGCTGCTGACTCTGAACTGCCTATAGGTGTCAGTGTGAGTGTGTAGAGTTGCATCTCTTTATTTTAGCCTGGTGGATGATTGACAGCCTGTTTCCTGCCTCTCATCCACTCCGCTTTCCAAAAATGACATTTCTGATGACTTGTAAGATTGGATGAGTCAAAACGTGAGGACTTTTCCCCTCCTTTCTGAATGCTTGCAGCACAAGTTTGATAAGGTACAATGGTGCTCTCCTCCTCTGAAACAGTAAAAAACATCCACCCAGGTGACGCTATTTTTCTCTGTCCGATTGCTGCGGCTGTGATTTTTCTTCGTCTCTGTTTGTCATGACAGATTTTGTGAACAGGTCAGTGGTTAGTGGGCTGTCACGTAATACAAACTCAGAGGGCGCTATGAAATGAAGAAGTTTAAGTCAAAGTCCAGAATGTGAGTAATCAACATCTGCAAAATGAAAAATAAAACTAGCAGATTAGGGTGAAAATGCTGAAAGTAAATGGGAAAATGAAGACTGTACTATTTTACCTTCCTATCATTAGTGTGCCAAAAAATCTACCTAGGTTTGAAATTCTTCTTGCATAAAAAACACTATTGATGAGTTGTCTCTCATCACCAAATGAATCAAACTTGTCAGAGAAGATTTTTTTTTATGTCAGCTTCATTTCCTTTTATATTATTTACCTTAAGAAATCATGATTCAGCCATAGGGTAGAGTTAACATTGACTGAGTCAAAGCTTCCTTAACGCTCTCTTCCAGTGATCAACATCGAGCTGAACAAACCACAGGAGCCGCAGACGACTGAAGGCGGCTGTTCCTGTTAATACTGTCCTGGAAAGAATCGATCATTTACACCACCTGCTTGTTATGTTGCTTCCTATTGGTTAACCTGCAGTTGACTTTGCACGTTGAGAATCTGGCCTCCTCACCTGACTGACTACTGGTCATCTGTTGGAACTAGCAATATGTGAATTTGCTTCTAAAGTAGTGTAGCCTACTTTGTTAATGAAACTGCCAAAAAGTCTGACAACTTGCAAAAAAAAAGGAAAGAAAAAGAAGTTTAAAAAAGATTCCCAAGTTGAGAATGTGGATACAGTTTTTTTAAGTCGAAAAGGAAGTTTCCCCAGTTTCTTTTTTGTATATTTTTGTATATTCAGGGAAATCTCTCTGGAAAGGTTGTTTTTTTAAAAGATGCAGAAAACTGAGCTCTGTATTTCAGAGCTTGATTCGAGCAGGTGGTTTGGGCGCATTTTTATGGATCTGACTTATGATAGAGGAAAACTGAGGCCCTCTTGACATTACTGCCCACATGTAACTCTTTCCTAACCCCTACCCGAGTCATACATGAAATCATACACACACTTATTACCTGAACATTTTCCTCCCTTCAACCCTGCTTCTCATGATTAGGGGGCCTCCTGTCAAAGTGGGATCCATTCTTTTGCGTTCCAGACATCACAGGAAAAAGTGAAGATTAACATCATGAGTATCTTATGCATGCCTAGTTTTTCCAGCATAGGTACTGATTACAAGTGTACACAAATATGTAAAAGGTAACACCAGTGACTTCATGAACTCTGATTATGATTAGTCCAAGTCTTTTTGTTCCTGAAAACTGTTGAACTGGATTTGTATACTTGACTTCAGAATATCTTTTTGTGGTTTGTGCGTGTAAATGTGAGCTTTCTGTATAGGCAACATTAGAATGCAGCTGTATAGAGGGCCACTGCCAAGTCGTGTCATTATCGCCACATCACGGCACCTTTTAGGCCACCATTAGTCTGCTGGATGTCGAAGGCTCTGTTCAGACTGCTGGCCCAAATCTGGCAGATCCAGATTGTATTTTAAGGTTTAGACATGATGTTTGTTTTAACAAATCTGCTGGATTTATGTGTCTCAGATTGGGAGTACGTTCTCCATTTTTCTTAGTGCAGCAGGAAAAAAAAAGGCAATGAATACAGAGAGGTGCACTCTGGTACCAATACAGTGCAAGCAGATTGTGGGAAAATATACATTCAGTTGTTTGTTGTCTTTAGCAGGTGACTGTCTAACCCGTGTTTGGTTCTTCTCCTGTTCAAAGGACGTTTCACATTTCCACTTCAACTTCTACTCATGGTGGATTAAGATGGGATATGAGTGGGTCTAATCTAACTCGGTGAGATTTAATCATGCCTTAACTTTTGTTGGCTCTTGGTTAAAAATAAAACAGAGCACGGTTTAGACTAGCTCAATTTGAATTGGGGCTAAAGTGTATGACGTATATGGAAATGTGAACAGCAGTTGATCCTCTGCACAGTTCTCCTCAGGGGCACATTGAGAAGGATTAAAAGAATTCCAGAAATGCTCTTATCAAAATATTAAATCAAAAAGCTTAATTGACAATTTTATTAACAGCTGTGTTTGCAAAACTGGATCAACTGAAACTGAGCTTCACTCATCCTGTGGAGAAATAATAGTGAGATTAAGAGGTAAAGCTGATCAGTCTGCAAACTGACTCTGTCAGGATTAATAAACATGTTTGGGGATTTGTGTAGAAACAAATGTCTTCATCTTTCATGACAACATGTCTTTTAAATAAAGCCTTGCAGCCAGAGTAGACCTTCCTCATAGTCTCTGTGAGGGATCGGTCTATTGCATTCAAATTTATGTAAACTCCAAAGCTGCTTCACCTGTTTGTCAGAGTGACTGCGACTAACCAGAACCCTCTTCTTGGGCAGTGTCAGCTTTTTTTTACCCAGTCATTTATAGGACAGACAAACAAGCTTGTTGTGATTACTTTTTAATACTCCCATGGGTAATCTGATAGAAAATAAAATAAAAAACCTACACCGCTAATGCTCACAAGCAGCTGACATGGCAGAATGGACAGAAGTAAGTATAAGCTATGTCTTTGCTGCGAAACCTTTTTCAGAAACCCCTGAATTAACCCCTGGAGTCTGTGTGTCTTTGTGAGATCTAATCTGAAAAACAAACCTGGTTTTCCTGCAGTCTGAACAAAGCTTTCAAGTCTTCGCTCACAACAATATGACATCTGCCGTTTAATCGTGTGATATCTTGTAGTTGTGATCATGGTAGTCTGCACATCGGCTGTAAATGAGCAGCTGGGAACCATAACTCTTGCCTTGTTGTCACAGAGGGACCTGAGGTCCTCTGTGTGGTGATCTGTAGACTTAAATGCAGGTTCTGTGATCAAACAGACCTCTAACATTGTAAATCAGTGCTTTGATTCATTCAGACAGAAGACTAATTTGCACATGTAGACATTTCAGGTGAATATGAAGTTATGAAAGGCTTCATTGTAAATATCTAGTCACTTGATTGTCACGTAACATGTCCCCACTGAATGAGCTCTTCTTTTTGCTGCTTGTGTTTAAACTGACTACTGATGTTGGCGTTATGCAATGTTCTTTAATTTAATTCCTCTTTTTGTTTTTCTTAGAGCCAGGTATCACAAGAGTGGAGAACACTACTTTGACTTGTCTTTGAAGTGAAACCCTACTGCACTTTTTAAGAACACGTTTTAGAGTTAGAGTGAAAATGTAAAACTTGAAAAAAGGTTAAAAAAACAAAAGAAGAACATTCATCCCCAGAACATTTGAAGTACTGTCATGTTGTTGTGGACTCAGATGTTTATAAATTGTTCCAACCAAAGACTGTATGTAAAGATGGACTCCACCTCCTCCCACTGGACAAAAGTGATGCTAAAATTGCCAAACGCTCCTTTTTTTGGATGCTGAATTAGCTCTGGATCTGCAGTATTACCAGGCTGCTGGATTTTGTAGGGGCAATAAGGGGCAGATGCAACCTTCATCGTAGTTCACCATGTTTCAAGTGCTTGGAATGTAACGTTTATTTATTCTGACAGGTCCTGAAACTCTGCTTCTGTCTGATCCAGCTATAATCATGCTCAAAAATTGGAGGCTTACCTCAGCATAAGACATAAAGTATTCCTAGGGAAGCTTCTAATTCTTGAAAGTTGATTGACTCTTGTTTAGTTTGTTGTGTTTTCCCTCGCTGTAGCTGCAATACATGGCTTTGCAGGATTTGTGAATAAAGCTGTCAGTCACCCCATTTTCAGCATCAAATAACCAATTCCAACTAAACTTCTCAGAAAATAAATTATTTGGATGTAAATAAGCATAGATAAAAATAGACTACAATGACAGAAACTATGTGTAAAAAATAATTTCACAGTTGAATTTTGCCTCATGTCCCATCTGTTTGCATGGAGGAGGCGGGCTTGAAGACCTGTTCTACAGCCGGTCACTAGAGGAGCTCCAAATACTTTGCGTCACTTTTGAGGGAGCTTTTATGTGGTCCATCTTTTTAAACAGTCTTTAGTTCACACATGTTAAAAAACAGGGGAGAGCACTCTTGTAGAAACTAGCGAGCCTTTTGAGGCCACTTAATGAACCAAATACTGAAAATACTGAGAGCTGGAGCAGATTTTACAGGAGATGACAGCTAGAGCACACTTTGCAAGACAAATGTGATAGAGTCAAGGTTGTGTATCAAGCAAAGATCCCTCAAAAAGAAAAGAAAGTACTGTACTGAACCCTTTGTGTTTGCTGCCTATTTGTTATTGTAAAACAGGAATGTACTCTTCTCTTTACTGACACTGAGATTACTGAGAAATAACTCAGTCGGTTTTTATTGTTCATAAGGAGATAACGACTAACCAGTAACTAAAGGTGTTCCCTCTGTAGTAGTGCTCCTTACATTTGAAATCAGAGTCCACTCATACTCATTTTCACACTCCCTGTAAATGGACCAAGCAGTGCAACAAATGTCTGCAGTTTGAGGTTGGGAGGGGTGTGTGTGTGACCTGTCACAGCTCTGTGCAGCAGACCTGATCAGTCCAGAGCTGGCTCTCCATTCACACTGTACAGAGATTTAGCATGTCTCTCCAAATGATTAATAAAGATGTCTTATTACCAAATCATGCTGAATACTGTCTTCATTTATCTGTTGTCCTAAACTTTGTATCCGCCGTACCTGTGTGTCAGAGTTTCTGCTATCCTGTTTATCTGTTGTGCACTCTCAATCTGATACAACCTATCGTACTGTTGTTGAGTTACGATAAGGAGTTTTTAGCGGGTTCCAGCTCAGACTGATGGTTCAGTATGACCTGCAAACTAACTCCTCTACACCATGGATCAAAATCAAGACTGACTTGGTGGCCCCTGCTGCATTCAGACACCTTAATTTCATAACTCTCTGTTGGTAAATGCACCGACAGGTTTTATAAATGCATTTTCTATATTTTGATTTTGGGGGCTTTAAACTGGTAGGTGTAAACAAAGCAGTTTGAGAAACAGCCTTTTATTCTATTTTCCACTTTAAAATTCACTGTGAGTAATAAATTCAACTGTCAAACGTCAACAAGATGAGATTTTCTGTCAGAAAACCCAATTTAAGTATGTTGATAGCAAGATAAGCAAAGACTGCTTTGACCACAGGGGGCACCAGAACTCACACAACCGTAAAAGTTTCTCACAGGAGCTTTAAAGACAGTCCACTACACCCTGTATCAAGTTTCCTGGAAACTGCAAAAATAACTGCCACTGTGTTTGGGTATTAATTATATTATTATCATTCAGGTTTGGATATTCAACACACTTTCAAATTCATATTTATTTTGTGCTTATTTGGTGTGTAACAGCAGTATAGACCCTGAAACCTGCTGATTAATACCTGATCATTACAGCTGACTGGTTTATTATCACCTCTGTGCACTGGCGTTTTGATTTCCCATCATCTCAGAAACCTGTTTCTGGACTAATGATTTTCCTGGGGTCTCCTCCGCTGACATCAACACATATAGAAGCAGACAGGTGTTACTGATGGAACTCAGGTTAAACTCATCGAGGAGTGTAATGCTGCATCAGACACAATAAGATTGAGAAACAGTGGAGCAAGAACTGCGTCAGCGATAACATGTTGTGACATGCATGGTTTCTAGCCAGACACAACAACTAATGTCCCAGTTTCTGTTAAAAACTGTTAGTTTCTGTTGGTGGAGCTGTCTGGTCAGGCCAGGATCAACCACAGAGAGACAGTTTGACTTTATAACACAGCAAACCAGTCAGGTGAGACAAAGCGGCTGCCCCGTGAGCCTCCAAGAGTGCTCCAAATACTGCTCTTATTACTCAAGTAGTGCTTTTAGTATTACCCCCTTGAATGATGTTACATTACTTGTTTGCTGATTCCAATGTGATGTTGTCCTACTGCCTCTGCGAGTTGTTTCACTTACCTTGTGTGATCATTTAAACACCCTGAAACTGTTTTTCCATGTTGCTGCCTTCATGTTCAGTCCTGTTCCTCCTCCTAATTTCGCTCTAGACTTATAGTTTTGCAAAAACACTTACACATCGCAGGTATTTGGGTTCATTCTGACCACTGAAAACCCTCACTGGTTTGATAACAGGTCATTAAAAAGGAATGCACTGTTGCATGGTGTAATGAGCAGCACTGTGGAAACTGCCCTCTTGCACCATGGTTTTGTTGCACACACTGCTCTCCTCTCTGGATGTCTTACACCTGTTTTGATATCTCTGTGCAGGAGAACTGCAGCACACTTTTAAGGCTCTTTATTTCATCTCTACTACATTTTATAGTGAAGTCCATAGTGAGCACTCTTACTCTTGTAGAACCTACAGTGGAAGAGTATTTGCAAACAGAACAGGCAAGAGTGAGCAAACATTTTAATAAATAAATCAGACAGAAACGGATTTGTCTGAATGGAATATACTCAGAATTTCTTGAATTACGTTTTTTCTACTTATAAATTACGGCTTTGGATATATTTGATTATGTAATGTGAATGTTGTCATCCAGAATGAATATAAGATTTTGGAGGTTTGCATACAGTACTTTATACCTACCAAAACTCAGCTGTTACTGTATTTTGTTGTTTAACATCAAAGTCATGATACCCATGAATCAAAGAGCTGTCAGTCAGTTAGGACCAGTGCAAATAAAGTTTATACAGTCAGATGTTTTCACATCAAAATAGTGTTACATACACCTTAAACTAACATGTAACACTTAAAGACAGAAGAGCTGCTTTTTTGTTCTTAAGTGGGATTATACAAAGAATTTACCATCACAGGATATCAATCTCAGCCTTGCACATAAAGAATGGTCTCCTACAAAGGCCTTCTGTGAAGACTCCTATAGTAACATATAGTAACATGGGCTTCTCTAACTCAAAGGCCTGTATATTCAGTACCCCTGTAGTTCCCATTCTGACAAGAAACTGGCACAGAAGCTGAGCTGTCAAACCCTGCAGGCAGAGGCAGCTCCGACACACAATTTAGCTGATTTCAAGAACTCCCAACTCAAACTCAAATGTTGGTTTAAGCTTTTACTTTTTGAGAAATTCTTCTTTTGACTATAGTTTATGATGGTCAATCATATAACCCATTAGTTTTTCTAATATTAGCAGAAATGACACAAAGACTTTTGTCTTGCAGAGCATGTATCAGTGGTGAACAGTTTTTTATTTGTTTGGTTATTTGTGTAGATGTGTGTGTGTGTGTGTGTGTGTGTGTGTGTGGGGGGGGGGGGGGGGGGGGTAACAATAGAGTCGGTCAGCTTTCTAATGATCGTTTTTTATGTATTTGTACCTGTGAGCTTTCAAATACAGAGTATTTACTCCAAGTTTTACTCCTTGTAATGATCTATGTCTTGCACAGCCACCACCCTGTACTGGGAGTTCCTCTCTGTTTTATTCCACCTTACATCCACTGACCACCGGGATCACACTGGGAGCCAGTAAACATGTTGTGAAATGGAAACTGGTGCTCTGCCACTTTCACAATCCTGTAGAGTTTGTTTGTGCTCTGCAGGGTTTCAGTTTCCTGCTGTGGTCCAGACTGCAGCTGTGACAGACTCTCATGGTGCCAGCTCACTCAGAAACTCTTTGTTTGACAACACGGGGCAGATGATGTCAGTTGCTGTGATAGTACTTAACTGTGGGAACAGACAGAATGCCGGGAGGCAAACGGACATGTTCAACTGTATGCTTCTTTGGCGAACAGAGGAGGCAGCCTGTTAGGACAAGCTGGCTGTAAAACCTGCATAACTACTAACAGATTTCTTACTCTGGCCCCTTCAACACTGACCTTAATATGACTGAAACGCCAAACATCTTAAAACCTTTCACTGACCTTGAACTGGGATTAAATCCACACATGCTACCCCTCTTTTTCCTCCCAGAGTTGGATACTCTTGAATTGATTTTTGCACATACGGTGACACAAAAGAGAGAACACAGATATTTACATAAAAAGTAAAGCTCCACTTTTCCAATATCTTCAGAGATGGAAAACTTGCCAGATGCTCATTGAATGGATTTTTATAATCCGCTTTCATGGTTCAATGAGTCTTTTGTGGTGTGTTTTTTCCTCTGTATCCAGCCGACAAAAGTAATTTTCACATTCAGAAATCCTCTTACTGTCAGTTACTTTAATACTTTATGTGTCATAAATGATGTACACAGTAAAGGAGAAAATGTGTCTTTGCTTTCAGCTTTTAAATCTTTGATCAAATGAGTCATCTGTCACAGTTATGGGCTAAAACCGGCATAAATGAATAAATGACACACAGATACAGGGACTTTCTTTCTTTAAAAAATAGTTTAATTAAATACTTTGTTTACTAGCTTTTATAGATAAAGAGAAAAAAGTCAACGTTCAGCTGTGTCTAAAAAGGGAACGTCCTCAGGAGACCATCTGTCATGAGGGGGGTCTTTGGGTGTGAGTCCCACTGGGACAGCTGAACACAATCCCGGAGCACCAGCTGGGAAAATTAAGCCCAGAATAAATAATGGGGGAGACGGGGCACCTTTGGCTGAGGACAAAACAAAGTCCTGACAGAAACATAAATGGATTCTCGGTGCTAATGGCCTCAACTTTCCCTCAAGTGACAACACTGAGGCTTCTAATGGAGCTAACATCCGAAATAACACTCTGAGAGGAGCTCCCACATCGTCCCTGGTCTTCTTTCTCAAACCGTCTCATCAGTTGGAAGCCTGCGCCAGGATTTCATCTCCCTTTTAAAGCACAAACAGAAAAGTTAAACCAGTATTTTCTGCTTTTCAGAGAATAACAGCAATTTAGTAAATAAAACTAAATAGAATAAAAGATCCTTACACATTCCCACCAGGCACAATCCTCTCTTGCTGCTGCTTTGTCAAACTGAACTTTTTGAAGAACGCAGGCAGTTTAATGAGTTTCGTCCTGGCAGACCTGGAGGAAACACTGAAAAGTAAAAGTTTCAGAGTCAGACAGAGTCTCACTCCTAAAACAACATGAGGCACTGCAGAGCTGAGGCGCTAATGAGAAGCTTTGTGTTTAACATCAACATGTGAATGGGAGAGTATGACTGGAATTTGGAATTCGACTGGAATGGGTAAAGGTTTTCAAATTCAACACAGTTTTAAAGAGATACTCTTTCTTGGTTAACATTTTTTAGGGTACTTATGATTGCCAATACCAGCATCAGAAATACCTCTGATACCAGGTAACAAGAGTTGTTGCACTAATCTGACTCAAAAACCAGGAGACCTCATGAAAACATCCCTGTTTTTAGAGCAGTAAAGGACAGATTTCATTTCAATCAACACATTTCATAGAAAGTGTTTTATAACCAAGGGTGTCATTTACAATATAGGATATGACACTTTGTGACACAAAAATATTCAATACAATATAGGACAATATATTATGATTTCATACAAAATAATTTGATATAATATGATACAATAAAACAACATGATATGTAACTTGATATGATGCAAAATGATACGATACAAAAATGATAGGATAAGAGAAGTTACCATGTGATATGACAGTAAGATAGGCTACATTAAAATATGACGTAATACGGAACGGTATATGACACACAGTGTCCCACAATTTGATACAATACGACACGATACAATAAGATTTGGTGAGATATGGTTAGATATGATACAATTTGATGTGTTTCAATATGATGAGATTTAAGTTAGCTACAATGCGATGCAATACAATACACCACGATAGAATCAATACAATACTACATGTTACTACATAATACTACACTTCATGCAATGCAATACCATATAAAAATACACGATACAATACAATATGATATGATATGATATGATACGATATTCCCTATATTTGGCCCAGCCAGGACATGGGTAGTTAACCTGATACAGGGATGATGTGGTAATTGGTTAATTGCTAGACAATCATACTCTGATGCATCACATTATCTGATAAACTGGGAAAGAGAGGGATATAACGCCCCTGATACTAGGTATTGATGCTGTGAGTAGTTAGAAGGGAAATCTTTTTGAAGCACTGTGTTGTTTTTAAGTTTAAATATTGACATCTGGATAAATGTTCATGTAATTTTGGGAGGATTTTTGCCATCATTGGCCAGATCAGCTGAAGAAAGATGGTAAATGAGGGGACAGGGAGACGACAACCTGCAAAGGGATTGTGGTCTGCAGCTCAAACAGCCACCCCTGTATTGAGGACTACAGCCTCTGTACGTGGGGTGTGCAGCTCAACTGCTGGGCCATACTGACATTATCTTGATATTTTGTCCTATTTTTGTCCGTTATGCAATAATAAGAAAACCAATAAAAAAAATTTAAAAAACACTTTAAGTGTCAGCAGTTTCTGTTAGAAACTGTCTCTTATCAGTGTTTTTAAATCACTCTTTAAAATTGTGTTTTTCTCTTATTTTAATCTAGGAAAGTTCAAACCATTTAAATCACAAAGTAAAGAACGCTGTGGTGAAAAATCTGTATTTATGAAAAACTCTTCAGCAACACAGGATATAAATAGAGGCTTGCAGCCAACACATTTGTTTGTAAAGCTTTTCTGAACACAGTTACTACAATACAACTGTTTAAAAAAGGTGACCCACTTTTTTATCATCCTTGTGTTTGGTAAGAACTCAGTGTCAGCAGATGGAATATAGAGGGAAGAAATGGTAGCACAAAATCCCAACAGTAAAACTAATAATACGAAATAAAAAGGGAAGCAACTACAAGCTTCACTGAAAAAGTCCTTCCAATTACAACAAGAAAGAAGAAACTGTTCCACATTTTCTATCTGTGTAAATGTTTGTGTTTGTGTTTGTTTGCACTGTTAAACTTACCACTCTGCTTGGATTGAAGGTTGCGCTTTAGGCTCAGTCCTCTCCTCCTCAGCTACTTCTTTAACTCCATCTTCATCCTCCCCTGTCTCCTCCTCCTCCTCTTCTTCCGGTATCTGCTCCCACAACCGGCTGTTGACCCACAGAGCCTCCTGCAGACTGAGACCACGTCCAATGCAGGTCACTCGTCGACACAGAGGGCAAGGCACGGTCAGCAGCCCGCTCCTGGACCGAGACATTGTCTCCAGACACAGCTCACAGAATGTGTGTCTGCAGTGAAGCACCCGAGGGATCCGGTCCATCCGGGAGTAGGGGGACAAGCAGACGCTGCAGTCGCCGTCCTCGCACAGAACCATGATCAGGCTGAGAGGTCGGTCCTCAGAATTTAAGGAAAACTGCACCAAATAAAGTCTTCTCCAGCAGGGAACTTAGGGGGACAGTTGCTGAAGCAGGTCTAAACCTTTGAGAGTGCTTCTTTCTGTTAAATACAAAAGTAGTTTGTGAATTATGTACAAACTATTAACATTTAATTATTAGTACAAGGACATTTCAGGAGAATTCTTGAAAATCAATTCTGATGGTACACCAGTTTCTATATCCACTGAGTGGTGGTATCAGCCAATATTTACCCTGTTGACACATATAACCCTGTCAGCCAATAGTATATCATCCACAGATTGCAATAGGTGGTATATCCTACATAGATCTATAATTATATTAATTAAATGACAAAGCCTTCTGTGAGGTCTAAGCCTTGTGTCTTGTCTAATTTAACTGTGGCATATCTGTCTGCTTTTGTCAGGCTGTGTGAGGACTAAGAATGTCTTCTTACTAATTTTTTAAATAACAAAGCAACTTAATAGGATTTTCATGCAGGTATTTGAAAAAACAGAGTGAAATAGCCATCTTTCCATCTTTTACTTTAAAGATATCAACCTGTTTTGTACATTGGTAGTTATGTTTTTACTTCTCTGAGATAACTTCATGAAAACCCAAAAGACATTGATGGTGTTCATCAACATTTTTAATATTGTTTTGATCTCTGCTTTGGTTGTGTGGATTGTGATAAATAATAAGCAGTAATGATGGACTGATAACAATAAGAAGTTACACTGTTTCCCCTGTGTTTGTCAGTATCAGTGTCATAATTAACTTACAAATCATTTGTTAATTGTTGTTACAAATCAACAATTAACTCTAGAGTGAACTATTCATTATAGTAAGTTATGTGCCATTCTGCTCTAAAGATAACGTTTAGTAGCTAGACATGTTGCATGACAGTAAGATATAAATTGCAGTAAGTTAAAACAGAACACTTAAGAAAACCGTCCTGAATACGCTGAACCATGACAGAACCTGCTATCCATCACTAAACTATATATTTTATTTAAGCACAGAGCAAGGGTTTATTTACAGAATCGGTCATGTGTACTTACACTGAAGCAGAAGCCCAGGCAGACAAAAGTTGTTCCCGCAGCTCAATTCCTCATCAGATCCGTTTTCAGGAGCATTTTCTCTTTGCTGTGTCCAGCAGACAAGCGGCAGTGAAAAGAGAGGAAGAGCCGGCTCGTCTGCCGCCTGTTAGGAGTGTCTGGTGTATTTGTGGGGGCGGGACAGAAGCGTCTCTCTCTCTTCTCATGGCTCAGACTCTCACAACGCAACAGCTGGGGAAGCAGAGCTTTGGAGACCGTCTCTTTGTTCAGTGTGGGAGGGAGTGCAGGTGGAGGGATGGGCGTGGGATTTGTTGACAAACAGTGATTACACCAATAAGCTTTTACCATTTTCACAAAGACTACCACTCTGACAAACATGCTAAACCATTGGCGCTTATTTCTGATCTGACAGAATACCTTTTTTGAAAAAAAGATGGGCTCGTCCGGGATTTGAACCCGGGACCTCTCGCACCCAAAGCGAGAATCATACCCCTAGACCAACGAGCCACACTTCATTGAGGAAAATGGTGTATTTAAAACAATAATCAAAAATACTGTCACGGTAATATTTTTAGAAATTTCTGTCCGACCGCGTCAGAAAATTATAAAATCTACGATACTCAAAACCTCACTGAGAGTCCTAAAATCTTACAAGACCACCTGTCGGCCAATCCTTACAGGTTAAACTATAGTATACGATTGTAACACATTGTTTAGTTCAACTATTTAGTAAAACAGCTGCAGGACAACGCTAAAATTAGCGGGTTTTTTTTCTGTTCAGACCACACTGAACTGGTTGTTAATCTCTAGAACTACGATAGCTAGGCTTCTGAGGTCCGGCCTAAGTGGTTTGCATATAGAGAGGCTACATGTACTATTAAAACGGTTTCAGATTTGAGAAACTTTTATTCTACAAAGAGGGAGAAATAGAGAGGAAAAAACTGTGAATTTTTGACACAGGATAAAGGTTCCGTAAATCTGAAACTGTTTTTTAAAAAAAAGTTTGGGGAGTTTCTACAATAATTTAATCTATATCTCACATGTCCATGTATTTAGTTTTAGCATTTGCAAAAACAGAATAAAGGTTCTGATAAATTCCAGATAGCCAATTTAAAGAGAAGTGTGGCTCCCTACTTAATTTAATCCGTATACAGCCCAGGACTTTCGGTTGTCAGTCATCTGTCGCGACAGACCGTAACATTCTGTCAACCGTGTACTTAATCCGGTAATGGAGACAATGAAGGTGGAGAACTGAGGTACCTGTACACTCGGTGTTCAAAATATGGGCTCGTCCGGGATTTGAACCCGGGACCTCTCGCACCCGAAGCGAGAATCATACCCCTAGACCAACGAGCCACGTGTTCAAAATGCAATACACAATAGGTTTTCATCCATGTCACTTAACTGTATTCTTCATTAGGAAGACTTGGTAATTTCTACATGTGTATTTTTCCATCATCCTGTAAACCTGTAAACACCATCTGACGCTACACCTGTGTCCACTTCTCTTGGCCACCCGATGCATTTTGAGCCATGCCATACTTTCAAGTACCTGTACTAAATAAAAAAGGTCACAACGGCTTATGCTACTTTATACTAGTTTATGTTAGCAATCTTGTTTTGGTTTTTGCAAAACTCTCCTGTAATACATTAATGTAAGCCATACCTTGTTACTGCTCAACAGACAAATTCACCAATCGACAAATGGGTTGGCGCTGAACTGCTTGTGAACCAACCGTTCGTACGTACCGCGTGCTTACGTCACTATTGGAGGTGGTGTTACCGCCTTGAATCAGGAAATTCGTCTAGTTACGAAGTGAAGTGAATGATGTAAACAAAAGTTATAAGAAGAGCGAGAACGATTATCAACAAGTGTATCTGACAGCGTTTCCTTTCAGTATTTGAAATGTAAGCAGTCAGTGTTTTTGCACTGCGTGTTCGCTACAATTCAAAGCAAGTGAATGTGACGTTATTTGCCTAGTTTCAACTGAACTGGCGCCAGTACAGCTCAGTGGCGTCCATGCTCTCAATGAGGCTTTGCTCAGTTGGACAGTTTAGAGAGGGAATCTGAACAACACTCTGAAAGTGTCAGTGGTTTTTACCTGCTGTGAAAAACACCGGCAATATGACTTCCTATCAGAGGGAAGCTTCTTCGGGATCCCTGCAAAATCCTGATCTAAGGTAAGGTTTGCCTGGCAGGTTGACTGGACAACTTGAGTTGAGTTTGTGTTTGAGTTTGATTCGGAAGTATGATAGGTAAACAAGTCTTGGAAGTGTGTCATTTGAAAAGATAGCTGTGTCTTATAAATGTGTTTGTCTGTATTCCAGCTCTGTCCTGTCATCATGTGAGCCAGAGCTGCAGGAGCTGATGAGGCAGATTGACATCATGATCGGTAATCAGAGGAGGGAGTGGGAGGCTGAGTTTCAGGCCATGGAGGTGAAGCTGAAGAGTGGAGGAGAGGAGCTTTTAACCGCCAGAAATTTACTTCAGCGAAAGGACCTGGAGGTGCAAAGGCTTATTTTTTGCAATGCTTGATTGATAGTCTTAATAGAGATATCAAAACTAGTGATACACTAGTTGAGGGAATACGGGCTGGTACCAATTCAGATGTTAAAATACAAATTCAACCAGTTGCTGATTCCACTCATGAGCTTTGTCGCTCATCTTATTTTTCTAGTGATTAGTTCCTTCACCCAATTACCTCATCAAACATTTGCCACAAAGGTACCAAAGCTCTGAAGCTTCAGTTCAACTGATGAACTGTAGTTTCTTCTGTGACAGTCTGAAGCACCATTCCACATCTGTAGTTTTGGTGTTAGAGAAACTCATGTGTTATAAGAGAAAATATCTGTATCACCTATTGTGGGATGCGTGTTTTTTGTCACATGTGTCTCTTAATTTCTGAGCTTATTTCTTCTCGACTTCAGTCAGAAATACCACTCACACTGTTTACTCCTGACAAGCTTGAATGAAGTGTTTACTAAAGGACCAGAAACGTTTGAAACTTTGGACATCACCAGTCACATGATATGTGGTTCAAGCAAGCTATGAAGCTTTGGTACACTACACCCATGTCATCTGTGCAGTCAAACAGAAAGTAACAGGAACTATATTGCGTGGTATGGTTTTTAAACCTGCTGTGTTGATGTTTTACCCACATCTTAACTATACTATGACTTTCACCACCTCTGACTGTAGATTGAATTACTTGGCAAACAGCTGGAAGAAGCCCAGGTTGGACGGCAAGAGCTAGTCAACAAATATGAGCAACAACTACAGAAAGTCCAGGAAGAGGTGAGAAACAAGTCAGGTCAACAGTTTTAGAATAGAATAGAATATTCCTTTATTGATCCCCCATGGGGGAAATTTTTTTTTTAATAGTTTTCCACATTAAAGGAAATTGACAAAAAGTGGTTGTGAGTATATATGTATACTTATTTTTTCACCAATATTACCAAACATCTAGAGACATCTCAGTCATAGTATCCATCAACGTCTTATGTCTTGGACTGAAAGGTTATTTTGGATTTTTAAAAACAAAAATATCTTCAAGGCCTCTGAACACAAATTGAAACAGGACTGCTTTCTAATGTTTTTTCCGCAGTTGAATAAGTTAAAGAAAAGTTATCACAAGCTGCAGCAGAAACAGCTCAAAGTAACCAATGGAGGGACAAAAACTGGAGGGAGTGATCATTTAGAGGTGACCCGGCTCAATGAAAAGATTGAGGTACAGAAACGTTTTTCCAGGTTGTCACATTAATCAATTACAAAAAAAGCACTTTAGTGATATCTGTTGGTTACAAGGATTGCAACAGCTCTTATTTGTCCCTGTAGAAATATCACCAGCGCTCTGCAGAGTTGGAGCAGCAGAGCATCCAGCACCAGAAACAACTCAGGGATCTGGAGGTCCAAAATCAGAGCCTGACTGATGAGCTCACACGTTTGAAAGTAAAAACTCATTAACATCAGTAAATGTCTTAACAAAAAAGCTTAACACTCAACAAAGTAGAAGCATTTAAGTTTCTAATTTTTTTTCTCCATCTTTGAATTCCAGTCTCGATCTGCATTAACAGAAACAGGGAGGGGTCACAGGGAGTGCTGCTTACAGGTGCAGCATCTGCATACTCAGCTGGAGAAGGCTCAGGACAGTCTGCACACACAGGAGCTTGAACTGGAACACCTCAGACCTTTGGAGACACGACTGGAGGAGTACCAGAGAGAGCAAGAGGTCAGAAGAATGGTAAGAGTGTAATCCTGTGTTAGTAGATTGAACCTGGAGGCAAACCTGAGGGCTGAGAAACGTGCTGAGAGTGTCAACAACACACAGACCCGCACTGATTGGTTAATTTGGTGGCCCTCCAGTGAAGCTTAACATGACAATTTCAAATGTTTTAGGTTATAAAAAAATCTTTTCTGTGATCATTATGGCCAAAAAAATTGCATTTGACAATCATTTCTTGATCATAAAAAAAAAAAAAACAATTTGACACTAAATAACTTTTAGTAGTTGTCTACAGGTACAAAAAATTACATGAGACTTTTGAACTTCTGTTCTACTAGCAGACAATTTTGCAAGACTCCAACAGAAAGCAAAACATTCAGTCAATTTTTTGTTTATCCTTATTAATGATTACCTCAATGATGAAAATTCAGCACAAGGAATTAACTGTATTCTGTGTTTGAGAACAAATCACCATTAAATTCTTCATTATTCCCAATCTGCTATAGTTTAACTGTTATAAACAACACTTTGAATATTCGTATCGTAATATTCTTGTACAATGGCTAGCTCCACATCTTCTGCTACCCTTCAGATACCAGGTCCAGCATATAAGACAGTGATTTTCAAGCGCGTCATAGATCTACCCTTTAAGAGGATTTAAGAGGAAATGACATCCCTTTGTAATAATTTTACACTTTAATGGTTACAGCAGAAACTTTTAATAACAGACACTCAGCGCCCTGAAAGCCAGCTCTTATTGCCAAAATCAGACCCATATATAAGTTAAAAACACTTTTCCCAGTATTGGACTTGGTTCATATACTTTTACAAACTCACCTGAGAATTATAGCAGCTGACCTGCTGAACTCATGAGCTAAATGGCCAAAAAGCTGTATTTTTAAATATAGCACTCTCTGAAGTCTTCCAACGACTCATACAGCTTCAGCATGATATCTCACACTCACTCAGCACTCATCACTATTAAATAATCTCTCTCACACGGCTGGTACAGACAGTGGGGAGTTAGTTGTAGTTTATTGTAAAACTGACTCTACCACTGAGCCACAGCCACTCCTAACTGACATAAAAGACACCAGTGTTCAAATGTTTGTGCACTAAATTCATCTTGTTTAGCTCTACATTAGCGCTGCTGCATAGTGGCTGAGGGTCCTCTGATGTTCCACAGGTTTTTTCTGAGGAAAGGGAGGAACTCCACGCCACTCTGGACTCCCAGGACACATGTATGAGGAGAGCAAGCCTGGAACGCCAAAGACTTCAAAATGAAACTGCCAGACTCAACCAAGTGCTGCAAGCTAAAGACCACGTCATCCGGTCAGTGGATTTTTACCTTTGAAAATGTCTTTATCATATGCAGTACTGCATAAGATCACAGGAGGGCGCTCTCACACTACATAAATACTGCAGATGGACAGCATTGATGATTAACTTTGAGAAAGGTGAAACAGAATTCAATAGAGGACAACTGTTAATATTTCCTAGCTCTTTGGAGGACTGTCTGGCCACTCAGGGTTGCTCTGGAATGGAAACTCTCAGAAAAGATCTGGAGAATACCTTCACCAAGCTTCACAGAGCTCAAACGTGTGAGGTTCATCTCAACGCTGAACTGGCCTGTCTCAGAGAGAGGTGAATGCTTTCATTTCGAAACAGCTTTTTAGTCATTACTGAAGTCTTGTAGCTTTAAAACCATTGCTTCTGCATTTCTTGAAATCAGGATACTAAATTTGATGTTTTTGTGATTTACTCAGACTAGAGAGGGCGACCCAACAGAGACCAGACCATTCAAAGACTGAGGATCTGAGGAGCCTTAAAACAGAATATGATTCAACTCTTGCTGAACTGAAAAAGGTCAGAAACCTCTCTCATAGCAGGGGCTTTAAGTGCTTTTACATATCTGATGTATTTGTGTGTAAAATTCTCAACAACAGTCTGCACCGTCTCTTCTGTGGGTTCACTCTGCAGCTCAGAGAGGAGCTCCACAGGGCCAAGCAGACACACAGCGGTGAAGTGGAGGGAATGAGGAAAGAGGTATCAAAGCTGACCTCTGATCTGCACCAACGTGACGCCACCATCAACACACTGAAGAGCTCATCATCCAGCATCAGGCAGCAGCTCCGAGGAGAGGTGGAGCGAGCGGAGCAGAAGACAGCTGAGCTGAGAGTAAGAACTTGAACAGGTGTAGCCCCGTGACATGACCCCTTGATGAAAATCAGACATAGTATAATGAAGCCCTTGGTCCCAATCAGTCAGCCTCACTGCTAACAGCTTCTTTCAAGTTCTGCTGGAACTGTTGAGAAGTTAGATTCCTGATAGGATTTCAGATCATTAACTCATTATAAGCAACAATCATGAGGAATTCTCACAAGGAATCTGAGCCTTTCAATCAGGCAATTTGTAACATGTGATGACTTTTAATATTCAGCCGTACAGTAGATGCCTGTTAAATATCAAAAGAGCAACAATGCTCACACAGTCTCTGGTATTTGGCACATGTACGAAGTTTGAGAAGTAGTGATGTAATGGTGGAAAAATCTTTTCAGGGTTTCTGCAGACTGTGTGCACAGTGGATTAAAAAACATGCTGTCTGATTGAATACGATAAATATAGTTCTGACATCATCATGATGAGAGACAAAGTGCTCATGGTAAAGCCTCTACATTTTCTCACCATTTTCATCATTTAGTTGTTTGGGTTATATATTTTGGATGCATTATATTAAGGGTGCTTATATTTGTCTCCGTAGTTGAGCTGCACACTATTTTGCAAAATTACTTTTTTTCACAAAAATAAGTCAACAAGTCAACTAAAAGATGTCTCCAAATCAGCAGGTAGGCTCAGCAATGATGTGGGATAAACATCAGAGCTCTGGCTGTCTGATGTAAAATTTAGTGTAGTCACCTCTTAAATCACCTGTCATGTTGTCACAGACTTTGCTGCACAGCTTTGATAAGACAGTGTCTAAATTAGAAGGACAAAATGTGGATCTACAAGAGGGCAAAAACCTACATTCTTTACCATAGAGACTGTTCAAAGCCAACCAGTTCAGTTTTTCCTCAGCTGATGCCGATACTGGGAATAAGCCAGCAGGCTGACTGATGACTGAAATGACGACACGGCACAAATTTCGTTTTTTGCATTTGACAGACTTAATCAATTCAGTAATACTAAAATTGAGAAACAAAATAGCTGAACTCTGATAAATTCTTTGATTGGATAAAAAAAAAAAAGAGAAAAAAAAGTAAGCTTAGTAAAGTATCCTACAGAGGACGTATGTATTTTTGTGCAGGTTTCTGAAATTATTGACAAAGAAACAAAAACCAAGGCTCAGATTTGGGTGAAGAACAGGTGACAAAAGAAAGTCATGTTTACATTTGACGCTGTTCATTTAGAGAAGAAGAACTTTATTAATCCCTGCAAGGAAATTCTAATGGTGTTGATGTCTGCCTCGTGGGGACTGATGCTGAGTGGGTGGTAATGATGTCTAAATGCCAATAATCAGCCTATCTCTAGTTCAAAGTGATGCATTCAACCACCTTCTCTGTAATCGTTCTGACCTTTTAAAGCTCTTTGAGACATTTATCCTTCCTTTTGAAGTTGTTGCTTTGACACAGCAGCCTTTTTCTCCAGTTCTGTAGTCGACTCTCTGCAATCTTTTGCATGATTTGTTTTTTTATCTGTTTGAAATTGATAGTATTCAAAGAGGCCATACTGCTACCTCCTCACCAACATTGTATTGCAAGTGGCTACTGGACAATTTTTGCTTTTTAGTTTGAAATATTTTTTCGAAAACTTTTCACATTTTAGCTACAAGGTTTCTGATATCAAGTTACTCACATGTTGACAGCCGGTGGAAATGGTCAGGGTGAGATAATTGCTTCTTATTGCTGATCCTGTATCAGTGGAAAAAATGCCCAATCGACTTCAATCTGAGTTGAGACTGACACAGGGACATCCCTAATAATACAAAGAGAGTTTTGCTTTTTTCCTCTCCAGTAACCTCAGATCAAGATGATGACCAGCTAAGATCTCTGATTTTCATATAAATATGGTTAAATGGGACCAGGATGTAAAAAGTGGACATTTACAAGACTTCAAACACTGAAGTCTGAAGTAGTCAGCCAGCCCTCCAGGGACTCTCTAACATTAATGAAAATGCATCAAGATTCTGAAGCTCCTGGTGTGTATTCACATTATACTGATGATTGTATTAATTTAAACTCAGCTTCCACTCACAATTCAGAGTTTGGACTTATTTGGTCAAAGATGTCGACCTCTTTGAGCTTAAATGGACCCAAACACTTATATGTACATTCAGGTCAAACTAATGACACGTGCTGCCCAGGTCCTCAAAGAGTCAAACTACTGTACAGTTTGTGATCAGATACCTCATTCCCATTGTAACGGCTGCTCTGTGTTTGTAAGACTAACTGACTGTAGGAGCAAAATCTTAGAAGCCTGTTTTATTCCTGAGAAGATCTGTTTTCTCTTATTGCATATGTGCCCTGTTTTGCAGATGTCACAGGAATGTGACGATTAATAGACACGCTCTGATGGCGCCGGTGTCATAATTTAGTTGCAGCTGTGAGTTCTTTCAGACATCAAGCAACCAAAGAGTTTTTTTTGTTTGTTTTTTAGTTATAACTTGTTCATTCAGCAAAGCTTAGTCTGTTTCCTTTCTTATTTGCCATCCTTGAACATTTAAAAGCATAACATAGCTGACACTTATAGCACACAAACACATGTGAAAATTGGGCCCAGGTTGAAAAATGACCTAAGTTCCTCTTTATGAATACCAGTGTGGTCTCAGTATTGACTCTGTCTGCCTCAAAAGTTTGAGGAAAAACATGCTGCTGTGCTCAGAGTTGAAAATAACTTATTAATGACTTTATTTTTATAGCACTTTTAAAAGCAGAAGTTTACAAAGTGGTTTGACAAATAGTCATAAAGCACATGGAAATAAAGACAAATAAAAACAAAAAGCTAAGTTAAAACAGAATTTTGTCATAAGGAACCCAGACAATCCAAGAACCATGCAACATAAAATAAGAGCATGAGGACAAAAATAAAAACATAAAATAGTTAAGAAAAAGACAATGCAATAAAAAAGGGGCTTGAAAGCAGAAAACAGTAATGTAAATATAAAAGACAATATTATTAATGATAAAGTTAAAACAAAATAATAAGGGTAATGATAGTCTTGATAAAATAGAACAACAGAAATGAACAAGAGATGAAACAGTTGTGTAAATTTGTAACATTTGTTGTTCTTTCTCTGACTATCTCAGATGACTCGGGCACAGCTGGAGACGTTACAATCAAAGAACCAGCACCTGAAGGAGCAGCTGCAGAGACGAGACTCTCAGTCACCAAAGGTTTCCCTGCTTTGACACTCTTTTGTTTTTATAGTGATTACATTCTAACAGACCTTTTTAAACAGTAGTCTTCACATATTTTGCCTTCAGCACCCTTCTGAAGTCTGACTGATGTCTCTCCTTTCGCTCTTCTCAGAAGGAGGTTTCCTCACTTGCATCCCTGAGGGAGAGCTATGTGTCCTGTCTAAGCAGCCTGGAACAGGAGAATCGACAGCTCAGGCAGGCGCTGTCTGAGAAGCAGGTCTCCAGCCGGAATGAAGAAGCTCAGCTCAGTCATGCCATGACCAATCAGCAAAGCAGGTACCCACCCAGGACATAAACAGACATGCTTCTACCAAAAGATCCAGAAACTGATGCAACGTCGTATTTTCTTTGTAGCAATGAAGATCCCAGACATCACAAAAACAGAGAGGAGATCACAACTCAGTCTAAAGTGGAGACCCAGTGGAGATCAGCATCCTCCTCTTCATCCTCCGCTAGCAACAGCGGACGAGACAGGAGAGTCTCAGCACCAGGTTCACATGAATCTGCAGCTGAGGGGCAAAGCTGCAGCTCTCCAGACTCTCTCTCATCAGTTTCCAGTGAAAAATCATCCCCAACCTCCAGGGTTAGTCTTTTCAGGAGTGATATACTACCAACCAATAGTACTTGTCATAGTCTTGGTACAGGTCAGGATTCTCTGTCCTTCTTTCTTGTGAAAAACCCTCAGGTTATGTGTGTTTCTCTTTCCCCTAGGAGTCGATGTCAGTGTCCCCTGCAGATAACATGGTGTCTCGTTTTATGGAGGAGGAGAACTTGCGCTGTGAGGAGCTTATCCAAAAACTGGACACCCACATCCAGGTTATGACAGAAAACAACACAAAGACAGTGTCCAAATACCTGCCAGGTGACCCAGGACCTGAATCTGAGGCTCAGATTTCATCACGGACTGATAAGTGATGGAGTAAGGTGGGAATAAACCTGAGGGAAGTGAACAGCAATTTCAGAGGCTGCAGAGACTTCTACTCTTTTATTTTGAACAGTTTGAGTACTAAAGTTTAAAATGTTGTCTGGGATCATATTCATGGTATAGAATTAGTCTTAAATAGCTGGTTGTCCTGCCTTTTTCTCCTGCTCTGTTTATCCTGGGTTTATTTCTCTGTGTAGCGGCACAGTATGTTCAGGAGAGGCACATTTTTGTTGAATTATCCAGTTTATTCTGGAAAACATGCGTCAACATTCATGAGTGATTGAACACCTCAGGACAAGTGACCAGTGAAGGTGGGTCCATATCCTACACCCAGTGTTACTAGGCTGAGCTGACAGTAAGCTGAATTGCAAACTCTGCAAACTGCTTGGCGAATACAGATGGAACTGTGTAGAACTACATGTTGCACTGAAACTACATATTGTGGACTCAGAAGACCACAATGGAAGTCATTACATAAAACCGTTTTAACCTTTTCCACTCTCAGAAATCCCTTGAAACAAACTTGCTGTTGTGTTATATTTTAAAGTCCCTGTGAGGAACTATTAATCTGTGTCAGTTTTGCTGCCCCCTATGGACAAAACAGCCTTTGCTTCTCTTGTCCTCACAGCTTAAGTGGCATCTTGAGACCAAAGGATTTCATAATTCCGATTTTTGACAGTCAAATTTCATGTTAAATATGAATATTTTATGTAAAAAGTGTATAACAGGACTGTTTCTTCAGCTGCATGGCTGACATTAACCTTCCTGCACAGTTTTCAGGCATTAAAATTGACAATCTAAAAATTATCATCTTATTTAGTTACTTAGTCTTTTTCATGAATGTCATAAAATCTCACAGGAGCTTTAACTGTTGCATTATGCTTTCAAATAGAGCAACAAATTGAATTTTATGCCTAAAATGCAAAAGACAGACAACTCTCAAAAAAAACTGAATGATAAATTTATTGAAAAAAGTGAACAGGTAAAGACGAGAATAAAAGCTTCAACTGAGGCTTATAGACGGCGTCATGTGCCAGTTTGAGTCTTCTCTGCCCTGCTGCTCTTTGTCATATTTGAGTGACCTCACAGAAGTGACTTTGGGTTGCTAAATTCCTCTTGAGGCGTTCGCTGGAAGTCAGACGTCAAGAAGAGTCTTTTTGTTTTTTGTTGCAAATTCCATTTTTTCTTGCTGCCTGGAATTCATCTTTGCTTTGACATCCAGAGAAAAGAATGTAGCCTTGTGCCAAAAAGGTGTCCGTCCTCCCTGCACGTCTGTCATAACTGAGAAAATACCACATATGTACATGTCTGTCCAGAAGTTAGGGAGGGAAAGGAGGCAGCTTATGCTACAGCTCTCCTCATTTCCCCTGTGACTGCTCTCCCCTCAGCACCACCAACACCACCCACCCTGCAGAGGCCCTCTGGCTAGTCAAGTGCAGGAATGTGAGCACCATGCCAATGCTGTCATGAACCTTCCCCTGCAGCCTGCTTTGTCCTCATCATTAGAAAACTGATGGAATGTTAATATCAACCATGTGGGGAAACAGAAAGACCAGGGGGTTGATTTTACTGCTCTCTTAATGAAGCACATACTGAAACTAAAGAAATAAAGTGGAACTATCTAAAAAACAGAATTTCTTTGGTGTCATACTTTTAGCACAACACTGAGGTCCTCTTCTGCTGTCTCTGAGTCCACTGACTTCTCACTCTGGTATTTGGTAGCCTGTGTTACTAGCACTGTAAACACCAACAAACAGCACAGAGGAATTTGGCAAGCCAGGCATTCCTCTGGCCCTCGGAGGAGGGAGGTGAGAAGGTTTTATGTGTGGAGATTCTTCTGAAGGGGCCTCGTAAAAGGGAGGAGGAGTGAGATGGATCCAGGTCCAGAGATAGTTCATACTGCTCTGTTTACGTAATGCTCCACAGGAGGGTTTGCTTTAGGTTTCAAGATAATTGAGTAACTGCATAACCTATTAGTTTAATGAATTAAATTGCCTGCATTACAATTAATGTTATGAGGGCAGTTTGTAGTGGAGGAACATTCCCGGGGGGTTTTCATCGCCCTGATGCCAAAAGAGAAAACATTTGAACTTTTAGTCCTGAGTCCCATCTTGTGAGATCAGACCCACCTTTATACCATCTCTATCTACATGAGTGTAACACTGCTGCATTGAGTAAGTCACAGTAGAGAGATAAACTTCCTTTTAGCAGCCTTGAGCAAGGGGAGAGGAGGGAGATGCAGAGAGGTGAACAACAACAGCACATATACATTACATTTTCTGTCAGGACAGAAGGCAGGGCATGAAATGTGGAGAGTGGGATGACGTGTGGAGAAGAAGCTGGTAGCGGGCCCTAGCTTACAGTTTAAGGCATAACCTCAAGCCATGTGTGGAGTAAAATGCTAGGCCCCAGAGTACAATAAGACACTTAATTTAAATCAACACAACTTAAGCCTGATTTATATTGAATGTTGAATCTTGGCTGTAGAGCATTAGTTGTAGGTTTGTACAGCTCTGTACCAACACAGAAGTCTGTGTGTAGCCTGGTTTGCCTTTTAAATACGTAACGGTGTGGAAACAGTGCCATAAACCCTGTGGTTGGACACCTGGGTAGCATTGAATTTCCTGCATTTATTGCCGAGGTATTCCCTGGTCCTCTGCCTGGACTGATTCAGCTGTTGTAAATTCCTGACCTGACACACCAGGTAGACTGTTTCACACATCCATGGCATTGGATATATTTCACATGCATCTGAGCAACGCCCCATAGACGTGGTGTTATGGAAGAGCAGAACTTGGAGAGTGATTGGAAGAACGTTTTGTCACACTCAAAGACTGTATATAATATGGACAACTTGACTCCGCTCTGTCATTTTACGAATTTTAAGCCTAATTGCTCCCGGTATTTCCAGGATTTTCTCCACTTCCTGGAACCACCACTTGCACAGTAGCATTGTAAGCATTCTGCAAGATAGTCGCTGTGATTGCTCTCAGCTCAAACAGCATACCCCCCAGGTGAGCTACACAATCCTTGTGTGCCCATAGGCTGTATCAAGTGTCAATCATAGAAAACATGAACCCCCTGATAACTTTTAAAAATGGAGCTGCACAGAAAAAAGAGGACTTGAGAACAAACCAGTCTTACAATAACTACATGTCAACATCGCAAGCAGGGGGGAGAAAAAATTATATTTTGTGTAATATATTTCTAAAGTTTGTCCACAGCTCCATAGGGATTGCTGGAGGAGGCTGGATTTATGACCTATACTGCAGCCCGTCACCAGAGGGTGCTGTTCACGCGGTGGCTTCACCCAGCGAGGAGGCAGACAGCGTCCATTCTATACACAGTCTATGGTTACACTCAGTACAGGCCAGTCAGATCAACAAAAACTTATGACCTACTGAGAGGTCAATGTTATACGGCAAGCTCCACATGCACTAGTCCAACATGTTAGCAGTTAGCTTCAATTACATCTCTGTTCAGACCATTATATTGAATGGAATACAATCACCATGCGTTGTTATATAGCTTAGCATCTGTTAAGGTTATGAACCACACTGAAGGGTGCATATTTTGCCAGTTCTGATAAAACTACTACCAAAACTTCTGCAATGCTAAGCAGCAACCTCTGGTATTGAGAAATGAAGCTGAGGCTAAAGTGCCAAAAGCTGCAGTTCCCTGAGTGTCCATTTGAGGCTGGCTGCAAAAGCTTGAGAAACCACGTACTCATTCAAAAAGCAAAACTAAACATGTTCACCGCCAGGTTCAAAAACAGTGTTGTTTCAATCACCCATTGGTTTTTCTTCTCAGACTGGCAGAAGCTTAGGAGGTAGAGCGGTCATCCAACAACTGAGAGGATGGCAGCTCGATTCATCCCTATGCCTAGTCTGTCTGTTGTGTCCTTGGGTAAGACACTTAACCTACCTTACTCCTAGTGTATGATTTGTATATATGTTGCTTCGGATAAAAGCGTCTGCTAAATGACATTGCAATCTTGTAATCTGTATGGGGGCCGTATCTCTTGATAATGCATCTGTTTTGAAGATACTGACAAATCACAGCTGACGTGACTGACCGGCAGCCACACTGTAGCTGTTAGCAAAGGCTAATGGGCAGCCTCTACCCCACCTCTTTGATTTTCAGTTGGTTGTCCAAAAGTCTGGTCAAATCTGTAATATGGCAACTGTTGCCCAAGGGCTTGAAAACTCAGCGTCACAAATAAAGGGGGTGACATCACTGAGAACAGGATCATGTATTGTACAGTTTTTGATCCCGCGAATCTCTTCACAAGCTGTGAGTCTTTACACATTTGTCTGTCGCCACTTTGAAATAAGTCTTTATTCTCAAATAACACTGATTGGTTTGGTCATTCTCTGATCATGATCAGGTGTACCAGCCTGAAGCTTTGCAGGAAGGGTCCGGCTGATTGACAGACATGATTGATCTATTTGCTTTGCAAGGTAAGCAACCCAGTCTCCTCTGACATCCCCTCCCCTTTCCTCTCTGCAATACCAGCACGATATTCAACATCAGCTTCAACTCCAACATTAGCTCAGATTCAGTCACCATGATAGTAGAAGCTAGTATAGTGATTACACTGCCTACTGGTTGAGGTGAAATATTGCAGAGCACAAGTATGTTGTTGTGCACCAGGCAGGCATGCTGCTCAGATGCACCTTAAGCATGAACACTATTTAGCACAGAAGTATGAACTGAGCTTTGTATTAGTGCAGGACAAAATTGGTATAGAGACAGGCAGTTCCATTTTTCCACAAATTGACAAAAACCAAGAGTTCCTCACAGAAAAAAACAGCCCATGGATCACTTATTTGTGAAAATATACAAAATAGTCTTTTCCATGCACTTATTTAAAGCTCCACTGTAAACTCCATTGATTTTTGCACCACCTTGTGGACAAAGCAGTCAATCATATTTTGTGTGATTTCTTTTTATTTTATTTTTTTTACCCAAAATGCAATTTTTGATGGTGTTTTCCCTTAATTTTAGCCTGTTTTGACACCTGAAGACAGTGAGGTTGGCAGTTGCTCTTTGGCCATATTATGTCCCAAGGAAGTTCAGTCATATCAAAACAATGCTTACATGTACTATACATGTATTCTCCATGATACTGTTGCTAGGATACAGACTTAACATTCTGAAGCAATTGTAAAAAAAACGGGTGACTTCAACCATGTCACCCTCTCCTCTCACCTGAGGGGATCTACACAGTTTGGTTACTGTCCTACCAGGGAAAAAATGTCTTCAGATTCCAGAAAAATGAATTTCCCTCGGGGATAAATAGAGTTCTTGTATTGTGTTGTATAACCTCCCCAGAGAAGCTTCAACTTGCTTTACGAACTATTATTATCATCAACTCTCTTGCTTTAGCACAGACAGCAGCGAGGGCAGTTGAAGCTCCCTATTACGTGGGTCAAAATTGTAAATCTGCCAGGTCAGATCCTCTTTAATCACCCAGAACTTCAGAGGCTTTGTTTGGGTCTTCTGTTAGAAGTTACCTCCCTCTCTTTAGTGTAACACCACACTGAATTCTTCATGTCATCTCAGAGGTCACACAAGGGCAAGTTAACAAACAAGTTAAAAAACTAAATAAACCACAGCAAGAAAAGCTTGGTCTACCTTATCAACTAATCATAAATGAGCTATCTGAGATATTTGAGGAATTTCCTTGTCTGTGAGATCATACTGAACTTGTCATGGGAACAAAAAAACAGGGGAGAGTATGAGTGTGGAGGTTGATTTATCTCTTTGCAAGTCTTGAAAGGCCTGGCTGGTTGGCGGGGATTTCTTCAGCCGGGACTGCCGGGAGATTCCTGAGCATGGGAAGAGAAGAATATCTCTGAATCTCTGAGTGATTATCAGTTTAAAACATTTACCAAACTGCTTCGAAGTTTGTTTTTGAACCCAAAATATGTTATCATAGTTGCTGAAAAATGTCTCTCATGTATGATTTATGTTGATACTAACTGATGCACTGCCTCCCTCTCATGGGCTGCTGCACCTCAGTGGATGTGATATATATCTTTCTATGAATTTCTGAACTTCCTCAGTAAGATAAGACCACTTTTCCCAGAATTGTTGCAGCCTGCATGCTTTCTTTGTCGAACATTCCATGGTGGAGCCTCAGAAAACATGCCGGTCATGCTTCACATGTGGCGTTGTCTCACTTTAACCTCCAGCCATGTCCCACATTCGATGGGAACGTCTCATTGTTTTTGACTCTTCTTGTACTTGTCTGAGTGGGTGGGGTCAGAGTGGGTGCAGGATGCAGATGGACTCAGCTCATGCGGTGGGACTTGGGATGTTCTCTGCAGGATACTTGGAATGTTGCAGAGACAGAGGGGCGCGTTCTTATCAGCCCGCCTGGAGCGCCGTGCCAAAGGGAACTGTGCCAGAGAGGCCAAGAGGAAGAGACTCATTCCTCCAACACACAATGAGTGCGTCCATGCATGTACGCCAATGTCCCACTTACACTCTGTGTTTGTTTGTGTACTGTAAACAGGAGTGGAAGAAGTGATGTCTTCTTGTTGTGTATTGTCAAACGGAATGGACTAAGAGATGCAGGAAGTCCATCTCTTGATCCCTGTTGTCTGTAACCACAGCAGAAGGAGGA